ATATAGGACTGTTTAAAATCTATCTTTAATAGGGTAATTAAGATTATGCTATTATTAAAATTATACTACTGCTAAAGATATTCTAGAAGATTAAAATTATTTCTTTAAGATTATCTCCCTAAGATTATGCTATTAATTTCTATATATAAAGGATATTTTACCTGTAAGTCGGTCTGCTCTATTATATATTATTTCTTACTTAGACTATAGTTATTTATTTATATTAAATAATATTTAATTTAATTCCCCTCTATTACTTTATTATTATATCTGCTACTATTAATACTAATTATTATACTATTATAGGTATTATAGTCTTAAACTTAGTATAGGCAATGCTAAAGGCTTTATAGTTAGTCTTTAACTTCTATACAGTTATAAAGGAATATACTTATTTTAAGGATCTAATTATTATAGACTTTATTAATATAATAATTAAGTATTATAATAACCCCTTATTAAAATTTTTACCTAATACTATTATAGTATATATAGGGGTTTTATTTATTAAATAGGACCTACTAAATGCCCTTAAGATTATAATTAAAGCTTATCTGTATATTTTATACTAGGGTAACCTTAGCTTAGAGGAGTATACTAGCTATATCCCCTATTTAATCTTATTAATACTATTATTTAATAGATAAGTAATTAGCTAGATAATTAATTTTACCCCTAAAAATAATATAAAACACCTAATCTTTTTTATTAAGATTACTATATATAATAATAAGGTAGATAATAAGATAATTATTAATATCTTCTATATTGGCTATAATATCCCCTAGAATAAGTATTAGATATATATAAAGCTCCTAACTATTAACTAAATTATAGAGGTTAATAGGGAGTTTATTAGGTTTTATCTATATCTAAATAAGGCGGCTCTCTATATCTCTATTACCTTACTATCTTTTTTTTAAATCTTTAGAGAGTTTATAGTAATAGAATAAATTACTAAAATAATATCTGCCTGCCTAAAATACTACTATAATATAGTATTTAAATTTATAGAGCTAGTAGTAAAGCAACCTATTATCTTTCTTAAGAAGCTAATAAGTTCTTAGAATTTAGCCCCCCTAGCCTTATAATTAATAATATCTTAAAATATAACTCTCTAAGCCTTATAGCAGTTAGTCCTATCTAATAATCTATTAAATATCTTATTTAATATCCTTTTTAATATGCTCTCTAATACTTATTTAAGCCCTTAGAAAGCTATTAATCTTAACTAACTAGCATCTATATTAATTAATACTAGACCTGAAAATAGAATACCCCCTAAGAAGCCTAAATATCTACTTAAATCTAAGCTAAAGAACTTTATAGAGATTTTAAAGCCTAAGTTAAAAAACTCTACAGATATTTCTAAGCATAAGAAATATAAGTTAAAATATCCTATTAATACCCCTAATCCTAGACCTAGTTTTAAATCTAAGCTAAAGAACCTTATAAATACCCCTAATATTAATAGGGATTTTAAAGATAAGGCTAAGACTAAGTCTGAAAGAGAATCTAAACCTATAAATTAATCTTAATATAAATATTAATATAAACCTAGATTTAACTTAAAAATAGATAAAGATATTAGCAATAATTTAATAATAATAATAATAATAAGGAAGTAATATATAGTAGTAAAAGGTAAGGCCGCTATCTATAGCTAAGATTATTATATATAGCCCAGCATAGAGCTATCTTATCTAAAGATATAATATAAAGAAGATATTATAAATAACTCTTTCTATTTATTTTTTAATATCTCTAATAATATAACTATAGGCAAAATAACTAGTTAATTAATTTTATTAACTATTATTTCTATCTGCTTATAATTTATACCTTATAAGTTTATATATAGCTTTTTATTCAGTGAATTACTATAATAGTTTAAGAAATCAGTTCTATAAGCAAGACCGGGACGCGCCTCTGGCGCGGCCTAAGGGCTTGTGCAATAAGATGTAATATGGTGCAATAACTTAGTCTAGCCAGGATCTCCGTTGCAGATCGATATGTAAGCGGAATATCTTGCACTGGTCGGCAATTTGACGTCTCCGAATAGATGCTGATACGTCTTCAACGGGCAATATATCCCAAAAGTTTTACTCAGTGTCTAGCCATCTCTCAGAACAGAAAGAAAGGCATTACACATTACACATTACACTACCGGATAATACAGAGCATATAGTCATAGGACATAATCGCCAGACTGATCTTTCCCAGTCATAGCAGAAATGGATAGCTAACTCAGCAAGAATAAGGTCACATGGCTAAATATACCATCGAAATGAAATACCATAAATTGGCCAGTGTCCGGAAATACGCTCCTAATAAGTACGTAGTCTTAAAGTCCTGCTGCCGATCTACTCTTGTATAGAAATAGTAGGAATGCTAATGCATAGACTTGCTACTGGGTAGATACGCTCATCGTAGTTAACAAAGGATATTGACATATAGTCTATGGGCAGCAAATTATTGCACTTCAACCATAGTGAGTTAGGCCAGTGATAATATTCTATGTAGAGGTTATGCATTATTAGCTTAAATAGCCTCTTCTGGCGGTACGCTGATCTATATCAGGGGTGCTATAAACCAAGTGGACCCCAGGACGTATACTTATACAGACGGGATCCCCCCTGGACAGCTAGTGCTTAGGAGAGCTCTACCAGCTGCAGGATTGCTTTCCCATTAGCAGTATGCAACAGTCAGATCAGTGAAAAGATATGCAGAAAACCCCAGATACGAATGAACTTCTTCGAGTGTCCTTGATTGCTACTAAGGACAGTTAACGACAGCAATCACAACTACTAGATTTCTCTACCGTACCAATGCATCCAATATAACATCTCTCAGTAAAACTCTCGGGTCATCTATCCCCACGTGACACCTCCCCTTCCAGGTCCCGCAAACAAAGAAAAAAAGCCCCCTATATTCCAGAATAACATAATCCCATTTAACAGCGGAGTCCAGATAGCGCAGTGGTTGGATTACCACCCACCCACCGCTCTATCTAGCTAGAGGCTCCCTGGTTCGAACCTCGGGGTCGGCGTGAGGGCGTCAGAGCAAAAACAGCAGCTCTGGGCACCAGTGACCGTCAGAAATGTTCCTCAGTTCCTAGAAAAGGTAAAACCCTGCCCGCCAAAAGCAAGGCGGGGTTTTCGTAGCATCTTCACAGCTCTCTGATATAAAGGAGAGGTGAGGATGTGAGCTTTTTTGTATTTTTTTTATGGTGGGCTGATGTGTTGTGTTGTGTTTTGTTGATTTCCGTTTTGGGAAGTTGGGATGGTACAGTGGCGTAATAACAGGACAACTACATTTACAAGGCCTATTAAGTGGCAAATGCTAACATATTTCGCAATAGCATTAAGATGAAATGTAGCAGTTTTATTGTCTGTAAGACTAGCGTCTGCTACTTTGGCGGTGGTTTGTCCAGAACCGAGTTTAACTATGTACTTCTCCAGCGACGTCCTTAGCTATGACATAGGGTTTCCCGTCCAAGCAGAGACCGTAGCCGCGAACTTTGTGGTCATGAAGATTCACTAATATGGTATCAAGTATATCAGTTTGAACGCACCCCCAAACAGGACTATAAAGCCGCCACTGAAGAACAATCTATCAATAGATTCAACCAGAGGAAAAGATACCTCATACCCAGCAACGGTAACTTTCACAAAAAGCCATCCCTCCCCAGACATGGGAACATATCTCTTCCAGCACGACAGGAAGAACCACATTATACGATATCGATATGTATGGACCTCAAACATCCCTGCAGGAAGAGACTTTCCTTTCTCTTTTGTTTTACAAATGAACTCATCCCACTTCTTTCCGCATCACATCATCTCCTATTCTCCCTCCTTTATCTTACTTTCCCATATTAGGATAAGTAATCTATCTAGTCAGGCAGGGATCGATTAGAGGCTTCGGTCGAATTCATCGTACATGCTGTATTTCCAGGATAATCTACGGGTTCGCAACGATTACTAGTCCCGAAATCCATTCGGATCGGACTAACTACTCTAGAGTTTGAAGGTTGCGTGTGAGAATTTAGAATGATAAACGAGGCGGAACTCGGTAGTTATGGATTGAATTCCCCTGCTTCCGATGCCGAATAGTTAGTTAGTATCTGGGCTGACACATCTGTCTGAGCATGTCGCTGGTGAGGGACTTGGACGACGAATCTTACTAAATATTATTACCGGTTATTGGCTAGGGAAATGCCCCTACTTAGTACAGGTGCAGTTGAAGTTATTCGATTGCTAACTAAGAATAAGAGCAGAGTACAAAGAAAAGTCAGCCGCAAAACCAGAAACCAATACTATCCCCCCCATCAGGTATCACCCAGCGGTCAGCTCTACTGTATGGAAATGGAAACCCCCCTCATCATTCGATCGAGACGAATGCGAGAGTCCCCAATAGTATGTTGGGAGATTCTCTCTTCCGGCCTTGAGATCACGGAATGTTACGTTTATGAAATATCACTTTCCTGTATTGAAACCGCCACGAAGCAGACCCCATACTCTTGTGGTCTTTCCCCATTTGGAACAGTCATGATGTCGTAGTAGGTTCCCCTGTCATCATGAACGTTTCCATCAAACGGGACATTCGCTTCCGTCGAGATAATATAGTCTCGCGGAGGACAGACAAACCTGTACATACCAACGCCAGAATTATGAATACACGCCTCAAAGCACGAATGCAAGCATCACCGCGTAATCAAGGAGAGAAAGAAGAGAATGGTGAAACTTTTTAGAAGAGAAGATAGAAGAAAGTGTAGGTGGTAGAAAAGAAAAAGTAGTATAAAGGCCAGGCCGTATGAGTCTTGTGGATCGTAAGCGGCAGACGCCTAATGATAGTAAAATGGACGCCACAGAATGCATGCATGCCGTTGCCGCCGAGAATCGAAAGCTCAAAATTAAGTGCGACAGTAAGACAACTCCTATGCAATGGATATTCGTGTCCACCAGATTCGAGGCAGACAAGAGAAGGAATAAATGAATGGGAGCATGATGCGCAAAATTAGTGGCAGCAGATGTGTCACGGCACGGCTGCCAGTTGGGAACTTGGCGCTAGATATGAGTTTGATGATCTTGCAAACGGCGACGAATATATGCACCCTTCCTATATATAGTCGTATTCTTCCTTCAAAGGACGCTCGAGCTGATAAAGGAGCGCATCCAGCTCAGCCCAGTTCGACAATGTCGTCGCAAACTTGCGATGCTTTCTCGACATGATATGCTAAAGCATGGTCAGCACAACGCAGCACACACAATTCTTGAAATCCACGCCGACTTACCTCGTCAAAGTCGTCAAACTTGTCCCGACAGTTTTCACAATAGCCCGGCTTGGGATCCCACTTCTTTTCCTTCTGCTTCTTCTGACTGCTAGCTTTCTTAGCTGCTGCGCGCTGCTTGTTGCCGTCGTCATCCTCCGACTGGGTCGTTTCTTCTTCATTAATGTTGGCAAGAGCATCCTGCGTCCTCCCTCTGCCCGTCTTTGTGGGCTGTCCCCTTGCTGCTTTTGCCGCTCCTGACAGATCGGTCGTGCGGAGGGACGAGGGCACTCCGCTTGTCGAGATTCCGCCATTGCTCTTCTCAAGAACTTTCCTTTTCAGTTCGTGAACTTCCTTACTGACACCAGCCCTTGCTCCAGGGGCAGCAGCGGTAGAGGAAATCATCTGAGAACGAATCGCTGACGTGATGTTGGATGGCTGGACACCAGATGCAGCGGGTTCCCGGCCGAGGTGGAATGGTCCGGCGCGTGGAAAGTTAGGAGGAATAAAGCTCTCTGAGCTCTTCCTAGGAGAGGCAGGTCGTACGGGAAGCATTTTTTGTGGTTCCGTCTCCTTGGAAGCGGGCACGCTTTCCTCTCTCTTCACAGGTGCAACAGTCTCAACGTCGGTCTCCTGGGCTTCTGCTTTCACAACTGCACGCTCCGGAGGATCCATGTTCCTGCTCTCTTGTTCAGCGTCATGCTGTATCTTAGCGGCAGCCTTCTTTTCCTTCTCTTTCTGAAGGCGCGCCCGTTCGATTTCTTTCCTCGACGGTGGCTCGTCGATGAAAGGACATTTACCCAGTGGAGCGCTTCGAAATTGCGGCCATGCACCATCCTGGCGTTTTGCAACTTTGGGGTATTCTCTAACCATCACAGGTCGCGTCTTTTCATCCATATCGTGAACGTAGATAAACGGCCCTTTGAACATGACCATATCCTTCATATACGAGGAAGGATCACGTTCTGAAGGGCCATTAAGCTCGTTTCGAAGGACCTGAGATAGATCGGTGTCTCCTCGGTTTCGTCCAGTTCCAACCGTGTGACTGCGGGCTAAGTGATTCGACAGTGCGGCATCTCCATCATTGATTGTAGTAATCATCCGCTGCAATTTTTCCAAAGCCCATATTTTCATACCCATTTGGCGAGCCCTGTGAAGCACATCCAGTCCACCTTGATCACGTCGAAGATCTGCATCTGCCCGTCTATCGAATGGGTTTCTCGACTTCAGCGACATATGTGAGCTGAGTTCCGCGTTCTTCTCAAGCAAGGACGGATTAACTGTCTGAACAGGACCATCGACAGACTGTTGCTCCATCGCTGTCGTAGCGTTCATCTCGGTGGCAGCAGGGACGTCGGTCTCGGGGGGTATAGGGCGAGTCGTAACGACATGGGTGACAGTACGAGAGAAGAATTTTTCCTCACGCTGTTACCTTTCATTAGCACGTAGGATGGAAACGAGGAGTGCATTGAATTTAAACGCTCGAATGTTTCTATATTCACATGCCCCGCGAGGCATTGAACAGGACGAGCCCCTAGAACAAGTGAAAGGAACCAATAAGACGACCCAACGAAATAGTCACTTACCGCACCCAAAGCCGTCACCTGTCTTGAGCATTTGTTTCGAACATCTTCGGGGATGCTGTCAAAGTAAAATACGAACTGCGGGAATGCCTTGCGGTAATGTCTCTGCCACTGCCGTATATTGTCGAGGGTCTCCGCCGATGTCTTCTCATATCTGACCCCTTTGGTCTGTGATAGCCGTTCCTTATCCCGAGCTGCTACCAGCTTCTTCTCAAAAGCACTTGGCTGAGCATTGTTGGTTCGCTTGGTGAAGAACTTGGACTCTGCGCTTGGATAGATCGTCGTCTTTGGTCGAGTCGGTGACCGTGGTTCCAACTCCTCTCGGTCCACGTGTTGTTTCTTTGGGGGAGGCTGGCCATAAGGGATATCGACCTGAGAGCCCGCTGTCCGGGAGCGCTTCATTGCAGCGATCCCAGTCCGGTGGGGTGAGTTGGCGGCATTGGGCACATTCGCGAGAGGAGCTCGTCGAGTCGACATGGCAAGGGATGTCCGCGGCGAAGGAGGTATGAATACTGCTGCCATATGGTAACGATATACACACAAGCAGGGAGACACAACAGAGAGCGACAGTGACCAGCGAAGGGGGGGGTACTGGACCACTTAATGGAAGAGCACGCGACGTGCCCACGTCTGTACAGGCTCAGGGGACTTCAGAAGACACCCATAGCGGACAACAACAGGCAATGGGGGTGTAATAGCGATCAATATAGCCAGCTATCGAGTCCCTGCAGTGCAGCAATGGGTGGTGAGTCCGTATCAGCCTCTTGGGCGAGCTGCTGCTAAATGGGAGGAAGTAGAGAGAAGAGCAGTGAACGTGTGAGGGAAGCTTCTTGTTTGGTGGAGACGCCCGCGAATTGTTTTGGGGGCTGCCGGACAACCAACCGTAGCGCGCCTGTCGCCTCGGCATGGACCTTGAACATCCAGCGCGCAACTACAGAGCATTCTTCAGCATGGCAGAACGCGTCTTTCAAGTAGTTGGTTTGTTCACTTGCTCGTTAAAGGACATTGTGCTCGTTTTACAGCCTTCTTGCCGTCCGCAGTGGCCTGTTGTTACGTGTACTACAGATTCAAAACAACTACTGCCCATGGTAAACAATCCCAAAAAAACAGCCGATATCCTAGTTGTCATGCTTTTCATTGCAGTAATTCTATGGTACAGGAATATGTTTTGGGTATCTTTCCGTTAGTCTACAGCTTAACCCCGCAAGGCCTCGATATCTTCCACCTATTTACTTGTTAGTGCTCAGCAACAACCGACACAGGGATGGAGACCCCATTGAGTCGACAAACTGTACCTCTTTCACGGCCTCTGGTGACAAAACGATCGGGCTGTCATCTCCGACGCACACACTGTCCTCTATACGGATCCCAATGCCTCGGAATTTCTCAGGCCACCTGTCGTCGTCGGGAACGTAGATACCGCTGGAGGACGTTAGTAACCGCATCAAATCTGGTGTAGAGAAGAAGATTGGCCTACGGTTCGATCGTTATGCATTGGCCAGCTTTGAGGTTATAGCGCCTTGGATAGCCAGCGCAATCGTGGACGTCGAGGCCAATGAAATGACCCAGATGATGGGGGAACAGCGTCCGCATGGCCTAATCACATGTTAAGATCCAGGTGTCTTAGATGAGGGAGTCGGCATTTGACATACGTTCCCAGAGACGTCAAAGCCTAGCTGCTTCAATTGGTCACGGAGACCGTTTTCTGCGATTTCGTGTAGCTTATCAAGAGACAGCCCAGCATCTTCATGGCAAAGTGCCACACAGCTGCGGTGCACGTTCAACACAGCAGTGTACAGGTCTCGTTGAGGGTCAGTAAATTTTCCGTTAACAGGCCAGGTCCTCGTGATATCGGTGATGTAGTGGCCGTATTCCTGCTAACCGTCAATATGTCGTACGTTGCTCATGAGGGGAATACTCACACCACCACCATCCACCAAAACCAGTTCTCCGTCTCTATCATAACACTTAGCTTGCACTCATCGACTATCTTGGCAGTAATTACCTCAGGACATCATCGTTTCTTGTGTAGTGTATGCTCAAAGCGTTCTGGAAAATATTAGGGTCAATTTTGGTAAGGGCAGGCTGTTGAAGCTTACACGACCACCCGCAACAACAGGGACAAAAGCATTTCCATCGCAGCCGTTAGCCTTGAACTGATACTGCAGAAATGCACTAAGCTCCTTCTCTCTGGTGAAGTCGCCCTTCATAGAATCCGTGAAAGCTCTGCCAGATGCCTGGCCAGCCAGCCGCATATTTACCACCTCACTCTCACTTTTGAATAATCTCATTTCGTTGAGGATTGGTCGCAGCGGCTTGACTTTGCGAGGATCGACAAGCTTCTTGATTGAATCTGACTCTCCAGCAGAGCCATAGAGGTAATGAGATAGTACCGATCGTGAGGGATCGAAAGCCTTGATATCCGTGTAGACTTCTGTAGCCCCAGAGAGAATCGAAGGGAGGATATCTTTAATCTTCTCGATATCGCCAGTCTAGTAGTTACCGTAATCATCAGCATAGACCAACATACAAATAAGACACCGCACCGCATACCTCATCTGCATTAAACACATCCATGGCTGCCTGTGTACCAGACCGTGCTCCGTCCCACAGCTCAACTCGAGGGTCCTTTTCCCGCACGTAAAGGTGGAAGATATGGTTGTTGCCGGATCCATCATTGGCTACATCCATAGTCAGAACCTCCATCTTGCATGATGTGCATATACTATGCCTTACCAATAATGGCCAGGGCGCCTGGTTCATTAAACCCTAAAAAGACCCAACCATAAGCTTCAGCTCAACTTGTTTTCCAGCCATGCAGGGCTCGCGCACCTGTCAGATAGAAGAAGTCCGGGTCTTGGTGGTATTCATAAAATATCCCTGCTGCACGGTATTTGACTTCCGCAGCTGCCACCACAGCAATGGCATGCTTGGGGAGCTTATTGGCAAGCTTGGACCGACGCTGGGCGTATTCGAGAGCGGTTATCCCTGGAGTCACTACTCCAATATTAGTCGCTACTTTTGACAGCTATAAGCTGCAAGAAATCCAATTCACTCACGTTCACCAGCTTGGAGGATATGGGGATGTGTCTCGTGGACTGGCTGTCCGAGCTTGCACTCCGCCGCGGAGACCGTGGCATAGCCTCTCGGAGGTGTCGTCCTCAGATGAGCAAGCTGCAGACGTGCTTGCACATAGCACGGTCTGGAGATGCTACCAGACGGGCGACAAAGGAGACGAGGCCATTGGCGCAACAATGATCTACTCGCCGACATAGTCGCGAGTTCAAAGGCGGGCTGCTACAACAAAGCAATGAACAACGCCGTTTTGCTGCTTTGCCAGTTTATCTCCGGAGAGCTCAGGCCGAGGACTCGGGCTCGGCACAATCCACCAATCAGGCAGGCGGTAATCACGGTTGTACCTGCCGGGAAGGGAAAAGACTCGCGATCCCCCGCGACTTACAATCGTTATCGCCCCAATAGATGGCGCATTGAGGGAACAGGATGCGGCGGACAGGGTTCAGGAGAGCTCTGGCTGACCTCGAGTCATCATTATAGCTGATAGGAACCCGGAGGTATAAGTAAAGGCGGAGAGACTGCACGGACGTATACTTTATTCATGTGCCAAGCAAGATATCTCCTATATCAAGGCTGCTTTTCAGTCTCAGAATCCTATATTCGTCCCTTGACACTCTATTTGTCGTGATTCATAGTATAATAAATCATGGGAAAGACACTCACGTATCCAAAACGTCCGTCCAGCACGGTCAACAGGTACAAACACCGCGGTAAGTATGTCAGCTCCAAGATCATATTAAGGAGACCATGAGTGCTTAATATCGTAGCAACATATGACCTGGGAGCTATCCATGGCATTGTCAACTCGACGCCAGTTCTTCATGTCTCCTTCAGTCCAGGTCCCTCCGATCCCTTCCCCGCCATTCTCCCCATGATAGGGCAGATGGGTTCCTTCGACTACCCGTCAGCGGGTATTGATGAGCCTCTAGACTGCTACTTGCATGGATACGTCAGTTCGCGGATCATGAACCTGGCACGATCCTCAGAAGGAGAAGGTCTTCCAGTCTGTATAGCAGCAACCAAGGTCGACGGCCTGATTCTATCCCTGACGCCCAACTCACATAGCTACAACTACCGGTCCGCCGTTCTGCACGGATATGCAAAGCTCGTGACGAATGAGCAAGAGAAGCTGTGGGCTATGAAACTCATTACTAACTCGGTCGTATTTGATCGGTGGGATAACACCCGTGTCCCACCCGACAAGGCCGAGATGTCCTCGACCGTTATTCTCAAGGTCAAAGTAGTTGATGGAAGTGGTAAGATCCGAGATGGGGGCGTATCTGATGAGCGGAAAGACAAAGACAAGGATGAGATTACTGGGCGTGTTTGGACCGGTGTTGTCCCCGTCTGGGAGACATATGGATATCCACTTCCTAGTCCTGAAAATCGCATCAAGGAGGTACCTGAACATATCACCTCCTATGTGGCACGCATGAATGAACAGAATCGAGCCTATGCGGTTGATGCGGTCAATGTCACCCTTCCCAAGGAAGAACAGCATTGATTGTCAGATACGATTCTTTATTCATTTTCAATCATTATTTTACTCTTTTTGTGGGGATTTCTACAACCATGGCTCTTATGGTCCTTCGATGGAGACTTTTCGATCTGAATACTACGTTATGATGCCTTTATAGTCCACCTTGCAGCAGTACTTGCGCCAGCAATATGTTGGCTTCTCACTGACAACTTTGACTCCTACCTGGGATCATTCTTGCACAGAGGATGATTACAGCAGATACTCGATGAGCAACCCTGTATCGAATCGACAAGATTACAGAATGTACTGACTGGGCCGTCATCCACTGGTGGTCCTGAGCACGGAGCGACATGGCTCCCAGTGTGAACCCCAAGGGAGAGGCGGCTGGAATGTCAACAGCGAATCCCACATATGTCCGCTTTCCTGATACTACCTTTATTTAGTCTGGATTGGGATGTTATGTTATTGTTTCTCGCAACGTCACAGTAATCTCCTAGTTCGATCATTCTTTGCCTATTCTGTCGGAAGTCTGTAGTTTCTTCTGCGTGCTTAACTGATGTTTTTCAATCGCCACTTGCTCTATAGCTGGATCCCCATTTCAGATGTACCATTGGTATAGCTGCGGGTTAGCTTCTTTAGTTATCTAGATTTTGATACAGTCTCTCGATGCTCTGCGCGCCTGTTTGTTCTACGCTTAGTATACAAATTAGCTAATGATCATTTCGTAAACCGATGGAGGGACCGAACGGTCAAAAAAAAACCGATCTTCACAATGAGGAAGGAAGCTCGGTGAAGGAAGGACATAAGTGGGTGGCGATGCCCAAAAAAATCGAAAAAAGAAATGCCTCCGACCAGGATCGAACTGGTGACCTCGAGATCGCTCCTTGAAGTTACCTTCAAGGTCATATATAGATATGAGACTCGCGTGATGACCAACTACACCACAGAGGCTATTTCTTGAGATTCAGCTAAAGATGTGTGGTACATGAACCAAGCGCGAGCTGAGCGTTCTTGGTAACTTGACGCTGAGTACTAACAGTAGTACACATCACGCACCGCAAATTTTTACTTTCTGAGAGAGTGAGAAGTAATTTCTCGGTTAGCAGCATAACTATATTAACTGAGCAAGCTGGTTACTAGTTAATATATGACGAAAATCCCGACGTTACTAAGAATATCCGGACAATATACTCGATTATATAGCTCACGACGCTTTATGCATAGGCACCGCAGAGGAAAGGCAAAAAAAAAATCAGCAAGGTTTTGCATAGCAAGCTAGAGTTACACAAAATACACTGCAAAAAGTGATACAGCAATGCCTCCGACCAGGATCGAACTGGTGACCTCGAGATCGCTCCCAAGAGTTACCTCTGGAGTCATATCATAGATATGAGACTCGCGTGATGAGACCAACTACACCACAGAGGCGGTTTGCTTGTGACTTTAAGCGAGGAGTACGGTTTTTGACGGTTCTTGGCATTGACGACGGAAAAAAAATTGGAAAAAATTGTATGAAAAAGCAATGCCTCCGACCAGGATCGAACTGGTGACCTCGAGATCACTCCCTGAAGTTACCTTCAGGGTCATATAGATATGAGACTCGCGTGATGAGACCAACTACACCACAGAGGCGAATTGCTTGATATTTTTGCGCCAATGCTTTTACTTATGCTCATACTCCGGAAATCCAGAAATGGTAAGTTCGACGAACTACTCCGTAGTAGTAGTGCTGGTGTCAAGTACTAATAGTGAAAAAAAAAAAAAAAAAAAAAAAACATCGCATTAGAACGAATATTCGATTTGAAAGGAGTGATAAAATGATCTGTTATCAATCGAAGTCATTATGTTTCTTTGTCTTCACTTTAGATTATCTGCGGGGAATGAGTACTCGGATAATGGGCAGGGGCACTCAAAGATATATATATTGTCGGCGGGCAAAGGTATTGTCGCGGAGCGCTGGCGAGGCGTTAAACGGGATCAACAGCCAGCAGAATTTTCCGACCAGTTGTCTACACCGTGGACATTTGGTAGTCTATCGCATTCACTGCTCGGAGATCAAAATAAATACTAATCTGCATACCTATTCCATCTACTCCACCACCCCTGCTAATCTGTTGGCCCTGGCTATCGTACCTACCCTGCCAGGGTTGCCAGATCTGTTGAATTAGCTAGACCTGCTCTGCCAGCCCTGTTGAACCTACCAGGTCTATATTTCGCTATAGATTATTTTGTAAAGATTCGAACATAATCTCATGTGAACTCTGCACTGCTTACGTACTCAGGCGCGGAGCGCCTCCCGGGGACCGGCGTAGGTCCCTGGTTGGCTATTCCAACAGGGACGACTAGATAGTCCCATAGCATTATTAACTAGGGACAAATGATAAAGTTATAAACCCCTCAAGCGATCGACACTACCATACACTGGGCGGGTTTGAAATGCGGACAAAGAAAGTGGCCCATACTCCGCGTCTCGGATACAGAGATGTGAGCGGGCAGACAAAGAAAGTGGTCCAGACCCCACGTCATACGTCGCACGGCAGCAGAGATCTGAGCGGGCGGAGCTAAGAGAGTATTATTCCTCTCAACGCGCAAATATATGCTCTTATCTCTCCATACCAAACTCTGGTATATCGCACCAGTCTGTCATATATTATCTATTTCTCGTCAATGCGCAGCTGAATCTACCTGACGCACCGGCCGCCAGAGTGTAAATACAGATCTCTGACCATCTGCCCGCCATGGCCTCGATCCCCGCAGCAGATCTCCAATCCTTCACCGAATACCTCCAAGGCTGTAAGCGGATACTCGCTCTGCTGGGAGCTGGTCTCTCTGCGTCGTCTGGCCTACCGACATTTCGAGGTGCCGGCGGTCTCTGGAGATCACACGACGCTACATCACTGGCCACACCTGGAGCCTTCAATGCAAATCCTGGTCTGGTCTGGCAATTTTACAGTTATCGGCGACACATGGCATTATCGGCCCAGCCGAATCGGGCACATTATGCTCTAGCTGAGCTTGCCAGGAAGAACAATGATTTTATCACACTAAGTCAGAACGTAGACGGTATGATCGCCTCTGAAAATGCGGCATCCGCAGTCGCTAACCATCCCATGAACCAGGTCTTTCCCAACGTGCAAACCACCCGCCAGAGCAGCTACACCTGCTGCACGGCTCCTTATTCGATGTAAAATGCACCTCATTCTACTGCGATTACTCAAGAAAAGACGACTTTACTGACCCAATCGTCCCTGCTCTCGCTATTCCCAAAACAGGCCCGGAGCCAAAGCCCTCCGCCGATGATAAAACCGGAGAAGAGGCCACAAATTCCCTCTATAGTGCAATGGAATCTAGGCTAGCACAGCCCGGGTTTGAACAAGGGGAGTCTGATATATCGGACGCCAGAGTACCTATACCAGAGTTGACACCTGATGATCTACCACACTGCCCCAAGTGTAATACGGGACTGCTTCGCCCGGGAGTAGTATGGTTCGGCGAGTCATTACCATCGCGAACCTTGAATGCTGTTGACAGGTGGATCATATCAGGCCCCATTGATCTGATTCTCGTCATCGGCACAAGTGCCAAAGTCTGGCCTGCTGCAGGATACGTTGACAAAGCTCGTCAAATGGGTGCAAGGGTTGCTGTCATAAACATGGACTCCAATGACGTCCCCGGAGGTCCTAATGGACTGAAGCCAGGAGACTGGTTCTTCCAAGGCGATGCTGGGACTATCGTCCCTGAGATCCTAAAAAGTGTGATTGGAGAGTTATAATCTGATAGCCATTATACTATAATCAACTTAGTTCCCTATTTCCGGGCCGATGTCAGTCGATTAATTGTTCTCCGGAAATATGCCTGCTTGGAGGTATAAGCGTGAGTGATGGGGACGGTTAGCTGGTTACATATATTACTTGGCCCAGATAATATTTTGGATATCTAGCTACAAGCACATAACGAACAATAGCACATGTATCCGATGATGACACGCATTCCTGTTGATTTTCGTAGCGGGACTATGTAATATGTATTGAGTGATAGCGTAACTGGCAAAGCAGGATCACTTACGAGGCAATATGAGATAAATTGAGACCCCCGATCTCACGCAAATGCTAATTGAGAGATTTTAAAACATTTAAGATGCAATACCAGTGCAAGGAACAAAGAATCTAAAATGTAATTATCTACCTAGGTAGTCTAGGTAATGTCGACGCTGCGATAGTCCGCTGGGTTGCAGCCTGAGGCGCTCAATCCGTTGCTGGGGCATCTCACCGCCCACCCCGGAAAGCGGGACAAAACAAAAGAACCGCTATCGATAAACGAAAGTTCAGAAGAACATTTTGGTGGGAAATCTGAGAGACCGCCCTTTCGACTAACGACGTCTAGTCTAGACCGCTATTCCATTGTACAGGTGTACTATCTCAGACAGCTCCATAGGATAAGTTCTGGCACTGAGCCAGGTGAGTCACTTTGTTCCTTTGTACCCCTCCATGTACGCGTTCCCAAGGAGTGGACGTCACCAATATCTTTAATTTCGCTTGCTGATCAGATCAAAAGAATACCAGAACGCTACACTGGAAGCTCCTCATGGGTCGTTCATCTGTACTCTTCTGAGATAGACATTCGTTCTCTTAGAGCTTGTGAAGTCAGATTCGGGGACCTCGAGCACGACATCTGATCTTGGTGCGTCGAGCCGTCACAATCGCCACACCTAACAACAACAACACCTATATCATCCAAAATGGTCAATGAAAGACAACCGCCGCAGGGGCCTGTCTCCCCTCGGAAACCAGTCGAAAAGTCATCTGCTGCGCACCCGGAATTTGGTAAACCGTCGCCTCTCCGCCCGATGAACAGCCAGTCAATGCACCTTTTCAACATACCTAAGCCGAGTCAAGCACGGCCTGAGCATCATAGACCAGCCCAATCCAGTTCACAACCACACCATTCTCAGCATGGTCGTGATGTTAGTCCATCAAAACTGGCAAGGACGCCCGGGCCCCTGGCAACTCCGGTTGCAAAGCGCAGTCATCCTTTCGACCCATTCAAGCCGGTCAGGCCGTCTGAATATAATCACCAAGGAAAGTCATCTCTCGCTGATAATGACGTTTTTGAGATTGCTCGTCCTACGAATCACACGTGGACTACTCCGCGAGCACCCAGGCAGATCTTCTCCTCGAAGCCGAATAAGACGAAAATGACCAGCGCATCGAATAACCTCAAGAACTTCATTGATCTCACGACAAATGAGGTCGGTTTCGCAACCAACAGCAGCCACTACAGGGAAGAAGTCTCGGCGATGGATGCGTACTCCTACGTGGATGCCGCCAAGGCCAACGAGAACATCAAGGCTTTGCTCGAGGGTGCATTTGAGGACGAGGAAGATAAGCCAGAGCGACGGAAAGGCAGGAAGAAATCTGGTAAAAAGAAGAAACAGAAAGCCAAACCGGACAGAAAGCTCGAATCCGACATTGACGATTTGGCTGCTCAGTTGGAGGGAGTCAACGTCAACGATACCAAAGCTGAGACGGAAACGTTAAAGGAGGACAAAGGAAAAGAGGTGACAAATGATAAGAGCGGTACTGATGACGAAGTCAAAAGACCAGAACAAAAAGAGCAGGAGGATCATGAAGAAGAAGAAGAAGGAGAGGAGGAGGGTGAAGACGAGGAAGATGAAGAGGAAGACGACGGCACGATAGAGGGTCTCAAGGTCAAACTTTTGCCTCATCAGATTGATGGTGTTAGATGGATGCGTGATAAGGAAACCGGACAGAAGAAAACCCGAGGTGTCCTCCCTAAAGGTGGTATACTCGCAGATGATATGGGTCTCGGAAAGACAGTACAGGCGATTGCACTGATTCTCACCAACCGCAAAACTTCCCAGAAAGATGAGGAAACTAGGAGAGCGAGCGACGATGACGATGACGATGACGAGGAAGACCAAAAAGAAAAAGCCAAGCTTTCCCGTGTCATTGATAAAGGAACACTTGTTGTTGCTCCTCTGGCCTTGATCAAACAGTGGGAGTCCGAGATTGCAGTCAAAGTTGAAGACTCCCATCGGCTTCGCGTGGGCGTTTATCACGGTGCTGGTCGGAGCAAAATGGCCGATGATCTGAAGAAATACGATGTGGTCATTACCACTTACGGTACCCTTAGCTCAGAACATGCGAGCTCCGGTGAAAGAGCCAAGTCTGGCCTATTTTCAGTTTACTGGTATCGCATCATACTGGACGAAGCGCATACGATCAAGAACCGAAACGCAAAGTCGACACAGGCGGCCTGTGCGTTGAACGCGGAGTATAGATGGTGCCTGACTGGTACACCGTTACAGAATAACCTGGACGAGCTTCAGAGCTTGATCAAGTTCTTGCGAATCAAGCCATACAATGATCTGGCAGCTTGGCGCGAACAGATCACCAAGCCGTTGAACAACGGTAGAGGTGCTCTCGCCATCAAGCGGTTGCAGGTCTACCTCAGGGCTTTCATGAAGCGCCGCACTAAGGATGTCTTGAAGCTGAACGATGATCTCAAACCTGGAGAAGCTGACGAGAATGGCGAGAAGAAAACATCTAATGGCTTCCAAATCACAAAACGAGAGGTTATCAAGGTCGATGCAGAATTCACGCCTGCAGAGATGGAGTTTTACAAACGTCTTGAACAGCGTACCGACCGCAGCCTGGAAAAAATGATGGGGGGCGCGAAGATGGATTATACTGGTGCCTTGGTTCTGCTGCTTCGCCTTCGTCAAGCTTGTAACCATCCAGATCTTGTCAAGAGTGACCTAGCGGACGACAAGGATGTGCTATTGAATAATGTTTCCTCGAAGCAGTCTAAAGCAGCGAAGGAAGATGACCTCGACAGCGTTGCAGACTTGTTTGGTGGTCTCAGCGTCGTGACTAAGAAGTGCGATGTCTGCCAGACGGAGCTGAGCAGAGAAGATGCTAAGGCCGGTGGCAGCAGATGCGCGGAGTGTGAGGCAGAACTAAAGTCTGACGTTATTGCGAAGCCTGAAAAGAAAAAGAAGAAGCACAAGAAGCATCGAAAGGAGAAGAAGCAAGATACATCAGAGTCATATCATAGTCTATCAGAGGCCCAGAAAGCCCGCTCTCGGAGAAATAGGCGTGTCATAACTGATAGCGATGACGAGGATGACGGCGAATGGATCGTTCCTGAAGATCAGCGGGCAGCGCCTGATCTTGGTAAAGCTGGGGGTTCTGATGATGAGGATGCAGAAGGTGGGGGCGAGTGGATCAATGCCGAAGACTCAGAGACGGATGAAGACGAAATCGAGTCCCCTAGTCGCAAAAGGACCGGTGTCATCAGCCTCCCTGACACTGAGGACGAGTCTGACAGCGAAGCTGAAACAGAAAGCGAAGAGGAGCTCGACGATGATGAAGATGACGACGTTCTCGCCTCCACCAAGATCAGATATCTCATGCGGATCCTCAAGCGCGAGTCGCACGACTACAAGTTCATTGTCTTCTCATTTTTCACCTCAATGCTGGATAAGGTCGAGCCTTTCTTGAAACGGGCAGGCATCGGTTTTAGTCGCTACGATGGTGGAATGAGAAATGACATGCGCGAAGCAAGCCTTGAGAAACTGAGGCACAGCCGAGGGACACGTGTATTGCTTTGCAGTCTGCGTGCTGGTGCCCTAGGGCTGAACCTCACTGCTGCAAGCAGAGTAGTCCTCCTCGAGCCATTTTGGAATCCGGTGAGTAACATGTGAACCCATGAGAGATCTATAGAGACAATTTCTGACGCTTCTTTTAACAGTTTGTGGAGGAGCAAGCTATTGACCGAGTCCACCGCCTCAATCAGACCCTTGACGTCAAGATCTACAAGATGACTATTAAGGACACCGTCGAGCAGCGTATCCTGGATCTCCAGGAGCGTAAGCGCGAACTCGCGAATGCTACCATCGAAGGAAAGACGGCCGCTGGTAAGCTTACAATGCGCGACATGATGGCCCTCTTCGGTCGCGATGCCGAGAGGTTCGAAACCGATCCGGGTGCCTTGGAGCTCAACCAGAGAACGAAACTGCTGGCTCCAAGGGACGAGGACGAGGAGAGTGGCAACTACTCCCGTAGCATCTCGCAGTCGTCCAGCTTCTCTGGTCAAGCACGTCGTACAGCTCCGCCGGCTATGGAAAAGGACAGGAAAAAGAAGCCTCCAAGGGCTGAAGATTCAGTCTATGGCCGGCGGTGGTAAAGCTGACGTGTGAAGCACTGGGCTGCCATGCGGTTAAGGTTCTCACATGGGCGTATAACTGGATGGCCTAAGCAATTATGATAGGGTCTTGCACGGTTTTCTGAGCGGACTAATCTATAGTCTCTGATCAATTATTTGTTCTGCTGGGCTACGGTGCGATGGATATCTTGGAATAAGGGTGGATAATGCGGCGTCAGGCGATAGTATGTATTTCGAGGGTTTCCGTACAACTTTACTTTGGCTCTCTCTCTCTCTCTCTCTCTGGCCTGGTGTCATCTATATGGGATATGTGATTGGCCTCTTCTATCTGGCTTCCTGACTTTTGTAAAAGCGGAATATTCTGACCCGACTACAGCGTAGACGCAGCTCCATAGATCGGTCCTAACCCCATCACTTAATGTCGCGTAAAGATGATACGAATGGTAAATAGAAGTCACATGGATAGGCGATGGATCATTCGAAGCATGGCTTCTCGCGTCAAACTCCACTCTAAATACTGCGATCCATCTTATCTCACAATATATTCTTGTAACATAACGACATGACGACATGACACACGGACGAGGTGATAAACTCTACATAGATTTTGATAGAGAGAACTCCATTTTTCCATTTCATTCCTCCATCTTCTTTATACTGCAGCCCCAAGGACCTCTAAGAAGAAGCAGAAAGATAACAGACGAAACAAGAGAAAGGAAAAGAGATGGTAGATACAGTCCTTTATAAGCTAGGAAAGAGAAAAGGAAGGACGATCTTAAACAGTGCACTAACCAACTACTTTACGGAGTAGTTAAGTTAAGAGTTGCTCTCCATCCAAAATCCCTTTTTTTCTCTTTCCCTCATTTTAAATAACTTAACTAAGTTAACTTAGAAGGGCCAGTTTCGACTGACTGGGTCTCTAACTAAGTACTTAGTCTAGTTACTTAGTTAGTTATTTGGTCTAACTAGATATCTAGATCAATTTCTTTGTTTATTAGACGTCGATTTTGCTCTAGTTTCAGATTGTGCTTTGTTTACTTTACTCTCGTCCCTTTTAGGGGAGGTGGGTACTTAGTTAAGTGTCGGCATATGAGAGTGAGAGTCGGTATTTCGAATTTAGGGTTTTCTGGGGGTCTTTTTTTTGCCTCCATTGATATAATGCATGATGATGTCTTGTCGATCTTGGATGGACTTAGTTACTAATATGTATATGTAAGGAGGAGATGAGTTTAGGGCTCTATGTTAGTACGGAATAGGTAGATTTGAGTTATTTTATTGCATTTGTATTTTTTCTTTTTGAAATAGTGAGCTTTTGCTGGTTTGATGCGTTTACGATTATGGTACTTGTCTGTCTGGCTACCTGTCTATCTATCTTCTAGAGTATTTGATTTTGATCGGATCTTGCGTCGGAGGCGTTATTGAATCATCGCTGTGTTTTCCTTACGGAAAAGCTCCGGAATGGATCTCTAATGGAGACAGCATATTCTAATGACGATAATGATGATGATGGAACAGATCCACTTGGGGCACTACCCAGGGGTTGTCGGTTCTTTGTTGAAGCTTCGCGAAAGCTTGTCCCGGGTCGATCATTAAGAGGAGAGGCGAGCTGTTAGCAGGGTTGTCGTTCTGGAAGAAGGTCATATAAAACGGATACTAGCTAGATATGGAAGACTACCTCCTATCGATGGCCTTGGATAGAGTTGATTTCTCTTTTCTTCTCTTTTCTTTTTTCTCAGTAGTAAATAGCTCCCCTGTATCCGCTGTCAAGCAACAATCTATGGAGCCACGATACGTCACAGGTGGATGTTACCGACCAAAAGACATTGCTAGTGAAGTAGTCCTATGGAGCAGTCTGAATAGGATGATAATATGGATAATAAGGTGACCGCCAATTTCAGAGCGAGAGAAACCTTAGAAGTCGTAGTACGAAGTACGGAGTAGAGTAGACTAAAACTAGGCTCGAGTCGACCTGCCAAACTCATAGTAGATGGGCCGGGTTAGTTTAGAGCACTAACGATTCCATCGGTCCAACCCCTGCGTGACACAACTAGTAAGTTGGTTAGATGCATGCAGCGCTGAAAAAAGATGCCACGCAACCGCGCCCCTGCATGGAAGGGGGCCTTTTTCTGGAAGCTGTGGCTGCTGGGCCAAGTGAGCGCTAGGGGGAAATGGAGCTGACTCTGAGTTTCGTATATCGTATCCCGGGTCTTCTCGGGTGCTTAACTATGGACTCGAGTGTGATTATGCTCGCAGGTCTGTGCAAAAGTCCCAGTGATGATCATAAATTGTCTTGTCTTGAGAGTTCATGCGAACGCAACAGGCGTTTGCCAATTTAGAGTAGTAGGATGGATAGGACGAACGCCAACAGCCGTCCGGGGGGCCGAGTTTAATCCTCCCTAGCGGTGGATCCCCGAATCTTGATGCTCTCGAGAGCCTCGATCCAAACGTTAACGGTTGGGAGGAGCATCCTGTCTGGAGCCGCAAACGATATACTAGTCATAGTAATCAAACTATACTAATATGAATCAAACTGTCGTTATCACTTGTGATCATTATAGTTAGTTGCTTCGACGGTCGGCACTAGGTGGCTGGATGGTTGGATATGACAGGTGTTCCGTCAACGCTCGGTTGCTGCTGATCCTGCCCGTTGCGCCAGGTCTCAGGTCGTGTCCGTATTGACGGGCGCCATCGTGAAAAAATCAGAGGACACCCTCAATTTCTCTCAATGGTAGATAGTAATAGCAAGGCAAGAAAGTTTGCTGGGTGCTGCTGCTGTTGACCAGGAGAGTGATCCCTCGACCCGTCACACTAAGAACAAGCATAGCTGTCCAGTCCTTTCAGAAGCTCAGGGTTCTGTGAACCATTCATGCGACAACAATATTATATGGCCCATGTCATATTATTTTAAGCGTCGGCTACGGCGTCAATAAGTCCACTCCCCTTCAGCCAGTTCCCTGGTTCGGTGTTAGGGAACCGTGTATCATCACGAGTATCTTCAGCGTTTCAACTTTCTTTGAACTTCCAGCAGCCAGTGACTGAAAACGTGGCGGCCACGCGCCCGACCGGCGGCTGCTGAAGCATTCCATGCGTGATTGGAGCTGCGGATGCAGATCGACTGCAAAGAGAAAGGACGCCGAGCCGGCCCCAACGCTATCTACCAGGAGGAATGCTCAGGACTCAGGAGAGACGAGCTTCGGTCGCAGCGGTCAGCAGATAAACATCCATTATGGGTGATGGGATGGTTAAGGATTGTATCTATTCTTGTATGTAGGACTTCCCTTTGGCCGCTTGGTAACAGATGTAACCTCGATCGAGTTCTGTCAAGGGGGTCACCCCGTCAGCCGGGAATTATTATTTAGGGGGACAAGCGATGGATTACAGAAACAAGCAGCAATCATGGTCGACGACTCGATGGAGGATCTGCCAGACCAGCGGAGAAGCCTGAATGTTTCTCCAAGTGGTCCCATCACAGTGGTCCTTAGAGTAGATAGTGATGCCCTAGAGTAGAAGAATAATACGAGTAGAGTATTATACCGGTCGGGACAGGCTGCATGCATATATGTACACGAAGGAGGCTCAATCAGCCCATTAGTTATACCTCTAGATACTATCTCGTTAGCATCGATCATCTTCTCCGGGGCTGGGGACGTGGTCAACCTTCTTCTCTCCCCTTCATTCTCCCTCACTAGACACAAGCTCCCTTCCCCTGGTCATCTCGTCTTGTCCCGATTTCGCGATCTATCTATGATGCGCCGCTAGCTGGTGGGCTGTCGGTTCCACTGCTGGTGGTTGTTTAGCCTCGCATCTTTTCCCCCCTCGTGGGTCTAAGCGGCCGCCTGGCGTTCTCCCCGTCCTCCTCTGGCAATGCTCGACACTCAAGGCGCCACTTCGCGCGCGACAAGAGACCATTGAGCCTTCATTCACTGCTGGTTGCCGTCTCCAGGTGCTTTGGTCTCGAGCCCCGTCACGATAGACCGCCTCCCCCGAGAAGTCGTAGGGGAAAGCTAAGATTTCCGACGAGGGTCTCGTGTATGGTCCTCGACGTTTTTGCTGATCTCTCTCCGTCCAGCGCAACGACCGCCGCCGTCGAGCAAGTTATCTGGTCTACGTAGGACAGGTCTCCTTCGACTCTGACTGGACCGCATAGCAGCAAGTCGACAGGTTCTGTTCTCCTGTGTGACTGACGGGAGACAACGCCCGCTCCCGCTCCCGCTGCGATAACTGCACCTCCGCGCAACACTTCGCTGGCCCTTAGTGCTCCTGACAACGCCCATTGCGCGTGTCCAAGCTGCCGGAGATATTGTCATCGTCAGTGGAGTTCCACATCGAGTTGTACTAGGCGTGCCCCGAGCGAAGTACGGGGTAAGTTCCGAGCATTATTCTTTGTCTCTTCGTCCATCTGGACTCCTGGGGCTGTCCGGGAAGTCAACCGTGACTTTTTCCATTCAATACGGCCGTTGAGCAGCCCAGGTCTCTCATGGAACCCGTTTCTTCGTGCTGACCGGCCTAGCCTTACAGGGATTATCCCCAAACTCGAATTGCTCAACCTTCTGGTCCTCGACCCAGCTTCCCTCTCAGCCGAGAACAAGCCATCCCATCCGACACGTCGCCCACCGACCTCTGACAACCCCCCTCCGTCCGGCGGCTGCGATCCTTTGCCAGCCGTTGCAGGTTTGCCTCTGTCATAGTCGGATACTTCCTAGCCGTCCGGGAATGCCGACAAGAGGAGACAATTGTTGAATGAGCGCCTGGTCCATCCGAGGTACAGGTCGAGATGGGTAACTCTCAGGGAAAGCCGGTGGTTTTCACCGATGAAGGTTCGTGTTTGCGGTCCACTGGCTCTGTGGGATGCCTCATCGAGGGCATGCTTCCATTGGGGAATAATTGTTATGTTTGGGCAGGTGGACTGACATTGGCTTCCTTCCAGTGAACCTGAACCATTTTCGCCTCCTGCGGGTCGTTGGTAAGGGAGCATTTGGCAAGGTCCGTATCGTGGAACGGAAAGATACTGGCTTGACCTTTGCCTTGAAATATATTCGGAAAGAAGAGGGTATGTTGGAACAAAAAGAGCTCATGGATGGGAAGAACTACCGGCTGACTGTCCTAACTCGACAGTGGTTCGATCAGAGAGCGTACGGAATATTATCCGGGAAAGGAGGATGCTGGAGCATCTGAACCACCCATTCCTATGCAACTTGAGATACAGTTTCCAGGACATTGAATATATGTACGTCCCGCTACACCTTAGCAGTCCCTCTCAGCTGCCTCCCAGAACTAACTGTCGCGAAGTTACATTGTGGTGGATCTCATGAATGGTGGTGATCTCCGGTTCCATATCTCCAGGAAGTCTTTTACGGAGGAAGCAGTGCGATTTTGGATGGCAGAGCTAGGATGCGCATTGAGATACATCCACGGACAGGGCATTGTGCACAGAGATGTGAAGCCCGATAACGTGCTGCTCGACTCCGAAGGCCATGTGCATTTGGCTGATTTTGTAAGTCCTTACGAGTCCACGAAACACGATCATCTCTAACAAGTTCCATCTGATCTAGAACGTGGCTTCTGATTTCAAGCCCTCAAAACCCCTCACGAGCAAGTCCGGAACTCTAGCATACCTGGCTCCAGAAGTCTATGAAGGCAACGGATACCTCTGCGAGGTAGATTGGTGGTCGCTGGGTGTTACGTTCTATGAGTGCATATACAACAAGGTCCGTGTCCAAACTGCTTCTGTTCCGGCGACTATACAGCTAACACGCAGCACAGAGACCTTTCGACGGCCGTTCGCAGGAGAGCTTAAGCGAAAACGTTATCCGGGCCCAGCCGAAATACTATGTCACCAACCCAGCCGTTTCTGTTCCGTGTCTGCGAGCTATGGCTGCATTAATGGAAAAGGATCGGTCAAAGAGAATTGGTGCTGCCGGATTTGAAACCTTCACGTCTCATCCCTTCTTTGCTGAGCTCGACTTTGAAGAGCTGGAAAGGAAACAGATACCTCCTATCTTCACACCGTCGAGTGAGAAGACGAACTTTGATGCAACGTATGATCTGGAGGAACTGTTGTTGGAAGAAGCTCCTTTGGAAGCTAGGGCACGGCGGCAGAAGCCTCGAGCGGAATTGAGGGAGGATGCCACCGCGAAGGAAATCCGCGAAGATGAACTTCATCGCATGATCGAAACGATGTTTGAACCTTTTGACTACACAACTGTCCATTACCAAGGGTACGTTTTCCATATAAATGCGGGAAATGTATCTTTTCTGACTCAATTGATCCTAGAAACGCCGCAGCTGCACTCGCCGCGACGATGTAAGTACCTGCTAGAAGTTTCGTTCGAGAGAAGAGACCTGACTTTTCTACAGGAATCCCGAAGAGGCCGCGACCCAGGGCGGCTCTACCCATTCAAGACAGCTTTCTGACCGAGATTCTGGAAGAGGCTCCCCTGGTCCTCGGACAGAGGGATCCATGAGCCGATCAAATCCAGCCGACAACATTTCGCCGCTTGGAGAAGCACTCAGCCAGAGTAGGACGACGCCCGAACCGTCTCCATCCTCTCCTCCGGACCGACAACCCCCTCCACCACCCCCTGTCACATCATTCTCTCGACCTCTGCCTCGCCAGAAGGGGTCAACGCGTAAACCGAGCAAGGGTGGTGGCGTCCAAATGGTCCTGGATGAAACCGCTCCTTGGAGTGAACTAGCTGACCAGAGTTCCACTTTGCCTGCTGAGGGATATGAGAGTCTTGGTGGGAAGGGCAAGGCTGGCAGCGGTGGCATGCTCTCGTTCCTGAGCCGCAAGAAAGGCCGAGACCGCAGTCCCAAACCGCAGGAACCTGGTGTGCTCGGCAAGGAGGGAGCACGACAGATCATTAGCTGAACAGGTGTCAGTGGAACCGCACGGAATTGGCTATGCTGGTATCCCCTATTTTCTGGCGTCATTTTGTGCTGGGTTGGAGACGCCAATCTGCATGATCCCTTTGCATGACGAGTCGGCAACGTGGCTCCCCAGAAACTTTATACGCGATGGCTGAAGACTTTCCCACCGAGGGCACCGGAGTTTGCAATCAGTGGTCACCTGCGTATCGCCTGAGATGGAAACCACCACACTAGAGCAGTATACCGTGAGCAAAAGCCTGTTCTTCTTACAGGGTGGAACTTATTGACAGATCATCCACCCGAAAAGAAGAACAGAATTGTTTGGCCTTCCATGAAGACCTTTTTATCAGGCATCCTCACCCGGCCTGATTTGTATCCGACGTGACTCTCGACAATGTCGATTGATACCGTGTTTATTTTTTTCGCGTCTCGTTCCCAGTACCCCCTGACGTTTGCATCTCCCAGTGAGCATGGCGGCTATGATTTGTGGACTCCCTGTCGTTGCTCTACAGACTTTAATTTGACGCTGTATTTGCAGCCCCCCCTTTCTGCGTGTTCTTCAAACTATTTCTCTTTTTGTTTCGGAGTTGTGCAGACGGTGAGTGAGCCGGCTGACCGGCCTAGCTACGAATCCATACAAGTTGGGAGTTGGCGTGATACTCGGATATCCACGCTGATGTACTCTATGCAATTTCTCGTTTTCTCATTTTCTTCGGGCGTTTGGAAACTTGCATGACCAGCGACGGGGATCGGTCTGTCTCGTACATACATGATTTTGAATTTGTGGGCAATGTCCCTGATTTTGCACATCCGAGCACGATACCAGCCCTTTTTCTTCTTGTCTTGATACAATACACGCGCCCCGTCTGTAATTATCTGAACGAATTTCCGACATAGATTTCTGTTAATGGTCACATTCCAGAACTGACAGCGGTCAAAGATCGCCATGCACCGTTTTGTGCCCAAGCACGTAGAGTAGTTAGTTACTAGTAGCATTCCTGGATCCTTTCCAGAGCTCGACGATCATTCCTTCCCCAGATCTATCTATATCCGGAGAATATAGAAGTAGGAAAATCAGCCAGCTACTCTGTGCTTGGTCCATGACGCGAAAACACTAGGTATAGGAACAATGTCTACTCTAACAAAAGTGAATACTATAGATAGAAACCCGCACGAGAGCCCTACGACCCTCGTTGCTTCGGGCAACCATCGACTGTTAAATCCGTCTCCCCGCTTTCGCAGCTCAAGCGGCTTGGCAGGACCATCTGACCTCGTGAAGCTCGAAGAAGCACTTGGAAGTCTTGGTGATCGGTTTCTGATCAGAAAAAGGGAGAAATCGACGTATAGTCCTCTCGAGGAGCACTTCTGGCTTTCCTATCATCGATTGAACGGGGGAGCTGTGGCGTGCGTGCGCGTGTTGACATCGAATCCTCGTTCTTTGTTTACATCCGATCCTGTTTCGGATTGATACGAAAACCAGCAAGCCAAGAGGATAATTAACTAGATAAGTAATACCTGTCCAACTTAGCCTCTTGTTTGCTTGGCTTTTTCTTTTTTTGCAGGGGATTTATTTCTCTTTTCTCGAGGAGTGACTTCTTTTCTTGCCTTTACCTATTATTATTATCTTTCTTTATAAGTAATGATAGTAACGATCATGATCATGACGATGGTGGATGTTTGACGGCGAGGATGATGATCGCGATGCATTCTTGATTTCGGATTTACGCTCCTTGTTTGATTCAATTCGAAGAAGCATCAGGGTGTTCAGTTCTAATCTCGACATTGACGGTATTCTTTCTCCCTTTTAACGACTACACTTCTTGCTGCGGGGACGATCTGCAACATTGCGAGTGCCTTTCTTTTTTGTTCTAGTTTGAACAACGAACCGTCGACATAAATACCACATGCCGAGCCAGGCACGCAGTCGTGATCGCTATCGCAGCGATCGCGATCGCGATCGTTCGTATCGCAGATACCGCAACGATGATGACGATGAATTCGTCTACGACGAGAGCCCTGATGAAAGGAGGCATCGCGCCCCTCGCCATGTGCGCGGCGAGTCGCGAGACTACGGCTCCCAGGATCAAGATGTCGATGATGAGAGGGGATATGAGGAGGATCCGATGATGGTTGATTCGCGAAGGAGACTTGCAGAACCGGCGCCTATTCGGTCCAGTCCTCGTCATGAGAGGGCTGGAGAGAGTAGTAGGAGGAGAGAGAGGTCAAAGGCGAAGGAGTCACCGGCTACGTCGCCTATAAAGAAGAGAGATCGCGAACGGGATCGCGAGGGCCATCGAAGACGGGAGAGGGCACTGGATTATGATGGGAGTCCGACCAGAGGGGCCAGAGTCAGAGAGAGAAGACATCGTGATTTGGATATGCAGGATGATTTTGATAGAGATAGGGAACTGGAGAGGGAGCTGCGCAGGCAGAGACGGAGAGAAAGAGACCGTGAGAGAGAGCGAGAGCGATATGAGCGCGAGGTGGTTGCTGCGAAGCATACCAGCGCTGATTCGGCAAATAGCTCGTCTCAGCTCCTGAGCAGTGACGCATTGTCCAAAATTGATACGCAGTACGAGAGGAACGAGATACTGGAGAGGGAGTTAATGCGAAAGGAAGAGAAGAAGCAGCGGCGAAGAGAGAGAGATCGCGGCTTTATATCTGCGGAGGATACACCACCACGGAGGAGCAGAAAATCAAGAATCGTTTCAGGGGCTATAATGGAGGAGGGCAGGAGTCCCCATTCCAAGCTGAAAGGAAGAGGTGGTGGTGGCCCGGAATTCGAGGAGCGATGGCGAAAAGAGGGTGGAGACGAATATATGGAACAGCAGAAGGCCAAAAAGAAAAAGAAGTGGATATGGATTGCCATTGGAGTTGTCATTCTCTTGCTCATTATCATCATCCCAACGGCCGTTGTTGTCTCGAAGAAAAAGAGCAATGATTCAAGTGACTCCAGCTCTTCCAGCGGGGATTCGAATTCGAACCTCAAAGGCATTAGTCCGGATAGTATTCCGGTAAGTTCATTCTTTGCTTGTTCTTCGGGAATATAATCATAGGTAATTCAGTGTGGTCTTTGCTAATCTACACTAGGCGTCTGCGAAGGGGACTGTTTTGGACCCTTTCACTTGGTACACTACGACAGACTTCAATGTCACTTACACAAATGAGACCGTTGGTGGACTCCCGATCATGGGTCTGAATTCTACATGGGACGATTCTGCTCGTCCAAATCCTAATGTTCCCCCTCTGAACCAGAACTTCACGTATGGGAAGACGCCTATTCGTGGAGTCAACCTGGGCGGCTGGCTATCCATCGAGCCTTTCATCACGCCTTCTCTGTTCGACTCCTACTCGTCTCAGGCCGGTGTTATAGACGAGTATACACTATCACAGAAACTGGGACAGTCGGCTGCATCGACGATCGAGAAACATTATGCTACGTTCATCACCGAGCAAGACTTCCAACAAATCGCACAGGCCGGTCTCGACCATGTCAGGATTCAGTACTCGTACTGGGCCGTCACCACCTACGACGGAGATCCGTATGTTCCCAAGATTGCCTGGCGATACCTTCTCCGGGCAATCGAGTATTGTAGAAAATACGGACTGCGAGTCAACCTGGATCTCCACGGTATTCCTGGAAGCCAGAACGGATGGAATCACAGCGGTCGTCAAGGCACTGTTGGGTGGTTGAACGGAACCGACGGTGACTTGAACCGGCAACGTTCCATTGATATCCACAACCAGCTCTCGCAATTCTTCGCCCAGCCTCGGTACAAGAACGTCGTCACGATCTATGGTCTTGTTAACGAACCAAAGATGCTTAGTCTGCCAATTGAGTCGGTTCTCAACTGGACGACGCAGGTGACCGAGCTGGTCCAGAAGAACGGGATCACCGCCTGGATTGCTTTTGGAGATGGATTCTTGAACCTAGCTAAATGGCATTCGATGCTGAAGGATGGGCCTTCGAACATGTTGTTGGATACGCACCAGTACACGATCTTCAACACAGGCGAGATTGGCATGAACCACACGGCCAAGATCAATTTGATCTGTACGGATTGGGTCGGTATGATTGGGCAGGTAGACAGCACGAGCGCGGGGTAAGTCATTATTTCTCGAATACAACTATGAAACAAGAACTGGCAACTGACATCTCCCCCCTCTCTCTCTCTACAGCTGGGGTCCGACCATTTGCGGCGAATGGTCCCAATCCGACACCGACTGCGCCCAATTCCTCAACAATGTCGGCTGGGGAACGCGCTGGACCGGCACCTACGACACAGGCGATTCCGACACGTCCGTCACGACCCCTCTATGTCCTACATCACCAAACTGCGAGTGCAGCGCCGCCAACGCCGACCCAACCACCTACTCTGACGATTACAAGAAATGGCTCCTGACCTACGCGGAGGCACAGATGTTCGCATACGAAAAGGCCCACGGCTGGTTCTACTGGACGTGGAAGACAGAGTCTGCCGCGCAGTGGAGTTATCAAACAGCATGGCAGAATGGTTTCATGCCTAAATTGGCGTATCAGCCGGATTTTACCTGTGGGGAGATTCCGTCTTTTGGTAGTTTACCGGAGAATTATTGATTTTGGATATATCCATTTTGCGCTTCCTTTCCTTGTTTTCTTGGCAATTTCTTTTTTTGGGGGAACATACGTCAATACCTACCTAAGATATGAGTGCAGTTTTGGGGTTTTGTTGTTTGTTTGTATTATATTTGTGAGCGGATTGGTAATTCTGGTCCTATTTGAACTGCACGTCGAGACGTCGAGAGTATGTATGCATGTTAGGTAGACGAGTACATAATGAATCATAGATAATGTCAAAGCTATCGGGTATTAAGAATGATGACTGGACTTTTGATCTGTTCTGTGGGGGTTTATTTTTGATTTCTCATTTCATTTCTTGTAGGGATAGAAAATAAATTGCCGCTTAATGGATTCCAATAGTAGAATAGTTATAATGTTTTCCTGTTAAATCCATAGCATGATATCGTTTCACGACTCGAAGGACCAATATAAAAAAAGACATTCATCATGACTAAAGAAGGTAAAGAGATAGTTAACCAGCTAGCTAGCTCGCTAGAGAGGGAGGGACTTGGTCAGATTCTCATCATCTCATAGGTTAAATGAGAATAGAGAGAGAAATCATAAAGGGCCAGGAACCCATCCCTGCTGAATTCGTTGCTTTATGATATGATATGATAATGGTGCGTAGTTATCTTGACTTAAAGGTAAAAAAAGAAAAGCAGTCGAAGTATTCGATGTTTGGAACACCCAGAGAAAGAGAAACGTATACGTTCAATGATAGCGTAGGATATACAAATCTACCTGGTGTACGGTACACTTAGGGTAAGGGGTTAGATCTGAGACAGGCTGAGAGGGGAGTATGATGGACTTACCTTCAGGTATGAAAGGGGGTGCTTTTTTTTCATATACGTTTCAACCATCGTAAGGCGACATAGACGGCTGACATGGTGGCGTAGGTTGCTCCTCCCGCTGTCACCCAGACGGGGCGATGAATTGCCAGCGAGGTTCGAAGTATTTGGCCTTCTTTCTTGGCTTTGTCTGTTGTTCATGATGAGGTTTGTGTGATTAGTATGACTTGTCACTCAAGTGAAGAGGGTCAGATAGAATGAGATGGATGAAGATGAGGATAGAGGAGGGAAAGGAGGGGCTGGAGATGAGATGCCATTGTACTACATACCTGTGCCGAAGAGCCTGCTTCTCAGAGTGCCGGCACCCTGCCTCGAACGGGTGGGGATAGTGAGGAGCTTCTCGAAGAGTTGAGGTGCAGCGGACATGATTGATGAAGATATTCAGTTATCTGTGATGAATCTGTTCAGATGCCCCCTCTGGGCTGTGTTTGGTGTGTGTGTCTCTTGATGGCAGATATGTAGACTGGGCATGACAGTCCTAGTGCTAAGAGTGATTAGGGGGGAGGCAGCCAGAAACCCTTATATCGCTCCCACCTGCACAGCAGGGAGGACAGCAGCATTAACCCCGGATCACCGTCTCGTGGATATCATTCATTGGCATGCGGGGTATATCACAAGAACGAAACCGTGGATGGCATCCTGACTGGAAGAGATGCGGCGAATCCCTGCTACAGTGGCAGTCGGAGGAAGCAGACGAGTCACGACCATTTCCTTCGAGTTCGTCTTACCCGGTTTGTTAAAGCGCAGGAATGATGTCTGGGAGCGTTACCTCCAGCATATGGCACGGAAGCATATATGTGTATGGCATTTCTGGTCAACTGCATGGCTTATTCGTTCCACGGCAGGACGATGGCTGAGCGAAGTGCCAATCATCGATGCGTCTTAAGAAGCCAGGATGGCTGGCCCTGGAGAGATGACAGCGGGTAGAGGGCGATTTGACGCAGCTTGAGACTTACCCCAGACAGATCCCATGGTTCTTTTGGATATGTATCGCGTGCAGAGTGCGACAGTCTCCCAATGGGGGGCAGACGGGTTTCTAAGCTGTCCGAGGTGAACCAGGATGCCATTGGACTAAATACCACCCAGCCAGCCTGTCCTCTGTTGCGATCGAATAGGAATTGGATTCTAGAGAAATGTGTGCCGCCTCTCGCGTTGTGTACCGATCGACCCCATGGGGTTACAAGGGATATGCCCTCTCGTGTTGCCTCGTGTGTATATTGGTCCATGACGTCTGACGGGAGAAGAAGAGAAGTTCCAGGAAGGGCTGAACAGCAGCATTTATCCGGGGGACTCCTGGCTCAAGTATATGATTGATTAAGTGCCCAGGTGGCTCCATACTCTGTTTTTCATGAGTAAGTCATCGATATCAATCTATGAGTAGACTGGGATCGAGGTCGGATTTGTGTGGAGAGACATGAATTGCTTCGTTTGACAGCGCAGAGCGAAGGGGAATTCCATGGGGACTGTCTCTGGAATTGGCGTCAATATAGTTGTAATTCCCACTGAGAATTGAGCATGACCTCTGTGTAGGGAGGATGATATCGACTGTAATGTTCATGATGGTCGACACTGGCGATGCTGATGTTTGGTGGGGCTGGTACTTACTTAAGTATGTATGTACTTGGCCTAAAAGTAAAGTTAACTAATTACTTACCATCTCCACTCTCTTCTTCTGCTAGTTATATACTGAGAAGAAGCAATAATCAGAACCATCTGGTCTCTCAGGTTTGCATTTGAAAGAGCAGCTAGACGACCACTGCTTGCATTCCGCCCATGCACCAGGGTCATAAGCAGCACTGTATTGATCCGTCCTCTGGATATATCCATTGCTTCTGGATCGAAACACGCGACAGCTATCGCCAGCTCATGCGCCACTTAACTAACTCCATACTCTGACAAACCACCGGCCTGAGAGTAACTACCATAGCCATTCTTAAAAAAACACCTACATAACACCACAACACCCCGCCACCGTAACCTCCACGCCAGGCGCAGTTCGATCAGCGTTCTTCCCAATCTTCACGCCTGCACGTTCGCTTTTCACCATCTGTATCATGTTGCTGTCACACTCCCCCTTCAAGTCGCACAGAGGACAGGTCTTGGACTTAGCTTTCCTAGTACCCGTCCAGCTCGATGTGATTGCTCCATTTCCTTTGAGGACTGGACAGGAGTCGAAGCCGCGGGATTCTTCGCAGGGCTTGGAAATGGTGAGCCAGCGATGCGGACATGTAGGAGAACTGAGAGCTGTGACTCGGCACATTTTATGACTGTAGAATGGAGATAGAGATACATGTGAATCTTTTCCTTTCTTTCTTTTTTCCTTTCTTCTTCTTATATAGCATTTTTATATATACACATTGTCAAGTTTATAATGAGAGAATGAGTCAGGTGCAAAATGCATGACAAGACAGCAGTCCGCGAGTCATCAACCAGCGTATCTAAGATTGATTGCCCTATTCACCTCAAATCAAAACAGAATCAGAACCTAACCGCTGGAGTTATTTGACAAATCTCAACATCATTAGCCTGGAAACCATAATTCGTATCTCGAAGGCGGGTACTTAGGTATTTAGGCAGCGGCGGCAGAATCCGAGGCATTGAAAGCTGACACCCGATAAGAACAACCCCCGCCATTCCATTTTGTTAAGGATCTTTAGCCATCAAACCATTTTCTCTCAAGAACCGTTACTATGCACAGTTGCATCCACCTTAGCGAATGATATGATACCCGAGCATCGTGTTTTCACCTTTGGGAAGTAGACATCATGGAGAGCCCGGTCCGCGTTTACATGGGGAAAGCGACGCGGCTCGGCGCATCAACATCAGTTCAAGAAGCAATTACGAGGATAAAGTCTTTAATAGATGATGGCGAGCCCTTATTCACAAAGAAAGAACTCCATGCGGTCAGGGAGCAGCTGAGAAAAGTCCAGGGTAAGGAGGATGGCCAGAAGATATTCGTGAAAGGATTAGACGGTGTCGCGGTCGAATTTGCTATAGAGACTGGGAATACGCATAGATCACCCCTGCCTGGTTATGAATTTATTGTGTAGGTGGACATGACGTTCATCTAATTTCGTGTCTTTTCTTTGAATATCGTGAAAGTAGAATGGACCAAGTACTTAATCTTCAGTGAAGCCAGAAGCCATGTATTGAATACGTGCCCATGCAGGACCTTATATCTTCGCTCTGGAATCGTAACCCTGACGTGGCATATTGCAACTTACGGATTTATCATTATCGCGTCCTACGGAACATATCCACAAAACAGTTATGTGACACTCAAGCTATGATGTCGAAGAATGAAACGGAGATATTCTTTCAAACTCATTCACAGGTTTGGAGGGCTAGCGAACCATGCAAACAGCTGAGATCGACTCTCTTGTCAAAAGGATGTGTCACTAATATTCGCAAAGTTGTTGGGTTCGCACTTGGGTCGATTGCTTCTAATGATCGGCCTGATCTCTTTACTTCTCCCTCAACTGCATCAGCATTCCAGCACTCACTCATCTTGACGTTACGCGATGTATTGTGCGAGAGAGAAGGAGAGCGACGCGAAGATATTCTGTGCTATGTACAAGACCCTATGTACACCGATATCGACAAGTCGATTCTAGAGTCCTCTGGAATTGATATCCTCGACGACCCAGAGGCTTTCCTCCAGGTCGACGATGCAGCAATTGTGGTTTCATGTGCGCCAAATGTCCCTGTCAAGCAAATTGTTTCGGATCTGGCTCGACCTGTAGTTATGATATGGGATAGGATCGGAGACCGAGAAGAGGACCCTCCCGGGTGAGTTATTTATAGAAGAATTGATTAATATGATGCTCATTATGCCTAGCACTGACCCGGACTCTTCGCGCTTGAGGGATCTCATCCGAAACCATTACGAGGAGATCGAGTTCCTGGGGGATGGGCAAAACTTTAGAGACCTTGCTGTGTATATCTACCGCTCTGATGTATCCTCAACAGGCCGATAATAATTTTCTATCATATTTTTTCTTCCATGCATAGATACACTATTGATTTGCGAGGGGATGTTACCTATCTCAGGGACCTAATATGCTCATTAACAATAAACAAGATCTGGGAAGTTCATCATAGCATCTTCTTTTCTTTTGTATTCTTGGGGCGGGCCCCAAAAGCATATAGGCACATATAGGGTTATTGCACAAGAGGAAACTATTGGATCAGATCGCTATTTAGCTTCTAGTCGATATAGAAACTCCATTTTTGCTCTTTGTGCTGTTATTCATTGTTCCACATAGAAAAGAAACTGTAGAATCCTAGGAGTCAGAGGGAATCTTGATATCTGTACCTGTATTTGGAAGTAAGATATGCGGATACACTATCCATTCCGAGTAGAAATGGAGTGGAGAAGCTGAAAACAATAGATTCTGACTCAGGAGATTCACAACTATTAAACATGCACAGACGGAGTTGTTTTATGTAAGTAGAAAGAACTCATCTAATACAGAGATTGTGCGTTGTAGAACGGATAGAACGAAGTTGCGACAGAATGGCTGTGTCGAGCCCAGAGCCAATCATAGACCATGTCGCCTTGCCCGTCTGCGCGACCACAAGCCAAATCCAGGCACCAGTCCTAGAAGCTCATCTCCTCCAACTTGCAAAATATCAAGAGCAAAGATTAGAAACCATCCACTTGATGGATACTGCAAAGCCTCCTATACCTATGCTTCCACAAAATGACGTTCCGCTGGCACGAGTCTGGCTGCAGGCGACCAGAGGTCTCTACACTCAGTGGCACACCATGTTGCCATTACTGTTTCGCTCTCCCATCGCTGGAGGACGCTGGGAATAATCCTGACATTCCCATTGCACAGCCTCCTCAACTTGGGAACCGAGCTCAGATGGGCCTTGCATGGCCATCTGTGGTCAATTACACCAATGAAACTATGTCCTCTGATGGCGAAGCCTCCTGCTATCAGCAGTCTCGGATATCAGATGAAGAGGGTCCAGGAAAGAACAACGGACAAGATCAGGGTAGCTTTCCAGCATTGAAATCCCCGACACGGACTTCCCCAGAGACTTTGTCCCATGGCGATATTCGTCTTCTTCGATTGAGACCTGCTCCGGCTGATGACCCAATCCATGCCAATATCGAGATAGTACACCTCCAAGATCCTTTACTTCCAAGATATGAGGCCTTATCATACACTTGGTCTGACGATTCTGGTGATTCTGACCGATCGTGTCCAGTATTCCTTGGTGTATACTGGGATATCGCATATGTTACACATAATTGTGAGCGAGCACTTCGAGCTATCAGAGATCACAAGGTCGACAGGTTGATTTGGGTTGACTCCCTGTGCATCAACCAGTCATGTTTAGACGAAAAAAGCCAACAAGTTGGCCTGATGCGTGAGGTTTTCTCGAAGGCATCCAAGGTGATAGCCTATCTTGGTGGCGAGTCTCCTGAGAGCAGCACGGCTCTTCGTTTTCTCCGGGAGACTTCAATAGCCGGACCAATAACTTCCGAAATTACTACGGTTATCGATCGAGATCTCCGAAAGTGTCTCCGTGTTCTATTTCAGAGACCTTACTTCACGAGACTGTGGGCTGTCCAAGAAATCCTTTTAGCCAAGGACCTCGAAATAGTCTCTGGGAGACACTCAGCGTCTTGGCCAAAATGGATTTCCAAATTGGTCGATCCCAGTCTTCAAGTGCCGCCCTGGCTCTTTCGAGATCAGTCATGGTACGGCTTCACCGGTCAAGATCTGCTACACATACTGCTAAAAACGTCACCGTATGAATGCTCAGATCCTCGAGACAGGGTCTTTGCAGTCCTCGGCCTAATCTACAAAAATGACATAACTGCCGACTACAGACTACCTGTCGAAAGCATATACACAGGAATAACTGCGTATATTATTAAGAACTGCACGATGATGGATGTTCTTTCACTAACTGGGACGAACAAGAGAACATTCAATACGCCGTCATGGGTCCCTGATTGGTCTCAAAAATCAGTGCGTGTCTTTCCAAACAACCTCCTTGGCCCGGAAGGAGAGTTTCTGGCTGAGGACGGCATCCTGCAGCTCTCAACACGGGTGACGTTCCATGGAATTGTGGACTGTAACCAGGAAACGCAGATTAGTGCTGATACGGGGTCTATGCGAATTTGCGCCGTGAAACTCTGCGATATTACTGGAATGGTATGTAACCGTAAGGACTATACCTATATCGTAATGCAAATCGGACAGCGAGGGACTTTCATTATCACTCTTCCTGGTCCGAGATACGAAATCAGCACCGATGCTGTGTTCCTGCTCAGTGGATGGGATCATCCTGTAATTCTCAGATATCACGGGGATTCAGACACTTACTCGCTGGTATCACCATGTATTCTTTCCTTTGGACCTCCTCCCTCACGGACTTGGTTCAGTCCCTGGGAGCCGAAGACGAGTTATTCTCGACAAGATGGAATACAAGTGTCAGCATTTGTCCCAGAGGAACACGATCTGCTTCTGGAATTTCATTCAAGGTTACAAGAGATATGCAGCATCCCTACATCTTTGACATCTCAACAAGATACGAGCCCATGTCTCTCCACCATCACAAATAGCACGCTGAGCTTTTTTCTGTTATCATTGACATCTCTTCGGGATATTGAAACCCGCCTAAGAAAAGCATGGGATCAGTCAAACCGCAGGATGAGATGGATGTTCCATGATCAGGCCGCCATCTGGAAACTAATGCAGGAGATGAGCAGAGGACATGTCGACCGACTATCCGGTGAGGGCGAAATACGATTAGAGAAGTCCGAGTCAATATGTCTCGCCAAGTACTGCAGTTTCGAATTTCCAACCACTTACCAATGGGACCTGCGTCGATTTTGTTGGTCATTTTTGCGACCACCTGTCCCTGACTTAGCCGCTACTGAGCATGGTTGGTCCCCTGTCTTTGACGAGTTAAGCTCCCAGCTTCGTGAAATCCGCATCTGGACTAAAGCGACGGAACAATTACTCCAAGTATTTGAATTTACACAGAGAGTCCTGAGCGACGACTGGATCGTGTATCCAGGGAACGGATTACGACGAAAATGGTTCGATAATTATCAGAATTTCCAGCATGCCATGGGAGGGGCTATGCAGTCACAAGCACAGCCAACGGTACACATTGATGCATCCTGTCTCTGGGACTGGGAAGAGTTCGAAACCCATTTGAGAGCAAGGGAACGGCTGTGGGACCAGGAAGTTCCTCGTGAACTAGACCCTTCTATGAACAGCAACGTTGCGGCCATTATAGGGCTAAAGTCTTTGGGACTGGATTTCTATACCAAACGGACTGTTCGGATCAGATAATCAGTATTGATTGATTGAATAATAACTTGCCCCGCGTTTTAAGCTTCCAAATCCAAATCTGATATTAAGTATACCTATATTTCTAGCATACTTACCTAGGTACCTAGGTAGGTAGTTCTAAGCAGTAGCGCCTTTTTTACAGCTTTAGCTTTAGCACGGGCCGCCGTAGGAATCGTTATAACTAACTAATATGACTAAGTAAGCGAATCCTGTCTGATCTGGAGATTACAATTAGTTAGTTATAGGGCGTGATAAGCCTATATTCTTCCTCATTCCTTGATTCTAACCATAATTCCTATTCCGATTTACATTTCTTGCACATCTGAATCCCATCCCCCAAAGAACTCATATCACAACCATCACCATGCCAGGCTCAATCATGGAAAACACCGACGCGCCAATCGCTCCGCCCACCACACACATCCAGAATGCCCCGCGCCTACAACCCCGCCACGCGACACTGAACAAGAACAACCAAAACACCCCCATCACATTGTATCCGATCTCCAGCGGTGCAAGCAGTCTCCCTGAGGGTCTAGTCGAGTTCCTATGGCGGGAATTCAATGCGGAGATCGAGCGGGGATCTACGTATCCGATGGATAGGACGTTCTCGCTAGAGAAATTTGCGGAGTATTGGTTTGGGACGTTTGCGGTTGTAGTGCTGATGGGTGAAGAGGAGGAGATTAAGGATGACGGGAGGGATTGGGAGAGGGAGTGTTTGGGGACGTTTTATATTAAACCGAATTATCCTGGTGGGTTTTTTATCTACTCTTATCTGATTTGACTGTTTTGTGCTTTTGGGATTCTGTTAGATGATAGGGTTTGATTAGAATGGGGTTAGGATCGGAGAGTCATGGACTAATGAATATGCAATGGTTTATTATTTAGGTCGTTGTTCACATGTTTGCAATGGCGGGTTCATCACCACGACTGCTGCACGGGGTAAAGGCGTAGGTTCTGTGATGGGAGAGACGTATTTGGAATATGCACCGAAGTTGGTAAGTAGGGAATGAATCAGTCCTGATGATGCGATTTTATAGATTTCTTCCTTCCCATTTTGCGGTGTGTAGAGAGAAGAAACCTAGTCTAAGTAGAAACTAGGGCTATCGATACTCCGTCTTCAATCTCGTCTTCGCCAATAATCCCGCTTCTATCAGGATCTGGGAGAAGCTGGGCTTCAATGTCATCGGTCGTGTACCTGGTGCTGCGCAGTTGGCCAACAGTGAGGAACCGGTAGATGCGCTGATTTTCGGGCGGGATTTAGTATGATGCATGTATATATTTAGTCTAGACAACTCTTTTGCAATGTTTGCCCGGTGTTGATGGGTAGGGTACTGCGACGACCTTGAGCTTTCAGTCATAGTACAGTACATATGTACTGTATCTTCGGGTTACGTTTGGATATAGTTGGAAGAGGTATACCATGTGGAGTTATCCAGCATAAACATCGGGTATCGATTAGTATTTGCATCTGGGCTGGGTCACGGTGGCATCGCGTCAGGGAGCATATGCGAAACACGACGAAATGCCCAGACGCTATTCGACAGAAATTGGGAAATAGATGAAACCATCGTATACTCCTATTTCTTCCCGGTGGCGAAAAAATCAAGGTCTTCCCGGTGAGCGATCCCCCTTGGGTATGATGATCTGGCAATCATCCTCAAGAGCTGCCCAACCAGCGGAGCCACAATTTTAAATTGTAACTTGCATCCCTAGGGCCTAGCGGTACATACTGCACGGACGGTGCTAGTCGACCACTCATCTTGATATCGCAAAGCGCGGATATTTAACTTCAGTCTCACCAGTGTCATCACGCACCGAGAGACGAGATCGCGATATTGATGATAGATATGCGCGTCGTCCACTGGGCGGCCATGCCAGAGGAAACAATACCAACGGTCCACGTCAGACTGAAAGGGCGCGAACAAGATGGACCATCGTTGGGCGAACCAATAAGATATTGCGCATGAAGAATCACTCGAAATAGAGTAGTTGTACTAAGATGACGACTAAGTTAGATCCATGATCCATCATCCTCTATGAAAGAGCTCAGGACACTCCATCTTTGTTCCTGACCCACTGGCGCATTGCCAGCTTTTTTGTATCCACCCAGATTCAAGGCCAGAAGGGAAGTCATGTCCGTGAAGTACATATTTAGTTATGCGACGCACTGTGGCTCAAGGGGTCGAGGCCGTGACGGTTTGAAGGACCGTCGATTCTGATAAGACGAATGCGATGTGAACCCTGAAACTATGCAAGACCGTTCATGGCATTCGGGCCGTCAGCAAGTATTCTTCGGCGGCTAGTTGAAACCCCGACACGGGAACATAGGACGGTATTGCCGATCTGACTGCTTCATCCGGCCCGTAGAATAGTCTAACGAAGACATCGGAGACCAGGGATTATTGTGCAGAGGTCGGTGGTCACACAGCAGATCAACCATTTATTATGATTATTATGTTTGTCGCAGAAAGGATTGGAGCAATAAACTTCTGACCTGGCTAAAGGGCTGTTCCCGATTAGCGTGCTGACAACGATCCACCGAGTTACGCAAGCTGGATGCGACAGGGGCGCAGTCGAGCATTGATGGTGAAGACGAGATAACGCTAAAGGTCTAGAATCTCTAGAGCATCGTTAGTCAGGATATCTATCTTGCTTTTTTTCTGCGCCGGCAAAAGGGCTCTGATCCGGGCTGTTCTTGTTGCCAACTTTTCCCCCACGCGAGAGACTGAACCAGAGAGGACATTTACATGATTTAGGTTGTGCTAAAGGAACTTACAAGAAGTGGCGGTGGGCTTCCAGTTCGTCCGAGCTTTGGATGCCGAATAGGGATGCAGCGTGTGTTTCTCCAGTTCCCCCGGTGTTCCGGAAGAAGAGTCGAGCCTCGAAAGTCTCTCCATAATAATTCTTAGATAAATTGTTAGTTCAACCCGCAAACCCACGTTTCCGTCATGACGTTAGTGAGTAGCAGAAAGGGGATATTTTCGGGTTATGTGAGCCGCCAGGTTCGCATAAAACAGAATCGTGCCACCCCCGCCGTCGTGATGTCTGGCCACCTGCTGTTCTTTTCTTTAGTATAACAGAGCGATGTTGATCCTACCCTCTCTCTCTGTCCCTCTCCACCTGAGACTAGAGTAGGCCAAAGTTTATCTCCTCTGGATCTGGAGGAGAAGAGGTTCCAGACCTGACGGGAATATTCGACCGGGTCATCACCGTTTCCCCCGCTCGTCCTAGCAGACAGCGAGAGTACGTTCTCTCTTTGCTTTGGACGACATCCGTACTCGATGAACTGATCGTCCGCTTGTCAAGACCTCGCTCGCCCAATATCTCCGCCAGAGGGAGACCCCGCTAAACAGATTCACAGAAAAATCGGCATATCTGATGTACCCGGTACATACCGCAGACGTTGTACGACTCGTCGACTGGGAGTTGAACGGTTGATCTGCCCACTATGTCAGACGAGCCTACGGAACAGGACCTCAAGAGAACCCCGTCGACGCTATCGTCTCGTACAGCTGGGTCGCCGCAGCAGGAGATAAACCATGAAGTGAACCAGGGGTTAGAGCAGGAACCAAAAGATGAACTACACCACGGATCAGATCAACATGAGACGTCGCATCGTCCCACCCACATCGATCTGGGAGCAACCTATCCCCCGACGCACATCGATCTGGAGCCATCGTATCCTCCGACACACATAGATCTCGAGGCAGCACATGCTCCCGCGCATATCGATCTGGAGGCATCGCAAACCCCCGCGCACCTCGATCTGGATCGAGCGGAGACGGCAAGAGACGATCAGCATTCCGAATCCAACCAACAGGGCCGTATGGTTTCGAAGGTCGCGTCCGGCATAGACAAGGCACGGCATATCTTGTCAAAGTTGGGACGTCCGGAGGACCACGGCGATGCCCTGATCCCACCGGTCACGGCCGCTGAGTTCGTCAAGGACGGAGACGCCAATGCCAAAGGCGGAGAGACGAAAGCAGGACGAAAGCTGAGGTTCGACCCGTCCCTGGAAGCGCACCAGCTAGTGAGAGGGTTCTCGGGTCGAGACCGTCTGCGAAGACGAAGTTTCAAACCACAGACGCCCATCATGTCGGGGGACGCTACGCCCGTGGGATCGGATACGGAATCAGAGTACTCTCGTGGAGTGCATGCTGGCATCCTTTCGCAGCTCCTCAAACTCCAGCAACGACAGCAAAAATATGATACTTCACAACCTCCCTCGCCCAATGCCCGTACTCCCAGTGAGTTCCCTGACGGTGGTGACTATTTCACACCCCCTTCTGGCCTCTCCACGGGCCACACGACCCCCAAGCGGGAAAAGATCAAATGGTACAAAAAGGAGGGGAGTCGTTCTGCCGTCTCTCTGATCGAAGCGGGCCTGCATCTGGGTGCGTCTGGCGCTCCCCATCACTCCACCGAAGGGAGAGCAGCGACAGCCCGGTATCGCGGCCATCGGAGGTCTGCGAGTAAACCGCGCATGGATGACGAAGCGCAGATCGCTATCTATATCGCCCAGATCATCACTCGTCAGAAGTATCTGATCAAGCTCTGTCGCTGCTTGATGAAATTCGGTGCACCCAGTCACCGGCTGGAGGAGTACATGCAGATGACGGCCAAGGCTCTCGATCTCAGCGCGCAGTTTCTGTACCTACCCAACTTCATGATCATGTCCTTCGACGATGTCTCCACGCGAACAACGGAGGTCAAGATGGTGCGAGTGGCACAAGGAGTCGACCTGGCGCGTCTGGATGACACGCAGGATGTCTACAAGAACGTCATCCATGACAAGATCAGCGTGGAAGAGGCCATTGAGCATCTGGACGAGATCATGACGCGGCCAGACAAGTTCCCCACCTGGATTCTAGTTATCGTCTACGGACTTGCAAGTGTCGCGGTCGGTCCGTTCGCTTTCGAGGCTCGTCCGATTGACATGCCCATTATCTTCATTCTTGGCTGCCTGCTCGGCCTCATGAAGCTGGTCTTTGCGCCTCGATCGAGTCTCTATTCAAACGTGTTCGAAGTGTTCGCCTCCGTCATTACTTCGTTCCTCTCCCGTGCTTTCGGAAGCATTCGTAACGGCGTGGTAGATGGCAAACAGCAGTATCTGTTCTGCTTCTCTTCCATGGCACAGTCCTCGATCGCTCTGATCCTGCCTGGTTTCCTGGTACTTAGCAGCAGTTTAGAGCTACAGTCCCATCAGATCATCGCAGGTTCCATTCGTATGGTCTACTCGATCATTTACTCCCTTTTCCTGGGTTACGGAATCACAGTGGGCACCACCATCTACGGTCTGATGGATTCCCTCGCCAATCCTAATACCAGCTGTTCGGGCGCTCCGATCGGGAATGAATACGTCCAGCGGTTCCCGTTCGTCGCGCTCTATGTCGTCTTCCTTTGTATCATCAACCAAGGGAAATGGAAAGACTTGCCTATCATGATTATTGTTGCCGTGTCTGGTTACGTCGTCAGCTACTTTAGCAACAAAAAACTGAACTCGAACCCAGAGCTTTCGAATACTCTTAGCGCTCTGGCTGTTGGCATCCTCGGGAATCTTTATAGTCGAGTATGGCACGGCCACGCTGCCACTGCTATCATGCCGGCCATCTTCGTGCTGGTTCCTTCTGGTCTGGCGTCGTCCGGTTCTCTGATCGCCGGTGTGCAGTCCGCTGCAGAGCTGCGCAGCAATATCACCGGCAACGCATCAGCACTCAGCAATACTTCCACCAACTCTGACAACAGTACTGTCTGGGATATTGGATACGGCATGATCCAAGTCGCCGTCGGTATCACCGTCGGATTGTTCCTGGCTGCCCTTGTCGTTTACCCAACCGGCAAGCGACGAAGCGGACTTTTTAGCTTCTAGGATTTCTTTTTTTCTTCTTCTTATCTTATTTTATTTCAATTTTGATTCCCCATCTGCAGGCATGGATTTACGGCGAATGCACGTTGCATGGAGTTTTGCAGGCGTAAAATGTGCACCAAAAATATCACGATGTCTATACCTCGTTTTTCTCTCTGGATTTTTGCTTCAATAAATGATTGATGGTTTTTGATACATAGTGCTTTTATTATCATGTTTATATTATTTTTCTCGAATATGGGACGTGTGGGATGGCACACGAAAACATTGGCTTTGCCTTTAACGCCGTTGATGATCATGATTGTGGCTTACTATAGATGGTGCATCTTGCATTATCGGATTCTAATACAAGACTTAGGTTCAACAATACATACTTTAGTAGTTACATGCTCATGTGTTTAACCTTCTACTGTAACCAGACCGCCTACATGGCTTCTACGTATTTCGGTGGCGTAGCATGAACTTGCCAAGAAGACATCCGATGTAGTTCCCAAGATCATCTTGATCTGTGCGATATCGATATAGTGTCAATGGAGTATTTCATTGGATACGCCGATCTCGGCTTGTTTTGTCAATATGAATAGTACGCCCAGTCTATGTAACTCTTCCTATCCACTTGGCATCCCAAGATGAAATTGAATTCTGCCAAGCAACTAATTACCAAGGACGACTGGTGCCTGGCGCTAAGGGACTGGGGCCCAGGCAACATTGCCCTGGCAGCCTAAAATTTGAGATAATTGGGATATCTACAGTATTATAAAAAGGACGACAAAGGGCACCTATTTGTTTTCTCCCGTTCAGAAAGCAATTGCAATTCAATCAATACTCACAAGATGGCAACAACCATGTCTCATTTTCGGGAGCCTGAATCCATACATCATGAAGCGACCATACCGCCGTCTAAATATACACGCTTCCACCTCCCGGGGTTTACACTTCCTGTGGATTGGAAACCTCATGGTTCAAGGACAGAATATGGATACCTGGACCGTAAGAGACATATACACGGTCCGGAAGGATATGGGGAAGAATTGTTCCCAACAGCGTTGGATGAGAGTGATCATCACAGTGGTTATGCATCGTATGGGTCCTATTTCTTTTGTCCATTCCTTAAACTTTAAACTTTGATGAAGCCTACAAATGGACCATGGATTGGGCTGCTGACACTGGCCAACAGGTACAGACTGATCACGCTTCGTGAATTGACTATGCTCCAAATCATGAACCAGATTACGGATAAGCCGAATTGGGATGAAAAGGTGTGATCCTTTGCTGCCATATATTCGTTGAATGCTTCTGTGTCAGAGTCTAACTTGTGTCCCAGGTCTTTGACGAGGATATCGTCAGCCGCTGGAGAGAGGAAGTGCGCCGGGGGAGTGATGTGACTGATCGCATGATGGACTACGTGATCGCAGAGCTGCGACATAACGTCAAGAGCTTTCGAGAGACTGGTCTAGTGAGTGTCTACGATGGTGGTGTGGTCAAATCGGACTCTGCAGTGACAGAGTCTACCCGCCTCGCCCTGAAAGAAGCGGTTCGGCCTCTGGAGGATGTCCCCGAGAAAGATTATCATCCCGGAAGCGAGGAGAAGGTACTCGACCTAGTCCATCCATCCCTATTCCCACTGGTATATGGTCGCAGCCGCATCCTACGGGATGAGGTGATCGATCTCGACAACTGTTTATCACACACCGGAAGGGGTGAAGTGCTGCCAGTCCCTGAATACCATGATCCTGCTCCTCGCAGCACACGCCCGTATGGCATGGCACATACCACGAAACTATATAGTGACCGGTTTCAGTGGCTCCCTTGTGATGTTCAACTCACCGGTGAATCCGACTGCAAGATCACGAGCTACATTAACAATTTGCATCCTATCAAGCATAAAGCGCTATATCCCATCATTGAGGATATCATCGCTCGCGCGATTCCCTTGTGGAACCTGACTGTTACTCCCTTGGACCGCCGTCTTCGCTTCAAAGCAAGGCATCGGCGCATCAAGTACAAAAAGGCGCAGTATGAAAAGTTGCCTGAGGATGAGCGGCCACAGCAAAGAGAGGATGAACCTGATGATGACTTCTGGGAACGAGAATCACAATGGGAAGCCAATAACAGAGTTGTCATTCTCCCGGAACCGGAGGAATTTGTGCCTCACGATTTCCCTAAAGTGGACATTCGAGAGCTGGCAAAAGAGAGAGGATTGCAGGTAATCGTGAAACTAGCCAACGTCGAACTTACTCCCGAGAAACCAGAGTACGACGGAGGTTCATGGCATGTGGAAGGCCAGATGGTACGTTGTCATATTGTTCCTTCTCTTCCCTGCGTGCATGTTGGCCCATCTTTCTTGAAAGACTGACTGGAAGAATCAGAACGAGCATATCTGCGCCACCGCTCTGTACTACTATGACAGCGAGAACATCACGGAGAGCAGACTCGCCTTCCGTCAAGAGTCCTCTCACGACGCCCTCGACTTCAGTTATCCGCAAGATCAGCACGACTGGCTCGAGGCCGTCTTCGGCTGTGAACAGCATGGACCTCAAGTGCAGGAGGTTGGGGATGTCCTCTGCAGGCAGGGTCGTCTGCTCACGTTCCCTAATACCCTTCAACACCGTGTCGCCCCCTTTAAATTGGCGGACCCGACCAAACCAGGCCATCGCAAGATCCTCGCGCTCTTCCTCGTCGATCCCCACATCCGCATCATCTCTACAGCCAATATTCCCCCACAGCGTCGCGACTGGTGGGTGGAAGAGTTCCACGCGCAGGATCCATTGCATCGCCTTCCACCGGAGCTGACGATGAATGTTATGGAACAAATTGACTTTCCCATGCGCATGGAGGAGGCGAAGGAGTTGCGGCTAGAGCTGATGGATGAGCGGAGAGTGTCTGCTGCCGAGCAGACGGATATGTTCCATTCGAATAGATTTTCGCTGTGTGAGCATTGATATGGAATGTTGGAGAGGCGTATACTCTGTTAGGTGGGGATGCATATTTCATGCTCGTTGTAAGTATCATAGTTATATATGCAATATGTATGTACTGTACATTGGTAATGCATCAAGGCTCTTTATCATCTTTTTATTCTAGAATCCTTCAAGGATCACCTACAAAAGTAAAATTAGCTTTGATACTGGGCTATGAATAATATTAGAATGAACATCGTCAATCGTTTCGCAGTGGAGATTAACACAACCCCCTTTATCTAGATCTATCTACACCATCCTATCCTCCCATTAAGTACCCGATAAAATAACTTCCTCCTCACCAACATCCAACACTCTAACCTCACACCTTCCCCTATCTTTCTCTCCACAACCACAACCACAACCCGCTTTCTCCAACGCCCTCCTCACCTCCTCGATATCATTCCTCTCCGTCCGTAACAACTTCACTCCACAACCCCGATTATCCTTCTCTTCATCATGCGCACCTATCCAATATCGTGCCTTGAGGGCGCAAGCGATCTCGACGCCCCCGCCCTTGGCACCAGCGGTGATCGTCCCGCCCAGGTACCACGGGTTATGGGATCGGTTGAGAGAATGAAGAAGTAGAGTAAGAGGGAGGAAGCCATTAGGAGAGAGATGATGCGTGATATATGGCTGTAGGTCTGGATTCAAGGGTACACCATGGGGTGTATATAGGATTGCTATTTGGGAAGTGGATATTGAGTCCTCTTCCTCCTCCTCGTCTCTGGGAGGGTGAGGGTTAGGAGAAAGAAGAGGCTGAGATTGTGTCTGCGCCTCGGTGGCTTTTTCTAAAGGCATCAAGGAACTTGAAGCAGTCGTGTTGATTGTCGTTGGTGTGAAAATGGCCGGTGGATTCGAGTCGAATGTCGATGCAGATAGAGGCGTTTCCGGCGGCGTAGGTGGGAGGAGAAGGTCTGGGACTTGGAGAGGTTCGGTTCGTTGTTGTTGTTGTAGTTGTTTGGGATCGATTTTATTGTCGTTCTTAGTTTCTGTTTCCGACAGACGAGATGTCGATGATGATGAAGCCCTCAAGACCTTGACTTCTTTTATCCTCGCAGCGATATTCCTCATAGATGTAGATAACCTCCTCATCAATAATACTGGGCTCACAATCCGCTCCAACACCCTTCCCTGCATCTCAGACTCAACTACCTCATTCACAACCATTCCCGCTTTCTTCTCACTGCTACTCCCATCCCTCCTCCTCCTTTTCTCAGCCGTCGGCGCCCGATAAGTAATCCCAATCGCATTATGCACCCCCATAGCATAATTCCTCGCCGGTATAAACGCCACCGTAACCTCCCCTTCCTCCCCCTCTGACCCCAGGGCCGGAATCCCAAATCTCAAAACACTCTCGTCACCCCCTCCTTTCTTCTTCTCAGAACAATGACCATGACTATGACTATGCCTATATTTCCTCAAAGCCACGATCCGCTCCGTTCTCTCAAAATGATTATACCCCCGAATCGTCCTCGCGGCAGCGGGCTCCGCAACAATGACGGCTTTCGTATCTCGGGGTAATTGTCGTAGAGTCGCTTCGTGGCAGTGATCGCGCTTATTTTGAGATATAATGACGAGATCGGGCTCCGGAAGGGCGGAGAGGTGGGTTATACATGATGGGGTGGTGTGGTGGGATAGGGCGAACCAGGAGCGGCCGATGATGGAGGGGCCGGTGAGCCAGGGGTCGAGTAGGATGGTGTATGGTTTTGGGTTTGGTTTTGGTTGTTGGTGGTGTTGGTGGTTTGGAGGGAAGGGGGTCTGGTCTGAATTAGGATGATGATGATTGGGAGGGGAGAATGATAGGAGGAAACTGGTGTCTGCGTTGAGGTGTTTGATTGTTAATGACATTTGGGGTTTTGGTTTCGGAGGTTGAGAAAGAGAAGGGTGATTCAGGTCAATTAATTCCGAATCGAAGAACGGAAGCTATAAGTAATACCAGAGAGAGTTGATCGGGGGGAGGGGGGGTAGTGTACTTAATGATATTGATATGTTATTTCCTCTCCCCTCTCCAGACACAGCCGTTTTTACGCACTGGAGAGGGGGGACAAAACTAAAAGTATAAACAGAAAGATACTATAGCCAAGCCAACCAAACCAGATCTTACCCCAATAATAGCTTTCTGAGCTGCTGATGGCAAGGGAGGTCGAGGTCGATGTTTCAGGAGTCCACCATTTGAAACACCTTGGGATGGGAATAGATACTTATGGCCACCACTAGTTACGGTGTAACTACTAACTACTACCTACCTAACGCTATAGTTACTCGTAAATACCCCTCCTGTCCAACATACGGAAAAGAAAAGAATGATCCGCAGCGGAGAACAAACGTTTGTGTTTCGTATTCAATTTATGTCGATCGGGTGGAAGTTACGATAGAGTCTGGGCCTGGCAGAGATGAAACGTTCATTGTTCAGTAGAGATGAACCGAATCGAAATATCGATGATCATGACGTTTTGTTGAAACGTCGATAAGGCATTGTTGGATTCTTCTTTCGTTTCACACCAGTCTAACTAACTAGTTAGTCTAGATAGATAAGTTTCTGACTTGTGAACTACTGCAGCTGCGATAATCCGAAATGTCCGGACTCCGCGGGTTAAGTATAGTCCAGGAAGATGATCTGTCTTCGGACGATTCGGATGCTATCTACTGCTGGTCATGAATCAATCGTAGTTTCATGCATAACAGTTGTCATAATTCTTCCTTTGGTTAACCGCGCGGTCAAAGATCTACATATTAATATTAATACTGGTTGGTATATCTATATCATCATGTTGACGCAATAGAACCGTATTCGAACCAGTGTTAATGCTAATATAGTAAAACTCAATTGGTATAAAACATAGACTATAGACTACCGGAACAAGCCAACAGTGAGCAAGCCAAGGGTCCGAGCGTATGAAATGAAGCGACCTCGACTCGACTATTGACCTGGAGATAAGAGGTAGAGCAAACTGATCCAACCTAGTCACAAGAGAACAAGCTCCGGCTAACAAGCAGACGGGTGCGCAGGGGGAATCGAAATGCAGAACCAAAATGACGATGAGTAGCAGGAGGGTGGAGTCAAAACAGTAGAGTACGATTTGGTGAACCAGTAGCTGCCCGGATGAAGAAAGAGACAAGCAATGGTATCTGTGATATCAACTAGATTCCGCTCTCAGGATATCCTGACAAGTAGTAGTACACACACGACTCAAGTCGAGAAAAGCCCCCAGATGATCCCAAATCGAGGAAAATCATCAAGTAGTGGCCGTATTACAAGCAACTATTCAGAGCCGAAAATATCAAGAAGTCTCCCTTAACCGGAGCGCAGTAACGCCGGCCATGGAAGAGCAATGAGCCTGTCATTGGAGAATTTAACGAATTAAGAAAAAGAAGAAGTTGAGATCTGATCCGATTATCTCCATGGGGGTCTTTCGGTAAGTTTGTTGCGAGCACTAGCGGCGCTCTCTCTCCCAGAGCGGAATTTGGGAAGTGGAATCCCGCTGAGTCGTCTGCTATGACCCAGCGAAGTTTCAGGCCGTTGCGTCTTGGCCCGATCCTCGACAGGTGATGACCTCGTGATAGATATCCCAGCATAGCTCTGCCTATTTCTCGGACCAGTCGGCAAACCTGGCGCAGACTGCTTTCGGAGTTTGCTGTATGGCGGGGGATCGAGAATTGAGCGAGAGAACGTGGGAGAGTTAACGCGGTTCGGAGTCGGAGATGCTAGACGGCTCATGGCACGACTTGAGGACCTCATACCTGGAGGGGCTGGAGATCTAGACGCTTCACGGCTGAGAGGGCTAGGTGTGGGAATATTAGACCTGGAATTGCGGTTCTGAGTGCGAGAAGGAGGTCTGTAAGAATGGCCAACTTTGAGGTCGTTTGTATTCGTACTGCTGTTCCAACGCGGTCGGTTGTCTGGAGTCTTTGACGGAGCAGTTGAAGTACGCGAGGCCGGTCTCGGAGTGAATGAGGAGGTGCTCGTCTGGCTGCGGGTTGGCGAGGTGAGAGAGCCTGAGAAGGAAGCTCGAGGAATAGACGATCTGCGTCCTGCAGAGAGAGTTGATGCTGCCTGCGGAATGCCCGAGTAGCGCTTCCTGTTTGTGCTTGCAACTGAGCTGCCGCGTCTGCTGGAGTTACCGATGTTTGGTGTTGAGCTGCCCTTGCGACCGTTGCCATTCGAGAGCACAACGGAAGATGCAGGGGAGCTCCCAGGTGTGTCAACGACGCTGCCAGTGGCAGGGCTGTCCATAGTAATGATGCTTGATATCGAGTCTCGCAGCTGCTGGGTTTTGCTGAAGTCAATGTCGTCTAGCAAACCGTCCATGACCTTGATACTGGCGTTCAGGGCGTCCACGCGGGATCTCATTTCATGAAGCAACCTCAAGATCTCGCCGTTGACAGTAATTCTGTCATTAACACCCTTCTCGATGATAGAAATTACCCTTTCAATTGCTGGTCCGTAGTGGATCTTCTTGGCCTCAAAACTCTCTATCCGCTTCGCCAGCGTAGCGTGGTTGTTGAACTGAGCACCTGTATCCAGCGCCTCCTGGAGCTTTCCAATGCTCCTCTCTACCGATTCACACATTGTCCGTGCTTGTCGGCCAGCGTTTCGGAAAACTAGGACCCATCGGTCTTCATCTAGTTCCTTGCGCAGAACCTCAGCATCGTTTTCGAGTTTCTTGTAAGCATTCTCTAGCTTTTCCCTCCTCACTTCAAGATCTCGGCAGGCAGAAGGGAAGATCTTCTCTGCTCGCGATTGGAACATGGAAAGCCGCATTGGCAGGAAGTCCAGGGACGCTCTCAACGGCTGCAAGCGGGCGAATAAACCCAGCAAGGCAGAATCATCCGGACCAGTCGTACGCGCTGGGGGTTGGGAGGAAGGCGTTGAATAGTTCTGAGCCAGACTGAATCTCTTATTCGGGGTGCTTGTCGTTGGAGGAGTCTCCTCGATAATAGTCTCGAGTTCACTGATGTCCACCCCGTTGTTGTCCTCAGCCTCTTCATCGTCTTCGAACATGGACAGATGTCTCTTCTCCTCGAGCTCGAAAATCACCCGACCGAGGTCTTCGACTTCAAGGCCGACATCTCCCAGGACAACGCCCCATAGTTCTTCCCATTCCATAGCCAACTCGACCTGCTCCTTGACTCCTTTTAGATGAGATCGAATGCGTGACCACTTCCCCAGGATATGCTCCATCTGCGCCACGATAGTCTTCAGCACATCGCCAGTGACGGTCTTAATGTCATCTCGTAATTGTACTTGTTCTATCGCCGTAACATACACATCGACCAGTCCTTCGAATTTCGTGATCGCTCGATCGACGTCGTCAAGACCCTCGCGTCCGCCAGCAGCAGCCCACTCGACATCGTCCTCCGCGTCTAACCCTGACAGGACATCTGATGCCTTGTTGATCCAGGTCGATATCTGTTGAGCAGCCCCATTGAGCGCTCTGACAGCAGCAGAGGCATCGGGTATCGAGAAGATTCTCCCTTCCAACGATGACGGCTCCGGCAGATTGATCGACGTCAGCTGAGACAGCTGGCTGCTGAAAGACGCGCGGGAGAACGAGTATATCGACTCCGTGCGATGTAGGCCGTGGGAGTTGAAGTAAGATTGCGCAGTCGAGGAGGACGACGGGGTCGAAGGAGTCCGGGGTGAGTCTTTTGGGGGAGGGGGTGGCCGTTCATCATTCTGCGTACTGCTCTTGAGATACTTCTCGAGATCAGTCTCTCCAAAAGAAACCTCAGTTTCTCCAGGCTCTGCGGATGGGGTCTGGGGCGCCTGCGCCGGTTCAGCGACGGACATGTCTGCCTCTGCTGCCGTATCGTTGTCCTCCCAGTTTGTCCGGATGTTTTCAGCGAAGGGACCGTCCGAGGCTGGCTCAGCAGCCACGGCGGGCGTCGCGTCTGGCGTAGCCTGGTCCGTCGTGTCTGTAGTAATTTCGATAACCGCGTCGGCTGGCGATGGGATTGGGCTGAGCTGCGCGTCCTGATCTTGTTGCCAGGTTCTCCCCCGCGGTTCTGGCTGACTGTGTTGGCTTGTTCCTCTCTTCACATCTGACAGTTCATGTCCACCACTCCACGCGCGGCCACGCCTTTGTATTCTGATAGATAGATCCTGATGAGCCTTTTCGAGCTCGCGGAGATGCTCTTGGGAAAGCTTGCCGACCTGGTTCTTGCTACGGTTGAGCTCCTGGGCCGTTTTCGTCGAGCCGTCTAACAGCTTCACTCGGGCAGCAAGGCCAGGCGATAGGCGACGGAGGAAGGATGGACGCGGAGGTGGCGGCAGACTCTTGTCATCGACGTGTTTCTCTTGATCGTCAGGCTGGCTTCTCAGGCTGCGAAACGATGCCTTAGACTTGATCCTCTGGGGAAAGGAGGTGCTAGACGGGGATACAGGCGGCGCCGCGGCCGAGGAATGCGAGTCCGACGGCGATGCTGGGTCGGTCAACGACTCTGGGGCGGTACTCGAGGATGTCGTCACAGCAGGAATGATCGCGGACATGAGTACGGTCGCTGAGGTGTCTGTGCTGGCCTGGGAGCGCGAATGCATAATCCAGAGGTCGGAGAGATCGAACAACGGCGAGGAGGCTCTCCTGGTTGGGCTCAGGCCGGGGCGCAGACGCGCAGGGGCGATCACTGAGGCCGGCGTTCTCGCTACTACATCCACCAGCCCAGCCTCGGGGAACTGGAGCTGCTCGACGACCGTCTGGACGATGCGCAACGGGCTCTGGGCCGCTGTTATACCTCCGCGATAGCTGATGAGTCCTTGCGGTACGCGGGGAAGAAGCGGAGGAGAGCCGCGAACCATGGCGGCATCGCCAGTCGACTTGATCGCAGCAGAAAGCTGCCCCGGCCAGCGGGGAGGATCCTGTCCGTTGCGATGGAAAAAGGAATCAAAGATCATCGCAGTTCTTTGTGTGTCTCCTTCATCGTCTTTTCTTTTCTGCTGCTCCCTGCCTACATCCTACTCTATATGTACTGTATAACGGGACCCTACAACCATGGCACTCGGAGTATAACTATGCCAGCAAGGCGACATTATTACTCACAAGACCGGAACAGAAAGGAAAGAACGAGGAAAGAATACAAGAACTGTCGACGATTACTGCCGCAGTCTGAGATTTAATCCAATTAACCGCGTCCACAGATGCAGGGCGATCGTTGATCATCTCGGCGGGTTTCTTCCGGACAGATAGATACAAAAAAACAGCGTAAACTATATTGTTTACTGTACCTGAGTGGGAGTAAGAAGAAAAACGGGCCCTTTAGGCAGCTAACAGCCTCAAATTAAAAATAAAAAAGGCAGAATGGTGGCAGGTTGTTGTTATTATGATGATGAATAATAAGGGTATCTAGTTTAGGGGACAGAAACCAAAACACACCAAGACACGAGACCACAGACTACTACGTGGTTCCAATCATCTCGTCCAGTCGTTAAAAACCCCATCGCCTGCATTCCAACAGGCGAATCTATGTGGCTTCAGCGGTCCAACTCCTCCGTTTGCGGCGATGGCAGTGCCTCCGTGGAGGCTTTGGCCTCGTCATTCCAATCTCGCATCAGCTCCTCGCGCACTCCCTTGCACCAGGCTAAGATTGCCGCGTCGAACTGTTTCCACGCCTCGTCACTCGAGCCGTAGACCACGCCCAAGACATCCATCTCCAGCTTGATCTCCCACCGGATCTCTGCGGCTTTGATCCAATATCGTAGATTCTCCGCGCGGCGGTACGGCTTGCCGATATCCTCGTGGAAGCTCTTGATCTGGCCGAATGGCCGCTTGGACTTCTTCACAGCCTGGTTGTGCATCTGAATGAGATCACGCCCATCACGTAGACGCTCAAGCATCGCGCTGGGTAATGATCCTTCTTGTGCTGGGTGCCACTGCGGCAGCGGTGGCTCCGGATTAGCTAGAGATCGCAGGAATGACTCTTCGCGTTCACGCTCCCTTCCTGTCCAGTCTCCCCGGACCCAGATCCAGTTCGCGCGCTCTTCCGCTTCGAGTTTCTCCAATCTGCGCTCCTCATCGAGCATAGAGCAGACGCCGGCCATCCAGCTTAGGATAGTTAATTTTTCGTCGTCCTTCAAGCCCTTGGCAAAGTTACGCGAAGCAAACCGCTTCATAACATCGAGAACGCCCAGAAGTTCCTCTCGGATATGCTTTTCACTCTTGATGGCGGCAAGACGCTCTGGGCGTTCATGGGCAGTGTAATATATCCTCGCCGCGCGAATGGCCAGCGTAACCACGTCCAAGATGCTCATTCCTTGGACCCCGCGCCATCCCTGGGGCGTGGTAGGCTCTGAAGTCTTCCCCTCGGGGTCTGGAGTCAAGCTGTCTCTGGTCCTCTGTGGCCGGGGAGAGGATGTGTTGTTCTCCATGTTTTCGATGCTCTTTTCGACTTGTTCCAGCGCATCCACCAGATCTTTCCGGAGGGCCATGAGATCGGGCGGTGGTGGCGTATGGTACGTTTTCACGCTATATGTGCTCACCGTGGGAGGCAGCATTATATCGTCATGCTCATCGTACCCCTCTGTCGGTTCTATCAACTCGTCCATCGGGCTATCCACCATTTCCTCGCCGTAGTCGGGCTGTGATGTCAGCAGCAGCTTGGGTATGTCCTTCGCATCCTTCTTTTTCTTCCACTCCTTGGCCATCTGAGCTCCCTTCCCGTCGAGTAGCCCCGTCCGGGCAAAGTAGTACTGTAGATGGGCGATACTCCCTAGACTCATGACGCTCTCTCTGCGAATCGCAGACTCTGAGAACTCAGCGCCCTGGGGCCGGATGTAGCCTCGTCTCCGGCCTGAGGCCGTCGAGATGGTTGAGATGATGGATGACCTGGCATCTCCGGAGTTGGCGGAAAAGCTGGACAAGGAGGATAGAGTCGAGAAGGTCCGGTCGGGCGACGGACAGGAAGAAATAGCAGGTACCGGAGAGAGTGATGGCGAAGGTGACGAGGCACGAGCCTCTGGGGGAGGAGTGGTCGCGGTCTCAACGTGCTCTCTCATCATCATCATAGCTCTCTCTTGGGTGAACGAGCGGGGACCCTAGCAGGGAAGATCTTGCAATTTTCGGGACTTGAACTTTTTGGCAATCAACAAAGACAGTTCCAACCTATCTAGGCGTATTTCCGGTTTAAAGAGAAACAAGGGAAAGATGGCGCGAGCGAGTTATTATTCGACTGGGTGTAGATTAGGTGGACTCGCTGTTCACAGGTCTAGTGAGCGCGATCCACGCATCCTTCGGGTCCTTTGAAAGAAAGAGTGCCACGGGCGTTTTTTGGCCGTTTGGTGTCAGTTGAAAGGGGGCTTATTTGCGATGGCTTCCGGGGCCACTGCAGGGGCTTTTCCACTTAAGGGGGAGGAGGGGGTTGAGGCTCGAGAGCTAGCGGAGATTGCTTGATCGTTAGTTTAGGGACAAAATGACGGTGCAATTTCCGTGAGCAGTAGGAGTTGAATAATGATGATAATCATCAATCAAAATAAAATATATAGATAGATAGATAGAATCAGTTCTTTTAATCTGTCCTTTGTTTAAGTATATATATATATGACTGACGATGCGTATACACTTGTTTGCGACGTTGTCTGTCTGGAATCCAGCATCACCCAGCAACCGTGCCTCGGGTTCAGATTTGGAATCCTTCGTCGTTCTTCTGGCGCTGTTGGCATTTAACCTGTTCCGTGTTAGCGTTGAGCTTCTGCCAACGCGTCCCACGTTTCTGTGTTCTTTCGCCTGTTCTTTCGGCTTGTGCGAGAACCATTATCATTTATTAATAATGTTCGATATAGAGAGACCCTTAGGCTTGCAAGGGCTCGGGAAGGGCGGCAATGTCACGTGCTACGCCCGGCAATCCACGATTTTATGCCACGTCTTACTATTATTATTATTATTGTACATATCTAACTAGTTGTATTCTGTAGTTTATTAATGTATTATCATGGAATGGTAGTTAACTAGTACCCACATGCCGTTAGTTAATAATATCCGAAAAATCGTTATTATTAGTTACAGGAATCAGGATAGAAAGATCTCCTTGATCTACGAAAGTTCTAATAATCTACTCTACGCCAAAAAGAAGCCGGAGCTCCACTCGACCGCGTCAAACGAGGCTATCTATCTAAATTATTACGCTACACTCCCGGGAGCTATTGTAAATCCTCCCGGGCCGCCGGGTCCTCCATATATGGACTAGGTATGTATGTATGTGACTTATCGCTTCGGTACGGACCGGCAGTGTCAAGTTCCTATGGCAGGTAGAACCGTAGAAGACTAGAAGTATGGTACGTACGTACTGCGGACAACGAGTGGGACAAGGAGTCCACTTATTATTATTTCACTACAAGTAAGTTAGTATGTACATATGTATTTTTGGATTTTATCCTTTTTTATCTGTGGCCAATGGTGAATACTGCATTTCTCAACTTAGGTCGGATACGCTCCCCGCTTATGGAGACCATCGATAAGGTAAATACTCTACTACCTATGGTGTGCTTTGTATTCTTGTTGTAATCTGACACAGGGACCTCTCGAAAGACTGCATGGCGCTAAGTGGGATCTCTCTCTTGGGATTGATGCTCCGTATATTACTGAGATGGGTAGGTGGGCTATTCTATTAAAGTAACTGGGGAAAGATAGAATAAAAAAGAAGAGTGAAGGCTGTGATTTGGTTCGTTTTGTCGTCTGCTAAATGTGTCAACGCAGACCCGCGTAGCTGTGGTGGTTTCTGGTCCAAGTCTAGTCTAAAAAGCAATGACCTTGTATGGTAAGATACATAGAGGAGAGAAGAAAAGAGAGAAGAAAAGAGTTGAAAGACGATGCTTAATGTTTGATGACAACAACGGACAGACAATTTCTAATTGATACATAAGAGAATAGCAAGGAATACTCTAATCAGTATGCCAGTCGCTGCAAAGACAAATAATAGGCAAAATAAGCAGAACATCAACACTTATATGAATAATATATTTTCAATCCTCATCTTCTTTCAGTCTAGATCACCTCTTCTCTCTCCCAGCCAGTGGATCTCACTATATCCGTCCCCTTGCTGGGATGGGGCGTGTTGTTGTCCTTGTACTTCGCCACGTACGGATTCGGGTCCTTATTCGGGTCCAGGTTGCCCAGCGTGTGGTTCACCTCGCGATGCTTGGCCTCGTCTGCACGCACGTACAGGATCAGGTCGGCCATCGTGTGGTGACCCTCCGGCATGTTCCAGTACTTGATAGCGATCTCGGGTGCCGGCATCGTCTTCCACTTGGGCAGCTTGCCGGCTTCGATCTCCTGGATGGCCCGTGTGTAAGTGATGACGGCCTCTTCCTCGAGGTAGCCGACGAAGCGGTGGCAGGTGCGTGGAGAGATGAGGTACGAGAGGAAGAAGCCGTTGAAGAAGACACCCTGGGCGCCGAGGACCATGAGACGCATGAACCAGCCGGGTTCGGCCAGCTTCATGAACGAAAGCAAGTGCATGCGTTCATTGTATGCTTCTTCCAGAAGGGTTTCGATCCTGTATATACCCAAAATAAGTTAGTTCGGTTTCATTTCTTTTCTTCCGTCGTACTTGTTTCGAAAGATTGAACGGGAATATAACCACTCACCATCCGTTATCTCTCTTCATTCTCCGTAAACTTCTCAGATGCCGCAACATCCCTCCCACCATACCCGGTACGCCGGCCACACTCTCCAGGAAAATAAACCGAACGAGCCACTTCCGCTCGTCCATGATGAATCGGCGGGGGAGCTTGTGCTCCTGTCCCTCCGGTGGGTGCCGATATCCGGTTACGTAGTCCATCCCCCACCGCAACAGTCGCACTGTACCCAGCGCTACCCAGTCAGACCAGTTCTTTGCTTCACGATGGGCGATTTTGATGTCTCGCATTTGTTGATAGGTGAACCTGTTGGGGAGCAAAGGGCCATCAGTGTCAGTGAAACTATTTTCAAGTATGTACATAGTCACGTGTAGAACAGAACTGTGAAAGATAGGGAATGGGAGCAAGGATACTTACACAGGATGAGTCCATGATGATTCTAGATCGGCGATATGATCTGTCTCTGGAGGAGGGAAGAACTGCTTGATCTGTGTCCGGGGCGTGGTTGAGAAGACCCGCTTGTTGTCTGTCCGCTGCTGCTGGGATTTGGCGTAGTTGCTGTTCTGAAGGAAGAAACTGCCGGATCGGAGTCCAGAGGTGCAAGCAGCGTTTGAGTAGCATCTGAGCGCTGTAAGACGAAGGCCCTTTCTGGGTAGTATCGAGGCAACCCGTACGGGTGCCGTTGCCGTTGTCGAGTACATGTGGAATGGTCGTATGTATATATCAAGAATAGATTCTCCGTATGATCAGATATATGTATGATTGACCTCGTTGAAGGATGTAATAGTAGGGTCAGTGTAGATCGTATCAGGATCTTGATCCCATATGTATTGGTTGATGGATGATGATATATATACACCAAGTGAAGTATACCGTTGGCAGTATGAAGGGACTATATATATACACCCAGCGGACACGTCAAATCCAGATAGGCAGATGCCAAACAAGAAAAAGGAAAAGGAGGCGAACCAAAGCATGACCCTCAAGGCTTTTCTTAGAACGTCAACATGTTTGGACGATCTGTTCCCGGTGGCCCCTCCATTCCCGATATCCCATCTGAAGCTTGCCTGATCGGTGAGTAAGAAGATATCAAGGACTTCCCGTACCTGGCGTCGGAAATCGGAAGCCAAGGACCCCTCCCGTTGTTCTGGAACACTGGATCCTCCCAACCGGCTCGCCGAAGAGTCTGTGATGCCAGCCCTAGACTACCGTTCTCTTAGTTATTTCAAGGGTATTTCGGAGTGATACTACTCGTTTTGTCGGTCGATTTTGGCCGGGAAGCCGGCCGTTCCGTTACATATGTAACTCCTCGCTGCAGATCCACCTGCTCGCAGTTGAACCACCTCGAAATCCCTCTCCATTATCTGACAGCCGCGCTGGATTTCCATCCTGAAGTCAGCGAAGAAACACGGTGGTCACGGCGTTACCGTAATTTTGAAAAGGTAGCCTCCCATATGACCATCGGGTGTTTACGGGATGGCGATTCCAGTGACTCAGACAGCCTACGGGATCGCCCGAGGTCAGTAGCAAAGCACGCAAAGCAAAGCCCAGGCGGCTCCGTGGCTACTCGAATATTGCTCACCTGAATGCCGTGCCCGTATTTCGGTTTCTGTGAAGGTCCCCGATTTGTTCCTCTACCTAACAGCGTGGAAGGAAAAGAAAGAAAGAAAGAAAAAAATTAGGAAAAAACAGTGTTTGCCCGCAAATATTCGCAAATGACCTCACTAATGGCATCTGCCTCGTTCGTTAGTCACTCCACAATATACAACTAGATATCTGTTTTTTCTTCTCTTTTCCACTCCCCGTGCAAAGACCGTGACGTGTACTCCGTAACTTCTTGATGTGATGAGATGATTAGAATTCCGCTTCAACATTCTTGATTCTTAACTTTACAGCAGTGGATCTGTCTAGCTAACTACTACAGTACTATCTTCAGCAATAGCAATAGCTGAAACATAATGCCTTGATGCCTCAGGCGAATACTCCGAGGGATCCCCGAGAGCAATGACGTCCCCTTTCCGCGTCTGGCCCGAGAGCCAGGAATCTTGTCTCCGCATGAGGAGAAAACAACATGTGTTCTTCTTCAATCAACAGATCTCATTGACCTAGGCTCGAACAACAAAGTTACTTTCTCCTTCCTTGGGGTCGATTTCCTGCTTCTCCACCTTGACAACATGAGCCAGCCGTGGGCCCTTGTTGATGTCTTTCAGCAGCTTCTGCAGCGACTCATCGCTTCCCTGAGCCTCTCCTTCGACCTGTGGGGAAGTTAGCAGAGATGAAATTCATACTCTCTACTAACGAATCGCTGATCTTGACGTAGCCAGGCTATCGAATCTGGAAGGACTAAACAGACCACAGGAGGCAAGGCCATGGCGATGCGGGGATGAAGAAGTGTTTAAGGTCTTTGTGAAGTCACATACCTTTCCATCCGACGTGTTTCGTACGAACCCGACTAGGCCATAGTCATTTGCACGCGTATCTGTGAAGTTGCTGGGCGCGGAAGTAAATCAGCATTTAATCTCAGAAAGGCCATCCGACATATAACAATCACGCAACCCCTCATTTCTCAGAGAAGGGTGATAGAGCACTCATACCGAAAGTTGACACCTGATATTAACTGATCAGCAAGGCTGAGGCTAGAAGGTTGCCTATTATGCAGACAACTTACCTTGGACTGTTCCATGGACTTTAAAGTAAATCTACACCTCCATGCCACTTATTAGCACAAGAAACCCCAAAAAACAAAGAAAGAGAGACACAATTACAGGAACAGACTTCAACATACACGCTTATCTGTCATCTTCGCTGCACTCGTGTGGAAGTGTAAAGATGATAGTCGAGGTATCACTGCTTTTCTGGCTATTCCCCGAACTGATATCATCTGAGATGTTGAGGTAACTTATTCGTGAATAGTTAATACCTATGGTAAACCTGCTGCTACTGCGAGGTGAGGTAAGCATTCGAAGATGCTGATCATGTGATCGCTGCCTATCGATGCGACAAGAGTCTAGGCATCTATCGATTTCTTCCGACTTCGAGATGAGGTTATGGCGGTTATGGCGTATGCGCAATTTAAGGTTACACCACCGCACTTTAACAGCGGTACCCCGGATTTCGCCCGTTGTGGCGCCGCCCACGGGTCAGGGTGAAGAGGGAGACGTATTAAACAATCCATGGATCTCAGATACGACTGATCTAATTTAATGATTGGACTGCATTGAAGTAAGACTATGATGGGGATCCTGATGGGATCCTTCATTCCTAATCCATGATGGATATACTGCAATTCCTATGTATCGAAGACTATCATATGGCGTCACTACTGCCAACAGTGAGGGCGTCATGGACAAGGGTCCGTATGGTCTATTGGAAGATGAAAGGATGAAGAGGATTGTATGATTCAGAAAACCTGCGAATACATCAGTAATCTCATAGAATTTGCCTGCAGTTCGAATGCAGATTGTAGAGGTAGTGGAGAAGAGCAGTACTCACAGCACCTCCAATAATGAACAGCCTCTCCTCTTCCTGCCGCACCCACTGTATAATCTTACTTGCGCTCTGGGACAGTGCATTTCTGTTCGTATTAGGCCCGGCAACGCAATATAGCTCAAATATGGGTGTCACCCAAGCAAAAGAGCTCGCAGTCCGAGAAACGTTGTGGTGCACTTTTACATGAGCATGTTTGGCATGCACGCTCGCGTGTAAAGTATTATAGGTTGAGATAAGCCTGTAGTTCGCATTAATATCTCCTCATTCATTCGGACAACAACAAGATGCCGGGAGACAGACCTTCGACGTCGTGATGTAGAGGAGAATTCTGGTTCGTAGGATGACATGGTGAACTGCACATTCGCTTTCGATTTGTATAAGAAGTGGCGCAAGACCGTTCCAGGAATGAGATCTGTTGTAGATGGCCGGCCACGATCGATAGCCGCTTTTATAACTCTGATACTGCCTGTCCTTTCCAATTGCTGCATCCTGCAATCAGTACTTTCTTGCACCGGTTGTGAAGCGGGTGCAACATACCTCTACCAGGGCATTTCGCATCTCTTGCAGGGTGAAGAATGCTTCCTTATCCGTACTTATCAAGATAATGGCGACAGACTCGTCTTTTGTTGCCGTCTCGTCGGCAACGCCACCAGAGTCTCCGCGCAGATCAAGAAAACTGACATACATGTACAGGTAGCCAGTGCTGTTGAACCCGGGGAGGCAAACAGGTATCCAGCGTTCACCACCCCCAGCCTTCACGCCATCTGCTTCGAATATCATGTTGAAAAGTAGCTGTAAGTCGCCAGGGTGTAATGAGTGCTTCTTCGGACGCACAACGCTCACGAGCCTGCCGCCAGCAACGACAAGCCCGTATAAAAGGTTGCTAACCCTTGTCTTTAATAGAGCATTGTTTATGACCTGACGATGAGATTTGCGGATTCTCAAGCATTCCAACGCCGAGAGAAGCGTAGAAGGAGAACCCATGGTGAAACTGTCTGCTAAGGATGAAAGAAGAGTCTCTGTTCCTTGCAGAGGGCGTCTCAAATCGGTAGAAGGTCGAACAGAAAAGAGGTGCGTGAGCCCAGGGAGGGTAAGGGTCGATAATATCTGCATGTACAAAGCTTCGAGTTGTAGCCTGAGCTGGGTATCGCTTTCGAGGATTCGACTAATAGCAACGAAATACAATGGGCCTTGCGTCAAGATAACAAATTTCGTGTCCCCAGCGGAGAAACTCTTCAGAGTGTCATTAGCATCCTGATAGAAGGAAATAATGGTCTGAATGATGCCGACGTATCCAGATATCAGACCGCCGTCGCCGTGTCGAGTCCAGATAGGTTTTCCAGCGGCAGAAAGAATAAGATAGTGCTTTCGTTTGCTTTTCCATCTTTCGAGAAGTAACTCTATCTCGATTCAGCGATAGTGGCGGAAGATATAGCTAGTGATACGAACCTTCATTCTGTCCGCCTTCCTCTAATTCGCCGATGGGCTCAAATTCGCCGGCGAAATCATCATCCACATCATCAGCCTGAAATTCAGGTAGGCTGAGCAATCCGGCATGGCCTGGGGATTCTCCTTCAGGTTCTGTTGGTCCGAAGTCGCCGAATATACTCTCTTCTTCGCCTGCATTTGGCAAGAAACTGCGGATACTGGCATTGTCTCCGGCCTCACTTGCTCTAGCACTCGCTAACTGATTCAGACTGGCCTTCGCCTTCAGACCTCTGCTCGCAAGATTACGACCCAATAGCGCTGAATATGTCTCCTTATTGTTGTCTGAGTAGCCCTGGGGAGTGATATCGGCCAGAGAGACCGCCGTCGTAGCTGTGGATTGAAGAGAGGGCCTGGTCAATGGACGTAGGCTGGGAGAAGAAGCACTAGTAGCAGTATTGTCCTCATCTAGTAATCCTAAAGGCCCGGAATGGTCGGCATCGTCTTCTGTCCGTGCCGCGTCTGGCGACTTGAGTTCCGATTCTTTGTAGTCCATGCTTATATCCTATCGCGCATGGACAGTTTACTTAGCCGTAAGGAGCTGACCCCAAGCCGCCGCAGCTTGAGAAAGATATGCACCATGGTATTTCTCAAGAGAACAGGGGCCTTGCAATCATCTCGAACTCCGTAAAACTTTAGATAAGTCTCGCATCTGGCGGATACTGATAGAAGCGATCAAAAGGACGGTCGCGGGGCTGCGTTGACGTAGGGCCGGGCGGCGGAGCTCATTGATGTCGGAGCTTTAGGCGGCGGCCAAAACATCTCCGGAGTGTCTGCGTGGCCTTCTAAACTCATGCGATGCGCGTTTGACCACCACAACATCCCAGAGGGATTGAATTTCATGCTTTGATGTATGATGAAGTCGAGCTTGATACCTCCCCCAGGTCACAAGTATCGACACTGGAATCATGAGCCTTGATCCCAGCGCGTTTCCGAGGTCAAATTCCCCCGCAAGTTCGGACAGCTCCTTGACCCGGCCGCGTGTGCGAGGAAAGGAAGGTTAGTTGCAACTCTCCGGCGTCTTTATATTTATGCCTTGGAATTGATTGCTAACTTCTCATTGATTGCAGAGACACTCAGGAAAGACAAGAACTATCGGCGCTATGCTTCCAGCATCGAGCGGGCGCTCTCACTGTTCGACACGGCATTGCAAGAATGGGCAGACTATATTTCTTTCCTCAGTCGCCTGCTAAAGGTGCGAGAACCCTTAAAATGACTGATAACCGATGCGCTAACCGGTGGAAGTAAAGGCACTCCAGTCTCATCCCCCAGACCTACCGATTGTGCCTCATAAAACAATAGTCGCAAAGAGACTGGCGCAATGCCTGAATCCATCATTGCCGTCTGGTGTACACCAAAAGGCGCTTGAGGTCTACACGTATATATTCTCATTAATAAAGGTATTTACCCGTACCGGATGCCTTCCAAGATACGTGCTAATTCATGTCCGACTACCGCTAGCCGGAGGGCCTTTCTCATGATCTCGCATTATACCTACCAGGCATAGCTCCCACCCTGACCTTCGCATCTCTCTCTGTGCGGCCGTTGTTTCTGTCCTTGGTTGAAACATTTCTTCCAGATCTCGAGCCTTGGGCCATTCGCCCTGCGTTGAAAGCTATAATACTCGCATTGCTTCCGGGGCTAGAGGAGGAAACAAGCGATGACTTCGAGACTACTCTACGGATCATCAACAAGTTTCGCAATGTCTCCAGCCAGATGCGTACGCAACGTCCTAGCGACAATGCGGATGCCAGTGGCCAATACTTCTGGCAATGCCTTTTCCTTGCGTCCATCACCAACCCAAGCAGACGTATGGGGGTTCTAGCTTACCTCAACCGCCATCTTCCTAAACTTGGAATGACAGACCACAAAAACGTAATATCTGATGACGGAAATCTTCAAATCCCCGAACAATTGCGCGCCACAGCTGAATCAGTAATTTCGCCAGAGCCCGGATTGCTTATCCGGTGTTTCGCAACTGGACTTGCTGACGACCAGCTTTTGGTCCAGCGGAATTTCCTCGATCTGCTTGTGACGCATCTACCTCTTCACTCGCCTATACTGCAGTCGCGAATTACGCGAGCCGATCTTCAGAAACTTGTGATAGCTGCAGCAGGTGTGGTTACTCGAAGGGATATGAGCTTAAATAGGAGGTTGTGGGCTTGGTTTCTGGGGCCAGATCCGGCCGCTTCTGGGAACGAGCGGACATCGTTCGAGTCTCCCAAAGCAAGCTCAGATAAGTCCCGTCCGCCTCCGGCGGATACTCAAGAGTATTCGCAATCACAATATTTCGGCCGCTTTGGCCTGGAGCCATTGGTGAAAGGTATCCTAGAAATGATCCAATATGAGTCCACTGCACCTTCAGAAAAAATCCGACCTCTTCGTATCTCTCTGTCCTTGATGGACCGTTGGGAGGTAGGAGGTTCTGTTGTCCCCGAAGTGTTCTTGCCGATTATGCGCAGCATCCAAGACTACGAGAATCTTGTCCCCCAGAATCAATTCGAAGAGGTCTTCCGCAGCGCCAGCGCATTTTTCGACGGGGTCGAGAGCAGCTTAATTTTTTCAGAACTCCTGTCCTTGATAGACTTCAAACCCGCGGACCTGGACACTGCCGTTGATGCAGTGTCGCGAAACTTGTCTCTGGCAGTGTTTATCACAGAAAATTTCAATATACGGGAAGAGGAAATGCTACTCATTCATATTCCTCTTTTGGTCTTGTCGCTTGTTGTCAAGATGGGTGAGTTGCCAGCGAGGCCTGGCGGGGTCCCAGATACCACGAGGACTGTTTCCAGCCAGCTACTACAGATCGCGAACGAATGCATCGGCTTGCTTTCTGAAAGGGCTTTATCGAGGAAAGCTGGTTCAGATAAAACGAATGGTACCCAGACGCCAGTCGCGGAGATTCCCTCAGAAGAAATTTTGGCTAGAATCCATTCCTTTTACCAGAAGAGCAAGGATGTCCTTGACCTGCCACCGCTGCCGTTCCCTCCCAAAGTCGTTGGAGAGCTCATCCTGCGTGAGAGTCATCGACTGAGCATGTCTGTGCTTGAGGGGAACGACTCGAGTCTTACTGTAAAAGAGAGCCTGAATCTTTTCGTGGCTTTACTGAAGAAGGTGCCCAAGTCTCGTATTCTCAGGGATGGAAGACTATACCGCGCTATCAACAGCCGCCTGACCTCTAGTGACGTGCAGTTGACTACTCCCGTCTTTGCTGCCATCTCATCTATTGTTTCTGCCGTAACGAGTCTTTATACCACACACACGATAGGCTTGCATATGACGTACGAGCAGATCTGCCGCCTTGTTCCTGTTCTTGTACAACAGCTGTGGATGTTCTTGTCTCCCTCGAGCCCAAAGTTCCATGTGGAAGCAGTCCGCTCACTGTGGCTATTACATTCGGTGTCGTGGCCTGATCATCTCGTTGAGGCTTCTATAACATATTTGATGGTGAAGTCGTCATCCGAGTCATGGCATGGATCTACTGCCGACGAGGCTGAGAAATTCTTTGTCTTATGGAATCATAGCCACCATGCAAACTATGAATTACCACTATTGCGTGTGACTGAAGAACTATCTGCAGCTGGGAAGTTCACGGGACACAACCGTGCATCGTACCAGTCTTCATTACTCGAGCGTCCGCTGTTCATTGTCTTGGATTTGTTATCAAATGGCCTCAACGAGGCTTCCCAGATAGTCCATGAATGGCTTCAAGACCTAGGATCAATCCACAAGTAAGTTGCTGATCTGTATATATTGTATATCTTCTGCTAACAACTTGTGCAGGGTCTTCCGCATGGTCATATCACGGCTGGAGCGTCTGTTCACTTCGGAATTGAAAGACCGTAACGGATCGACTCGCTTTACAGTATCCGCTGATCACTACAAAGAGTGCCACTATCTGTTTCGGATAGTTTCTAACATCCTCGTCACACTTTCTCATAATGGATGGATTTCACTGCTCACGCATTCCGTAGCTCCAGTTGAGAAGCGCCATGATCCTTCCTCATCTGAGGGTAAGTCGTCTCCGTATTAGGTTAGGATCCGATGCTGATAATAACAGACCAACCAGATCAGCAAAGCCTGCACCATGCTATCTTCAATACAGCGCTGTCTGTGATCGAACTGCGAGAGTCGACATCGCAGATGAGTTCAGAGGAAGAGAAACTACAGCAGATAGTCCTTCTGGTGCTACGGCAGCTGCTCGTTGGTCCGGGAGCTGAACGGATAATCGACTCGAACATAATTGAAATATTAATTGCACGACTCTCTCTGGCACTGGACCAGGACAGCAGCGCCACACAGAGAGCTACTATCGACACTCTCCTTGCAGCATTAAAAATCAAGTTCTTCCACGCAGCACAACCAGCACCACCCCCTGCATCAAAGCACAAACGAGCTGGCTCTCGAGATACCTTGACAAGTGCGTCGCTGCTGTCCTTGAGCACCGATAGAGTGGATAAGGTGCAGCCGGCGCCCGTCTTTCCGCAGCCGCCTCCGCAATTGTTGGACTGCCTTCTGAAGGGACTCAGCTCCTCAAAATCGCATGAGGCGGTGGATAAATGGGTGGTATTACTTTGCGAATGTCTCCCATTGTACCACGGGACGATCTTCCAGATCCTGCTCATGCTCGTGGAATGCCTCTGCAGACAGATACGGTCTTCATATAACAATCTGCAGCAAGTTTTCAAGAGAACAGCAAATTGGTCAGACGACTGTTCTGAGCAGGTGATTGTTGCCCTGCTCACTGGACTGGAGACCTGCCTTGCTACAGCTCATGAACGCCTGCTTCTTGAAGAAGCCAATGCGCCTTCTGTCAAGAGCCCGGATCAATCGCAGGGGTTTTTCGGCAACATGGTGTCAGGGGTGTTCACATCGGAAGGGAACCCTACTCGTAGCGCTGCTGCAAACAACAGACTTACTGTTCTACTATGTTTCCAAGATGCGGTTCGACTTTGCTTTTCCATCTGGGCCTGGGGCGCTTCCGGCAAAAATGGCGTGGCCCAGGACGCAGAGTCTGTCGCGTCTTTCCAATATACGTCGCTGAGAATGAGGAACCGCTCACGCAGAATCCTCGAGCATCTTTTCACAGCGGAGGCTCTCGAGTGCCTCGAGACATTGGTCGAAATGTGGAACAAGTCAGCTACAACAGAAGCAAACGCACCAACTCTGATCTTTAATCTCCTGCATACTTTGGACGGATCCCGGCCTAAGGTCACGATCCCTGCAATCTTCAATGCAATTTATAGTCGCACGAATCCCAGCGCCATCGACCCGAGCCGCAAGTCTGCCATGACCTTGAACATCACAGAAACCGACTTAGCAGCCTTCCTTGTGACGTACGCGAGATCTCTTGATGACGACGTCCTTGATGAGATCTGGAGTGATTGTATCACTTTTTTGCGAGATGTGCTAGCGAACCCGTTTCCCCACCGTCAGATACTTCCGCGACTGGTTGAATTCGCTGCCATTCTGGGTGCGAAGATGGAAAACACCAACTTTGGAGAGGATCGCAGGATGCGCAAGGATCTTGGCGACTTGTTACTCCGGCTGCTTACGGCAATATTCGCAAGCAAGCCATTGGGTCTTTCGCAGGAGGCGGCGTTGTCAAGCAGGTCTTCTTTGGATCATGATAACTCTTCGCCTATGCAGATAGGACCGGACGACGTGCTCAGCATTCTGGCTCTGTCGATGCCGGCGTTTATTACAACCCTAGGTGAATCCGATCGGATTGGTTCGGCCATGACAAGTGTGTCCACGAACGTGATAGGACCGTTGTTTCGCTCACGTCTATTTCCCAACAATATAAATAGGAATGTGTTGAGCCTGTTGCAGGATATGTCAAAGGTTCCGGCGGCGTCGAAGTCCTGGAGGAAAGATCTTTCGGATGCCTTCAATGACCCCAGGTTTTTTGGTTCTCAGGTCGATATTGTGAAGACCGGTTGGATGAGTCTGTTGCGACAGTGGATCATAGTTGACAAGGACCGATTGTCCGACCTCCTGGGCCGCCTTACGCCCCCAACATCGGCGGGAATAATGTTCGGTGTTGGCGCATCTGCAGCGCGATTGGAAGCTGACCGTAAAGCCCAGCTGAATCTCCGGAGGATTGCTCTTCTGATCCTTTCTGCGGACGAGGATCATTTCGTGACGGAACTTCCCGCTCTGCTTCAGAAAATGGAGGATCTCCTTGCTGCAACGAATGTCTCTTCCCCTTCATCTGCCACGAGAGCGGAGATTTTCATGGTTCTCCGATCTCTGGTGCTCAAGACATCTACGACTCATTTGGCACCCTTTTGGCCATTGATCAATACAGAGTTGCACGAAGCCATTTCGTCTATCGCCCAGGAACAGCCATCGGACCTTTATAACCCGTATTCGTTACTTCAAGCATGCAAACTGCTCGATGTATTGATCCTGACAGCTCCCGATGACTTCCAATTGCAGGAGTGGCTGTTCGTCACCGACACTGTCGACGCAGTCTATCCACCCCATCGTTGGGAACCTACTGCCTTGGCCGATGAGGTGTCTCAGGTGCTGGGAAGCCGAGGCGCAGCTTCCCCGACCATGCAAGTAGAGAACGGCGATATTCCAAAGGGACTGAAGAGACCCGCCCTGAACTCTGATCAGATTCGAGAAACTGCCAAAGACGAGATTGTGGACCGTGTTCTCCGGCCCTTCTTTGACCGTCTCAGTATTCATGCATTTGAGAGTACATACAGTATGGGGGTTCCCGACCTGGAGACCTGCAAGGATGATCTCCTTGCCGACCTGTTCAATGAGAGCACGATGGCCAATTGAGAGACGGATGGAATGGGATATAATTAGGTTATAGGACTATGAGGACATGTACCAATATTAGCAACTCGTACAGTATCATTGGATGACTCGCTTCGGGGGCGTTTCCGGGGTAGACTGGAACTCGGTAGAAAATAGATGATTTCGGCATTACGAAGCATCAGGGCATTCTTCTTCCTGCATTGGAGTTCCATCGGGATAGCGAGCAGATCAATAATAGTTCCCTGTGCGGGATCTCTGGTTTAGACACGGATCGCTGCCGACAAGCTTGTCCTCGGCCTTTTCCCATTTATTACTCCCCGCGCCAAGCCATAGTTAACTGCTGCTCCAGCTATCCATGACACTGCAACTCCTGTCCTGAAACCGCCGCCGACTTTCCATCTCTCATCACTCCTGAACAGCTGAAATCGTGTCTTGACGACTGTTATCTGAAGCTGCTATAACCATTCACATTCACGATGACTACTCGCGCGGCTCTTCCTCTCTTGCGTTCCGCTGCCACGCCGGCCGTCTGCGCGCGCATCTCTCCTAGAGCCTTCTCAACATCCAGCGCTCGTTTCAACTCTGGCAGCGCTCCATTGCCGCCGCGGAAGCCTGTTGGAGCTTTCCGAGGAGGGTGAGATACCTGCATCTGTCTCCTCTCTGTATACATGGCCCGTGAACTGACGTGCCGATCCTTCGCGCTGCAGGCTGTTTGGCTTCCTTTTCGGCTCTGTCCTGGCAGGTGCCTCGGTCTACTACTACGTCCTCGGAGAATACAGAATGTCAAACGAGATGCTGACGGAAGATATCTTCGTACGTTCGCCCCTTCACACCCCTCATAGCGTTCAATTCCAATGGGAGCTCGCTGCTTTCCTTGGAGATGTGCGGACCCAAATCCACGACGTCATAGCCGCCCCTATCTGGTGTATCGCGTATGGACAACCCAACGCGAATAACACCCCGTCCTTTACACATCTGAATAAAATATATTTCACTTCCTGAAGAGAACACATGGGACTGACGTTTGGTCCCCCCGATGGGGCTCCTACGATGATTTAGGCTCTGCAAGGCGCTACGCAAAAGCTCAACCGGTATATCACGGAGTTGGAGACCAAGGTTGATGAGCTGCAGAAGAAGGCGAGATGAGACACAGTACATGACCGAAGTATTATATGGTGTGATGGAGCCAATATCGCTCATCCGATTTCCTTCTTACCTTTTCCTCTTTTCTTCCCCCTTCTCGAGTTCTTTCAATAAGGCGTTATGAGTCTCGGACTTGCATGTGTATCAGACTTTTTTAAAAGGCATTTTCTTTTCTTTCTTTCTTTCTTTCTTTTTTTTTTTTTTTACTCTTCGTATGTTATTCAGTTGCACTCGGACAGTGAATACCCTTCTATTTTCTCTCGTTAACTCATTAGGTCTTTTTGCGGAGTATTTGCCGCGCACTCTAGTTATCTGAGATTATGGACTCTAGCGAAGCACGCTGGTTTCATGCTAGGTTGGGAGCCCGAAAAGGAGTATGTATCTCTTCTGGGGTGCGTGTAGCTGTTTTCCACTCCATTCTTCCACTGCAAGTCTGTCGCGTTTCAGCTTGTGCTTTGTCCATGTAGTATCTAACAAGATTTATGTACATACTACAATGGGACCCAAGGATAGGTGCTGTTGGTATATTCATAGTTCTGCAAATCTCCATACTCAATACCTCAACGCCGTGTGAAGTTTGTTCCCCATGCGAATAGCGCTTTCTAGTGACACTTCAAGAGTAATCCAGCCCAAGATAGAGCATAACCAGAATAATAAGAGAATACTTCACGAGAACAGCCTCACATCACATTATTATGATCCATCTGTATCTCGACAAGCGTGATTACTTCCCCGATCAAGCTTGGTGCAAACACTGCAAACAGTCCCGAGGCGAATCTGAGGCGCGACAAAGAGAAACGAAGATTCACTTGAAGCTCATCAGATCATCCAATCTCGACACGCTATTTAACACCGTCTTGCCTCTTGACAGAGGACGCGTTTACATGGCAACAAGATAGTATTCTTTGTTGTTCTGCTGGACTGACGCGAGCCTTGGACACGACTAACTTACTACCGGCCATGCCTCTCGTCGAAGTCCTCACGACCTCGACGTCCCTCCAGCCCGGCTGGACCTACGTGCCGGATAATGGATTCGACCCGTCCAAAGCGGCCATCAAGCCAGGTTTAGGACGCAAAAGAACCGTGCGCGATGGCGGTAGAACGGATTTGACGTCTAGAGAAAATACCGCGATCGTGAGACATCTCGCGGAGCTGGATCGGGAGAATCATCGCGACGTACAGATTCCTATCCCCACGAGGCAGCCGAAAGATGCTCCTGCTAGAGGTATGCGCTACACCTTTGAGACTTCCTTTTAATTTCTTGTGAAGGGGGTTTTAGCTAACACGAGCTTTTTGTCATCTTACCAGGGTCGTCGAGAGCTAAGACAACCTCCAACGTCCGTCGCATCTTGCAGTCGCAGAAGACTTTCAGGAATTATCTCGACGATGAAGAAGCCGCGCTCGCGCAAGCAGCACAGCATCAATCTACTGCGGCAGGACACCGCGGTTCTATAGCTAAGATTACGAAACCTGCTGCCCGACGGAGTGCCACCCCTGCAGCAGCAGCAGCAGCAGCAGCATCTAAACCAGAGAAAGGACGCCAGCAGAAACAACCCTCCGTAGTCCCATCCACGACTCCAGCTCCAGCTCCCTCAGAATCGACAGACCCTGCTACGGCATCCCAGAAACAGGACGCCAAGACGCAGTTGATCAAGAGCGAATATGATAACGACCCTCTACTTCGATCTTATGTCCCCTCCGTGCCTTCGGAAAGGATCATGCAAGCGCTCCTGGCCGAACCGCCGCTGATGTACAACGCATCGCGTGCGGGCCCTCCGCTATCCCAGAAGCCACCACGGCACTTCTGTGCTATTTGCGGATACTGGGGCAAAATCAGGTGCCGGAGTTGTCATGTCAGGACTTGCGGGCTGGACTGCTACAAGGTACATGAGGAATCGAGATGTGGCGCGTTCTTCTAAGTTCGAGGTTCTGGATGGGATATCACGATTATGTGGCCGAGGCAGTAGTGGTTCATGTCTGAATGCACCTATATGCTACTCCACCAGCGAACTTCCCCATCGAGGACAATATCTTCCTCAGCAGAGGGAGATATCTGCAGAAACGAGTTGCGTTTCTCTGTGCTCCATATAAAGATGTGGAATAATCAACCCTGCTATATGGGAACCAGGCTGCTATAATTCCTCGATCAGTGAACTATGATCTGGAAAAGCTCCCGACCACCTATCTAGCTGCAGAAGGGGACATTCCATGGAATTCGCGTTCCTGGCCAACGCAAACTAGCAGGTCCTTCGTTCCTCTTAGAAACAGGGACCTGTCAAGGTCGAGTCACTCGCAAGTTGCACCGTTCAGGTCAAGTCATGAGCAATGACCATAATCAAAAAACGACCTCAGGAGGCAAAGAAAGCGCCATCAAATGCAGCTATGCCTTTCCTATCGAGGAGGGGGTCAAACAATAAGGCCTTCCGATAGATACCCGCGGCTCCACCAGCCGTATATATACTCAACCATCTCCCAACTAAAGATAGCTGATAGACATGGTACGATAATGAATAACACTATAATAATAATGACCATAATAAGAATCTCTCAAGCTTCAATTAGCATTGTATAATACATAAATAACCAAAGTAGAGCTTCTCTCGCTTCTTCAGCTAAAAAGAAGAGACAAGAGCAGAAAAGAAAGCAAATACTAGTTACTCCTCTGTAAGCCCTTTCATCTCTAGAGGACCCAATATGCAACAATAGAGCATCAACATCAACACTTTAATCGAATACCCGCTCTCAACTCCTCTTCTCGAACCTCAAACATGACTTGTACGCCCACAAAGAGTACCACACACGAAGAGATCAAGTAAACAATGCCGGAATACGAGCCTAGAATGCCACTTAAGAGACCCTTTAGTCCGTCTAAGCCGAGAGCAAATCCGACCAGGTTGGCTATCATCATCATGAGAACGTTTCCGACGGCGCCGATTCCGGATAGAACTCTGTAGGCGGTGGGTCGTGACTGCCATCGGTTTGCAGGGAAGAGGAGACCGGCGATGACTTCGGGGAGGACGAAAAGTGTGATTAGCCATCCCCACATGAGGAGACGGAGGTTGATGTCGTGCCAGAGCGCAACGAATGTGAAGACGGCGAGGAGATTGATGATCGTGCGGGCTTTGGAGCGTAAGATCGTGGCCAATGTGGGTTTCTCACCCGTAGAGACACGGCGACCTCCACTGCCTCCTAGGGGGATGTAGATATAGCGGACGATCCAGCGGTTGAAGGAACGGTGCCACCCACGCCAGAATGAGAGGGCGGAGTAATTGTTGGACATGCACCGGACCATGTTTTCAGGAGGGTCGATTCCGTCGACCAGTGCCCAGAGACGGAAGAAACGCCATGGAATGAGAAGCTTCAGCCAGATGATGTGTAGGTTGAAGTAGCCCAGCATGCTGAGCTGGCCGGGTGTGTATACGGACCAATCCGGGTTTGATTTCGAGATAGCCACAACGTAGATATAATGCAGGATGAGCTCCATGGCAAGCAATGTCAGGAAGAAACGGATGCCGTAGAGGAGAGTCCGGGTCCGCGTGACTGAGGCTGGGGAATATCTCTGCTGAGAAATGTAGTCGTTGAATGTGAGGATAGGCCCGGTGAGATAAAGAGGGGAGTAGAGAATATAGGCGATGTAGTTCCTGGGGCTAAAAGCTGCCGGTTCAGCGGGGATGGCGACACGGTCACGCTCAGACAGGGCCGAGGGATCAAGTTGCTTCTTCTTATGGGCGTCAGAGATAGAACCGAGATAACAGAATGATGGGGACATACCTCGATCGGACTGCTTGAGGGGTAATCCAAGCTCCAGTAGTAGTCCATATTGAAACTGATGAGTCGCAGGACCGTGATGTTGAATAGGATCTCCCATCGCGGCATCAATCCCCCGAGACCATCCAGCCATTCTGCCCAACGCACAAGAGCCGTTTCGTCTCCAGATACAGCTTTTGCAACATTGGCAAGAGGGTATCCTCCACACAATTCATTTGCGAACAGGGTGCCAACGTTGAATACCCATGTGACTGCCGGGATATACTTCCGCGGAAGCTTCGTGGCAATGTTATAGTTCAAGTACAGAATAAAGAGCACTTTGGCCGCAGAGATTCCATGCAGAGCTGTTATGAATATCAAGGCGAAGTAGTAGTCGAATGTGATCCGCTGTTTTAGACGAGCGTCCCCCGCAGCAGCAATTGTGGGCTTCGCACCTTGCGTTACAGATCGCGCGTCAACCGGGGATAGTGAATTGTACAGTCGACGGAGGAGGGGATGTAGGATCAACAGCAGGAGGAGATATGGGATATTATCGCGGAAACTGGAGTACTGCGCATCCGAGTTGTCCTTCAGAAATAAACGTGGTTAGTGGTTTGCCACATCGCAAGCAGAACAAGAACAGACTCACGACTTTACGCCCGGGTATCCAACCCGGAGAGAGAAGGTCAGAATATGTTGAATAAGTGGGATAACTCTCTATATGAACAGTTCAGCGCATGTTCTTCCACTACCTCGACTTCTTTCCCCACAGCTGTTACCAACCTTGCGAAATATCAATGACCGTCTTGAACATCAACGGCACCAAGGTTATGAAGAAGAGGTAATAGACGAAGAACTCTGGCGTCTTCCATTTTGGTGGGGAGGCGCCATTGGGAAGTGAGCTGGTTCTGTTATTCTTGTCCCCAGTCGATGCTTCGGCGGTTCGCGTGTCAGGAGCCGCTTTGAGCGATGTGGTTGCAGACGCAGTGAAGCGAGTGTCCAAAGTATCGAGGGAGTAGAGCCTCCGAAGCCAATAGAGGAATTTCATCGTATCTCCAGCATCGCGCATGCGAATCCCGCGGCGGCGTATCTGTGTCGAGTGATCTGCGGAGGAGCGACTCTGGACTGTCCGGGGATGAAGCGCGCTGGCTCAGGGGCCGAGGCCTCTCATTGGCCGCGCGTTCGCCAGTAATAGATGCGCTCTCTATGATGACCCCAATATCGATATTAACTACAGTTAACTAGCTAACTGTTGTATTTAACTGACTGATATTCAAGTACAAGACCTATATGCGGAAGAATATTATCGCTAGCCCATGTATATTGCACCAATATAACACAATTATACTGATATCCAGCCATAGCTTATACTACCTAACTCCCATAGACGCCATCGAATGCGACGCAGTAATCGTAATGGTCATAAGAACTTCCGGTTTCCCGAGCACATACGTGCAGCATCTTCCGAGAAGACATCACAAAAATGAAAGACATAATAATTAGGCTGGCATCATCTCGATTCGCGGTCCAGCGCTCTTGGAATTGCCTTTCTTCGCGAACGATGCAGAGCTATTGCCTCCTTTCGCTGCACTGGACCGAGAGCCAGAAGCCCTCTTCTTGGTACCAGAATCAGCCCCCTTCTTCCGCCATGTGCGCTTTGTAGTTCCTTTTGTCGCCGCGCGTTGTCGACCTTTCGTGGATGGTGCTGGGCTGCCTCGAGACATTACCCGACGGGTCGAACGACTGGTAGGGGGTCGATCTTGAGGAACTGATTAGAGTAAGCATATAAGAAATGGATACAAACCCCAATGGCGATAGCTAAGCTCACCTTCAAAATATTGACTAGTGATAGTATTGTCGAGATCGAGGTTAGAAACCCCGTCTGCGAAAAGATCGTCGTCACTGAATTCATCATCACTGCTGATGGGGATGACAGTATCGTGATTTGGATCATGCACCACACCATTATGTTCGCCTTTGAGGTCTTCGTAATGTTGCTGTGCCCCACGAATGAGCCGCAGGAACTGAGAACCATACCGTTCAACCTTGTCAGAGTCAATGCCTCCTATCGCAAGAAGTTCGCTTTCGTCTGTGGAAATAGTTAGAAACGGCATTTTCCAAGCACGTGGAACATTTGGCTCTTACTTTTAGGGAAGCGGATCGCCATGTCGCGCAAGATGCTGTCAGGGAAGGGCTGGCTCCGAAGGCCTTTCTTCATCATGATCTAGTGGAAATGTTAGACACGTGCAGACCTTCTTGTAAGAGAAGAAACTCACATCATGACACTCTTTCTTCGCACGTATCACAAAGTCTTCGACGACCATATGGTGTATACTATCCAATTCTTTCATCTTCTCATCGCCGGTGATAGGGGGCCCAACAGTATGTCGTTCCCGTCTCTCTGGCTTTCCAGCGATACGGATCCTCTCGAAGCCATCGCTGTCTTCATCCTCGGAGAGTTGAGGACCCTGCATAGCATCTGTGCCTTTTCGAGCAGCGCGGCGGCGAGATGCCGACAATATAGGAGACGATACATTTGTGGACTGCGGGTAATCTTCTGTCGCAGCCCGCACACCGGTACCATGTTTCTTTCGTTTGGCTTTTCCGTTAGGAGAAACTCGCACTTGCAGCTTCAGTTGCTGCCGTCCGCTCTCGAAGTCTTTGGCTCTACGGCCCGGCTCGATGTATTGAATTGTGATTCCTTTCCTGACCGCGTGATTATGTTCCTTGAATGCTTCCTCACTCAATAACCGGAAGAAAAGACGTTCGACCTCTCCTAGCTCAAGATCAGACCCTGCTCCAAATTCTGGTAGGTCTCTGTGCTGATCCTTGACCTTCTTATTCTTGACGCCACGGAAGATGTCAACACACTGAAGCAAGGTTACCCGCTCCTTGTTGTCCTTTAAGCGACGAACGAGCTTCACGGCTAACGCGGCGTGCTCGCTAAAGTCATGTGTCTCGAAAACGGCGTCTGATTTGCAATTGTCACAAGAGGAGTTGCAATCTTCCTTTCGGAATGGCTCGTTGAAGTATGCAAGAACCTGTACGCGCCTGCAGTCGCTTCGGTTTTCGCAAAACTGGACGACGTTGCGCAACATCTGATGCTGGCGGTCCTTCTGTTCCCAGCTCCCGTCTCCTTTGTCTATCATGTGCCTCAACGTACTTACATCGCGGTAACCATAATAAAGGTAACAGCCAGAGCGCTTGCCATCTCTTCCAGCGCGACCGGTCTCTTGATAGTATCCCTCAAGACTCTTGGGCATGGAATGATGAATGACAAAGCGAACATCTGGTTTGTCGATTCCCATACCGAAAGCAATCGTCGCGACCATCACACGGCATTTTCCGGACTGCCAAAGTCTTTGCACGTTGGCCCTGGCTGACGAGTCCATGCCAGCATGATAGAACTCAGCCTTGATGCGATATTCTTTCTTGAGTTGTTCGGCAACTTTCTGGCAATCATTTCTAGAGAGACAATAAATTATGCCCGATTGGCCTTTGTAGTAAGTCGTGATGGTCTCTGCTATGCTGGCGAGAACGTCTTTGGCACCTGCCTTTTTCCGCACTTCGTACGTCAGATTCGGCCGATTGAAGCTTTGCAGAAAGATTTCACAGCCTCTCATGCCGAGATTATGCATGACATCGACCTTCACGTTTTCAGTGGCTGTCGCTGTAAGAGCCATTACTGGCACTCCGGGAAACTGAGATCTGACTTCACCCAGTTCCTTGTAGTCTGGCCGAAAATCATGGCCCCATTGACTTACGCAGTGTGCTTCATCGATCACGATCCGTGCAAGCTTCTGTCTCCGATGAAGCGTCAACAAGCAATCGACGAGTCGTTTGTTCTTGTTGATCATCTCGGGAGTAATGTAGAGTAGCTGGATAAGCTTCTCCGCGCTAGAGCTAGCTAGAGTCTGCATTAGCCAGTTCCGATGATCTGCCTCTACCTCCCCGTTGATAAAGAAGGCCTTGATATCCAGCCGTTTCAGATGAGAGACCTGATCTTCCATCAAGCTGAGAAGGGGTGATATCACGATAGTGACACCCTTGGTGCGACCACTATTGATAACGGAGGGCAGTTGATAACATAGAGATTTACCCCCTCCAGTAGGCATGAGGACAAATGTATCTTTGCCGCCGAGAGTCGCGTTGATGGCTTCGAGTTGATTTGGACGGAAGCCGCGCAGGTGGAAACGGTCCCTCATAACCGCCTTCACATCCTTCGACCACGGATGAGACATCATTAAAGCAGGATCGGCACTTGGCTTCTTTGCTGATGACAATTTAGTGGCGTTACCCGAAGTCTCTGCAAAGACTTTGCGGTTCTGCACTGGAAGATCGTCGTCTGAAGAGAATCCGGTATCGAGATCCTCGGCAGCTTGTAGCATAGCCTCATCATTTGCGTCTAGATCGAACTCATCCATTCCCCGACCTATAGGTTCTGGGGTTCCCATATTTCGCGTGAAAATCTCCTCGTCAATCATAAAATCATCGTCATCGGCATACTGAGTCTCGCGGTCTTCGAATGCGGAACCGGCTGTGTACCGTGCGTGAGACGACATTTCCGTGCTGGAACAAATTGCATCTTTGGAGCGGCTCTGAAAGTTGGACGCTTGAAGAGCGGGAGCAGTCGACACTGGTGACCGCGTTTTCGGTTCAAGATTTCGCTCCGTGAAACTGCTTTGTCCCTTGTCAGGTTGGGTATGTTTGCTAAACGGCTGCGTAGCCTCCACCAAGACATCCTGCTCTGACGTTCTGGCCGGCAAGGAATCGCTCTCATGGGCGCCAAAAACATCAACAGTTTGCAGCAAGCTCGATATCCTGTCTTCAATGGCATTCAGCTCTTGGGCAATTGATCGACTCTTTGCAAGCTCTGCGGCCTGGTCGGATAGGTCGCCGCCTTGTTTAATGATCTCTATCATCGCCTTTTTGAGTTCATCCTTCTGTGAGGCGAACTTATCATGTGCAGCTTTCTCATTCCGCAATTGTTCGACTGCATTGGCCTTGGCAATGAGCATCCTGTTCTGGGCCATTAAGTCGTCGACTGAGTCGCCTACCATAGCTCGGTGGTATATGATCTGGGCATTCGCTTCCTTACTGGCCTCGAACGTCTTAATGAGTCCGTCAAGTTTCTGCGAAGACATGTCCAGGAACTTTGTCACGTCGTCGTCTCTACTCTCTTGAGTGCTTGGGGTAACTGGAGAAGGCAAGGTCTGCAAATAGCTGATCTTTGTTGCACTTTCATGCGCCTTCGCGGTGGACTGGTGCCGAGATACCGTAGCCGCTAATAAATTATTGTCCGTGACGCCTGATTCATCCTTCTGCTTTTTGGGCCTAGGTCCTGCCTTGCCTAAAGAGCTATTGCTGGTCGAAGCGCGTTGAGAAAAGCTTGGATGCAATCCATCGTCTGAATGAAGTTCCACAATCTCCGAGTCAGTAGCCACTCCGTCGCATTCCTCATCATCCGAGTCTGCAATCACTCGCTTCGAGCCAGCGCGGCGAGGGAGGTCAGGCGTTTTCCTCTTAACGCCCAATTTCCCAGGTGACTGGCTTTCCTTCTTAGACAATGTCCGCTTTCGTGGACTAGGAGATGCCGGGGCCTGGAAGTCCTCGAAGTTGTCTTGAAGCTCATTCTTAGTACCTGATTTCGGAGAAAGGATGCGAGGGTTGGTCTTCTTTGGCGATAAGAGGTCGGATGTATATTCATCGCTCTTTCTCTTTTTCCCTCGCTTTTCGGTGGGTTCCGCGCGGGATGCGAAGTCCTCCCTCCAGATACGACGTGCTTCACCAAACGCTTCGATTGTGCTGGAAGAAGCATCTTCGTCGAATTCGCCGGTCAGATCGATTTCATCGATATCGGCGATTGGCGATTTGACGTAAGGCAACGGTGAGCGGCGAGGGAGCTGTTTCTTGACACTGGCTTGAGAGGATGATCGCTTAGAGTTATCGGCATGATCTATTGACATAAATGTCCATATTAGAGTTGTCCAAATGCATTTATCTATGGACGTCCGAACCTTTGAGAGAATAACGATCCTCTACGCGCAGCGCACTATGCATAGAATGCCCATTACCATTCACAGTCGGGGTTCTTGGACTGCTTGACGATAGCAGTCGAGGCTTCGTCGCTGATTGAGGGGCGAATTGAAGCCTTGCCATATCGGTATCGGTTCTCAATCGATCGCCATCGTTGTCAATGTCCCCCACCCCAAGCTCTGTAGGGTTATCGAGCTGTACCACTTGTGGATCTACTGTCGCTGGGACGAATAGTTCAGAGTCCGGCTGTGATTGCTTCAGTTCCGTTCTCGTAGCAGCTGAGCAATTCTCCGACTGTTTCGGTAGCTGGAGGGTAGGATATAGCGACGGACCGCGATGCAGCAACCAGGTCAAATGCTGCTTCAAATTGTTCCTAGTCATAGAGACGGTTCATTTCCTGAGTCCCATGCTCTGCGCCTCTCTGTCCGTTGGCATGGGTCTGTTGTTCGTCGACTTGGATGATGATTCTCTCGACGATCATAATACATAACAATACCGAGAGGAGTCCAGTGGACGCGTGCTGGGCGCGTTTGCACGTGACGTCGCGGCGCGGGCAACGGCGGGGCGGAAAAGCGACGAGAACACAGTGGGATGTCCATAGTGGGGAAATATTGGCTTGGATGGCCGCAATGGAAAGGTTTTAAAGAGACGGAACTATCTTTCAGATCTGGGGTTTCTCAGTAAGATACCGACGAGAAATATAAGAGAATATATCCCACTCCGTATATTTGGCGCTTTGATTCTGTCTCCTGGGTAGTATCTCTCGCCCAACATGGGCAAAAAAGATAAAAAGTCCGCGGAGAAGAAAGCACGGGTCGCCGCGAAGCAGTCCAAGAAGGCCGCACAGAAAGAGAAGAAGAACAAGACAAAGGGCCGCGGAGACGATAGTGATGCTGAAGATGTCGATCTTGACGCTGTCCTTGCAGCCTATGCTGAGGAGCAGGCGAAATTTCTCAAGGTCACTGAAGTGGTCTCAGGCCCGCCCTCCCCACGTTCTTCCTGCACATTGATCGCTTCCCCCGCAAATCGAAACGAACTGATGCTATTTGGAGGCGAATATTTCGATGGAGCCCTAGCCAATTTCTACAACAACCTCTTTGTTTATCTGATAGACAGGGGTGAATGGAGAGAGGTGACCAGTCCAAACAGCCCACTGCCCCGTAGTGGGCATGCATGGTGCCGTGGTGGAAATGCTGGTGGCATATACTTGTTTGGAGGTGGGTATAGCTCTGATTCTCCTCGTATTTTCAAACTATGCTTGAGACTGATGACAATATAGGAGAATTCTCCTCTCCTAAACAGGGTACTTTCTATCATTACAATGACTTTTGGAATCTGGATCCCGCCACAAGGGAGTGGACTAGAGTTGAGACTAAAGGAAAAGGCCCTCCTGCCAGAAGTGGCCATCGAATGACTTACTTCAAGGTATATATACTCTACAACGGATGGTTACATTTGAATATTCATAGACGATTACTAACCTTCAGATAGAACTATATAATTCTGTTTGGCGGTTTCCAGGATACGTCGCAGCAGACAAAATATCTGCAAGATCTATGGCTCTATGACACACAAAAGTTCACCTGGTATAACCCAACATTGCCACCGGCATCTCAGAAGCCGGACCCTCGATCCTCGTTCTCCTTTTTGCCCCATGAATCTGGAGCTGTGCTGTACGGCGGGTATTCTCGTGTGAAAGCCACGACGTCTGTCGGCGGAAAGCAAGGGAAAGGCGGGCCTCAGAGAATGACCTTGAAGCCTATGGTGCACCAGGATACTTGGCTTCTTCGAATCACACCTCCTGCGGCTGATGCGCCTGCCACAGCTGGTCCAACCGTGCGTTGGGAACGGAGAAAAAAGCCGGCCAACCCACCAAACCCACCCCGTGCCGGTGCAACAATGGCTTACCACAAAGGTCGCGGAATCATGTTTGGTGGTGTTCATGATGTCGAACTTAGTGAGGAAGGAATTGACAGTGAATTCTTCGACACTCTCTTAGCATGGAATACGGACAGAAACCGTTTCTTCCCGATGGCCTTGCGACGTCCAAGGGCCCCTGGCAAGAAACAGCCTGTGGCCAAGTCTAGGAATCGTGGTAAGGAGGATGAGGAAGAATTGCTGCGGAACCTAGCAGCTCTCGAAGCTAAGGGAACGATGCGGAGGGAGGAGCTTGATGAGATCGATGTTGCTGTTCCAAAGAGTGAAGAGCCAGCCGAGCCTGAAAAAGAGGCTATCGTGCGTTTCGAAATGCCACACCCAAGATTCAACGCCCAGCTGGCCGTTCAAGACGATACGCTGTTCATCTTTGGCGGGACGTACGAGAGGGGTGATCAGGAATTCGCGTTCAATGACATGTATTCCATTGATCTAGTTAAGCTTGACGGTGTCAAGGAAATATTCTTCAAGGAGCCCGATAACTGGAACGCCAAGGACGTAGAGGAGAGCGAAGACGAGGAAGACGAGGACGAAGACGATGAGGATGAGGAAGAGGGTGAAGAGGATGAAGATGTCGCATCTGCAGACGGCGCTTCCACAGCCCCAACTGAAGTTACCGTTCCCTCGGTAACTCGTGAAGTGGAACAACTCGAGATTGAGGAGCAGGAAACAGAGCCGGCTGTCAAGGATTCGCGTCCCCAACCACGACCGTTCGAGAGCTTGAGGGAGTTCTTCTCTCGGACTTCCGAGGAGTGGCAGAAGATCATCATGGACAAGTTACAGGAGAGAAATGGTACAGTTGACAAGTCAGTCAAGGAGCTCCGCAAAGAGGCGTTTGATCTTGCGGAAGAGAAGTGGTGGGATAGCAGAGAGGAAGTCATGGCGTTGGAAGATGAACAGGAAGCAGCTGGTATTGGTGAAGTTGTTAGCATCGCTGATAGGGGCGATAATGTTGGTGGTGCAGGTCGTCGGAGATGACCCTGAAAGTTATGATGCATCTTCTAAAGTACATAAATCTGCATGATATCCACGATATTTGAAATTTTTATTCTTGGGGTCGACTCTCGGATTCGTCTTTCTATTTCTTTTGCTCATTCTCTTCCAAAATGCTCTGCAAAACACCAGTTACAATCTCAAAATCCCTCTGTTCATCTACCCTCCAATTTGAAATCGCAATCCTGCATGCCGGCCTCCCTTCCCACACAGTTCCTGACACGAATATCTTTGATGTTACATTAATATTCTTGGCCAGCTCCCCATTGAGGCGCTCATCTTGAGCACTGAATAGCACAACCATATAAGTATTCTGCAGCAGTTCCTTCTTACTTCCATAGGTTGGTAAGACAGTATATGCAGGATGGTCGAATAGCCATGTAGAGATCATTCTCGCCAGTCGGATTTGCCGCTTCAGCATTTCCCTGTAGCCGCTCTTGCCGTATGATATCAGGGAAGAGTACAGCGGAAGGGCCCTGAAGCGTCTCGAATTCTCGATTCCGATATTCAGCGGAGATGGAATGGCGATTCCTGACGACTCACCAGAGCTCAGGTATGCCGCGTTAGCATTCTGAAAGACATTTCCCGCGACATGGGCGTGTCGACAGAGAAAGAAACCACAGTCGTAGGGTACATTGAGCAATTTATGTCCATCTCCAGTAATGGAGTCCGCCAGCTCCAGACCTTCGCATCCCGCTTTGATTGATGAGAATTCCGGTGTGTCTTCAAGAATTCGCCCAAATATACCGAACGCTCCGTCGACGTGAATCCAGGCACCATATTCATCGCAGAGCCTTCGGATTTCTTTCATCTGATCGATACCCCTCGTTGCGAAACGCCCTGTATTGACTTCTCCACATGATATGGCCACAATACTAGCTGTTTCAGGTTGAGCTAATTCTTCTTCAAGCAACGCCATGTCGAATTGCAGGGGATCATCCTTGACGCAGATATTCTTCACGTTGGCACGACCAATACCTAATATGCCCGCCGCTTTACCCACTGATGAATGAGGCATTGTTGAAAGCACCTGAAATCGCGAAAGCCCTGCTGCCTTGAGGACCTCAAGATAGCCATGTTCTCCCATGCTCTTCACAGAGCTTCCCTTTCGTTCTGCAGCAGTGCGCAGAACAAACTCCCTTCCACACGCCAGGCCCATGATATTACTCGCAGTTGCACCTGTAGTAAAGGTGCCATTTTTCCACTGCTGCCGATCTAACTTTAATAAATCCGTAAGAAGCCCCAATGCAGCGTTTTCAACATCCGTCACTATAGAATGATTGGGCAAATGGACTTGGACATTCTGGTCATAGGCGGAGACGACGTTGTCCGCGAAGAGTGCTGCCGGTGTCGTTCCTCCGGTCACGAACCCATAATAATTGGGACTGATGCTTCCACCATTGAAGCCTGGCACAATATCCTCGAGGATGTGACTCTGTGTTTCCGCGAAGCCTATCCCATCTTCCACAAGAGATGTCTTTAGAGACTTTCTCGCTCGGTCCAAACTATCAGCGCTGGGGAGAACACCAGATTCCCAAGGACCCAACGCTGTTCTCCAGAGTTGCTGTTGGATAGCTGCCTGATCTTTCAGAATTCTGGTAGTATGTTCCGCATCCATGATTGGATCCTGTCTATAAACGAGATCAACTCGGTGGTTTTGGAAGAGAATGAGTCATTTATATACTTTCGAAGTTAGCCATTTCGAGAAGGTAATCTTAGCGCTTCAGTGATTTCAGCCTAAAGGTAGGAATGCGACTCTAGCCCTAGTCGTGGTAGGATTGACAACTGCATCTTCGTTGCATATGTCACCAAAGGATGAATGTGAGACTAACAACCGAATCTGTCTGCAACGGCAAACCGCTACTTAACTTAAAGACGTGGTAAGTCCATCAAAACAAAAACTGTATCAATTGTGTAAAGTAGATATCTCTACCGCTCGACTCACATTCGAGATATTTCAAGGTGTGATCGCTTATCCCCGCCTCCCCGCGATCTTTGGTGGCGGCGTACCTACTCCGTTTTACTCTACTCTAGGAAGTCTAGCTGGCTAGCTCTGATTGTCTTCAGCAGAGTTGCTCGGGGCCCCACCCGCAATTGTTCAGACCGACAACTTCCTAGAGACCATAACACAGGACAATTGACGCGAAAGTCCTGTATCTATATGATTTGAATGGCCAAATAACCATTCCGAGAGCCTATATCATATTCTTCACTGAAGTGGGCACAACATGACGATCGCAAAGCTAATCGATAAACGCTTCCATAATATTCCCGGTGAGATTTATTTCCTCCCTGATCTCAATGGATATCTTTGGGATGAAATCAATGTCTAGTAATTGATAGCACAGTTGCTAATATCATAACAGGCAAGCTTCGGGTCGCTGAGATGTTCTTTGACGTCCCAGTGGATTACAGCAAGCCTTCAGAGGGAACCATTCGTCTCTTTGCGCGAAGCGTCAAGCGCCTGGTGACGCCTCCAGAACCGGAGAAAGATGAAAAGCAGCTCCCATGGTTCGTCTATCTACAGGGTGGCCCCGGTTTTGGATGTCGTCCACCGCAGGAATACGGTTGGATTGGAACTGTGCTCGATAAGGGCTATCAGGTAAGTCTATCCTTATATAGAGCCTACGAAACCGGAATGCGTGTTTGTTGGAAAAGACGGTATCTAAGAGTAATTATAGCTACTGTTTCTGGACCAGCGCGGAACTGGCCTCAGTTCAACTATTACCGCAAAGACCCTCACTCTTCAGGGCAACGCGGTGAAGCAAGCTGAGTATCTTAGACATTTCCGCGCGGATAACATTGTTCGCGACTGCGAAGCCCTTCGCAAGTTCCTGACGGCGGACTACCCGGATGAGCAGAAGAAATGGAGCGTTATTGGACAGAGCTTTGGTGGCTTCTGCGCCGTGACCTACCTCTCGAAGCAGTGAGTTTCCGCCCTAGACAATGCTGCGATGACATCTGACAGGATCGCTTATTCGGATCATAGCCCAGAAGGATTGAGGGAAGTCTTCACGACCGGTGGGCTACCGCCACTAGTCGATGAGCCAGATCCGGTTTACAAATTAACCTACGGTAAGAAAAAAAAAACAATGGGTAATTCTCTTACAGGGTGCGAACTGACGACGCACAGAGAAGGTCCAGCAGAGGAACAAAGCGTATTATGCCAAGTATCCTGAGGATGCTGAAAGGGTGAAGGAGATTCTTAAGTACCTGGAGGTGAATGATGTGCCTTTACCTTCTGGGCGTCTCACGGCTCGACGATTTCAACAGCTGGGCATTATGTTTGGCATGCACGGTAAGGCGCTGTCCCTCCAGCAAGGGATGATTATTCGCTGACAATAGAAACCATACAGGTGGGCTTGATAGCATTCACGGTATGTATAGCCTGCACAGGAAAATGAACTGCAGACTAAACAGGAGTAGATATTGTGCTGCGAGCCCATAGTGATCTGACGTTCTTCGGCTTCTTAACGCGCCCGACACTTTCCGTCATCGACAGTTATGGCTCTTTCGATTCTAGCGTTCTATATGCCATACTCCATGAGGCTATTTATTGCCAAGGGTGATGCTACCTTTGAACAACTTCCTTAAACTCTCACTAACCTTATAGCAGACGAGCATCGAATTGGTCTGCCGACAGACTCATATCAGACTTTCCCCCCTTCCGCATTGACGATGAGGCGCCGCAAGTCTTCTTCACCGGAGAGATGGTGAGTTAAGGCAGCTCAATTCCCCGTGGACATGGGGCTAAAGTGCTGACTTCAACACCAAGATATACAAGGACATGTTCGAATCATACGATGAGTTGAAAAAGATGAAGGACGTAGCAGATATCCTCGCAACATACGATGACTGGCCGGCTCTGTATGATGAGGAACAGCTGGCGAAGAACGAAGTCCCCGTGTATTCAGCCACCTACGTGGACGACATGTATGTCCACTTTGACCTTGCAAGATCCACTGCGTCGAGAATCAAGGAGACAAAGCAGTTCATCACAAATACGATGTATCACGACGGACTGCGTAGCAAGTCTGATGAACTTATGCGAGAGCTTTTCTCCCTTAAGGAGGATAGCATCGACTAGGGGGAAGACAAGTCTGTGCGCCTTCTTAAGGATTGACCTCGCTTGAAGATAATCTTCCGACTAGATTCCGCTTCTGGGAATGGATATGTATCTTCGAAAGAATAACTCAATCATCTATTGACCGTCCGAAATCAATCAACCTTAGTCGCCTTGCATCTCGATGATGGAACTGAGCGATCTTGGCTTTGACCAGGAATCGAGAAGCAGCTGAGTCTCTAGGAAGGTCAATGTAAGAGGATCCAGCTTCCAGGAGGGAGTCAAGAAGACGATGCATTTCCAATGCAGCGGCTTCCCTCTTATTTGTCGGGCCTTCATCTTGCGCCCCTTCTCGACCACGCTGACGGCGCACCAGTGTATCAATGCGCTGTTGTCTGGGATCTTCATCCTCTGTAGTCGTAGTCTTCGGTTTCTTGGGTTTTCCATGATGAGTATATCCTGCTTCGAGTGTAGCATCAGGGACATCTACAGCATCGCCTACAACCGGACCACCGACATCCTCAGCAGCAAGCATTGAGGCAAGATGCTCGTCGATGAATTCGTAGATTGAAGCTTTTAACTTTTCGGCCTCCTGATCAAGTTTCTCATTTTCCCGGCGCTGCGTCCTGATCAGCTCACGCGCCAGTTGCGCAGGCGTCTTCTCCTCTTTCTGCGAACGCTCATTCTGCAGCTTCTCAATGCGCGCTTCCAGTCCGCTTGCGATCAACTGGTTGTCACGTAAATTTACCTCTTCGGCCTTCAGCCGCTGACGATCAACGGCAACAGCCTCAGCTATAGCCGAAATAGACGCCTTAGTCTCTTGGAGATGCTTCACAGTCTCTCGAAGAGCAATCAAGGCAGGTAGCGGTGACTCTGGAGCTGGAAGCTCGGGCTCTGTCTGCAGAAGCGAGTCATACGCCTTCTTTGCTCTCCGGATCTGCGCAAGTCTGGCGCGAGGTTCTGTGTCCGAACTCTGGAGATCAATTGACCTTTTCGTACGAAGCTGATTATTGTCAGTGCGATCAAGGTAAGACTGGGCTTATTGGTTGATTACCTCCTGCAAAGCCTCCTCTTGGCGCTGTACATGTTCCTTCAGGTCCTCTAAGGTATTATCCAGCCTCCGGTTATAGGCAAGTATCACAGCGGCATTGAGAGGTTCTCTCACGTATTCTTCCTCGAGCTTATCTGCTCTTTTGGAGAAATGTCGTATTTTCTCCACTTTGTCTTGTGTTATGCCCATAGCTGAAACGCGAAATCGTACGCGTCACTAAAGAGCTTGCGGGGGTGGTAGTACACAATAGCCCTCTCTTGTTATTGTGATAAAATAGAAACTGTCACTCTTTGAATAATAAACGGAGTAATACATAAATAGGAAAAGGGGAACTCTTTTTCTAAAGAAAGTTCAATAGAGTAGAATCGCATCCTTTGATATGGATATCCACGTGATAACAGACTCTTACCGTATACGGCTAGTCCAGGCAGTGCTTGGCTCACCTCCTCATATCTCTCCGTTTCGCCATCATCGTCGCTCCCATCGCCATCTACCATCTTCTTCCTCGCATCTCTTATTATATCTCCCTGTTTCTCATCTCGCCCTTTGAGTTTCAAGTTGCAGGATCCGTCCTCACTTGGTGGCCTTCTCCCTCCATCTAGCTGTCGCCACGATTAGTCATTGCTTGCCTATCTGCACCGACGAGCGCCGCGTCGACACGAGCTCAATATCCATCGAGAGGCAACGCGGGTTGTGGAAAGTGGTCAATGAATCATTCTGTTGTCCTATTTTAAAAAAAAAAATTTCTCTGCCACGCTCAAGCTTTCCGCGCATCCCAAAGATTCAGTTTCCCTGAGGCGCTCTCATCCAGCACCAAGCATCTCTCTTCCGCTCCTGACTACCCAAGTCAAACAACCTCTTTCTATTCACAAATTCCCACTGGCAGAGCGTTTTGCTCAGACCCTCAAGGCCTGCTATCACAAAGCATCTTACATCTCTGCCGACTCTACCTAGCCTCCAACACCATCCTCCTTTGCTCTCCAGATCAGCACTTCAAGCCTTGCAAGCACCAGTTTCCCTCTCCAGTCGACCGCCAGCACCAGCAAGTTTTCCTTGGGAACTCCTGGTGTATATAATCGATTCAATTTACAAAAGAAGAAACAAAGAAAGAATTGTTCACTGCTACTTCGGCTTTTCCGTGTAAGTGACGCAATCGATCAGCGCATTTCCGCATACAACACGATGTCTGCCTCTCCATCCACGCTCCCGTCGACCAAGCGTCCCTTGGAGGATCCATCCTCTCCCTCTGGCCCAAATGATCAGCCCGAGGCCAAGCGTCCTGCGCTGGACAAAGTAGTCAAGAGCGATGAGGAGAGTAAGAAGCTCGACGCCGATGCTTCTGCCACTGCGAAGACTGAAGCTCCTGCCACGGCGACCAACAATGATGCCCAGGATACCCAGGGCGATACCGTGGTACCTGATGCTCCTAACGGAAAAGCATCTGCGACTGCTCCTGAGACCCAGCCCATCCAGTCCACTGCTTCTCATGCCGAAAGATCTGGCTCCCAGCCCCCTCAGCATCACACCCCCCAGGACGAGACTGGATGGATCCATATCCGTGCTGTTATCTCTAGCCAGGAGGCAGCTACTTGCATTGGCAAGGGTGGTGAGAATGTGTCCCAGATCCGCCGTCTGTCTGGTGCCAAGTGCACTGTCAGCGACTACTCTCGTGGTGCAGTTGAACGTATCTTGACCGTAAGTGGAGCTCAGGATGCCGTAGCTAAGGTAAGCCCTTTAAACCCCATTCTCTGCGTCACTTGATGTCTTGCTAATCTCCCTAAAAAGGCCTTTGGTCTTATCATCCGTACCCTTAACAATGAGCCTCTTGAAGCCCCCTCTACTGCACAGTCCAAGACCTACCCTCTTCGCCTCCTTATCCCTCACATTCTGATCGGTTCCATTATCGGCAAGGGTGGTGTCCGCATTCGTGAGATCCAGGAAGCCTCTGGCGCACGTCTGAATGCCTCTGACGCTTGCCTTCCCTTGTCTACCGAACGTTCCCTCGTCATCCTCGGTGTTGCTGATGCTGTGCACATTGCAACTTACTATGTTGCTGTTACCCTGGTTGAGCAGCTCACTGAGCGGTTTGGAGGTCCGGCTGCATCTGCGTATGCCACGCGGAGCGGTGGTCCAGCTGGCGTGGTCCCTGGTGGCATGCAAGTCGTGCCCTATGTTCCTCAGCCGGCTGGCGGTCAGTATGGCCATCCTGACACCTTCAAGAGACACCACGCTCAACCCCATCGGGCTGCGGCCGGTGCGTATGGTGTCCCCTACCTTCACGGACAGCCTGTTCCTACCCCAGTTGCTCAGCCAGCTCTACACTACGGAGCTTCACCTCGTACTCCTTATGCCGGCGCTGGTCCCCATCAACCCACTCCTTATGGCGCACCTACATCTGTTCAACCCCACGCTCCTACTGCTGCTGTTCCCGCGGCTGGCGTCGTCCCTGGACAGCCAATGACCCAGCAGATCTACATCCCTAACGACATGGTCGGTGCTATCATCGGTAAGGGTGGTGCTAAGATCAACGAGATCCGGCACTTGAGTGGCAGTGTGATCAAGATCAACGAGCCGCAAGATAACAGCAACGAGCGTCTGGTGACCATCACTGGTACCCAGGAGTGCAACCAGATGGCTCTTTACATGCTGTATTCCAGACTTGGTACGTAGCCAATCTTCCCCTTGCTTGCTTTTTCTTGAGTGCAGAGCGCTAACAATTTCATAGAAAGTGAAAAGCACCGTATCTAGAAGTTTCAGTTGGCTTACTCTTTATTGGGTCGGTATCTGCAAAAGTCTTATACGGTTTTGCACGCTTCTATGGTCTCTTTCCTCTCCCATTTTTTTGATGGCTGCGTTTCGGCGTATTCTTGCTTTTTGCCTTTGTATTCTACTGGAGAGACGTTTACCGAGCTCTGATGACCGCGATTCTATTACATCATTTAATCCGGACTTATAACATTGTTTTCTGAGAAAGTAGACCTTGCAGTATCCTTGACACTATATTATACTCGATTAGTTATCACCACCCCTAGTTAGATAGCGCATCATTTTCAGCCTCGTTAGCTAACTCTCTAGATCTTGGTCAACTTAGCATGTCGCATCTCCAACCCTTTCGGCGGCGGCAGCATCTTCTCCCTTAGCGGCTTTATCACCTCCCAATACACCTGCGTCTCCTTCGCGTTCTTATGAGCATCAACACTCTCCCACCCAACGGCCAGCATATGCAGCAACGCCTTGCCTGACGGGCTATTGGCATGATCCACCGTCCCAGGCCGAGAAACATGACCCATAGACCAAGACACTGGCCTGAGGTGCTCATCCATCTTCTCAAGCAACGCAGTCCGGAACGCGATCAGGTCGAAATGCACTTTCTTTTGCTCGTCGGGAGTCATGTCGCTCGGGAAAGCCAGACCCACGAGCTCCGTCACGGGGTTCTTGGTTAAGAGATCTGTCTCCGCGAGACTAGGGCTCAGAGACACATAGAACGTGATCATTTCCGTAGACGTATCTTGAAATTTGTGGATTTCGTTCGTGCGAGCGGCGCCGCGGGCATCGGCCCAATCTGTAAGTAAGTCAGGTCAGTAATTAACACTCTACATGATATGGACCAGAAACCAAATACCCCAAGTTGGATAAACCCAGTATACATAGCATTGGGGAATGAAAAGAAAGAAAGAAAGAAAGGGGTAAAAAACTAACCAACGACCCAAACGATATTATTCGGATCCTCAACGGTCCTTCCCCATGAAGAATTCTGATATCCGCTCTGCAGCTTCGCGGTTCGCAACACCTGTAGGAACTGCTGGCCTGCTTCGTTGTTCGGGTCTTCGGGCTTGACGTCCGGTTTCAGTCGAAGGTAGGTGAATTGCGTCACGGTTTGAGAGCCCATTGTTTGGTTTAATTGTTGGATGAGTAGTAGGTTTTTTTTTTCTCCTGGACGTAGATTGATGATGGGGGTGGAAGGAAGTCGTATTCGTCTAAGCTTGATGTGGAAGGTATAGCTTTGTTCTGGAGGAGATCAGATTTGGCAGGATATGGAATATTAAAAAAATATAAGAAGGAAAGTCAAATAGAAAAGATGATAACTGGAGAAAGTAAAGAAAAGACAAAGAGAATATCGTGCCCCTCTCTTTCTCTGATCAATCAATAAATTTGTCCCGATGGCTCTTGTTTTCTTTTTGATATTGTATAGTATGTATAGTATATTTAATATTGTAGAGATTTAATAGATTAGCTGGAGATTCTGCTTTCTTGTTCCTGGAGCTGAAACTGGAGAGCAAACGGTCTGTATAGGGAATTTGTTGTTGGAGGGAATACATCACATCACATCACGTTACTGGCTTTGGGGGGCGGGGGTGATGGAAATGATGTCAATTGAAAGTTTCCAATCAGACCCCCTCCGATGGATGACTTTACGATTCTTTCGGGCGTATCTCTATAAACTTAAAACGCCATATTCTTCCAATGATGATCTCAAAAAAAAGCGCCCTATTTCCCATATATAACACGCAAATGTTGTTTCTACTGGGGTATGAACGTTCCAAAGGATGTGATGAAGTATATACCAATCCAGGATATTTACAGTGGAGGAAATATCTACTGTTTTATCGAATGTATCATGCCCCCCGCCCCTGGAAGTCGCTACAGTGCGGTCATCGCGAAAAGGGAAAGTTCGAACCCTGATGGTAGATACCCTGATAGAACATCGAGTTTGGTTCGTTTGATGGGATCTCGAGAACTTGAGGCGGAAAGTTGAGGTCGCCGGTGTTGATATCCGGAGGGAATAGTTTATCCCATTCAGTCTAGTGTTGGATTGTCAACATGGTGCTGGTACTTACGATGTAAAAATTGGGTGGTGGCATAGGCAGGAAGAGCTTGGTGAATGGAGAGAATGCAATGAAGATTGCACAAACATACCCAATCGATATCCGGCATCGGCATATCCTCCTGTCTTGTAAGTCCCACGGGACCTGGCGTAGGTGCCGTCCCTCCAGATGTGTCAGTGCCACCGGGCACAAACCACAACCCTGGTCCACCTGAATCAGAGCTTCTGCTGCCATCTGACTCTAAGCTCTCCCCACGGACCGCTCTGTTCGAGCCTCCCGGAGTAGATATAGGTGGTTGTACAGCAGGGGCAGCACCGGAGGCAGGGTAGTAAAGAGCATCATGGTAGGGTCCATGAAGAGACGGTAATCCTCGCTGTGGCAGCGTACTGATTCCCTTCTGGGAATGGGCTGCAGCCATGTTCTGCCGTGCCTTCTCGACGTTCTCGTGAGCAGGAAGCATGATAGAAAAAGCGAATGATTCTGTCGACTGCGGAGGAGAGTTTGAAGGCCGCTGTTGTTGTTCATTACCACGGCGTGGTTGAACTGGATTAGGGACGTCCGGAGGTGATTGGGCTCTGCTCATCTTCGCATCCGTCATAGGACTTTTACCCTTCTGGGACTTCGACTGGAGAGGGGGCGGTGTTTGTTTCGCCTGACAAGTCTCAAGCCAGTTCTGTTCCGCCATCGTCTTTGGGAATCTCAGCTTCCTCATCTCACTATAGATCTCCAGCCTATCCTTAACCTGTGTTATGATCCTCAGAGCCTTTTGATTCCGACGAGCAATGAGCTCCTGGCGACTGACTTTGCCCAGAGAATTGGCTTCAGATAGAGGATCTTCTGCCCCAATTTCATAGACGTAGTCCAGACAGCGCCAGATGCGATCTGCATCGCGCCGCATTGGAACCATGAAGACGTCAAATAAAAGAAGGAAAGCGATATGATACTGATCATAAGCCCTGCTATACCAGACCCACGGCTGCAATTCTGCTGCCGTATCCAACTGTACGGCGTGATCTAGATGTTGGGCGGCAGCCGTGAGCATAACTTGGCGTAGTCTATCCGGGATTGGGGCAGCTGGATTCGAATGATAGCGCTGTAGGACGGCGATGTACAGTCGACAGATCCATAGACCCAACATATGCTCAGCCGCGCGCTGGATGGGTGTGGCATTGGGAACGTTGTAAAGGGGTTCGTACTTGGCATACATTGCTTTTCGGAAGCTTTCAATCTTTCCCATGAGGTGAGTCAAGGAGATTAACCTCTTCTCAAGACGGAGCCTGTCGGCAAGACAGACTCGGGTGATCTCCTGGCATTCGAACCGAATTCGGGAAAAGGTCATGTCGGTCCACCTGTTTACATCGTCCAATCTCCCTGAAGTGAAATCTTCGTCGTTTAGATTAAGTGGGAATAGCGTGGAATAGTCCTCACGTCGGATACAGGCACGGGGCCCTTGCACCTCGCTTGTACGAAGATCCATGAAGCAGAGCTGATACCAGATCAGTCGGCGTACGTGTGTCTCAACTGGACCATGGCCGTATTCGGAGGCATCTCGATGGAAGCCCATGCACTCGGCCAGCCGAATGCCCAAGCCAACAAGAGCCGAATGGGAGCGGGAGATCTCTCCGCGACACATGGGGAGCTACAGAAAGCGCAGTCAGCAACAAATAATAACTAACGGACTAAGCTTTCGCGGCCCAGGAGACTATACCAGATACATCACGAACGCTTGCATAGTTTCTGTCTTTGTCGTCCGCAGTATATGTGCTTTCCTCAAGCCTGCCTCTGTCGCTAACTGGAAGTCGTCTCTCAGTTCCTTTTGCGTCACTCCAAACAGGCGAAACACTTCAGGCTCTGGCATACTGGCGACTGCCGTGAATAATGCCGCAAGCACCAAAGCTTGAAGGGAAGGGGTAGGCTCAAAGCCTTTATTGATATCATCCCAGAAAACCTGATATCTCTTCTCGAAGCTGGGACGGTGGACAACGCGAGCGACTGGGTGGACTGCCAGCCAATATTGCTCCATTAATCGATCCGTGACAGTCTTACTGGGGAGGTGTTCCGCAAACACATAGTCACGGTTCATCGGCCCAAACATGATCTCCGAACTGGGCGCTATATAAGACGGGCCAGGGCTGAAATAAGCGTCTCTTTCTTCAGCAGATAAGCGTTCCAATCGCTCCTTCGGAGTCGGTTCCGACGACTCTGGCTCCGCACTTATGTGCAGTTTGCGGAGGCCTGCAGACAGCTGTAATGGGAAAAAAGAATCAGACTACAAAATCTCTCTATCGACTTCGTGCAAGAATCCTGCAGAAACCTACCTCGTCCGCGAACCTCGGCCGGAAGTACCCCCCAACTCTGTCCGTCATCCTCATCTTGCCCACTCTAAACCCCAGATCATAGATGTCATCATCCGCCTCATCCTCATAAGCGGCATCCAGCACCGCCAGGGGCGTCGGCTCGAGATCCTTCTCGTCGTCCGGGATCGGCAGGTTTGCACTCTCCTCCGCGGCCCCAAACATGGCTTCCGCCGGGTCATCCTTGGCTGCGATATCCGCTCCGCTCCGCTTCCCAGCCACGTCCTGCTCCAGCGACCGCTCCAGCCGGCCCATCTTCTCTTTGATCTCTGTTAGTTTCAGCCGGGCGTCCGAATCCAGCGCAGGGGCCAGGAACAGACAGTCCCGCTTAGCTTTGGAGCAGTTCGTGCACGGATGGGCCCGGTCGCACTTGAGCTTCCGCCGGCGGCATTCCAAGCAGGATGTGATCAAGCGGTTGCGACGGCGGATCCTATTATGATTATTACTAGCTGAAGCAACATGGCCTGCAGCATCACTGGCAGTGTCGGGAGACGCGCGAGTCGACCTGGACCCGGCGGACGGATCCATCCTCACTTCCTAGCTTGTAAGTATTAGATAGATAGATCGGTACAACAAGCTTCACAGATGCCGCTATGGACAGCTTAGATAGACCAAATCAGCCTATGGCCGATGTTTACTTGCGCTGTGACCCCCTCTTTTCTTTGGCGTGGACCCCGAGTAACCGAGTAACCACCCTGATTCCTCCGTACTGTACACAAATTCTCCGCGAAATAGTTAATCAGTGCGACGCCGTTACGTCCGTAAACCCTCCGCCGGCGCTGTTGGGCGAACTTAAACCCGGAAGCAAACCGGGGCGGATCAAGCGGAGTAGAGTCAGAGGGGATCGTCCTTTCTGTAGTTCTTCTTCTATAAATACTATACTGTATGTCTATGGTCAGCTCGTTGACAGGATGGGATCGAAATCATTTCTCTTGGATGGTGGAGAGGGGCGGCTGTTTACCTCAGGGATTTCTGTCTAAAGTAACTAGCCTCAGGACGGACAGAATAGGTACTCAGTAACACGCTCTCTTGGAGTGGAAACAAAGACAGCAGCAGCACGATGATCTGAACCTCGGTCAGAGAGCAATCGCGATTCCACACAGCGAAACAGCGTGAGAGACTCGCTCTGCTCGAGTTTCGCTCCTGAAGATCCATTTCCAGCAAGTCCCCCGCGAGAACAGCCCGATCCGGTTAGCCCGACATGGATGTTTGAGCCTCAGGGGATGATATGATGATTTATTTATTGATTATTATGATTATGATTATTACTATTATTATTATTCTTGTGATTATCCATGGATCCGTATCTTCATCACTACTACTACATATTCAGTCCATTGGATTAGACCTACAGGCTCACGGTGAGGCAACGATGCAAGTATAAAGATGTGTGTATGTACAGGCCGTCATGATACGTATAACATGCTTTTCACGCTCAAGCAGCGTCCAAATGACAACAGGAGAACAACTGCGCGACATTCATAGATCGTCCACTCCCCGGACTTGGACCTTCCGCTCGCCAACCGCCTTCTTGAGATTGCCAACGATCTCCTTGCGCCGCTGCGCTTTCGTCTTCCATTGCTCAGCCTGTTGGCGGCCGACCACGTCGCCAGGCCCATTGACACTCCGCAGCATGCTTAGTCGAGACGACCCGTTAACGCTACCGCGGAAGTTCAGACCGTGAGCGGTGGTTTCGGGAGTGTGGTACATGCTCCGGCTGCCATCGTGCGATCCAGGAGTTGCCGGGAAGCGCCCGACGGTCTTCTTGGACGGGGTCACAAATGGGGAACCCTCACGACTGGCAGGAGGGCCAGAGACATCAAATCCGAGTTTCTTCAGCTGCGATTCAAGAAGATCAATATCGCCACTCTTGCTTTCGGCCATGCTCATCATGGTGGCAATGGTGGAAGTCACGGCCTCCACGGTCGGCTTCTTGACGGCCTGTCTTCGAGACAAGGGGGCATTAGCAGTGCCATCGGGACGGGGAGCATCAGCGATCTTGGCCCGGAGAAGCGAGATACCCTGCTCGAGATCGGCCAGCTTGGCCTGCAGAACCGTGGATGCCTTCCGCATGTCTTGCTGAAGGCTAGCCTGCTCAGCGGACAACGGGGCAGAGAGCACTGCGACAGTGTCGTTATGGGCATCGAGAATCTTGCGGATACTGGCACATTGGCCGCGCAGGATGAATATATCCTTGCCCAGCAGCTGCTGGCACTGCTCCAGCTTCTCCTCGACTCCGCGCAACCGTTGCTGCTCAAGGGACCCTTCCAACGCAGCCACGCACTCGTCGAAATTGTTTACGTGCGGGAGAAGAAGCTTCTCGTCCAAGATGGCAGCGGGGTCGTCTCCTTGCAGAATCGATATCCATTTCTGGGCGTCAGGCTCCTTGGAATTTTCCTGGTAAAGAAGGAACGAAGACAAAGACCGCGAGTTGATGCCAAGTGTGTCGATCATGGAATTGATATCCCGATACAATCTCTCGATTTGTCCGGGAATGCCCGGCTTAGCTGTCTGTCCCATGTAGTCTTGATGAGGCACGAAGGGATCCAATGTAGGCGTCGGGGAGAGAGGACGGGCGAGATCAGCACGGAGCCTCTCGTCCTCATCATCCTCTTCGAGTTGTTGGGTTTCCTCATTCAGTCGCTGTTCCGCAGCAGCAACAGCTCTCTCCTGCTCCTCTTTGGCAACATCACTTGGCAGCGGTTCCCACTGTTTGCCACGAGAAGACTCAGCAAGTGCAGCCTTTCGCGTCGCAAGCGCGCTACCCGGAACACCACGCGCACTAGCTGACCGAGGAATTCCTGTTCGTGACCCAGGCCGTTTGGGGCTGGGTGATCTTGGAGTGCGCACAGGGCGAGGCGGAGGGATGGCAGGATTCGTGATTTCTCCGAACAAGGGCCGTGTGGTTTGCTGCTTCTGCTCTTCAGGCATCGAGATCTTGGTGAAGCCTCCACCAGCCAGGCTCTTGTCGGAAAGTCCACCAAACGAGCTCTCCGGAGACATCTTGAAACTGTCTACGGTTTTATCAGCCTGTTCGTCGGTTGGACTGATCCCGTGAGTGACTTCTTCTTCGCTCTCGTCGAATTCGGATTCGTCTGCTTCAGAGCCGTCTGGCAAGGGCACGGTTTCCTCCTTTGGTATCTCGCTCTTCTTTGGCGGAAGGAAGTCAGGCGGCAGGGGCGCATCTCCAGTTGGACCTTTACTCAGAGAAGGCGTCTTCTTCGGCTTTGGAAGGAAGTCTGGAGGCAGCGGTGCCTCTTCAGCCGGGCTTTGCGGAGGCGACTCTGATAGCTCAGGCTCGGCCGGCAATGGTGCCTCCTCTACTGCAGGCGGTATTTCCGTCTTCTTGGGTTTTGTGATGAAATCCGGAGGTAGCGGTGCATCTTCGATTGAGCTCTTAGACACAATCGACGATGCGGACGTGTCGCCGGGGGCGTAAGGAGCCCTGCTCATAGCGTCCGGTGGCAAAGGAGATTCTTCGAGCCTGTTAGTAGGCGTAGCTTCCATGTCCGTCTTTTGCATATCTTTCTGGTCAACACCTGGAACGTGAGTCTTCTCAGAAGGAGTTGACGGAGGGCTCGTCTGCTGCTTAGGAATGTTTCCGAATAAACTAAAGGGGGGCGACTTAGTAGACGTGGGACTCGGCTCCTTTGGCGGTTGGCTTCCGAATAAAGATCCAGTAGAGGCAGAGGGCATTGTGCTTGTCTTTTCCGGCGCACCGAATGTTGGCGCCGCTGTTGGCGTCTTCTCCAGTTGTGGCACAGTGGGTTCAGATTCCATATCATCCATTGACTCTGTAGGCGGACTCGGCTTGCTCGTGGCTGGTCCCAGCATGTTTTCAAAGGAGGATCCCATCGAGAACACGCTTGATCCCTGGTCCGGTTTCGGGGCATCATTCACAGCTGTACCGTCCCCTTTGAAACCTGATCCCAAGACAAAGCCGCCAGCACCCAATCCGAACGGACCCTTAGACTCTTCAGGCTTTGCTCCAAATATCGACTTCGTCTCTGTAGGTTGACCAAAACCAGACGGCTCTGTTGGCTTGCCAAATGGGTTTTCTCCTGTGGTCTTCGCAAACGGACTCTCTCCCGCTGCTTTTCCAAATGGGCTTTCTCCTGCAGCCTTTGCAAAGGGGCTTTGTTGGGTAGGTTTCGATGCCCCAAGGCTGCCAAATCCGCCGGAGTTTGCGAAGGAACTGAAACCACCGCCGAGGGCGCCTGCTGGTGCGCTGGGTGTTGCTGGGGTCGCGGATGCAAAGGCACTGAATCCCTTTCCTGGAGTCGAAGGCTGACCGAAGGACGGCTGGCCGAAAGAGGGTTGACCAAAGGAGGGTTTACCAAAAGCCGGAGCGGAACTCTGCATTCCCCCAAAGCCAGACTGGCCAAACTGCGGTGTGCGATTCCCCAAAGCACTGGTGCTTCCAAAGCTCGGTGTAGCAGCGCCCATCGGGCTGGTGGAACCGAGAAGAGAACCGCCGCTCAGAGCTGAAGGTTTCCCAAAGGGAGACTGGTGGTTCGCGCCTAAGCTAGAGGGGCTTCCGAACGAAGGAGCAGCAGGTTTTCCAAAAGGAGACGTCGTACCAGACGAGGGAAGGCCAAACACAGGTTGACAAAATGAGTTCTGTTGGAGCCGTTGAGTACCTGCGCCAAACGGTGAAGCGGCAGCAGCAGCAGCAGGAGGAGCTGGGGTCTGTATCTGAGGTTGCGCCGGTGCCACGGTCGCTAGACCATGGTACGGTATCTTCTGGCGGACAGACTCTGCGTATACAAACCACCAAGAAAGCAGAATTCCATCGTTATTGAGGACTAAGATGTTTGGCAGCGGCGTCTCCGACTCCGGAATATCTTCACCCGCAATAGGCGACTGGACTTTTTCCGTGGCTGAGAGGTCGACAGCAAGACCAATCGTAGAGGTATCCTCCATCGTAGCATCCGTCATAGGTAGCGTTGCAGTTCTGGCATCGTTGGATATTACCGTTGTAGAGAACAGGCCCACCTGCTCATCTGGCATGCCGGTGGCCAACGGTTGGTCAGCCCTGGTTACGAGACCGATATCAGTCGACGCGGTGGAAGAAATTATCAAGGCCTCCTTCAGGTGCGGCTTGAAGTCCTTCAATCGCGCAATAAACTGGAAGGCAGGGCTCCGCTTGAGACCAAACGGCGAGCACAATTCTGGCAACTTCTGCAACAGATAAGGAGAGCCTTTCCTGCGCGTAACAATATAATAGTTTGAAGCAGGAATGCCGCCCATGTCGTCTTCCGCAGCAGAGGGCGTGTAGACGATAAAAAAAACATGGTTTTCGAGCCAGGATATGGCCGAAACTGCAAGTGAAGGATCAGTACCACTGCATCCAACATGAGTCGATTTGAGGCTAGTACTTACTGTGTTGGTCACCCTCTAATTCTGGGGGCCGTGGAATCTCATCTTTCTTCTCTCCTTCGGGGGTCATCTGATATCCAGTGCCGTCTGCCAGTCCAGCAAGCAGCTGTTTACCCAGGTTACTCCAGGAGACGCAGCTAACACCATTCTTCAATACTGGGCCTCCCGGGCCAGAGGCCAACGCGCCTGTCTTCAAATTGGCTATCGACAACTCGCCGTTCGTATTGACCAGGGCCACCAAGCTCGAGTGTGCCTCCGCCGCGGGTGCAGGGTTCGGGACGAGGGTTCGAAGGGGCGTACCGCCCATTCCAATGGATATCGCAGGTTGAGCATTGCTCTGCAGCAGAGACGACGTCTCGTAGACAAGTAACTGATCGGCCTTCTCAGTAGCCACGACCAGGGCACTTTCACCCGCCGCAAAGGCAACATGCGTCGGCTTCGCCGGAAGCGTGATTTTGGCTTGCGGCTGGAATGGCTTGGTTTTCACTTTTTCCAGCTTGTTGCCCTGCGCATCCTCCTCTGGCTGCTGTGCAGCTATCGCCTGTCTAACAGCGTCGGTTTTTGCGACGAACAAACCATCTGGTCCTCCACCGACCACTATCCCTCTAGTCGGAGCGACGGTCAAGAGTGAAGCTGTAGGGGATGGAAGAGCATCTTCTGGCCAAGGGTTGGGCAGCAGTCGGACTCTGCTGTCGCTTTCGACACCTTGGAAGCCAACTTCCTAAACAGAGCGCGTTAGCCCGCAAAAGAACTGCCGTGCGCACGCCATCCAGCGCGCATCCAAAGCTCTGCTCACCTCTGTAAACACTTCTGGCAGCTCAGGGCCCAATTCCGCAGGCACATTTCCGCCACCTCCCCCGCTGGGGGTGGCAGCTCCGAAGCTGAAAGCCATCCTGAGCTTGTCGAAATCGGCAGAGATAGAACGCGACCCTTCGCCTAGGGATCTGCGGCTCTTGGGAACATTGAGGACTGGAGACCCACGCGGAGGAGCAGCAGTAAAGGAGCGACGTGCTGGGGGACTCCGGTGAAGGAGCTGCCAGGTACGGTCAAAAATCTTGACGGCCTCCCTTGAGGCGGGAGAAGAAGCTAAGATGGCTAAAGGGTTCACAGACCAGTTGATAGCCGTCCCAGACACTGTTTAGCGTGAGTGGGCACGGCAGTGGCTCGGGGGGAGGGTAGTGTGGGTGTTAGGGAGGAAATCCCCAAGATCTAATTAAACAGCACGGGCGTAGTCTTTCCGTAGTTTCAGTGACTTTAGCATGATTCACTATGAAAGACTAAGAGAGAAAAAGAGCTCCAGGTGGATTCAGTGGAGGCGCAAGAGGTGTGGGTGCCTGAATTCCTGGGTGTCTGCCTTGTTGCCTTTGTGCCTTGCTAATCGGGCGTTGAATGTATGCCCTGTCAATAAGGCATAAACAAGGCACCAACAAGGCACCAACAAGGCACCGACAAGGCTGCCGGAGCTTCGTCACTCGCAGGCGAACGTCGTCCAGCTCCAGCTCCAGCTGTTCCTCCCAAGTCAAGATCCCCCACCGTCTCCTCTGCTTGCCAACCGCGACTCCTCCCTTCTCTCCCTTGGTATCATCCGCTTTCTCGTCTTCCAAATCCTACGTTTTTACTGTCGTCGCTCTGCCTGGCGCTGAGGCATCGCTGTCGCCATGCCAGGTTTCGACTTCTCCAACTACAACCGCAACGCGGCGCTGCACGCCAAGGGAGTGCCCCTACCCAAGGCCACCAGCACCGGTACCACGATCGTGGGGTGCATATACGACAATGGCGTTGTGGTATGTCGATTCCATTATGCGGCGCGGCTGCGATGCGTGCCTGATATGGACCTCAAGACTGACGGTAATCCTAGATCGCAGCAGATACCAGAGCCACCAGTGGTCCTATAGTCGCGGATAAGGTACGAAACATGCGTTTGACGACCACGGAATCATTGCCATCCTTCTCCATTCCGACAGATATAGAGCCCGCTAACCAAGCTGTTCACACGTCTAGAACTGCGAGAAACTCCACTACATTACTCCCCAGATCTGGTGTGCCGGTGCCGGTACAGCTGCAGACACAGAATTCACGACCGCTCTCATCAGCTCCAACCTGGAGCTGCACTCCCTCTCGACGGGTCGACGACCACGCGTTGTGACCTGCATGACCATGCTGAAGCAACACCTCTTCCGATACCAAGGTCACATTGGCGCCTACCTTGTCATCGCGGGCGTTGACCCTACCGGTGTCGGTCTCTACACAGTCCACGCTCACGGTTCGACGGACAAGCTACCATATGTGACTATGGGTTCGGGTTCTCTTGCTGCGATGTCCGTCTTCGAATCCACGTGGAAGCCCAATCTGAACCGCGACGAGGCTGTGGCTTTGTGTGCGGAGGCCATCAAGGCGGGTATCTTCAACGATCTCGGCTCCGGTAGCAATGTGGACGTGTGTGTTATCGACAAGGACAAGCCCACGAAGCTGCTGCGGAACTACCTCAAGCCGAACGAGCGTGGCCAGAAGGAGCGCAGCTACCGCTTCCCCAAGGGAACCACGGCCTATCTCAACGAGAAGATCATCACGAAAGAGGATATCCGACGATATGTCACGGTGGAGGAGCTCTCCAGCGACGACCAACAAGCCGTTGCTGAGAAGATGGAGATCGATACATAGCCTGTATTACCAACGAACTGTTAAATGATAATCTTGGAGATGGAATCATACCCAATGCATTTCGATCTCTCCCTTGCCTTATTGAATTCCTCTTTGTACTACATGCCCGCCCGATAAAGTGAAAGTTAAGAAAACGTGTTTTCCTTTGACAGCATTCCCGGACACGGAGCGGCACTGGAAGGAAAGACGGCTTCGAATTTTATGTATCACTATCGATGACTCTTAATCAATGCCGATGTTCAAGACGTCCATACCTTAGATATACCAGGCCCATTAGATAAAAAAAAATCACAGAAGAACGCTACGTAGGGATAAGGAACGCAGTCTGCTGTAAAAGATTGATCGATCGCGGGATCGAAGTCATATATTTCTTTTTTTTTCTTTTCTTTTCTAAAGTACCGGGTATCTACTATATATACATAGTCTAATCTCTATATAAAAGCCTTATCACGGAAACGATGTTCCAGGAGCAGAGCTATTGCGCAGAAACATCTGTGCGCAAGAAGCAATAGGCACAAGGCTGTCGACAGTCTATGCGGGTACATTCCTCAATGCCATAACCACCTCGGGGTCTTCGGCCTCGCCCACAAGATCCATAATGAACTTGTACCGCAGAGTAGAGACATGCATGCCTGCTTGTTGGTACCGAGTGATTCCGCAATGGTACATTGCACGGACGAGCGGCGGTTTGATAGGAGCTTGATGTTTCCTCAGGAAAAGGTATAGCCAATGCACCACTCGGTAGGCCTGGCGAGGAGTCAAGTTCTTGGCAGTTGCGAAAGTGATGGCGAGGAGATGGATTAGTTCCAGGCATGCATGCGGATCAGGATGTTCAGGATCTCGGGCTAATGCGAGTGCAGTGCCAGCCGAATCCAGGTCTGGTGGCGGGCCCCATGCTCGCGAGAGCGCAATCTTCAGCGGAGTATGGGAGCGCAAGATTCGAAGCACGATTAGATAGTCATTGACGCCGCCACTCTTTACGAAACTCTTGCTTTGCTCGATGAAGGAAGTACTAGTGATATCGATCTTGCGGACCGTCTTTTCGAAGCTTGAACCGAAGTAGCGGCGGGTAGCCAAATAGCTCAGTCTGTTTGCGAACAGGTCCGTGATAGTCTGATCTGACGCCTCCAGTTGCTTCAACGCCATCCGTGCCAGATCCTTGGGTTGCTTTTTTGTTTTGACGGCAATAGCCATCATGATAACATTGTTAGATGGAATGTTCAATTCTTGAAGACCCTTCACGAGGTTCACTAGGACGTCTCTCTCCTCCCAATCCCTCGTAATCCTGGTGAAACGGACAAGAAGTTCCGAGACTACCGTCACGACAGACTGGGGAAGTTCCCAAGAGTGATATCGAGAGACAGAGCGACCAAGGGATTTTAAGATCCACAGGCGAATGAGAATCTCTTGGTGGGTTTGAAGGCTAGGATGGGGACTATTGGAATCCTCGGTCCGCCTTGTCTTGCTTTTTGCTGATTTCAGGGACAGCCACGCTCGAGATGACAGGAGAACTTCAAGATTGCTGACATTTTTCAGGAAATTTCTCCAAGCTTTGAACACCACGTCTCTATGCATTTTCTCTTCCAAGGTCAACGCGAGGTGTTCTGTCACCTCGATAATGTAGTTTGAAGCCAGATGGGGCGAGAAGCACGCGAGCAAACTCTGAACATAGTCATTGTTGTACTTCCTCTGGTCGAAGCCGGACTCGTCTTGGACTGAGTCCGTCGGAAGGCTTAGCCACTGTGAAATAAAGCATGGCACCCAGCTACAGTCCTGGGTGGGTGAAGGATGTGTAGACACTATAATATCCCTTGCTAGCAGTAACACCTCCTTGTGCAACTCCGTCTGAGCAAGCTCATCCAGCCACGACTGGAATATTTCCTGTTCCAGGTCTTCGACCCGCAGCACGTTACAACTCCGTAGCGCATCCCACAGACTCCGATAACAGCGCACGAGTCCGTTCGGATCCTCGGATCGCAGTGTCCCAGTTCCAACCTTTATCTCTGGCAGCCCTTCGATGATTAGGCCAATCTCTTCAGTTGGGATTAAGCCGAGCTCGAGCGCTCGATTAATGGCACAAAGGAATTCATCCCTGTTGGATGCGCTCGCCTCGTATGCGACCAGATGCTCCACCAACGATAGATAATTTCCCGCGTTACGCACGTTGAGCGTCGGGTCATCCAAGAAGGCTATCAGCTCCACCACTGATTCCTCGCGGCGCAGCGTGTGAGATAGCATATTGCCAAAAATCATCTGGCTGTAGGCTGGGTCGTGTTTGATATCAAGGTCGAAATCGCAGATTATCTTCCGTATATCATCCACCCTCCAATGTTTTTTCAGCTCCTCCTCCAGCAGTTCATCTCGAGCAGTCGTGCTCAGCTGACTGGAGTGCTTCGACCACGAAAAAGGTATTTCAGCATCATCTAAATCGTCACTTCCCTCGGCTAGAAAAGAAGGCATGGGCGGCGCAGGGGGACTCGGAGCATAAGAGTATGATGAACCTTTGAAAGAAGTCAATTTTCCATGCCTCGTATAGTATATATATATATATAACGGGTATTTTACCGAGTGAGTCAAATTGTGAAGAAAGGGCAAAGTTGGAATCATTCGACTTCCACTTCATATGCCCCGTCCCATTCCTCCCAAACAGACTGCCCATGTCTGGCAACCCATAATTGCCCACACTAGCCAATGCCGTATTCCTCCGCTTCGCAAGACGCCTCCGCGCCTCTAATGGACCCGGCACCTTGCTTTCATGGCGTTTCTGGCAGTTTACGAACCGCTTGAAGGTCGATGCGAGTAGGTCATCACTGATCCACACATGGTCGATGAGCGCAGAGGTAGGTGGCTGCAGGGCATGCCGGCAAGCATGTCTGCTGAGAGACATTCGGCATCAGCGACAAGAAGCGCGCAATTGACCCTTGTCGAGTGTCGTCTGAAGCTATGTACAGCTTTGGCGAGCGAGGTTCGATTCGCAGCCCGCAAGAGCGCCAAGGCTGGTGTGCTGACTAACCATCTTACGACCATCCAGTTACGAGCACAACTATTGGACGGTGTCCTTCGTATAAACAAGACACCATATAGACTAGAATTGTGTTTTGACTCAGCAATGTTATGATATCCTTGTGCTTATTTTCAATTATATGAGGAACACAGAGCGCGTGTTGCTGATATGTGTTCGCAGGTCACCTACATGTCCGTCTGTATATTGTATATTTGTGGCGTTTCCTCTATGCTAGGCAGCATTTTCTACATTGCGAAATTTCGAGGTCCCTAGATTGGATGCTGATCTTGCCGTTGATTATGTAGTTCAATATGAACGAATTGAACTGAAATCGCAATAATCCGTGGAAATTCGAATTGGCCATGTTGTCATCCATGAAAACGAAGAGGAAGTGTAGAATCAAATGGTTGGTCATGCTTTGTGTCAAATTCATCTCAAGTGCTTACTTCGTTTCGTCGATGAGAGCATACTGCTAGCTCTGAGGATTTATTATCAGACAGAATGTCAAACCGATATAGCTCTAATCTGGTTAATGAAGGCTTCGCTGAACCCGGTGCGACCTATCGAGCCTATCCTGCTCCGATGTTCACTCATCTCCGACTCTTCTAGTAGCAAGCGGAACACTATATCTCAACAGACCCATGGAGAGAAACCCATTCTTGCGAGGAAAGAGCGTTGTCGAGCTGATGGTATGCAGCACCCAACGGTATAAGGCCGCTCCTGCCGTGGCAATACTTCATATCATCCGAGCTTGATTGTGTGAACATGAGAGATCGATACTCGTTACAACTGTTGTAACTATCACATTCATTGCTATTCATATTGGAGAACAGGATACCATCGGGATATATATGACATATCACGACCACCAAATACCCATTATTATTTTCTACGTGGAGAGTATTCGAACAGTATGGCAGAACAGGAGAACCTTGACGTTTCGATGGAGGATGTATTTGACTTCGACAATGCAGCGCTTCCCGAGGAGTATGCTAGACAATATAACCTCCTTGCTGGATATCCGGGCGGTGGAATACAGCAGGCCTTTCATAGTTCGCGACAACCTGAGGGAGGAACTAGAAATGATGAAAATGTATCAGCTTTCCAACATCACGTACAAGAACCTGCAGGAGACCAACCTGGTGTAGACGGCAGACACCATGCACTCATCTCAGAGGGAAACAGGACGACTGTTCCTGCAGCACAAGATTCCCGTGGTATGAATCCAGTCATTTCCCATGTTGGCGCTCACCCCAATCGTCCGGTTTTTGCCCTTCCGGACGGATTTCCAATCCTCACTTGGCCATTGAGTCCTCCAATTCACGGGCAACCTCACCAAGTCTATCAGTGGCGTCCCGAGCAGATTCCCAACCTTCCTCTATCCCCCTATGGGTCGTCCAGGACGGGACACCGATTACCGCAACTCCAGATTCAGCGATATGTTGCCAACAGGAACATGATCGCTGGTTTTCACCGGGCTTTGTGGAAGCTTCAACCTCCAGGCTCAATCTACTGTGCGGCGGAGCTAGAGGGGACATCAATCACGGTGCACGACCTGGCCAGCCAGCTGACTTCGCTGCTTCCCTCGAGATACGTTGCAGTCCAGAATGTCCCTTTCAGCCCATCTTCATATATGGAGGTCCGCCAGTATGTTCACCCAGTAGACTTCAACCGAAGGAGTCTTCTGGATGGGTTTATGGGTAGCAACCAAGATAGTGTCTTTTTTGCTTGCACAGTTGTTGAGCTAGGGGATTATCGATCTGTCGCCATGGGTCGCATCGAGAAGGGGTCACGATATCCATTGTTTCGACCGCGGGAGGGGTTTTTATACTTCCAGATTCGTGATCTGGCAGTCCTTCCAGGACGATCGCCTGGAGTCGGAGGATGGGTCATCGCATCTTTGTTATTTGCCGTTGTTCAGTTCGTCCCCAGAGGCGCGATGTTTGAAGTAGTCATGGTTGTTCCTGAGGCTCTGAAGAGTTGGTGCGAGAGACTGCCCGGGATGCACCGAGACGAGAGCCATCCAGACTATCCTATTTTCAATGTACGCGGACGGAAGCTATAGAGTGACGTGAGTCTGAACCCGAGGACTATGGCTGCAGGATAGGTGTTTGCCATCGAAAAGGACGTCGGAGACACGGACAACATCTGGGACGCAAAATCCTGCAAAGGCTCACATGGCTAGGTTAGTCGTCATTCGGCCGCCTTGGATCTCTGTAAGCAAAGGAAAAGGATGAGAGGAAATGGATCAACTACAAGTCGTGTGCACTCATATTGACAGTCTCAACAGGCATACCCTAAGCTGGTTACCACCGGCAAGAGACAACCTGCGGGACCGCTCGGCCGTGTTCAGCTCAAGTGCAAGATCAGAGTCAATAATACGTTAATTACTCGGGAGAACAGAAAAAATGAAATGGTTAATCATAAAGCGAATACTCATTACGTATCTGCCTTTTCTCTCCAGACGTGGTGGGTCTTAGTAGGCTTATTCCTCTTGCCAACTCACAATCCGTTCTGTGCTTCTCGACTCCATCCAATCTACCTTCAGCAATGCAGAGGGCCCTGGTCGAAAATGGCGCAAGGCCCGACACTACGACCGTAGTCGAACTATACTTACCCCCATACTTACTCTGTCCGAACGAGAAGAACTCTTGGGCGTCTGATCATTCAGTCCCCGTCCCTCTTGGCAGGCGTGAGGATATGACACGGAACGTTCTGGCAGTACTCTAGATAAACTGTAGCCTGTTATATTCGAGAAGGAACTCACTGCAGAGTACCCAAGTAATCAGCAGTAGTTAGCACCCCTAACGACGTGGCCCCGTTGGGAGTCTGGCGATTCTCGAACTGACGCGGGAACCACAAGCCGTAGATAGGGTACTTAGAGCAACGACGGGATCAGAACGTACTACTAGAGAAGGCTACTACTACTAATACGTACTACGGGCCTGTCTAATAATTCTAGGGTCTGCTGAGTTGCTAATTACTAGTCCACCCGTGGATTTAGAGTTCAAGGGTTTCTCTTTCTGCGGAGGTATAATATAGCGTATTATAGTCTATTATGATTATTATTACTACTACTGCTGCTGTTAACTAGGTGAGTTGTTCTTAGTTATTATCCTCTATTCTGGAGTAGTTAACTTAGTCCGCAGGTAGAACAGGTGGTGAACTAAATCCTAACCCTTCCCATCCATTACTACTTCTCAAACTCGCTAACTAAAATTTCCAATTGATCGTCAATTGTAAGTTACTGTACATGAAGAGAAGCGTATAGTAAAAAAGAAAAAGAAAAAAGACACTCCACCTCGTCATCTATTGAATGTGGCTCTCGTGGCAGAATGCTGTCCCTGTGTCTCTGCTTCTCTCTCTCTAAAGTAAGCCTGCTAAGATCATCATCCCATAATTCCGTAAAGTATGTATGTACAACAATAATACTACATCATAACATAATGATAACATAACTCCTTTACAGACCGACATTACCAATCCCACTGTTTATTACAAGGAATCAATCACATTCTTCTTACTCCGTACAGCACATACAAGATAGAAAGAAGATCTTTCGGGATTTGAAACCCCCCATACCATTTACCGGTAGGATGGATGGTCAGGGGGGGAAGCGTCCGGGATTCCGGGGAAGGGCGAGAGAATATGCGTTTTGTTTCAAAACTACGTGTACATTTACAGAAAGGGTTGTTGGGGGATTGAGAAAATATCAAGTAGAATGAATGACCACGGTTCAGTTCTTGATCTGAGCCAGCCAGAGAGGGAAAAAAAAAAAAATTTTTTTTTTCTTCGCGTATCTCGTTTCCTCTTTCCTTTTTGTAAGAGCGATCTTGTTTGGTTAATGCCTGTTTTCGGATATGGTGGGTTTTTGGTCTGGTTTCAAATGAGGGAGAGGAGGTGGATATGATAGTAGTAGTAGCATGTTATCTGGATTCTGGAGTTTCTACCATGTAGCATGAGACACACACACACACACACACAAAAAAAAGGCAACGAAAAGAGAACAAGCGAGTCTCATTGACGGAAAAGTGATGATTGTTGAAAAAAAAAAAAGCGCCATGGCCGGGATATCCCTGTTCAATGTTTCTCAGTAGAGTAGATAGTAGCATTCACCCAAACCCTTAGTTTTCGCGCTAAGGTAGGATCTATGCTGGGATGATGCCCTTTTCTCTCATCTTATTTTTTTCAGGGATGGTCAGTTGTAATAATAGTACGGACTTATTGTTATTATTATTATTATTACTTGGTTATGTTATGTTATGTTATATAATATTAATAACTCCGAGTAACGAACCACTTTACCGTTACATAGGCTGAGGCCGATCCCAACGGGACGGCGCTGTCTAGCATCGAGAGTCGAGACTAGATAGGTCAATCTCTCTCCTCTTTTTTCCTTTTTTTCTTCTTTGCTTTTTCTGTTACCCGCGCCGCTTGCTGCGGGTTACCGCCTCGCTGGGATTCGAAGAAAAAAAGACGGGGTTGCTTCTTTTTTGGCCGTGGAGCGACGCTTGGACATCCCAGTCCCAACGTCGTGGCTCTGGTTTCTTATGGGGCGTTTTGCTATTCCCCTTTTAACTAGCCTCAGGAGTGTAACCTGGTAAGGGCAACCTGGTTAGTTACGTGAGTTACTCATACCTTACTAAGAAAGTAGTTCGTTGTTCTTTTTCTTTTCTTCTTCTGCTATTTCTCCGGGAGTCTCAAAGTTACGAGAAATATCAGCTACGGACGTGTCTGAGGATGATGGCAGAGGCAGAGAACAGAGAGAAAAGGGTGGATCTCCTTCTCTATCCCTACTTAACTAAATTTCACAAAAGCCCTCAGTTTTGGGGGATCCGCAGCGGGACCCGACAATCCGGGAGCGGTCTGGGAGTGAATTCGGACTAGAGTCAAGTCGAAGAGGCGTTCGCAGAATCGCGCATCGGTTCGCTCTTCCCACGAGCGTGCGCTGGCAGTAGTAGGAGTGGCTGCTGCATGTGTTATCGTGGAAGATCCCTGTAATCTTGTGTGTCCATCCCTTCTGGCTGGTCCGCTAGATGATAGCTTAAAATTACGGGCAACCAGGACAAGACAAGAAAGGGCCCTTGGACGTCGCATGACGTATTACTGCTGTGGGATTTGCGCAATGCAGATTGCATATTCCTGATTTTTCAGTGTTTAGGTTGCCTTGTGCTTCTTTTGATCCATAGCTATCTCCTTTTTTTTGGTGAAGGCAACGAAAAAACGACCAGGTCCCAGCACGGCGGGTGTGCCGGGAAAAATCCGTGACCCTGGTCTGAAGTTCAGTTTGTCTTGAAGACCCGATACTGTGGATTGGCCTAGCCCGTAATTATCTAGAGTCGTGGGGACTTGGTCCGACTAGCTAGCTCACTGAGACTGGCCTCTTCTGGGCGTTGTGGTTAATCATATGCGGAGCACTCTGTACTCTGCTGTAGTTCAGCAGATTGTCGGGATCCAGCCGTCAATATGATTAGCACGTTTCTCCGACGTTTAGCCGCCCCAATAATGTCTGGAGAGTCTTCGGAGGGAAGGGTGTTGCCCGGGCGGGGCTATGACAGGGGTTGTACTGTATGGTAGTTGTTATCGAAGGGGAATCGAAATAGACAATATCGTCTGTCCCAAGCTGATGATTTGAATTCTTTTTTTTGATGCAGCGGGTATGTACTGTAGAATGACAAATTCCGTGAGTCCAGTACCATGGTTCACAACTGGGGCTGATCCAGTGGCTCGGTACCGCACTCCGCAAAACTCTACTACTGACAAATATATCCGCGACGTCGGGCGAATCGATCGTCACGAATCCTTTATCCATAATCCCAGGGTCCTTTCCGAAGTGGCATGTCCCGAAGGTCCGAAAGAGGGCTCCACACGATCCAGTGCTACCTTCCCGTCCTAAACATGAAGGTTATGGTAAGCGAGTTAAGCGCTCAGGGAACGATTGGTGATGGACTCCCTAGAACATAGACAAGGAGGCTCGCGGGAGGATGATCCCGGCAGAACCACGGTTGCGGTTGCGAATAATGGATAGGTGCCGTACGCAGTAGTCCGCTCACTGTCCTGTCAGAAGCCGGTGGGGTTTCCATCCCTTACTGCGAACTTGAAGCTAAAAGCTCGAGTGCATTTGAGTCTCTGAGAAAGCTGAATATACACGAACTGATCTGGTCAAGTAAGGTCAGTAACGAGGTCAATCGGACAGTGAAGACGGAGATCTCCGTGTTGTTTGGGACGTCATCTTTCCCAAGGATTATGTACTGTACATGCAGCTCCGTGCGTGGGATGAACTCGTTTCTCTCATTTTTGGGCTGATGACGGCTTTCTTTTCAGACCGGTATTGTTAGGACTGCGCTGCTTCCTCATAGTCGGGTATTATAGGACGGTGGCCTTGTAAGATAATAAGACTAGCTATTGCAAATATGAAACAAGGCTGTAGAGGGCCAGAACGCCTGACTGCAGGTCAATATGAAGAGTTGCAACACGATCGACGCTCCTCAGCTTCTCACACCGCCAATGGCTTGTGGAGTCAATTGGGCTGCCTGAATTCCAGGAGCATGAAGCTGCTCAGCTCTTGTGAAATAGTCTTGCTCCTGTTTGGCTGCAGGCAGCTCTCCGGCGTCAGGAGGTCCCAGTAGGGTCCAAGATTCTCAATATCAAAGGCATAGTTACTGCCCCTCACGAGAGTAGAAGAAGAACCAGACTCTCCTGCCGTGCGGTCCGCGTGATAGGTTGCTCCACGAGTGGATAGCCCCTGGTTTTGAAGAAGATCTCGACGTCCCGTTCCGCTCATGGGAGCACAGCTGGGTTCCGTGGTTATGGATGGTTCGCAGACAAGGCATCTTCACTGCGCACCAGGACATATACTGGCCGCACCATTACTCAAGTCTCAAACTGCCGGTTCAATGTTTGGCGATCTGCGTCTGCATCCCGAATCGTCGGGCCGGTGAGAAGACATGAAGGTCCCCGGTAGAGAAGTCTGTACGCAGAATAGTGCTGCCCATTGCCTCGTTTCAGCATTGGTCCACAACTCGCCCACGCGTTGACGGGAATTGCGCTCTGTGCGCCGGAAACATGATAGTGTTCTGTGTGAATTTTGCGCATTTCCAATAGCTTCTGTGGTGTGACCGATGATTTCCCCGTTTGGATCCATTCATATAATCGGCGGTTCGCATTACCCTAGCGGCTGTGTACAGTATTATTTCGAGGATTGTTGCGCTCTGGTCGCCTGCTCCAGCATGGATGTCGGTTTTCATGTTAAATTAAAGACCGTTTGCAGCGCATCTGATGAGGCGACCCCGGATGCTGGGCCCGGCAGCCATGAGCGGCTTCGTCGTAACGTGGCTGCAACGTGCCAGAATAGGAACTGGACCGGTGCAGGATGTCTGTGATCAAAGCGTTGGGAGAGGCGTCACGCTGAGATGAAAAATATATCCTCTCCAATAAGCACCGGCATTGCAATCGACTAACAGGGACCGTCGTCGGCATTTGCCATTCCGAGAAAGCATCGAGACCGTTGGTTCCCACCGGGGTTGATGCGAGCCTGGATCTGTCGCAAAAGGGTCAACAGTCATAGCAGCAATAAACAGAATCATCATAATAATAATACCAGCCTCATCCATCTCAGCAGGTCATGATCCATGGCGGCACGTCAGCTGGTGGTTAATCGGCGGGGACTTCATTGTGTTGGAACTCGGGAAGTTCTCGGGTAAATAGGTAATTACTGGAAGCAGAGTAGACTCGCCAACCATCTTCTCAACCATCTCTCTCCCTTCTCCGTATCAGCAACCGAAGCAATGCTCAGCTTCTGGAATCTGACCCAGATCGAAAAAAGAAAAAGAAAGAAAGTCTGCTAGACTATTGTTCCGATATTCCACTGCAAAGAGTCTAGTGCATCGTGAGCGTGGCTTGCAGTCCCCCGTGTTAAGAAAAAAGAAAATAAGTCAACCAACTAACTACATAACTAATAATGGGTGAGGAAAAGAAGGCGAGCTACTCCCCCCAATCTTGATCGCGCAGGATTGAGTTTTGTTCTTCCCCCAATAAGGCTTCTCTGACGAAGATCAGATTCTAGACAAGTTACGCCTGTATCAACTATCAACGATCAAACTATCAACCGTCTCGAAACCCAGACCACCGTGCAGGATAGATATAGCAGTGGGACGGCGGGACTTTCGACTGTTTCTTTCTGCCCGGCGAATTCACGCTGGACGGTGCAGAACAGTTCGCAACAGAGCTCCAACTCCGGCTTCGAAGGATAGCCTACTGATTAGCCTCTTTACTATCCGCTATTATTATTACACCACTGGGTCCTGGCAAAGTTAAGAGTACACGGACCGCCCGGCCGGCCCATGGCTACTGCATTCTGCATAGATAGTCGCCATCTCCTCTCTTTGACAGCAGCCTTGACTATCTACGGAGTACGTTGCCTTGCCCCCTTTCCCATAGCACACAACCACCCCCCGGCAACGTTGGTCTCGACTTGTTTCCGACGCCTTGGGTCGCCCATGCTCTAGTCGCCCGTCACAAACAGGGGGCTTAAACAGAGTGTCGGGCTTGCCCAGGTCCCCGGAGAAAAGAGAGAGGGTTGGCAACTCTAAACCAGTAGTTCGCCCGCTTATACAAGAAGAACAAGACCGGGCGAACGACCTGCAGCTGTCATCGTCAAACGCGAATGCGCAAAACTTCCCGAAAAATACCAAAGATTTAGGCAGGTGGGCCAGACACTGCGCTTCCCACTTCGGCAAAACCTTCGAAGCTCGAACAAGGCCATCGATCATCGCCGCCACTCACACGACTCCATAAGAAGGGCGGGGTTACCGCCAGCTAGGGTCGGAGGCCCAGGATTGCATGAGTAGAGTAGAAGAAGAATAATAACTGCGCGCCGGTCCCGAAAGGTCTGATCGGGATCTGCCTTTAATTAATCACTCGCTTCTTCCCGTACCAAAGACAACTCAATCCACGTTGTCGGGTTCATCGTTGCCCTGCTGTGGCTGATCTGCTACCGTGGAAACACTGATAAATGGTTCGTTCTCGCATCAGAGTTTCATCAGCGTCCGCCATCGAACTTCTGGTCGTCTCTCGGGGTTGAATCTTGACATTCGATCTTGCTGTCGTTGATGGAGAGGTCAGATCTATCCAACAACAATCATCAGGATGACAGGGACGCCGGATGTAAGTGTCTTTGGTTTACTTGTCTACCACCCTAAAACCACCCCCTTTTTCCCCTGCATCCTAGATACTATCTATATGTATATTTCTGCATGTATCGTCTTGGGGTTTCCGTTGTGAGGCTATTTATGCTCATTGATTAGCGAAAGGATTCTAGCGATGACTGGTGAGTGACTCTTTCTGCATCTGTCAGCAACCTGGCTGTTGGTCTCAAATCGGAAGCACACCCGTGCTATTGTATAGAGATACTAATACCCTATCCGCAGTGACACGCAGTCCTTGACCAACAGTATCACGGACTATCCGGTCGAGAATGGGAGGCGATACCATAAATATCATGAGGGTGGTAAGATACTCTCACTGTCCCACTGATGCTTCCCCTGTTCCTAACAGTTGAGCAAAGCCTACATCTATCCAAACGATGAGCAGGAGCTCGACAGGATGGACATGCAGCATCACCTCCTGAAGACAATCCATGGTGGACGAATCTTCTTTGCCCCTATCGACGATCCAGCAAGAATCCTGGATATCGGAACTGGTTCTGGCATCTGGCCAATTGAGATGGGTACGTATAACCTCTCGTTCTGAATGCATCCCGGCCTACGTGAGCTAATCATTCTTCATGCTTCAGCTTCCATTTTCCCTGGAGCACATATCACAGGCACGGATCTCTCACCAGTTCAACCGACGGAAGTCCCGGAAAACGTCCATTTCCTCGTCGACGACGCTACGGAAAGAGACTGGCTATGGAACCCTAATCATTTCGATTTGATCCATACAGCCATGATGACTGGATCGCTCCTGTCGTTTAAAGATATCATGCGGAAAGCCCTCATCCATCTTAAACCAGGAGGCTATCTCGAATGCCACGAGGTTGACCCCAAGCCTCTGTGTGACGATGGTACGATGCCTCCTGAGAATCCCGAAGGCCATAGTGAGTACGCCTTCCATGACTGGTTCGACTACAACGTGCGCTCGAGTCGCCTTTCCGATCCACCACGACAGTTCCGGATAGCCCACCGTCTCGCTCAATGGATGAGAGAGACGGGGTTCGTTGACGTCCAGGAACGGATCGTCAAGATCCCCTTGAACCCATGGCCGGAGGATCCGGAACAGAGAAAGATTGGCACATGGTGGGAAGCCAACTGGCTCGATGCACTCTCTGCATGGTCCTACAAACCGTTCCTGGCTCTGGGGTGGTCGAAACCTGAGATCGAAGTCTTCCTTGTCGATGTCAGGAGGAGCATCCAAAATACCAATGTGCATGCCTACAACAACTTTTATGTGATTACAGGAAGGAAACCCTTCCCGGGGGAGCAGCAACCAGAACAACAGCAGCAGCAGCAGCAGCGACGCTCATGATATTCGAGTTGGTTACTCGCCAAAAAAAAAAGAAGAAGAAGAAGAAAATTTGTTTTGAGTCAGCATGAGATACCACGGGGGAAGAAAAGGGGCATAAAGGCGTGGCTGGTTTGATTTGGTTTTATTTCTTTTCTTTCGTCTATACGACAATCCACGCTCTTCTTTTCTAAAACAACATCGATCCGGAAATAACTTCCTAGAGTCAGTGAAGATCTGGGCAAACAACGGGTCGCGACCGGACGAGTAGCGTCATTTGTTGCCCAACCCGTCCTCATCGATCTCCTAGCCTGCCTCAAGATACTTCGCACACCATCAACCTCATCATCGTCCTACAACTCTGTTGACCATTTCTACACAACACAAGCATGGCGTTTCGTGTGGTCCTGTTATAACACTATTTCTTTCTTCCAAGATATCCTCCATTATCTTACTACTTTTCTATTTTTCTTTTTCCTTCTTATCATTACGCATGTCATGACACGAAGCGTTCCGATTCTCTTTACTTTTTCTTTTCTTTTCGAGGTAGGAGATCTCGCAGTATATTCCCCGGTTTCCCCTTATTCCATAGGAGCAGAGCATGTGGTTATGGGTCAGTCATGAGTACGGTTTTTTTTTTCCCCCAAAGATAACCTTTTAGAAGATAATTGAAAGGAAAAAAGAAATAAGTCGCAGAATGTCTACGAGACTAGATTCTTACTGTCTTTTTTTTTTTTTTTTTTTTTTCTTCCAATCCCTAGCTTCTTTCAGGTAGATAGATAGATACATGAAGCCCCCGCAAGTCATCATTGCATAGTATAGTTATGTTACTTACCCCTATTCATACGACCCCACTCATCCCACCTAGGTATGTAACTACTGTACTTAACAAAATCTCGTTTGAAAACTACTCTAAATTACTATCATCTTAATTAAGTAGTTACTCTAAGAGACGGACTGACTTGAAGTGAATAGTAATCTGGATGCGATCCCTTCGATAGGACATACCATACTCCTCCAGTAGGGAATAAAATCTCCTTATATCCTCTCAAACTAAGAATTAGTAGTCGTCAGTTCTTTAGATTATTATATGCTAAGGTTGTTTGTAGGCACGCAAAAAATCGAATCATACTACCTACAGCATCCTATTGAACCATCTTAGGTAGCTATTAGCTACGTGGTTAGTAATTACCTGCTTGGAGATGGGGTCCAGTGGTGTTTGGACGCATGGTCACTTCCTAGTTGGACAGAGAAGCATTTGGTGACGTACGGAAAAGTAGACAACGCCTGATTAGAAGAGTTCATCAAAGGGATTATCTATTCTCTTGTCGAGATTGTATAATATCTATCTTTATGGATATGAAATGGACGGTCATCAATCGTGATATTCGTATGTGTCCAAGAATCAGCCGTTGCGAGGCAATCCAATGAACTAACTATTATAGACAAAGATTTGGGGGTATTTGGTAATAGTATATATGTACAGTACATATGAAAGAAGGACAATAGTCATTCATGATTACGATGAAAACTCAACGGGCGGAAGTCCTCTTTCCTGTACAGCAGCTTGTACGCTCTCCTGGACCATTTCGAGAGCAGTAGTCCATGCTTGGTAAGATTGAGCATTTGTATCTTTATTCTCTGGGGTATCGCTCGTCGTTGACTCCTGGTTGTTCTGATGGCCGTCGGATATTAACCAGCAAAGCCATTCAGTCACTGAGACTGCTTTGTCGATGTCTTTCTCTTCCAAGACCACACGTCGGAGGTATTTTGATAGAGCTTCGACATCTTCAGCGAATGGGCCATCTGTGCTGAAAGAAGAGTACCAGGCACTGAGGGCTTCCCGGAGTTCTGGTAGTGTGGATAGCTTCTTTGATGTAAAAGTAGGCCTCTCTGGACGTGGAGGGAGCTGAAGACGCTTCTGTCCAACGGTGACTGGGGTTGCGGGCTTCGGCTGTACTGGCCTTCTTGTGGCTGGGACGCTCATTGCGGAACGTTGCTGCATACGAATTCGCTTTTGCTCTTCCAGGACTTCATGGCGGATATCCTCTGGTAGAGCCGCAAGAAAGTCCTCGGATATTTCGACAGGTTCATCAACTTGTGGAGATGCCTGTCGGTGGGATATGCTATCTGCTGGACCGGCAGCGGAACTCGACGGTCTGATTCGGATAAAGTTGGACTGAGTTAGTGTAGCGTTCCCTGAAACTTTGAGGCCTTTAGATGGGGGCCGGCCTCGCCGTTTCTTTGTTGGAGTTGTGACCTTCAATCCAGAGCTGCCAGAGGACTGCGGTCGTGATGAAGGCGCAGTAGGGACTGACCCCGTCCTCGCGGATGGTCGGCCATAATAAGCAAGGATTTCAGAACGTACGTCTTCAGGAAGGGCATTGAGAGTATCCGGGTCTAACTGGGATTGGGGAGGGAGTTCCACGCTTCTCGCAGCGGTCCCACGGCGAGACGATGGTGTAGGAGATTCTGAACGAGTATTTTCCGGACCAGACTTCGACCTGGACACAAATCGTGACCGTATGTCCCCGGGAAGTTCGGCCACCACCTCAGGATCTGCCTGGCTTGGCAGGATAAACTGAGTACCGGTGAGATTGAGAGGCTTCTGTGTACTGTCATTCAGGGATGGCGCATGGGAGACAGCACTTGAAATCTCAGACAAGGCGGAACGGTCACCCTTGCGTGGACTGTCAACCTCATCTGGATCGGCCATTGGCTTTGGCTCGCTCTTGGGACGGACTGGAGACATCTTGAAGTTTAGCTGTTGTTGACTGCTTTGCAAGCTCTTCACAGGCTCCAGCTTGGTCATCTGAACCCCCAAACCTCGCAAATCTCCAGGGGAAAAGTTGAAGCCTCTGAGGATCGAAACGGCTTCCTTCGCAATTACGTCCTTGGCGTTAGTAGCAACCCCAAGGATGATGCTTTTGTTGAACACATCACATTTCCCATGGCCAAGGTGCTTCACGGGTTCCAAAGGAGCATCTGCGGACCTCCGCATGATCCTCATCGTCAGCTGTCTCCCTTTGACAAGATTCTCCACGAGGCGACGGTGGAGTTCGCCGCAAAGATTGTGTACAAACTCCTCGGCCTGAGCTTGAGTGACGAATCTGATTCCCCAGTTTATCTCAGCAGATACCGATTTCCTCATGACCTCTGTCCCGACTTCAGTACGATCGATTCCGCGCGCATACTCCCATAGTTTGATCCCAGTTTTGGGACCGAGGGCCGAGACCAGTTTGTCTCTGGATAGCTCCCTGATGTCTTTCACGTACGTCACTCCAAGCTCCTCCAGCTTCCCACCTATACTATACGCAACACCAGGGAGATCTTGTACTGTCAAGTTCCCGATAAAATCCAGGACAGCGTCGGGTTTGAGGTAGAACTGGCCTGCAGGCTTCGCCTTCCTCAAAGCAACCTTGGCCTGGAGGATATTACCTCCGATACCGACAGAGACGGCGCATCCGGTCTTCTCTTTTACGGCAGCTCGTAGCTGAGCAGCAACCGCATCGGCTCTGGCTTGCTCCCTATAGATGGACCCCTCGGAAATGCCTCTACCGTCCGAACCCCCGGCTTCAAGGCACTGCATTGTTATGTCCACCAGAGCTTCATCGATACTAACACTCTGGACAACACCTTCGATAGCTAGGATTGAACTGTAGAACTTGCGACTGGCTTCTTCGTAGGCAGGAAAGTCATACGGTACCACGTGCAGATCAGGACACATCTGCAGCGCACCTTTCATCCACATGCCGTTCTTGATCCCGTATGCACGAGCCGGATAGTTGCAGCTCGCGATCTCAGAACCATTTCCGGTTCCGTGGGCCACAGCGACAGGCTTGTCAATAAGCTCTGGGCGCTTCTGGATCGAGACAGCAGCGAAGAAACTGTCAAAATCCACATGCAAGATATATCTACGTGCTCCAGGAAGTCTCTTTTTCTTAGCAGCTTGTGACTGTAACTTCTCATGAGTAGCCGCCTGAAGCTGTGCTTTCAGCTCGGCTTTCCACGTTGAAAGATGATGCAAGCGCGACTCCCGGTAGAACTGTTGGACAAACTCAGGATTCATTACACTTGAATTTCTCATGCGAGGATCGGACAGCAGCTGCGCATTGTATTCTTCGGGCGTTATTCCGGGTCTTGCAGCTATGGGTTCGCGGATGAGGGGCATCTCCATCGGGGCAGGTGTATCTTCTGGCGGGGGCTCAAAAACAGGAGCAGATTGCTCTAAAGGATCCCTCAACACTGACTCCTCTTCATCTACTGGCCCTGTCGCTTGTTTTGGAGTGGTTGGAGGATCTCGATTGTCAGTCAACGACTCCATGCTAGGAAACTCCCCATAATCAGATTCCTTTCCAGTGCTCGAAGCTGGAGGAACTGGTGTGGCATCACCACGTGTGGGAGGAGAAGAGATCGGGCTTCTCACGTCCTCACTGACTCTGCCCTGGCCTTTGAGCTGAGATGTGTACCAGCTAGCATCAGACTGGTCTTTGTAGCCTTGTTTCTGGATATTTGCCTGGCTCGATAGGCGACCAGAGTCAAATTTCAGGACCTTCTGCGACTGGCCTTCATCCACGACGCGATAGCCATCCCATGGCAACAGCCGCCCAGCTTTGATACTGTCGACCACCCAGGCTGGCTTCACTATGCGGTATCTGCGAAATTCCTCCCGCTTTTTTGGCGTTAGGGAGCTGGCGATAATATGAGTCGCGACCGTCTTCCCATCGAGATATTGCAGAAAACCTCCGCCGTGACTCACGATCAAGTTATGGATGTCGTTTAATGAGGGTTGCGTGTAGCCATTGACATAGGCGACGACCCCGCGAAAAATCGGCGGCTTGCCGGGGGACGAAGCTCGAATTTCCGCGTCTAGATTCTGGAGTTTGATCTTCTTCCTCCGCATATAGTCTCCAAACCCCCCGAATCGAGAGGCTTCATATTCCTCGCCCTCCTCATTATCGAACGTATCTATCGCGCGGTTAGCGCCGACGTCATCCGCGGGGAAAATAATGTACTCACGGCCTTCGATCCTTTTGCGCACAGCGCTTGAATTTGCTTCATGTAGTGAGCCCATAGTGGGCACACTGCGACAGCATCTCCAGTGTCTCTCCGTCAGCAAGAGATCCTGTTGAGCCTGTACAACACGTTTTCTACACAGTAACACGTCTGGTGGCGGTCGACGCGAGGAAACAGGTCACGGGAGAGGCGGATTGTTGAGCGGTGGGCAGCGGCAGAAAGTGGAGGCGATTCAGTTAGAGTAGAATTGGACCCAAAGAAGAAGAAGAAAATATCTTCGAATCAACTAATAATAATGGAGGAACTAAAGAAACGAAGTTAGACTGAAGTTAACTCTAGACTACTAGATATGGTACGGAGTATCTATGATTCTATGGTCATAGATCGAGACGTTGCCGGGGCTGCGGTCACCGCCCTGGTTGGCTATCGATAGTCACCGCCTAGAGAAAGAAAAAAAAAAAGTCGGCCAGCTCCAGAGAAGCTTTCTCTCTCCACCCGCTCCGCCTTGCTTGTTGATAAATTTTTCCCTCCCTGTCTTCTCTCGTTTTCTCTTCCAGCCAGATAAGACGCTGGTCATTGCCGTTAACTGCTGCTGCGAAAAAAGAGAAAATATATCTTTCTTTCTTTCTTGGCATTTTTTCTTCCGTTAAAAGAACGCAGTCGTTTATAACGTTAAGTTCAGATACCAGCTCATAATGTCTGGAACTCAGCCTGTTGCTGTTTATGCCCTCCGGGTGCCCCCCGGTGGCATCCTGATCCCGGCTGTTCCTGAGGCCTCTGCGATGGTGAGTGCGCCCCTAGATAATATGTGTGGCATGCGCTTCACATAATGCGTATCTTTTTGGCGGTTCTAGTATTCTGATAGCAATGCGATAGTTCCGCGTCAGCATGGCAGCCATCGACCCTGATGAGGCTCCCGACTTTGACGATGGTGCTGGTCCCAGCAAGCCTCGCGCTACCCTCAGACTGATTCGTGCTCCTGGCGGTGTGGATTTCGACGATGATGAGGAGGACGATGAGGACTACGAAGACGAGAGCGATGAGGACGACTCCGATGACGAGGAGGTCAACGGCGGCCCCAGCGACAAGGAGAAGGCTAAGCAGCGCAAGGAGGCCGCGGCCTTGAAGGAGATGGAGGAGGCTATGGAGGAGGACGAGTCCGAGGGAGATGAGATCGACATCAAGGCCGCCATTTCCAAGCTTCTCAAGGGCAAGGCCCCCGCTACTGACGACGACGATGACAACGAGTCTGACGAGAGCCTGGAGCTTGAGGAGATCGTGGTCTGCACTCTGGACCCTGAGAGGGTTAGTTCGATCAATACCCCGCGCTGCAATATTCATGATCTGTTGACTGACATAACATCAATGTAGCAATGCCAGCAAGCTCTGGACATCACCGTCTCTGAGGACGAGCGTGTCTTCTTCAAGGTCACCGGTACTCACACTGTCTTCCTGACCGGTAACTATGTCATCCCCACAGACGAGGGCCGCAGACCCTACGACGAGGATGAGGATGATGAGGACGACGAGTACGACCTCTCTCCCGACGAGGATGAACTCGACCTCGAGGATCTGATGGACGAGGATGACGAGGATGACGAGCTCGATGGCCTGGAGAACCCTCGCATCACCGAGATCAACAGCGACGAGGAAGAGGAGGAAGCTCCTAAACTCGTTGAGGCCAAGGGAAAGAACAAGCGCGCCGCTGAGAGTCTCGATGACCTCGTGGCCAAGGACAAGGCCGCCACCAACGGCGAAACCCTGAGCAAGAAGCAGCAGAAGAAGCTGAAGAAGAACAACGGTGAGGCTGCTCCAGTTGAGGCCAAGAAGGAGACCAAGTCGGACAAGAAGGTCCAGTTCGCAAAGAACCTCGAGCAGGGACCCACTCCCTCTGGTCAGGACAAGAAGCCCGCTGAGAAGCCCGCTGACAAGCCCACTGGAACCCTCGGTGTCAAGGAGATCAATGGCGTGAAGATCGATGACAAGAAGCTCGGAAAGGGCCCTGCTGCCAAGGCTGGTAACACTGTTGCCATGAGATACATTGGCAAGCTTGAGGATGGCAAGGTCTTCGATTGTAAGTGAAACCGATGTGTAACTCACCACATGCGATACAATTCGCTAACAGTTCTGTAGCCAACAAGAAGGGAAAGCCATTCACCTTCAAGCTGGGCAAGGGCGAGGTCATCAAGGGCTGGGACATCGGTGTTGCTGGTATGGCCGCCGGTGGTGAGCGCCGCATCTCTATCCCTCCTCACTTGGCCTACGGCAAGAAGGCTCTCCCCGGTATCCCCGCCAACTCGAAGCTCATCTTCGATGTCAAGCTCCTTGAGATCAAGTAAAATGGACATATTGATGGGTTACGTGGCCTCCAGATCCGGGGCTGCACTGCAATATCTCGCGTCCTCGTTTTCTTTGATCATTTCATTTTCTTTTTTTAGTCACATCATGCGGTGTTTTATGGGCTGTTTTTCTCTTATCTCATCCCAAGATATCCGACTTGTATTTCTTTCGCGCAGCTTTTCGTTGCATTGAGCAGGGATGAGGATATCGCTCTAGGAGTTTGCACATTTCCTATGTATCAAAAGTTCATAGTTCGAGTATTTTGTGGGTGGTTTGTCCTCTGAATGCTCGAGTATCTCGTCTTGTCTAGCTAGTGGAATAGCCGGGCTTAAAAATATAGAAAGCGTCCTTCTTCGGTTCAATCTTCCTATATCTTCCCCGACAGTGATTAAGTCAGTTTTCTAACCGTCGTATCTGGGTGCTTTATCACGACTTCCGCACATAATACATCCTGCCCCCTGGTTCCTTCCACATCTGGGAGACATGGCCAACTTGGACTTCATCTTCATTCTTCCTCCATCCGTTTCCGCGTCTCCCATCTCGTCTACAGCAGTTATCCCCCATCGTGTTATCTTTCCCTTCAGATGGCATCAGATTGCTGTCGAGCTAACTTGCAGTCATTATAAAGTCTTATACTCCGTGTCATTGTGCAGGATCCTGCCCGACTTCCACAGTACTTTCGTCGCTTCTAGACTTTCTCTCCTGTCTTGCACCGTCACGTCATTTCCGGGGACATGACTCTTGGTCGAAAGAGGAAAACCAGGACCTCACGCAGTCTATTCGGTCACCGGACGCCTACTAAAGTGATCGTGGTCGATTCTGATCTTCAACCGGCGACAAGCAACTCTCTGACATCAGTGTCTGATGCTACTCCGGAAAGTAACAATGATAAAGGTGGAATAAAGGGGCGCTTCAGAAGAAGCAGTTCGAAACTATTGTCAATCCTAGGCCTGAGAAACAGCAATGGTTTGCTTATCTGCCATCGCATTCTTTTCTGCTCTGTCTACTGACTTCATGAATAGTGAGCCGAACAGTGAATGAACCGTCTGAAGCTCCTATCACACCACACGATCTAGATGGAGTTTCAGACTCCCGGATCACATCTCGATTGGGATTGAGATCGACCCAGGAAGCTGCTCAACTGTTGTCTCCACCCCCTAGTCCTATTAATCAGAGCGTGGCAAGAGCAACTCGTGCAAGTTCAGAACAAATGTCTGAGCTACGCCACGCACCATCTACTCGAAAGCAGGGGAAACAGCGACAGCATATAGACGCTTTGCTCGGTCCACAATATGTGCTACTTCCTCCGGGTTGCCCGCCTGTAACCTCGGTGCGTCGATGCCAGTCTACTCCCGGTCTCACCTATCGAGTATCTCGAAAGCTGTCCACGACCTTTGGACACCCTACCGTTATTCGTCGGACAAGTCTCCGTTCCCGGCCTAGTATTCCTGCTCTCCTGGCACCCTCTTCGGTAGGCACTTTAAGCAAGCAAGGTGACAATACCCAGGACAGTTCAGACCCATCTCAAGATACCAGCGGCGGCATTTCACCCTCACTCAGAGAATCGACAAATCCAACTTCCGAGGATCCATCTACCTTTCCTGAAACGAAGCGACCATTAGAACGGAGTTTATCTGTCTGGTCGCGGGAGACTGACAAAAAATTGCGACCTATAGAGGAGACGCCCATTTCTTTTTCTCCGTCTATTGTGACTGTTGAGGCGACGGCTACAGCGAAGATCTTCTTCGAGACACACTTCAATTCTATTCTCTCGAGGACCTGCCCGCGCTCCCGGAGACTGCGAGAACTTGAAGGACAACTACGGTCCTTACCTATTTCCTCAGAAGAGAGACGCAGGCTCATAAATGCCTGGGTTGTCCAGGAAAGCGAATACCTTCGTCAGTCTAGGGTTCTAAAGACTCGTTCTAACTGCGTGCGTCGCAGTGAGACGGTCTCTGTTGCAGGATATGAGGTCATCAAAGTCTTAGGCAAAGGAAGTTTTGGCGTTGTGCGCTTAGTCAAAGAAAAGAAAGAAAGTGACGAAATCCAAGGAAACACTGTAGATGAAGGATTAGTTACCTCGAAGGGCGATACCAGCCGTTCAAAGGCGACGACTCTGGATGCGCTTAGGTCAGCTGTTGATGGAACTCGATCCAGTCGTCGAAGAGATTTGACCAAGATCAAGAAGGAAGTATACGCCATGAAAGTCATACGAAAATCGGACATGCTAAGAAACAGTCAAGAGGGACATTTGCGAGCGGAGAGGGATTTCCTCGTCGCCTCTGAGAAGTCCCGATGGATTGTACCTCTTATCGCTAGCTTCCAAGACACGCACAACCTCTATCTCGTGATGGACTTCATGGTCGGGGGGGATTTCTTGGGATTGCTTATTCGTAAGAACATACTGTCAGAAGAAGTGACAAGATGGTATATCGCGGAGATGGTTCTGTGTGTCGAAGAGGCCCATCGGCTGCGATGGATACATCGCGATGTGAAACCTGACAATTTCCTTATATCCGCCTCTGGCCATCTGAAGATTTCAGATTTCGGTCTAGCCTTTGATGGTCATTGGTCTCATGACCAAGCGTATTTCAATAACCACAGACACTCATTGTTGAAGAAACTGGGTATTACCATTGAAGGCGACAAGCAGGATCGTGAGGAAGCGAATGCTGCAGCGAATGCTCCCCCAGGGACGCGCCCCGAGCAACCAAACAATGAAGAAGAGGACAGAGGCCCTGGGCCGAATGAAACCCTTCTCCAGTGGCGCAACAGAAAGGAGAAGAGAAGACTCGCGAAGAGTGTTGTGGGAACCAGCCAGTATATGGCCCCCGAGGTCATTCGGGGTGAACCGTACGACGGCAGGTGTGATTGGTGGAGTATCGGAATCATATTATACGAGGTAATTTATCGCATTCAGAATATGCTGCAGTTCTCTGACCATATAAGTGCCTATACGGGTATACACCCTTCGCCTGCGAGAACCGTCAAGAAACAAAACTGAAGATTCTCGTGAGTAACCCATTGCTTGTATTTCTCCACTGACTGAGACATGTAACAGCAACATCCTCGAACATTGCACTTCCCGGTGGAGAAGCCTTCCGACAAACTTGTCTCTGCTGAAGCAATAGACCTCATCAGTCAGATTGTGCAAGAAAAGGAGTACCGGCTATGTTCGAGAAAGTACATGCTAAATGACTTTGTACATTCGAAAAGGGTCCCCGGGGAGCTCCTGAATCTCCCGGCTGATCGCCAAAGCAAGGACTACAGAGGATTTTATGTGTATCCTGAAGATGCAGGAGATATCAAAGCACATCCATTCTTCAGAGGAATCCGATGGGACGACATCCATTTACGGAAGCCACCATTCGTCCCCAAGGTAAAGAGTTGGGAAGACACGAAGTACTTCGATGAAGAGGAGCCGATCAGTGATATTGACGACACGTCAAGCCATAGTGACATACCGGATGCAATTCCTAGTCCCAATCAAGATCCGGATACTCATATGCCTGACGCAGTCAATTCCAACTCTCCTATTGAGTCTCAAATGCAGTCTCCGGATCTGGGACAACAGATGACCGATGGCGCGGGCGCTGCAAATCCGTCTCGACTTCAGTCCGTCACTAAGATCATCCCCAAGATCCACAAGAAAAAGAAGGAGAAGAAGAGACCCCGGGACAAAATATTGCGAGATGATGCTGTGGGGCAGACAGTTCTGGACATTCGGAAGAGAGGCGCTTTCTTGGGCTATACGTATCGTCGGCCGAAAGCCGTAATGGCAGCTCTCGAACTCGAAAGAGGCAGGTCATTGATGTCCCGAGATATGCTAGACCTTTCTTGATCAGAGCCCCTGCTGCTGAACTGCTCTGGTCAGGTTTGGGAGATGCAACGAGGTCGCGTCATTGTTATACATTGTTTAGGCTTATTAACCACCTGACATATTGCTACTTACTCTCTTTGAGGTGAAGGGCCTCAGGCGTTCTTTAGTCCGTTTGCAAAGGACGTATAGTGACGAATCATCTTTAATAACAGTCAAGATCATTAACAGAATTGACTTTCTTCCTCTCCTAAGTCTCTGTCCTGTGCAGCATCCAAATTATTTCATTTCTAAACTGCTACACTCTGTGACTAGAGACTCGTAATAACTCATGTTCCATCGAAAGAAATGTCCCATCCGCATCGATTGCAATCCAGACTCTTTCCCTTTCGTCCCAGCAGGTATCACATGCGCACAGTACAAACTCCATAACGAATAACAACAATTAATAGAATCGTAAACCGGTACCTATTGAGATGAGGCTTTTCTTCCCGCAAAAGAAAAAAAGAAAAGAAAAGAACAAATTCCCCACATGTCCATCTAGACAGCACTAAAAGTAAAGAGCATAATCAAGTCTCACCGTGCAAAGTATATGTATGTACAGGTACAAAAATAAGCGGGATATGGTATTTTGTTGTTTCCTCCCCCGCTGAATCAGCCAGGATCGACGGGGAAGTGTGATTGATTGATGGTTGAGATAAATTTATTGAATTTGAATTCCAGGGAGAAAACTGAGACGGGAATCGCTGTGTCGGAGAATAGGTTTTTCGATCGGTTTGACTCGATTCGATCTTGTGTTCTTTGCTTTGGCCGAACCGATAGGGGAAGAAGTGAGGAGTGGAAGTTAAACGGCTGGTGGCAAGCCCATGGCAAAAGCGGATCCGCTGATTCGATCTTCGGGTTTCATTGTACCGTTGAGAAGGGGACAGAGCCTGTTGAGATGATGGGTAATCACGTTAGCCAATGGGTTCCTTTGAAAAAAATCCTGGGTGAATATTTTTGAAGTCGATGATCGATTCTTCTCAAATGACAAAACGAAAAACGATTGAACTCTTGGGTCCTTTGAAGCTCGCGGTGCGAAAGCGCTCCCTTGGGGGTTCCTAAGAGGAAGGTAGCTCTGGAGCCAAAGTGGTTGGCCCGCTCAAGTTTGTATAGAGACGGGTGTAGGTGCATTGAGAACAGTGTCCCCAGGATGCTCTTCAGCGCCCGGAGCTTCAACAGTAAGGGCTCCAGAACAGTAAGGTAAAAAATCAAGTGCAGGATCATTGGGTGCAATGATAGTAGGCTCAGTGTCACCGGGTACGGGGTCATTGGGGCCGGGCTCATAGACTTCATAGCGTTTCTGCTTAGCCTTTCTGTATTTAGGGTGGTTTGCGCACTTTTTGTTGGTCTTGATGTGGCCGACTTGACCACAGTTGGCACACTTTCTTTGGGTGCCTGCTGGCTTTCCAGCTCCGGGAGTTCCGGCTTCGCTGGGAGATTCCCCATTTGGTTTTGAGCTGACTCCTTTCTGCTTCTCGCGAGCGAAGCGGCGTTCTTTGTTCCGGTTGAGTCTGCCAAGTTCCGCTTCGAGTCTGGATAGAGAAAGTCAGTAGCTGATAAAAGAACTGGGACGGGTAGAAGTTGTACAGTTTCATGTTACGAGCGTCCACTTCACGGTCGCCCGTAGGTTCGATCTTATCGAGTCTGCCAGATAGTCAGTTATAATACGCAGAATGTGTTTGTTTAGAGCAGCCCACTTTGTCTGGAGAGCCTCCATCTTGAAGCGGTACTGGGTGTACTGTCTGATAACCCGGGGGTCCCAAACCAACTGCTCCTTCTGATAGACGTTGCCATTTTCGTCTTCGTAATCGCGAACGATCCTCAAGACTTTGTTCTTTTGGCTGGTTGTGCTTAGTCTACTGAACTGACTGGTAGTTTCATCATCCCTGCGGAAAGCTGCTGGGGTAGGAGCCTCCGATCTTGGCGTGGGCTTGCTGAATTCATCTTCCTCATCTTCCTGATCGATGTCACTCTCGGCGTCCGAATGCTCAACGGTTGAAGATAAGCTCGCTTTCTGGGCATCCCAGATACGGCGGATGGAAGTCTCGTACGATTTCTGCTGACGAGCCACGTTATAACTGTGGCCGCCCAGCTCCTTGAGTCTCTGTGCGTCTAGTTTATCCTCGACACTCTCGCCAATGGCCTTGAAGCCACCTTTCATCGAGGTTTTGATAAAACTGAAACCTTCGCCACGGCCAGTAGGGTCACCTTCACCGTGAAGCTTCAACATGGCCTTGCCTTGCGAGGCTAACAGGAAGTTGCGCGTGGTCTTCCAAGGAGCCATCTGTTGTTCAAAACTCTCGCCTTCCACATCTTCATCGTCGTCGCCACCCTTTTCTGCATCGTTTGCATAACCTGCATCGTGCAGATGTTGCTGACCGACCTGCATAGATTCCAGAAGACAGACATCCTCCGGTTGAATCCAGGAGCGTATTGTGTCAGAGTCAGGTATAGCATCTAGGAATTTTGGAACCCATTGCTTCGACTCCTTATCGTGGTGGACAAAGTCTTTCATTCTCTGACGATTCTGCATGTCCGAGGTACCCGGGAAATGAGCAGTAATGTCAGATATCGACAATTTCATATCGCCAGACTTTTTCATGAGACGGAAGGTGAGCATCTTCAGGCGATTCTTGGCTGTCGTGGTGACCTTTCGAGAATGGGGTCCGGGTACATCCGTGGACGGCAATTGCTGGCCAGCAAGATAGAGATTGTCGATATTCCTCACGAAGTAATCGGATCCACCGCTACCGGTACTGGAGCGAATGACCAGAAAGTCCGTAGACCTAGGTTGATGGTGGAATAATGGAGCACGGTACATAGAGTTTGAGATAGCTGCTGTCGTCTCGCCGGGATCAATGTGTCCGAAGATGGAAAATGGACTCTTATCCTGAGGCAGGAGCACGACCGTCTCACCGATCTCTGCTTTTGGCCGAGACGAATCCTCCATGTTTTTCCGACGGTAGTAGTTTATGAAGCGATTGGCCATTCCGAAATTCGACATCATGGTTGGAACTTCCTCGGAATACTCGACCAGGAGAACGTTCGAGTTGTCCGCCGCTGAAAGGTCTTTAGTAGAGTTGTAAAGAGTCTTGATATCCTTGCCTTTTTGATGCTTCCGCTTGATGTACGCGGGGTTCTTGAACCAGACGGATTGGCCAGGTCGGAAGGTCAAAGCTGGGCGATGGAAGGATCGTGCCTCCGAGGTAGACAGCTCAGTCTTATAGTAAGGCCACTGCAAGCGCAAAGCGGGCATACTATGCTCGAGGGTTACATTACCGAGCGTACTGCGCACCTTGTTCTGGTGATTCTCCTTGAGCATGTCATATGCCTCGTCGTTTGAAATGTTGTAGCGTTTTGTCAGGCGTTTGGTGACATTGGCGTCCATTTCATCCCGATTGATAGCTCCCAAAGCCTTGGGCTTCTGCACGGCAGACTCGGGACCTCGCTCGTCAAGGAGTAGATGGGGATCGTTCAGATCAATCGTGACCTTCTTGGCGATCCCAGCTGTGATCTGCTCAGGATCGTCGAGTGGCGGAATGTCGATGTGTGATAAAGCTATGATTTCGTTTGGATCCTTCCCCAGCTTACGCTTCTTCGCGGGCCGTGTAGTCTCGAATAGCCAGTCATCCTCCTCAGCGGCTTCGTCCATGTCTTTGGCCGGTTCAGGCTCTTCGTCGAGATCCATTTCAGAAACGTCCGTTTTGACCTCCCAATCTGTGCAAATCACATGAAGGTCCTGCATGGTAACCCCCCCAGGGAGCACTTCTTCCGGATCCGTCTCGAAATCGATCTCTTCGATCGGACTTTCTTCTTCCTCTTGCACAGTCACAGTGATCGGAATTATGCCAAGTTGTTCTGATTCGAGAGCGCGCTTGCTGACTTGGCCTCCCGCTTTGAATACACGCTCCTGGTCTTGAGCAAGCTCTAGGTTGATTTTTGTCGGCTGCACTGGTTTCGGGGGCTTCAGGGCCTGTTTTCCGACGAAGTAAGCCTTCTTATGAGGAATGAGTTCCAAGAACCGTGGCAGAGCTTTACGATCAAACCCTGGCCATAGTGACTCAAGCAGCTCTTCCACGTTCTCTGGAGGGGCAGGCGGATTATCCGGGCCGACTGCAGACATAGCAAACAAGGCCTGTTGAAGTTTCCATGCTCGAAGAGTAGCGGGATCCATGTCCTCAACAGTAGGTGAGGAAGGCTCTTCTCCTTCGAGAATGCTACCCTCTTCCATCGCTTCTGCCTCGACCTCAGCCTCTGCCACCGGAGCGTCGGTGGCACCAGCATCGCCAGCTGCCAGCGATGGACCCTCTTCCTCCTCAAAAAAGAGATCTCGTGTCTCGTCGGCCTGGTTCCCTGCGGTTGGTGACGGGGCTTCACCAAATAAATCGTCCAGCTCATCATCGCCCTCTTCGCGCTTTCCAGCCTCTTCATCCATTCCAAAGATATCTTCTCCCCAGTCCTCCTTCTCCTGCTCGCCAGGGGGTGCCATATCGATATCTCTCGCCGTCGCAGGAGGAGCGCCTCCTTCTTCCTCCTCGGGGAGGTCATCATCGTCGATGTCCTCGTAGTCGATTGCGTCGTCTGCCTTCTCGCCTGGCTCTAACTCGCGAGACATAAAATCGAAAGACACGCCGCCCTCCCCGAAGGGCCCGTTGATCTGTTGCATAACATTGTTGAAATCGGCGTCCTCGGCGTTGAGCGCACCGTTCTCTGTAGCGTGGGGCATCTTGGGATGTGATCTTTGAAAGAACTGAAGCCGTCACAAGATTCCCGCCTTGGTCAAGGACGTAGAACGGTCGACGACGGTCGGACGGCGTACCGATCGCGCAGTATCATAGAAATGACGTCGAGACCGGCTCTAAATCATCGATGTCGAAGAGGAAGCTGCAGAGGAACTGAAGCGAGAAGCAGTGGCTATCGGCGTGGAGAGAGTGAGGAGAGAAGAAGCGCATCGGACGCGGAGGCGACGGACGATATACCGCTAAGCCTTATTGGGAAATCAGCTCATCCGGTCCTCAAAGAATCGACAGAATCATGACAATAAGCAGGACTTTTAGTGAATAGAACTATGAGTAATCTCGCTTTTACTGGATGCCATTTGGCTTTTCATTCACAAGGTAAATGAGAGGTAAGGGTTGTGTGGCGCACGCAGGTGTCAAGTTGCCATTCATCTGCCCATGTCCCGGTACCCCGTCTAACTAGACATGAATAGGTTTGTAAAACGATCATTCTATTCAATACGGGATCGCTGAAAAGTCATTCCAGATGAAAATCGCCATAATAGATACACAACGCCTTGCTAGCGCCTTCCATACAGTAATGCATAACAGTAGCCTTTTTATCGTCCTTGACCACCTTCGCCAACTGCTTCAGATCAGACGTCCGAGGCAAATAGAGAACCATATGTTCAGTGAAGACGGAATACTCTTCATACAGCTTACTGAGCGGATATGGCTCCATGGTTCGCAGATTAAATACTTCATCTGAACGATAGCCAGGTCCTAAAGGGAAGTCAGCACCGCCCACTTGCTGGAAAACTGGGCAGAAGAAAGAAAGACAGAAGAAACTTACCACCCCATGGCGGACTGGCGAAAAGCACACTGTATGGTGCCAGGTCTTTCAACTGGGCTTTGAGAATCTCGAAGCAGTCGCCTTGAAACCAGGTGATTTTGTTCTCTACTCCATACACCTTCGCATTGTGCTTTGCGCACTGCAGGACTGCGGGATCTTTCTCTATGCCGTAGACACGTTTCCAGCGCCCGGAGAGCGCGAACGCGATGGTGTTCCCACCAGCTCCAGCAAATGCATCGACTAAGATGCTTCGCCCTTTAGGAGCAGATTTGGCGATGTGCTCCGCGATTTTACTATACAGGTGGTAAGCCAATGTTATTATTCTAATGACATGCGCAACAAGCAGGGTAACAAACTTAGCAACAGGTTCTGGGGTGACGCCAAACCAGGCATCATCGGTCAACCAGATACCCTCGTCATATTTAGAGAATAGCTTGTAGCGTTGTGCCCAGTAACTGGGAATATGGTCAGTGGTCGTAAGTATATATATATATATGTTCTTGGCATGAATGAGCGTGCTTACTTTTGGATATCCCAAGGGACCTCACTCCGGTCGTTGTAATGATGCACCTCGGGAGGAGCCTCTTCAGAGTCACCGCTCATGGCAGCACTGACGGAAAATAATCCTGTCTGATAGCTGGTCTATGTAGAATTCATCATAGTAAGAGTCTTCGTCCTGACCATGGAAGATTGGCACCGCGGACTTTATCTGGAACGGAGATGTGTTTGTCTTGTTTGCCGACGTAGCATCGCCGATTATGGATAACTAGTTAGTCCTCCACGTGGAGATGATGAGGGGACTGTAAACACGAGCAGCTCCAGTCTCGTTCCTCGAACGTTTGATATTGATTTCGTTCAATATCGGGGAGAACTAGAAGCTATGTTCGGAGCTTTAAATAGGTTCATCGGGCGTCTGGAGGGCGAGCCCGCACAGCAGGCTTCTAGCAATGGAGACAATTCGTTTGGTTTCCAGGTCCTCCGCAACAAGGACTCCGAGCTGCCTCTCGAGCCCTGGTTCGACTTCATTATCGGTATCAATGGTCGCCTGATTGTGAGTCAGCCTATGGTACCTGTGATTGATCTTTCTAATATCCCGTTACCAGGATGACCCCGATCCAAACCTGTTCGCTACGGAGGTCCGCAACTGCGCCGGTTCAAGCGTGTCGCTCGAGATATGGAGCGCAAAGGTCAGTGTATATCTCTTGGATAGATATATAGCTTCTTCTGACATACACCCAGGGCCAACGGACACATACTATCTCCATCCCTGTGCCAGCTGGCAACCCAACCCTCGGACTTACCCTACAACTAAGCCCCCTGTCGTCAACGCAGCATATATGGCACGTTCTCGACATCCCTTCGTCTCACAGTCCAGCATACCTAGCGGGACTTCTTCCACACTCGGACTACATACTGGGAACACCTAGTGGAACACTACGAGGCGAATCCGCGCTTGGTGAGCTGGTGGAGGACCATCTCAACAGGAGCCTGACTCTATGGGTCTACAACAGTGAATTCGATGTTGTTCGAGAGGTAGAGCTTGTCCCTACGAGAGGCTGGGGTGGTGAAGGTGCATTGGGTGCTGTTCTGGGATATGGAGCTCTACATCGGCTACCAGTCGGTCTTGGAGAGGAGGTAGAAGGACCGGGTGAAGTCGTGTTCGAAACCAAGGACGATGGCTTCTCACAGCAGACACAAGCTCCTGCAGTGGGCGGTGGATCCTTCCTTGTCCCTGCAACCATAGCCTCGCCTCCGCCTCTGAGATCGGGAACTCCCACGTCCGGGAAGTCGAAGGGAGGGAGAAGACATCGACATGCGGCGATATCGCCAAACTCAGCGTTTGATGAATACTTCGCAGAAGGAGAGCAGAAGAGCAGGGAGCAGGATTATGCCCCATCAAGGAATAGTACTCCCCTTCCGCCGCCTCCCAAAGTTGGCGCTCCTCCACGCAATTCCGATAGCCCTGCGCCTGCACCGACTGAGACCTAACACACATCTCGGGCGTAAGAATGGAGCTGTGGAAGTGACGTTTTGGATTGTTCAACTGTATGACTATTACGTTGGAGTTATGTTATGACCCTGGACTGGTGATACCGATAGTTTATAGGAATTAGGCTGGTTTCGGTGCCATTGACATAGGAAATTTATGCATGTGGCTTTGACTGCTTCTAGACAACAAATGAGATTTGGTTGTACTAAAATGACAAGACTCGAAGATAGGGACCTGAATCTCCGAATCCAAAGTTTTAAGTTACATATACGAGAGCTCTGTTTCCGCAAGCCCAGTCCCCGATGGACATGAAAGCTCTCGTATGGGTCTGTATGGTGGACTCGTAGCTATCACGGTCCTCTCTCTCGCTACCAAACTGTCTCAGCTTATAGACCCTTGCTGACAATCTCTTCCAACTTCTTCCTGGCATCGCCGATCTTCTCCTCGAACCTGGCTCTCGTCATGGCGCTATGCGCAACAGCAGTGTGCCAGGTGTTCTCGGCAGTCTCCCGGATCTTCAGATGCTGCTCAGCCAGAGTCGGGCATCTCTTCTCGTATTCCCAGATCAGATCAGAGACGTTGCGCATCGTCACTGGCAACAGGGTCCAGGCCGCAACGGTACCGAAGGCAAGCGGTGTCGTGGTGCGCAGGATAACACCACGGTTCCGCGAGACTATTGAGCCTGCCATCGCAGAAACAATGACATAGATACCTCCGGGCATCAGGCGCTCGCCGGATTCCGGAGAGGGCTTGAGAGAAGCAACAGTGTCGGTGAATGCATTCTCGATGCGGAGCACGCGGGAAAGGAAGTCGTTGAAGCTGTTCTCGGCCGCGAGGCAGTGCGCGTACAGGAACAGACGGGCTTCTCGAACCTGGGAGGTCAGGATGTCTGTCGGAGTGGGAGAAGAGGGCTGAGAGGTGGAAGGAGGCGAGGGCAGGGAGGGTGGTGCAGGTGTCTTCTCCGTCGGAAAGTCGTCGTAGATGGGTTTTTTCTGCTTTGGACAGGCGTTAGGCAAGACTCTCCGCAAGATACCGTCAACGGAGAACTTCATACCGACTCATGGGGAGCCTCTGCAAAGGCCGTCCGCCTGGGATAGAGGGCTACACCTCCAGCCAGGAGGGTAGCTGCTACGGGAGCAACAGCTCGCTGAGAATCTCGTCAGTCACGCGACTGGGGACCTGCACACGGTGAAGACGACTCTTACCCGCTGGAACATTGGCCGGAATGACATCTCGAGAAACGCAGAGGTCAATGGCCAATTGAGGACTGGTGGAAGACGTCGAGGTTGGAATTCTGCGGAAGACCTGGACGTTGTCGATGTCGTTGGCCGAGCCAAGCCTCAGCGGGAACAACTCGGCTCTGCGGACGAGCAGAAAATGGGCGCAGTTCCGACTCCGTCATCGCCGATACTTAGTAAGTCTTCACGCTGTGCCTTTGCAACCCCCCGACAGCTGCTTTGGATCAGCGTTTTCGCGTGCACGATGCTGAAGACTCTGAACCGCAGCCCGTGGACCTGCCAGCAGTGTCTGCGGCGTCTGCAGCACGTTCAGTCGCGGCGATCCTTCGAGACTGCGGCGACATCTGCCGTCAGGTCGTTATCCGAAGACCACGCGCCAGCAGACAGCTCTGTGGACAGGCGCCATGATGACGATGTGCTACGGAAGGTGTTCGACTCGCGACCGTTTTGGAAAGATTTCTCGCAGCGAGGCGCTGGTCTCTCGAAGCGCACAGGCCTGGTGCAGAACCAATACCTCAAGAGTCCCGAAGGATTCAGAGAGTTCGCCCATGCCTCTCTGCAGAAATGCCAGAGGATAGTGGCCAAGGTACTGGCCGCGTCCACTCTGGAAGAATACAGATCTATGGCGCGAGATCTAGATCGTCTGAGCGACCTGCTATGTCGAGTGATTGACTTGTCCGATTTCATGAGATCTATACATCCCGACCGACGAGTGCAGGAGGCGGCTACGCAGGCGTATGCGCTGATGTTTGAATATATGAATGTCTTGAATACGACGACTGGTCTAAATGAGCAGCTCAAAAAAGCTGCAGCCAACCCTCTGGTTACGGCGCAGTGGACCGAGAGTGAGAAGATGGTGGCTCAAATATTGATCAAGGACTTCTCGAACTCCGCCATCCATCTTCCACCAGATGAGCGTCAAAGATTTGTCAACCTCTCGAATGATATTAGCCAACTGGGATCGGACTTTGTCAACGGAGGAGAGCCTGCCAAGTCCCACGTCACAGTCAGCAAGAACAGTCTGCGCGGGCTGGATCCGGTCGTGGTGCAGCAGCTGGGGAGATGGAGCAAGGCGTCTATACCAACAGTGGGAATGGTTCCTCGTCTGGTGTTGCGGTCAGTCCATGACGAGGAGACTAGGAAGGAGGTATATCTTGCAACACGAACCTCTAGCAAGAAACAGATCCACCGGCTAGAGCAATTGTTGCTCAAGAGAGCAGAACTTGCTAAGCTTTCTGGTTACCCTAGCTTTGCACATATGACATTGAGTGACAAGATGGCGAAGACGCCAGAGGCTGTGTCTAACTTCTTGCTTTCCCTTGTCTCGAGCAACAGAGGACCGGTCCAGGAAGAATTGGCCCAGCTCCAGAAGCTGAAGGGCGCATCGCCCTTGCAGCCGTGGGATCATCCCTACTACGTTAACCAGCGAGTTTTCGAGTATTCGCAGGCCCGCAGATCTCGTGAGCTTAGTATGATTCCTGAATTCTTTTCGCTTGGAACCGTGATGCAAGGTCTTTCCCGACTATTTGACCGTCTATACGGTGTGCGTCTTGTGCCTCAGGAGACGGCTCCTGGGGAAACCTGGAACTCGGATGTGAGACGATTGGATGTCGTCGACGAGTCCGGACGTCACATTGCTGTGATATATTGCGACCTCTTCACGCGGCCGGATAAGAGCCCGAATCCGGCCCATTTCACGCTACGCTGCTCGCGTGAGATCTCCCAAGAGGAGATAACGGAGTCTGCTGCTATAGAGCAGTCACTGCATCCTAATGATGGAATGGCCACTGCTCGCGACCCGGAATCCAAGACCCTGCGCCAACTCCCAACTATCGCGCTGGTCTGTGATTTCCCAGAGCCGCCGGCCTATGGAGACGGCCCTCCTTCACTTCTGAGCGAACATAGCGTTCGGACACTGTTCCATGAAATGGGCCATGCTGTCCATTCCATTCTAGGCCAGACGTCTCTCCAGTCGATCTCGGGTACGCGCTGCGCTACTGACTTTGCGGAACTGCCCTCTGTGCTGATGGAGAGTTTCGCCACGGCCCCGGAAGTTCTATCTCTCTATGCTCGGCACTGGAAAACCGACGAGCCGCTTTCAGAGAGTATGATGCGCAGCATGGACCTCGATCGATCAGCTCATGGATCCATCTACGGCGCCGTGGAAAATGAAGCACAGATTCTCATGGCCTTGGTCGATCAGGCATATCACTCTCTCCCTCCAGAGCATCAGACCATTGACAGTACCGCCATCTATCACAGTGTATTCTCTGAGCACTCAAGCCTCCCTGACCCCAAAACCAACCCACCTACTTCGTGGCAGGGTTTCTTTGGCCACTTGTACGGCTATGGCGCGACGTATTACAGTTACATCTTCGATCGCGCCATCGCAAACAAGCTCTGGCAGGACGTGTTCAAGGCAGGCGAGGCAGCAGTAGACCGCGAAGCTGGCGAGCGGTACAAGAACGAGGTTCTCCGCTGGGGCGGTGGCCGCAACGGATGGAATTGTGTAGCCGGTGTCCTTGGCAGTGACAACCCATCGAATGCAGATGGCCGTCTCGCAGAGGGAGGCGACGAGGCAATGCGTGAGGTTGGTCGATGGGGTTTGGGTCGCCATTAGGGTCAGAATCTGATATATACCCCCGTTCTCGCTAGATGTGTACGTAGAATAAATAATGTCCATACTGACTTAATGCAATGAAATATAACATCAACATTCCGCTGTACAGTTTCGTGTATAAACCCCAATCTCAATAAATTAATATCATACCTCCATGTAGATATCAATGTTCAATTTAATCACTATTAACTATATTATTATGATCATGATAGTATTACCCAAAGCCACGAAGCCACAATACAAACCATCCAAAACACAATAAGCCACAATATCGCATGTATTACACTACAATGCAGCGCATTCGCCATGTAGTTGTACAGTATGTAGGTGTAAATTCCCACGTGCTGCATATGCCTACTCTACTATAAAAGAACCCCTCATTATGTATTAGAGAATATAAATAAACCCCATCGGAACGAAAGCTACACGAATAAATTGATCAGTTATAACGAACCATCATCCATAGCCCGAACGAAGAAAGGGAAAATAGCAGTTAAAATTTCCGAATTGCTTGGAATTTATCATCTAATCTATGTATCTATGTACGGGAAGTACCATCTGCTAAGTAAAATCCGCTAGACTTGGGGTCTTTCTACAGTTCTCTCTAGTTATGGTTATAGAGACAAGACAAGCCCTAGTTATAAACTTATATAAGACGTCCTTAGCGAAAGTCGAACGTTTTATGATAAACGCGCTGTAGTTACTTAAAAGAAATCAGAGAAATGTGTCATCGTTATATAGCGGCTGTGCAATGGTCAACCTTTCCCGAGCACGAGGCTTTTGCGGGGTGGCAGGGATACGAACGGATCGACAGGGCTGCTTCGTGAGACTAGACAGGGATGGTCCGGATTACTGGTAAGAAATAATAACAACGCCAGCGCTCTTGAATTATCGGGTATTTTCGAGTTTGTTAATAGTAGGTAGCTAGGTAGATTTTGCGTTTGGATTAAGAATGATTTTTTCTTGTATAAAAATTAAGACAATGGATAGGGAAAAATGACAAGCAAGTGCAACGTTATACAAAAAGTAGATACACGTTCATGATGGACTCCTTTCCGTGGGTATCATTCGGTCCAGTTTCTCTCTTTGCCTCAAGACCTCATTCAGTTTCCAATGCGAATGGAGGTTCAAACAATCTTCACATCACCGACTTGAGCAGTACTCTAAATTTCATTCAGAGGAAACCAGCAGCGGCCGCAGCAGCAGCAGCAGCAGCAGCTCCTCCCATACCAATACGGCCAGCAGCCGCATCAGGGGTCTGGGTAGCCTGAGGCTGATTGAGCTGGTCAATACCGCCCGTCACAGTCATAGTCGGGTAGTAGATCTCATCACCCGAATATGAAGTGATAGTGGTTGTTTCGGTAGAAGTGGAGAATCCTTCCGTGCTGACCTGGAGACCAACAGACTCCGAGCAGGAGGCCAACTGGGTCGAGGAGGTGATTTCGCATTTTTGGTCTAGAGTAATCGTAGCCTCTATACCGGCAGTCGCGGTCGAGAAGATAGCGCTCACGCTCCAGGTAGAAGGACCTTCGGTGACGGTGAAAGGTTGATGAAGGGCGCATGTCGCGCTCGGAGCATCCACGCAGTTTAGGACCATCGTCGTGGCGACGGCATTTGCGTCTACTATGCTGCCCTTGATGTTATCGAGGGGCACCTGCGTCGGGCCTGCTGCGAAGACACTGATCACGGTGCTAGATTGCGCGGAGACAGTGGCTGCAATGGCAGCGCAAGACAAGATATAGCTGGTGAAACGCATGATGGTGATCTTTATCTATCACTTGGTGTAGTCTAGGGAGTCTTGAAAAAGATAATGTCGAACGAGAGATATATCTTGAGATCTCAGAGATGACAATAATAATAAGAGCCTTGATATTCAGACAGAAGAGAAATCTGCGACAGACTTCGTGCCAACCGCCGCCCCTTTTTATAAGTTCAAGATCAAAAGAGTCTTTAGCCCCCAGCGACGGCCAGCGCGATATCGGTTAGAAAACCGCATGGCGCAGCAAAGAAAAAGGCTAATTCACTCCTCCTGACCCCAAAAAGATACGATGCGGCTCTTGGAGGCTGAATTTAGTGCACGCGCCGGCGATTTAGCTTCGAGGGAGTGTAGGCTAAGACGCTATCCAGGACTCCAATGTCACCTCGTAAGTATGTATGACCGAGGCCGTGAGTCCATGCGCCTTGAACAACTCAAGCTTAGCATCTTGGCTGAATATAGCTGGTCGTTTTAGCTTGAGGCTCTGGAGTCTGGAAATGGCAGGCAAGCGAAGACCAGATAGAAAGTAATCCATGCTAAGAAAAAGATGCGCATTTCAACAGAGCCCAACGACTGTGTTATCCAATCGTCATCCTGGTGAAGTTCACATGAGAACAAAGACACCCAGTTATATTCTCATGAACAGCTCAGCAATAGATGCGAGAGTCCGCAATCGCTGTTTTCAACGAACGAACAGAGGACGCCTTGACATTCTAGTCTAGTACAACTAGCGGACGTTGGTGCCTGCCCAACATAGGGAATCCGAAGCTGAAAATTACTCACTGCATAGCCTCATTCAATCCGGTAGTTAAATGAGGATCTGGAGCAGAGTTGACGCCAAATTCCTTTAGATACGGAGACAAGTTAGAATAAAAGCAAGTCGGATGGTTTTGGCCCCCATTTACTTAAATAGGAACTTGCCAAGAGACGGATCTGTGAGTACCTAATGAAAAACTCTCCTTTCCAGTTTCCACAAACTTGTAGGGCCGAGTGGCGGTGAGAAAAGAGGACAAAAGAAAGGGCATTTACGAGGATCAGTAATTAGCACGGATCGGTTCCCTTTATCTATGCTCAATAGTAGTAGCAATGTTGTTTACCAGCGCTGCAATTCTATAAAGGCCAAGACAATCTGTACCTATATCACGTGATTTATCAGCCGCACTAAATTTTAGCCTAAATTCCCAAATAGGAACGTCCCATTTTGTTTGCCGAGATAACATAACTGCAAGCAAATACAAAAGGTACGATAAACATCCAGATTGTCTAGTAAATCACTATTCTCGGCCGACCATCACACAATTGGGCTTGTGGTTTAGTGGTATAATACCCCCTTAGCATGGGGGTGGTCCGGGGTTCGATTCCCCGCGAGTCCAATTTTTTGCCTCCTTCTGATGCGCGAGTGAAGCGATATGGACGTTTTACTTTTTTGTCTTGTTCTCCAGTAAGTCTTTTGCATTAGGACTGACTGAGAAGTGGCCCGTTGCGATTAAGGTAGGGGTGGCAGAAATTGTTCTAGTATATTTACCGTAGTAGGGTTAAGAAACCTAATATATATCGGATCTTTTACGAATTAGTCTGTTGAATGGATCTTCAGGTATATATACTTAACGGTCATTTCTAACGAAGTGCTATACTGAGCAGATAGAACTCGATACTTACTTGACTTAATACCCCTTACGCTCTTGACCAACAAGATCGAAAATACGCAATCATCTTATCAACTGCCTCTTGATCCAACTTCTTTGCCTTTCCCAGCGAGGGTGAATACTTCCTCGCCCGCTCCGTATGCCACTTCATTGTGCGTCTTGGCTGGTCCGTATCATACTTACTAGCGAAGAACTCCACCAACTTGATCGGTGGATTCTGTGCTGGATCCGGATTGGAAGTTCGCAGACGTTGAATCCACTCGCGTTGCTCGAGCTCTTCGAACTCAAGCCCAGCTCTATGCAGGAAAGGAAGCAGATCGCGCGTCCAGTTGAAGGATTGCGGGTTGATGATGTTCAATACACCGGAGTCCATGGTGGAGAAGGTAATGTCGATTATCGTGTCTGCGACGACGTCGACGGGCAGCCAGAAGGGTGATTCGTCGATACGCGGTAGTGCGCCGATTGTGGTGGCAGATTGAAGGATTAAGGGGATGGCTTCTGTAGGGTTCCAGATTCCATGCTGTGTATCACCGATCACTTGACCGATGCGGAGGACTCGACCTCTGATACCTGTCTGTTCTGCGGCTTTGACGCAGATGTTTTCGGCCACGAGTTTCGACTGGGCGTATCCCATGTCTTGGGCATAGCTTAGCTTCTCTGGAAGAGCTTCTGGGACATACTCGCTGGCAGTATTCGTGACCGTACTGACAGAAGAACAGAAGTTGAAAGATGCAGGTGCTGGTCGTTGTGCTTTGAGACACAGGTCGATCAGGTTCTTGATACCGGCAATACTGTCCTTCTCGAAACTACCTAGGTTCAGGTTGAAGTTGACGGACCAAGCACAATGGATAAGATCAGTTATCTCGGAGGTCAAGATGTTGTATGTTGTCTCATCGAGTCCCAAAGTTGGTTTGGAAAACTCGGATGGGACAGCGATCAGCTTGCTTCGTGCAATATCCGATATGCTCGTGTACACTCTGCGTTCTCTCAGAGACTCTATCAACCGCCCATAAGCTTCGATGGTTGATCCTGCTCGAACGAAACAATATATCTTCTGCACATCTGGCTGCGGAGCGAGCTTGGAAATAACGTGACTGCCCAAAGAGCCAGTGGCACCAGTGACAACCTGTTTTGATTAGTCTGGACACATCTAGGAAATTGGAATGAATACGAACCAGATATTTGCCTTTCAAACCATTTGGCATAGGCTTATGTTGTGCAAACTCGCTGTATTTCTCGATCAACCTCTGCATTAGATCCTCAACAGAGCCAGAACGATCCACCGTTCCTGACCGCAGCGAGTAGAGGTAATGTGCCAAGGCGTTTATCGACGGATAGTCAAATGCTATATTCAAGCCCAGGGCATGGCCACCCGTGTCAATCTGGCTTGTCAATATAGACCTCAGCTGAGTAGCCTGTAGTGAATCCATGCCGAGGTTAAAAAAGTCCGCATCCTCTGTCAGGACTGATGGATTCTTCAATGGCAATATCTTCTCCAGCTGTTTCCGGATAAATGCCCTCAACTTGGGCTCAGACAGAGAAAGCGCATTTTCCGTTTTCCTCTCTTCATATGCATCTTCTATCTGCTGATGGAACTGCCGATAGAACGCTTGCCTGATAACTGTCCCCTTGTCTGTACGAGGATACTGCGTGTCTGCTGGGAGGATCTTCACCAGATTCTTTGTAAGCTGGGCGTAAGCGGGCATGGCAGTTTGAGCCTTCTCCACAGATGACCAGATAGAGTCGATAATTTCATCCTCCGATAACCCTGATGCTACCGGAGAAGGAACCAGCATCAGACCGACACTGGACTTTCCTGCGCCAAAGACCACAGCTTCCGATACCGTTGGAAGTTGCCTGATAATGCCCTCCATTTCCAGCGGATTGACCTTCTCGCCATTCACGAGAACGATTGTATCGTCCAGACGAGCATAATATTTGTACCCTTCTATCGTGGGATGTTTCAAGAAGAGGTCCTTTGTGGCATACGCACCATCCGGTCTGTTGGAAGCAACCTTAGATGGCCAGCCGTCAAGACACACCAACTCATAAATACCGGGACTGCGTTCTTCGAATCGTAAGAAAGGCTTCACTGCCTCCGAAGGACGGAGATAATTCCATTCTTTATCTTCCCGCGGTCTGAAAGATGTCATCAATTGGCCCGTTTCAGTCCTGTAGACTTGTCAGCTCTGACGTTATCATGGAACGAGCTTCTAGAACTAAATATGATAGAACAGAACAAGACACTTACGACCCATAGTGACTAACAAGATTCACCCCTTTCTCAACCAACTTATCCCCCAAAGAATCCGGACACGGCGATCCACCAAACATGACAATCTTAAACTTCGTCAAGGCTTCAATCCCCTCATCCGTCTCCGCGAGCAACTTCAACGCATACGGAACCCCATAAAATATATCGAAATCATGCGCCTTCATCGTATCCAGCAAATACTGCTTTGTAAGCGGTAAATTCGCATTATACAAATGGAGACGCTTGCATGAATGAACTGCGCGGAACAAGCAGCTCATTCCATGATTATGGTATAAAGGAAGAGTGATGAATCCGTTCATGTTCATGTTCCCAGCATAGTTTTTAATTGCGGCTCGTTGGATCTGAGGGATGGGCTTTGGTAGGCCCGTCGAGCCGCTGGAGTGGATTATCCATACGGTGTGTTCTGTCTCTTGCGCTGGATCCAGATGAGGAGTGAGATTAGTATCGACGCTGCCATCCTCTACTGGGAAGTCATAAACGTCTCGAGAAGGAATCTCATCGACTTGCAGATCGGGTATTCGTCTTTTCAACTCTTCAGCGACGTCCCGGAAAGACCTGTGGACCATAAGATTCCTCGAATTCGTGGTCTCCAGAAGAGAAACATATGCTTCGATAGATATCCGCGTTGAGAGTAATAATGCAGAATGTCCCAATTTCGACAGTGCAAGGAGAATGACGAGATAACTCAGATCAGAGGGTCCCAGCACGCCCACTACCGTTTGTTTCTCCGACGAAGACGATCTCACTGGGATTCGAGAGGCTATTTTCTTCGCAACTCGATATGCAAAGATATCCAGGTCTCGCAGAGGATATTCGACATAGTCGATGCCGGACTTGGGATACGCAATGACTGGCTGTCCGGATCCCAGAGATGCACGGTGACGGACTAATTCGTCGATTGTGCGTGGTTCCTGGTCTGTTATATTTACCCGTGTGTGTTTGACCCCCGTGGTCTTCTCAGAAGCGAAAGATAAATCGCTGACCGGTATAGGTGCAATGGCTACGGAGGACATGTTTGCTTTTTTTTTTTTTTTTTAGAGGGTCAATGCATTGAAGATGAAAGGATCTAGATATCGCAATCGTAGAAATACGAGTATCCACGAGATATAAACAGTACATGGAAAATACCACCAAACTCTTTAATATATATATGTACCCCGCCATATCATCACCGACATCGACGCGAGTTCAACATCGGCGTATGTCCGGCGGCATCTGGAAGAATTACTTCCTCTCTATGCTGCGAAATGGCAGTAGCCGGGGGCGGCGCGGATAAGAATCCGGACCGTGTGACCGAGGCCTCCAGGAATTACTAACATTAACTGGTATAATTCCGTAGAAAATAGTTGATATTGTGAATGGTACTTGCAAACAACAACTTGAGATTTAAATATAGCATTTATAATTCATACCAAAACAAAATAAACCCTTCCACTACCACCGATACCCCGTAGCATCCCCTTTCGCCCAACAATCCTATAATGTAGATCTAGTATACGAGACAACAAACCTCCAACATAGAGTACGATTCCCTCTGATCCCTCTCATTCAAAATCCTCTAGAGTAAACCGGACAGGAAATCTTATTTGATCTACCCCGTGATCCCACTGAGCAGATCGATCGCCAGGCTCCTCGCGTAACTAAAGTACCTACTTGTCCGGAGCATTTCTCCACGGCGGATAAGAACTAGTGTGGGTATAAAGTAGAAAAAAATGAGGCCGCAAGTCTAAATTTTGAAGGATCTATGTACGGTCATCCTGGAATGTCTACAGCACTGCAATGAGCATTAGTAACCTAGACTGTTATCTCCAGTCGCGGACGGATATAATCTAGCTTTTGTTGTCATTACTTCACGTTAAGGATCCGTGTAGGACGAAAAAGCGAATCAGGGACAGGAAGGAGTCGTAAGGGCTTATTTATAATATCCACTTTATTTACATCTACCTGCTATTTCCATAGTCACATGAGCATTAGCCATTAAATATCGAGGAGTCGTTATGAATGCTAGAGAAGGCCTATAAAGACGTTAGAAATACACAGATACGAAGAGAACGAACACATACCCAAGAGTCCAGCTGGGTCCACCAGACCGAGCCTTCCTCAAGTTGGTTGCTGAGAAAATCCAAATCCTGACCGACATCATCAGACGGAGTGAGTTCCGACATCTCCAATTCTGGCAGAAAGGGCGGTGGATAATTTGAGATATCATACTCTGGCGCCTCTCTCTGTCCCGGTACTTCGAGAGAGTAATGCCGCCGTTCCGACGCAGTGTCCGTGCCAGCTGGCTCCTTCGTGGTAACGGGCCTGGGTAGTCCGTTAGAGTTGATCTGGCGGTGGACTTCCCGCCTGAGCTCTTCAAGAATGATGCTGTAACGACGACTGGGACAATTCCGACGAGTGGCTTTGGCTAGATGCCGTTGGCACCTCTCCGCGAAGCTGAATAGTTCTCGCGCATCATGTCGAATATGGTCTGCGTCAGATGAAGATGAAAGGCGATGGTGCTGGATAGTGTAAATGTAAACCACAATAATAGCGCAAAAGCAAACGTAGTGGGTGAACCAGAATGACTGGACGAGGATCCCCTGAGCCGCAAGATCATCAACAAGCAACATTGTGTCCTTTGCCGCGTCGATACACTTCTGCACATGGCAATTGATTTTGTCCTTCGTGACCAAAGGTCGCCGCGTGAAGTCTGTGAAGTCGTTGAGAAGGAAAGACCGTGTCGCATGTATCATGGCATGAGAATATGCTAACTGCAGTACCTGGCTCTGTCGGCAGAGGGGAGCCACGAGACTGGACGGCCGGATACTCTTGAACAGAGGGGGAAGGCTTTCCTTCCATTCTTCGAGTTCGAGAGTAAGTCGCAGTGCAGCCTCCAGTGGTGCGGTCTTGCTGGACGGCCTAATGGTGTATACTTGCCGGGAGATTTCTCCAACGAGACGGCACAAGCTGCGTTCCCTGTCAGCGCAGTCCTTACAAGGGCTTTTCTTTTTTCGAGAAAGGCCTACCGGATATGCATGATGGTACCAGTCATCACACAGTCTGAAGGGGCTACTTTGTTCTTTTGATCTCCTGGTAGCATGTCCTCGTCGTTTACCTCATCGGGCAGATCCTGGTCGATGTCTTCATCATGCAACAACCGGGGTCGTCCAAAGGTCACACTGAGATATTTGTCGAGGATATAAGCACTCCAGAAAGTGCGTTTCCGCAATTCGTTCTCTAGGTACGCTTTACCGTCCTTCAGCAGCTTCGCTGGCCGTCGCCGGTGTAACCCAAGCGCCGTCACCAATTGTAACGTAGTGCCAAATCTGTACCAGCATTCATTGGCCCTCGAAGAGGAAAGGAGGTACAGACATTGGCCTAATCTTGCCTGGATAGTTTCTAGCCGGGGTTTGCCAGTCTCGTTGTATGACATAGCTTTCGATGCAACATACCATCGCTCACTACGATGCATTAGCATAAACAGTTCACCAGGGGGCTGGGAAAGTACTGTACATACCTTTCATGGAACTCTGCAAGACCAGCATTGCCTGGTTTCTTCTCTTCATACATTGTGCCTATAGCGAAGACCATCAGCAGTATGGCCGCCTTTGCTGTTATGTCCCCTGTGGGAGGCCTTGCCGAAGAGATCTCTCTCTCGTACATTTCTTTCAACCAAGACTCCACGAGGCCTCTATGGAGAAACCGGTACGTAACGATGGCGAAGTCAAAGTAGACTTCAATCAGCTCAAGCGCTCTGTGCAGCGGCGGCAAGGAAAACCCCGTCTCTCCATAGTCGGAGAACGGTCGATCACCAAACATAAACACGGAAGCGCTTTTTGACGACTCATCCCGCAATCCACTTGGGATCGTAGCGACCTCATCCTGGTTCAGCCGCCGCCATACGCGGTTCAGGAACGAGATTCCCGATGCTGGACCGAGATAGTTCCCTTCCAGGTCCGTGGCTCCTGGCTCTGGGGAATTTCGCGGAGACGCCGCGCCTGAAGACTTGTGACGTCTCTGAGGGCCAAGTCTCTTTGGCGTTCTCTGGCTAACGGCCGGTGATGCAGCCACATACCTCAGGGTTGACTCCGGAGCGGGTGGCGGAGACGGAGGCAGTCCTCTGGAATACGCTGCATTGTATTCACAAGACAGCGATAACTTTGTACATCTCAGACATGGTAAAGTCCCTGTACATCGGGTTTTCTTTCTACATAAATTCACAGTCAGCCATGATGGTTCAGCCGCAGACCATCGTTGGTTAGAGTAGTAACTAGGTAGTTGGTCGGGCTAACTATCCACCTACTCTTTACAGTAATCACAAGCCCTGGTGATTTTCCGCCGCTCAGCACTATCTTTCGCGTTGGACGACTCGGACGCTTTCCTCTTCCGCCCAGCTGTCGTTCCTCCCGGAGTCACCGCCGTGTAGCCCGGGGATCCTATGGGCTGCGTCTGCTCGCCAGCGGAGGCATTCTGGGCGCTCGGGCTTGTACGAGGGCTGGCCATCGGGAGGGGAGGGCCAACGTGTCGGATTATTGCGCGCCACAGGACCGATGCTAGGGGCAGCACTAATCACGTCCTCTTTCTTGTTTCTTCCTCTGAGGAATGCTGTTTCAGTCCCATTGCCGTGGGCGCGAATTGATCCAGAAGCAAAAGCAAAAGGTGAAGTCGGGATGTGAAGGGGAGAAGTTTCCGGGTGGTCGGATATGTGTTGGCGTTATCGCCGTTGCTCCTTCTCCGTGCGGGGTCGATGCATCACGAGTTGAAAGACAAAGAACTTCTGGATAGAATAATAATACTAGATACTGTTAAAGATTGGATTATGATGTTTAATTATGAAAGCGTAGATACAACTGGTATTTGCTTGTGCTAGTTATTCGCCATTTCAGGGCACTCACACGCCATTCTCTCTCATCTTATCTCTCAAGTCTCCAAATTGACCTTTCAGATGACTCACGAACAGCAACTGATTCCTAATCGGGTGCCCGACTTGATCTTCAATCCGTATAGTCTAGTCTATCAAGAAATAAAATTGGTCTGAGATAGTACATCTATCTCTACTCAAAACAGCAATTGAGCCAAGTTGTCATTACATACATCCCATCTTGCAGATCTATCTAGAACTCCATAAGTACCTATCCCAAGATAAACAAAACCACACATGATAATACCATTTTATCCATCCATCCATCTATCTATCTATCCAGATTCATAACCAATTCCTTCCTCCCAACCCCAACAAGAAAAAAAAATGGATAGAACAACCCTCCTCGCCCAGATCGAATCCGACAAAAAACTTCACATTTCCTTCCTCCAATCCCTCGCTCAGGCACCATCTCCCAACCCACCAGGAGATACAAGAGCAGCTGCATCTGTGATAACGAATTACCTACACGACCACAACGTCCCATTCGAAATCGTAGCCCCCAAAGCAGACATGCCCAATGTCGTGAGTGATTTCCACGGTGGTAATGGGAAAACAGGTCCCCGCATCGTCATGAATGGCCACATCGATGTCTTTCCTGCAGGTGATGACTCAGATTGGAAGCATGGCGGGGCATGGTCTGGGTTCAATGATGGGGAACACATCTACGGCCGCGGTACGGTGGATATGAAAGCTGGGACGGCTGCATTGGTCATTGCATTCACGTACCTGTATGCGCATCGAGAGGCTCTGGATGGTAGTGTTGCGTTGACGGTTGTATCTGATGAAGAAACTGGTGGGAGATGGGGTAGTCGATGGCTACTTGACGAAGCGCAAGATAAATGGGGTGGTCACTGCATGATCAATGCCGAGCCAGGAGGTATACAGTCCGTTCGGTTTGGAGAGAAAGGAACACTACGGATGACTTTCACCATCACTACCAAGGGTGCTCATGGGGCATATACATTTCTCACCGAAGGAGCTACGATGATGGCGGTTCGATTGATCACAGAGCTGAAGACCATCGAGAGCATAAGACCTACCGATCTCCCTAGAAGTGTGGAGGAGCATCTCCAAAAGCCCGAGGTGCGCGCGACCATCGACGAGATCATGGGAAAAGGTGCCGCAGATGTCATGTTGGTGCCTACATTGAACATCGGCACTATCCACGGGGGATTGAAAGTGAACATGATCCCAGAACATTGCACCTTCGAGGCAGACGTGCGGCTCCCGATCGGGTTACAGGCGCAAACGGTACTCGATCACATCTCGAGTATCCTTCGACGATACCCGGATGTGCATTTGACCGTGCAGGAGGCGGCGAGTAATCCCGCCGCGTTCTGCGATCCAGATCATCCCATGGTGAAGATCATGGCGGACGTGGCTGAGGCCACGACCGGTCGTAAACCCCTTGCTATTCCGGGGTTGGGAGCCACGGACTGCAAATTCTGGCGATATCTGGACATCCCTGCATATGTGTATGGTGTCTCTCCAGAAACCATGGGCGCGACAGATGAGCGGGTGAAGATCGATGAGTTTCTTGTCTTGATCAAGGTGCATGCCTTGTCTGTATGGGATTACCTGCATGCTACCTAAATACTACGTTAACGGGACAAGGTACAGCATCTGATCTCAGTAATTGAGCTAATTGATTGAACTAAGATCTCTTCACGCACTATTAGAGTGCCCCAAAAGACGGAATCTAAACATCTATTCGTTTAGTTACCTACCTAGGTACTTAGAAGAAATCAAAGCTGCCCGTTTCGGCAAGATACATTGCACGTCAACATCTCTGCATTGGCCAACGGGAACTATACTCTTAGCCGCAGATTTAGTCTACGTCGGGTCCGAAATACTATTACCCTAACTGTAGATACAGCGTGGGTAAGTATGCTATACGGAAATACTAAAAGGTAATTACAACCGTCTCTTTCTCTTCATTCTCGCCCGTTCTCTCAGTGGTTCCGGAGTGTATAGTACATACCCAATCCCCGAAGTCAACACGCATTAGAGTATTTGTTGCAACAGATTTATCGTGACTGATGGGAAATTGTCCGACTACATACTAACTAGATTTCTTCATTGCACGTGTAGTCGACTATTCTCCAGATCCTCATTCCTATCAAAGTTCAAAGCTGGGCATAGGACCGGTTATTACCTCCTGGACAGCGGATCGCCGGATCATTTTCTGAGCCGCCAATAACATATCAAAACACAGACAAGGATTGCACGGACGTCGGGAGTTTGTTAGGACGTGAATTGGAAGTCAGTAGCTGAAATGGTTATACTCGGTGAATACGTACTTCTGCGTACTATATTCGGACATATCCTTCGCCACCTGCGTCCCCTCCACCCCGAGATACATACTAACATCTCTCACGTTTGTTTTCTTGTCTTCCTGAAACCCTTGTGGAGCGAATGGAATGTGGAACGGTCCAATGAGAATTATTCCGCTGCACGATAACATGAAGCTCATCCCGTTGCTGTACTCTATTCTCTCTAATAATATGTTATCTGCAACGATCGGGACCTCGGGCTTTGTGGGACGTTGCGGGCAGATCATTTGCCCTTTTCACCCTGTATGGTATTGCCAACTGCTCTGTCAGCGTCAAGTGGCGATGTGGATCGCCAAGTGGACGTTTCCCGACAAGCACATCTATCTACTCATGCAGCGCAAGATGGGGGCCGAGATGGGGGCTGGGTGGAGGAAGTACGGTGAGTATAGTTACAGGTTGACGATCTGATAATATTGGTGGTGGCAGAGGTGTATTTTGGAGGTTTCTCTCTCTCGCTCTCGCTTTTTCTTTGTGCTTTGCATGCTAAAGTCAATGGATACTGAAAAAAAGCAACCGACAGTCTGAGGGTAGCAAACGACGAATAAATGGTAGTAGTTGTAGTTTATCGCTATCGAAAAGCTTAGATTCGCAATTGCCTCGACCGTCTCAGACGGTAATAACCTGATGGCTGTCAGGGAAGGCCCACAACAACAGACGGGGGCACCCGCATCCTCACGCGAGATGGACCTTGAGCTTTCCACTTGCACACCAATAGTCTGTTCTTCCGAGACCGTGTGCCTGACTCGGTAGGCATCTTTCAAGCCCCCCGACATGTTTATCAGCAGGTTACGAGACCAAAACATCTGAATCTGCGTCTCCAATCCACCACCTTGGAGCCAAGACGTGCATTTATTAGACAGTGTCTTTCCCTCTTCCAATGGCAGTTGTTGTAAAAAGAGGCTCCGCGGCCACTGCACACTGTCCTCATTGCGATATAGATCTGCGGGTATCTACCTCGTAGGTAATGGAAACTCTGACAGAAGCGTCCAGAAGACGAGCGAAATACTCCTGGTTCCCGCAATGGATGGATGAGCTTTGTTAGCCTCTCAGTATATTATGCTGCTGGCACCGGGGCTGGCATAAATTTAATTCCCGCCAGTTGGCTTATATCTTTCTTCATCCGCCTCTGTTCCATTATCGTTCTGAGACTCGGAGTTTCCCGACCCGCTTCTCAATCTAGAGCTCTGCAGTGTCGATACATCTGGCTTGTCTGATCCGCCGGGCGTATGCCGCATCCTCGAAACGAAATATCACTGAAGTATCGGCGGGCCACGAAGCTATCTCGGAATTCAACAAAGATGCCTGAACATTGTACCATGGCTAGCTCCGATCCATATACGTGCTAGGCCTGTGACGAAGAGCAATTGTCCGCTCTTTATATTGCCATTCTCAAGAAGCAGATTATGACTCCCCGAAGACCACCTTATTGGATACTCTGGCCGAATCAAGACGACACAGATTGGACCGGCAGAATGACGACGTTAAATGGTTTCGGTACTGATGTCGATATCGTCGCCATGGTCGCGCCCGTAAGGAAGAGAAGGGCATCATGGAACGTCTATGATGAGTTCCACGTTTAACTTGCGTTCTCCGCAATCAGTGTGAGACCGGATCACCGTCGGTTGACTAACCTTCCAGCACATCATCCATCAAGTCGCTATCTTCTTCCTCGTCCTCGTAATCCTGGTCTCTTTCCTCATCGGTATGCTTCCGACGTACCAAACTTTGTTCTATAACCGCGGAAATATCATCCAACGACGCACCACCACGAATCACCGCAACAATATGGTCGACCTCTGCCCGTTCACAATACCGGATGGACTCGAGAAGGCGTTCCAAAAGGCCCCTGTAATAATCTAATTGCTCTTGCGCACGTTTAGCGGCAACCTTACGTCGTTTGTCGGCAGATTCATCGTAAACACATTCGCGGTCGTGAGCGGCACATTCTGTACACGGGTTTCCGGTGCTACACTGCGCCAGGACATGATGGAATCAGACAACACACCTTTCACCCGCCAAACCAGAAAAATCGGAGAACTAGGTTCAGAGGAATGGGAGGAGCGAAGACTGTACCTTTGTCCGACGTCGTTTACACTCTTTGCAAGTGGTTGAGGCCCTCTTGATTTTGCTCTCCTCCGTCGCTGGCCCTGGCGTGCCGCTCTCAGGAGTCAACGTCGTCCGAGGGGCCAGAGCACGGAGCGGCCTGGCTCCTTGTAGTGGCATAATCGACAGCGCCCAGCTTGAAGTCCTTGTTTTGCAGGGCCTGGAGTGACCAAGGCAGTCTTTTGGGTCTGCCTTGGCGTTTATATAATGGCCCCTCCTCCGTTCGGTGTTGGCCCAGGAGGGGTAGGGGATATTGAAGTACAAGACTTGACTGTCCTGTCATGACAAATTGGAGACCCAGGCCCTTGATCCGCACTAGGGCTTCATTCGCGCATGGTAACCGACCAGAAAAAGAAATCGCAACGGCATGCGTTTGTGCGTGTTCCAAGGCCTCTTTTTTGAACCAGTCTTAGCTTGAGCGGCGAGTACCATACTTAGACATATGACATTGAGGCACAGCTGGGCAGCCGTCTTGAACTCAATCCGAGACGGCTTAATTTGTTGTCGTGACGTCTGGGCGACTCAAAGCAGACGGAGTAAACAACCACCCACTCATGGTTTTCGTAGGACTCAAGGTTCGTTTCTGTCTGAGCACCAGGCTGGCGAACCGGCGGAAATAGCCCAGCGGGGACATCAACCCTTACTGTGGGATTTCCAATTGATTGTCAGGACGAAACCGTCGCCCAGACCCATTTGACACCCAAACTGCGCAAGCGGACGACGGGGCGGGAGCAATGAACTCATGGTTAGTACGGATATATCTTCCGGTATCCTTTGATAGGCTGGTTCACTTCCCGGCGAGTCACGATGCTATCGGGTTGCTTGCTAAAAGGACACTGGATCAGACACCGTTCGACGTGAAACGCTTCTGCAGATATTGAGGGATAGTCCCAAGCCTCGCTCTCATACGTATGCTGCTGGTTCGATAAACGACGCATCCTCACAAGAACGTGACGGACTTGTTCAATTCTCACGTCCAAAGATACAGCAAGAGCTGTGGGATCAGGAGGCATTATGACCGTCGATCCGCGAAAGGAATGCCTATGGCCCGTCTTGCCACTGTGATTCAAACCCCTCTTATCGTAGACTGAGTTCCTTTCTCTCTCTCTCTCTCTCTTTCGCAACAATGGAGCCATGCAGAGCAGCAAAGGCGAATCGCAGCTTTAGGCAGATCGCGTCCGTCATCACGTGTCAAGGAGGCGACACCGAAGCCCGCAGGCAGACCATTGAAGAGAGCACCAATTCAATGTGAAAGACGAATTATAAATCGTTCAGATCGAGACTCCATCGGTGAATGAAGATCGCTGAGTTTATTCACTGTCAGGTCCCCGTACCGGAGCCATCGTTAGTGCATTGCGCAAGTCCAAACTGAAGGTACACTAGACTAATCTGAATAATCGTTAATGGGCCGATGCAGAAAAGCAGATCCCAGGTCAGAATTTGGTACCAAGGTGCAAATGTCGCTTGATCTCTTTTTAGATGGGATATGAAGAGAACATGGATAGGCAAGAAGGAGAAAGGGGAAGGCAGCCCGAGTCCATTGATCAAGAGGGCATACATATTAGTCAATGCCACAGGATGCAGGGACCATCCCTGTTTCGTACAAAAGCGTCTCATAACTCTCTGATGACTCTATAGATGTCAAAAAAGATGGTAGTGGCTTCGTAGTAGTAGTTTTGTTCTGACAAATAGAGCCCCAGGGCTTGATGTGTTGCGTATTGACATCCCGACTAGGACGGACGGGAAGTTGCTAAGTAATTGAGAAAGTGCGCTAAAGGAGGCTCTCTTCTAAGGATACAACCCTACTGTACAGAGGAGCTATCTCGGCTGGATACAAGGCGGGAAACAACATAATCACCGTTTGATTTGGGTAGAAGATATCACTTTGTCAAGCTCTACAGAGGGTATATCACGCGGAGGACCCCCGAGAAAGGAGCAGAGGATGGAACCAAACTGAAAGGAAACCACCGTAGTATTAAGAACATAAGAAATGTTGCCATTATCCAACACGGCCTGGGTATGGAGCGTGCTCTTTGTAAGTCAAATTCACAAGAAAAAGATCAGGTTATCAATGCACAAAGAAGAAAAAAGATATAATAACACAGACAAATCAAGTAATCAGTAAACAGGCCGTCCCTCGTCCCATCTTCTGGATTCTCGAGGGCTCCGTCCGACGCTGCTCTCGCCATTCCCATCCGCACGGGGAATATTGTCCTCTCCAGGAGAAAGAGAGAAACGGACTTTGCCGCTCTCCCTTCGCGCACTGCTCTCTAGGTCACTCCCAACACCACCAATGCCTCCAATCCACTCCCAGACTCGGGAGACATCACCTCCGCGGCCTTCACGAACAGCTGCACGGACGTTAGCGTTCCCTTCGACTACACTGCGGACACGCTTCCAGAGCGCTTCACGTCGACTGCCCTGAAGCTCGGTCCGCAGAACATCATCACGCAGTTGGCCAATAGGAACCCAGGGCTCCCTGGCATCTCCACGGGCATACAACGCGGCCTGTGTAGCCAGACGGTCAAGAGTCGTGGCTACGAGCTCTGGAACGCGCGCCATGTCCGAACGGTGTGCCAGCACACGAGAGCGAGCATACGCAAGAGCTGCAATAGACATGACTAGAATCGAAATAGGGAGTCGATATGCGAGGAGAGAAAGTCTGAGGTGGCGGCGGAAGGCACAGACGATGGGGAGACGTGCGAGGGAAGTTGACGTGAGAGTGAGGGAGTCGGTTGGTCTGTCATAGCGTGGAGGTCTCTGTTAGTTCCGTTACACAGGTCAGAATTATCGTCTTTTCTTGTCCCCGCATACAAATTCAGGATCAGACAAGGTTATTAGAATAACGGAAACAGCAATACTTACCCCTTCGATTCAGCGACGACTTCATCCCGTCCAATGATCTCTCCCAATGCGCCTTTCCAGAGATCGTCAAATTCCGCATCACTCATTCCTTTCCGTCTTTTCTTTGACACTTCTTTCTTGAGATCTGGCTCCGCAATGCCGGCAGACCTGGCCCTTTTGCTATCCTCCTTGAGCTCACCGCACTCGTACTTAGCTCTGCGCTCTCGAAGTTCCTCTACAGCCCTGTCGGCAACCGCTTTGACACGGCGCGCCTTTTCGCTATCTGGCTCGCATGTCGGCGGGAGAGGCACTAAACCTCCTAGTGATAGTGGGTGCGGTTTTAGAACAAAGTCCTCTTCACATTCTGCCTTGAAATCCGGGTAACAGAATGCATGCGGCGGGCAAGGCTCACACTGAGGTTCGAGGATCTTGGCCCATTGCGGCACATTGGTATCCGCCAACGACCATGTTTCTTTGCCAATCCCACAGTAGCCAATCTCGATCTTTTCCTTCCGCCACCACGCACCGAAGCCACTGACAAGTGAGAGAATGACAAGCCAAGAAGCGGCCTTGCTGACAGTACCTTGCTTCCGAGGCTTTTGCCGACGCGAGACCGGGTGATGCGAATTGGCGAACTCTTGGTCCAGTGCCAACTGTTCTTCTGGAGTAAACTCCTCTCCGGCACTGACGTCTTCATCGTCTCCCTCATCCTCTTCTTCGATCTCCTCTTCCAAAGATTTCCTCAGTCGAGAAACGGGGAACTCAAACGTAGTCCTGGTAGGCACATCGACACCGTCTTCTTGCTTGATCTTAATGGGGCCTTCTGACTTCCGCTTCTTTCGCTCTTCTCTGGCAAAAGCGCTCTCAGATGATAACCGTGATGTGCTCTTTCGTGACCGGCTAGACATGGACGCTCTTGGATGGTCCCAAGGGCTCGGGCTTCCACTCTGGAAAGGGTTATCATCGGTGAAAACACTATCGTCGTGAGGCTCCGTTTTGATAGGTGACGGTGTCCGGTGCGTGTTCGTCAGTGGCTCAGTAGATGGAATAGCCTCACTCTTCCGTAGCTTTCTCGCCGTAGATTTTCTTGGCGAAGCGCTACGTCGAGCGACAGGAGTCGTCAGGACATCCTCACCGGTCTCTGTGTCGGATGCGCGCGGGTGCTTCGTTGCGCCGGTACGAGCTGTTCTCCTTCCTGAAGCCGTGGAGGGAGTGAGGTAGGGGGGTTCATTCTCTGTATCGGCAGTTGAGGCTCTCGTACTCTGTCTGCCTCGTCCCCTCCTGGTAGAAGTCGTCGTTGACGGTGTGGGCGGCGGTGGCATTGAATCGCGATCATGACCATATGCATCATTATCCTCATTCACTACCGATGTTTCCCGGCTGCTCATGTCCGTGATGCCCTCACTTGTTCTCCTCACACGCTCGCGATCGCGCAACAACCTCTGCGCCTTAGGGAGCACCTCATCCTGCAAGATCCGAATGAGCTGTGCCTTCTTGGCCGACGCCGGGTATGAGACATCGTGGCTAACGAGGATAGCTCGTATGCGGGGAACGGTGAGGCTGTTGAGGTCAAAGTCTGGAGACAGGTATTCCAGGTCATCGAAGCCTGAAGCCATGGTGAGACGGGCGGTCGCCAAACAATGGCTCTGCACAGTGTCTAATTCAAGTAAAATTGATGAAGGATCTCCGGGGAATGTGCAGAGTGGCCTCCGCGTCTGATTTCTTGCGTGATATGCAGCACGACCAGACCGTATGCAAGGACGAAGGAAAGACGTGGTCCACCTAGGCGTTGTCTCGTCCTTTTTCCCACGTTTGTCCTTTTTGCTCACCAAGCGCAGAGCGGAATCTAAACTGCAAGACACTATTTGGTGGTCAATGTACAGTAGCTCGCTTGCAGATGAAGGGAAAAAAACACCTACAGTCACAGCGGTAGCCAGGGCAACAAGCGGAAGTGGGCGTAGGACCGACCGCGTACGGACCAATATCGTGAGCGCTTCAGCCAGGGCCAGTGGGCTCTTGTATTTTTCACAGGAGTTCAAGGGCCCAAATTATGCAGCAAATCTTCCTGATCATATAGAATATGTGAGATGCAATGATAGAAACAAGAGAGAATAGAATGGATGAGGATGACGACTTGAAATTGTCCTGCAGAAGCGACGACGACGTCAGTAAACACCAAAGCATGCAGCCGTGCATCACGTGATGCACTCGCCACCGCCGCAACGATACATGCTTCTGTAGGTCTCTTATCTATACATAGTAATACAGCAGTTCATAGAAAACCAGTGAAACTGCCTTGTTCTACCACAAATTTACCTAGTCCCAAGGAGGATGCAGATACAAGAACTAGTATTTAGATAGATTTCCTTCCATGAGAAAGACTCTCCTAAGAAAACACCAAAAGGGTACTGATCACCCCGCTCGAAGTATACGCTCCCACCCACCGATGCAAATACATTGCTGCCGACACCGCTACCGAATGCAGGCTCATAGAAAAAACGAAGGTCATGATTGCACCAAAGCGCCCCCAGGTCATGCCATGCAACATCCTTAACAACCGTCGTGAAGGGGTCTTAGTGAAGTCAAGCAGCATTGATTTGAAAAGAACAGGGAAATGCCATAGTGCCAGCCAAGCTCCCTTTATAGTCGATAGGATCCCATGCTTGATATCCCAGTGAATCCAAGAGACGCCGATTAAATTTTAAGAAAAATAAATAATAGGAAATAAGAGGGAAGGGAGACAGGACGTAAAGCATCCTGAGACTTTCCCATTCCGGCAATAGATGAGGTCAAAGAGACGCTAGTCTGTAGAATCTGTGTTCTGAGCGTCGGAAAATTGAGTGGGAGATGCGGATGGTAGGATTCGGTTGCGGAGTGAAGCCACGGAGCTCGCTCGGCTATTTCCACTTGAGGGGCTGTGAGGAAGAGTAACCGCCTCGACGAAGTTGGCTAGAGGTCGAGGAAGGCTAGATGTGCTAACGCTGAGCTGCTCCTTAAGAGCCTTAAACTCAGCCAGTTGTGTTTGAAGTTCTCGCATGATCTCGCCCATAGGCACAGCGTGGTCCTCAAGCTTGTCGCCTGGCTTGAATGGGCGCATCATATGACGCACTGATAGTGTATTGACGCATGCCTGCGGATGTCAGCAATATGGCTCAATTAAAGGCATTGTAGACCGTTTAGTTGCTCACCTCAATGCGGGTCACCTGCTGCTCGACAAGACTCAGTACAGTCGAGTCTGCAAGCTCACCGCCGCGGTTCTTGACAACATTAAAAAGAGCCACATTTGGCTCTTTGAGACGCGTATCCACTGGATCTTCCAGAGAGCTGCAGAGTCTCTCCAAGCGAAGAGTGATCTCCCAGAGGCGCCAGATCAAGTCTGTCTGCAGTTCCAGCTGGGAGCTCCTAGCAATGGTAGCTGGCGTGTCGCCTTCTTCCGGCTTGGTGCTTTCGATGGCCGCAATGCGACCAGCAAGCGAGTGGGGATAGATGAGATAGACAGGCTCGGGATTCTCAAGCCCTTTCAGTTTGCGTTCTCCCTGGTCTTTGATCACGAACCCTTGGCTATTGAGCTGTTGGAGCTCGCGACGAATGTTCTGTCCAATAGGATCCACATATGATTCGCTTGATCCGGTAGATGCAGAGCGTTCGCTGTCAGCATAAGCCTCAAGGTTACGCTGGATGTCACTCATGAAATCGGAAGACACGAAGACTTGGCCACCATCGGCGACAGCACTAATTCGGGATGCGCGGTTGACCATGGGCCCAAAGTAGTCCATGCGGTTTGTAACAGGGTCCTTTTCGCACACGGGCTCACCCCAGTGGATACCCATGCGGACAGACAAACCCCTGAAAATGATGTTGCCGTCACTATCATAGCGTTCCGCACACTGAGGCTGCTCGAGAATTTCAGTGGGCCATTCAGCTTCGAGCAGTTGAGTCTGGCAGTTGAAGCACCAAAGGAGAGCAGCAGTGGTAGTAGAGAATGCCACCATGAAAGCATCCCCTTCTGTCTTGACCTCGTACCCACCAATAATTCCGAGCTGCCGACGCAGTATGTCGTTGTGAATCTGGATTGCAGAGCGCATAGCGTCAGGATAGGTTTCCCAGAGCGAGGTCGACTTCTTGATGTCAGTGAAGATAATAGCAAGCTCGCCCACAGGGGCATCAACATGCTCAAATCGAGCGAGCCGCGAATCACCGGGACCATCACGTGGCTTCTTGCTTCGCTTCGAACTCGGTACGATTGATTCATCTAGGAAGGATGAGGGACCCATAGACATGCTAGTGCCTCTGAACTTGTATCTCTCACGCTTTCTAAGCTCACCGACGCCGAGGATTATGACCATCAACTTATTGGTGGCCCCAAATGAGATGGCAAGGTCGCGAATCTTCTGCGCCGCGATCATCAAATCTCTGCGTTCGGCCCTGGCGACATCAACAACCACATCCGGGGTTACAAAGTCCCAAAGTTCCCGAGATCCGACAATGATCATCTCGTCCTGCTCAGAGAGTGTGACCCGCACAGTATGGGGTGCAGCAATGACTGCCGGCATCATTGGGAAATAGCCGAAGGCGCGAGAGACGGGGAGAACATCATTGAGTTTCCCATTTCTCGAAACGAAGCCACCAGCAGCGCGTATCCGAGCTCTCTCATGGGATTCTGCAGGATCGTGGAAACGCGTCAGATGCCTGGACGACCCGTCTGACTTGACAAGGACAGCCTGAGCATCTCCGACGTTGGCCACATAGAGATCCATGTTCTGCAGAAACAATATGGTTGCAACACCCCCCATGTTGATGTCGTCTTGATTCAGCAGCTTCGCTGAAGCAGAGCCTCGATGATACCGACGAATCTCTCGGTCATCGATCGACTTATACGCCGCTGCTGCCATGTCTTTGTTGAGGGACAGGAACGCTCTCCTCAATGCATCCAGCGGTGTTTCATGATTGTCTATCTGTAGCTTCTTGAGCTCGTCGACAAATGCAGAAGTGAAGTTTTCGTGCAAAAATTTGGCTATCTTGGAACCGCCGCTTGATGGACATTGACCGTCGAACATACCGACAACTGTTTCCATATTATCCGGCCGAAGGCGAGGCACCATCATATCGATTATCGAAAGATGCTCGTTTCTCCCCAGGTAATCCGCCATACCATAAGCAAGGGCCCCGGTATGAGTGGCGGACGTCCTGACACGTCGGTCTTCGGTCTCTTCTGGAATCGTGGGAATCGTCAAGGTCACATCCATGAGGCCAAGGACTCTCAAATGTGGGAGAGAGTTGAAGTCTGTGAGCTCCGCCCCATTGGCGACTGTTCCCACCGAAGCTACATTAGGCTTGATTTCCAGTCGTTTGTTCCCTGAGAAATTGAGGTACTTCAAGTTATGATTCCAGTTCCAATTCCAATCGTAAGGCCAATTAGAAACATTGTACTTCAGAGCGTTGCTACCCACGTCTAGGATAGAAAGCTTGCTAACTTTGCAAAGCTCAGCTGGGAGTACTTGGAACCTGTTAACATTAATATGGAGGGTCTTGAGATTGCTGGTCTCTTCGAGATCGTCGGATGGCAGGGAAGTCAGTTCATTTCCAGATAGATAAAGCTCCGAGAGAAATTGCCAACGTTTGAGGATTCCCAGTGGCAATTCCGTAAGCTCATTGTAAGAGAGGTTGAGTATGCGGATTTCTGGAAGCAACGACAATTCACGGAAGATATCATCTTCAAGGCGATTGTCCGCAAGATACAAGTTTCGAAGTGACCCGGCAAAAGTGGTTGCGAGCCGTTGCGAAAAGTTGGAGTCTTTTCGCGAAGACAACGTCGCATCTGTAGCTGAGCGTGAAATGGTTGAAGCAGAAGACACCTTTCTCGTTCCTCCAAAGTTTGATGAGGCTGTGGAACCTTTCCGATAGACACTTGTCCCCGATGTTCCCGGGTTCAAGTGCGAGGCGCCGGATTGGCTTGGACGTCTTGCACTGAAATCCTCAAGATCTCCAAGCTCTTCGTAGCTTGGGGTGCCTGACACGCCTGGAGTGGAAGCTGGCGTAGGGATTCCTTGCTCTCCCGGAGGCTGAGGGGGTTGACTGGTATGCCTGGGGAAACTCTCCAAAACGTTGGACGAAACATTAAGAGTCTCTAATTTGAGACAATACCAAATCTCTGCGGGTAGTCGACTCAGGTTGCATTCGCGGAGGTTGAGATACTTGAGCTCAACGAGACATCCTATGGTAGCTGGCAAAGAGGAAAGTGGGTTCTTGATCATACTGAAATGCTCCAACTTCCGAAGCTTGCCAATGTGAGGTGACAGGGACATAAAGTGGTTCCTGTCAAGGATCAACTTTGTCAAATTTGGGAGATTGTCAAAGAACGATTGGTTGAAATGCACAAGCTTTGCCGAGGCAATATTGAGTGATGTGAGCGTCAGAATCGGCGAGTCCACATCAAACTGTGTGATCGGACAATGATCAACGACCAGAGTCCGCAGTTTTGAGAAAGAGCCCCTGAACTTGGAAATCGAGTTGTGACCGAGGAGAAGCTGCTCTAAACGCGGCAGTTGGGACAAAGTGTCGATGTTGACGATCGAATTGAAACGAGCATCGACTTCTTTGAGGTTGATCAGGTTTTTGAAGCTTCCGTCAAGTTCCCCGCTCAGCATGTTGTTATTTACCCACAACCTCTCCAGAGCTGTGAGATTTCCAATGTTTGGAAGCTTGCGAATGTTATTAAAACTGACATCGAGATCAACAAGAGTTTTGAGGTTTCCAAGAAACTCAGGGATTTCCTGGAAGCTATTGGAGGACATATTGAGACTCCGCAGCGACTTGAAGTTGGCAAAGTAAGAGGGTAGATGGGTCAGTTTGTTGTTTGCCATCTTGATACTGACAAGACCTTGCAACCTGTCGAGATGGGCATGTTCGAGATCTTCCAAGCGGTTGTTGGATATATCCAGCACAGTCAACCGAGACGCCAGGCCAATACTAGGGGGTAGACGTTTGGCTTCATTGCTCATGAATTTGATCTCTCTCAAGTTAATGCAGCTCTGGATAAAGTCCTTCGGGACATCCATTGACAGGTTCCTTGAGAGATTGAGCGATATGATCTCCGAGGCCTTCTTGTAGAGTGTTATCGGGATTGTAACAAGGCTGCGCCCTTGGAGATCCACGTGGCTGAATTTCTGCATTTTGTTGAATCCTGGATCACCTTCCAGACTGCTGTATCCGCTGAGTTTTGTCGGTAAGAAAGTGAAACGGCAGATATAGCTGTGATCCTCCCGACCAATGTCTTCGATTCTGTCTGCCGGAGTGTACCCGACTTGCTCGAGCAGCCGCTTCTGCATTAGAATAGGTCTTTCACTGTGATCTAATTGCCGCGACAGATCATTTTTCCGGAGGACAATCTCATAGTTATTAAGATCATCTTGCAAGAATGACTTTCGACCGAGCATCACTAGAATGTCGGCCACTGTTGTGTTTAAACCGGAAGAGAGGGTAGCAAAGGTCGAGTCGATACGGAATATGCGAATGAAATATGATTTGCCGTCATCTTTCACTGGCGGACCGCGCGAATCATCCGCTGTTTCTGGTATTCGCGCAGCGATGTCCTGCCGCTTGACCTGCCAACTTTCAGGGGCGTACCAATTCCCAAGCTGACTATTTCGATCCTTTCCGTCTTGGCCCTGCGAGGTAGTTGCATCGTGAATACTGCTCTTGTCTCTGGGTGACGGCGGCCGTGGTCCGCTGATAATGCCTGTCATGTCGTCAAGATCAGTGTCGAGCGTCCAGAAGCCTTCCTGATCCGACTGAGCTCTAGGCTCCTTGGCCCCGGTTTCATGACTAGCACCTCGTCTGCCTCGGAATTTGGCGGGCCCAATGCCAATTCCTTTGGCGGAATCCTTTCTACGATCTGAATCTGCCGTGTCTGGCCTCACCGGCCCAGGGCCTTCGATGGAGCCTTGTCGACCTACTCTAACCGGAGAGGCATCCCTCTTCGACTTAGAAGATCCTTTGGATGGGTCAAGAAGCGACTTGCTTGATCCGGGCAGATGCTTCAACGTATTCGGGGCTTTGTGACGGCGCAGCTTATCGAGGAAACCACGCTTATTCGGTGGCAGACCAGGCGAGTGTGGATCATCAGATTCCCGATAGAGGGAGCTCTGGAGACTGGGAGTTGGGCTTGTAGCCCGGCCAGCCGAGCTAGTTGCAGCCGACGCACTGCGGCCGCCATCCCGGGATCGAGAGCCGATACTGATATCGTCGTTTCCTGTAATAGGACGCGATGAGTCACCTGATATAGTCGACCTTTCTTCTTTGCTTCGAGAATGACGATGACCAGGGAAGTGCATACGGTTTGAATCCTTCTGGGAATTTTGATTTCCAGCAAAACGATGACTGTCCGGATCAATAGGTGCCGGTCTAACTGGTGCGTCCCCGTACTGAGGGATGTCCTGGGAATGGTCCAAATGTCAGCTCATGTCATCGATAGACATGTCGTAAGATAGAGCATGGACCAAAATCAAAGATAAAAATAAATAAATAAGAAAAGACGATGAGTAACTTGAACGGGAGGTTCAAGGTGGACGACGATGGTTTTGACACCGTCCGCATAAGGACTCAGCAGGCGCAGTTCCGCAAACAATTCACATGCGCAAGCAGCACGGTGATAACTCACATGAAACCTCTGGTACATCCATGGGGTGACCTCGCTTGACGGCAGAGGAGTATGAGGTCTTGGGGGAGATGCAGCGCGGTCCGAGGTGTTGCGAGAACCAACAGAGTTGTTCCTACCCCGGGCCGAACTTGCGGCAGAATTGTGATTCTGAGGGTTACCATCGGAATCTGCGCTTACATTGAATTCATCGCCAAAAAAGCCTTGCAGCTTCTTGCGGAACTTGCCACCGCTATGGCTAGATCGTGATCCTTGACTGCTTATTGTTGTTTGGCTGGCAACCGAAGGCCTTCTGTTATCACGATCGTAACCTAACTCTCCCGAGTCGCTGGCTGCCGTACGTCCCGTACCGGGCCGGAATAGCGGCGAGGCTGGAGATATTTCGTATTCGGAGGCTTCGTTAAAGAAAGTGCCAGGACCAGCGCTCGGGGGGATCGTGGGCGATGATGACCATCCGACCTGTTCCTGGTTAATAGAGCTGGTGTCTGACGAAGGCCCCTGCGGCCGCGATGATGTTGCATCATCGAGCACAGCTAATGCTCTTCTGTGGTTACCCAGACCCGACATCTGCCGTCGGTCAGTTGGAGATACGTCTGGTGAACTTGAACGAAATCGGGCGTCACGCTCCTCGGCCGCATCTCTGGTAGGTTTGCGACTGCGTGAATCCGATCTGAAAGGCATCAGCAATCACCATGGAATGTCGCGAAACTGGATGTAGCGTGCAGTGTAATGGGATACGAGAGAAACTCTCAGCTAGGTCTTCCAATGTGACTTATCATCGCAACTTTCATAGCACAGAGTGAACCATAAATGAGTATTGTGTGAGTGGTAGATGCAGAAGATTGCAGGCAATAACAGCTACTTGATAATCGCGCATCAAAAATGAAACATTCAGAACAGTATCAGGGAAGGGGCCGACCGTGTTGACGCATGGGGGAAAATGCATGAGGCATGCATCAGGTATCCTCACCTGTCCAGAGTCGGGGAATCCGATTGCGGCGGGACACCTCGACCTTTTGCCAGATACAGGCCCTGTCTGCGGTTCTTCGTTTGATTATTATCAGTTATTGTCTCTTGTGAGTGTAAACTGCCATTGCTCGAGCTGTGCGATCCATGCCTCCTATCGGGCCCATCATGCTCTAGTCCTGTCATATCGACGCTTGATATGACGTCTCCCAGCAATGGGCAGCGAAGGGACAGGAACGTTGGCGCGCAGTGGAAACCTCAGGAGCTCTGCACAGCTGAGGCTGGGGGAATCATCAATCGAAGAGCTCGCCGCGGGGAAGGGAGAGGGGAAAGGGGTGTGGCGGAACAGAGGTTCCACTGAGGTACGGACGGCGGGGACGCGAAACGTTTGAGCGGAGTCAGCCCCGGGCGGAGATCGTTCGTCACACGCTGAGGCTACCGTAGCAGAACGGAGAGCCAGCAAGGGAGGAAGACGAGAGATCTGGACACGCGCGGACGATGGTCAATGGAGAGGAGATGCGGAGAGGAGATCGCAGCTGAGGCTCATATGCGGGAGCAAGTATAGATGCGAGCAGGATGCGTCGAGGTCGGGATGCGGGTGCAGGATCGAGCCCAACAGGACGCGGGCATCTTCATGTTCTGACGGGGTGGACGGAGATCAGAACGGTCGCAGTGGTCAGCGCAAGAGCAGTGGCGCTCATGATCGAAGAAGGCGTTCAGTCCGAATGGAAATAATGGATGATGGGGAGGTTTGAAGCAGAGCAGAGCAGAGAAGCAGGAGTCGAGGTCGGAGCGATCCGACGGAGACGGGGCTAAACCCTTCGCAGGCCGGACAGCTTCCGCGGGCGAGAGAGACGAACAAGATGGATCGTTCATTTACCCCGGGAGTTGGTCGCCCCAAACGTGCTGGGATCTCTGGTCAAAACGGACCGTGATGATTGATCTAACCAAAAGATGGTCTTTCTCCTGTCTGTCCCTCCACGCCCCCAGGTTAACTAAGTACGGGAGGTTGGCCCGTGAGGCTGTCTGTGCTCAACGATGGAGACCGATGGACAAGCAGTTATTATATTTTGTGATTATTGTCTTCAGCAACAATGCTGTTATCTACTTTTGACACTCATGAATGTTACCAGGAAGCCAATTCTCTATTTCTCTGCTCAGCTCTCAAGAGTTTCGGATACAGTCAATGCCCATCCAGCTCGCCACTGTGGCCTGAGACCCTTTTTTTTCCCCTCGGATGCGCCATCCGGAGCTGTCAGCCTCAATATGCACATGCGGAAAATACCGTGTCCACTGCGATGCATCCTGGTCCTTGACTGGAGGATATTTTTTCCATTGTACAGTAATACGTGCTGTCGTCCAGGTACTGCATCCTACTCAGCTCGAGCCAGAACTCCTCCCGCAGCCCGTCCCGCACGGCTTGGGCGCCCGCGCTGAGCGCTCGATTCCGTAGGTAGCTGCGCAATCGGTTCCACTGACCATGCACGCGGGAATCTGGACTTCTTTGCCCTAGCGTGTGAGTTCCTTGAGGTTAGGAAATTGATTATTAGACAGATGAATCATGATACTCTGCCGGCTTATGACGATGACTCGGGGAGCATCGTCATCCCTCCAGACGCCGTTCCCGGTGAGCACAAGGATAATTGGTGCCTCCGTGGTGACTCCAGGAACGCCATCCCCGTCAGTCGACGTAATAAACAGTTACGATTCGAGCTGTTGCTGACTATGAATTATTACTAGCGAACTACTTCATAATAACGGGGAACCGTCGGCTAACTAGACAGAAGTTAGAACTCATTCAACCTTCAAATCGGCACGGTCCGCTCTGTTTGGGACCCTGAGCCTATGCTGCCCCCAGCGCATGTTTTCTCCAAACGTCTCTGCCACTAAGAGCGGCGGTAGACTGGAGACTGTACTCTGTAGTGCAATCTGAGTTACGAGCAAGCTTGTTACTGCATTAGATTCCTTCCTTGGGGATATAGCTCTATCCGATCGAGGACTGCAGAGCTCCTGATCTCATATCCGAGTATCTACTCGAGAACGCCCAGCATCTTAGGGACCAGACATCTGTATTGCATGCGACAACAACAACATGAACCTGCTATTGGTCTTTTCTTCATTCTCATCAGCAAGATGTTTCTGCCCCTTTAGTGCTAGCTATTAACTTGCCCCGTCCACAGACGAACGGGGTCATATGATAAGGTGCCGCAGGTCGGATCAGCAGGGTAAGGCTTTCCCGGCCCATTATTTAGCAATCAGCTGTATTGTCGATCGCCCGCATTTTAATTAAATAGCCCCCAGGTCAATCATTTTAGTTGCGGATAAAGAGTTCAATAGAGGAGATCCAATAATTGAGCTAATAATTCACCATATAATGTACGGAATCAGAGAAATAAGTGTACCATTAGGCTTGGCATGTGTTCCGTTGGAAGCCGGAATATATAGTCTATCCCCAGAGAGGATGTGAACCAATAGATCCGCGCCTTAGGACTAAATGCATTAATATGAGATGAAAAAAACACGTAGTCGACTAATCTTATCGGTTTTTACGCCATGTGTGTGGTAGAATATTAACATATTCAAGTGTGATATGAGTCTCTGTCTTGCATGCAAGTCTACCATAATGTAATGATAATCGTTGAGCTTCCCTATTGGGAAATAAGCTGTACATTTTGATGATTCAAAATAAGCCAGCTAATGCCAAGTTGTCGGGCTGTTAGCTCAGTTGGTAGAGCGCTCGCTTCGCATCCCTTTATGATCGCATCTGCGAGAGGTCGTGGGTTCGATTCCCACATAGTCCACTCATTAGTATTTCATTTTTGTTATCGTTTTTTTTTGGCATTCTGTCTCGTGGTTTTGGTAATGGCTTAGATAGTGTCGTGTCCCCGAAACCTGTAGGGTTGTTCTTTTGTGCCGTCTGGGATACTAGAGAACGAATTGGAACAGCTAGAAATATATAGATATAGATATTACTTTGCGTAATGTAGACTATCTCCCACCTACGAACATACATGAAAAGCAATACCAAAGGCCCATGTTCGATTCTCTAATACCCCCAGTAATCTAGTTCTTTAACTAACCCAAGACACGCCATTAAACAAACCCCAGCCGCTTCATTTCTGCCTCTGTCCATTCCCATAACTCCCTCGCCAGACCATCATCTCTCGCTCTACTTGTCATTTGACCCAACTCTGTCCCATTTTCCAGATACTGCCCACTAATCTCCTTGTTAAATCCATCACTCGCAATAGCAAACAGCTGCGTATATGCCCCTTTCTCCACCGTCTGGTTCAGAGGGAGAATCCGCGCTAACGCATCTATAAGAATCGACACAAGCCAAAGCAGGATATTCCCATCGAAGCGACGCAATAATTTCCTATTAACGATAACAATCAAATTAGCAAGTCTATATCTAGAAATATATAAACATATATACATAGTAGCGAAAGGAAAGGACAGAAATGGGATTTTAATTAACGCACGTATCTACCCTTCCGGGGTTAATACTCGCGGTCCAAATCTCACCCTCACTCGGGATCGAGACTGGATCCGCATGTAATGCTCTGGTCTCTAGCGTGCCGTATCGCCTGTACAATTCCCTCGCGTGAAGGATATTCGCTAATTTAGATGCCCCGTACCTCTTTACTGGTCCCGTGATGAAACCTACGTTCTGGTTCACATCTAAGAGGTTGATACCGTATGAGGGCGCGTCGTGATGTGCCTGCGAGGAGACGTTTACGATGCGGACTGTCCCCGGTGGAGAGATTGATGCTGCTGCTTGGATGGATGGGAGGAGGGTCTGGGTTAGGAGCCAGTGGGAGATGTAGTTTATCTTTGAAGAAAGAAAGGGGGGAAAAGAGTATGTGGTTAGTTTAGGTAGTTTCCATCTGGTCAAGTTGGGTAGGGATTGGGAGATCAGGATGGAAGTGATCGTGTTATATATATACCTGAAACTGGGCCTCATATCCATCTAGGGTCTTCTCGTATGGAGTAGCCATTATTCCTGCGTTATTGACGAGGCCATGTATGCGAGGTTCTTGTCTGTTCGAACGCAGATGCATCAGTCACGATGACATATACGTGAATTTCGAACTCTTAAACAAACCCACCTCTTCAACATCCCCGCAGCATCAACTACACTTCTCAAATCGGCCAAATCCATCTTTACAAGCCGTACATCCGCTCCGGGAACCCGCTCCTTGATATGTCGAATAGCCTCGTTACCATTTTCTTCGGACCTCGAGCAGAGATATACTCTGGCACCATGGGTAGCGAGTTGTAAGGTTGTTTCATAGCCGCTATTTTTCGACTCTGTTAGTGATATGTTATATACTTAACGAGCTCAATTTAGTTATGCTAGCCAGTGGTTATTGTAAAGGAGGAGGATGAGGATATAAATGTGAAAACACTGTACGTACAGACCCGTATTCCCACCCGTCACGACATATACTCTCCCAGTCAGATCGGGCAAGGAGCTGGGATGGAAAGATGACATCTTTTACTTTATTTGGTGGTATGTTTGTGTTGGATCTGGTTTGGTCACGGTTGGTAAGTAGTTGTTCGTTCCCAAGTCGATTTTATATAGGTTCATGTCTTCAGACGAGGACTGTCACAGATATGAAACATCCGAACCCCGCATTCTACTCTTATTGCGGTCGAGTAGATAGATCTACGGCGGATTTACTGGACGGTACTGCGGACCACGTTATTGTCGGGTGATCGAGACAGGAAGTGGAGTTTCCTACAATTTAAGTACAATGGGCGTTAAGCGCCATATTTTCACTATGGTAGAATGATCATCAGAATCGCTAGTATGCCGGTAATACATAAAGTGTGAACCCGTGAGTCCCAGGTATCGAAAGCATTACATAGTTGAAACTACCAATAAGAAGCCCTTGTAATAAGATGGTGTTTTCTAAGTGAGCTACTCAGCAAGAAGCATCTTGATAATGCTCCTCCGGCATTTACGCAGAAAGACCTCTCTTTTCGCTTTCGGAGAAGAAAATGATCATCCGCCAAAGCTTCTTCACCAATACCTCTGCTTCCTCGTCCAGAGCCTAAATTTCAATTATCAGTAATGGCTCTCTGCAGCAAAGTGTCGGGGGATTCGTAAACTCACCATTTCTAGCTGTTCCACAAGTTCTTGAGGAGGCCCGTGCTTGCGGACATGCTCTTCCACAACCTCCACCAGCATCTGCTCTTGCACTCCCAAGTACTCCACAATCTTCTTCTCGACGAACGGTCTGAGCTGCTCGGTGAGGACGCTTTCGTCCACAAATTCCCACTTGACATCCCACTTCCATAGTCCTTCCTTCTCTGTCGGGATCTCCGCCGCCAGTTGTCTGGCAGCCTGGGCACGCTCTTCTTCTGTGAGCCCGGAAGCCTCTGCTGCGGAATCGAACTTGATGGGGACGAGGGCACGCTTCTGCGTGATGCCTGTCTCTTCTTCGTCTTCCAGAAGACCCTCGACTTCCGCAACTGTCCTGCGCGTCGACTGGGCCTGAGCCTTCTGCGCGGCGGCTCCCAGAGAGAGCTTGAAGCGCTGGGGCTCTCTTGGAACTTCGTGGCGAGACTCCAGCTCCTCTGCCTGGCGAGCGAGGAAGTCGTCCGCCATTCCGCGGGCCTGTTCTCGTTGCTGCTGGGATCGGGCCTTCTCTCGTTCCTCCGCAGCGCGGTCAGCGTCATCCATAGCCTGCTCTCGGCTTCTGAAGGCAGCACGGCTCCGAATCCAAGCACCACGATCCGCATAATAGTCCTCGACTTTTCGGCTGGCCTCAGTATCATCGTTCCATTCTCGAAGACGTTTAGCCATAGCCTCCTTGGTTTCGTCGGCCTTCGCCTCTTCTTCTTTGTCTCGGTTCTTTTCTCGTTCAACAGCTGCTGTTCTACTCCGCTCGCGGTTCAGCCAGCGCCGCTCTTGGTCGAGATACAGTTTTTCCAGCTCTGCATCCCGCTTCTCCTTCCGCCTTCGCTCGAGTTCTTCGTCACTAGCATCGGTATCTTCATCTTCGAAAGCAGTAGACCCGCTGATTCCTCCGTTGACAAAGGAAACACCTTTCTGGTAATCCTTTGGAATCTGCACGCCAAATCCCTTGGGTCCGGAAGGCGCATTTGGTACGCCCCTGTCCCTAGGACCGAGAGGGATACCGTTGGCGCCTCCAGCAGGACCGCTGGGCGCCGTACGAGGCGGAGATGCGAGGCGGTTGACTCTCGGACCCGCATTCCTAGCCCGCTCCATAGATTCAATTTCCTCCTCCCGCTTGAGACGCTCAAGATCCCTGCGGTTGCTCCTCTCGCGGAAAGCAGCAATCTCCTTAGCGACAGTCTCTCGCATCTCAGCTGGGATGTCGGACAGTTCATCATCGACAGTGATAGGAATAGTGACGACCTCAGCAGCGTTCTCTTCGTTCTGACCGTCGGCATCTTTCATAGCAGTGTCGCCTTCGCGATCAATCACGGAAGCATCTTCTTTTTGAGTTGGAGCAGTAGGGTTTGCTAGGTCTTCTAATACGCTAGCAAGAGTCTTGCGCGCATTATCCAGACGAGCCTGAAGCTCTGCAGGGTCCTTGTCACCTCTGCTGTTCTCATATTGTTCGAGGTAGTTCAGAGTGCTGTCATCAATCACGACCTGTTTTCCAGTTAATATCGAAAAAGAACAACGTGCGTTCTTCATACGTACCAATAACTTGCTCTTTTCCACCTCACGCTCCTGCTCGCCCTCTGACGGCATCTGTCTTTTTACAGGAACTTCCACGTCGTTTAGTACTTCCACAGCAGTACCTAGGCTTTCAGGGTCCTCGTACTCTGCGAAACCAAACTTGCAAGGCTTATCGTCCGCATCAGTGGCGCGAATCCAGCGTCTCAAGTTCCCAGCGGATCGCAAAATCCTCTCGATACCTTCATCGCCTCCGGTACCTTCAGTAATCCCACCGACGAAAATAGTCCGAACAATCTCCTCCTTGGTCGGCGGTTGTAGCTGCATCATAGCATCTCGTACATTCTGTCGTTGCGACTCCAGGGTACCGGAACCCAGGCCTGCGCGTCTCCCTCCAAACTCTCCGCCACGTTCTCTACCACTTTCCGGTGTAGCTGACTTTGAAGGTCCTGAAGTACCGAGTCGAATAACAGGCGCAGAGAAGTTGATGTTTGGCATGTTCGCAGGCGGTTGGAAGTTCGGGGGGAAGCCAGCGGGTCGACCTGGCTGCGCAGCGTTTGCCTGCTGCACACCTGGGGGAGGCGCCGTTCCAGGCGCAGCACCGATGCCGGGAGGAGGACCTAGATTACAAAATTAGAATCTAAAGTAAAAACGTCGTATCATAGGAGGGAACATACCCATGCCTGGTGGTGCGCCAGGAAAACCGGGGAATTCTGGAGGACGGCCATAGAGACCGGGAGCTTGCGAACGGTCAGCATGAGCAAAACCCATAATAGAACAAAACACATAAAACTGGAGAGCCAAAAGAACTCACGTTGATAAGGATTATACATGGCTCAGCACTCGATTTGTGGAGGCGATCGTGTCACGCTTATTGTTCTAGATGAAGCGGCCTCTGTTAGGAGCAAGCAGCTCGCTCTGTAGCTTGCTGTGCCGCTGATCGTGGAGATGACTCTGAACTTCCTGGATAAATCGCAGCTCCTCACGTGTCGCAAAGGATCCAGGAATGAGTTTTCTGAGACTGCGTTTGTAATGCGGTGAGGAGGAGCTGGTACTGGCAAATCTGCTGGAATTGCGACGCGGCGGATTTGATGCCTTCAAAGATACGTGTGGTCCGTGCACGGTCCTTTCAAGGCTTGGCGGCGTCCAGACTAAAGGATGAGGTCCATGTCGGCCCTACAATATTTGAATTTTTGAATATTGTTCTCTGACTGGAATTCATATGTTATATAATATACATTGCATGGTAGTTGATTATTGTGGGTGCCGGATCGTTGGTCTCGAGTATTATGATCCACCTCTTACAGCCACCAAAAAGTTCTTTGTTGCCCTGCATTTCTGTATCCATCTCTTTCGTGGCTATTTCAGATGAGCAGCCCCTTTTCACGAATCCAGGTGAGATATATCAGATTCTCTGATACCTCGCGCGACACCTCTAGATATTAGTCTCCTGATGCCCACTCTAGGATCTTCCTAAAGATCTTCACTCCATCATGCTCTTCCTGCATGGAACGCTTCACAATATTCAGGCTTCTATGATCGGACGAACCGATGTATGTGAAAGCGTGATCCATGATCATACTGGCTAAGTCACCATTCATTTCCGGATGACCCTGGAGCGTGAGTATATTTTTCGACGGTGATAGGAACACCTGGTTATTTTCTGCCAGTGAAATGAAGCCAGGGACTGGAATATCGACCTGGCGTTTGTGAAATTGATGTATCCGCTGCAGAAAAAAGTAAGTATCCTCGTTTCTACGGAAAAGGGTGGTTTATGATGAGATGAGACCACGAACGTATGTGCCCTTCTCAGCGGCAAATGGGAAAAACGACTTCCCCTCCTCCGTTAGTTGGCATGCCCTGATTCCCAGCTATACGAGAGATCAGTTACTACTTCTGAGACGCAGCATATATAGCCAGATCAGACACCAACCTCAGGTTCCTCCATAGCTATTACTGTACCTCCAAGGGCAGCGCATATTGCCTGATGACCCCAGCAGATCCCGACCATCTTCTTCTCTGGGAAACTCTCCGCTAAATGTCTTATATATGCGAGCATCTTTTCTACCCAAGGCTCTGGATTGCGGACATCTGCGGTACCCCCGGAGAGAATGATCAGGTCGTAGTAAGATGGATCAGGATATGATTGTGCCACTATCGGATCGTAGAAGTGTATGTCGGCCGTGGGGTCGAGTACACCTGGATTCAGACCTCCAAGGTCATTTACTGCCTGGGACGCGGTTGTTGTAAATGACGTCCGTACGAATCGAAAGAACGGGATGGAAGATGAAGTGTTCATAAGTATGGCGATCCTAGTACCTGGAGACGCAGCTTGATCCTCCAACATGATGCGATAATGGGAGCGAACGATCTATATGAAGGAACACTGTGTGAGGGTCGCGGTTCGAATGATGTCTGTTGTCAGCTGCGAATCATTCGGGTACTGTGGCATCGCTGATTTTTTTTTTCGATGCGGAAGTCTGCCACTGGCTCAGAGACTGTCTTGCTAAGGAATTTAGTGCCGATATGATGTCAGAAAGGTCGGATCACCAAGCAGCGCTGCGAGTTGTAGCAAAAGAAATCGATGGATCATTTAGGTTCGCAGTTGTCATGTCATTTCGGGATCTCTTGGTTAAGTAACCACCGCGGGGTCGATAAGAGTACTGCATAATTACCCGGGATCATCTAATAAAAGAAAATAAATTGAAGACCACTAATATTAATAGATTATAGAACGATCTCATTTGATTTTCTTTCCCTAGAGTTATTAAGATATATCAATTCACTGCTGGACACAATTGGAGCGAGCTGTTTCCTGTAAGACTGTAAGTTCGTTCTCTAGGTCCAGCAAGACTCAAGAGGAACATAGATACTAGATAGCTAGCACGAGAACGGTGTCCTAGTAAGTAGCGTAAGGATAACAGCTATGATGATTTGAAATATGCCTGGACATATATTATTGTTCAAAGTCATTCTGTACTCTCATAATGGCTAGTTAGTTAACTATCTGTACCAGTTAGTCAGCCATCAATGGGTCTGGATCTTCTCAGGCAGATCTTTCTTTTGAATAGCCCGTAATGCCTCTAGACTGGCCGTGTCCGGACCACCCGGAGAATCAGTTTCTTACTCTGTGCTAATAATGCGGGGACCCGGGACGCTGAAGCCAGACGGTCTGGAAAATTCGACTGCACGCGTGACGCCGTGTTGCGGCTAGTAGTTATCGTTATTATTAAGGGTCATTAAGGCTTAGAAAGCATGGATTCGACCTTCATTCCACTTCCAATTCTTCCCACATGGGTGTTCTAGGCTGTATAATGCAGGATATATCCAGGGCATTAGCAGACGCCTATGTTAGTTGGCTATCGTGGGATCTCTGGTCTGGAGACATTGACTGATGCACATGGGGGTCCTGCAAGGATCATATGGTCAGAAATGAAATGAAATGATATAGAGTCCTGGTAGAATAATATTAATAGCGTCCTTTAGCGTGCTTTAGCCACAGTGACTGAGATAGAACAAGAGAGAACGGGCAACTGCTTGAGCCTACTTACTCGGACACCGGCCAAGCCCCACGGTTGCCCCTCCACGGACCCCAACACGCCGGCCGGTGTTGACGACATACTTGTATACCTTCTGCTTTTCCCTACCATCCATCCTGCCTCCCCTTCTTCCTTTAAACAGCCCTCCAGAATCAGTGCCATCTCTCGCGCCTTTCTGCTCAAACTTCCACTCAAGAATGTAAGTAATTGCCTGCTCTCCCATCTCTCAGAATGTGTCCGTTAAAATTACGGATGGAGCTATACACCTGTGCCCCGCACTGACGCAACACCCTCCTCGATAGCTATATCGGATACCATCTGAGCTGCCACAATGCCTGGTTTCTCGCAGGCTACTGAATTGAGCGCCTGGAAAGCTCTCCAGGAGCACCACAACACTCTGGGCAAGAATATTGTCCTGAAGGAATATTTCGAGAAGGACCCGAAGCGCTTCGAGAAGTTCAGCCGGACCTTCCAGAATTCTGCGGATAACAAGGAGATCCTGTTCGACTTCTCCAAGAACTTCATCACCGATGAGACACTCGCCCTTCTCGTGAAGCTCGCCAAGGAGGCCAACTTGGAGCAGCTTCGCGATGACATGTTCAAGGGAGAGCCCATCAATTTCACGGAAAACCGTGCCGTCTACCACGTCGCCCTGCGCAATGTTACCAACCAGCCCATGCAGGTCAATGGCAAGAGCGTCGTTGAGGAAGTCAACTCCGTCCTCGAGCACATGAAGGAATTCTCTGAGCAGGTGAGAAGTGGCGAGTGGAAGGGTTACACTGGCAAGAAGATTAAGACTGTCATCAACATTGGTATCGGAGGCTCTGATCTGTATGTGTGATGCCATTGTGGAGTCCTGCGATTCATAGGAAAGAAACAGTCACTAATTGCTGTCTCAGGGGTCCTGTTATGGTCACAGAAGCTCTCAAGGCCTATGCCGACCGAAGCCTGACCATGCACTTTGTCTCCAACATTGATGGAACCCACATTGCAGAGGCCCTCAAGGAGTCGGACCCCGAAACGACTCTGTTCCTCATTGCCTCCAAGACCTTCACCACCGCTGAGACCATCACAAATGCCAACACTGCCAAGGCGTGGTTCTTGGAGACGGCCAAGGACGATTCCGCTATCGCTAAGCACTTCGTTGCTCTCTCGACTAACGAGGCGGAGGTCACCAAGTTCGGTATCGACAAGAAGAACATGTTCGGCTTCGAGTCGTGGGTCGGTGGTCGTTACTCTGTCTGGAGTGCCATTGGTCTCTCCGTGGCCATCTACATTGGCTTCGACAACTTCCACGAGTTCCTCGCCGGTGCTCACGCCATGGACAAGCACTTCCGCGAGACCCCTCTTGAGCAGAATATCCCCGTCATCGGTGGTCTTCTGAGTGTCTGGTACAGCGACTTCTTCGGTGCCCAGACGCACCTGGTCGCTCCTTTCGACCAGTACCTGCACCGTTTCCCTGCCTACCTGCAGCAGCTTTCAATGGAGAGCAACGGCAAGGCCATTACTCGCTCCGGTGACTACGTGAAGTACACCACGGGTGCTATCCTCTTCGGTGAACCTGCCACCAACGCCCAGCACAGTTTCTTCCAGCTGCTGCACCAGGGTACCAAGCTTATCCCCGCCGACTTCCTCATCGCCGCCGAGTCTCACAACCCGGTTGAGGGTGGCAAGCATCAGGTCATGCTGGCCTCCAACTTCCTTGCCCAGTCCGAGGCTCTGATGATTGGCAAGACCCCTGAGCAGGTCAAGGCTGAGGGTACACCTGAGCCACTGGTTCCCCACAAGACCTTCCTTGGAAACCGCCCCACGACCTCCATCCTGGCTCAGAAGATCACCCCTGGAGCTCTGGGGGCTCTGATCGCGTACTACGAGCACGTCACCTTCACTGAGGGTGCCATCTGGAACATTAACTCTTTCGACCAGTGGGGTGTCGAGCTGGGCAAGGTCCTGGCAAAGAAGATCCAGAAGGAGCTGGAGACCCCTGGTGCTGGCAGCGACCACGATCCTTCCACCAGCGGTCTTCTCTTCGCATTCAAGAAGAAGGCCAACCTGGCATAGAGTGTGCCCCCTCTACATGGTTGAGAAAGATGATAAAAATATGTTTGTAACGCAGAGACGAACGGATTTCTTCCCTCTAGCCTTTCAAGGAATGTGATAGCTTTCCGTCTACTGAACAAGATGCCCACAACCAATTAGTATATCTAATATCTTAGTTTCCAGAAATAAACCGATTATTTTCATTACCTTCAATAAGCTTTCATAAATTTAGACTCTTGGAGACATGGTATCTATTAAGAGGGTACTCTAAGCACTGGATGCCTCAAAAGCCTCGGAACACGAAACCGATTCGTCGACAACAAGTAATTCGGAATTGATTGACGAGGGCAAATTATGTCAAGAAAAAGCTTGTTATTATGATTGGGGAAGAACGAACGCTACGATCAATCACACGGGCAGGAATTTCTGGTTTCGGTCAGCTAGTCTTTGGACTGTTGAGGTCCCTCGATAGGTACGCAGCTCCCTGCTAGTTGTACGGGGAACAACTAGTACTGCGGTGCTCAGGACACCTCCGCAATCTCTATTATTCCACGGCTTCAGCGCGTGCCAGCCACTTCAGCCCTGGTGGCTCACAACCCCTCTAATATGTCTTTACCACTGGGGCTTTCTCTTAGCTCTATCTCTTGCTTCCTCCTTTTGCTGTGCCTCCAGCTGCCTCGTGGCGTTGCTGCTGACAAGGCACAACATGCTGCGATCGGAGGCGGGTACAAGTACGGGCAAACAATACCTGTGACTTGCTTGAATCGGACAATGTAAGTTGTATTTCATGGCTGCTTTTTCATGTCTTTACATTTCTGGAGCCATTGGGCTCGTGTTCACGGATTCTTTTACTGAGATATGGACGGACAGTGATTCCGGAGAACATGTAATAGGCCCTACCCTTAACCCTTGTCTCGAAGATAATTACGCCATGTTACATTTGCGACCTCTACATCGCAATTGATCTTGCACCGGCTATAATTTTAAACCTACGTTCCATCATTAGATGTGTGGCTTGCAAGACGCGATGGCTAACTGCTCGATGCCCATAGATCACGGACAACCTAGGCAAACTACAATACATCCCCTTCCACATCTGCAGCGAGACCAAACAACCTCTCGCCTTGCGCTACGGAGTTTCTGAGACCGTCTCGTGCACTATCGATTCACTTTCGGATACTTTCTACCACTTGCTGGAATATTACGTTCACTCGGACGCTCCGTTAACATGTCGCGTGCCTACTGCTCCGCTCAATCCCTCTACTGGCCACGGGGCCGACGACCAGGAAGATGACGAGAAACGGCGCAAGGATGCCCAATCTGTGGATGTTTTGGATAATGACGGCCCGTCCTACACGCCCTTGACCGTGGCGCTCCAGGGCACCCTCCAAAAGAGCCATCTCCATATCTGGACGGATATGAATGTGCTAGCCCATAAGATCAGCTCGATAATTGCGCCGTCGAGGAAAGAGGTGAGGACGGCGCCCGGGTACGTCGTCGCGGGAACAGCATACTCTGTCCCTGAGTTCGATGTCCAGGTCGACCAGAAGAAAGCAAGCAAGGAAGCCCGTGCTGCTGCTCTGATCGAAAATGCTCGTGATCCCTGGTCTGCGGGCCACGGGACGAAGGTCGTTCGCGGTGAGCCGCTCACGTTCAGGTTCCACGTTAGCTGGGCTGAGGGCGGGGAAGGTATTGGATGGACTCTACTATCGGCATCTAATGTTTCTTCCTCTTCCGACGGAGGGAACCTCTTCGTGAAGATGTTTTTCTTCGTCATGGCTGTTTCTGTGGGTGCTCTTGGAGCGCTGTACTGGGAGCGAAGCATGGGTCGCGGACGACAAGGCTGGAAGGGAGATGGCATCCTAGGTCGACCTACTTCCCATCCAAGGAATCCTAGCGGCGTCGTCTACGGAGACGGAGGCAGGTCTAATGGCTATGGCGGTTATGGACTTGGCATCGCCAACGGCACTGGTACGAGCGGTGCAGGATACGGCTATGGCGGTTTCACGAGCGGGAAGAAGGATTGAGAATTCCATGTATCCATGATTCATGGGAAATACGGCTAGATGGCGGCATACTATCCATCCTTGGCGGTTTCTTCAGCGGTTTTTCGTTACATGTATATCTGATGTATAGGATCATTTTAAAGCATGAGCTTCGGCTTCTGGGATATAGGTTACGATTTGATGGTGGATAAAAGAAATATAAAGGCATTCATGTATTTTGGTTTATTTGGTTTCGGATATACATTTACATTTACATTGCATTGTTCTATCCTGCGAAAAGAATAGAACCTCTGAATAATTAAAAAAATGAATGAAACTCCCAATCGTAGTTTAGTTATACAAGTGCATCGGAACAGTTTATATCTCCCAGTAGCTCGAGACAGCATGGTGTTCTGAAGCCTCTAACCCCATTGAGAAGCCCGGAAACCAGAGGATCCCAAATACAACCATCACTCCTATCTGAGTTCAGGACAATGTCATTATCCGCTCGATTATGGATATCTACCATCCCTGGGCTCTCATCTTCTGAATCTTCTCCACCGTCTTCTGGAACGAGAACTTGAACAACTTCCTCCATCGCTCGCGTCTTAGATCCTTTATCCGCTGTCCTCTTCGCACATGGAACTTCTGGAAATTCGCCTGTCCCCTAACACGGTTGACGGCGCAATTGATCTGGAGGTTTCGCAGAGCGGCAGCAAGGTCGACACCGCGGTCCGGGTCCACGTGGACTTGACGACCGAGTTCTGGACCAAGCTTCAGCTCCACGCGACGGACAGGGGTGCGGTACTGCTCTGCGTCTGCGGATTCACTGACTGCGCGAGAGAGGGCAAGGGGGTCGCTGATAGACGGGCGACGTCCAGAGGGAGACTGCTCGGCTTTCCGGGACTCGATGAATGTCTTGCTGGTTTGGGCGGCGTTGCGGCCGGCGATGTCGAGCTGGCTTAATACGCGGTTGAGCTCGTCCAGGCTCGAATTGGAGGATTTGTCTGATGTGGCGTTCGTGGTCTCTGCGGGCTGAGAGCTGCTGGTGTTGTTGCTGTTCGTCTCAGACTGAGGTGATGATGGCTTCCCCGTAGACGCGTATCGGATTCCTTGCAGGCGACTCTGACTACTGGAAAAAGCGCCGATCTGTGTGTACAGCGAAGCAGGGCCGGCTTGCTGCTTAGACAGCAGAGATGAAGCCGGCCTCGAGCGAAGGCACCGGGCCAAGGTGCGTACCTCCATGATGCCGGACGGTATCGGTATTCAAGGACGTCAAGCCCCAATTGGAGAAATAAAACACGATGGTGAACGAAACAAAATATATTGATCAGTTACCAGCCTAGATTCCCATCTGCTGATAACCTCGCGCGATGCAGCCCCTTTGTTGCTGGCTGGACTTGTTCCGTCGACGTCCTCGGAGATGTTGAAAGATTGATTGTCTGGAGATGGAAATCTTCAAGTCACGTGATGAGCGTCGGCGAGGCCGCGGAGGTCCTCCTCTCTCTTCCGCAATCTTTCTGCATGGTGGAATTTATTTTCCTGGAGTTTGTTTCTTCAACGCTTTAATAATAAAAGTCTACACTTGTTTTCTTCGCGAAGGAATTTACATATACGGTTCTTTTTGAGAAGCTTTTTACGTACAGTCGGTGACTGTATATTTCTTAATCCGCCATGTCTTCCATAACCATTGCGACGCTTCCCCGCATGACTCGCGATGTCCTTTCTTCTCTCATTCTTTCAAGCAGCAGTCCCTCCAAACTGGCCATAGTTGACGTTAGAGACTCAGGTATGTTTAAATTCTCTCAATATCGCAAGAACAATATTCAAAAAAGAAACCAATAATCCCTCACCAATTCACTTCCATCTATGTATTTTAAGTATACAACACAACTAATCCCAAACACCCCAGACCATATCGGCGGCCACATCTACTCCTCAATCTGGATTCCCAGCTCTAGCCTCGATGTCCGCATGCCCGAGCTCGTGCGCACCCTACAGGACAAAGAGAAAGTCGTGTTCCACTGCGCCCTGAGCCAGCAGCGAGGTCCATCCGCGGCCCTGCGGTATGCGCGCGAGCGTGAACGCACTCTTGGTCCGGAGGCTAGTCATAAGCAGGAAGTGTATGTTCTTGAGGGAGGGTTCCTGCAGTGGCAGGAGAAATATGGGAAGGATACGAGATTGACAGAGGCGTATGTGGAGGATATTTGGAGGGAGTATTAATTTACCTTCGGTGTCTTTTGCGGAGGCGGAGTGGGAGGAGGATGGGGTTTAAAGTAATGGGATGTGATATATTGTTGTTTATTTGGAGAGGATATACGTGCGGAATGGGGTTGAGGGCTAGTGTGGTTAGAGGTCTGCCTGGGGGTTTCTGATCCTTGTTTTCAGCCTTTGGATTTTATTTATAGATACGAATAGAATAACGATACCCGATATGAATTATATATATATATTTTTCTCCATCAGCTGTGCGTACCTCGTTACATGTGCATCTTACATTATAATACAGATGTCTATATGGAATCATGGGCAAAACGAGACTCAAAGACTGATTCCCCCTCCAAAACCGACGGGTCTTCTCCTGCCCTCATTCTCTGGGATGATAGCCAGAACCTTGTAGATTTTGCCCATTCCATTACCGCCCTTATCGACTAATCGCTTCCAACCGCTCTCGAGGTTCTTTCTGCGCTCTTCGTCCTTGATGTTTTTCAAAAGCTGCTCTGCCCGCTCAGCAATACCCAGCGAGAGCAGGAAGTCACCCTGTTCAACCGGCCCGTGAACTTCGACGCCTTCGCTAGCGTCAATGGCTGCTTCTGCGAGTGCTGTGAAGTCGACATCGGCGCTGACGTCCACTTGTCCCGGGGACGAGAGAGGTGGGACCTTTTGGTGCTGCTTGATTCCACGCAACGAGTTGATAGGAATGGTATCTGAAGTTCCGTAGTCCATGATCAATGCTGCACCGGATGGCTTCCGCTTCACTGGCGTCAGAGGTACAGCAGACGAAGCTCGTGTACCAGGTGTTGTAGGCGCGACTTTAGGCTGGGACGTTCCCCCAATACGCCGGGCGAACTCCGCTGCATATATGCGGCTCTCCGGGCTGACCTCGATCGTGGACCCTGGAAGTGACTTGAGAGCTCTGTAGCGTTCAGATATTTCAGGGATAACCAAAGATGAAGGTGTTGAGGCTTTGGCCAATGTCAGCTTGAACTCAGGCTCATCCTTGATGTCTTCCACGACTGCTTTAGGATTTAACGACACCATGAGTTCGCGCCACTGGGGAGTGGTTGCGGGTTTCTGTGGTTGATCCAGTTTGATAGGACCGGTAGGTGTCATGATCTCCTGCGGCTGGTTTTCTGGCGAGGGCGCAACAGATTGGAAGGCGTGTATGGGCAGAGCGTCGAAGAATTCGTGTGCGAAGATGAACGGCGTTTTGTCCTCGTCTATGGACGGTTAGATTCGAGGCTCTTCAAGAGACAAATAAAACACTTACTCTGAGGTAGTAGTCTAATATCCTCAACCCAGACTACTGGCTTTCCGATGTGTTTGCTTATGCTCTTATGTCCAATTTCCGTCTCTTCCATAGGCGCATCCCCGCACAGGAGCTGTTTCTGAATCTCTCTCAGCGCAGGACTTGCCTCGACCAGGTAGATTGCCTCAATAGCTGACGCGAAGCTTTTGAAGTTTCCAATTGTCTGCATCCCAGTCAATATTATCGGACGAGCTGAGAGAGTTCCGCTGTGTCCTTACCCGCAAAATGTCATCCATCAACGTTCCCTTTCCAGGCCCAACCTCCATCAGCTCTACACCAGTGCGTTTTCTCCCCTGCGCAATCCATTCTGCGACTGTCCAGATACCGACGAGCTCTCCAAACACTTGTGTGATTTCTGGTGATGTAATAAAATCGCCTTTCTTGCCGAATACCTCGGTGCCGCCGCTGCGAGTCGTATAGTAGCCGCCTTCCGGAGAAGTCAAGACCTGGCGCATAAATGCAGCAATGGATATAGATCCTGTGGTCTGGCGGAAGCTGTCAGCTTTCTGGATCTTTGGCGCTTCTCAATGGGAGGTAGAAAATTGGGGGATCCTCTACCTTGATGGCTTCTGCCAGTGTCTTAGCCAGGGGAGTCGACCATTCCCGCTCAGCAAATGTGGAAGAACATCGCCATAGATTTGGCCGTAGTGACTGTGACCGGTAATTCCTCGCCAGACGCGTCACAGTCCGTTTTGCGACATGGTTCATCTTCTCCGCTGGTTGTCTGCCAGTCTTTGCATGCGCCTGGACTATGAACTCGATATAGGGTACAATAAATCAATTGACACTCTATAATAAAACTAGAAGGGCCGTAAAACGTTACTGTGAACAGAAGAAGTTACCGTCTGAGAGGATAATAATCCCAAGAATCTCCGGAGCTCCAAAGCTATTATTCTCCGCATCCGCGCTCCGCATGTTTCACGTGATCACAATCTTATCAATAAATTTCTCTAGATGGGTTACAGCCGATGAGATTCAGCGAACTCGTGGATAGACTAGGTAAAAATACGGGAAGAGAAGGAAAATGAAACTGTAATATATTAAAACAGAAAGAGCAAAAGAGAAAACCTTTCGCGCCGCATTGCAGACCTTCTGCCAACCCCAGGCCTGCCTTAAGTCTAAATCATTTTCACAAGCGTTGCAGCATATCCATCTGGTATTGAAGTACATATTTTCAGGCCGGAAACGCTGATTCCGTATCTCACAAACAATTCGAACGCAGCGTTACTACGAAGAGAACCCTGTTGAGAGGACGATATTCCTATCGGAAATTGCGTCCTCTGCCTCTTGATCCTTGTGCCGGGGCGTCGACCATCATCTCATCGCTATAGAGACCGGAGTCTTGTTCTTGTCGTCTACCGCCGGGGTTATTACCTCGGCCATTACGACGTCGGCCGAACGTCTCGTCTTGGATCAATGGGTCGGCTTTGCGATTCTCGCGGCGGACACGGTCAGCTTGTTCCCTGAAACCATCGTAGGAGTTCTGGTTTGAGAATGCACGAGGCTCGGTTGGTGGATTGAAGCCTCTGGCTGTCTTGAGTTTCATCGAAAGTATTCTACCATCCGCCTTCAAAATGTCAGCATCACTCTAGACAGAATGTACACTGTGCTCACCCTCTGGTTATGGAAGTTTGCGACCACACTCTCAGCACCCTGTCTCTCCGCAAAGGCCATTTCTGCGGTCACAGTGGGATACGTAGACACCACTCTGCAACTGACTATAGCTCCTCCGACAGGCTCGAGCGCAGACTGGATATCTGCAGCAGTAGTGCCTAGCGCAAAATTGCTGCCAATCACGACAAACGGCCCTGAACCGGCGCCTTTAATAGAGATCCCAATGCCATTACTTCGAACTGTTGCCTGTCCATTCTCCGGCTGAAGGGCGGCAACGAGGCGATCGTCGTTTGCTCGTCGCTTATTCCCGGTTGTTGGACGAGCGGTGTTCTGTTTCGGTTTGAATGAGGTAGACGCCGAACGCTGAGAGCAAAGACTTATTAGAGGACAAAATCTATCTGCTGTAAATATTCACGCGCTGACTTTACCTTGGCAACACCGATTCTGCTGGCGAGGCTCCCAGAGGCAGCTGTCTGTTTCTTGCTGGCCACTCCGGCCCCCGGCGCGCTCGCTCTCCTGTTCTTTCCTAGAATCTCGTTCGCAAGCGCCTCATTCTTGCGTTTTTGGCGATCTGGGTATCAATCACAGATTAGAATGCTGAGGGGTACAGTCACTGGGGCTGATGAGCGATTTACCAGCCTTGATAATCTCGTCGAACGAGATGGCTGCTGATTTGCCGGCCACCATTATGGTGAAAGGACTGCGTGGTCGAGAGATCGGTTCAGCTGAAAGGGAGACTAGGATGAAATGACAATAGAGATCGCATTGAATGGTTGAAAGCTAGGGAAGAGAGAATATGAGCCTTGAGTGAAGGGCTCGTTGAGCTCCTTTCCGCGCGCGAACTCCGCCGAGCTGAGTCCGCCCTCCGGGTCTGAGCTTTCCGCAAGAACGGGGCCATATGAGTACTGTCCGCCTCGGAGCATTCATTGTGCTATTAACCATGGATAAAATTGAATCGGTGAGTATAGAACAGTAGAATTCATGCAAGTGATGTTTGTCCATATCTTGTGATTGATCAGATTCTCTCAAAAGCTGTTTGTCCGCCAAATGCGTGATTCTTTCCCTGTTTACTACTACAAATGGGCACCTTCCATTTTAGGCTCCGCTGTATAATCTGTTCACCAACTCGCGGAACTCTTTCTCGACATTCCATTTCTTTGCTAGTAATCAACTGCCTTGGACCTGACTATCCGGGTGTAATAAACACGATGCTCAAAGGGTTTCTGATTACTCTTGGAAGAGTTATTCACTTGAGTCTATTCTCATCTTCTGGAGTCCCCTTTACTGTGTTTTCCACGTTACCATGGCCTACAGATGTCCAGGACATAATGACGACAAGTCACCCAGGCACACTGAGGATGGTCAAAGTCAATGCCGTGACGACGATCTCCATCACCATCAAAGTTATCCGACATTATTCCAGACACCAACAAAACAAAGGAACAGGTATTTGATCCTTGTCGGACAGTATGTGCTTTGTTGACTGCTGCTTGGCAGTGACCTTGCTTCCAGCTCCCCGCCATGCCAAGAAAGAATCCATTATCCAATATTCAATCCTCATGATCCTCGACACAACCCTTCCATAGCCTCCACATCATGCCCAGCAATCGGTTATCTCTCCAAAACACCCAGCCCCCAGAGACCAATGCGCTGGGTCCAGGAACTGCCTGGACGGTCATTGCGCAAGGCAAGATCGGGTCTCTTGGCTTTGACAAACGGAATGAAGTGCCATTCTGTTTTCTGGGACAAGTCCGCAAAACAATCAGTTCCTGACAGTTGCTCCATCTGTCCGCCTTTTCAGGAGCAGCTTTATCCATATAAAGGACGTTCATTCCCGCAAACCATATCCGAAGCAAGCACAGAGATAGACTTTGATTTTGGCGTGGAGATCTATCGCACTTGTCGTAACCGGTCAAAACCAGCGTCCGTATCGAGCTGGGATGATGAAGGAATCGCCGAGGTCAGACTCTCTTCGTCCCTGACCTTAGTCAGTCCAGACACGTTGTCGAAAGTGGACCTTGGATCGTCGAGGCCTGGTACGTCAATGCTCAAAAGACAGGATCACAGTAGCTCGAGCCAACAGCCAGGCCGGACATCCCAACTCTCCAATATCTCATCGAAGAAACAGACCATTAAGTGGCAGGATGGATACGTCAGCCGGTCATTTCCGGAAACCGAGTCTGATGTATCTGTAACAGTCTCGTCCTCGTCTTGCAGTACCTCTAGAAGCAACAGAGTTCAGAAAAGGAAGGAAGCCGGCGCCGGATCTTCATCGTGCACAGAGTCATCGGAATCAGAGATCAGCTCCAGTGACAGCAACGGCAATGAGGCGATGCAGCGGACCCCAAGACCTTATCCAGAAGTCTCGGGGACTTCCACGGACGACCCGTTCATGTCTGAACAATCTCGTCGCGGATCTTCTGAATCCACTGGCAACACTAGTCTTGAGTTATCGGAGGAACTGCGCCAGATAGTAGGAGCAATGGAAAGGTTCACCACGGTAGGGCGAAGAGGATCCTGAATACACCTTGTTTTCACAACCATTCTGACGATCTGATCAAGGATATCGACATGCCCGATGATTCTTCGTGCGATGATATCAGAGACATCTACGGAGAAAACCGACAACCCTCTGGCAGCGGCATAGACCACGCATCTATGGGAACGTTAAGCAGTCGTCCAGGGCCAGAGATTGGCATCAACACGTCCCGAAGAATAAACCCTAATCCCTATGGCCCTATGAGGAACGCTCCTCGCTGGAGAGTGATACCGCGTCCAAACCGGCGAGATGATTCACTTCCCAAGGACGAGTATTTCCTCGTGGATGGAAAATCCAACGATTCCCCTCCTGGGAGGGGCGACAACAGAATAAGAGCTGAGAAGAGGATCGTCAGTGATGGCAGTATCCACAGCGGTCCGGGGCTTGACCGTGATCCAGGCGTAAGAGCACAGTTTGTTCCCCAAGCCATCGGACCAGGAAGTCCTCGGAGGGTGGCGTCACGCCGTGATGACCAGGCCGAGGTCGAAAGAAACCGCAGTGACTCGACGGACGAATAGATATCCACGTAACAGGTTCTGCGGCAGTGGATCCGTTCCTTGAGCGGTTGCGAAGAGAAAGTTTTTGTCTATGGAGATCTCTGGCGCGTTGTCTTCCTTGCAAACTCTTTGGAATTCCGCATCGACATGGCAAGCAAGTCGAATTATTTTGTATCAGTAGCGTGGAAGAGGTGTTTCACCTAGATAACACTTCTTTTGAGACAAAAAATTAGGTTACAGTTCTTGAGGTATATCTCGAGGGATGTTGCGCGATCCGGCGTCGCCCCTGCGCAATAGACGGGAGAACAGCAGGTACATGTTGGACCACGGCCCTGCATAAGGCACCTTTCATTCCCTCCCCCTGATCAGTCCATAACCTTTGCCCCTTCGGATGAATCGTATAATAATCGGAAAGTAAGGTTCCGCGCTCAACAGATCATCCTAGCCTTAACGTGAAACCTGCCCCGGTCTCTCCAGTATCCCCTCCGCCCGTCCCACCAAACACACTGGCAAAGTCCAACTTGGGTGCCTCAGCCCCATGCTTTGGCGCCTCTGGCGTCTCTCTTCGCCGGCGCCTCTCCATCCCCGCCTTAGACGGAAACGTAGGAAACATCTCCTTGGGCTTGGGTCGCGGATCTTCATGGAAGTAAGGATGCCGAAGGCACTCTTGGGCGGTTGGGCGAGATGCGGGATTTAAGGCCAAGAGCGATGAAAGCAGGGTGAGACCGGAGTTGGTGAGATAGGGAAATTTAGAGCGCGGGAGGAGCGGTGGCTTTGTAGACGATGTATTCGACGATGAGTAAGAGGGTGGTAACCGGAGAGACTTTGCGTTTGGCAGGGATCGGAATCCAGGCCATGTTTGCTGCGTTGGAGGTCCAGTTAAGGCGAATATCTGTTCTTGTATTAGTACCATTATCTTTATATATAGCAGAAGATGGATGGAAAGGACGTGTATGATGTACATACCTTGGACAATTGCTCTACTTCGTTCTTCCCCTGTAACAATGGCTCCGTAGTGAGAAGCTCTCCAAATATGCAGCCTATACTCCACATATCGATCTCCGGTCCATACTTGTCCGCCCCCAGAAGCAACTCTGGGGAACGGTACCATAGCGTCACGACCAGTTGCGTGAGCTTAGGTGGTGGATCTCCATAATACCTCGCCATGCCGAAATCCGCAATCTTGATCTCACCGCGATTATTCATGAGTAGGTTCGATGTCTTCAGATCACGATGCATGATCCAATGCGAGTGTAAGAATTCCGTAGCTGACATTATTTGTAGAAGGAGGGTCTTGATCTCCGAGGGTAAGAAAGGTTCGCGCATATCATCGAGTAGCGTTTTTAGATCGTGTTCGAGGAAATCCATGACGAGGAAGACACTATTTTAGATGATTGCAATGAACGAGGCGAGTTACCTCGTTATTGCCCGATGGTTAATTATCTTTTTGCATCTGGGACTTTCCAGGGGTAGAAGGTGTCGAGAGCGCCCGGTTCCTTTTTTTGTTTCTTTCCGTGCTGTTTCTCTTGGAGAAGTAGCCGGAGTGGGAGGGGAGCAGGGAAAGGCGGATTCTCGAGTGGTAGATAGAGGGGGAGGCAGAACTCACCTATCCATGCTATTTCCCATGACGATCTCACGAAGATTGACGATGTTTTGGTGTCGAGCTCCAAGGAGGGTTTGGATCTCGCGCAGCCCGGTGACGGGGAACCCATCTGGCGAATTCTCCATTTTGAGCTTCTTCAACGCGACAATCTCCCCTGTCGTGATGTCCTTAGCTCGAGATACCCAGCCGTATGATCCCTCTTCGATGTGATTCAGTCTTTCGAAATTGTCGACATGTCTGCATGGCCCCCATTCCGGAGCTGGGAATCGGAGCAGTGTAGAGCGTTTCTGTTGTGTAGTTGTATCGATAGTCTGTTCCGCTGCAGCTTTCTCCGCGTCGTCTGAGAGTCTGCGGCGCTTTGCCGGTCGTCCTCCAGCTTCACCATTGACTTCTCCGTCTCGGGCTTGCTGTTGCGCCGCCTGGGCTTCTTCCAGCTTGCGCTGCTTCTCTGCCTTGGCGCGTTTCTTCTCCTCTTTCTCGCGCTTGCGTTGCGCAATGGCGGCTTCAGTTTCGGGGTCGTCGTCTGCCCATCGTGACTTTCCCGGCGCAGACATTATCGACGAGGTCGAGGGGTGTTGTGTCGAGGTTAGTCGGGTATCTAAAGTATACAATGGGAGAGCCGTGGATGTTTCGCTCTCCGGAACGGAAGTATTATTTTGATGACGCTATTTGCCGGATCGGAAGCTAGACTGAGATAAGTCGACTATGCCTGGAAGCGCCGAAAGTCAACCCGCGATTTCAAAGCACACCCCACCTCCAACCGGCCATCGCGCAACATGGCCGACATTCCAGTACTTTCTTTTCTTGCACTTATTCCTCCTGCGCCGGATTAGCACCCGTGGGATCTATCGTTTGCTTTACTTGATCTGAGACGTTTTCTATCACAGTCGCCGCCATGATTGAACCATTCCAGGTATGTAGTTTCTCATTGTTCTGCAGCGGGGGGCGGGTTCAATACTGCGGAATTACTAACGGGCTATAACAGACGACGTTCTCCGTCCCCATGAGCTGTGAGGACTGTATCAAGGATATCACGACGTCTCTATACAATCTTCAGGGTACTGAAATTACCAGGGATCCGGGGAGAAAAAGGCGAAACTGACATCCGCGCCAGGAATTAACAAAGTCGACGCCAGACTGAAGGACCAGTTGGTCTTCATCGAGGGCACAGCGCCACCAAGCTCCATAGTATCCGCTATCCAAGCCACAGGTCGAGATGCAATTCTACGAGGTAGTGGCTCCTCGAACGGTACGTCTGGACCTAGATGATCTCGCTTTCTACAGTCTAGTCAGACTCATGCTGAGTGCGATTCCGAAAAAAGGTGCCGCCGTGAGCATCCTAGAGACACATTCGACTGCCGTTCAAAATAACGTCCGTGGATTAGCGCGGATGGTTCAGGTGTCACCCAATTTGACTATCGTCGACCTCACGATCAACGGACTCTCTCCAGGAAAATATTGGGCTACTGTCCGCGAGAACGGCGATATTTCAAGGGGACCAGAGACAACCGGAGGCATCTGGGAGTCGTTGAAGAACAAGGTCCTCGGATCCGAAGAGAAGAAGGAGCCAAGAGGTGTGTTCGGGACGGTCGAAGTGGACGCGAAAGGCCAGGGTAACGTCTTCCTGGACCGGCCGGTTGCCGTGTGGGAGTTGATCGGGCGAAGCATGGTCATTTCCAAGGACAAGGATGGTCCGTTCAAGAAGGAAGATCCTGATACATTGGTTGGAGTCATCGCCCGCAGTGCCGGAGTTTGGGATAACGACAAGATGGTGTGCTCGTGCTCCGGAAAGAACGTGTGGGAGGAGCGGAAGGAACAGGTCAGCAAGGGAATGATGTAAAATCGGGTTCCCATCAATCATATCCACTCTGCACCAAGCATATGGTGACCCCCGGCAGCAGTTGAGTCCTGAAAGAGCTCTTCGACCGGGATCGCCTGAAGGAAGCATGGCCATGGAAGGGAATCCCAAGCGACAGGACCCCTTTACGATGAGTATGACCAGGAGCGTGACGTTTATCTTTCTCCTACCTGTTTTACACGTGTCGAGGAATGTTACTGCATTGAAGATGATATCCATGCTAGGACAGGGCCATTGTTCAGTGAGATCTTGAGGGGGTTTCCGAACTAATATTCGGTACTGGAAATAAGGCTTCTAGACCGTCTCGTGAGGCTGGAAACATGGATCCTGTGAATTATCGTAACGGGAAACACCGTGTCACATCGAGCTCAAGGAATGGCCCTTTCGCGGTAACAGGATTACCATCTGGTTGCTAGCTGCTGTAGTGGATCAAATGACCGGATGAAAGTACCGAGTGCCCTTTTGGCAGAGGTACTGACTGAAAAGTAAATATCGTACCTGTGATGTAGATGAGACAGACTATGTGGGAGTGCCAAAAATTTCCTGAATAGGCTGACACCTGAGACAGCCACTTACCTCGAGTCGAATGATTGATTTGTTGACCATAATGGGTCGGTATCGTCGGGCTCTGGAACAACCTCAAACACCGGCAGTATCAGCGTTGCCATGACTGAAGTCTGGGCGCCCGCAAAGAAATCGGGACGTGGACAGTCGAATTCCGAAATGGCGTGAACAGAGGACTCGATCTTTGGCAGGGAAATTGCTAGGACGGATTGAAGTGAGATGTGCGATGTTTGCCAGGTCATCTACTGTAGATAGTGTGAACGACGATCTGAATGGAGGGTGCACAGAGGGTTCTTTAACTGAGGCTTAACCGGGGAAAGTGGAAGCGTCGCTATGGGTCGCGTCCACTTCCAGGCGGCACGGGCCATCTCCAGCAGTGTGATTATTATTATTACCGGATTTGAAGGCTCCTCTAGCATCTATTAGCATCTATGAGATCCTTGGCACAGGAGTATTTGGTTAGTTATACTCAACGAGGAGCAATGCCTCTGGCCCGTTGATGCTTGGCAAAGGGTGTTCAGAACGATTCGAGCAGCCGTTGGTGATAATCGTCGTTCGACCATAGTAGACTTCGCGCCTAGTCGGCACCAGTTTGATATCCAATATCCAATACTTGCAGGCGATGGACCTGGAACGCTTTGCTCGAGTGGTGCTATCCACTCAGGAGGTAGATCAGACTTCTGGACCCTGACTTTGTAGGCTTATGCATGAGACCAATTGGTTCTGCCCCTGTTATTGTTGTATCACCAGCCCCGTGGGCAGATGGTTATCTCTGCCACTTCCTGCTCTTCCGGACGCCGCTTGCTGCTGCTGCTTCTGGCCGGTCGTCACTCGCTGTCCATCTTTGCCTTTGATTGCTGCAAGTTTTTTTTTTATTTCTTTTCCATTCTCTTCTTCTCGCAGGCTGGCCCTCGACTTCCGTTCATTGGACCTGATAATACTGCGAAAGCACGACAAGCGAGATCGGACTGGATTCCTGCTCTCCTGCAGTTCGCTTCCCCTCCTTTAGCCCATGTTCTCTGTCTGATCTGGGACGCATTCTTTGAATCGATTACCTTCTGTTTCTTTGCTGCCTATTCTTTCCTCCGTATCTCATTTTTAGCTCCAGCGACGAGAGATTCGTCGAGACCTCCTTAATCTTAGTGAACCAAAGCCTCGGTCACAGCACCATTGCACAACCAAGCCACGACTCCGTGGACACAATTCGCTTGGCTGAATCCCCTCCTGTTGGTCGGTATACTAGTTATTACTCTAGCTTCAGCGGTAACGAGAGCGCCCCGCCATCGTCTGGTGCTCCCGCTCGCGCCGTGCAGCAGTCACTGCGCATCACACGCCAATCAATTCCCCGGGGGTTGGGATATTTAACAGGGTTGGCAAGGCCGTGGTTCTCGGACTCAGCATTAAGACGGCACTCCCCTTCTTTCACGAATTTCGTACGATCGCCACTGCAGACGATTGAACGGTCGGTACGATTTCTGCAGGCCTAATCAGTCTAGTTACTCGCGAAAGCATTCTAGATCTAGAGTGGTTCTGCGGGGAAGTCAGCCAGGCGGGACATTCCGTGGATCGCTGTTCGCCCCGGTCCCTGGTAACTCACCCGACCGCGGTACTGTAGATTATACTATCAACATAGGCCTGCCAGTTAGCCATCGCGATGTCGCTTAAACAGGTGAGTTACAAGCTTCAAATTCACAGGTTCTGTCGGACAGTATAATAACCAGTATGCTGCAAACAGGAAATCGAAACCTGGGTCGAGGCGCTTGCACATTACGACAATAATGAATATGATGAAGCGTTGAAAGTATTCGATAATATTGCGGATACATCAAAGATCTTGTTCAACTGTGGTGTCATCCAGGCGACCTTGGGAGAACATGAGAAAGCGGTATGTGTAGATATCAATGCGGGGTTTTTGTCTGTGGAACGTCGGCGCTGACTGATACCCATTAGGTCGAATGCTACCAACGTGCAGTAGCCCTGGACCAATATCTGGCTGTTGCATATTTCCAGCAAGGAGTTTCAAACTTCCTGTTGGGCGATTTCGAAGAGGCGCTGGCCAATTTCAACGATACCCTCCTCTACCTCCGTGGCAATACATCCATCGATTATGAGCAACTAGGGCTGAAATTTAAGCTGTTCTCTTGTGAAGTTCTCTTTAACAGAGGTTTATGCTACATCTACCTGCAGCAGGAAGCTCCTGGTTTGCAGGACTTGGAATATGCAGCCAAGGAGAAAGTCACGCCTGATCACAATGTCATTGACGAGGCCATTAAAGAGAAAGCAGAGGTATGTCTGACCGTAACGGTCAAAAGAAATGCGCTCTAACACGTTCCAGGGTTACACTGTCTTCTCAATTCCTGTTGGCGTGGTCTACAGACCGAATGACGCCAAGGTGAAGAATCTGAAAACGAAGGACTACCTGGGGAAGGCCAAGCTGGTTGCAGCCGCTGACCGTAATAACGCTTTCACTGGGTTCCAAGGTTCAGAATTGAAGAGAGCGCAGACCATGGAGGCCAAGGCAGCAGATGACCGCCCCGCTGAAGCGATCTCGTATGCAGCGACGAATCTGGTCCAAAGGAATCTCACCAGTCGAGCGCGACAGCTGTCAGAACCTCCGCTCAACCGCAACACCTTCCCTCCAACACCACCACCTGATTCTGATAAATCTGGCGACGGCTTCGGAGGTGGCGCCTTGACGCAGCGGGCCGCATCAGTACGCTCTGGCCGTCCTCCAAACCTCAACTTCAACCGAGCTGGGGCCACAACAAATGGCCGGACCAGTGAGATGCCATCTATGGACAGGCAACGCCCTGCCCCATCACGCGCGGCTTCAGAATCTCGACGCCCCAGGCAGTATGCTGATTCCCGCCGTGACGTTAGCAGGCAACCTGCTTATCGAGAGACGATGGGATCAAGATACCCCGAGGACGGCTACGCAGACGATGTATATGACATGTACACTAGCCCGCGCTCAACTGGGAATTCCAGTCGAAGAGGACAGTCGAGACGGCAACAACCACGGTACATTGATGAGGACGAAGAATACGCGAGCGACGGATATGAGGATGACACCTTTGATGACGGCGAATTCGAGATGATGCCAGCACCCCAGCCCCGCCCGTCTCAGAGGAGAAGGGCAAACTCTCGCCGGCCTGATGTTCGCAAATTCCGTGTTAAGGTACACGCAGAAGGCGACATACGCTACATTATGATCCCAGGTTCTATCGACTATGGTGAGTTCGAGGGCCGGATTCGAGAGAAGTTCGGGTTCCGCTCTCGACTGCGCATCAAGATGAAAGACGAAGGCGATATGATCACCATGGCCGATCAGGACGATCTCGATCTACTGATCAGCAATGCCAAGGATATGGCAAGGAGGGAAGGAAACGACATGGGCAAAATGGAGGTATGTGTACTCTCTTGTCTTATCAAGTATCCCATCACATAAACTAATCGGTCATCAGATATGGGTTGAACAGAAGTAATCACCTTCGTGTCGTTGCGGTTTCTTTTTTCCAATACGTGGACGCTTTCCTGGTCGTTCCGCATGTTTACGTGAAGTAGGTACTACTTGGCACCTGGCGTTAAGGAGCAAGAATTTGTTTTCACCATGATTCCCCAGACGATGTTCCAAACCCCCCTCCCTTCTCATGACCTGTTGATATCCCTGACATGGTATTGAGTTTGTGAGTTTGGCGAGCGAAACGTTACCAGTTAGATGAGATCAGTCACCGATTTTCGAATAGAAGCAATGCGCCCTTGTGATTAGGGAATGAGCATAATACTCGTGTCCTCTGAGATATGCCAGAAAACAAGTAGTTATATTAAGCCTGCACTTATGCGCATGCCTAGTACTGATGGTATCAGCGGTATTATCAGTTGTGTTCGGTGTTGTAACACTGCAAGGATTGTGTTACGAGTTATAAGACTCCCCTTTATAACTTTCTGCATATTAGAAGTTGGTTCTGAGCCTAGGCTACACACATCTATTATGAGCTACATTTTCCGCGTTACTTTCTATTCGATTCTATGACTGATTTCCCCGTCGTATTGAACGATCAGCTGTCCAAAGGCAGGTTTAGTCAATTCCAGAGTGAGGATATTCAATTTTAGTGAGAATCTTATCTTCGAATGTGAAATGAAAGCAAAAACCCCAATAACACTTCTCCAGATCCACCAGATCTAAACACATATATCTGGCGAAGCAGCCTTACTTAGGGTTCGGTCGATCACGCGGCTAGGTATGTACCTAAGTAGCGCCAAGAGATCTCCGCCATTGACGTGAAGCTCGGACGGATTGTTGACAGCTGGCGCATTGCCTAGCTACAGCTATGAGCGAGATTCGAATAATCCTCCTTTACAATAATACCAACAACTCGACTGTCATGCGATAGCAATGACGAACCTAACTCCAATTGTTAGCCAACTCCTCACGGAGACCCATTCCGCTCCTGCGATTCGGGAACGTCGACCTTCGACCGAGACGGTGGATGAGTTCCTCAAGGAGGCGTATAGAATAGTTAGTACAGAGACTTTTGTGTCCGGGGAGAGATTAGAGAAATGGGGATTTTGTTTTTGCTGACGGATTTATTTCCTCATACTACAGAATTCCCATATCACCTCTCTCCTTCATTACCTCCAATCCATACGTCACTCGTATCTCTCCACAGCTCCTGCTCCACCAGCTTATCACCGCCGCACACCATCTAGCGGCTCGATTTCTTCTCTCAAAGCACAGAGCCAGGTTCATAAGCATCTGAGTGACGAAGAGCGCGATTCGATTGACTCCTCGACTGCGCTACTTCTTCGTGACCTGTCGTCGTCCATCGCGAATCTCTCTTCTGCAGAGACTCTCCGGCAGGAAACTGAGGCCACGATCCTTCAGAAGAAGTACGGGCATAAGAATAAGCTATTATGGCGCTGGGCGGGTGGATCTGGTGCATTGGGGGATGATGATCAGCTCAGATCCCCGGAGCAAGAGCACGATGAAGAATCAGCCCGTACGATTCGGGCGGTGCGGGAGAGCATGTTGTGGTTTTTGAGACGTGGGCTCGAGACGGCGGCAGAGGTGCAGCGGAGTATGGTGGAGAAGAGGATAGAGAGGGTAAGAGAGAAGGAGAAGAGTGTCCTCTACAAGATGGGGAGTATGCGGGGGGATATCCCGACACGGCCGCCGGATGGAGCTGCTGCTGCTGCGTTCGACAGTGGGAAGAGTAATTACGCGGCTGCGTCGCTGACACGGAGGGAGTACGGTGCAGCAATGAGCGAGGCCGAAGTTGCGGATATCGAGTCGCAGCTCTCGCCGGAGCAGCTACAGCTCTTTGAGCAGGAGAATAATACCATGCTCAAACATTACGAGGATACGTTGAGCAAAGTCCAGTACGTTGGGAGCCTTCCTTGCAGAACCTAAAAAATTCACTTTGCGACGCCCTCATCTGAAACATGCAGCTGACTAGTAAACGTACAGAAACGCCGAAAAATCTCTCCTCGAGATCTCGTCCCTACAGCAGACGTTGGTCACTCATCTATCCACTCAAGAAGACTACATCAACCAACTTGTTGCTGACGCTCAGACAACACACACGAACGTGGGTCAAGGCAACAAGGAACTCAAACGCGCAACAGAGCGCCGCAGTACAGCGCAGATGGTCTTCTGGGGAACTGTTGGACTGTGTACTTATTTGGTTGTTTGGGACCTTGTTTTTTAGGCATCTCGGAAATGTATACATCTAACACTGTAATAATTATTGTCTCTTGATATGTAAAGCATCTCATACATATGTAACAGTAACGGGGGATCTCATTAGTAGCATTATATATAATGCGTACTAGATTACCCGAGAGATAGATAACCTAGATGGCATATACTGTCCATGTCTGGCCATAATTGGTACAATCTTACAAAATCATCTCGAACCATCAAAGAAAGTCGCTGACTTCGGCTCCTCAAACTGGATTTAGAGGAGTTGGGATTGCGGCATCGGACCGCTGCAAGTTTTCCCGTCAACAAGGTGTCTGTCCAGGAAAGTCACTTCTAAGATATTGGCCCAGACTGTATTGGCTCAACATCCTCAATCATCATGGGGACTTCAATCGTCACAGGGATGGTGGGGCGATAGACTCAAGCACCAAGATGATTAGGCTTCTATGGCGCTTCATATGCTAACAATCAATCGTTCGTATATAGTAGACGAGCGGAGTCTATATTTCGCTATCGTACATCCATTTCCATCTTTCGAGCTAGTCATCGACAGTGGTGCCAACGTGCACCGTAGATTCTTCATCGGTGCAGATGCCCGCAAAGTCAAGTCACAGCTTACCCCGAGAGTCCTGAAAGATAATGGCATCTCCGTCCAATCAAATCAGGTCTGAATTAAAGACCACCTGGCCAGCACTCACACAGGATATCGCCATAGTCCCGCATCAAAGACTGAAGAGCTGCGCCCGCAGTGCGTGACCCACCTATGGTCACTTCCATCGAAATAAGGCCTTTCATAAGGGAGCCTACATGAAGTTTCCACGTGTCATCGGGTACTATTTCATAGTCTGAAGAGAATCGCCAGTCGATAATCTTCTGGATCGCCTTTTCTAAAGCGATCACGACTATTCCAGGTGAAACGTGAGATACGGTTAATGGAATATCCGCTCCCAAGCCGCTATTCTCTTCGAATGCCTCGCCGGCTGGTAAGTCCAGTACGCATTCGACCATTTGCGCCACTGATGAAGCTGCTCGCCATTGGTGCATTCGTACGCTTGTAATTATGTTCTCGTGGGAAGGATCAGCCTCACTGAGCATCGATCGCAGGGTTTCACATAAGACGAGGACCCCGAGATCCCAGAACACAACTAGAAAGACTGTTGAAATATCTGTCAGTAGTAGTTCTTGTTCCCGCGGAAGGGAGAAATAAGTAGGCGCTGAGGATGCATCTATGCATACCGAAAAACTTTCTTGAGATGCCTGACAGAATACCAAAGTGCTCCGCACAGCAAGTTATGAATGGGCGGAAAGATTGTTCGAAAGTGGCAACGGCTGTCAGGGTCGAGTTTATGTCTCCAAACACTGTTCCACCAGGCCCAGGTGCATTCTGAGAATGCGAATTCGCGTCTTTAATTCTGATAACCTGGCGCCAAACATGGAAGGCCTCCATCATTGCTCTTCGACCTACAGTGGCGACATTATCATCCAAATGCGCTCTGTTATCTTGAGAGGCCGTGAAGTATGGGCTCGGATCATTGTTTAGAGTATCTTTTATATGTGAGTCTTGGTCTGCCAACAATAAATTTCAAGAGTGGGAATCAGCTTACCTTGCGTGTCTCTCGGTACTTCCGGGAGCCTGCAGCCGCGATTCGTTGTGAGCCCGGCCACAGTGTCGCGGAGATACCCAAACCAACGAGCAAAGTTTAGACAGGACTCCATGACCGCTCCATATTGGGAGGAAGGCCCCAAGTTGGCACAGTATTTTGTGACGAGGCTATCGAGGAAAGAAAGCTTTTTGAGACTAACATCAAGGAATTCGTGCCTTAAGGCAGGCTCGGGCGTATCGCCGCAAGCTTCTTGAGGGATGGTAACCATATCAAATGCGATAGTTGCTAGCACAACTGTAAATGATCGTATCGATTCTGCGTCACGGACCAGCGATCGTGCTCGATACCAAGAATCAGCGTAAGCGTTGGATGAGCCGTCTCTCAGTCCCTGACTAGAGAGAGACCCCATCTCGGATGAGGCCCCAGACTCAGGCAACCATTGAAGCGAAGAGACCCTTATTACTTCTCTTAAAACTTCCTCTGACTGCTTTCGAGCTTTTTTGCTCAGCCTGTTGCCGTAAAGATCACTGAAGTGATCTAGGAATTGAAAAGCTCCCCAGACGGTCATCTTGTAACCGTCATTAGGGCTTGATAAAGCCAGGGGATTTATCGATTCTGTAGATTGTGGAAATTGTTCCGATGGCGAAGGCATTGCCAGATATGATGTTGACTTCATCGCTGGCGATAATTCTGGTCTGTGGAATTCAGTCTCTTCGATCAAGTAACGATGTCCCCCGGCGTACATATTGCAATCATAGTCTAGGAATATAGATGCGCAACCCCCCATAATCGTCTCACAGATCCCGGTTAGATGTTCATCTAGAATACTCGCATTCATTGACGAGTTTAGCAGGCGCATAGGACTGCTGAGTGAACATCCAATCACTGATCTAGCTCTATGCTTCACTAGGCCTTGCATAGCCTCCGATCGAGCGGAAAGAAGGGAATTTCCAGTATCACGTTGTGTCTCTGCCAGAACCACTACTGGCTGATGTGTGGAGGCGGACTCCATTGAACCTGTGCCATTTTGAATAGATATCAAGTTATCATCCAAAAATTGGTCTGCATCGAAATTCAGCCAAGAATCTAGGATATCATTGCTATCCTCGAATCCTGCTTGAAAATCAGACTCTGCGAATTCGTTCGCTGCTCTCTCAGACGCCGCCAACGCGTCAGCTGTCAGCGGGCCATCAGCAACTGAACGAGTCCGTTTCCCCTGTTTCCTCCGGGACTCAGCGAAGTCGAAAGTGCAACGATATCGCAGTCGTCTACAGTTTTGACAGACCGTGCCAGTCTTCCTTTCTTGGTGGGGTTCCACCAAGCAGCGTCGCTTCGAGCGTCGACACGGGTCACAACTTGCATTCTGGCGACGCTGGGACGGCTGGGATAGAACAGTCTGCATCAATGTGATGAGTCTTTCGGCCCTTTTCGGTCCACACGTGCATGAGAGAGACGCAAGAAAATGAGTCCAGGAGTGGTAATGATTGTTGGGTCAGTCAACTGGCCATTTAAACACCAGATTCATGAGATTGAGTACCAGGACTGGCCGTTGATGAAATTCATGAATCCGCAATGAATATGGGATAGACTATAGCTGTCTTGGTGATGCTCGCCAGAATTAAGACATGTACCTGATTTAGGATAGCATCAATAATGGACATTGCAATACTCGCAGTTTCTTCACCCGCAGATCGTCTGTAGCACGTGACTCCGCTTGCTATGTTTATTGGGATACCTGAAGAACAGGAAACAAATAGTTAAGCTGGAATGATGTCGCCTTCTGTTCTTTATACCTGGACTTTTGTGATTGGCTACCGACTTCTTGCATCGTAACTACGCCTTAATAGCAGTAGTATAGAGCAGCGAGCTGCTCCTCTAGTCGATTGAGCCTGCTATAAAAACTTACGAGTTAGCGCGAATATCCTAAAGCAATGGTTAGTATCTTAGCTTCCGGTTCATATTTGCGATATGCCAACTAGTGTGATGTATAGCGATACGCATAATCCAGCAATGCAACGCCTTATCGACTTCAAGAATGACTAGCGCCTAGGAGGAAACACGAAAGTGTTTTCTTACTAATACCGCTTCGCAAGCGATCTTTAATAGGCTCTGTCTTTTGCATTCTGTTCTGGGCCCAGCGATATTGCAGCAGCAGCCATCCTACCTGCGCGGTCATCAGCACTTTAGATCGGCCCAACATACGGTCGTTATCTGGCAGTCGCCTCGACTTGTCGACGGGAGGTCTCTTATTTCATGTGTTTGTGTTCCATTTTTCTAATCGAAAAGCCGTAGGCGACTTTAAATAAGATGTAGCTTTGTAGGGCTGAAAAGGGAGGTATCTCAGTGGGACCGGCCAGCCCAGGATGGTAACTAAGTGTTTGGTTAAGAAGACACTAGTTGGCCATAAATATTACCTATGTTGCGTCGAGAGAATCATGCCTTGCAGTTATTCTAATTCCTACAGGCCGAAGTGAACTTTTTGCGCATTCATTCTGAGGTAATCGTGATTATGTGGCTCTTGAGACATTAACTATTTTCTGTCGGAGCCTGCCTACAGGGCCCAGGCCTCCTGTCGGGTTTCTCCAACGTCTTCTAGGCCCACCCACAGAGATAAATAGGCTGAGATATCTAGTTGCTAGATAGAGAATTCAAGCTCAGCGAGCTTCGCTCCAGATTTTCCTGGCTGTCCATCACAAACTGCCAGAAACGGAATATAGACAACCGACCCCCCGCCACCGATCAATGTTATTATTATACCATAGACGTGGGATCCCCACACTGCTACCATAGCTTCAGCTGAATCCTCAGCTCGCAATATAACAGTGAATTGACTACTTCCATATATGAATCCATAGGATCTTATATACCTTAGGTAGGCACGCGTACTCGTCCACTCGCTTAACATCATTACTATTTCGGTTTAGTTCCAATTCTAAAAAGCATTCATTCACAAACAGAGAAGAAAGAAGAAAGGAAACCTCAACGTCGTCTCTCTTGCAACTCATTCTTCTATCCTCACTTCGACTTCAGCAGGAACGAACCAAGGCTTTGCGGGGTTTGTTTTCAATCTGAGTGATTCAAGTCCGCCGCAGATCCGCACGGCGAGTGCAATCCATCATCTAGAATGGCTCCTGAACGCGGACTGTCATCTCTATCTACTGATGCTGAGGCTCCGGATAAATGGTCCACGACAGCTGCCTCCGCTAAGCAGAGGCTCGATAATTACGTTCCTCAAGAAGGTAGACCCGATGGCAAATTGGTCGTGGCTTTAAAGGCCTTCTTGGATTATCTTCCCAAAGGAGGGAGAGCATCGATTGCCCGAGATATCCTCGACAGCAAAGATGATCAGGAGCTTTATCAGGTCTTCTCTAATCTTCTCACCGGACTGCTTGCCCCCCAATCAGTGTTTAGGGAGACAGCTTTTTATATTTGAATATTAATTTTCCCATAGTGAAAACTCTCAGTCGTTCGTCCGAGGCAGATTCTCCTATTGAGAAGTGAAAGTCAAAACCCTTGGAGTGGCCTGTACTATCCTGGAGATCACACATAATCCGATGGATCTCTGGAATCGGCCAGCGATCGATAACTCTCTCTCGGGTACCCTCTCTCCCGATGTAGACAGTGTCATTCACCGACTCCAAATGTCGGAATCTGACACAATCGATAACTCAGAAAGTTCGAGCATGTGGCCTCGACACTTTCAGGAACGCAGAGCCGCGAGGATCAGTTCCGAACTGATGTATTTTGTCGGGATAGGCAACGCTGCGTTCAAACCAACTTCACGCATCGTTCGCACTGGGTCGAGATTGGATCGCTGGAAGATGATTCTTGGGCATACCTAGAAGGCGTCCATATCATTCCCTTTTCTATGGGGTCAGAAAACAGTAGTCATGTGATGCTTTTCGTTCTTCTGTCTTTAACTTGCAATTGCTAACTCGCGGGGGTAGTTGGAGCACGATAGAGCAATGATGTGGGAGGTTTTGTATAGGTATTTTCCAGCTGTCCGACACACAGGGATTGCTGTCGCGACAATCAACGATCCTTCGAATGGAATCACCCTTACAGACTTCGCTCATAAGGAGTTCGCCAAATGCCATTGCGCGCTTAAGAAGACGGTACGCACTGAAATGGACGCTTATCTAACCGCCAACGAAGCAAGACAGACTGAAAAGATCTCCCACGACGACTTTCAACGAGAAATCAAACCCTTCTTAAAGTCCTTCCGTTCGTCGTCATCAACCATTCATGTCCTAAAGGCACAACGCCCATTGATCATCGAAGATATCGATGAAGAAGTTTCAGCGAAACGTCGCAAAGTTTATTAATTGATATATGATACATCTAGGATGTTCCAAACAAGTACGGATTCAATGTCTATAACAGCTGCGCTCATCCTTACAGGCGACTGCTCCCATCTGGTCCAATCCAATTCGAACGAGCCGAAGATGCTACCGATGTGCCTTTCCCGCACCCGGATCTTCTCGACTGCCACTATAGGATAGCTGAGATCCTTAATGCATCTGGGATGGGGGAAGAGATCGATCGAAAGCTTGACGACTGGGATAAAATGAAGAGAAGCATGCCCGATGGATGCTTGAATGAGGATGGAAGCACGAATGTTGCAGATATCTTACGAACTGCCTTGTGGCAAAAAGTCATGGGGTAATAATAATGATGATAATACTACAATTGTTTATCAGAACTATTAGAACCTTCCTTTTATCATATGTAGACCGTATAGATCTATTGATAACTGAATCTTTCTGTCCTTTTTATAGCAGTTATATCTGCATTGTACGTCGGCCGCGGAATGGAGGATTGGATTTGATATCTGATGATCTGCTTTTACTGGTTACAAATCTGTAAGTATTATTCGAGCAGCTGTTCTCTCTGCATCAAGTCTTCCAGGTCGTGAACCTTCCGATACGACCCTAGACCAGTTCTCTTCGCCTGTTGACTACCGATTACGGTGGTGGTAATGCTCTGGATTTATCAGTAACGACGAAGCACAATAGCTATCTCATACATGCATTGCGCAAGGTCTCGCGTCGATAAGAGGGTGTCGGGCTTTGCGTATAGTATCCCTGTCATTGCCAGAATAAGCAAGTGATTGTCTAAAAATGTCGACATTCGTTATTACTGCAAGTGCTAACTAATAACTATAGAAGAAACGTCACATAAGTACCATGTGGTTTTTAGGCATGGAGACTCTTCGGCTTGCTTTTGTATCTTGTCTCGACCAGTCTTCAATCAATATTGCATCGCTCAGGGATTGCTCATGGGAGTAAAAGGAGCAATGATAGGAGGTACTCGCAAGTATATTTATCTAAAACAGCTATCTCGTGTGAGCTTTTGTTGACTGCAATGCTCTTGCTGCTACACTTGAGGTCACCTTGGCCTCGGGTCAAGCTTCCGGAAGCGGCACTGGATCACCCTCACAGCTGCACGGTCTTATTAGAGGTAAGTCAAGCTCTTTGCATACGGCCATCGTCTGAAAAAAAAAAATCCTTTGGGCATCCTGTGTGGAAGGGGCAGTCAAATTAGCTTACTTGCCAACTTGTTTGTTATGTGGCTCCGACTGTATCTCGCCTCACTACCACTCTATTACTGGGCCTTGGCAATACTGGCGCTTATATGCAACGCTTGAGGTTCACAGGCAGATTTCTTATTTTTTTCTTCTTCTTCTATAATGACTCTACTACGCCTATTAGATCCAAAGAGGCGATAATTTTCTTGAAGAACAAAATAGCTTGTCAATTTGAGTCTCTTGGTATTTCATCATAAGCGCAATAAGTAACAACCGAAGCTTATAGAGGTGCAGTTTAAGCTTATTATGATAAGTAGTCAAGGAATAAGAGCAGGAAAGGGAGAAGACAGTGGAAGAAGAGGTGAAGGCACTGTCTTAGACTAATGGTTGATAGATTGGATTGGGACGCAGATGGTAAAGAAGGTGGAGGGAGCACTGTATTTAGCCCTGCTGCCATATTGAGCAGTGCCAGATACTCCTCCTTTAATGGAAGGCCGGCGAGAGGAGATGGCCATTTATGGTCCAGCAATATATTGTAGAATATGTGAATTAGACAAAGAACCTGAGTAGTACTCAAAGCTATCATAAAATATGTGGCGGAGACACAACTGAGACCTCCTCTAATTATCTCCATCTTCAAAATCATCCATGGTCAACAACTTCCCATCCAACAGTTTCCCAATGTGTGTTTTATCAATTTCCTGCCCATCCTTTCTAATTTGTGACATGAGGACCTTCAAGAACTTAAGTGGACTTTTTGTGAAAATTGCTCTGTCAGGTGCGACTATGAACCCGTCCGCGGCCACGGTCAGACCCTCTGGTGCAGCGTAGTATGCGACTCCAAGAAACTCGCATATCTCACGATACTCGTCGAAAGAGGAGATATAGAGTTGACCCGCGAATAGATTTAGCTGGATTCTGAGAGCGGTTGGAATGTCAAAAACAACAGAATCCGCCCGCGGTATGGGATAGAGGCCGAGGTTGTCGAGGGCTGAGAAGATTCGGTTCTGGCGCGGCGCGTATATGTGCATCGTGACCTTCTTGGACTTCAGGATCGCGGAGAGGAGTTCGTTCGCTTCATAAGGGCTTATGACTATCATGTGCTTCACGATTTTTCTGTTCCGTCCGGCGAAAGAATGGGCGGTACCCGTGATGACCCATTGGACGGGGCGTTGGTAGCCGTCCATGGTCGATGACGGCAACTTGGGCACCTTAACGGTTCTAGCGAAATCACTGGTGACAAGGAGGCCGGGGGGGAACTCAGACACATTCAAGTGCTTTGCCGCCGATGTATTATCTAGCCCCTGGAAGGCGGGCATGACTGCGTTTGATCCATCCTTTAGTATTCCAGTTGTCACAAAACGACGCAAGTCTGGGTGAACAGAATGATCCTCAGGTGTGGCTGAAGGTGGCCGTTGGACTTGTCGCTCCTGCTCGACTTCCGGCGCGAGTTGTCTTTCCTGTTCTTCTTGGAGTTGTGTAGATTTGAAGTTTATGTTCTCAAACTCGCGACACCTCTCCAAGATAAGGCGGATGTTGTCGTTGTCGTCGTTATCGGATGTGATAAAAGGCGGTGCGTTGTTGTCAGGACAGGGCCGATATCGCTGCTCGAGAGATTGAGATTCCTGCTCGAGGAATTCCTCCGCTTGGTTTTTGGACATCTGAATCTCACCACCACGGCGAGCCTTGCTCCAGAGATTGTTTTGGCGCTCAAAACGTTCTCCCTGAATCGCCCACAACGGTATACTACGTTGCATGTCGGCCCACGTCTCCGAGACCGCCCAGCGGAGCACTTCCGATACGTCGATGTCATACCCACTGGGCTTCCCAATGATGGAGAGGATCTTTGACCTTATCTCCTCAGGGACGCAGAAGACAACAGACTGCCCTTTTCCCAATTTCCTCATTCTCATGCATGCTGTACAAGTAATCAGTAAGCGATCTTTGGCTGATGCTAACCTTGGTGATCTTACCTTGCACCAGCTTATCTTTTGTTATACCAGCTCCAAGCGTTACAGCAGCTCTGTAGTGCTGAGGCAGTTTCAAGTCAATACCTCTTGTATGGGCCTCGTCTAGGAAGACAAGGCACGCCCCCAGCTGCTTTGCAAATGGTGAGATTTGTAGTGGTTCGACAAGCCCGGTCCGGTCAACAACACAGATCTCGTCGCCGTCACTGACATAAACGACGGCTTGCGCCCGTCCCTCGTCAGGGACCATTCTCAACCAGGTCTTAGCAACTTCCAGGTTGGTCAGTTCCAGAATCTGGGCGCCCACGTCAAGAACAACCTGCGTGGGTGGATCCAAACTCACAACCAGGTCGAGCAGGGCCTCCGCGTCTGATTTGGCCAGTCTTGAATTGCGCACTGGGATATGGACAATTGAGTTCTCCGGCCGGAGGAGGTATTCGAGCACCAGAGCATTGGTGTGAATCTGCTCGGGGAGGTCGAGTTGTGTTACACTTAAGGGAAGCGTGACCCGGGAATCGTTCGTTCCACTGAAGCCTGCAGTTGGATGTCTTTTGATCTCGCCAATATCCCAGCCCGACGCGGATAGCTTGTTTGGGAACTCTTTCATCTCCTTGGGAAAAACAAGATGAGAGAGGAAATAGTCAATGGCTCCCTTGGAAAACTGCAGGTTCGGGAAAACATGTTCGATACAGTGATGTCGGTCTTGGAGATTTATCCCGCCCAACTGGCGGTATGCGTACGACAGATCTGGTGCATCATCTATCCATGCTTGGTACTCTGTGTCGGCCTGGTCGGATTTGAGTAAATGGTGAAAGGCTGCAACTAGGTCGTCATCGCTGAGACCAGCGTAGTAGTAGCTGAGGCATGTCAATACGACAACAACATCAGGATGGCTGAATTCAGACTGTGGCGCTGGGTTGTCCTTAGCGCGGTATGGAACAGAAAGTCTTGTCGGAGGGTTTCTGGAGTTATCAGGCCCATAGTTAACCCTCCATCGTTTCTGGCTGAGGCAGTAATCTAGAACGCCACAAGCAAGGAGGCCCCTTAACAGAAGAAGGGGATCCTTGGTGCTGGCGGTCCAAAAACTAGTCGCGCTGTCATCTTCAACCGCAGCAATCTCCTGGGCTGATAGATCGAGATTGAGAAAGTAGGAGAGAATGGCCCTTCTCGTGGCCTCTGGCTGCCTGGATATAGGCAACGAGTCAATGCCGTTGTTGCATATGTGGTCGGCAACCAGTTTGAAAAGTTCAAGCGCCGCCTTTTTGTGGAGTAGTCGTATTCGAGGGAAGCTCCCCGGTCGTTGCTCATAAATCTCAATTGATTGAGGGAATTTGGATTTGAGAGCTGGGGCATACCTTCGCACTAAACCAAGTAGCTGTTGGATCAGGGTCCATCTTTGCGGACTGAGCTCTAAGGCGCGTTGAGAACCCATGGTATAGATCAACTCAAACTTGACACTGAAGTTTTCATCACTTTCATCGACCACATCGCGCGAGGATGTCCGAAAGAGTTCAAGAGTTCTCAGCAGACAGCGGCCAACTGCTTCTCTCCCGGTGACAAAGCACTCGAGGCACATGAGCTTCAATGACAGGATGTGTTCAGGCTGGACCAGCAAAACACCCCCATCTTCCATGCATTCCAAACACATGTGCTCCATTTCTGATGCTTCTCTCTCACTTATTCTGAGCGAGCGTGATACAGGCAGGTGGTATACCCGGCGTCCCAGCAGTCCACCAAGCTTGGAAACTAGCATTTGAAGCATCTGGCGAGATTGTGGCTTTGCTACAAGCACACGGACCAGACACGACCCATCCGCAAGCGCGGCTGCTACGATAGGAACAATGACCGATGACTTGCCCTCGCCCATGTTGAGTTGCATCACGGCGTTTTGCCTTGGCTGGATGTTCCGCATCTGCCGGGCAATTTGCTCCTGGACGTCCCTGATCAGGAGTCCATTCTCAATCTCTAGCAATAGCGACTCCGGGAATTCGTATGGATCCCAGTTAGAGTGACCAGGGTTCTGGATCTCCCGGACCAGTTCTTCTCGATGGTCGACCAAGCTAACCAGCCGCTTTGCTCGCTGAAGGGCCGTGATAGAAAGCCCATAGGTGACAAAGCAGGCTTTCCATCCCATGGGCAGTTGACTCCACCTCTTTCGCGTTAGTTGTTGGAGGAAGAGTTCTGGTGAAAATCTCGGAGCCATGTTGATATTTGTTAATATCTTCAAAGTGGCATGATGAACCAGGCTTTCTTGGTCCGGACTAGAAAGCGTCATTCTCGCAAGTATAGCGTCATATATCTCCCTGGAGTGCGTCTCACAGCGCAGAAGATAGTCGCAGGTGACATTTTCCAGCTCGTATCTATGCAAGGTAATCTGATCCGCATGCCTTTGTTCCTGCAGTGACTTGGTGCTGTCCCGGAGCTTTTCGACATACTGGCTTTCATAATCGGAACTTGCTTGCAATCCCAACGCCATGACCAGTGGTAGAACACGTAGGGCGGGCTCCGCGGATGTGGGACTAGCATACAATAGGTCCCCTAGGCCTGGCGACTCTGTCGCTAGCACTGGTGGTGCGCCAAGAGACTGATCGAGCACGTTGTCAATTGAAATAAATCTGCGTTTTCGCAGGGAAGGTTGAGCTGGAGTAGAAAACGGCGGCGAGGGCACGGCCACAATTTGTAGAGGTTGACCAGATAACACAGAAGCGACCCTCGTCAGATACCCTCGGAGTTCTCCATTATCATACCATTCCGAGAAGCTTTGGCGTACGATGGCCATGGCTTTCTGTGAATTGTAATAATCCTCGAATCTGGGACTTCCTTGACTATTGGGAGCTGAGGGCGTTGACGTTGGCCATTGGGTGCACAAGCCCGCGATAAAATTGTTGAGCGCCTGTTCCCTATTTCTAAGTTCCTTACATTTTATGCGCGACTTGAATGCGCGATACGTCTCCCCAGGGTTGGGAAGCTCTGATGACTCTGGCGTCTGATCGCGCATGACTGACTGTATCTGGGACTTGAGCACATTTTTGTTCAGTTCATACCCTTTGGTTAGCTGAAACGAGGGCCTGGATGGCGGCCTATAGGCGGCCATGGTCGGTATAACATAGAAGGCGGCAAACGTTTCCAAAACAGCCATTGGAATTTTATCGGAAAACGCCAATGCCGAGAGCCAGATCATCACCTGGTGTTTATTTGGTCGAGTAGTTCCAGAGCCAAGTAACTGATGAATGCCGCACCAATGAGCCGAGACAAAGTCGACTGGATCTAACAACCAGGTTGCGTCATATTTGACCTTCGCCTTCTCGACCACCATGGCGGGACCATGAACCGCTTCTGGCAGACAGAGAAAGCACCAGATATCCGAGAGCAGGTCCTGATCGGTTATTGTTCGAGCTGAATGCAGAGTCCCCTCGTGGATGGTTTTGCACAAGGTAAACACACGGGAGAATCCTTCTGATTGGTGGTTTCGACCACGTTCTGTATATGGATCATCAAAGGTGGATGTATGGCCCTCGGCTCCGAAGCCAGACGTACGGAATGACGATGATCTAATCCGATCACGCTGCAGGAGAATCTTATCGGAAACCGGCAGAATGGGTTGATTCCACTGGGAGTGCGGGTGGAACATCCTCATCCGGCTGTCCTGGTCGATTATTGCCTGGACCTGCTCACGAAAGTCATCATGGTGCACCAAACAGCCCAGGTTCTGCCACTTAACGCTTTGCATCACGCGTTCATTGGCCGGATAGTACTTTCTCACAGGGGTCAGGCGTGCAAGCTCAACCAGAATCGAAATGTTTTCCGGCGTCAGTTGGTTGAAAGACCGCATCGATGCTGATCGAAGGATAGACAGAGACTGTTCAGTACCCGTCTTCTTGGTCAATACATCGGGAACGCAGAAGGATGTGACAGCATGTAAGTAGCATAGCATGAGCTTGCTTTGCAAACTCCCGTTGTCAACCAAGCGACCAAGTTGGTTATCCACCGAATAAACATGGAGTTTAGAGACAGCCTGCCAGCCAATGTTCACACCAACATGTCCTCCATCCTTTACCCATGTTACAGCGCCATCTGGGATGAGAACCTTTCGGCTGTGGTCGTTCTCATGGAGAAGGATGAGTTTACTGCGCAAGCCGACCAGAGTACCCAGTGACTGATCCGGATCAATCTTCATGCCCCGATATTGGCGAGATCGAATCGATGAATGCCCTGACTGGAGACTGAAGCTCAACCTGAGGCGGGGGATGTCGATTTCTAACGCGGACGATGAGGTGTGGAACTTGTAATACAGTCTCGAGGCTCTTTCGATGGGTTGTAAGATGCTAAAAAGCGACCCAGCCGTCTGGCTCTTGATGTTAACCAAATAAATCTCGCCTTTCACAAGGCACCAGCCGTTTTGTCCGGGGTGTTTTCGTTGCAAGCGCCAGTGGGCGCTTGACGCCTGCCAGGGGTCTTTCACTGGGCAAAACTCCACGTACCCGCCGTCAAGATCATACCAGTGCGCATAATCCTCAACAAAGGCATCTGGAAAGGCACCAGTGAGAAGTCTGGCCGGTACAAATTCTCGGACCCGGTGTTCCTTGCTAAATGCCCGAACGCAGATGTCAAAATTCTGCGAGCCAGTCATGGATTTCTTTCCCAGATGTATGGTTTGGCCCATATGCTTTCTCTGGACGGAGAACTGCATTCCCGGGAGCTCACTGGGCATTACATCAACAGGAGACTGTCCAAATAAAGTTCTGTATGTCTTGTGGCTCTCGTATTCTGAGGGCAGACGAGCCAACGGTCGGCCGTTGATGAGCAGTTCAGCTGTCAGCAGATTGAAATGGACAAGCAGGCTGCGATCACCGGTTACTAGCCAGTGATTACCGCCTCCAGGAGCAACTGACCAAGGGGAATCTGAATGGTACGCGGCCCAAGCCTCCTTGATAGCAAGGTCAATCGCCAGTTTCTTTTTATGGACCACGTTGAATGCCAGGACACGGTAGGAGCGATAAGAGACGATTTGCCAACGGTAGTATAGAATTTGAAGCAAGCAACCGGGTGTCATGTCGAGAAGGCCTTTTCTGTCGTGGATCATCATACAACATTGAATCCAAACTGAGGCGTTCCGCTCAATCTCTAGGACTTTCTCCAAAACAGGACTTTCGATGTCAAAGGTGCTGGCACAGATCAATGCTAGAGAAGTGCTCCGTGCAATCAGATCATTTCGATGCGCGTCGGTGTCCGAATAACTGGCTTGCTCCCTGACAAGTGTGGCCCACTTGAAGCTGGTAGTACGGAGAGTTGAGAGCTGCGCCAGGCATAGATCTCGAACCCGGGTAGAAGTCGAAACGGACAGAACCCTCTGTGTGAGAAAGATCAGTGCGCTGAGCTCCTGCGCTGACTCCCAGTTCTCTTCGATTCTACCTGCCGCGTTGGCGATTTCGGCCAGCAGTACAGTTGCGAACAGATCATCGTCTAAGATAACGTGCCCTGCTCGCAGAACCGAGTCCTTGGTTGGCGGCCCAGCTTGGCGGATGATCTGCAGTATGAAGATGCAAGTCTCGACTTTTTTGAATACCACAGACGGCATGGCCAACTGCCGTAAGATATTTTGCCACTGAATCTCCACACCAAGTGGCATTGAACAAAGAGCCTTATACTCCTCTAGTGACATGTCATGCGGGCAAATGTCCTGTGACGCAATGACAGTGTTAGGTGAGGGTCCGTTTCTGCTATAAGCTGGTCGAAATAGGAACTTTTGCAGGGTTGAGCTGGATCGGGGCACTTTGTAAGTGCACGAGGATGCAGTTTCATCCGTGGTCTTGAAGCGAGTGACAAAGCAATTGGTCTCCTGATCGAAGTAACAGAAATTCAACCCGTTCTCTAGGCAAACATCTTTCTCGGTCACATCAATAATGCTCTTGCTCCGTCTATGTGTGGTTTCGTGAGGCTTATCCTGCGAGAGAAGGCCAACTCTCTGGGAATTATTAGTAGGCGTGAAAAAAGGTGAGAGGCCACTGTATGTTTGCAGTTGGTTCCTGGCTCTCGGTTGCTCCTTGGGAAAATAAGCGAGTCGCAAAACGGTGAGCAAGAAGAATATTGTGGTGTCACGCCAGGATGCAAAAGGCCGAGGGACATTCAGCTCAAACACCGTGGTTTTTGCATGCAAAGGATTTGTAGGTAAGGGCCATTCATGGATATTTATTTTGATCGATTCTGCTTCAGTCTTGTACGCACATCGTTGACAGTTAGGGCAGTGGCGCGATTCTGTAAGATCAAAGCGCGGGTCAGGGATGACTTTATAATACGTGCATTCCAGCTGATCGGCGAGTGCGTACAGTTCCCTGTATCTTTGATGTTTTTTGCCCAGCTCAAGTCGTTTCTGCGTCCTCTCAGACCTGGCAAGGTCTTCAATTTCGGCAAGTAGATTCTGGTGCTCAATGGACCGATCAAAAAATCTGACGGAGAAGCAGGACCGAGTGCCAAAGTCTTGAAAAATGAAAGACTCAGGAAAGCGAAGACGCTGTCGACGTTGATTCATATAGTCCTCTGCACGAGCCAGTCTCTCCATCTGCGATCGGTAGGGCAAAACAAGCGACTCAAACATGTCCATCGGGATGCAGTTGTCATAATCACCAAGTAGTGGGTGAATATTAAATGCCGATTTGTCGCAAGCGATCCACAATTCGAGGATAGTAAGGAGCATAACTGATATGGCTTCTGGGTTACGGGAGTAAAGTGGGGATGCAACACTATAATAATGCTTAATCAGATTGCCCAACTGCTGGCAAGTGTCTTCGCCGCTGAGGTGTACCTCGAGCCAAGTGTCAAGATTGAACCGAACCCAATCTTCAAAGGCTGCAAGATTCAGGAGCTTGTAGTCAGGGTCGCTGGTCTTCAAACACAATGGAAGCTCTGTTTTTTCAAATTCCAAGAGTCCCGTACGTGGTTGGAAATCAGCCGAGCTTGAGCAGTGTTCTCGTTTATCGAGAGCTTCAAGCCACTTATCAAGGTCAGGCAGTGAACAGTAAATATCCTTGCCAAAGTTCAATTTCGCCAGACGATCCTTGTCATGTCGAGGACCGCTCTGGGCCATGATGCCGCGCCAGCTTTTCAAGATAGAAGCGTTCACTTCTTGAAGGGCATTCTTAACGAACGGAAACCATGCAGGAAGGTGTGACAAGTCAAGCTTATGTAGCCGACGGGCAATTTTGGCATTCATAAGATAAAGCTGTTCATCGGACATGGTCTTCTTGAGGCAGTCGTTTAGAACCGAACTCATGTAGTACACCATGTAGTGCTTGTAAATATCATCAGATATCCCATCGCGACGACAGAGCCTTCGAAGAATCACCTGAAGGGCCACACGGACAAGGAGCCACAAAGGGGATCGTCGCCAGGGAAATCGGCTATCGAGCCACAGCACCTCTTCACGGGTATTCTTATGGATTTGCAGACCGTCGAACATGGCGGCGCAGGGACGCAAGAAGGCCGCTAAGAATTCTGTCACCATCTTCGGATCGGTTGTATCCCTATCTTCATCGTGTTTTTGGCGAGCTTTCTTCACCTTCGGCTTGGTTCCAGCGACGGACTGATGGCTCATTGTTGCGAGTGTCTGTGCGATGGTATTCTGCAGACCCGGAGCATTGAATGTGGCCCGGTCCAACATAAAAGACGGCCCAGGAAACTGACGCTGGAGGCGACCCACTGTCGAATTGACAGCTTCGTTTTGAGGAGACAGCTCGAATGCCTCCACATGTATTGCGTTGTCGTTCCTCGTCATTAGGACAGCGGCGTTCTGACAGCGAACATGAACGGGCAATACGCCTCCTAAAACTGGTTATTCACCTGAAAATTATAGCACGGATCCGAAATTTTACCTTCAGTATCTAGCTTTTGCAAAGCCTCCTTGAGTTTTCCTTCGCTCACGTCACCATGGGATCCGCGAATTTCTCTCAGGCGAGCGACCATTGTGATGACTGGGCCCAGCACCTGGCGATGCTGGTTGGGCACGAGGGCCCTGAACTTTTGTAGGGAATTTATCACAGAGTCAAGAAGGATGAGCTCGCAGCTGGCGTCGTAGTCATCACTCTGAGGGAGCTTTGGAGGGAGGAAAACATGGTGGAACAAATACAACCTCGCCTCCAGGGATAGGGCTGGAGCCGTAGGCGTAGCAGACATATTGCAATGGTGATACTTGGACTAGCGATGCGTGAAATGAGGATGTTCGAAGTGAAGCAAGAGAAACAGCATTGCTTAAGCTGGCAATGCGTCGGTGAGGATCTCTGGGTTGAAGGAAGTCAAGATGAATGTCAAGAGGCGAAGTGCTAAGGTTGAAGATATAGACACTGCTGAAACCTGAAAGAAGGCAATGTCTGCAGCAGCGTAGCTCAATCATTCACCCTAGCATTCACTCAAACCTCCTCTCCAACCAACCCCAGGGTCTTCACAGACCCACGTCATCTGATTGAGTGAATTGGAGGGTACAGTGATAAGAAGCGTACCGCCAACCAGAGCCTTATAAGCCTTTCAAGGTTGCCTTGATGCTGCATTGCAGCCGCGGTAGCAATGCTGGTAGTGGCAGGTGAGGCAGTTAATCTTACTTGGCACTTGCGCCGCAAACGCCGTAGGCACAGATTACAAGACAGATACCAAGTAGGCTTGTTGTAATCAACAGGCATAGACGATGCTGCGCAGCAACTTCCTTTCATCCCGCAGAGCTAGATGAATCCAGCACATCCCAGTCGCTTGCTGGAGGAAAGCTGTCGGCGTACAAAGCAAACGCCAGGTGATCTGTCAATCATCCGCTTGTAAGCAACCGTTTGTATAGGATGGAGCCTACTAGATTACTAGATTACTAGGATCTAGATTCTTTGTATGCCAGAAGTAAACATGGGTTTAACCCCACCCCTCCCCCTAGAACTAGAAGCAAGCAAGCAAGCAGCAAGCTACCAATTCAAGGTGTTCAGGTCTGCCCATGCTTCCGTGCCGCCATCCAATATTCGACAGAAGCTCGCTTGCGGAAACAGGAACTTGAAGGACTGGACGAATGTCAGAGTGTACACTTGTATACTATGATTCATTTATAGTCAATCATAGCTCTTCTTACTAAGTAATAGCTGCACCCACCTGAGCAGATAGCAGATTTAAAGCGCGTAACCGCACTTTACATCTCAGACGCGGTGCATTAGAATCACCCGACATTTGTGGCCAAATACAGGAATTCCGGTTCAAAAGATCGAAATAGGCCCGCATAGCCTCAGAGAATCTCACATTCTGGGATTGATAGGGTCATTTAATGCAATAAGTGCCCGACGATGGAATAAATAAATGAATTATTGCTCGTTTTTGACCTCCTTTGCACGTGATGCCAAGACCATTACTTAGTAAGCTTTTTGAGTTGGTTAAATGACCTGACTACTTAAATATGTATGAGTAAATATCGTGCTAAGCCTCTAAAACCCATAAGTAAATGTAGTTAGATCTTGAAGTTGGAGTAGAGTTAAAATGGAAAACTTTACTTTTACCATCCGGCACCGCAGTTGGTTTGTCCTCTATTTCTTCCACCCGTTCTTCCCGCCGATATCCTCACTAAGCACGCATGTAGGAGGGATAATCTACCCCATCATATTCTCGAGTCTTCGGCCCAAGCTCGGCTTCCCGTGGGCAACTCGAGTTCTCGGCTTCGTGACGCTGGGTGAATTAATTATAGCGATGGCAGTAAGTTACCCAACACCAAGAGCAAGGCTCCCATAATGTCCGCTCCGGTGGGATCCAGAAGGCATTCCGCGACCCAAGCGTGGCTCTATCTATGCCTCATGTGGATCGCCTACTGGGTCCCTTTCTTTCTACTCCCCACCTTTGCCCAGTTCAAAGCCGGCGCAAGCTCAAATCTATCTAGCCTTGCTGCCTTCTATGTCCTAGTGATCTATAATGCATCAACCATTCCTGGTCGGTACCTGGCGGTGTCACTCTCAAACTGATTGGTGTCAAATAAGTGGCTGCCACCATCATCTGGGTGGTGCTTATTGCTTCGTTCATGGGGCCACTGGCAGTTCTATATCTGACTATTGTGCCTTGTCTTTCTCTAGAAAATGACCTCGTTGGTACATACAAGGATTGGTATATCATCAGCTGCGGCGGCGCTGGGAACTTTGGTCGGCTTTCCAGTTACATCTGCCTTGAATGACATTGTGTAGAAGAGCCAGTGTTTGAATGGTTGTTGCATGTTGGATGGGGCTGTTCTGATGATAGATATACGTCTATTATAAGATGCCCAGTTACTTGTATTCGGGAATCCAATACGGGGCGAGAAAATATAGATTTGTTGGATATGGATGCAATCTGACTGGACATTTCTCGTGCCAGATCTTCGTGTGTCTTGCCGACTTGTCAATATCACACCGTTAGTCAATGTTCCAACCTTTGAAAGTTATGCTAGGTTTATCAGTGCCACTTCCAATTTATCGAGATAATGAGACCCTCTGATGACGTTTTTCAGATCCGTTCATTTACTATTCTTGGTAAATACAGCAGTCTTTTGTTGGATAGCTTAATACCTCTAGAAGGTTCGTCCTATGCATCATAAACTAGTTGCTTCCGTAAAGCTACGGTACATGATTCTCGGCCGAGTAGCTAGATCCGGATAAGCAAGCTTTTCACCGCTCCCAATCGCAAGACGCTTATTATTCCAGGTACTTCAGAAGGCAAGGTTATGGTAAATAATGTTTCAAAAAGTGATATCATACTACTAGACGGATAGTCGGCAGAGGATCGTCCCCACCGCGGACGCCACATAATGGACCCTAAAGGTCCGACAATTCTGGGAATGCTAACAATATCATCCCCACGCAAAGCGTTGCCTTACCGAGCTCCACCCATAGGTAGAGATAAGCAGCCTGAGCTTGTAAGGGAATCCAAGCACTCGGTAACTTCAGCCTGTCGGGACCCGGCACTTGTTATGGCTTCCTGAACCAGTACCTACATAACATAGCCTCATACGCGATGGACAAGCAGCTTATCAGAAAATAGGGATTTTGACGATCTCCGTTTAAAGTTATCGTCAAGGCCCACTTAGGGTCGGCTATGAGCCATAATGCCGTCGTCTATACTACATCTGTCCCCTCGACATACCGTATTTGGTATTAGCACACAGTGTTTTGCAGAGAGTGGGCCTCAGTGCTCGATAAACTAGGACACCTGGGCTCATGAGATCTCCCACGATTCACTTCCGGGAGAGTCATGCCATCTTACGAGCATTGGATCCGTCTAATAAAAATGAAAGGGCAATATCGTAGTGGAAACATAAAAAGGACATGCTCTTGCTCTGCTTCCGACGAAAACCTGATCCCTCGGCGGTATTAATGAAGATATTCTACCTCCTGTCGTTTCGTTGATGAATTATAGAAGAGTCATTTGAGACAAATCCAAGAAGTATTTGGCTAGTTGCCAGCCACATCTCTCTGGGTAATTATACAACGTATCAAAAAGTCTACATAATTACGCAGGAGATTTGACCCAGCTTTTGGGCTTGCCTCACGTCCCAAGCACTTATGTCCAGGATGCTTTCTCTTATCCATCTTGTGTTGTTTTATATCCTGGCGACTCTGTCGGGGGTCCATTCCCTACGGCAAGTGGTCCACGATGAGAGTTTCCAGCCAGATTTCATACTGCGAGTTAGCTCGAAGGAGGCCCCAATCGCTTGCAGAACCAGACTCACAGCAGTCGTAAACGGTACATTGATATTCTATTCCTCTTTATGCGATATTGGTGACGTGAAATACTGATGAGCTCTTCTCGGCGCTGAAAAGGTACAACGCCAGGGCCGGCGATATACATGCAAGAGAACCGCACAACATGGGTCAGAGTGTATAATGATTTCGAATCATCAAATCTGACGATGGTATAGTTGGCCTGTGCCTGGTATACAAGAAGACATTAGTTGATTTTATTTCATTCAGCATTGGCACGGTCTGGCTCAGTCAGTTTCTCCCTTTTCAGATGGGACTCCGCAGGCGAGTCAGTGGCCAATCAAGGTAAGTCACCTTTGAATACTGAAGTAGATGAACTCGACAGAAGGAAGGGGATACTGATTATCATCGAATAGGCCGGGCACTTCTTCGACTATGAAATTAGGCCTCAGATAGGAGAAGCTGGAACGTATTTCTATCATTCCCACGTCGACTTCCAAGCAGTGTCAGTGGCTGGGCCGCTCATTGTCGAGGAGCAATCCCAAGAACCACCCTACGCCTACGACGGGGAAAAGACGCTATTCCTTACAGAGTTCTTTAACAAAACCGATAAGATGATCTTGGACGGTTTGACTAAGCCAGCGGCACAATACATCTCGTGAGTACAATCCGACATTTCAGCTATAAATCGACTACAGTTAAATTCCAGATGCTAATCTTTCTGCTTCTTAATCAGATCAGGCGATGCCGAAACAATATTAGTTAACGGGAACAGCTACCTCAGCTTGGATGCCAATCAGAGTCAGACAAAGAAGCCCTGGAGCACGCCAGATCTCTCAATCCAATCAATCTGCGGTCCTGAGGTCATAGAGGTCGAGCCTGACAAGATATACCGCATCCGGTCAGTCGGTGCAATGGCTCAGAGCCTAGTATCCTTTGCATTTGAGGATCATCAAAATCTCTCAGTTATTGCTGCAGATGCGCGTTATACAAAGCCAGTCGATACAGACCATATACAAGTCGGAAGCGGACAGCGATTTGACTTCCTCCTGCGTACAAAGTCTGAAAGTGAGCTTCAACGTCTTGGGAAGTCTATGTTCTGGGTACAATTTGAGACACGCTTCCGCCCCATAAACACCACTTCTTACGCCGTGCTCTCTTATAAGACCAATCTCACATTGAACCACACAATACCATCCTCTCCTCCGGCACAAACTCCTCTGACTCTCAGTAATGACGTCCAGAGCTGGCTCGAATATACGCTTGAGCCTCTACAGCCCAATGACTTCCCGACGGCAGATCAAGTCACTAGGCAGGTTATCCTAGTCTCGGAGTCTTTAGTGGCACGAAGTGGCCAGTTTCAGACTATAAACAACCACACCTGGACCGAGCACGATGAGCATCTGGGTGGAACGCCAGTGAATGACACGAGTCCATCCGTTGGCGTCCCTTATCTGGTTAATATTTACAGAAAAGGGCAAAAGGCCATTCCAGACTACGAGACCGCGGTCCAACGTTTCGGCGGCTGGGATCCTCGTCTAAATGTATACCCAGCAGAGGTTGGCGAGATCATCGATATCATCCTGGTCCTCAAACCGAACCCCTCTACTGGCGATATCGACCCTCATCCATGGCATATCCACGGTGGTCACGCGTACGATCTGGGTAGTGGTCCGGGTACTTACAATGCCACGGCGAATGAAGAGCGGGTGAAGGGATATAACCCTGTCCTGCGTGACACAACTTGGCTTTATAAATATACGACTGCCGATAATATCTACGGGCCTCAGAAATATGTTAGTCAAGGTTGGAGAGCATGGCGTCTCAGAGTCAACGATCCTGGGTAAGCACAGCACTTCATGTATAAAGTTCTGAAATTATTAATGGACACCCAATACTGACATTTTACCTTCTGTTCCGCAGAGTATGGATGATCCACTGCCATATACTGGAGCATATGATCAATGGTATGCAGTCCGTCTGGGTCATGGGCAACGCGACGGAAATCACGCGCGGGACGACTCCCGATCTCGTGAGTGGGTATCTCACCTACGGAGGAAATGCCTACGGGAACGAAACGTACGATCCTCTGGTAAATCATTATTTTGACTAGGTAGAAGAGGATTCTTGTACGGGTAAATATAACAGATTGTAGCTCGGGCTAATCGCGTGTTTCTGGTTTTGATTGATGAGGTTCTATAATAATGTGGATATGGGTGGTAATGTCAAGGTGAGAGAACTCTTGGTTGGCCTGCGCGAGGGGTATTTTCGACATTTACAACATTCTTTACAGGGCCTCTGCTCCATTGTATTCCTAGATTAGTTTCGAAGTATTTAGACCTTTTCTATTCTTGTACTAAGTGATATTCTTGGCACTGTCAGAAGACAGACACCTACATAAGAAAAGATTTACTTTCCTAGTACAGGGTATATCTCAGCGCACAAAGTGAACGCCAAGTGATCTGTCAATCATCCGTTTGCGGCAGGTTCTTTTGATCCTGATTATATGATAGAATCTATTAGATTACTTGATTATAGATCCTTTATAGGCTAAAGATAAATATGGGATCAAATTCCCCCTAGACCTAGAAGCAAGCAAGCAATTTAAGGTGTTCAAGTCAGACCTTGATTCCGTGCCATTCGATATTCGACAGTATATATATTTAAAGTAATGATGAGATCCCCGCGATGGTTCAGTCTTGTCCGTGTAAGATACGAATACTGACAAACCCACATCTCTAACTGAAAAGAACATGTATGGCATCTCATCTCTGGCATCGACTCCTGACGTTACTCCGACTAAATAGATAAATCTACTTGTACCGATATTGCGCGGCAACATGTCACTTTGTCATCAAAGGTTAATTTGGTTGTTCTAGACCGAATCTATCAGGAACCTCAACTGGCTGTTTCCAAGGTCGGCTGCCAAGCAATTGCAGATAGAGCTTATGAGGATTTCTCATCAACATCTCTGCGCGCATTTCTTTTATAGATGTCATGGAGACCACGATCTGAAGTGGGCCCGGGAATGGCTACCGCGTATCAGATATGCGGAAATGTTGCGTTTAAAGTTATCTGTCTGTTGGAGTAAACATCCGAACGTGAGGTCAATTGCCTCCGTCATCATACCTTTGCCTGACGAAGTTACGAGGATTTTCTGAGGTCTCGTGAAATTTTCTCGATATGCTTTTCCGTGATGGCCATCACAAGAACCGTGACAACACGTCCAAGCATGCAAGACGCTGTACGACTACCTGAACGAATATTTGATCCAGGCCTGGATACTCTATTCCCTCTGTCTTCCATAATCACATGTTTACCTCTGTAAGCACTGAACTGTCCCACTTTTAATGGCGTCGAAATAACAAAGTCCAGCGCAAAGGGCGCCGCAACCTACCACAACCATCGAAAGAAAACCTGATCTCGTCCGGTCATCTAGCAAATGTACATCGTCTAACAGATAACGTGGTCCGAAAGGTTCCGTGCGACCGCTCTTCCTCCAGCAGTGTGAGGGCGATCCAGACGGAGGCGTGGATTTATCAGCATCTAGGCAGACACAAGCACATCGCCCGATGCCTCGAGGCTGCCGATGACCATGTCGACCTTAAGTTCGAGCGAAACGGAGACCTTGAAATCTATCTATCAATGCATCGCGTTTCCAACGAATTTCGATGTAGGGCCGCCGAGCAGGTGGTTGAAGCGGTACACTACATTCATGAAGAAGGGGTCGTGCATTCCGACCTTTCAGCTCGACAGTTTCTCCTAGATGAGAAGATGAATGTCCATTTGTCCGATTTCTGCGGATCGTCTCTGAATGGCTCCAAGGCTTTGGTTATTGAGAACCCATCGCATTATCTTCCTCGAGGACAAATGCTTCCTAGCACTAAGAAGTCTGATATATTTGCCTTGGGCTCTACTCTTTACGAAATAATGACGAACCAGACGCCATACCAAGGCAAATCAGATACGGAAGTGCAGCATCTCTACAAAAGAAAGGTCTACCCAAGTCTAGATGAAGTACAAGATGAGAACTGGAGGCGGATTATCCTTGGTTGCTGGAATAGTCACTACCAATCTGCCAGAGAAATTTTGCATGATATTCCTTTCAAGAGGAAGAAGTGGTACCAGTGTTGCGCTTGAAGGTCATTAGGCAATAATACAATATCTTTTTTATTTTTTATTTTTTTCGCATTCTTAATCCAAACAACTAGGGGGGGGAGGGGGCGCCTTAAAATGATGCTGTTTCGGCTTTATACCAACCATTTTACCTCCACAGAATCACAAGTTCCTTGGAAGCGAGAAGCGCGTTGTGATTTGAAAGCAGTTGCACTTCACTCCATAACATGGTGCTGCAACTAAGCACAACAGATGTAGACTAGTCTCTTGTTTGAGATAAGACATTCTTCCAATTACAGTATGTACATCGAGTATTTTCTCCCGCCTATTTATGTTGCTGACATGCATATATTTCAAATTAATACGCCAGCAGCACCATGCACTCTAGAACGTTGCCAATGAATAAGAAATTGGCCTAACTTACTAGCTAGCCTATGCTATCCCTAAGTCACGTGACTAGTAGCAGGGCGCAGCCGAAGGGAGTGTCTAACAGATAACGTCTAGTAACCCCTTAAAACACACAGGGGCATTAGTTGATAGATGTCTAGCACTTTCCCACGAAACTTAGAACACATGCTCAAGCGCCTAGTTACACAGACTCAACTCGGGCTATGTCAGTTGAACGACATCTTTTGCATGGCAAAATCACTTATTCCCAGGCCAAGGACGAAGAGGTGAATATTGTTCATCAGCTTGGATACTGCTCACGACGCAATGACTTCTTCGGATTCATCCGCGCTCGCCGCAGTCTTATTGAAAAAAAGGTCGCCCATCATCTAAAAGTTTCATCAAACAGTTGCCACGCGGCTGATATTGATAGCTGGATGCATGGGAGCTTCAACCTTTGTGTTCCTGTGGAGGTCGAAGACTTTGGGCATGTCATCATTCGCTTCCCTCTTCCCTACCGTGTCGGTGACAGTTTTTACTCAGGAAACAGCGATGAAAAAATCACATGTGAGGCTGGCACATACGCATGGATGTATCAATGCTGCCCTAATATACCGATTCCGCGTCTACATGGTTTTGCTTTAAAGTCTGGCCAAGGGGTGAGAAGCTCTAGTTACACTTAGAGAAGTTTTGACTAACAGAACAACCTTTCATCTAAACAGTTCACAACTCTTCAGCGCTCACCACTATTTCGTCGCCTGCTACACCGATCCTATTGCTGGTTGTTATCTCTCCTGGGATATCCAGCCCCTTCAAACTTCATACGAGATGACGACAAAGTCGGAAATGAGCTAGGGCCGTATATGATTCTTGACTATATCAAAGAAGGAAAAATGCTCTCTACAACATGGGCGCAGCTGAAGAGTCAGGAGATATTGCGAGAAAACCTTTTCCGAGATATCTCTAAAGTCATGTTGACCATGAGTCGAGTGAAGTTGCCTAGGATAGGTTCTTTCATCATTGATGAAAACGGTTACCTCCTCCTTGTGAACAGGCCTCTAACACTTATGCTACATGATCTGGAGAACGAAAATATTTCCGTTGACATGCCACGGGATCGGACTTTTTCCACCGTCGATTCATATGTTAACAACCTTCTCATGTGTCATGACAACCGACTTCGCTTTCAGCCAAATGCTGTGAAGACTGGTAGTGACTGTGTTTCCCAAATGACAGCTCTGGCTTTAATGAGGACTGTGAGACCCCACTATTTTGACTCTCAGCTTAATGATGGCCCTTTTGTTTTTGGTTTGACTGATCTGCATGCGAGTAATATCTTTGTCGATGAGAACTGGCGTATCAAATGCCTTATAGATTTAGAATGGGCTGCTTCTCTTCCTATCGAGTTTATGCGTCCTCCTATATGGCTTACTAGTCAAGCGGTTGATGAGATTGACATCGATGAGTACGATGGAATGCGACAGGATTTCATGTCTATTTTCGAAGAAGAAGAAGAGAGAAGTTGCTTACCTGAATACAGCCTGCGACGGACAAGGATCATGGAAAAAGGTTGGGGGTTAGGAACATTCTGGTACGGCACAGCCTTGCGAAGTCCAACAGCTCTTCACGCCATCTTCTACGACCGGATTCAGCCATCCTATTCAGAGAAGCATGCCAAAGACACGAACTTCTACCTCATTGTTTCTCGATATTGGGGACGTGAACCTGCAGCGTTCATTAGATCCAGACTCGAGGATAAGGCAGCATATGATGTCAAGCTTCGAGAGATGTTTGGAAGGATCTGAGGCTGTCAGCATAACTGAGGTCTTGCCCTTCGGCCATATCTTCTCAGGTATGAAATGCCTACCTCCGGCCCATATTCCCGCACTATCTGCTGGTCTCTCCCTTTGTCCTGTCGGCTGGGTTTGGATCATCTTCAAGATCAAATTCCGCCTTCACTGCTTCTTCGAGAGATGTCTCGGCCTTGGCAGCTCGTTTCCTCTTGGCAGCCTCTGCAGACGATGAAATTTGGCTAAGAAGTCGTGGAATCGGCAGGTTAAGAGGCTCCTATCACAGCCACCTGCGCCTCCTTCACAGTAGCATCTTTGTAGTCATCCGAGGACACGGATCGTCTGTCTGTCATAGTTCAATGATATATATAAATATGCGGTTAGCGCACGTTGGTGAAGTAATTATTTTTATTTGTGGGTATAGTTTCCAAGTTGAGATGTGCACGACAGGGACGATAGAGCGTTTATATTGACTTCTAAACGCATCGACCTAGCAAAACCCACTGAGAAGAGTCGAACGCGTTGTCTTTCATCCGCTAGTCAATGTGTTATCCAATGAGAACCCCGCTCTCAAGGAGTGTTTTACTGGACAGTCTTCAGAATAGCCGAATGACCCCGCCGAGAGGCAATCAATCACAATTCTAGGCTATTTGGGTCGCTCTTCAAATCCACCTAGTTGCGGTGTCCCTCATAAAAGAACTTCAATATAGCACATGTGAACTAGCGAGCACCATGCAAGTATGGACGTCATCAACTCCATATGCCTGTTGATGTTCTCACTTCGCAGCAAGGCGCGGAACTAGAGGTTGGCCAAATGATAGGACGCCTGATCACGATGGTTCTGCAACGTGGTCTAATTCGAAACATGCTTCTGGTCTTCCTACCTATTTGACATCACATTATTCAACATACGAAATCAAAATTCAAATGGACGTCTAAGTAGCCGTTCGTGGAAACAGGAATCAGGTCGTTGTCAAAAGGTTAAGTGACCAGTAACAACCTGATATTCTTAACACGATACGACAACTTCCCTGGGCTTCTGAAACCACTTCATGTGCATGCGTCAAAAGCGGGCTGAGGTTTTCATCTAGGTAGAGCCTAAGAAGCAACGACATAGGCTACAGTGTTGATGAGCTCTATGGCGAATATTGCCTAATACTCTTTATTGCAGTCTCAAGCTGACAAGCCAATCATGGATATTCCATCAACGTTTGAAACAAGTACTGGAACGTCATCGGGGCACTCGGGAGGTCAACTCATCGAGCTACTGGTGCCTGTGATTTCCGTTCGGATAAGCAACAGATCTAAGGCCCCCAGCGAAGTCAGCAATAGTCCGAGACGAGCTGATGCCATGTGATTGATAAGCCTCAATAACAGCCCATCGCGGATTTGAGATCGGAACTCTAACTCAGCCCTATACAGTACCCAGGCGACTTCCCAGTGCAGGGTGTCTCAGCCGCAGTCAAGTTTACCTGTCAGCGTCCCATCAAACGCATGAAACGCACTTGTCAGTCAATACCTTATGATAGGAGATGAGATTCTATTCGGCAATTGTATTCATCTCGTTTTGCCGATCATATCTATAGTCTCTCCAGGATCCTCTGGTCCAGTAGGTGATAGGTTTCAACATATTGGGCGGTTTATCCTCGGGTAAGCCGTGCACGTACTCGGGCAAACTCAGTCAGGTAAAAGCCTTGTCGGGTGGCCTAGTCTGCCTGGAATGTCTACGGTGTACTTTAACAATCGAGATTGTTACTTCAAGTAGCCTATGGGATCCGGGGAAATGTACATGCTTGGTAGGAGGCTCCTTCAGATATACTGTATCATCTCTTGAATAACATACACTAGATCACGACTGTTCGTCAAGAAAGTACCGTTACTGTATGTCTGTATTAAACTCTTCATTAACACCGTTGTGGCGACACCAATATGAGCCTCAGCGAGATTCAGCTCATCTCAACCCCTGCATAGCTGGCCTGATGCTTGACCGGTTACCATACTCTCGGGAGCCTATCTCGCGGGTACCCCAAATCTTGGGCAGTCCCTATATCGTATCTCTAACTGCCTTTCCATCAGTCTCTAGTCATGTGCTTGCAGGGTTCATATTTTAAGAAGCGGCTATATCTTGATCATCATCAATTTATCTACGACGTTATTCTTTTATAATCCCAGGTATATTCTTATACTACCCGTGCGGCTAGGTCTCACTTGTGGATCAAACTGTTATCAAGGCTATAGTAGCTGACTATTACTACGCCTCAGCCCTGCGCCTGGCTCCAGGCTTCAGATGATAGGACAGGGAGTAGTCCAGACCTCGAGGTATCGTCTTCGTCTCAAGACGCCACGGCTGTATGTCCCCTGTAAAATGGAATCTTACAGGGTGATCGCCGTCGTCAGCGTCTATCAGATCTGCAATGTATCAGGCAAGCAGCTCAGCTGCCCTCTATAGGGTTATAGTTACGTGAAAGGTATTTTAACACTCCATATCTGCTCAAATCTGCTCATTCCTGAGCCAAGCCCGAAGGCATCTTTTGTTTCTCGAGGTCTATGGTCCAACACCCACATCATGGGTTTCATTAACTATATCGTCAATGTCGTTGTGCAGATTCTACCCTTCAGTGGGAATAATGGCGGTCTCCTCAACCAGCAGCCCCTTCCTATAAACGTACCGTCATCCGGTGTCAGCTTTAGTCCGCAACTTGGGAACGGTGTCGTCGGCAATGTCCCTCAGAGGGAATCTCAAATAACATGCCATTACCCTTCTCTCAAAGGATGGGAGATGTGCAACGGCCCTGACTCTAGAAACTGTTGGCTTCGCGAGACTCATTCCAAGCAACCTGTCTTCAGTGAGTATGATATTACAACAGACTATGAAGCAAAATGGCCCCAGGGTGTCACTAGAGAAGTACGTCCATGTCTCCCTTTTTCACATCTGTTGATTGGGAAAAGCTGACAACTCTCAGTACTGGCTCGAGGTATCTGAAAAAACGATCAGTCCTGATGGAACTCCCAAGTTATCGCAACTGATAAACGGAACGTAAGTATGAGAGTTGATCCGTCTTAAAGCTTTACTGACTCTGTGCCACAGTTATCCGGGGCCCTTGATTGGTAAGAGGCTCTTCAAATTTCTAGCCTACACATGCTGACTTGAAATAAGAGGCTTGCTGGGGAGATGATATCGGTAAGTACCGGCTACCACCACTGGCATTGCAGAGCACTTACAGAGATGCGACAGTTGTGCATGTCACAGACAAACTGGTTGAAAACGGAACGACGATACACTGGCACGGTATGTATATCGCAGCACCGTCGGACCTTGAAAATATGCTCCGAGACTTTGGGTTATCTGATTACAATCTCGCGCTGATAAGACTCATAGGTGTTCGTCAACTCCACACGAATGATGCAGATGGAGTGAACGGTATGAGGCTGCAAAAAAAATCTAGGTCTATATTCTAATATTGCTAGGTATCACCCAATGTCCGATAGCAGGAAACAGGACATATACCTATAAGTTCAAGGCTACTCAATATGGTAAGTTACCGAACTAAATCGGGGGGTATATGCACTGACAGTATCCAGGCCACAGCTGGTATCATAGGTGAGAACCCTTGATGTTGTTGATTTGCTAAATTTCTAATTCTCGCAGTCACTACTCTCTCCAATACCCTAACGGAGTGGCAGGTAAGAAACATAGAAACTAAGCTAGTTATCATAGCTAACAAAGCGATAGGACCACTTCTGATTCACGGACCTACCAGTGCAAACTGGGATGTTGAATTGGACCCCATCATGATGGCAGACTGGTTCAACGCAAACGCATTTTCTGCTTTCCACACAGAACTAGGGCCAACCCCTCCGCCATTGTCGGACGCTGTACTACTAGGAGGAATCGGTGAGTATAGCTAGATATCATAACTTCCTTTTGTCATTCCTGACATGTCCTATCAGGGATACATTCCGGTTCCATCTTTACAAGAGTCATTGAATCTGGTAAGAAAGTGCTATTGCACCTTATTAACGCAAGGTATGTGAGCAGCAGATTATGTATGCATATGAACAGCCTAACTCTGGTAGTACGGACATGCATTTTGTCTTTTCTATCGACGACCATCCTCTCCAGGTCATCACAACCGACTTCGTTCCGATCGAACCGTATTGGACAAACTCCATTTCGATTGGAATTGGTATGTAATAATGCATTGATCCGAGCAGCATGAATCATTAACACTCGTTTCAATAGGGCAAAGATACTCTGTCATCATAGACGCAAACCAAACTGCAGGAAGCTATTGGATGCGTACAACTCCGGTCTCAAACTGCAGTGGGAACGGAACCATCCCAGATGACCGAACAGGGATCCTTCGTTATCAGGGGGCTCCTAATACAAAGCCGACCACTTCCATTCAGTCAGGTCTTACATTTGCTTGTCAAGACGAGCCTCCCGAGAAACTGAAGCCTGTTGTCAGGTGGGAGGTTGGGACAAATCCTGCAAACAATGTGATCGACAGCACATACGAGGTCGGGACTGTTTTCTCTCGAAACGCAACCAGATGGGCCATTGGAGAAAAGTCCATGTGGTAAGGATGCTATATTTCGGTTCGTGAATATTTATTACAGTCTCTGATTATTTTGTTCATAGGCTCGACTTTGCCGACCCGACCTTGCTGGACGTCCGCAATAGGACATTCAACCCCGACTACGATGTTGAGAAATATGACTTTAAGGACGAGTGGAGTATGTACCTTCTTTTTCTTAATTACAGTTAATCCTTCAATGGGACAAATTGTCCACCGTGATCGTAGCTAACCTCCACCAGTATACATTATCATAACCGCCTCCGGAAACATCGCTGGCGTCCCTTCGCCTCCGGATAGAGCGACTGTCAGATTGGCCCACCCAATTCACCTCCACGGGCATGATTTTGCTGTACTAGGAGCCGGAAATGGGACTTACAACGAAAAAAGTGATCCCTTTAACTTCTCGTACCACAACCCTCCACGCCGGGACGTGGCGCTTCTTCCCGCCGAGGGTTGGCTTGCTCTTGCGTTCAAAAGCGATAATCCCGGTGTCTGGCTGCTTCACTGCCATATCGCCTGGCATGCCAGTAGCGGATTGGCTTTCCAGATCCTGGAGCGTACTGGCGATATCCAGAAAGCACTGGGTCCCGAAAGGCTCGATGCAGTAAAAGAGACTTGTAAGCAATGGAAGCAATGGGACGCCACAGAGAGGGTCAATCAGGAAGACAGCGGTAAGTATATCCTTTAAGACATCTTTTATCTATTGCGTCAAGGGAAGAGATGCTGATATAAACTAGGAATTTAAGCAGGCCGGGTTCGAGATCAAGGACAGTAACTACGACTATACCTGCACTATTGGAGGATTTAAACGATATGACTAGATTGGCGCTGATTACCTATAATTAACTCTCAACTCCTCTTTTACGTTTATTTTTTGGTTATCAGTGTAATCACTGTCTTTACTTACCCTTATGTCCAGACAAGTTTTCTGATATGATTCTTGTGTTTTGATGAAATAACTAGTCACAGAAGTATTACTTCATCGGTCTATCTGCTCTCTCTAATTTGTTTTGATAATTTTTGTATGATTATTCTTTTGTGTGGCCTCCTTTCTGAAATTCACTATTTGATTCTATAAGAAGTAACTGTAGACGAGCAATATGTAATGTAACAAGTACTGACTATTACTTTTATACGCTTTTCTTTCCTAAATTATATTATCTAGTTGTCCCAATGTACTAGGGTCAGTAGTGGCTTATATACGAGAGACCTGTAGTGCCTTGTATCCTCAAGCAGTGCAATTAAAATGTAGAATAACTCCAGTAGATATCTCTTAATTGAAGTGAATATACTTAGAAGTCCTTATTTAATCTAAAATATAGCTTAGCTATTCTAATAGTAGATTAATCCCTTTAGATTTTATAATATTTAAGAGCTTCTCTTTTCTACAATTTTAATTGACTAGTAATCTATAATAAGAAAGGAAAAGGAGAATTAGTGTCACGGCCTAACTTCTAGGGAGTATTCTAGGAGCTAAACCGCTGCGCCAGAAGTAAAAGACTAGGCCTAATTCTTAAGCAATACCTAAGGACCGCTCTCGCTATATAAGGACATAGACATTATATTACCCTCACCTATTAAGGTATTATCTCAATGCCTAATAATGTTTAACTAGCCTCCTAGGTAAGTAACTATATTTTAGGGTCTATAGTTCGGCCTTAAATAGCTAGCCCTTAGGAATACTTTATATCTTTATTAGCTATAAGGTTTGTTAATAGAAATCTAGCAGTACCTAACCCTATTATTTAGATTTAAACTCCTAACTATTTGCCTGAAAATAATGTTACACCCTAACTCCTAAGGAGTATTCTAGGAGCTAAACTACTGCGCTAGGAGCAAAAGACTAGGATTCTTAGGCAACACCCAAGAACTGCTCTCGCTATATAAGGATATACCTAGATATTATAATCTGTGCCTGCTGTAGTTTTGTTGTAAGTAACTTATAGCTCTTTATTGTATGTATACTAATTACTGTTCACTTAACTTGAATTATTTATTAAATTCACATAAGTTTCAGGTCTTCCTCCAGTTAAGCTCTTATTCTCACATGGTACTTAAGTGCCCAAATTATTCACTTCACCCCTTTTATTCTCTCTCTTTCTCTTGCTTTTACCTATATATCTCACTCTTTCACTTCTTCTAATTAACTTCTTTTATCCTATCACTTCTATCTCACTTCTTCTATCTCAACTTTCTTTTACTCCCAACTTCTTCTCTCTAGCCTTCTCTCAACTTATATTCTCAAAGCAACCTTTTGCCCCCTCGTCCGTCCACAATGGCGACAGTCGCACTCCAGTGGAAAGATCATCGCGAGCTCCTTGATATCATCGACAACCTGAGATCTCATGGAATCAGTCGATATGTCGATTTACCTGAGATCGTTGTCTGTAGTGACCAATCTTCAGGAAAGAGCACCGTGCTTGAGGCCATCTCAGGCATGTCCTTCACCACCAAAGACAACCTATGTACGCGATTCGCAACAGAGCTGATTCTACGTCGTTACCCTGTCCCTCGTATTAGGGTTTCCATAATACCAGACCACGCTCGTTCAGAAGGCGAGAAAGAAACGCTTCAGAAGTTCAGTCCCAGCATAAGCCCAGAAACTCTAAACCTCGGGGAAGTCGTACAGGAGGCCCAGAAAGTCATAGGCTTAACAACTGATAACAGATCTTTCAGTACTGATATCCTTCGCTTCGAGATCTCAGGACCTACCCAGCCCCATTTGACCGTGGTGGATCTTCCTGGATTGTTCGAATCCGGTAACAAAGAGCAGTCTGAGGAAGATGCAAAGACAGTCAAGGATCTGGTTTGGGAATACATGGAGCGGCCGCGAAGCATCATCCTCGCTGTTGTCTCCGCCAAAAGTGACTTTGCACTCCAGCAGGTTACAAAGTGCACTCGAAAGCTAGACCCAGCAGGTACGCGGACACTCGGCCTGATCATAATACGAGACACGTTAGACATGGGTTCAGAAAGTGAAATGTCGTACATCCAACTTGCACAAAACAACAAATATATCAGGTTCCATCTTGGATGGCACGTCTTGAAGAGTAGACGCTATGGCATGAGAGATGCTACAGCGGCTAAAAGAGATGAGGCAGAAGCACAATTCTTCGCTACTGATATCTGGACCTCGTTGCAACCGTCCCAGGTGGGCGTTGTATCTCTCAAGTCACGGCTGAGCAACGTCCTGAAAAACCAGATTCTCCTTCAGCTGCCTACTCTTTTCAAGGATATTGAAATGGGCATCCAGGAGTGCAAAGACAAGCTTGGGAGGCTGGGTGACTCTCCAAACACAACTGAAGAGCAGCGTCAGTACCTTGGCCGCATGAGTCAGGATTTCTCCAGTCTCATGAAAGACTCTATCGATGGCACTTATACTGACTCCTTCTTTGGGAGTGCCATGACGGCTGTCGGATATAAGAGGCGCCTACGTGCTGTGATTTCAAACATGCTTTCAGATTTTGAAGAGAATATGCACAAGCACGGGAAGTCAAAGAGAATTGTGGGGGAAGCTGATGGCAATGGAGAAAACCAGATTTCGCGTTCGCAATTTATCGACGAGGTCAAAATCCTGATGAGACGAAGCAGGGGTCGGGAGCTTCCTGGTACATTCAATCCCCTGATCGTTGGTGAACTTTTTAGTGATCAATGCAGGCCATGGAAACGGCTGGTGGATGGGCTGACCACTAGTGTCGTTAAATCTGTCTATGCTACTATCGACGAGCTGCTACAGCACATAGCAGTCGAGGAAACCTCTAACAGAATCTTCAGGGAAATCATTCGCCCGGGAATGGAAGTTTTGAATAGTGATCTTCAAGGCAAAATCAACGAACTTCTTGCTCCGCACCATTCTAGTCATCCGATCACGTACAACCGCTATCTCACTGATAATGTGCAAAGAGCCCAGGCTTCTCGGCGCAAGGAAGAGATCGCAAAATTCCTCCGGGAGTTCCTCCACGTCACTAATTTGGACAACTCATCTCGACAGATGACGATCTATGTGGACCCCAAAGGCATGTTGGACAGCCTTGTTGAGATCGGTGAAACCGACATGGAGAGATATGCTAGTTCTATAGCCATCGATTACATGGAAGCTCACTACAAGGTAATCTTTATTCATTCTATGGTATCATATAAGCGAATATTAACTGGGAGCAGGTTGCCTTGGAAAAGTTCATCGACAACATCAGCGTTCTTGCCGTAGAGAGATGTCTCATCCAGAAGCTCCCATGTCTCTTTTCGCCAGAGACTGTATCCCGCCTGCAGAACGCTGACGTGGGAAGACTAGCAGGAGAGAGTGATGAATCGTCTGCAGAGCGCTCGCGCCTAAGCGAGAAACTGAACGCTCTGGAGCAAGGTCTAAGAAGCCTGAAGGTTTTGGACAAGCATCAATCGAAGGACATTAGTGAGGATGTCTACGTGAATCCTCTCAAAAGAAAAGCATCAGGGACTGAGATACGCAGAGAGGTTTGAAGAACTAGGTTTTTAGTGGTTTCCGATACAGACTGAATACAATCACTCTATTACATCTGCAGATGGTTCATTTCTGCTTTTATCGAAGCAAATACCCGGATAGTTTCCATCGACGGAAGCCAAAGCGGAATTGTTTTCTTAAGAGCCCGCTCGGAATCTTTTTGGTTGATTGAAACAGAGATCTTGCTCTTTGGATGTATCTAGCTTGAACCTCCGGCCCCGAACAGTTCTAGAAGGTTGGTATTCTTTCTACAGAGGATCTATTGATCGTCATTTTGTATTATGAAGTTGTCCACCAGTTTTTTACTCCCTTCCACTCCCTTCCATAATATATTAATTGAGGTTTTGTAATGACGAGAAGCGACTACAAGAGTAAACAATGCCTTTAACTCAAGCTTAGCAACCAACCCCACCAGCCCCACATTGATACGGACTGATGTCTTGCTTATCACAGGACGCAGGGCCAACGATCACTAGCAAATACTCATGCTCCTAAGCGAACGCATCCCGAGATCATCTTTCTTACCTATTCTTTCTCTCTAAAACACGGTTCGTAATCTCGCAGGGCGCCCAGGTTCAATAAACCTGTCCCATACTAATCAATACTCGAAAGACCAAGTCTCATCAGAGCACAACGGTAGTTATGACCTACAAGAAGATCGGGGTATTTGGCGCTACCGGCCTATTGGGAAAGGAAGGTCTGTACTTATTATCTGATCTAATAGTTTTATTGCGGATATTGACTCTCATCAGTAACCCGCGCCCTGGTCGAAGAGGGTTTTGAGGTTATCCCGTTCTCGCGGAGCGCTTCGGTATGGGATGGCATATTCAGAAACTTCACATATCTTCTTATAACTAAGTAACCTGTTCCTATCAATACTAACTCCCTTCTATATAGCCGCAAACTATTGCCGGCGTCCAAACACAACAAATTACACCTGAGACTTCCCTAGTTGGATTCGATGCCATTGTATCCACTGTCGGTACGTCCGCTATTCTAATTCCACTTCGATTTCTATTTCATTTATCCTGACTGACCTATTTGCGATACGATCAGGCCCCTCCGGCTGGGCGGATCAGATCCCCTTGATCACGCGCGCCAAAGCCGATGGTGTCAGACGATTCATTCCAAGCGAATTTGGGATGGATCATCGCGGTCAGCATGTCGATTACTTGACGCCGAAGGAGAATTCTCTCAAAGCAGTGCAAGAGGCTGGTTTCGTCGACGGTTAGTTATACTATAGCCCTATGTCACTGGGATCAAATCTATGAACACGTTTTCACTAATCAATATGCATTTATGCATTATATAACTACAGGCTGGACAGCGTTCATAAACGGCTTCTTCGAAACGGTCGTCCCATTAATGACTAAAATTGACTTATCAACCTCTACACTCAAAGTGGTCGGTAAAGGCACGACGGAATACCCCTTTGTCTTCAGACATGATATCGGCCGCGCCATCGCGCAGACGCTCAAGGCTCCCCCAGAGACATATAAGGACTCGTGGGTTGTGCTGACCAGTGCCTGGGCCTCGGGCAACCAGCTCGCGCAGTGGATCGAGGAAGCTGCGGGTAAGAAGTTGACGATTGAGCATGTTGAGCCGGATGCGTCGACGCCGATTATTTCGTTGTTGGAGAAGACGGGCGGGAATGTGTTTGAGAGGGGGATTGAGACGAAGGGGTTGGGGATTGAGTGGGGTGATTTCGAGGCATATGTGAAGAGTTTGGTTAAGTGAATAGCGGAAGTTTTTTCAAGTGCGACAGTCATTTCTGAACATGGTATACAAATGGTCATATTCTTTTTCTGAGACAGCATAGCTCAAATATAGCACAGAAATACCATACATACATAATACATAGAAACCGCCCCGCATCACCCATTCATGCAACTCGATCCTTCATATCTTTTATCTTCATCATAGGTACATTACCAAACTCATCCTCCAACCTCTTTAGCCATACCTAATACGCATATCGATTCCGACTCCCTCTACCATCAGTCCCGCGCATCCTCCGCGTCCCAGCAGCCTAAACACACCAGATATGTTAATCTTCTCTAATCATCCATATCAAAAAAAAAAACATATTAGGAGGTGGGAAAAAAAACCCCCATACCTTAACACCAGGCCTCTTCGTCAAACTCCCTTTTAATTTCAACATCGCTCCAGAGACTCTATCGCCAATACTCGGTCGACGCCGATGATGATGGTGATGAGTCGTCATACCCGCTCCAGTTGTTCGTGGAGGGGCAGTTTTGCTTGTTGTCGTCGTCCCTCCGTAGCCGGTTCCATGGTGTCGATGGCCTGTGTTGTAGGTTGTTTCTTCGGTCTTGTATGTGCGGGTGCGGGCATTTGGGCCTTTGAGTCGCGTCCAGAATGTAGGACGGGTGTTGCGTTGGGTGGTTGTGTTGTGGTGGGTTCTGAACATTTTGATTTGTATTGTGTAGTAGAGGGGAAAGTGTTCGTTTGTTCGGTAGTTGAAGTAAAAAAGTCTTTGTGTCTTTTCAGAAAATATCGTAGAGTATAAGAGTAACTCTTGTTATACGATAAAAAGGATCGGTTTATTGTACAATATTGTAAGTAGTTATCTTAGTAGAAGATTAAATAAATACTAAATCATCAAAAACCCTTCCCCAAACACGAGGTTATATAAACCCTCCCAACCCTCCATATACAGCCTTCTATGTAATCGCACCGCGCCGATCCTTGAAAAAGATGATATAATACCCTACTGTACCTGCCCTATCAACCCCTCCTATCGATCATACCTACCCACGCTTCCAGAACAAAATCCTATGTAAGTAACCATGTCTTGCGCGAGGGCTAAAATAAAACAAATCACCAGCGAGTCCAGACCCCCATCAACTAGGAACATGACATAGAGTTGGTAGTTACAGCCAGAGACTCGCCACAGTACGAACCGTCATCGTCGCATATAGCTCGACAGAGTATTTGGAGATCATCGCTATGGGAGTGGCTTGCGTCTTAGCTATCGTATAAAGACTCGATGGCATTATATCATAGATAGCAGGGAGCGACCTCCATCGAGTCCATCCTGGAATCTTGGTAGGAACAGAGACTAGATAGTTAGGCTAAGTAATGTCGATCTGCTTTCGTGGTATGTCAGTCCAGTTCAGTCCAAGTTGTTTTTGTCTTGGCGGTCGTTGGCGCTAATGATGTCATTGTGTTAACCGAGCAGGAAAACGAGTTGGCTTGATTTCGAAGTTTGGATGTTACTGTCGAATTTAGATTTAGGGGCAGATCTTGGGTAGATGTAAGAGAGAAAGAGGACGTATACACTTACAGTATCTATATAGTTCAAAAATAACAATATCCACGGATCTGGGACTCCTAGAGTACCATAGATACGGGAGCGGTGTACCTTTTCCTAAAGAGGTAATTAGCTTTTGGTAGGTAAAATCGCCGGTTATTATTATGGAACTACGTATATACATTATACCTAGTTAATCGACTAGTATTATCAAATATTCCTGCCCTATTAGTTTTCAACTCTCCATCTACACTTCCCAATCGCAAAAAGGAAGAACGATATACATACATACCACAAGCCCGACTCCAAAATCTAAATCTAACTTGCTCGCCCCTTTTTTTTCAATTTCTCAGGAGAGTTTGGGAGTAGAATCGATTCGCCTTTCGACCGTATAAACCTGCATATAGCATCGACCTCTTCATCAAGGACGATCAGAATGGCAACACGCGCCCGAAACTACGTACGATGATGCCTCTTCGGTAGATATGTGCGTCGTTCTGCGTAAGTATGGCCGATTTTACGGATTTGCCGTTTGAAGATGATTCGCTTGATTTGAGCGCGGCTAATTTGTCGATTCACAATGTGGATCCAAGGCAAGAGAGAAGGCGGATAAGGAAGCAGGGAGCGTTTTGGAATCAGGTGATTGTTTTCTCATTCTAGATTTGTGAGGATGCCTAGGGGACATCAGGCTGTTCTGAAAGATCTGGAGTGGATATCAGTCGCGATTTTGGCAGTCAAGGTCGTGTTTGTTACGTGGCTTGTCAGGTGTTCAAAGGCGCTGTTACCGTTGATACAGACTTCCTTGTGCCCGTATATCCCAATTTACGTCCTTTTACAAAGACAAGAGGAAAGCTCTGCTTTGACACTGCTTTGACAATGTAGTGGTCCAAGCAGAGATAAAAGACTGACTCATTGAGTCTAACGAGGCATCATGGTACCCATTGTCATAAACTGGAATACCCAATCTCAGAGAGACTAGGGTTCTAGAATCTAAAAACGGATGAAACAATAACCTTTCCCCATCCTAATTATCCTCGGGCGCGGTCGGCCCGCTTAATCATAATACAGCCAGAGATCGGCGGAGGATCAGTGCTGTCAGCTCTTGAGCAGCGGATCTGATACGACTCGTACCGTATGCGTGCGCAGCAGTGGAACTCCGATTAACCCATAAGCAATAATAACTGTTCACCCAAAAGAATCACGACTCTCTGCCCAACCCGTGTACCTTCTATGCCGTCTTGCGCACCACACTATCCACCGCTTCAGCGACGTAGTCGATGTTGTGGGTGTTGAGTCCAGCCATTGAGATGCGTCCATTCTTGGTCTGTTAAATGGGTTCGTCAGCAAAGCCATTCTGTCGAAACTATCGCATGTGTTGGGGGTTCTTGGAAGGACGAAGGTCTGGAATCTTGGCGGCGTGCCGCTGAGAATCCGAAGTGCGGAAGAGAAGGGAAAAGCTCCGGGGGTGGGGACGCCAACATGAAAAGGGAAAAGGCAGGGCGGTCAAGGCATCGTGCAGTAGCGCCATGTACGACAAGATCGACGACAAAAGAAAACTTACCATGTAGATATGCCATTTCTCTCGCAGAACCTGCACCTGATTCGGGTTCAGGCCCGTAAAGCTGAACATTCCGATCTGGCTGGTGATGTGGTCCCAGGTGCCAGGCGTGCCCTTGGCCTCCAAGCGGGAACGGAGTCCCTTGCGCATCTCGATGATGCGACCACTCATTGTGCGGAGGTCCTCCTCCCACTGGGTGAAGAGCTTGGGGTCGTTGAGCACAACGCTGGCAATACGGGCTCCGTAGGCGGGCGGGTTAGAGATCTCTGAGCGCTGGAGGATTGCCAGCTGGCTGGCGATGTGCTGGTTGGCGTTTTCGGCATCAGGGCCGGCTCCAGAGACGAAGTGGAAAGCTCCTGTGCGCTCTCCGTACAGACCAAAGTTCTTCGCAAAGGACTGCGCGACGCAGAGTTCCAGGCCCAGCTCCGTGAAGTAGCGGATGGACCATGCGTCCCGCGCAAGGTCACCCGAAGCGAAGCCCTGGTAGGCAGTGTCAAAGAAGGGGAAGTGATGTCTCTCACGGATCACAGCAGCAATCAGTTTCCACTGCTCCTGGGTCGGGTCGACACCGGTCGGGTTGTGGGCGCAGGCGTGGAGGACGACGATAGAGCCTGGTGCGGCCTCGCGCAGCGTCGAGATCATGCCATCGAGGTCCAGACCCTTGGTCTTTGCGGAGAAGTACGGGTAGGTGGCCACGGGCAGGCCGATGTTGGAGAAGATCTGGTTGTGGTTGGCCCAAGTTGGATTGGAGACGTAGACGGTGGGAGCAGGCTGGATGGGGTGGAATCTCGACAAGAAGAGGCCGCCCAGGTGCACAGCACCGGTGCCAGAAATCGTCTGCACGGTGGTGACCTAGCAAGAGTACTATTGTCAGTTACATGGCCAGATGCATAACTGACGCTGCAGGTGCGGGCAGCTGGATGAGTGGATAACCATCTCGCAACCTGCATGGAGTAGAGCTAGGAACGGGCACTTCTGAATCACGTACACGCTTCTCACGGATAGCGGGACTGTCAGCTCCAAAGATCAGTCTCTGGGCGGCAGATGTGTATTCAGGAAGACCAGTGATGGGAAGGTATTCGTGGTTGAGGTTGGGATCGTGATGCAGTATCGCATCCGCCTGCGTTACGTCAGATACGATTCCCAAGAAAGAAAGAAAGAAAAGGAAAGGAAAGGAAAGGGACGATATCTGTTGCAAATATCAACATACCTGCTTCACGACTGGAAGAACCCATGGCTTCGCATTGTTGTCACGGTAGGCACCGATGCCCAAGTCGACCTTCTTGTCCGACGTGTCCTGGCGATACGCTCTCATCAAACCGAACAGAGGATCCTCTGGGGCCTTGGGCACAAGGGCCGCCGTGAAGACGGAGGGACTAGTTGAACCCATGATGTGGGATGAGACCTGGGATAGACGATCTCGAGCAGTTGTGGAGGGGCGTGTGGAGGACGGGGAGGACTGGCGCGCGGGTGTAGATAAAGAGGACTGCTGCATCGCCTGCAGGGACTGAGCTTGGGGTCGAGGCGGAGGTGGAGTCATGGTTGCAAAGCCAAGTTCCCCGGGTTGGAGTCGGTGAGTTACTCGTTGCGTTCACCGGCGGCAGCAATCAGAACACACAAAGAGTCAGGAATTATTATTAGACTATGCAGGTGCGATGATTCAATCCGTATCCGTGAGCGTTGCGGGGGGGAGAAGTCAGGAATGCGGTTCCGTTTTGTGCTAGGGAAGTACTTTAGGTAGCTACCACTGAGAGGGACAAAACAATCGAAATCCAAAATCCAAAAGAAAAAAAAGCTACGCTGGGAACCGCACTCTAATAATTAATGAATAATTAACTTATCTAGCTACGCCATGCCCATCAGCTGCATCTCTTACCAACCAGCCTCGGTCCAGAACTGCTCGAGATGCGCAGTCACCTCCGAGTCCCTCCGCAGGTGACGCCATGGCCCTTACATGTGCGCTGCACATTCTGCGTTTCACATCGCAGTTGCAACCAGGGAGTACATGATACATCCATGATAATAATAATACATGGTCGAAGAAGACAACCTGCCAGGAATTTCTACCGTATTTCTTCGACCATTATTATTATTATTCGACACTGTAGGACATCGATCTCTGAATAATTCTTTGTTCCTGTCCTCCCCTCCAACAGATCGGGGAACGGCGGGTTCTCTCCACACGCTCCAACCACGCAGGGTCAAGAGTCATGACAATCGCACCAACCACGCATTCTGCTTATGCAAAGCTGTCCACTGCTCTTATTGGCCCCCGTGCTAGCCCGACCGTCTCCACGTTCTCCAACTTGGTCTCGCCCATCGTTCCTCCCCGCAGCTGGCTGCTTCCCGCTTCCGCACAACGCGACAGGACAGCATCAGAAATAATTACCACTCCTTTTCGAATCGGACTTCCTCCGCCTCCTTTCAGGGGTTAGTTTCCGAGTCGCGGTTCATGGATTCCATGGATGCTAGACCGCGCAGACACCGTCTCAGAAGCTGGAGCTATCACAATTCGAGCGGACCGGTGTCCTCGTGATCAGCTGTTCGCTGGAGAACCCGAATAGTTCGATATATGGCTCACCCGAAAATAGCTCGTCCTGAGACATGTGACATCCCGGCCAGGCTTAGATTCACGCTCGCGTGGCATGGGTCCACTATCTACTATGATCAATCGGCTGGACCAGCACGCTATGCGGCCGATCAGGAGCTGGCCGGATAAGCCCTCCCGAACCGAACATTGCAGACAGCTTCCAGGGGTCGTCGTCCACGCGGGGTCTCGTATCCATAATCCTGCGGACCGCAAGTTGACTGAAAAGGAACAATCACCTTTGATGAGCAGTCAGTCAGACCACTATACCCGTAAGCCATCCGTTCCTGTGTCCATGGCTAGCTGCCAAACGGGTCTGTCCTGGACTCCAGGATACTCTGCATGGGACCAGAGTAGATATGATGTGTATCTATCTCTATGCAGAGACCCGGCACCTACTGGCTCCGTACGGCTCAGGACATCAATTGGGATGAGTACCGCTCTCGTCAGCAGATCTGAGAATAATGTCTTGTCATTCGCCCAAATAAATGCACCTGGGAGACAGTGACCATCTCTGTTGATCTGTCTGTCTGTATGCTAGGTGGAATTCGTTTTCCTGGCCCGTATTCGCGTATTCCGTTCCCTTGGATGCGTCCTCGACGTCTGGGGGCAGCGGAATGCGGGGGTCGTCAGAAAATAACTACCCCATGCTTTCTGCGGGGAAACGGAGAACAGCTGCGTCAACTGACCCTGGATTTTATGTACAGGATTAGTGAACGATAGACGACGCACAGGTATTACCCCTTTCTTGGGTATTTGAAGTTGGCAATCCAGTCTTGCTGTCGTGTGCCTTTCCGGTGCCGTCAGTATATTCGGTTAGTTTGCACAGTAGTATCAATCTGACTGATGCACCCATCCGGTGTACTAACCGTATAGACGCACTTTGTGTGGGAATCTAAGAGAGTCAAAACTTGATTGCTTGGGGAACTAGAGGGTGCCGAAATCTATCTGCTATTTATGCCCACAGACTCTATCCTGGATTTCTGCTGCCAGGAGCTAAGCTGGAACACTCTCTTGAGGGTTCCATGCTTCCAGCGTGTCTGCTTCGATCCTATATTGATTGATATAGGTTGCTTCCCGTTATTTGCTCTACCTGGATTGTATAGGGTAGTAGAAGCAGTTCGCAGCTCGCCTCCGCAGATGCCGTGAGCGCTGACACCTTGGCATCTGGTCTGTATCTGAGTGTCTTTTCGTGTAAGCGTGTCTCCCTGCCGGGCTTCCAGGTGGTGTTGGAGTGGGAAAGGTTGGGATTTCCGAAGTTATCATGGAAGCAGGACGGAGATGCAACATTATATATTTTCTCGGGAAGAGCATGAAACATCCTGACCGATTATTACACCGTAACCAACAAGGATAAAACTACTAAACAATCACCCACAAGCTAGAATTAACTTTAATTTACACCAACTAAAGAATCACCCTATTCACTATACTAAATCCAATAAATGTGCAGTATACGAGCATAGTCCAAAGCGCCATAACATAAGGAACCACCATGAACCGCAAAGTTTTCCACATCAAGCACAAATTTGAAGCACCTTACAGGACATAGCTCGAATAGCTCAGTTGGTAGAGCGCTTGACTAGTACTAGCTAGTTTCGCGACTAATCGCTTATCAAGAGGTCTGGAGTTCGAATCTCCATTTGAGCATAACTGTCCAATCTTTTTGATTTTTTTTTTCATCCATCCTTGATCCACTTGCACATTTTGCATAATATTTAAGATTCAAGAAATGAATATAGATATGCCAACTTGATTGATCGAACCCTTCACCTTTTTGGGATATTTTTTTTTTTTTAAATTTGCGATTATATATACTGAGAAGTGAGATTAGTCGATTATGTGCCCTGACAACCAATCACAGCTCGAATAGCTCAGTTGGTAGAGCGCTTGACTAGTACCAACCTAGTTCTATATATCAAGAGGTCTGGAGTTCGAATCTCCATTTGAGCATGTGTTTCTTTTTTTGTTTTGGCTTTTGGTTCTTGGAACTTTCTTTTTGCCGCCCCTCGAGGAAGGAGATAAGAGAGGATTTTCTTTTTCCTTGGCCAGGATCATAGAGTTCGATTATCGGCTATGATTGTCTCGGCGGCTCTTTGGGGTGCGGTCTACTTCTACTGGCTTCAAAGTAAAAAGATGGCCTGGCCGCTTTCCACCGGCGATGAAGCGGAAATGACATACGAGCGGCTTGACCAGCGCGTCATGATGGCGATAGCAGTCCCTATGAGATGATCTATGCATTGTACTCGTAGCAACAATCGTTCCGTCTCTGAACACTGATCTGAAGCTGTGTCCTCTGTACATGCTGCCACGCCCGGAGCGTCTTTGTCCACCATACAGGTTATACATTCGAAATATCTAGATAGCAGATAGAGATCGTGGATCTATTCCTAGCACCCTCCTCCTGCTCGACGATTACAACAGCGACGTCCCTCCCCCGAGGGGCCAGCCCCGTCTACCGCGTCGTGAGATGGATGGCTGTCTCTAATAGCACCTTGGTGTAGAGCTTGTGCAGCCAGGCGATGTTCGGTGGCATGGGTTCGCTCTCTGCCTTGCCTAGACCCTGATAGAAAACGCTCTTCAGTCCGAACTCAGCAACTCCCTCCTCCGGCTTGACGACGGCCGACATCTCAAACAACCCGTCCGACTCCCGCACGTCGCGCTTCAAGGGCGAGTCTCCGCATCGCACGACGATTCTCTCAGGAGTCTTCTCGATCACCTCGAAGTGGTCCGTGATCTGGGTGCCCGGCTCGTATGTGGCGGTTTTCAACTCCTGTCGCGACCACAGCTGGTTCGCCGTCTGGGGTCCTTGATACTTGCGAGCGAGGTATGCACGCTGGAAGGCATATCCTATTGAAGCACATTTGCGCTTCGCGTCAGTCCCAATTGGTCATTGTTACCAGCAAGCAAGAGCTCCCTCCGAGCGACTCACCCAGGCCTCCCCACACGCCCGCGCAGAATCTCTCAACCAGCTTCCCCTTATTTTCGAGCAGCGCGGGGTCAATCTCAGACAGCGGGACTTTCCGAACGAACAGGTCGTGTGTTGTCGGGTTCTGGAGAGGATTGAACGTGCGGAAATGCACCGAATTGAAGAGATAGTCGGACGTCGATAGCGGTACCTCCTCGATTTTGCGCGTCATACCCAGGTAGACGCCGACGCCGGCGACGCTCCCGACCGTGGTCAGCTTGACGAATTTGCTTAGGATGCCCATGATGCGCGTCTCTGTGGGAAAGGGACACGAAATGTCTGCTGAAGGGAAGAGAAGCACGACAGTGGTGGTGGTCGCGTGTCGTTAAGTAAGGTAAGTAGCCGATTCCGCCGCTATCCAGTTGCCGACTCGGGCGGTTGTCCGGACCACCGTCGTCTCTCTGTCAGCGGAGATGCGATAAGATTGCGCGCCCCATCACTCTGCTCGAAAGTGGTTTCCTTGTCGTTTCATTTCCTTCTGGTCGTGTTATATTGCTCAAATTTCTCTGCTGCAGCTCTGTATCGCCTTTTTTTATTTTAATGAATTCGTCCTTTCGGCTGCTGTCGTAGGATTTGACGTTTCCCTCACAGCAAGAGCTTCTCATGTCTCGCAGGACAGAATCGACCTGAGCACCACAGGAACTATCTCCATCCCCAAACGAGGGTTCAAATTTGACTCTCACGAAGACCTGACGGGAATGGATCGGACTAGCCCCCGAATTCTAACTACCGGCGAGATGATAGGATGACGAGATGGCAATCGAGCGGGTATATTAAATCACCACACGAAATTTCCAAAGACAAAAATGATCCGTCGCAGAGATATCGACATTGCGCTAACCAAGATTCCCAGGGATATGAGTGAACATTGACAAGGACGACAATTAAGTAGACAGGGTCCACATGGAACAGTAAATGGTGTAGTACCTACTGTACGATGTCTCTTCGAGGACCAGTGATTCGCATTCACAACTTAGGCGCACTAATAAGTATCTTCCGATACCTATCTGCAGAATCTATCCCAGGATCCTGAGCAGTGCTGCACAAATTCGCAGGATTTCAAGTAAATCGGCTCTATGGTATACTGGGCTTTATGAAGCTCGCGATAGCTGTTTCTGGCGACGTCAAGTCTCTCCCAGAAACACTGTAGTAGAAACACAACACTACTTAGATGAATTACAACGCCTGCGACGCGGTAGATATTCGAAACTCGCCTTCCCCGCTTTTAAGTATGTATGTACCTTAGTCTTTCCCCGCATTTTCATCTGCTTTCGCACCCGTTTTTTTTTTTTTTTTTTTTTTTTTTTTTTTCTAAATAGGAATAGTAGCTAGAGCAGGACTCATCCATGCGATACAAAGAAACACTGAAAGACAACCGAAGTATATCTATATCAACCAATTACCGGAGCTTATATAAAGACCCAGCCTTGGATATACTGTGGTTGAAATCTATAGTTTCATCTTTATATGCGATCTTCATCCTCAATTCTATTATAAGACCCCGTCTACTTATCCAGTAGGTAACTAATGGCGATATAGGGATACGTTAACCGCAAAAAAAACAACAACAACATAAAACGCAGATTAGCCTGCACGACAGATAACTACAAGCGTCTTCTCATTCGAGTTTGTCCAGCGCACTGTTTACGTGTCAGACCCAGATTGCATCTTCGGATATATGGTCTAAATTCATGATTTAGTTAACAGAACAGCGTTTTATAAGAGATGTTCATAACTCCCGTCTCACGAGGGAGTATACATTAAGCATTTTCACGACGCAAGATGAAAAGTATCACGGACTTATAAACGTCCAGTGGAATGCATACAGCATATCTATGTTGAAGCATTTGTTGATAATACTGGTAGTCTTTTCTCATAAAGAGACGAGACTTAACGAGTTTGCCAATTCGCGCATTGAGTTCGTCTCTGGTATGTACATGGCTATTTTTATATATGCAACTAAAAAAAAAATCTGCAGAATAAAAATCTAAATACTATTGAAGAACAACCATTCATCTTACTGTAAACCCTCAACTACTAATCTCACATCTTAACTTAACGCTTTCGCTAAAAAAGACCATACCATACATAGATCTATATGTTCACGTGACACATACCTTTACCGCGGGTGGGGATCCGCAACTAGGGATAAAAAAAGATATGCGTCCCACATTCCCACAGGGCGTCAAAAAATAATTCCAGGGCAAAAAAAGAAACTTGCTATGCTCAAATGGAGATTCGAACTCCAGACCTCTTGATATATAGAACTAGGTTGGTACTAGTCAAGCGCTCTACCAACTGAGCTATTCGAGCAGTTGTTCCTTTGCCTCGAGAGAGGGAATTATGAAGCTGATGCATGATTGTATTGTATTTTGATTCATGGACTAACTACTACTAGACTACGGTGATTAATTAATTATGGAGGATGGGTTGCTGGACTCTAGTATTATGCATTATGAGTTGATGACTATCTTTGTTTTGTCTCTAGTTACCTATACTTATACCTTTACGCCTGTTCGCTTCTCCCAGGCGATCTTTGCGGGTGCCAATGGGCGAGAGAATAGTGACTGAAGTAATTGTTAGCTGGCGCGTACCTTGGAAGGGAGCATGTTGGATACGGCTCGAGGGTGTGTTTATCTTACCGAAAAGTCTGTCTTGGGAACTCCCTTGACGCCATCTATATTGCGTAGTTTGAAGTTTCGCACGAGAATTGCCAGAATAACGCCCATCTGCAGGTACGCAAACTGTTCGCCGATGCAACGGTGTCGCCCAGCTCCGAACGGCAGGTACGGACTTCCTGAACCCTTACTCCACGAGGCACCATTCACTGGATCTTCTGGGTCTTCTTCCTCGTCTTCATGTGCGTTTCTCGTCTCCCATCGGTGAGGGTCCCATTTCATCGGGTTCGGGAAGTACTGCGGATCGCGGGCTGAAGTGGCCGGTGTCGCGAGGACAGTGTGGGACGGAGGGATGACATAGGAAGTTCCGTCAAGGATGAGCGGATTTTTGACCTTGCGCAAAATTGAATGAATAGGATTGTGTAGTCGCAAGGTCTCTCGGACTGTGTGACGATGCAGTTTCAATTCCAGCAGTCCTTCGTACGTCAGTTCTCCGAGTTCGGGCCCGAAGACTTGCTGCTGCTCCCGGTACAGTTCCTCAAGGATATCTGGTTCCGAAGCGATTCTCAACAGGATGAATGAGATGGTGGATGATGATGAATGGTGTCCTCCCATCAATAGCGCAATCATCATATGAGCAATCTCTTTATCCGGCAGCGGTGTGCCGTCTTTATATTCACACGACATCAGATTCCAGATCATGTCTTCAGAGTCCTTTTTGTGTCCGTTCCTGCGGCGTTCTTGGATGATCTCCATGTAGACCTCAGTCATCTTTCGCTGGGCTCGATCTCGCGCTCGGTTATGCGGCAGAGGTGCCCAGGGGAGCATGAAGTTGATCGGCACAAATCCCATATCCAGATCATGGAAGAGGTCTGCGAATGTCGAGTCGAGTTTGGATCGAATTTCCTTGCCTTGGAGCGAACGAGCGGCCGTATACAGGGTGAGTTCAGCCATAGCCAGAGGAACGTTGAGTGTGCCAGTTTCTCCTTGGAGTTCAGCTGAGGTCGAAATGAAATTCTCAACCTCCAAGCTGATTAACTTGACATGAGACCGTAGTGCTTCTGTTGTGAGACCAAATTTGACAAACTGCTCTCGTTCGTCAATAATAACACATACACAACAGTGTTGTCTTACAATGTATGAACTCACCTTCTTCTGCTGCATCAGCTTCGAGTTTGGACAATCGAACACGACGTCCTTTCCAAACACGGGAGTCGTAAGAGGCGAATAGATCTCCTCCGCTGAGAGATCGCTGAGCTTGCCATTCAGGACGAAGTTGTTTCCATTAGCACCCAGACAGACCGTCGTTGGCTTTCCGAGCAAGATGAAGGTGAATACGTCTCCGTACTAGCCAGAATCCTCATCAGCTAGCATTCAAGATCAATTGGCAAGCAGCTTACCTTTTCTTTGCAATCAAAGAAAAACTTGAATGGGTCCATCCCGTAGGAGATGGTATTTCCCAGAATGGGAAACCAGTGGAAAACCACCGGAGGCTTATGAGGATCTTTCCAGAGCAGCTGCTTCAGGATATTAATGAGGATTGCAGCGACGAGGCATACTGCAGTGACGCCTATCAGTGTCATTGGAGATGCTACCGCCAGCGTCGGGGTATTGAATATTGCGATGGCCATCTCGACTAAATTGAAGAGCAAACCTCCCGAGCTCTCTCCAGCGACACTACAAAGAAAAAGCAAGGAGCTTTAGGTAAAAGACGGACGACGACAGCCATATTTACAAATAAACGACCGATCTGCAAATCTTTCAAAAGAAATGGACCACCCAAAAGCCCAGAAAGCCCCGAACCATCTGAATGCGGCTCAGGGTCACTTCTTGGTTTCTCCCGTCAATCTATCTATCGGATATTGAACCTCCCGCGCCATCGATCTGCCGGAACATCCACTCCCGGCCTCAGACGATACTCTCGGACCGAATCAAGGCAGTGCGATTTATGGGCTTTCTTATTCAGCGTAGATGGTTGGTCTGGTCTGATCTGATATTTAGCGGCATGTCGAATTGCTGTTGCCTGGAATGGAGATTGCGGGGAGGCTGTGATGCTACGGAGGAGTTAATTCTATTTCTTGGCATATATTGTTACCGAGGCCGGGATTATAGGTAGGCAATAGATAATATATTACTAGACGAGATGTTCGAGAAAGGGAGTGCCTCCGCCGGCCCGTGTATAGAATAAGACGCATTTCGAAACGATCGCCAAAAATAAATCCATAATTCTCGTATGCTGATGGATAGGTTCATTGGTATATGTGGATAAGATAGAATAAGAACCCGTATATTATGAGTCGATAAATTATTTCCCGATGTTAAATTAGTTGACATGAAGTGAAAATGTATGCAACTTTCCCCTCCCACAGGAACCAAGCGGTTCCTTCCTCCATATTCATATCAACAGTTAATAATTAAGCCAGGCCATTGGAGATTAGGAAATAATCCCAATGGGGCCGGTAGTCGAGGTATGGGTATGTTTCTTCCGTTCATTCTCGATGCTTTATCTGATGCGCTTTACAACATCAGGACCGAGAAGACACCAATAGAGCCCAGCAGCAGCCATGCTGGGACTCTCAGGTGCTCTGCCAGGTTCTTCTTCGTGCTGGATGCAGACACACTCGACGACGAGGAGGTCCCCGTGGAACTACCAGACGCGGTCGGGGTGGTGGTGTCCTCGGTGCCGCACAGGCCAGAACCGTTCATGTTGAAGGTCGGGAAGAAGACTCTCGGCTCTCCCTTGTCCATATTCACGGTGATGGTGCCATTCTTGCCGGCAGTGACGGTGCTGCATCCAAAGACTTCAGTCAGCTCGGTACCCTCGTCGGCCGCTCCAGGGACCTGTAGCTCGTATGCGCCTCCATTGCTGCCTTGGTTGGAGAGGACGGAGACGATCTGCACGCCGTTGACGCCCTTGCGAGCAGCGTAGGTAGAGTTGTCTGTATACAAGAGGCTGCTGTCGTTGGTGACGTAGTTGCTGTTCACTTTGATGGCGTGGTTGCGCAGCTTGTTCAGCGTGGCCGTCAGGTTGTAGAGAGGAGCAGAGGTGTTGTAATTGGTTGACCACAGCTCCTGTCGGTTGTAGGGAGAGTAGTTTCCCGGCAGGTGCTGTTCCTGGCCATAGTAGATCTTGGGGATTCCATCGGCGAGGATGGTGAATGCCATGGCATTCTTGGCGAGCTGGAGCGCTGTTAGGTTCTGAAATCATATCAACCGCTGAAGATGAACAGGGCTTACATTGATATCATCCACGTAGGATGGGAATCGCTCGTTGTCCTGGTTTTCGATAAACGTTGCCAGGTACTGAGTCTCGGAGCAGGCGGATCTCATCTGGCTGATCATCGACACCAGACCAGGCATGTCTCCATCCGTGAAAGCATTGATGATCGTGAAGTAAAGCGGATAGTTCTCCAGCCCACCAGTCCACTTCTGGTAATTGCAGACGTAAGATGGAATATCATCGTCGACTTCGGCCATTCCATACACGTTGGCACTCTTCAGGAAAGGCTGGAGAAAGTCGTAGTTGATCTGCTTGGCACCGTCGATACGGATACCATCGATAGAGTAGTTCGACACCAATTCCTTGATCCAACTGTTCAACTGACTGTTGATCGAAGAGTTCAGGGTGTTGATTCTCGGCGTAGCGACTCCCTCGTAGCCTAGCCAGCAGTCTTGCACTTCCGTCACGTTCAACCAGTTGGTGATCGGGCAGTATGGCATGTAGTCGGACTCCTGGTTAAACGGGTAGAATACTGAGTAGTCGATCGGATAGCTCGTGCTCATGGTTGTGTTACCGATATCGTAGGCCATTTCATTGGCGACGACATCGACCAAGATGTACATATCACGCTTGTGCAGCTCCGAAACTAGGTTCTTGAAGTCGGATTCCGAGCCAAAATGCTCGTTCAGCTCATACAGGTTCTGTGGCCAGTAGCCATGGTATGCCTGTCCGTAGATGGTCGTCTGGTTGAGGTTCTTGTTGACGGGCGAGATTTGGACCGCTGTGAAGCCCATACCCTGGATATAATCCAGCTTGTCCACCAGACCGGCCCAGTTGCCTCCACAGTAGTTTGTGATGTTGCATGGTGCGTCGAAATCGCTAGAACGCGCAAATCTGTCTACCACGACTTGGTAGATAGATCGTTGAGCCCATTCATCGTTGGATGCGGCCCGCGACAGCTCGACAACGCATACGAGAAAGAGTGAAATATACTTGAAGAGCGCCATGTCGGATCTCTCCGCAGCGGAACCTGTATTAAGTACTTACAATCCAGCAATTGGTCGTCTCACAAGTAGGTGGTCCTGACAGAAACCCACAGGGCTGATCAGTGCTAAGCGAATGTAAGCTCCAAGCAAATGGGAGCGATAAAGAATCAAAACGAGTGAATTCTGCGTAAAACAGCGGCAAAAAAATTATTTTACAAGCAACAAGCAATGGGATCCAGGAACAGCCGAAAGAAAAAACCTTTCGCGCCGCCCGGGATATGGCATGATAAGTAATAAGAGGCCATCCTTCCTCTGTGCCCAAGTGGGATGCCTCGTCCGGGTAAAAATGTCTCAGAAGATACATGGGACGTGCCAAATCGTATCCTCAGGAACTGTATCTAGGTGGATCATGCGTCTGTCCTATAGGCTACTCGGGATAAAACTGCTTGCACAGTGTCAGCGCTAAGAATATCCCATGAAGTCTGTAGGAAAAAAAAAAACCTTCAGTTTGTCACTAACAAGCCGTTTTGCGCCGAGAATTCAAGATTCACCAGACCAGAAAAAGCTTATTTCCGCCTTATTGCAGTTTTTTCTACGGGTTTCTTTCTCTCCCTTTCGTAGTCCTTTGCCACCGGGCACGGAATTTCTTAGGACATACATTATTTCCCGGGATGCACTTTTTGATAAGGACGACTGCGCTCCCGAACGATCGATGCATCCTGCAATTTCCGTAAACGACACCTCGCAGACGACGTTAAAGGGGCCGATGGGCAGCGTCGCATCTGTTATCAAGAAAGCTAGGGTGATTGATCCAAGCATGTTCCGGCTCCACCGAAAACCAGCGAAACCCCCGCATCTTCGATTCGTTGGCGCTGGCCATATCACATCCCGCGCAGCTGGACTATCGATGCGCCACGGAACACGCTTGCTTTCGGCGTACGTCACCTGTCATGCTGATCCTGGCGATTCTGGGGAAGATTTCAGATTAGAAGTCAAGAAGTAGGAGACATGGTAATTTCATTGTTCTTTCGGGGAAGAGTGCCACTGAATTTTGGTGACCTTGGAAGCCCAGTGAGCCCAGTAGATAGATAGGATCAGGAACAGACTAACCGGGACACACGACGGAACCGAATCCTTTCATTGATACCAGGGACGCGGACACCCTGAGTTGATCATCTACCTTATTGGTACTGGACCAGAGCGTTCGAGAACACTTAAAAGTGTCAAGTAATATCTCTGACGGCCGAGGCCGAGATTTCGGTCAGGATATATCCCACCAATACTTCGTAGCTTTCAGTAACACCAGAGAGCAATGGTTTCAAGGGGCGAAAGTTCTGCGAGCGTCTAGTGATGGCCAGATTGGCAACAATCAGGAACAGCGTTATCCCTTGCATCATCATGTTAGGAGCTCCCTCGGTCGGCGGGCAATGGGACTTCAACTGTCACGTCTGCAGGCGCAAAAAGCCAGCAAGTGTCTTGCATAAAAAAGCTTTTCAGGAACAAAAGCCACTTACTGTACCATACGGAGTAGTAGTCGCGTCTATCCACTTTGAGGGGCGGGGCCCCCGGATCATTATTGACTCCAAGCGCATTCAAAGAGAAAGCATCTCGTTCTTGAAATACAACTTATTGTATTGTAACTACGTCCTCTGGGCGGAGGTCTAATGTTTCAATCTTGTCGAACTACTTAGAAGCCACTGTCACATATGGTTTAAGCAATGGCATACTTTTCAATCGAACCACCGTCAAAAATTACATTTGAAGTCGGCTTTCAGTTTCTGCAAACATGGATCTACTCTCGTGCATGGTTATCCTTGTTTGTGTTACGTAGAACTCGCGAAATCATCTATGCGCAAAGAAAACAATCTGATCGCGATCTCCTAGATGCGACTGTTCAACATACCCGGGACAGCCTTGGAAGAGGAGTAGAGCTATGTGTAAAGACTGACCTCGGAAGCACATACGCTTGGTCAAAAACATACTTTTATCGACCTTTGTAATTAGAACAACTCTTTCTGCTCCACAAACCACTCGATCTTGTGACTGGGTGACTGATTTATATAAGTAGGGCGGAGCTTAGCAAAGGGCTTAAACGAGAGCGAGCGTGACGGTCATCTCTTTGGATAGTCGCTAAAATACCATATGGGACTGAATAGTAACACCTCAAATGATCGCAAAGAAATGGGTTTATAAGGCGCTTAGCAGGAATAGCAATCGTATATAATAATAAGAAGGACAGGCGTGTATTATTCGCATCTAGTGACTGAGTTTAGTACTGTGCTTTCATATCGTCCTCATTATTTTTAAATATAAAGCAGATGATTTATGTCACTGCATCCATTATAAAACCAAAAGAAAAACCCGTTCACTGATTCTCATACTTCAAACCAGAGTGCTGTCGAAGCGCACCGTAAATACCTGCGACATCGCCCTTCTCGCCATCATGCTCCTTGACTTCCTTCAAAAGACCATCCGCGACCTCCGCACTAGGCAGATGCACGCCGGAAGAGCTGGCCAAGCTCAACGCGTGACGCAGATCTTTCCGAGCCAAGTCGACCGCGAACAGTGGGTATTCTCTCTGGTAGTAGTCACCAGAAGTCATGCGGGTCGAGTATTTCGGGAACGCTCCGGGGAAGAAGAGCTCCAGCCACTGGTGGTAGGTGTCGGTACCAAGACCAGACTTCTCAGCCAGGACCAGGCCCTCAGAGAGGGTCTCGATGGTGCTTAGAATGAAAGAGTTTCCAAGGACCTTGAGCATGCTCGCTCTTCCAATCTCCTGGTCGGACAGGTCGATAATGGTGCGACTGGTCACGCCCGTAGTGAAAGGCTTGACCTTGTCCACGTCTTCCTTCTTTCCAGCCAACACACTGACGAGCTGTCCGGCATCAGCGAACGCCGGGGCACCAAAGACTGGGCAAGAGACGAAGGAAGCTCCCTTCTCCGTAAGAGTCTGAGAGGTCTTTCGGGTCGTGTCTGGGTGGACGGTCGAGCAGTCGACGAAGAGCTTCCCCTTGACATCGCCGGACTCTATAGCCTCCTTGATAACATTGTCAGAGGCGGCATCGTCACCGACACAGATGAAGATAAGATCCGCTGGCTTCACGGCATCGGCAATGGTGGTAGCGACAGTAGCTTTGCCCTTGGGGAAGGACTCGACGAGAGAATGGGCACGCGCAGCGGTACGGTTGTAGACAATCAGAGGAGACTTAAGGGAGCCTTTTTCAATGATGTTTTTGCACATCCCCTGTGAACTGGTTAGTTTTGTCTGGGTATTTTTGTAGTGAAGTGATCTGGGAGGCATTCTTTGGCCGTTCCATTTGACGCATGAAGCCAAGGATAGAAAATAATAGCAATTGGGTAAAACTCACCCTGCCCATGTTCCCCAATCCAATCCATGAAACTTGAGATGCCATTTCTGCTAATGTATCAGGTTTATCGAGCCTGTTTCGCTTGTTGTGTGTATTTATTATGGAGATATTAATATCCACTGGATAGGTCAAGACAGTTCCGTCAGCAAGATGCTCTTTCTCCAACGGCTCAGGGGTGCACACTACGTTAACTTGGCAGTTCGCTGACTTCAAAATAAAGATCTTCGAGGTCCAAGAGACGTCCACGATAGAAATAACTACTGCTCTACCCCTCCTCCGGACAACAATGCGATGTCGATTACTAAGGTATCGGCCGGAACGATTCCGATGACGTTGCACGCGGGCCCACCAAGGAGGGGAAAAGAACCTTGGAAGATAAAGGAACAATAAAAAGAATATAATAACAGAACAATTGGCGAAAGACAAGCTTTTGCTAAGCTCGATAGTGGGTGGTCGGACCAACTTGGTCAATGCTTAAGCTCACCTCGGCAGCTTGAGATAGTTCCGCTGCCGGCATGTTTCTGTAACACCTAGAGAAACTAATAGTATCTTATTTTCAGAGTAGTTATCCTTTTATATAAAAGCATAAGTATATTTTACCGCTTAAATAACTACAGTCTAATAATAGGCAAAATAAATACTGCTAGAACATTTTTACGTTCTCCCCTAAGAATATAGTGTACTATTATATCCTGCCAGCCTGTAATAATAATATAAATTATAGCAGACACGGTTTTTCTGTTTCTGTTAATAAGTCACAGATCGGATGACTCCACCAACCAATCAGGTCCCGTAGCTCAGTCGGTTAGAGCGTGGTGCTAATAACGCCAAGGTCGCGAGTTCGACCCTCGTCGGGACCATGGTTTTCTTTTTTGCTTTTTTGCTTGCCCTAATTGTCTAACGAAATTACCCATCGCACCATTGTTCATATACATACTTAGCATAGATAATAATAATATAGTGACTTTACTATCACTTGATGTAGGAACGCACTGTCAAAGATGGTCTGACTCGGATTCGCCACGCAGAACTACGCCTTCTCCTAGAACCTTCGTATCCTGGATCGCAGCTGAAGTTGAGATATTAATATAGATATGGACCTTGTATCGACCTGAGTAACTGAAAGTGCGCAATGACATTTATCCGGTCGCTTCTGGCAGGTTGAAGTGACGGTCATTATATTACGAAACGAGCCTCTAAGAGACAGTCAGGGTATTGCAGTAAAAATAGATATTAGAACATAGATCGTTAACGCGTACAAAATGCGAACCGTAGTGTTGCAGTCGGTCAGTACTCGTATAAGCCAAATGCGCCACTCAAATCTCCAGTCTCACACTTCAATCTTTCATCTTCGCGAGCTTCGTCGCATAGAAAACGAAGATCGGTGCTGACAATAAGGCTGGACATTGTAAGCACGAACAGGGTTATGCTTTCTCAAAAAAGAAAAAAGATAATTTTATGTGTGTGCAATTATCAAACGATCTTGAAGAGAAGAAAAAGAATAAAGAGACGGCTTCATAGGTGTTATTTCCGTTTTCCAGATCAGAATGAAAAAGCATCTGGGTTCTGTCGCAGATACAGCCTCGTCCCTATGGGTGTAAACAGAGCAGGAAGTATCATAAGAGAGACAAACGATATCATATAGGGAGGAAGCTAGCGGGGGTGTCATACAGACGACTCTTGTACGCCTATAGTTCCCTCTCCTTTTTTCAGCCATATGAGAGTGAAGTGAGCCAATGATACTCCAATTCCACTATCATCCCAGGACAAACTGCGCAATAGGGGGTACTAAAGAATCTCAGGGCCATCACAAGTGCGAAAGATGCGAAAAGAATAGATCAGAAACCGTGAGCACCACTCCCACCACCAGGGCCCGTAAGTGGAGCAGTTCACAGCACGACAGAGAATAAAAGGGGAATAGGATAAAGTATGCGATGACAGCGAACGATTCTATCAGCAGATCAGACGCTGTCTTGCCCTGGAGAGTATAAAGGAAATCGCCTCGACCCCAATAGAGCATAGATGAATCACACAACAAGGACTCCATTCCATGCAAAAGTGTGTTGTTTTTTTTAAAGGTAGCGAAGAGGCGACGAGAGAAGAGGAGAATGGCGGCATGGCAACGTCAATTACATGATAATAGCAGGAACTATTATCGACACATCAGTACCAGATCGGACAGTATTGACCTGTATGTATAAGAGGACTTACCATCAATGTTCTGCTTGATGCTCTTGTGCGGCAGGATGGAGCCTCCATTCACGTACACTTCGTCGCCAATGGTGACATCGTCTCCGAGAACAGTCACGTTCTCCAGACGGGCCCATCTGCCAACAGAGCTGTTCCAACCGACAATGGTTGACTTTACCCAAGCGTGGTCCTTGACCTTGCTGTTCTCGAGCAGGACGCACCGCTGGAGGCGGACACCATCGCCCACGACGACATTGGGACCGATGACCACATTAGGTCCAATACGGCAGTTCTTGCCAATCTTGGCGGTCGGGTCAACCATGACATTACCGCCAAAGACGTAGGGCTCAGTGCTCGGGCAAAGAAGCTGGGGGTTGCGCTTCGCCAGCGAGCTCAGGTAGAGGCAAGTGCCGCTGAGGAAGTCCTTAGGCTGCCCGACATCCATCCAGAAACCCTCCAGGTCGAAAGAGTGGAGCTGGCCGTCCTTGCAGATGGCGGGGAAAGTCTCCTGCTCGATGGAGGTGGGACGGAGATCAATGCGCTTCAAGACGCTGGGGTTGAGAATGTAGATACCGGCGTTGATGCGGTTTCCCACGAACTCGACGGGTTTCTCGACGAAGCGGTCGATGCGCGAGGGATGGTTCGGCTTGTGGACGACGACACCGTACTTGGAGGGCTCCTCCACTTTGGTCACCACGATGGTACCTTCATCACCGTGACTCTTGTGGAAGGCTGCCAGCTCCTGGAATGGGTATTCACAGATGACATCGGAGTTCAGAACGAAGAATGGCGAGTCGTCCTTGCCCAGGATCTTCTCGGCCAGCTTCAGGGGACCGGCCGTTCCCAGGGGTTCCGACTCCACGGAGAACTCGATGTTGACGTTGTATTGTTCCTCATACTTAAAACCGCCGCCAGAAGTCAGTCAATTGAACCTGTCTCTACGATACCTCGGCCACATACCTTCTTGAGCGTCGAAACCATCACATCCGGGCGGTAGTTCACGGCCAGCACGATGTCAGTGACACCTGCAGCAGCCAGGCTCTCCACCTGATGGAGGATCATGGGCCGGTTGCCAAACTCCACCAGGGGCTTAGGGAGCGTCAAGGTCTAGAGGAGGAGCGGCTGTATGAGCTTCCATGCTGATTGATGACGGCAGGAGGGGGTTATTCCCGAATGCCAGCGGCGAGGATCGGCGGGAGACTTACAAGAGGGCGCAGACGGGTACCAAACCCTCCGACAAGAATGAGCGCTATTTATCAGTGGTTAGTCGCCTGCTGCAGAGGACGTGACGTGCAGAGCATCCTTACCCTTCATGATTGCGACGTGTGTAGTTGGTGATTAGGTATTGTTGACGATGTGGTTCCGGTGGATGCACCGTGTCGTTTACTGCAAGAGTCGCGGCGGGGAAGTAACGAGAGAAAGACCGGGACACGCGAGAGTCGAGTGCAGACGAGGACAATACAATTGATTGATTGATCGATTAATTAACTGATCGGGAGCGACAATGAAGGACAGATAAGAAGTCCGGCCCGGTCGAGGATAGGAAGTAGGGGAAAAGAACAGCTGGCGCGGCTTCTCTTATTTTGAGCGGCCTTCCCAAGGTTTGGTTTGTTGCGCCCTCATCGAGTCGCCGGGCACGTTCGCAGCTAACGCCACAAAAGGGGGGGAGCGGGCCTGCGCTCAAGACGGTTTAACCGCTTTAACTGGTTTAACTGGCTTCCTCCCGTGTTCGTCTATTCATGGCGATTCACGGCGATTAATTCATGGGCCCCTGAGTCTGAGTCTGGAATCATTGGAATGAGCCCTCATTATCCCCCCCGCTCTCTATCCTGAAATCTTCCTAGACCAGCAGCCCATTATTCGGTCGCTGCCAATGACCATAACTCCTCTACTCCATTGTAGGGCCACTCCCACGTTTTGCCTGCGGGAGCCAGCGACTGGGTCTCACCACCAGGACCACCTGACAGGATTCAATATCATTGTGCTCACAATGCGATGGTCTGCGACTGAACGACCCAACTTCATCCCACGGCTCGGCCGATGTAGCATCCATCACCATCTCCGGGACACAATCATGATCGGGGGTCACGGGGCCCGACGGTCACGGTACGGGTGACTGGGAAGCTCTCATTCCGAGCCCGATCCAGGGTAGCCGGCCGTCGACGTCTAGAACGGCACCAGTCAGCGCTGTCCGTTTCTTGTGGTGCTGTGCATTGCCTGCATTGCCTGCGGTGGCTGAGTGAGGATGCTATTATTTAGTAGTTACTATTCTTGTTTCGTTTCTCCCCATGATTGTTTGAATTTACTACTGCGTGTCTGGCGGGAGCAAAGGCCTCCGATTCGAGGCGCCGCACATTCCAGGGTCACCGCCTGCCTCATCCGGCCCCGAGCCAACAAAGTTCCTGATCCAGTCGCGGACTCGGCGGACTTTCTGTGTCCGCAGATCGTCCGCGCTGGCCGCATCGATCGCCCGCGAGGTGTATATGCCCGGGGGATCGTTCAAGTCGACAGGCTGGCGGTATAGCAGGTCGATCTGGGTCAGACCATGGCGGAGGCTCTGGCCGTAGACCCGTTCCCGGAACGAGCTTAAGCCTACCGTCCGGAGCAGCACGATGTCTCGTGGGCGGAGTCCTGCCACGGCCTGTCCAAGAGCATCCGCACGGATGCCTCCGCCAGCCCCCCGCTCAGAATTGGTCTCCTTAGTTGTCTGCTCTGCCGGAGGAAGCCAGATGGTCACGCCAAACCCCGCCTTGGTGTTATCCCCCACAATCAGCTCGACAATATCCAGTTCCCGTTGCCACCGGGTTAAGACACGGCGGCGCGGGTACACGGCGATCACGCCCACCACGAGATTGACAGTCATGGTCTGGGGAACAATCGAATGCAGATAGGCCGCGTTCGGAATGTCTTTCAGATCGCTGATTGTTCCCCGTATGGGAGGGAAAGATCCTACCAAAGGGCCTCCCTGGCCAGCGTGGGTGATGCCAGTACTGCTTGTCTGGACACTGTCACCACTGGACTCCCAGTCCGTAGATTCAGCCGGGAGAGCTGCTGCAGAAGTCTCGTAGATTGTGAACGAATGATTATAGAATTTCGAGAGGACGTCGGGATCGTCTGCAGAGCTTGTTCCTCCGCAGCCTCCAAACGCAGGATCCTCCACGGAAACGACATTGAGATCTCGAGGGGTCAAAAAGAGAGCTTCTTCACTTCCCCGCAAAGGATCTGCAGCTGTTTCTGAGGCCCTTCTGGAACCCTGCAAAACCCTCCACCTGACTGAGTGAGTAGCAGAGGCTGCGTGCGTCTCCCCGTCACTGATATTCTCTCCGCTGAACGGGGGTATCGGGGCATTCAGGAGTCCTTCCTCATCCCATACCAGGTTCTCTGGCAAAGGAGCCCCCATCAGGAAGATCGACTTCGTTGGCATACTCATTCTGGCTGGCAGTATCAGCCGGTAATTAGCCGCTAAGAGGACCCTGGCCAGACTCCTGTTCGATAAAAGCCTCTGGGATCTGCAAATAGCATGGATTAGGTGCCTTTGAACGACGTCTTCGTCTTTGTTTCTTTTCTGGCACGTTCTTGCATTTGATTCTGAGGATGGGTTGCTCTATTTTCGATCAGCCCTTTCATGGAGTATGGAGTAGAAAGTAGAACAACGCCAAGACCGCGACAACCAGTGCAACAAAGGTTGATCTGGAGCTTCGGGTCACCCTCGGTTAAGCTTCGCCATGTGAATGGTTCATATGTTCTTGGAATCAGCCACTGCCCACTCGGTTTGTTGTATGCTGAAATAGATATCCCAGTAGGTAGTCCTGAAAGGCCCAGTCACCTGACCCCAAGCATCAAGACCGGTGACTAAGCAGACTACGGCGACGTACAGCGCCCGCAGTGGCAAGACCAGTGAAATTCGCCGCATCGGAGTGACCAAAGCACTGGAGAGACCAGACATCATAGCGCGCTCCACGCCTGCTTCTCACCTTCATACCGACATCGTCCTGAGCGATGGCTCTCGTCCTTCTTCAATATTAATCCTATCTCTCTATCAGGGTTCGCGCCCTCTTCCTACCATCTGAATAGCCTCTCTTTTCTTGCTGCGGCCGAGCGCCGCCGGAACCTCGGACCACCATGGCCTTTCAGGTTGCAGCTAGCATGCCGGTATGTCTGGGTTGCTTGTCTCGTGTTGATGCACCATCGCTAACTGTTTGATTGTGAATAGAACATCACGGCTGTATCTTCAGATCTCTGGCCTTCTATATCGAACGTCCTCTCCGCGCCCCGGAGACATGTTGACCGCTCTATCTCCGGTTCTAGAGTCACCTCCAGGCCGAACACTGCTCAGCGCGGTATTGCCACCAAAGCAGGAAATGCAAAGGTATGTCCAATGCCAGTTATAACCTCATGTGCATGCAATGCTGATGAGATTAGGCATCTCAACATTTATCGCTACCTGAATGTCTGGGTACAGTGTCCCTGAACACGCTGAGAGCTGGCATGACCTCTGGTGTGCCATCACAAGGTTAGTTGGCTTTGTCTAGACTCCTGCACTTGCTTGTGATGGTGCGTTAGAGCTCGTACTGACGTTTGTTAAGTTCTAGGACGGACTTCGACAACATGGGCTTCCCAGTCGCTCCCGCGGATACGTCCAGGCATGTCACAAGCTTCTCGTCAGTATTCTAGCATGTCTGGCTTTGGCCTCAGTCGCCTTCGACCAGTGCCTCGAGTAAAGGGTCTCCCCCAAGTTGAACAGCAACGGAGTTTTTTTGGCGGGCTATCGACCAACATGTTGGCACAGAAGGAGAAAACAGCGAATAACAACCCCAGTAGCGCCAACGCCCAGAACGCGTTCTACCAAGCGCTCCTGCGCGCCAATATGCCTGCTATCATCGTGGAGCGTGTACGGAGCGGACGTTTCGCCGGCAATGCAGCTACTGAGGCACTGTACCTGAAAGCACTGCAGCGTGTGGGTGGTGCCGATGCGGCCTTCCCCGTTGCGCAGGCTCCAGGGCAGAATCAAAACATCCCTCCGGAACAGTTGCAGGCCATCGGTCAAGCGGTTGCGGCGCGGAACTATGGCGGCCAGATCGGAATGGCCACGAAGCAGACAGGCACCGGCGCCAAGGACGCTCCTCTGTACGTCGTGGTCGAAGAGTCACTAGGCAGCGCTGTGTTTCGATGGATCAAGTTCCTTCTCTATTTTGGCTTCTTTACGTACATGTCCCTCGTTCTGGTTACCATCCTTATCGAAACAACAGGTGTTCTGAAGAACGTCCGCGGTCCGCAGAATAACGAAGCGCAACCTCAGCAGCAAAAAGTCCGTTTCAGCGATGTGCACGGATGCGACGAGGCCAAGGATGAACTCCAAGAGCTGGTCGAGTTCCTTCTGAACCCGGAGCGATTCTCAACTCTCGGTGGCAAGCTCCCCAAGGGTGTACTTCTGGTTGGACCTCCGGGTACCGGAAAGACCCTGCTGGCTCGTGCTGTCGCTGGAGAGGCTGGTGTGCCCTTCTTCTACATGTCTGGATCCGAATTCGATGAAGTCTATGTGGGTGTTGGAGCTAAGCGTGTCCGTGACCTTTTCGCCCAGGCTCGTTCCAAGGCACCGGCTATCATCTTCATCGACGAACTGGATGCCATAGGTGCCAAGAGAAACGAGCGTGACGCTGCCTACGTGAAACAGACGCTTAACCAGCTTCTGACTGAGCTCGATGGTTTCTCCCAGACCAGCGGTGTTATCATTATTGCTGCTACCAACTACCCGCAGTTGCTCGACAAGGCTCTGACTCGCCCAGGTCGTTTCGACCGCAGAGTTGTTGTCGGTCTTCCGGATGTGCGCGGCCGTATGGATATCTTGAAGCACCACATGAAGAACGTCCAAGTCGGTACAGATGTGGATGTTGCCGTTATCGCCCGTGGTACTCCTGGATTCTCCGGTGCAGACCTGGAGAACTTGGTGAACCAGGCCGCTGTCCATGCCAGCCGCAATAGACAAAGCAAGGTTGGTCCTAAGGACTTTGACTGGGCCAAGGATAAGATCATTATGGGTGCGGAAGCACGCAGCCGTATCATCCAGGACAAGGACAAGCTCCTGACTGCGTACCACGAGGCTGGCCATGCTCTTGTCGCCTACTTCTCGCCATCCTCCACTCCTCTATACAAGATTACGATCGTTCCGCGAGGAATGGCATTAGGTGTGACGCACTTCCTTCCCGAGATGGACATGGTTTCGAGAAACTACACGGAATACCTGTCTGATATCGATGTATCGATGGGTGGTAAGGCTGCGGAAGAGCTGATCTTCGGCCCTGACAAGGTGACCAGCGGTATCTCAGCGGTAAGTCTATCGGCTGTCTCTGGTTGACTACAAATTTGCTAATCATTTCTCATAGGATCTTCAACAAGCTACAGAAACCGCTTTCACCCTAGTGACCCGGTTTGGTTATTCCAAGAAACTCGGAAACGTTGATCTCTCTACGAACTACAACAGTCTTTCGTCTGAGACCAAGCAAGAAATCGAAGCTGAAGTGCGTCGTCTGGTGGAAGAAGGCCGCGCCCGCGCCACAAAGATCTTGACCGAGAGGCGCAGCGAGCTGGAGACGCTCACCAAAGCGCTGATGGAGTACGAGACGTTGACCAAGGAAGAGATGGAGAAGGTTCTTCGCGGCGAAAAGCTCGATAAGTTAGAGTCTATACCCACGGCGCCATTGAAGCTGCCCGAGGCATTGCAAGCCCCGGGGCTGAACCCTTCCACCGCAGCTGGTGATCCACCAACGACGGTGGAGTGAATTTGGAAATCCGGATATATCCATCTATTCCCCCCTTTCTGTATTAAATTTACATGTCTGAATCAATATAAGAAGAAGTAAGGAAAAGAGAAAAAAGACCCAACCAACTGAATCCGAGTCAAATATGTATATCTTCCCACGCTGTGTATCTAAACAAACCATTTCGAAACACTATGACTGGTTTTTATCATTTCTCTCTCGCGTTTCCTACAAGTTATGTGTTTCTTGCTCTTTATCTAGTCTAGTTTATTCTGGCGCGAACTACCAAGCAGGCATTGTATCAATATCAATATCCTAGCAATGGCAATTGAAACATCATGTGAAGATAAAATAGATATATCGGATTACTATCTATACCTACTACCTACCTACCTACTTGAAAGTTCATTATCGGGCTATCGAGACATCACAGCGCATGCTGTGCTGTACTATAGAACCAGCGCTGGGTAAACGAAGACCCACTTCGGATAAAGTACTAAGTAGTTAAGCCAGCTAGGAATGGAACAACGTAGTAATCCGACCCCGGATTAGACTGTTGTCAATGCATCCTCCCTCGTAAAAACAACATTTCTCTTCCTCCCAGCGTTCTTTGAGATCTTCATATCAATGACAGCATCATTAAGCAATATAATAGAACCCTGATGACCACTTCACTTCGTCTTGGCCAGCTCCTTCAAGGCCAGACCGGAAGATACACTATTGCCAGACAGCTTCAAGATACAGTTTGGCTTGCAACGTATGAGTTTTCCATAAATTTAAATGATAAGACCTGCTTGCTTAACAGTGGATTTTTTAGCAGGACCCAAAGCAACGAACCAGTGGTAGTGAAAAGTGTTTACCATTTTCGACTACAGAATGAGCGGGACGTGCTCAAGCGCTTTCAATCTCGAACCCCATTCATCAGGCCATTACTTGATGAAATTGCAGATCCACCAGCTATAGTGTTAAAGCACTTAGATGACCATCTGTTGAATGCATCTATCTCTAAGAGATTAATAAGCTCAGAGATCAAATATGTGGCACGGGGAATTCTGGAAGCCTTGAAAGTTCTGCATGAGGATGGGTTTGTCTATACAGGTAAATATAACTGTTTATTTTTTAGAATTATATTTAGTATGTTTTCTTACCTTATCAGCAGATATAAAACCTGATAATATTCTCATAAACTACGGACAGGGACATGAACGATTTACAGATATTCAGGTAGCCGATTGTGGAAGCACTGTTCATTGGGATTCACCATATGCTAAAGATTGTGACTTGATCGGGGCACCTATTTGGAGAAGTCCCGAAGCGCAGCTCAGGATCCGCTGGGATACATCAACAGATATATGGTCGTTTGGTGCATTAGTATGTACAGCATAACATGCAGAGCCCTTCCCTTCCGTCGGAGATGGCTGAATGACTGACTGACTTACTGACTTATTTCCCAGCTCATAACCTTACTCTATGGGGATAATTTCTTCCTTTTCAAACCAAATGTCCCCGCTACTCACGCCGAGTACGAACTCAAGATCCTTCAGAGACAGTGCGAATTCTTCGGCCCATTCCCTTTGACATATCGAGAGATTTGCCCTAAGGAGAAATTAAATATTCTGGCATATATTATGCACAGCATACCACCTGAAAATAAAAAGCCTTTTTCTCGAATCACAGACCGGGAAGTATCCAAGGAAGATAAGGAGTTTATTCTGAAAATCATGAAGCTTGACCCTAGAGAGAGACCCTCCGCGGCTGAGCTGCTGCGAGATAAATGGTTCGACAACTGAAATTGCCGTCGATAATGAGTGCAGGAGGAAAATGCATGTCGAGGTTCTCTCTGAGACTTGGCTCTAGGTCACTTGGTTGAGATTGCTGCCATTCTGCTCTTTTTATTCATGCCAGGGTGAAGATACACTACCACGGCACCCAGTGGATAAATGTACAGGAGCCCAAGCATGCCTTGATGTCTCATGAAGATATTCAAGCTGTGCCAGATACGAGGGTCAGCGCGTCCGGAGATCGACGAGATAAGTTACACATCGCTCAAATCGCTGGGCTAGTCACTAACTAAGTTCTGTTCTGTTCTGTTCTTTTCTTTTCTTTTTTTTGGGTTGGGGGGGGGAGCGAACGACCTATATCACGTAGTTAGGGAGCCAGCCAGCCAGCTAGTCAGTTAGTTAGTTACTGGTCGAGCTTCGAGGATTAACTAGTAGCTACTACCACTACTACAACCAAGTCCAACAAGAAGATAGGACAGATAGTCATTTCATTCGACGGAAAAGATAACCGCTTTTTTTTTTCAATCTTAGCTGCTTCTGCTATACGATGCTGTGCTTACAGGGGTTAGAATAGAATTATCCTATTTCGGGGTTCTAAATAATAATCAATTAATTAATCAATTAATTACCTACCTAGTTAGTTCACTGCAAGTTTTTTTTTTCCCAGCCGGTAGACTGGGGAAAAAAGGGGTAAAAAGAAAAAAAAGTATTATTGTTTTGTTTCGCTTAAATAGAATTTATCCTATTTCAGGTTCTAAATAATAATTAATCAATCAATCAATTAATTAATTAATTACCTACCTAGTTAGTTCACTGCAAGTTTTTTTTCCCAGCGGGTAGACTGGGGAAAAAGGGAGTAAAAAGAAAAAAGTATTATTTTTTTTATTTCGTGGTACAGTAAATGAGCGAGTGAGTAAGTGAGCGAGTGAGTGGCTTAGTTGGTTGGTTTGGGTTGGTTTGGCTTGAGTTGGTTTGAGTTAGTTGGTTATATACCATCATTCTATTCTATCTTAAACATAACAACTAAGTATCGGGCCGCTATGCTCGACATAACTACCTATGCTGTAAATATATTATATATGGCCCCCATTAAGTATTGGTGGCGTTCCCAGCAAGGTACAGGAAGGTATGTACATACAGTACCATAGTTACCATACCATGGACGTGGCTTGCGCTAAGTACCTAATGTATCTACTACCTATCTACTATCTAGTTATGTACAGTACCTAATTTACTGCATGTTCGTATCCCCAAAGAAAAGACAAAGAAGGGTGAACAGGAGAGTGGCATGACACCAGCGGATGTCCTCGAAGTCGAGAATAAACATGAACATGAACATGAACATGTGTCACGCCGGAGGTATCTACACACACACACGGGTTGGTTGGCACCTGCAAGTCATGTCATGTCATGTTATCTGTTGGTCCGGTCCACCTCCTGATGGGACTGCGCCGCATTGCATGGGGCATGGATGATATAATTAACTTAGTCTATCGTCACTATCTACCGGCTACGATGAACCCTGCCTCGATGGATGGGTGCTCGGACCTCGAAGTAGGAACGTGTTCGGTAAGAGTCCTGGAGCCCTAGATGTCTTGGTAATTTTACAAATTGGAAGATGGGGTTGATAATGAAAGGAATGGGGAAACACTTGCTTAATGGGAATGTGTCAACTGAGTTCAGCCTTGAAGGAGATATATAGATGATCGACTATCAGATTGAAATGCCTCACGCCCGATTTTCCCCCCCAGAAGCACTTTTTATGGCACACCGCAGTATCGAAAGCCCAATGACGAAGAAGATAGCTAGCTATTTGAAAAGAGCCACGCCACCAATCCATGCGCGTACCTAACCCTTTTACAAAGCCAGATGAAAGATGGAAACCCCGATAGAACAAGCTGACTCCCAGCGAGTTGATAGACTAGACTAGACTATCATGTACTTCCTAAAGAGGACTCAGCGACACCCACGTTTGCGGCGAGCGGAAGTAGCCGCACAAGGGATCGCACATTAGACGAGATGCGGACGTCCAAATGTCTGAGTAAATGTGGCCCCTACTGGCCGGTCGATGGGCGAAGGGGTTACTTTTTGCAGTCTCCTGTATATAATCCGACGTGAGCTCTCCGTCAGTCTCCTTTCGCCATCGTGGACACCGTGGGTATCGCGTAGTATAGCAATCCAATCCAATGAGGATAGAAACTGGTCGTATGAAAACTTTCTTTTTCTTTTTTTCTTTTTTCTTTTCTTTTTTCTTTTTAATCAATTGCGAACGTACCACAATCTTCGTCAAGACGGTCTTCACTGTTTCCCCCGGGAGGAATAAATTAGCATTGAATGATGCGGAGATCCATCTGAATAAAAAGCGACAGAAAAAGAATTGATTCTTACATGCTCACCACATTCAATGGACATGTCTTTCCCGTTTGAGCGTATCTCGCGCACCACGCTACCACCAGGTAGCGACGGTGGCCGCAGCGGTAGTTAACTTGTGTATGATCACACATGGCGGATACCACAACGACTTGATCAATTGCAAGCGATATGGCCTGGCAAGCATGAGAAAGAGGAAGAAAAGGAAACCATGCAAAGCATCATGTAAGAGGTTGAAGTAGGTCGAAAATTAATATCGACAGAAAAGATGTGGAATGTGCGCTCGTGAGCTATGAGAGGCGAGTCTCCGCCTCCAAGGAAGCTCATGGTGGTCTGCCCGACCTATCCCAGTCCCATTGACGGAAACTGACGGGTCCGCTGGTCAGTTCCGACGCGTACGGACCGTTATTGTGTGAAAGGGGTCACATCGTCACCGGTCGAGGTGTGCGGGCTGGTCCAGGTGGCCGATGTTGCCAGCAAATCCACATACCGAGGGGCCTGGAATCCCATACAGCCCTGGCACCGTCGCAGCCCTGTTCGTGGCAGCCACAGCCAGCGCGGGACAATGGGGAACTCTGGCAGTAGTGATTCGAGGTAATCGAGAACAGAGAGGCTCGAAACAGTCGTCGAGCTGCAGATACTACGAACTAACGCTGTCATGACCCCATCCTGCGGACCGGGGCCGCAGTGGGCCGGCATTATTCGTGCTTTTTTCGCGGGAGCAAGATCGGCTCTGGGAAGGTGTCTGACTCTGGATATTATTACACATGGCTGGGGCTGATGTGGTTAGCTTAGGACGAGAGATGGACACCGTCGTCAATCATCCGGAAGGGAGAATATGCTCCGTTGGGTTAATAACATCTCTGGGCGTGCTGTCTCGTATGCACGCTGCACACTCGGGAAGGGCGAATGTTCTGAACCAGGTGAGGCCATCCTGGTCTGTGGCTGCATTTCCAACGTTCCCAAAGTCCCGCCAATTCACTGCTGCGGTAGGCGTATGCTACCGAGGCACACTCCGGATCATTCAAAAGACCGATGCAGCTCATCATGGTTGATCTCCTGAGGGCTGATCAAGAGCCATTGCGGAGAACACGAAAGCCCGGGAGCGATCAGCAGATGGACTGGAAGAACCCGTGTCTTGAGACGGATGGACAACCGATATAGGAAGCTTGCTTCCGATGCCAGATCGTGAACAACAGAGAGAGAGGGGGCCAGAACTTGCATCTGTTGTGTGTTAGTTATGATGGCAATGAGAAAAGGGCCCCCTGATAATACTTATCAAGATGAGAATTAGAAGTTGCTTCCGCGGCCCCATGTCACGGTGACTGCCCGAGCACGAGGCCGGGGGATAATCCCCTGACCACAACGGCCACCATCGAAAGCGGACGGAAGGGAACTAAGGGCGACGGACTGGTGCTAAGGTTCCAGGCACCATTGTCGTGGAAGAGAAGCGGCGAGACGGTGCCTGATAGTCGCATGTACGGCGTCGTCAACAATGCAACCCCTGCTGCGAGAGGATCTGCCGAGTCCTTGCACGCTGTTACACGGATCGTCCTTTTCCTACAAACCTCTGTTGGCGCCCAACTGCTTTATTGGAGGCGAGCTGCAAGTAGTACCCTCTATAAGGGGCGTAGAACAAGCAACAGCAAGCCACCTATTTCCACCTATATAGGATCAGGTCTGAAATTCTGAAGGTTGACTATGGAGACCTCCGAGGCGTGCGATGTCGTCTTTCTCGATCAATTAGAGGCGCCGGTCCGTAGGTGCGATTGGGTAACCAAGTTATACGGGATGCAAGCTTATAGATGGAAGCGCCATCATGATATAGAGTTGTATATATATATTTTATTGTGGCATAACTAAATTAGTTTCTAAATATTAAGTTAATGTGGGTATCGATAAAAGAACAGGCTATCCATGCTACATGATTGAACAACAAAGAAATCCCAGAACGCTGATGCGAAAGTATAGACCCTACCAGGCCTCTCATATCGACTCCGTGTCGATTTCACTGGTGTCCAGCCAGCCTCGAGACATTTCAACTGCCTTCGACCACTGCTTGTACATCTTCGCACTTTCCAGCGGGGAGATCTTCGGGGTGAAGGTCGTACGGTTAGCACGGTTCATGTGCTTCAGCTCGTCAAATTCCTTCCAGATGCCAACGGCGAATCCGGCCGCGATTGCGGCGCCCAGGGCCGTAGTTTCATGCATAGACGGCCGCTCGACGGGCATTCGGATGATATCAGCTTGAGACTAGACAAGAGAATTAGTTTCTGTTCGACTGCTAGCAATCTGGACCGTCCGAGAATACGTACCTGCATGCAGATGTCGGAGTTACTCATTCCGCCATCCACCGCCAGCTCAGAGAGCTTGTGGCCACTGTCCAACACCATGGCATCCAGGATAGCCTTCGTCTGGAAGCACGCAGCTTCCATGGTCGCACGCGCGATATGTCCACGCTGAGTGTGCTGGGTGATACCGACTGTGCGTTCGTTAGTGGGGAAAGATTCCAACCGCGTTCCGACGGGAGTATACTCACAGATGGTTCCTTTCGCATCGTCAATCCAGTACGGGGCGAAAAGACCAGAGAAAGCGGTGACGAAGACGCAGCCTCCATTGTCCGGCACGGTGGCCGCGACTTCGCTCACCTTCCGGGAATCACGGAAGAAACCCAGGTTGTTCATCAGGAACGAGACACCACTGCCTGCCACAGCCACACTGCCCTCCAGGGCGTAGACGGGTTGTCGGTCCCGTCCCAGCTGGAATCCAACGGTGGCCAGCAGACCGTGCTTGGAAATCACTGGCTTGTCGCCAACGTTGTAGAGCAAGAAGCAACCGGTTCCATAGGTGTTCTTCGCCGTGCCGGGGGTGAAAGCACAGTGGCCCACCAGGGCCGACGACTGGTCTCCCAGGCAGCTTGCGATCTTGACACCCTCGCAAGGGCCGTAAGCGATGTAGCCAAACTCGTCGGGATCGGATGAGGGGACGATCTTGGGGAGTCGAATCTTATTCCTGTCGATCTCGAAGAATTCCAGCAGCTTGTCATCATACTTCAGTTCGTGCAGGTTCATGAACATGGTCCGTGATGCGTTGGTGACATCGGTAACGAAGACGTTGTTTTTCCGCTTGCCGTTCAGGTTGTACAGCAGCCATGTGTCGACGGTACCAAAGGCGAGTCGTCCCTCATCGTACGCCTTCTTGACCTCGGGAATGTTTCGCAGCATCCACACCAACGTGACGGACGAAGGGTATGTGGACAGTGGCAGACCGCAAATGTTGAGGAGCTCGTCCGCACCAGGCTTCTCTCGCAGCTCTCTCACCAGACCCTTGGTGCGGGTGTCTGGCCACGCAATGGCGTTATACAGCGGCTCCCCGGTCTCCCAGTCCCAGACCAGGGTGGTCTCTCGTTGCGAGGTGATCCCGATGGCTTCGATATCCGCGCGGGAGTGGCCCAGGGCCAGGAAGTTCTTCATCGCCTCCTCGATACATTTGTTGACCGAGTCCACCAGCTCCTGGGGGTCGTGCTCATGGTATCTGCAAGCGGAGACGGTGATCATGTTAGCTCAATGGCTGTCATCGACGCACGGGGCGGCGGGGTTCAAGCAATTTGCCACCCTGGCGGGTGGGGGGAAACACAAGGGAGAATTGCAACATACCCTGACTGCTCGTGAATCTGACGAAATTCGGACTGGTAGGAGGCGATGGGCACACCGGTGCCGTCGAAGATGATGAAACGGGAACTGGTCGTTCCCTGATCGATGGCACCCAGAAAACGGTCCTTGAGGTTGTCCGGACGGTGCTTCTCATCCTGGATGATGGACCGGGGGCCGTCGTCGGTCTTCTTGGCCTCGATCACGACGGAGGGTCTTCTGATGTCTGAGGCAGTGGGAGGGGCGTCTTCAGACATGGTCGGAGATGTGGTTGTGGTTCGAGAGGAAAAAGATGATAGGGAGTAGAGTCGGAGCGGGGTGAAGAGGGGGATGGTTTATCCGCAGGACAGACAGACAGACAGGTTGGATAGATAGGTAGATAGGTAGATAGATAGATGGATGGATGGATGGGTGGGTGGATAGCTGGATTGTAGGATAGAGAGGTCGAGAGATAGAGAGATCAAAGAGTAGATGAGAGAGAATAAGACGAAGATAAAAAAGAAGTCTAGATTGGTGACGGAAATGGAATTACGTTTTCGATCACCCGTTGCAAAGCCTACAGTGCGAGCGAATGATATATAGCGATAAATAAGTATGGTCGTCGGTATGGTCTGTGTTCCAGTCTTGCCCAGTTTTTTTTTTCTTTTCCCCGAGGTTGGACGGATGGATCGTGACGTACGAGTGATGGCGAACAAGGACCAGTCTCGGGGAGAGCAGGAAAGGGCGCAACAAGTTGGACGTGAGGGAAAAAGAAAGAGAAGGTCGACGAGGCCGCTGAGAGGGCGCGACGAGCCAGCTTTATCCACCACGGTGGAGTATGAAGATTACATACTATGAAGAAGTCATTCTAGTATTTCTTTGCCCAGTTTTTCCTCACTATGTACGTACTACTACTACTAACTACTATCATACTACTATTACTACTACTACTTTCCTCACAGCCACCGGCCGTCCTTCCATGGCGGAGAAGTGGGCGGGTGGGGGATATGCTGGGCGCACGGCTCTGCTTCTCTCCACATCCCACTTAGCCTACTGCTGAAGTCATTTAATCATTTTTTTTCCTTCTTTTCTTCTGATCAGACGACCATCTCCTTTCCTTCTAGCCCAGATGCCTAGCCTAGACCTCGACTCGCCTCGATCTCCTCGCCCCCCAGCGGCCTTGACACGGCGTTGCTTCGCTCCTGTCGGCCCTTTCTGTCTGTCTTGTCTGTGCCACTTACTACTTACTGACTGACTGACTCCTTTCCCTTTTCTTTTCCCTTTCTGGTGATGGTGAACCCTTCCATTGCGTTTGGTTTGATTCCGTGGATGTGATGATAATTGCGTCTCATTGCATTGCGTTGCTGGGCCAATTCCGTCGACCGTTACTCCTCGAGTCCTTTTCCCAGTCAGCTGCAATTGGATTGTTCCGCCACGGCATCCCGACCGCGGCCGTCGTGGTACCTGTTCAGCTGCTCCCCTGGGATCGCCCCCCGGATCTGGAGAAGGCGTCCAAGCATTCCCTCCCGTCCCCGCCGGTCGCGGATGTCTCGAACAACTCCCGCCATTGCTGAGCATTCTCGGCCCTCAATGCGTGGAGTGGAGTCTTTTGACAATCGAAAGAAAGGAAAGTCTGCCGTACTATAGTAAATAATAGAGTAGATAGATCTATGTACAGTACATAACTGTTATCTGGATAATATGGTATTTAATATGGTATTTGATACCGGCTCTACTCGATTTCTCCGGGCATGCTCTTCTTCTTCCCTGTCTCCTGGCTGCTGCTGCTGCGGGATTATTTCTCCTGTGCTGCCGTTGTCCGTGTCGATAGACTACTATAGAGCAATAATCTTCGTGGGCCGCGCCCTTTCCCAGATCAACGGCCGTAGAATGAGATTGGAACGACTAAGACCAGACTAAGCCATCTGCCGGGTTGAGATAGACAGGGAACACCGCTTAGTTCCTTTTTCCTATGCAGCCCCCGCAGTCGTATCGATAAAGATCCCCCCCCCGATCGCGCGACCTCCGAGACGAACCCAACTCTCTCGCTCACTCTCTCCCTGCAGGACTCGGCGAATCCTCCCATTCTAGACCCTGGTCGATGCTTCCGCGCTACTATTATTAATTATTAACTTACCCTTTCGATCAAAACAAGCGCTACGCTACGCTGACATTAGATAGGTACCTAGGTAGGTAACCTGCGGGTATCCGCCGGAATCCTCGGTTCGAGAACGACACAAGCCCAGAGAGGGCGCGCGTCCCTTTTTCAGGGTCATCACAATCTAAAACGTGCATTGATTTTTTGGCGGGTTTGAAATTGAATCGGTCTTTTTTTTTTTTTTTTTCTTGTTGTACACATGACCAAGTCGATCTTCCTTTCCTTTCTAACTAAACCCCCCACCCACTCTGCTTCATCTCGTAGAGTAGACTATGCACTGAGCACTCCCTTTTTTTTTTTTTCTTCTTCTTGCCCTTTAGATTAGATAGATACCCCCCTTACACGACCGTGGCCCCCCTCAGTTAGGCCGCAATTGTTGTTATTGATTATGAAACCAAAGCGCGGTTTCTTTGGTATGGGTATTCTATCTTAGGTCAACGATCTCACGCTAGTTCTGGGGCAGGCGAACCGAAAGAAAATCAACAGAAAAAAAAAAAAAGGAGAAACCGTGCGATTGATTATCGAGCTGCATCGCATCGCATCGCATCGCATTGTATCCTATTGTTTCTTTTCTTTTCTGTTCTTTTCTGTTCTTTTTCTTCATTTACTGCACTATTATATTACATACATACAAAATAATCATCTACTTATTAAGCAACCAACGTAGTTAAGAAACCAGACCGTTCAAATCAAATCAAATCAGGAAAGTAACGCGGGTAGTCTACAGTAAATGCCCTGCAATAATATGCAGTGTACGGATAATGCACTTGCACTGCACTGCAATTGCTGGGAAGGAACCCGATCAAACAGACAGAGCCCCGACTCCGAGTCCGAGTCCCGATTGATTCGTCGATATCTGACGTCTTCGATCAGTTTCCGCCCAGGAACCCAAACTAACTCAAAACTCCGCAACCGTGCCAGGTTTTGGGCTTTTGCGTTTCCCCTCTGAATTACCTACCTATGCAATTATTGGATTCGAATCTTGGACCTAGTCCAGAAGTATGGTAAGTAAACTTAAGAATACTACTAGGATAGTTATGTAGTTTAATTTATTTTAATTTAATTGAAACCCCGTCTGGAACTTTGTTGTTTTATTCTTTTATTTTATTATTACTAACTAACTATGTATTACCTATAAAATTAACTATTAACTACCACCGTAAGTTAATCTTAATCCCGAAAATCCCAAAAATTATCCGAAACGGACAACTTATCGTGCCTTGCAATCGGGTCATATGAGTACAGAGTAGATAGACTAGGTTAGAAAAGAAACAAAAGTACATACCATACTCTCTTTTCGACTATTATCATTATTATTATTTATTATGATAATATAGTCTAATCTAGTCCCATTAGACTAACTACCGTACATAGAATCATAGATAGTCAATACTTAATATTAATACCATACTCTCAAGTCTACTGTAATCAAGTTAGTTATCTATGCGCGCTTGTTGGATGACGAACTTTCCCGAAGGCGGGGGAAGGGGGACAGACAGAAGTTAGTAGACAAAGCAGGTTTCTCGCCTGCGTTCGGCCCGTGCGTTAGTTATCTACCCTCTCAGTCTCTGGAGTCTGGAGTCTGGAGTCTGGAGCTCGGGAGTCTCTTCCTTATTTCCTTAATGGTTATCTATGTATGTATGTATGTATCTATCTATTATTTGGCAGGACGGGTTCTATTGATCTGATCTGCAAGAATAGAATAGAAAAGAAAACCCCAACCCCAGACTTGGTTACTAGATAATACTTACTACTCCAGACTCCCAGATCGGCTTCTCCCAAAAAAGAAAGAAATAATAATCGTAATAGCATTCCTTCCTCCCCCCGGAACTGAACCCGCCAAGCCGAACGAAGTACGCAACACGGAGACTTTACTTACGCAGGCGGACGGGCGGGAGTCCCATAGTACATAAGTAGTACGGAGGATCGTTCATTTCATTTCATTCATGGTCACGAGCACAAGCACGAGCCAAATGCACATCAGTAATAATAATAATAATAATAATAATAATAATAATAATAATAATAATAATAATAAATAATGCTTACTAGTTTGGTTTGCTATCTATCTATCTACTCCGAGTATACGGAGTAAATACTGTACTGTGCTGTGCGTGCTGTACTTTTTCTTATCTTTGCATTTGCCATTGTTACAATTATTGTCCAAGTAGTACAGTACGACAGCGCGAACACGTAAACACTCTCACGTCCATGTTAGATAACTTAGATAGATATCGAAAAAAGGAAAATCGGTCGAGACCCTGGCGTGCTTTTGCTCTAAACGAACTTCCTGCACGCTTCCCTGGAACCTGGACCCGAGGGGACGATCAAGCAGGCTGCAGTAGTCTAGTCTGGTCAAGGTTCCCCTACAATGGTACGAAAAAAAAGGGCTCGAAGATTGTGGACCTGCGGGAGGGGAGGGAAAAATGTGGAGAACAAACGAAAATAGCAGCGTCAGCTGGACAGTTTGATTTTGCCGCTTAGGTTTTAATCTACAACAAATCCATCCACGGAAAATGCCACGACTATCGATTAGGACACACTAGCCAAACAGAACACTGAGCATTCGCCCAAGACAGGGGGGGATGCTTTGCCGCCACCAGCCACCATCAGGCAGAAAAAAAAAGAAGAGACTCCCCCCTCCCCACGAACCAAGGAAAACCCCACAGTTGGCCGTTAACGCTCCCTCGGGTTGCGCTGTCGGTCAAACAAGGAAGGTCTGTCGAGGGTGAGAGGCGCTAAGCGGTAAATGGCTGATAATGGCTGATGTCGCCTCAAAAATAAACACCCCCCGCTGCTCCCGCCGAGCTCTTTAACTTACTCCTCGTCCTTCTCAGCTCCGGCCTCCTCCCGCAGACGGGCCTCCTTCTCCTCCTTCTCCTTCTGCTGCAGGTACAGCAGAGCATTGATCTTGTCCTTGATCGAGTGCTCAGAGGTGAGGGTCTGGGAGATGCGCTCACGGCCAATCAGACTGAGGACAATGCTGGCTCCGACGACGAAGGTCAGCACGAAGCGGTACATGCCATACCAGTGAGGGGCCGCTCCGCGAGCAGCAGCGCGGGCATCGTTGTAGTACAGGAAGTTGAACGCCAGGAACTGGGTGATCAGGGCATAGTCGACGGGGAGGAGGAGGGTCGGCCACGCGACAGCGGGAGCGACAACTCCAGCCGCATAGCGCCTGTAGCCCTGCTTACCGCCGTACCCGGCCCATTCGAGACCCCAGTGGATAGCGCCGAGGAAGGAAAGGATCTGAACGTCATCGGTGTCAGTAGCCATCTTACATCACCGTTGCGGATACTATATCCAACACGAGTACTTACCACTGCACCGTAGCCAACCTGGATGGGCTCGAGCATGTGCAGCATGAGCTCAGCAGTCTGACCGGAGATGAACACACCATCGCCAGTCTCAGCGGCGTTGTTGATCTCCCAGGCGAGGTAGGCAGTGTCAATGGAGGTGACCAGGTAGGGAACGACACCGGCCATTCCGAGGTACAGAGCCTCCTTGGGGACGTCGTGCAGGCTGAAGGTGTCCTTGATAACTTTCTGTACAGACAGCAGGTCAGCATCTGTATGATGCCATAGTAGATCGTATAACTAGTCCAGGGCTTCACATACCGCCTCAGCCTTCATACCGGCCATCACATCAGTGTCTTCTTCGGCAACCGGCTCGTCCTGTAGATATAAAACCCGTCAGCGGCCCATTCTAGATGTGGCCATCGTTCAACTCGCTCCCGATCAGGAGAAGTATAGAAGCATCGGTTAGGTCTCACCCGCTCAGCATTGGTGCTGGTCGTCGCATATCGGACGAGAGCAGTGGTGACGGGCTTGCGGGCAGCGAGCGCAAGGCTTGGCGACGTCAGACGGACGGACTGGCGGGCCGACGAGGTCAATTGAGCCTTGAAGACGCTTCTGGGGAGAGTCGAACGAGCCACGGAGGCATTGGAGCTGGCGGCCGCCCGGAAGAGCGAACGAGCAGCAGCGCTTCTATACATGATTGCCGGTGGAATGGCTTGAAGCCTCTGCAAAAAACAGTGTGAGCCAGGAAGCTCGGATAGAGTAGGAAATGACGGGAGAGCTTACGGACGGCCTCAATTGGAATGAAAAAGGTAGAGGGAAAAGCGTAGGAGTGGAGATGATGGGATTAACCCAGGTGAACACAATGGTTCGACTCGTAGATGGAGGTCTGCCGGCGAAGGACGTTCGGATCTGAGGATCGTAGGGCAAAATGATGAGATGGTGAGGTTACGGGAGTTGCTAGCTCCGGAGACCCGGAGACACCAAGCCCGCAGCGTTACAGCCTGAAGGCTGAGGCCGCAACAGGCTCACGTGCTGCTGCTTACGCCGGGCGAGCTCGAATCAGCTCTGCTCTCGTTGAACGCGCGGAAAGGGCTGCAACCCTAGCCGCTAAACCACAACCAGCAACCGCAGCAGCAACAGCAGGCGCCTCAGGCTTCCACCTCTTCATCTCTGCTGCCTTCCCGCCCGTGCCAAGACACGACGTCACTTGCCCTGATTCATCCATTCAATCGAGCCAGCGAAACCCCCCAATAATTAATCTGGGTCAGTGACGGTAGGGAAAAACCACAACATTGCCCCGGATGCCCTGACGTTTACGCTGGCTCCTTTCATATCAGCAATTGGATGCCTTCCCTGTCCGTCATACCCAACCGTGCCTTGGACAGGTGTCAATCCCTACGCCACGGCTATCGCGTGTCATACTTAGCGTCCCAAAGCGGGAGGGGAGGGATCTGGGCAGAATCGCCCGGACCTGCGATCATCAGCTGCTGCTCCCAGATCTTCGACCGTGCGGAGGTCATCCCCTCAACCCGCTGGATGGCTGGTCAAGAGCACAGGTTAACGGAGTACCTCAGTGCTCAATAGCATATTCAACTCAGGTCTGATGAGACGTTCGTTATCCCGTTGAGTCTCTGCAGTGTGGACTGACCGAATGGGTCGATGTAGGCTAGATAGACAGACGTTATCGCCCATACCTGGTCATATAGGCAAAAAGAATTAATCACGAGAGTTGATTTCTCAAAGACGTTCCTCCCCGGCCCGGGTCACGGCCTCCAACCGCAACCATGTTGGAAGGAGTGGTTGCCAACCTGCTGAACCGCTTCCTGGGCATGTATGTGAAGAACTTCGATGCCAAGCAACTCAATATCGGCATTTGGTCTGGTGACGTGAAGCTGAGCAACTTGGAGCTGCGACGAGAGGCACTGGATCAGCTACATCTGCCTCTGAACGTCGTGGAGGGTCACCTGGGCCAGCTGACGTTGTCCATACCATGGTCGAATCTACGGGGGAAGCCGGTCAAAGTCCACATCGAGGATGTTTTCCTCCTGGCCGCGCCGAAGGAGGATGCGGACTACGATCCTGAGGAGGAAGAACGCAGAGCACATGCGATCAAGATAGAAAAGCTCGAGAGCGCAGAGTTGCTGAAGGAACGGAATACGGACGGCATGAGTCAGGAGGAGCAACAAAGAAACCAAAGCTTCACACAGAGTCTCATCACCGCTGTCGTTGACAACCTGCAAGTCTCGATTAAGAACGTACACTTCCGATATGAAGACTCGATTGCCTCGCCCGGTCACCCCTTTGCGGCCGGTGTCACCCTGAAGGAGCTCAGCGCCGTCAGCACCGATGGCAATTGGGTCCCGACTTTTATCCAGTCAACATCGGGTACGACGCATAAGCTGGCCGTTCTCGGCGCTCTTGCGGTCTACTGGAACACAGATGCAGAGCTCTTTGGGACGGGACGTGGCTCGGACATCGGTGCGGAAGCGCAAGGTCTCACCCATGAAGAACTTATAGAGAAGCTTAAGGCTACCGTGGACGGTGGCGACAAAGGCCAATATATGCTCCGTCCGGTCAGCGGTCGCGCCGGTCTAGAGCTAGACAAGACTGGAAAGATGGATCGACCGAAGATCAAAGCGCGCCTGCTGTTCGATGAGCTGGGCTTCGTCCTCGACGACGATCAATATCGAGACGCACTCATGCTTGTCGATTTGTTCCATTACTTCATCCGCCACCAGGAATATAAGAAGCTCCAACCGAAGGCTAGACCCAAGGAAGATCCGCGCGCCTGGCTGAAATTCGCGGGAAACGCTATACTCAGCAAAATCCACGACCGAAACAGACGTTGGACCTGGGACTACATAAAAGAGCGCAGGGATGATCGTATAGCCTACATCAACCTCTTCAAGAAACGGAAAAGGGAAGAGCAATTGACTCCCGATGAAGCTAAAGAGTTAGAGAGGTTGGAATGGAAGCTTAGCTACGAAGATCTCCGATTCTGGCGCTCTTTGGCTAGAAACCAGCTACGAAAAGAAAACGTCGGTGTGAAGAAACCTGCCAGGCAGCAGTCCTGGTCGGAGTGGATATGGGGTTCTAAGAAAGAGGAAGACGAGACTACCACCATGACCGAGGAGCAGCGCCAGGAACTCTACAACGCCATTGACTGGGACGAGAAAAAGGCACTCGCAGAGAGTGTGGATGTCCCCAAGGACTGGGTCAAGGTACAGTTGAACTGGAGTCTCAGAGCCGGTAGCTTCACTCTAAAACGAGATCCCCATGGCCGAGCTGAGGAGATCATGAAACTCGTGTTCGACAAATTGAAGGCGAGGGCCTTGCAGCGTCCTGATTCCTATCTATTAGACGTGGACCTAGGAGGGTTGAGGGTCTACGATGGAACTACGGAAGGCAGTCTCTTCCCGCAGATCGTGAAGGTCAAAGATTCTCTTCCGCAGCAGGAAGAGCAACCATCATCCGAACCTGACGATCCGCGCCTACCGTCCGAAGAGAGCGACTCAGAAACCGAAGAAGACAACAGCTTGTTCCACCTTCGGTTGGAAAAGAACCCTCTGGAAAGCGATGCCGATTCGGCTGTTCAGGTCAAACTGAAGAGTATCGAAGTAATCTATAACCCGAGGTTCCTGGTCGAGGTGGTCAAGTTCTTCAAACCCCCGGAAAGACATATGGAGTCCATCGGAGCACTGCTGGACTCAGCGGGAGCTACTGTAGAGGAAATTCGACAACAAACCCGCGCCAGTTTAGAGTTTGCTCTGGAAGAACACAAGACAATCGACGCTCATTTCGATATTCAAGCTCCGTTAGTCATCGTTCCAGAGAGTATAACCAAGGAAAGTTCGCTCTGCTTGATTCTTGATGCTGGTCACATGAGCGTCACTAGCGAACTGGTCGACAGGCAAGCCATCAAAGACATCCAGGCTAAGCAAAGGAAACAGTACAATGAAGAGGACTATAAGCAGCTCGAAGGACTTATGTACGACAAGTTCTTGCTTAAACTGGACTCCACTCAGGTTCTCATCGGTCCCGGTATTGAGGCCACCAAGGCCCAGCTGACTACGGAGGATGACTCGAAGAATCTGCACATCATGGATCGTATAAACATGGATTTTGTCTTGGAGCTCTGTATTATACCAAAAGCAACTGAGCTGACAAGGACGCGGGTTTCTGGCCATCTTCCCGAGTTACATGCTTCGATATCTGATAAGAAGTATAAGAATCTAATGAGACTGATCGATATTGCCATTCCACGATTCGAGGAAGAAGGCGAGACAACAAGGCGCGAGACCGTGCAAACACCCCGCAAGAAGGCGCAAGAGGCAGTTGTCTCGACGGATCGAGCACGATCAGCTTCTCTGCAACCTTCCAACGAAAGGGAGCTGCCTGTTGTAGATGAAGACTCTGATGCCGAGGAGCCGACGAATGAGCAGGATAATAAGCAGATCAATAAACCTATCAACCTGCACCGAAGGAACTTCGAACTCAAATTCACTGTCGGGAAGCTCCGCGGTTCCTTGTTCCGTGCTGATCCCAGAGAAGAACAGGCTGATCAATTGCTGGTTGAGCTGGTCGCAGAAGGTTTTCAATTGGACTATTATATGCGATCTTATGATATGGTGGCTGAAGTATTACTCAAGTCTTTGAGCGTGGATGACTATATTGAAGAGAACCAGCCCCCTGAGTTCAAGCAGATCATCTCCTCCAAGGGATTCAATGCGGACGCGGACAAGGATCTGTTCCATCTCAAGTTCCTCAAAGTCAACCCTGAGTCGCCCGAGTTCGACTCCACGTTTGATGGCATAGCTATGAATCTTGACGTATCGGTCTCGACAATCAACCTCATTGTCACCAGGAAAACGTTACTGACTCTCCTGGATTTCGTTCTCCTGACCTTCACGAGTCCCGGACAACCGAAACAGGTCGAAGAGAGCCCCGACGAGACTTCTCTAGCGGATACACGTGAAGAGAAAGAACAGTCTCAGCAGGTTGGAAAGATGCGTATCAAGGCTAACCTGAAGAGTATTGCGCTGATACTCAACAACGACGGCGTCAGATTGGCTACGCTGAGTCTGAATACTGCTGACGTAGGCATCTTCATAGCCGGTCCTGCAATGAGAATCCAATCACGGATCGGCAGTCTGACTTTGGTTGACGATGTGAACATGGGCGCTTCAGAGCAATCTTCCATTCGGAGACTGTTAACGATAGAGGGAGAAGATTTCGCGGATTTCAAGTACCAGACGTTCGATCCAGATGCTGAAGACTACCCCGGCTATAACTCTGAAGTATTTTTGCGATCTGGCTCTGTTAAGATCAACTTTTTGGAGGAGCCTTATCGGAAGATCATTAACTTCCTGGTCAAGTTCGGCAAGATGCAGGCTATCTTCAACGCAGCCCGTCAGGCTGCAGCAAATCAAGCGAACCAGCTGCAGGAGAATGCTTCGCGTATGCGCTTCGATATCGTGGTCAATACACCTATCGTGGTGTTCCCGCGGGCCGTGATGGATGACCGTCCTCGGGATACCATTACCGCTCACTTAGGAGAAATCTACGCGAGCAATTCGTTTGTGCCGTTGGATGAGGCCAAAGATAGTCCCGCAGTCAATATGATATCTGCTGGTATCCGCAAGATACGTCTTACATCCGATTTCCATTACGATGGAGGAGAAAGCGAAGAGCTGGAAATGATCCAGCAGGTCAATCTCGACTTCAGCATTTGCTATCTGGAACACCAGCCGAACCAACCACGCCCAGATATCGAAGTCGAAGGAACTATGTCGCCAATCAATCTGAGAATCTCACCGTCCCAGTTCAAGTTCCTGCTGGAGCTATCCAAGACTATTCCCGGGGCTTTCTCTTCCGATAGCGACCAGCAGGAGCTCGAAGCCATCGAAGCGCTTCCCTCCACGACCGCAGAGCCTGTCAAGGCAGCTGTGTCTAAGGCGACCATGGAGAAAGCCGCTCCGTCGCAGCAGGGCCCAGAAACCGGTGAGGATCAAGAGACATGGGTACGACTAGATATGATTTTCAACGTGGATAGTATTGGCTTGGAGCTTCTGGTCGAGAAGGAAAACCAGCCAATCGGCCGTTTGGAGGATTCCAGCTTATCGAAGTTCTCGTTGAACGACACCAGAGTCAAACTACGGATGCTGACGGATGGCTCCTTGGAGTCTGAGCTGCTGATACACTCATTCTCGATCCGTGACAGCCGCACTAAGGATAACAACAAGTTCAGAAAAATCATGTCACTGATCAACAATGACGTGCAACAGCAATTTATGGCCAGCGTCTCGATATCTCCCGGACCCGAAAAGCATCTCGTTGCTATGCTTACTATTGACAGCCCGCGGATCATCTTCGCGCTGGATTACTTGTTCGCTTTACAGTCGTTCGCTAGTGCAGCGTTTGCAAGGGAGGAAGCAGTAGAAGTCGAAGAGATCGATGAGTCGCCAGAGGAATCCGATGCTGCGTCCAGTGTTGCTAGGACAAGCACAGAACGATCGCCGCCTCCATCTTCAAACGGCGATAGTTCTACTAAGAACGGTCAAATGACTGTTTCTTTCAGAGCGAACATTGTCGATGCTCAGCTGATCCTCATCGCGAACCCTGCTATATCGAACACTGAGGCCATTGTTCTTGGCACGAAACAGGTCCTCTTCTCTCAGCAGAATGTCTCTACTCTGCAGGTAAACAAGGTTGGCATGTTCCTGTGCCGGATGGACCGGTTCGAAACTAGCAGATTGCGCATACTCGACGACTTCACGGTCGAACTGTCCCTCGACAGTCGCTCTCAGGAAAGATCTTCGAGCTTGACGAGTATCGATGTGCATGTCGAGCCGCTCGTGCTGCGTCTTTCACTCCGGGATATTCTTATTGCGATCCAAATCGTCAATAAAGCTTCCGAGATGACCAACCGCGCTCCTCAAACCACTGATGATGGTGAGCCGAAGAAGGTGAAAGAGATCAAGGGGAGTAGCGCAAAGTCTACCAAGGGGGGTAAGCAGTCTGCGGATGCCGTTTCCACGAAAAATAAACGCAGTGGTAGCCAGTCTGCCAATACAGCCGAGCATAAATTGCCCCTTCAACGTACAGGTGTCATAAAAAGAGAGGAACTGTCCGCTCAATTTGATGGTATCAGAGTTGTCCTGATCGGCGACTTACACGAGCTGCCGCTGCTTGATTGGAGTGTCAAGAAATTCAATGTAGACGTTCGAGACTGGTCCACCGCTATGAATGCCGATACCAGCTTCGACACGTTTGTCAATGTGTACAATTTCTCGAAGTCGGCTTGGGAGCCATTAATCGAACCCTGGCAGCTTGGATTCCACATGGCGAAAGATTTGCACCCGGATGTTTTGTCCATAGAGGCATACTCTCACAAGACTATGGAGCTTACGGTGACCACTGCCACAATTGCTTTGGCATCGAAGTCATTCCAATTCCTGTCGACCGACGAGGATGTCCTTTCGAAGCCCAGAGGTGCCGACGCACCTTACAGAATCCGCAACTACACCGGGTTCGACCTTCGAGTCTGGGCTGACGTCGGTAACGACGAAGGCGGACCAGCTGCTAAACTTACTGATGGAGAAGAATACCCTTGGAGATTCGAGGATGCGACTGCAATGCGTGAAAATCTCACGCCTGAAGGAAACGCTGGCCTGGTCGCCATCAAGCTCGAAGGAAGTGGCTTCGACAGTGTCACTCGTATTCCGGTCATCAGGGAAGGCGAAACACTCTATAACCTCAAACCAAAGAAAGATAGGGTCTTGCACAAATTGCTGGTAGAGGTCAAACTAGGGACTGATAACGTTAAATACATCACCTTCCGCTCGCCACTCCTGGTTGAGAACAATACACAGATACCGGTTGAGATGGGAGTGTACAGCCCTGAAGAAGGTCATCTTCTGAAGATTGAGAAGATCCTACCGGGTGATTCTCGACCTGCGCCCGTGGGAGCAGCTTATATGCACTCAGTCGTTGTCCGCCCTGATCAAGGTTTTGGCTATGACTGGTCAACTGATCAGTTGTACTGGAAAGAGCTTTTGCGGCGTCCGACACGGACTCTGACCTGCCTGAGCGACAATGGACAGCAATCTCCACCATTCTACTTCCAGATGAATGCCTCTTACGACAAAAATGAGCCGCTTACCAGCATCTATCCTCACATGAGAATCCGAATCTCTGCTCCCGTTGAGATTCAGAATCTGTTGCCTTACGACTTCAAATACAGGATCTATGACAAAAACACGAGGAAAGACTGGACCAACTTCCTTCGCAAGGGTGGTGTTAGTCCTGTTCATGTCGTCGAACTATCACACCTGCTGCTGCTCAGCATCGACCTACAGGATACAGTCTTCAAACAGAGTGACTTTGCCATAATCAACGGCAACGCGCAAGAGTTCAGGAGGGAGCATGTACTGTCACTAAAGGATGAGAGAGGTATCCAGCTGAGACTGAAATTGCACTATTTCAACGTGCCAGACAGCGGCGGTGCCTTCAAGGTTTCCATATATAGTCCTTACCTCATCCTAAACAGGACAGGACTAAGCATGGATATTCAGTCTAAAGGCTTCCTCCAGTCTGCAAGGTCAGCGGCTGGTCAGGGTCTGAGAACAGATGCCAGGAGTGGCGGTCGTTCTCTTCCCTACATGTATTCCTATCCCACGGATGACCCTAAGAACCGGTCAATCCTGAAGATCGGTGATTCTGCATGGAGCAAGCCGCAGAGTTTCGATGCCATTGGTAGTACCTTTGAAGTTGTCCTGCCAGCGGGAGCAGGCAGATCCGAGTTCCATGCTGGAGTTTCGGTCACTGAGGGCGAAGGCAAATACAAACTGACGAAAGTTGTTACCATCGCCCCTCGTTTCATTCTTAAGAACAAACTCAGTGAGGATCTGCTTGTTCGCGAACCTGGATCGTCCAACGTCTTAGCGATCAAGAGTGGCGAGCTTATTCCTCTTCATTTCTTGCGTCAAGTCCCCGAGAAGCAGTTGTGCTTGTGCTTCCCGGGAGTGAACAATCAGTGGTCATCTCCTTTCAATATCGCCGATGTGGGAACGATACATGTGAAGCTTGCTAAAGCCAACCAGCGCCAGCGGCTTATCAAAGCAGAGATCATCATGGAGGCGGCTACACTGTTCCTCCACTTCAGCTTCGAAACCAAGCACTGGCCCTATTCGATGCGCAACGAAAGTGATACAGAGTTCATCTTCTACCAGGCCAACCCCAATGTTGACGAGGATGAGGAAGACAACGGCAGCGGCTGGCGGCCAATCCGTTACCGCCTGCCACCTCGAAGCATCATGCCCTATGCCTGGGATTATCCGGCTGCTAAGAATAAATCTCTGGTGCTGACGTGCAACGGCAAAGAGAGGCACGTCAAACTTGCTGAGATCGGAAATCTCATTCCAATGAGGATACCTTCAGGTCCAAATGGACCGCAGAAGATCATCGATATCAATATTGTGGCAGACGGTCCAACTCAGACGCTCGTCCTTTCCAACTTCAAGCCATCAAAGAGCATGTATAGGCAGCAGAGTGCACAGGCGTCTCAAGCAAGTGTTTCCACTGGTTTCGAAGTCAAAGAGCTGAGCTCCGATGTCAACTTCAAGGCTCAACTTCGCCTTGGAGGTATTGGTATATCACTCATCAACAAGAACATGAAGGAGTTGCTGTACCTTACGTTCCGCGATATCGAGCTTAAGCTTCGAGAATCACGACTCTACCAAACGCTCAACGCAGCGATCAAGTGGATACAGATCGACAACCAGCTCTATGGAGGTGTCTTCCCTATCCTCCTGTATCCTAGTGTGGTTCCTAAGACTGGAAAGGAGATGGAAGCTCACCCGATCTTCCATGCCATGGTCACCCGAGTGAAGGACGACTCGTACGGAGTGTTGTACATCAAATATGCGACGGTGCTTCTGCAGCAGATCACTCTTGAACTTGACGAAGACTTCGTATTTGCTATGCTCGACTTTCTCAAGGTTCCCGGGGCCTCCTGGGCTGAAGAACAGGATGGAAAGCTATGTGACGAGGATCTTTCCATTCCCGAGCCAAAGCAAGAGGAGATGGGTCAAGATGTGTACTTTGAGCTTCTCCATCTGCAACCCATGCAGCTGGATATCTCCTTCATGCGCACAGAGCGTGTTAATGTCGAGGATACAATGCAACCTTCGAACCCATTGATGTTTTTTGTCAACGTCATGACGATGTCTATCGGCAATGTGAATGACGCCCCTATCCGACTCAATGCCCTGATGCTGGAGAACGCGAGAGTCTCGATCTCAATGCTCGTCAGTAATATCCAGAGACATTATACCCAAGAGTTCCTCCGCCAGATCCACGTTGTCCTCGGATCCGCTGATTTCCTTGGGAATCCAGTTGGTCTATTCAACACTGTCAGCTCTGGTGTCGCAGATATCTTCTACGAGCCGTACCAAGGACTGGTTATGACAGACAGGCCTCAGGAATTGGGAATCGGCATCGCTAAAGGTGCTTCCAGCTTTGTCAAGAAATCAGTGTTCGGGTTTTCCGACAGTATGGCCAAGTTCACTGGTAGCATGTCGAAGGGTCTTGCAGCAGCCACACTAGACAAAGAATTCCAAGACCAGAGACGAATGTCCAAGTCGAGGAATCGGCCGAAGCATGCATTGTACGGAATCACTGCCGGAGGAAACGCATTCGCTACAAGCTTGGCCAGTGGTATTGGAGGCTTAGCACGTCACCCACTCGAAGGTGCAGAGAAAGAGGGCTTCCAAGGGTTCGTCAAGGGTGTCGGAAAAGGCTTCTTAGGGTTGGCAACCAAGCCGGCCATTGGTGCATTCGATCTTGCTTCGAGTCTTGCTGAAGGTGTCCGAAACACTACTACGGTGTTTGATCAGGAAGGTCTAGACCGAGTTCGGCTTACGCGTTTCATCGCTTCCGATGGCATCGCACGACCATACAGTCAGCGGGAGGCCCTTGGTCAGTTCTGGCTCAAGACTACCGATGACGGCAAATACTTCAATGAGGAGTACATCGCGCATCTTGAGCTTCCAGGACGCGACATGATAGTCATTTTGACATACAACCGGATCATGCTCGTGCGGTCCAAAAAGCTCCGCACCGAATGGGAGATCAAGCTCACCGATATCCAAACCATCTCGAAGGAGCGGACTGGTATGAACATTACACTCAAAGGAGGCGCCAATGGGCCCTTCATTCCTGTGCAAGACGAGAGTGCACGGAACTGGCTATATAGACAAATTGCAATTGGTAAGTGGCCGCTGCTAAATCTTAATTAACCGGAAACGTCGAAGCTAACGAGACTTTCCAGCTGTCAATGCTTTCAATGAGAAGTATAATGCAAAGGGCTAAAGGACGGACCTCTGTTGGCTCTTCAACCCCTTCTTCTGTGATGATGTTATGACATGATTATTTCAGCACCTGCTGATGCATGCACTATTTGGTGAACGTATAAGAGAAAGCGCAGGCTTTGGGATGCGACGAATTTTTCATGAAGTGGGAGGAGGAAAATCAGTTTGAATCGCATAATTGATACAGATCCGTCATGTCATAGTTTTTGGATCAGTTATGTTTCTTTTTGTCCTTCTTCCCGCGGTTTATTATTGTTGTTGATATCTTTTCTTTCCCGACTGAGTAGTATTTAGCCAGTTTATGTCGTTTTCTTCTCGTTAATACTTGTCAGGTTAAACTTCACTAGGTCAGTAACTTCATCCATTGGGTGTGGTGGACTTAAATCTTGTCTTGAGCATTTTCCTTGTCGGAACCGTAAAAGTTAGAGTGATACATACATAGTGGAAAATATCTGTTGGGTATACTACTAATTGTCCGAGAATCTGGGTTTGTCCTTCCATCCAATATATATCTATGCATAAGGAAAGTAAGTAAAGACTTCATAATGGTATATCCTATCCCATCCTACATACATATACACGTACGTTAACAAAGCCCTAGTACGATTTGAATATAGTCTGTATAACCTAAATCTGGTGTTCCCTTGGGATATTTTTCCCAATACGCCAAAGAAAGAAAAAGAAACAAAGAAAAAAGAAGTCTGCTAATGAGAGAAGAGAAAGGTTTATTTATTTCCCTTCTGCCCGCTCGACCAATCGATCCTCCAAACCCATCGGTTCCCAGATATCTTTCGCCTTGCGATTCTGTGCCCATACAACATCGCCTTGAAGGAAGACGACCACGCCTCCTTTGCCGGTGGCGCTGGCAGTGATGCGGAAGAGCGGTTGGCCGTTCTGTGGGTGTGCTTCGCGTAGGGGGAGCATGATGAGGCCCTGTTCGGCGCACCAGGTTTCGAGAATGTCTTTGAAGCCGACTTCTTCGACGGGTTTGGGCTTTGGTTTCGGCTTGGCGGGGGGTTCCGCTTCGAGGGGGCGTGGGAGGGTTTTCTCGGCGGGTTCGGGGGGTGGGAGTTCCGCTGCGGCGCGGTCGCCGAGACGAGAGGCCAGGTCCATGGTTTGGAGACCCTTCTTCCATTCGTCGTCGACGGCGGCCATCTCGTTGATCTCTTCGGGGATCTGGGAGCGCCACCAGGAGAACCATTCGCCGACTTCTTCGTAGTTTGGTTCGTTGGTGAGCCAGATATGAAGGATGTTGTGCCACTTGGGGAAGAATTCCGCGGCGAGGAGGAGGGCCGAGACGTTTGGTTTGAAGTAGTCTTTCCACTTCAAGACGTCTTCGAGGGCAGTGAGGTCTTGGTCTTGAGGGTTGACTTCGAATTCGTCCCGCAGATGGCGGGCGAGACGCGGGAGAAGATGGTTGCGTAGCGCAACGTCGAACTCGGAACCCAGGGCATCGCGCCAGAGTTCGATGCCGCTGACTAGGCCCTTGCGCAGGTCCCAGCTGTCCAGGACGACGCGGAACTTTCTCTTGGCGTCTGAGAGTAGACCGGTTGCTTGCTTGGGGTCGGTATGGCGTTCATCCAGGTATTGCAGCCATGTGAACAGCCACCAGGGGAAACGGGAGTTCTGCGATGATGAGGGATGCCGCTTGCTGCTCCTGGGTTTCCATTCCTTGATGGCTGCGCTCAGTTTGGGGACAACCAGCTGGTCCATGACGTTGGCATAGACGAAAGCTGGGAGAAGTTCTTTCCATGATACAACTAATGTCGTGGCAGGCGCGGGATCATGTACATCCCAATCGTTCAGCAGGGCAGACCGCACTCGCGGCAGCCAAAGGGTATAGATCATCGTTTCATAAGGCGACGTAGATGATCGTTTGACCTCTCCATTGGCGGGCCGCCGGGATAAGATATGGTTTAGTCGGCGTAGGCTCGATACGAGGTATGTAGGATCTTTCAGGGGTTCCCATCCGTCCATAGCCTGTCGAAAGAGAGGATGGATTGCCGCAACGGCAGCTTCCGAAAGCCTGTAGTCATCAATAACGTCGCGGAACTCTGTCTGTAGACGCTCCAGCTTGGAAGTCAGATCCTCTATTCGCGCAGCCAGGTCATCTTCCATGTTGAAAATCTCCAACGCTGCAACGGCCGAGACCAGTTCCGTGAGCTGGTCCATCTTAACCTGCTGGGCGTCCATTTCTTCCACCACTTGCGTCTCCTCCATCTCGATGTACTTTTTCCTTTCGGTCAACCCTTTCCATTCATCAGCAAAGGCTTCCAGATCGTGTCGCGCGCGGCGCGCAATCTTGATTGCCTCTCCTTCACCCGGATTGACGAACTCCAATGGGGTCATCAGACCGGCGGTGGACGTCAACACCTTTTGTTCCTTGCCCGTTGCATCGATCAGCGACTTGAGAACGTTCGGAACCTCCAGACCGGCTGTATCAGCTTCGATTTCTCGCGCAGTCCTGAACCGGGGTTTTGCTGGGCCGACAGGCGTGGCGGCACCGCTACGGGCTTCCTGTTTGCGCTCCTCTTTTCGTCTTCGACGCCGTGCGCGCTCTTCATCCGAGCTGTCTTCGACTGTCTCTCCTCTCAATGCCGCTGCACGCTTTTCCTCCTCCCGCGCCTGCTTCGACTTTTCCTTAACTGCACCCAAACCAACACCTTGCGGTCGTGCTTGAGCCTCGACTGGCTTAACGATACCCTGGCCACCTGCACCAAGACCTTGTCCCTCCACATAACCCATCTTCGCCATCATTCGCGCGGCGAAAGAGTTGGCCCCCATCATGGAGCCACCCTTTGCACCACCTTTTGGATTTCCACCCCGCGGGGTCCCTGCGCCTGAGTTCATGGTCGAGGTCCAAGGACTGCGACGACCGCTACCTAGACCACCCAGGCCCGATGTTGGAGGGGATTCGGAGAGCGAGGACGCCTGCTGAAACCCGCGAAAGCCCATGGTGGGCCTGGCATCCTCTTCATCGGAGGAGCTCATGTCTGCGATCTTGCGCTTCTGGCCGGCGAAAGGCGAACCGGGTGGTGAATCCATGTCAGCGTCCATGATGTGCGAAAGCAGAGACTGCCGGGTGCTTTTCAGCGGATGCGATCGACAGCCATCTGGTGCTGCGCAGCAGTTGTTAAGCCGCCGACAATAATCGTGGCGTGGTAGGGGGGATGGAGATGAGCTTTGGCTCGAGATACAATAATAATGATAAACTAGAGCTTCGCCCGGAAAAACTCTACTCCCGAGGGGCCGAGGCCGATGACGTTTGTTTAGTTATGTAAGTTGAGTTATCTCACTGCTTCTTCTTCTCTGCTTCTTCTGCTCCCTTCGATCCGCCGTCCGATTCTCCTCTCCCTCTTCTTTTCTCTCAATTGGACTTGTATCCATTCGCCCATCTATCTACAACAGCGATACAACTCTCCCGAACAGACTCCCATCATTCCATCCACCATGGCTGCCTCTCTCTTCCGTCCCTCTACTGCCCGCACTGCTCTGCGCGCCGGAGCTTCGGCTGCTCGCACTGCTGGTCTCGCGGGCACCAGCTTCGTCCGCACCAAGGCTACCCTCCCTGATCTGAGCTGTATGTTGCCCTGTGTCCGTTATTTACGTCCATCCATCCCGTATATCAGCTTGGGCTGTCCTGCCGTTGCAATCCGGTACTCTCCAATCCGGGACGGCAGTTTATTAATGCGGGATCCTCGAATCTGGACCCGGTCCCCATTGAGCCTCGATCGCCCTGTACTGCTGTACACAAGGACATGCTGACCAGGATTCAGATGACTACGGTGCTCTGGAGCCTGCCATCTCCGGTAAGATCATGGAGCTGCACCACAAGGCGCACCACAACAACTATGTCAACGGCTACAACACCGCCGTCGAGAAGCTCCAGGAGGCCCAGCACCAGGGTGACGTTGCTGCTCAGATCGCCCTGAAGCCCCTGATCAACTTCAACGGTGGTGGCCACCTCAACCACAGCCTCTTCTGGGAGAACCTGGCCCCCAAGAGCGCCGGCGGTGGTGAGCCTCCTTCGGGCAACCTGAGCAAGGCCATCAACGAGACCTACGGCAGCCTCGACTCCTTCAAGGAGAAGTTCAACGCCGCTCTGGCTGGTATCCAGGGAAGCGGCTGGGCCTGGCTTGTCAAGGACAAGACCACTGGCCAGATTGGCATCAAGACCTACGCTGTATGTGCACCCACCTTTTTTTTTTCGCTGCGGTGGAACTTGGATGCTAACTGTTCCCTACAGAACCAGGACCCTGTTGTCGGCCAGTTCGCTCCTCTGCTCGGTGTTGACGCCTGGGAGCACGCCTACTAGTAAGTTTACCCCGATTTGCATCGCATGAAGCAAGCAATTGCTAACAATGGTTCTCCTACAGCCTTCAGTACCAGAACCGCAAGGCCGAGTACTTCAAGGCCATCTGGGAGGTCATCAACTGGAAGGCGGCTGAGAAGCGCTTCGGCGCTTAAACGGGTCGATCCCAACATTGGCCGCCCATCAGCTTTCATTAATAGCGTCGGTATATTCATCGGCTTGACGTCTTTGATTTTGAGCAGTGTAATCTACTAGTAGTTCTGTCGATCGATTTAGTCAAGCTATTTCTTTATAGATATGATAACTATCTTTCAAATCTGTTCCAGGAAGTATAAAAATAATAGTATATCATGGTACATAATAATATAATTCGATAGTACACTTTGAAGATCCATCCAACACCCACCTCATGCAGACGAAACGCAACAGCCGTGGACGAACCCCCAAGAACATTCTCGAGCAACGCAACCAACAAAGCAACGTGCGTTCCCCACTATTGTACATACATACACCCCCCAGCCCCTCCCAATAACACGCAGATGCATTCTCCACCACATCCATTCCATCCGACTCGTCCGTCTTCTGTATCCGCGAAGCAGGTAGGGTGGGGTAAGTAGGGGGAGAGAGTTGCGACCTCGGACATTCGGATGTATGGTGCGAATTTCCTAGAATGGTATGGTATATAGTTGGTCAAGATATAGGTACTACTAGGACGTCATATCATATTATTATTATTGTATCATATTGTGTTTTTCTTGAGCTGATAAATCTATTTTTTAAGTGTACTTTAGAAGAAAGGGCTGTAGAGAGACTATACTCCATTTTACTTCATCTACATTACTTACGTCGTATATATAATACGATAGATACTCTGCTTTATATAGGGGAGGATAACTAAATATTTAGAACGTTGATAGTATTCATCACAAGAGCCTGTCAGTCATACGACCTCATGTCGGACATATCCAGAGTCAGCTTTGGTTGGTTATAGGTACATAGAAAGTACATAGGAAAAATAAGTAAAAGGAAAACAAGGATAGAGAGTGACAAAGTTCAAGGTCATCAAGTCATTCGATTCGACACCCCCCTTTTTCTCTCAACCCAGCACCGGAGGAAGCAAGCCTTCTGCCGTCTCCGTCCAGAACATACACGAGAAAGAAAAAAAATAACCAAGATAGGAAATGGTGAGTGAGTGACAGATACAGGTCATGATGAAACAATAAGAAAAAAAAGCAAGAGATTGCCACCGTGTCTTTTGGGGGAAGCATCATAGCCGTCAAGGATTCCGTTTCCGCAACATTCGTCATGAAAAAGCAAGTGTACTCAGACATAATTCGCAGAACAAGGGACTGTCAAAAAGAAACGCATCACGCAAGTCGTATAAGATAGATCGTATAGAAGATAATCAGTCGCGTAGGTCGAAATTCCCCGGAGGACTGCGTCGAGTGTCGGATCCGGTCCTCGTGAGAAAAGAAGTCGTGATGTGATGTCTCCAGAAGGCGAGACTACCGATGCAAAGAAATCACATGGCCGTTGCAGTCATCTTGCCATGATCTATCCTGGCCCATAAATATGTTCGTCATCAAAAAGGAAATTCATGTACATGAATAGAAAAGAAGAATCGAAATTGCCGCAGATCGTGGGCAATGTTTGAGTGTCAACAAGGTTATGTATGCAGTTCAAGTCCTGTTGATCTGTTCTGCCATCTTTCGAGCTCGACGCTCAACGTATCTGGCTCGCCCTGGCAGGTCTACTTCACCAGAAGAGATACGCTTGGCTTTGGCGGATGATATTGTCTCGTTATTCGCTATGCTGGCGGGCTCCATGCCCGAGGTCGTAAGGACCGAGGGCGGACGTGAAGAAAACACCGAGGAAGATCGATCTCTGGCTCTCGAGGTCCGCCCAGGAGTCACGGGCGAGCTGGGCTGAGAGTCCTTTCCTTTCATCCACCCAAAGAGCCCTATCGAGCTCCGGCGCTTGTTGTTATACTCCGCACCGTGCGAGGTCGAGGGACGGTCCGCTTCGGTAAAATGCCGCGCCAGAATCTTGTTGGTAAGTTCCCTGCTGGCTTCTTCAACGCGAGCTGTCGGGCCGCCGGCGGTATCCTGGACGGTGTGCGAGCGCTTTGCGCCGTTTGGGCCTCGTGCTTTGGGCACTATAGGAGACGGAGCCCCGTCATCCAGATCTTCCTGCTCGACGGGATCAGACATTGGCGACTGCTGAAGGCTCTTCGAGTTCGACCTAAGGCGGTTGAAGAATGGCGGACGCAAGCTGATCCGTCGCCGCGTCTGAGATTCGGACTGAACAGGGCTGCTTCCCCATCCGCGCAGGCGGAGCGAGTTACGGGGGAGCTGGGGCTCCTCAGCTGCGGGCTTGCTAGTCAAGAAACCTGCACGGTGTTCCGGGGTAGGAGGGAGAAAGTCAGGATCCAGAGTAGGCTCCATCACTTCTGTCGTCTCTTGGCTACTTCTCCGAGAGTCCTCCTTTCGAGAGCGCGGGCCATGTTTAGCGGCCTCCATCCAATCGTCAGGCGTTAGCGGAGGCGACGAGGGAGGTCCGTATTGCGTTGAGGTAAGCTCAGACGCAGCGGACTGCAGCGACGGCGTGTAGTCCTCAGACTCTCTGGTTACCTCCTCGATGCCTTCTCCGTTGAACATGAGATCACCACCGTAACGGGCGAGTCGCGGGTTCGTAGGACTGCCCGGACCAAGTAGGCGGTGGACCTTGGAAGTGCCTTGACCAAAGAACGGCAGCATGGTGGGATAGTCATCTCGCGTACGGACGGTTAATCCACGTTGGGATATCTCGCTCAATGAAGTCTCCATACTGTCTGATATGCCAGTGGTGGCAGTACTCGGCCGCAGCGCTATGTCGCCCGCGGACGATGGACGGTGTAGCTTCCGCCGCAGGTACAGCGGAGCCTGGTCAACGCGACTCTTCTCAGCAACAATGCTGCCGTTGGAGCTGTTTCTCATGCCCGCGTATGAGGTGCTCATGGTATCTGGTGTGGGCGGAAGCCTTCCACTGCCGAAGACGGCAACGTCCAAATGGTTAGAATCCGATGATTGAGGCTCGCCTTTGGCTCCGGTCTGGTTCTCCAAGCCCGACCGCATCCAGGAAACATCGGACACTGCCCGGTTTCTGGTTCTAGATGCCGGGGCTTGGAAAACATCTGGACGTGGCGGGATCCAGCGGTTGATGCGGGCAATCTTGCTTTCCTCATCCTCGCCAGTCGAGCGGAAACTATCTGGAAGCTTGGCCTTACCAGCCGTCGGCTCAGGAGCGAGGTCCAATTCATCAAATCCGTCATTCTTGATGGCACTGTCGTCTTCCGGCTTGAGATCGCTGCACTCACTGAGAGCACTCAAGCGAGGCGAGTCAGGTTCGCTGGGTTGATAACTGGACTGCCAGCTCTCGGATCTCGTCATAATGCTAGGCGCACGGTGAGACTTGGTCTCATTGCCGGCGTACAGGCTTCGCAATGCACTAGCACTCTTGGTCTCATCGCGGAGGAAGGAGGGTGCTCTCCTTGGGTATATGCTCTCAAAACTGTCTTTCTGTAGCTGACGGACCCGCGTGCCTCGTTTGGACGAACTTCTCTCCGGTATATCCACGATCATCTGCGCTTTGGGCGTAGAGATTTGCGGGGTTGCGGGCTCGCGGTCTTTGCAGTCCTCGTCGCTGGAGGGTCGAGCAGTCGACGGCCGCGACTCGTGTCGTCCGCCCTCCAGTTCTTCAATTCTCGCTTCAAGTTGGCAGATGAGTTCGACCGCCTCCGTGACAGCATGGTCGCGTTTGTCCAGCTCCAGTCGAAGCTGCTCGTTGGAGTCTCGTAGTCGTTGGTTGTGTTCCTCTACGCCACGGAGCTCCTGCAGCTCATCCTCCAGGCCATGCATGCGCTCGAGTTCCTCTTCCAGTTCCTGCATGCGTTCTAGCTTCTTGTCCAGAGCAGCAACTTGCTGTGTACGATGGAAGACCTCGAGTTTGAGATCGAAGTTAAGCTTGTTTATTTTTGAGATATACTATAGGAGAAAGTCGTTAGATGGTTGGGAACACGGCGCATTGATAGTCGGTACTAACCTGGTCCATTTCTCTGAAACCCATCTCCCGTGGCTGTCTCAGCCCTGCGGACAGGGCACTGTTCACCTTCCTTTGTTTCTCTGACTGTGAATCTTCATGGGACCGGGTGGACGGCGGTGTGACGGTTGGGATATCATCAGCAATTTCGGAGACTGCACGTCGAGAGGATCCGCGCGAGGCTCGTTGCTCCTTGATCAGACCCTGTAGCAGTGCAGAGGTCGGATTGACCAGAGGGGACGCTGGGACATCGGAGGACTCTGTAGGAGGAAGGGGCATCAGTTTCCGATGGTGGGTAGATAGATAGATATAGAGGAAGAGATGGAAAACGTACTGGAATCGAAGCGCGACGGTGTGCCTGGCCGGGTCGTTGTCAATGGGGACTGCTCGCGCGAGAATCTCCCCGGCTCTGTACAACAGGTCAATTGTCGATCCGTAGAATCACATCGTGAGAGACACGGAGTGCAGGAACATACCGGTATTCAGATTCGGTGGCGGCGTATGCGTGCCCGCCCTGCGGTGGAAGCGAGAGCGGGAGGGCGACTGGGTGGTGTCGTAGGAGCTGTCATCTGTATCTGAATCATCTATGGTGAGCCATGTCATGCTCTCCATGGTGAGCCGCTCTTCTGGGCCGGAGACTGACATTGAGAACGATACTTGGACGAAGAGATCCTGGTGGCCGGAGAGGAGGCATTGGAATATATTGAATGCCGCAACGGTGACTGCGCGGCCATCTGCAGCGTGGCCGAACCACGCCTACGGTCATCTCGATCCATCCCTCTTGGACTCCAGGGCTGGTTCTACTGAAGTCTGTTGTGGCTCGTTAGACGATGCGGAAGAACAGCCGGAGCAACCAAGTGGAACAGACCACGCCTACACTGCGATTCGAGAAGGACGCTACCACCTCATCGGGGTCAACGACCGGTATTCTTGCAACGTGGATTGGCGAGTAGACCGTTGTGGCCGAAGATCGCGTGCAAGATGCAAGATGCAAGATGCGAGGGGGGAATTGGAAAGGGATAACTAGAATGGAGGTAAGAACGGTGATAGGGACTTTTTTGCACGCCTGCAGCTAGCTAAGTAACCGGGTTGCAGTGCGCAGGGGGCAATCTTTTGTGTGTGGATGCCGGATCAGGGCGAACGGGCCAAGCAGAACTTGGAAGAAGCCCGAGAGGTTGGACGGGAACGATTATGAGGGATGGGAAGCAAGTGAGGTCCATGGAACGGGGCTGTGACGAGTCAATGTTCTGGATAAGAATAATAAGTAAGTTAATGGCTGCGGACGGAAACGTTCCAAGGGGTGAAGAGAGAGGGAGAGAGAGAGCGAGAACGACAGGAAAAGGATTCCTCCAACTAACTTACACGTCCTTTTTTTTTTTCCCCAACACGCGCAGCAGCTAAGTTAACTTACGACCGGATAGGGCGACTGGAGCTTTCGGACAATAATCATCTGCGGCAGCGATAAGGTCAAAGCGATCAGTTAGATACTCTACTCTAGAGTAGCGATCTGGTGTTCTCGACCATCCTTGACGATTGAATTGTAGACTAAGTGACTACTGTCTCAACTGAAAGCCAACTCCTAGCGACAAACCAATCGGAGAGATGCCCACGGCGCTGCCCCTTGCGGCTGCTGGATTTTCAGGGGTGCTTTAGTCCGCTGCTTCTTCCCGTTCACGGCCACCTACGGGTATCTATTCCTATATTTATTATTCCTCTATTATCTCAACTCACTCCGGCTGCAGGATCTGACAATCATCCCCAGATCATGCGCTTATTCTTTCACTCAATTGAACCTGTCAGAAACACACAGGCAGTGTTTTCTCTGTTGTTGTTTTCCCCCCTTCTAGCTGCAGTGTAAGTGCGCCACACTACTCAGTCCAGCCGATACATCGCGGGGAGCCAGGACCTCTGCCTGCCCGCAATCGATAAGATGCTCGTCGATCCGGTGCGCGCTAGTCGTCATGAAATTCATGCGAACAAAGGCGGTGATGGCCTCGGTGGCGCAACCTGGTCTGTTCACGACAAACAGCCAGCCTCCGGGGCCGTAACGGTGCTCAATGTTATTAACTGGCCATTGGACGGGCTGGCTTGAGGAATTCGAACCGGCAATGATATCCTCGACGGAGCTGGTGCTGTCTATCTTTGGCCATGGTCGACAGCAGTAGCTGTGCCGATCTAGCGATGTACTTTGCCGCAGCGGGGTTGACGCCAGTGGAGTTCCTACCGCTATCTCAACCGTAGTGCCGCTTCTGTCTCTGTCCAAATCCTCTCTGGTCAGCGCCACGCTGCTCCTCCGTCAACTGACGCTTCCACATACATTGTCTGTGCGATGAAGGTCATCCGAAGAGCGGCATCTGTCGGAAGGGAAGAGTATGGCAGTTACTGTGGACCAGCTCCCTCAGGAAATACGGACAAAAGACTATCCATGTCAGGCCATGTTTCAGGTTTCTGGCAGTGGTGTTGAAGAAACAACAAAAACACACAAATCCCTATTATTATTATTTATGGTACTTAGTCCTGTCCCACTTTGCTCCATCCTGCTACAATAATTGCTTGTAACCGCGGATACTAGTACTAGCTATCCGGCCCACCCGACTTCAAGAGAATTGATGATGTTGCTAGCACTTTTCTCACTGTTGTCGGCGGCAGAAGTGTGCACTGGTCATTGGCCACGGCTTGTCCGCATAGTCTAAGCGGTGTGTTCGATAATTCGCTACAAAAATGCCCGATTTCTATTTCAATGATTTAGCGCGTAGAAATACGCTTGACATATTCTAGTATTAGTCTCAAAGAGCAGATATCTCTAACACTTGTCGGCTAATTGATAATTACTTTTGTATTTGTGTGCGGTGCGGAGAAATATGCATCCATCCTGAAATAGATGTCCTGTCCACAGAGGGTTTTCGAAGACGGAATATCCCTCTGTCGCTCACGGTAGAACTGAGGTTTTTTATTAGATAGATATTGGGGATAGAAGCGGTATCTGGAGGTGTAAAATCCATATGCTACATCAGTATATTGCATTGCATTCATTGCTATACTCAAACGAACATTGTGATCCTTCTTCTATGACAGAATTCAGCTTTGTTTGCGCTTAGCGCTCATCTGCACAGATGATATATCAGAACGCTTTTTTTTTTTTCTCATGGCAGATCCCCGAATCCGAGAGGATCGATCAGCTTACCAGCATTTATTAACTACCTTCTTTGTTCAGTTTTGATGTCAATCCGGATTTCGACGCCCCTTACTTAAATCCTAGTAGATTTAAAACAAACAACTAGCAATCCCGTAGATAGTTTAACGTACCCTTTCTATTACCTTATCAGGAAGTAAAGACTATATCCAGCTCGATACAATCAAAAATATATCCGACTGTAAACAGGAATTATCTCATTCGTCTGTAAGTGATTATTGACCTACAATAATAGACGATGCAAGTTCATAATGCGAGCCCCCGCCTTTTCTTTTCCATCTCCCATCAAACAGGCAAGGTGGCCGAGTGGTCTAAGGCGCACGGTTCAGGTTTTCACCTGATCCATCACATTCCGTGTCATGAAAATGGCGTGGGTTCGAATCCCACCCTTGTCAAATAATTTTTTTTTGCCGATGGGCGGCGCAATGGTAGTAAGAGGCACTACCAGGCACTCCTCTGATAGATAGGATAAAAGCAATTGGGGAGCTGCTTTTGAAATACTAAAGGCCACGGGTTTAAATCCTATTACTAGCTCGAAATTTTCTACCTAGGTACTAAACTTAACTTTGATACTAAGTTATAAAGCCCCTTAAGGGCCTTTTCCTTCTCCTGTTTAGCCTTTAGATACCTAGGCTCTTATAAATCCTATCGGCTTCTCTTAAGATTAAATAGTTCCGATTTTTCTATTCATCTTAATAGAATCAACTATGCCGCTTAGAGTCTACTAGAACCCTATTTAGGTACTGTGCCTATATATAAGGTTACTCTCGAGTAAATTTAAATTTCTTAGACACACTAAAAGAAAGAAAACAGCGTATTCTACGCTTCTTTTAAGTCCTGATAGAATGTTTTTCTTCTAAAGGGGATTCCTCTTCTATGTGGTCTTGGATTACACTCTAGCTTAGGTAAGAAGTCTATATTCTGCAATGAGTCTATAACTTTAGTCCTATATGCTCCTGAGGATCCTCAGTGAGATATCGATCTCTATAATAGACCTCCGAGCTCATAGTTTATCGGATCATATATGGACTTCAAGATAAAGATCTCTGTTTAAGGACTACAGAAAACGGAACTTTTCAGACTAGCTTTAATCTATCTTACTGCTACTAAGTAGTTGTATTGTGTATAAAAAGAAATGAAGAAGTCCCCTACATGCAGTTAGCGTAGAATAGAGAATATAACGAACTACTAAGTAGCCATCTAAGGATATCATCGAGGCATTACAGACGCGATTGTATCTATCCCCGCCAATACCGGATAGCTGAGCATTAAATAAGCCGGGTCAAGATCGGTATATCCTGTTATATCAACAAAAATACACAGGACGCCCCCTCCTCCCGGCGATTTGTATCACAATGGAAGTTCACTCCTTCAACAGGGAGCAAAAGTGGCAGATTAGTTAGATATCCAGGTCTAGCTACTCGATCACCCAAAGCTCCCTGGTCGAACTCTTCCTGGAGCCCTGGTGGATTTGGATCTTCAAAGGCGAAAGAGATAGATAGATAAGCTCTTCCTGACTAAATGCGAAAGTGAGAAGGGTGGTTTTCCTGGCACCTTCACGGCTCTCCCAGATGAAGGGGAGGATGGGATGTGAGCCTTTTGTGTTCGTTATCTGTGTGATGATAGTATTCTGAATAGTATTAGAAAGTCCAGAATATTCACTTTTCGCTAACCACTTTAAATATTTACGGTTGTACAGAAGAAAGACGATCGAATTGTATCTTCGCGATGGTTTCATGTAAAAAATATTTCCCCAACTGGATTCTCTGTCCGAAAAACTCCTTTGATAGTGACGCTTTCCGCCTTTGCATGTATCATAAGTAACCTTGCTAATCTGGTGTCCGTCCGTATCTTATCTGCGTAGCGTATTCGGTGCGAGTCCGGCTCAAACCTACCGATATACCAATAAGTAGCCAATTCAGTCCATTTCATCGTCATCTCTTCTTGGCTTCTCCAGACCATACTCGCATCTCCTTTGCACTGTCGTGAGCAATGCGGAATACTGTCCATAGTAAGTGGTTAGTTAGACAGACGATATCGAAATCGACTGGTAGATAGTCTGGTTGAGGAACCAGATCGAATGGAAAACCTACATTGTCGTTCAGTCTCATCCAAACCCCTAAGAAATTCAGCTCCTTCACCAAGCGCTCCCCGCGGGTTATGCGCGTGGTCTGCGATTTCTGCGGCGCGTTTCTTGAATGTCTACCAGCAAACCATAGTTAGTTCGATCGAGGCAAAGCCTGCAAGGAGACTTACATCTGTAAGGATGTCGACCATCTCCTCTTCTTCAAAGAGCTCCAGGATCCGTACACCCAGGCTGTAAAAGTGCGGTGCTAGAGTCCGCAAATCAACCGTACGTGGATCGGCTTTCAGCGCGTTCATCACTCGTTCTGACAACGCGGAGGGCAAGTCAAGAGTGACGAGACGCGAAGTTCCTAGGTGGGCGCTTTTGAATGATATTTAGAAAACGTGTCCCCATATAGAAGAAGAGGACCAAACGACGTACCCTATAGAAAGCATCTCTCCGAGCCATAGTGGCAGATCTACTCGGGTGCCGGCTTTGATCTACTTCATCTTTAGCTCAATGATCGATAATCATTCAGATAGAGCTAGCTCTGATATGTACATACATTTTCACCTGCGTTACCGTCTAGAATGCCTAGACCAGGTACTTCCAGCTCAAAAGTACAGGGAAGTTTCTGGATGATGACTTAGCCCATGTGCCATTGATGACCTCCGATATCACGCCTGAGGACTCACCTGCGCATCGGTCAAGATGGCGTCCACGTCGTAGTACGTCATATTCAATAGAACAATTTCAGAGGTATCTAGGTAAAGTCATAGACTTTGTCTAGTAAGTGCCCTCAACTGTACGCATTACTATATCTTTTCAAGTTCGTCAATCGAACGCGTCCCGACGCGCGGCGACACGTGACATCAGGACCTTTTCAGAAGCTTAACTTTTGCCGAGATTCTCCCGTCTCCACTGAGTCCACTCTAACCTCTATTATCGTTCCGACTCTAGAGTATCGTTTAAATAGTCCGAGAATAGTTTCAGAAGCAACATGTTACATTGGTGACGTTTTATGCTTCGGGTCTTAGGATGCTCTAAGGTAAGAAGTACCGATCAGGATCTACTAGTACTGTGCTCTCGATGCATTTGGTATCAAAATTGTGGTGATTGCGTGTGCGGTGTAGAGGAGATGCGATATTTGCTGGCTCGTAATTGGGAAAACGGCCAAGGAGGCGAGCCTAAGGAAGCCATATCGCCAATTCAGCTGGCTTGCGCCATTAACCTCTGCTCTACGAACTTCAATTGGCCCCTTTCCTTGGCAGAATGAAAGGTTCTTTGGCGGGGCGATCAAATGACGATAACTTAGTGATATCGCGCAGTCCTCGACGCATCCGATCCTATTATCATCGCAATAGCAGCTGCTACTCCTTGTTCACGACGGGATTCTGATAGCAGCGCGCAGTTGTTCGGGTCTTGGCACGGCGCTAAAGCTGGTCAACATTGCCCTCTTTTTTCTCGATTGCTCATGGATGGCATTCTTATCGACTCACCGAATCTGCCACTTGAAAGCTGGTTTGGGTGTTATCTGATACTTTGTTAGCCCCTGGCTTCGGCCTGCCTGCATTGTAGCTTCATGCTCAGTAGGCGGGGAGTTCAAATCACGTCTGTCCTGGCTGATAACAGCAGTAATATAGCTGTTTCCTCCCACCAGCGCGCGAGGGGTGACCTCTCTTTTCAGGGACCTAGCTTATCTTTCCAACGACGATCTATGCCCAGGGTCTGCTATCGACAGCGTTTGAACAACGTTATCGACCCGTATGAGCTTAGGCGCCGATATCTCTTGACCATCTGGCAAGATACTAGAGAGATAACCTAGCGCAGATGTGCACTGACTCGAGGATGGTGTGTTAACAACTTAGCATTAGTTAACTACTGTGAGCTCAGCGTGAGATTGACAGGCTCTGCGTCGACAGTGGCATGCTCCCAGCGTCCCAGCAACAACGCGTAAAAGCAGTGGCAGTCAGATTTCAACCAAAAACGTAATATAGACTGGAAACCAAGCAGAGGCACAGAAAAAGAGAGTCAGGGCCCACGAGAATACGAAATTTCTGATATGGCGGGAGTTTGGTTCCGCCTGGGGATGATTGCCTGTGGCAGGAGACCCGTCGAAGATCTTCGCCCTGAGCGGATCCCTGGCCCTCGACCACCCGCAGCTATGCTAATACATGCGAGATAAGATGATGTTCTGTTCGAGAGCATGACAGCGTGACGAGAGACCGGGGATTTTGCAGCAAATTCGAGAACCTGGCTGTGTTTTCCGGCTCCTTTTTCACAGGCTGTCAGATACCGTTTGGCAGCGTTTGGAAGGCACTGGAATGTAGAGTCGACGCTTGGCGCATCGAGTATGAGACTGGAGTCGCTCTCGCGGTGTAGTCTAATGGTTGTTATTTTTACTTGCTCCAGCTGCTCTGCTCCAGAGGTGTGTGCTGGTCGGCCAAATGATCTGCTGAACTGTTGGGGACTCTAAGCATAGACGATTGTATAGTTAGTTAAAACGATATCTTCTGTAGAACCGGTCAGTGCCCACTGTGTACAGGCCTAGCACGGTAAACATCGACAAGCTCACACGGGCCGCGGTCATTCTAGAACGCCAGATGTGCAAATGGCCACAGCATGCGCTCCACACGGATGGCGCTTTGGTTGGATGTGGCCGGCAACCAAAAAAGCCAACGATCGGTTCCTCTGGGGTTCCTTGGAAAGTTCAAAGAGCTCAACCAAGAAAAGCTCCCGATAATAATAATACTAGTACTCTAGTCAACTTCGCTCGTGCCCACCTCTCCATCCAAATTTAGCCTGTCGTCGGGAGAGACAAGCGCTTGTCTTATTCCTCAAGGCCCAGATTCGTCCAGTGAATCAATCCTTGCTGATCTGGTGTTACGCTCCCTCTTGTCTTCTCTCTTTTAAATCTGGCTCATCCCGACTGCCGCTCCCTCCTCTGGCCCTCACACGACTCTCTCTGGCTCGTGCGGATGTGTTTCTTGATGGAACACGACTGCGGCTCCTGCGTCTCCATCTACCTCAATGGCTTACAACGCCATTGCTCAGGTCGACCACGAGGTGGCTTCCAACGCGACGAGTTCTAATGCAGGCAGTCCACCCCCGTCGCCATCCAAGAACGATGCCTTCCAGCCGGTCTCCCTCGACGTCGACAATCTGGGCGGAGGGAGGTTCCTGGAAGCATCTCAAACAGAGCAAGGATCAAGCAGCGGTCGCTTGGGGTCGATGATCCGATCTATCACGTCGAACAACTATGACATGTTGGACGATGATGACTATGAAGCCGCCGATCTCCCAGACCAAAGGTCTAACTCGCACCAAAGCGGGCCCGTCGCTGGAGTCGACACGAACCCCCGTTCACGGCCTCGTTCGCCGTCACCAGAACCGCTGATACGCTCTCCCAGCAATCACTCGATTTCTCTTCGTCATCCGACCCCGGATCTACAGTCGTTACAAGGGGCATATGTGAGCAATGTGGAAAGACTGGAGAAGAGCGCGGAGCGTCTGAGCATGACCTCAGACATTGGACACGAGCTTCGCAAGATGGATCAGGAGCTAAAGAGACGCTCGTCGGCTTCTTCTGCGGTGCCCCCGGGCACGGAAGCCCTGACAAGGAAATTCTCGTCGGCATCCGTCTCCAACTCTATCATCAGTCTGAACAATGCAGCCAGGAGCGGTGGCTACTCCCCGGGAGGGTTTGTCTCATCTCCACGAGGCTCCATCATGTCCGGCAGTTTCTCTCAGGGGGCATTGCGTCTACGTTCGACATCCGTCAGCTCCCAGTTGGCGCAGGTACACGAACCAGAACAGGAGGATGAATATGCACCAGCGGCTCCGACACCAACAGCCGTTCCTATACTATCCCCTCCACAACCACGGTCTCACCCCCAAGAGGATAATCATTCATTCCAGCAGTCTTACGCCGAGCATGAATATGTACAGAACGAATACCAGCCCGAAGATTATCCGGACCGTCCGCCCACAGCAGCGTCCGGCGACACATACCGACAGGCGCTCACGTTGTTCAGGGACTTCGATGGCGTTCATTGTGTTCCCTCCGCACGAAGTGTCTCACTCGACAGGCCGCCCTTGGCGAGCGGAGCAGAACGCTACGACGAGCCCCCTACGGGACAGAACATGGTCTACTATCCCGCTCCAGTTCCCATGATGTTGAACCTGCCGCCACGACTATCACAAAGACCTCCTGTTTCTGAGCTGGAGAAAAGGCGCACGCAACTTCTGGGTGCCCTGGCTTCCGATAACAGGAAATCGGTCGTGGGGCTCCCAGGAAGCGAGCATCAAGAACAGGACAACAAAGCCGGTAACAAGCTGTCGAAGCTTCCGTCGCAGCTACGGGCAAGTGTCTTCTTCTCACAGCCCGCGTCGCATTTGGATATCAAAATGCAGAACGGATCTGCAGTTGCAACGCTCGAGAGTATACTCGATGCGTCTGCAGATGCACCTGTCACTGCGTTTACGGACCACCCGTTCGCTGGCCACGTGGGGTCAGAGGTCTACGGACGTAGCCAGGCTAATGCATCTTCCAGGAATCTGGCGGAAAAGAAAAAGAAGCGGAAGAGCATCCTTGGTCTGCGCAGCAGCGCTCTTTCGCCCGGAAGAAAGGAAGGCGGTGAGGCATCTGAGACAGAAGCTGAGCTGGCTGAAAACAATCTCGAAGACACACCGCTCCGCTCTTCAACTTACGATCTACATGATGTAAACGGTGATCGTCACGCCGGTGCTCATAGCGGCCAGGAAGAGTCTGACGGCTCTGAGGAGGGCGAGGAAGGGGACGGAGGCGAAGATGAGCTCGCCTATGTTGGACCTCCGACCACCCTTCTGGCTGAGCTTGAGATGAGGAAACAGGAGCAAAAACAGCGGCGACGAACGGCCGCTACTGCGTTCCCCAATGGCCTGCACTCGACTCTCTTGGAGCTGGATACCGTCGCACAAGTCCAGAGCAAATCAAGACAGCGGCGGCCGGTCACTCTTGCGTGGGAACACCCGGATGTCCATAAGCAGGACGGTGAGGAGGACGAAGATGTACCTCTTGGTGTGTTGTTTCCCGGCAAGAGCTCCGCGGCCGATGAGAACCGGCCGCTGGGTCTCATGGAAAAGCGAGAGCTGGAAGAAAATGAGCCGTTGAGCAAACGCCGTGCAAGGCTCCGTGGTGAGCCTGTCGTTCCCCGCGGCCCCAGTGCTATGAGACGGGCGAGCACCATGCACACTGGAGACATACCGAAGCCTGAGGAAGCAGAAAGCGGCGATGAGAACGAGACATTGGCACAGCGCCTTCAACGTCTCAAGGAGAAGAACCGGGCCAGCACTGTCATCAGCAGTGACTTCGCCAGTGAAGTCTTGGCTCACTTTGAGAACAAAACCGACGAAGGAACGGAGAAGAAAGCCGACGCCGAACAACCGCAAGAGGAGACTCTGGGCCAGCGCCGAAGACGCCTGCAACAGGAGGCCAAGGCACGACAGTCTGTATCCGCAGATCTCGGTACACCGAGATACCGCAGAAGCATGGCAGATATCCTGCAAGCTCACCCTGCTCCTGGCGCTCGAAAGCCATCGCAGGACAACTCCCGCCGCGGAGCACCCGCGCCGCAGCAAACCCAGACTAACCGCATGTCCATGTTCACCTTACCCACGAGCCTCAACCACGCCGCAGCTGGCTATCCTCCTCCGTATGCCTATGCAACGGGACCTCAATATCCAACCATGACCGGTTACAGTACCCCGTTCGTATACAACACCGCAGTCGCACCAGGAATGAACAATTTAACCTACAGTATGCCCTATTACGCGAACCAGCCAATGATGGTCGCGCAGCAGCCTATCGATCCTCGCCAGCGCGATGTAATTGACCGCTGGCGCCAGAGCGTAAGATAGGGCATGCGGTTAGATTATTTGTTTTTTTCTTGAAGCGCAACGAAAACCCTAATATCCTCTGTACATACTCGCTGGCACGAAGCATGGAGAATTGGTTGGGAGCGGGGAGAAACCGGTGTTGTTGCTGATTTGTTTGTGATATCCGTTGCCGATCTAGTTCCTTCCTCTTTTTATTTTCTTTTCTTTTTTCGTCTGTCGCGTTGTCATTTATTTTTATTATCATTATCGATACTGTATGAGTAGCATAAGCAGCTGGCGCGAAAGGGAATTGAGTGCATGCGGTCTTGACATCATTACTGTCGTTTCTGGATTATGTTTGATTATGTTCTTTTCTCGGTTCTTTACAGAGACCACTAACTAGGTAGCCATGTTCGTTTTCTAGAGTTACTCTGCCTAAGTAGCATGTCATAATACATATAGCGTGTTAATCAAGTTGATGGACGCCTAATGTTATCTCAGAATGAAGGCCTGTACATGTGAACAATCTCATTGTTTCCAAACACCTAATAAGGGAAGCATTTTCCGATTCCAGTCACAGATCAGATGTTATCCCTTCCAATTTCCCGCATATTTCGTTTTCTCTCGCTGGGATCATACATCTCAACTATCACGCCGTTAGGGCCGATCAGGTCGTTTGCGGAATTATGCGGCTTTCCATTCTGGGACTATCTAGGAGCAAAGGGGTAATTGGCAAACAGCTCGCAGAAGGGAATCTGATGTTTTAACTGCCAAGGAGGGGATGTGAATCACGACTCTGATGTATTTAATTCTGCTGTGTCAACGATCATCGACGATAACTAGCGCAAGAGGGGTTTAGCATTAGACTGGGGACTAGGCTCTCTCAAGTCCTAACCAGCACGAGCGCTTTTCTCTGGCATGTCTAGCGGCACGTGGAGTTATGTTAACGCGTAGTCGGCCTTGGAGTACTACTTAAGATTAGAGGAGTCTTTGCGGCACTGTCAGCGTCTGTTCGGCAAACCATAACTTAAAAAGAATGAAAATCTCATAATTATTATAATTATTATTACCCGTCATGATGTGGTCGATGTATCATTGAGACTCTTGCTCTGTTCCCAAACAAAGACGCACTTTGCAGCTCGAGAGATTACGTCGCCCATCGGGGGCCGGCATCCCGCTTGCGGAGCTCTAGATTCAGAACGGGCTTATAGACTGGTAGACAATCCGCCCTCTCGAGTCCGCCCTCTGACACTAGAAACATCCGACTCGTCGAGATCGAATGTCCTTGAAGACAGGACCAGTCTGTCCCATCGGTCATTTCTGGTGTTGAAACACTCTCCAGGCTTACGGGGGGTGGAAAGACTCGGCCGGCTTTATCTTGCGATTCATCTAGAATCAGCGCAATCGCATGGCCACCACAACAGCCATGAAAATCTGCAGCGCACCACAAACACACTGACCATCTTCAGGGGGGGGCACAACAAAGGGCCTAGGAGTAGGAGAGAGCCATCACGGAAGCTATCATGCCGCCATCCACGGTCTTCTCGTACTGGCGAAGGGAACATCGTCGACCGAGTTCCTCTCTTCCCACCTCGCCGCTCCCCGTACCGAGTGCGAACTTATCGGACAACCCGCCGCAGCTCCCGGGGATCCCACAAACCCCTATACTCGCTGATGCCATCATCGACTCGTCTGCCGTATCTGACACCTATTCCCCCGTTCCATTGAGCGAGGATCCACCGGGATGGACCGCCAACAAACCGATGGCAGGCGTTGCTAGCCCTGATACACAGCAATCTCCGGTCAACCTTCGAGTGCCATCTCCTACACTGGAACGTCTCTCGCGGCCAAACTCGAGCCCAGATGAGACGAAGAAGAAGCCTACAATCACAACTCAATCGAATTTGTCCCAGCAATCGGTGATTCCCTCCCGTCAGGAGCACTCCGAATCGGAATCCTCGAAACCGAACTCACCGTGGCGGCTCACCTTTGGGAAAGGATTTCTAAACCCCCAGTCGCAATCGTCAGACGGCCATAAAAGATCTTCTATGCATGGTGGGATTGTTGGGGAGAAACTGCGCTTAAAATCGTCTCCGGAAGACTCACCGGGGGAAGCGGGGGCGCAATCGAGGGATTTCAAGGCCGACAACTTCGGGTCCCGGCGATATAGTGACAATGAGCTACCTGTAGAGCATGCTCCCCAGAAACATGGGAAGACGAAGCTGCATCTTCTGAACCCTATGTCCCTGCTGGCGCGGAGGCGATCCTCCCAGCTAGCCCACGCAAAACCGGACGAGCTCAAGATAGTTCCCGCCATCCCAGATGATTACGATCCCCGAATCCGCGGCAAAATCGTGCATGATTTCTCAGCGCCCAGACAGCGGCGAAATGTTTCCATGGTTGCTGCTAGTTCCCAGGATACCAGTCAGCAAAGCAGTGGTCTTTCTCCGTATCAGACCACTGACTCTAACAGGAGGCACAGTCAGCATTCTCCAGTCTTCAAGGAGCACTTTGAAGACGACCAAAAGGCACTTCAGATTGAAAATAAAGGTTATCTCCAGTCATCACTCTTAACGGGACCTCCGCCCAGCAGCCATGACCCGGGCGCAGTCCCTGCGTTTGCAAAGAATCTGCCGTCGCAGTTACCGGAACATACGGAAGAAGCAGCTGAGCGCCCAGTCGAAGACTCAGAATCGTCAAGTGGTTCTCACAGCCCTACGAAGCGTGCATCACCAAATCAGCAGCAAGGAGGAAATACGGAGTCTCGAGCCACTGGCCTTCCAAGGCACCTCAGAAGTAATGCATCGCGATTTAGCTTTGACATGGTTGGAGTCGGTTCATCTGTTCAGGAAAAGCTACTGGAAGAAAAGCACAAAGAAAAGGAGGCAGCACGAAGGGCCAAAGCAGACCTGGAACGGTCCGAGTACAGTGACGATGAAGACGAGTTTGATTATGACCTTGATGACGACATTGATGGACTGGAAGAGCGTATTCCTGGTGTTAACGCTGATTCTGATCCTGATGAGGAGGAAGATGAGGAATTCCGTGGCTTCTCTGGTCCGGGGAAGATAGTGAAGAACACCTTCTTTGTGCCTTCCTTGCCTCCAGTGATCGCGAGCCCCGTGAATCCTGACGGCACCGGGCCGGATGCTGTTTCCCAACCTCACGGTGAACAGGCAGAGCGGGCAAACTCCGTATCCGATTATGGAGATGCTGCAGGCGATGAAAGGAAGCAAGATCCCCAAAATCATGAAACTGTGGACATGAGCAATCCAGGGGAGATAGTAGAGGTTCCCGGAGCGAGTAAGATTGAGAATCAACAGTCCGCGGATGACTTCTATTTCCACGACGAAGAGTTTGACGATCTCACTGCGGACACTGGAGAAGAGCGGTTTGACGAGTCCATCTTCGACGATGAAACCAGTCATCTATACGACCGGAAAGTATCCGCTCCGGCGTTGGGCGCCGTGCCTGAAGCGCAGATCGCACCTAGTGAACCGTTACAAGACACCTCCCAAACGACGGATGAAGAGCCCATCATGAACGGCAACCTGCGGCATGTTCCCAGCTTGGCTAGTGATTTTGGGTCTCGGCCCATGCAGAGTAGCCTGCCGCAACGTATTCCCAGCATGACGTCCCCAACCTCACATGTAGGAGTGCTCTCCGAGCACAACCTGGAGGTATTCCATAATGCTCTAGCCAAGGCGGCCAGCGACGCAGCTCTTCAGCGAACCAGCAGCGTCAGTGAAGTGTCCCTGGGTCGAGAGAGCACGACTCGGTCGGTCGAGTCTCATCCGGGGCTGGTGTCGGACGACAGTCGCTTGAGCCAGACCCAAACCGTGGATACGATGGCCTTTGACGACATCTTCGACGACGATGGATTCAACTACGATGATGACGGATTCGACGATGACCCTATTATTGCAGAAGCCAATGCGGAGGCTCTTCAGAATGATGACGAGGGCTTCTATGGCCGAGAATTCGGCTTTTACCCGCAGGCATACGGGAATGGAGCTTCAGAAATGGTCAACGGCGGCTATTTCCTACCGCGAGGCATTGAGGGCGTCCACCGCAGCCACAGTGGACGGGTGAACTTCCGGGAACCCAGTCTGACTCCCATCACGGAGCGCAGTGAATGGAGCACGAGGAACTCGATCATCTCGCTGACCGCTCACGGGGCGGCGCATTCGAACCCGTCCCTGTCGAGTCCCGGGTTGGCCCAACTGGTGGACATGGGCGGCATGGATGACGAGATGTCACTGAATGCCTTGATGAAACTTCGCCGCGGAGCATTTGGAGGCAGCAATGGCAGTCTTCGCAGCAGTGCCAGTCCCTCCCCGCAGCCGCAACAGCCTCCGTCGAACCGCGCCAGCTTCCATAGTGCCTGCGTTGCGTTCATGGATCCCGCCAACACTCTGGTCGATTCTCCCGGTGCCATGAACCCCATCTCTCCGCTGCCCTTCTCGGACGAAGAAGGGTCCCCAACGAGCCCCACGTTGACGAGCAGCTTCTATCAGAAGCTCCCCAAGCCGGTGGTGGCAGAGGGGGAAGTGCGGTCGCCGACGACGAACAACCGACCGCGCCCGTCGCACAGTCGCAACAGCAGCTCGGCCAGCGTCAGCTACATCAAGGAGACCGACGAGGATGGCTCAAGCAAGTGGGTGCTGGAGCGACGGCGGCCGAGTGACAGTGGCGAGATGGAGGTCTATCAACGGGAGGTGCTCGAGGAAGGTCGCATCTGAGATGGATTTTCTGATGTGTCTGCCAAACTGGCCGCCTTCCACTCAACTTCTTGGATCCGTCCTACCGGCTTTCATCCTCTTTGATACTATTTTTTTGGGATGATCGAGTGGCTGCGATGACCTACGAATAATGAATCCTTGTACGAGTCTCTGTTGGTGAAGCTTACGAGTAAGCAAACGGTGGTCTTATTGTGACCGAGAAGGAGTTTAATTTTGGCTGATAGACTTTTTGGAAATATTTTTGGGACGTGTTTTGTGCTTGGGGGACCCTGATCTTGGGGGTCTGTATATAACTACGGATGGGAACGTTGGGATTGGTATAGTTAACTAGAGGGCGGATAAACAGTAATTACTAATTACTCGTTTTAACTAGTGCTACCGCCAGATGTCTACCTCTTAGGATCAATTGATTTTGGAACAGCCTGATTATTGGCGTGGCATTCTCATTATTGTCTGTTATTATTATTATTATTATTATTATTATTAATTTGCGTACAGCTGTTGTCCGGACATACATGGCTAATTCTGGTATCTAGTTCAGTTGGTTATTATAACTAGCAGAGGGTATAAGCTATTAAGCACTACTATATCCATCTCTGATCCAGTCAGGACGCGGTGCGTGGATATGCGCATAACCGGATTGGCGTCTCGCTGTTCTCTCGGCATCTCAGCTTCGCTGCTCGGGAACTTTTTTCGTCACAGCGTAACTTGGACTTGGAGCAAAAACCCGTCATATCCGTGCCGGTCTCATTGGCTGCTCCCGGACCCGGAACATCTCTCCTCTTTCTTCTTGCTCTCTCTCTCTCTCTCTCTCTCCCTTCCTAGTTACTCTCTCAAGATTAATCATCTACCTGTCTCTCTCCTCTCCTCCTCTTCCCTTTCTATTTCTCCCTTCTTTCTTGTTGTCGTTGCTGTAAAGAGAGTTGTGTACTCTCTCTGATGACTTCCGCGTTCTTGCAGGTGGCACGGCAGCTCTAAGTCGAACACCTGGTTTTTCGACCCGGATCATACATCATTCTCTTCCTTTGCTCCGTCGGTTTAATCCACCCCGGCGTTGTCCACCATAACTAGCCCTTCGACCACCACCACAGCACTCTTCTGTGGGGTGAATTGATTGAAGCTAATTCTCTTCCCGTTCCGAGCGCCAGTGTTGCATCGGACGTGTTTTTCTGCGACCTTTTCTGCTTCTTATCGGCCTCGTTCCGGACAGAGCTGAAAAAACCCCCATTTCAACGCCCGCCATGTTGAGAACTACGGCGGTCAAGGCCACTGGCAGCCTGCGCGGTGGCGCTTGCTTTGCCTGTCGTCGGGCCCTGTCCATTGCGGCCAGCCCCAAGATTAATGCTCCTGCTGGTGCCAGGTCGAATCTGCACCTGACCGCTCGGAGACCTCTCGCGGTCATTGATCGGATGAACAGCGGCCGGAGACAGTATGCGGTATCTGCGGAGGATACGGATAAGGGCGTGGTAAGCTACTACGATCCATGACTGCGGATATCGCGATCCGGAGACAGATGGGGAACAGAAAAAGGGAGAAAACCAAGAGCTTGGCTGACTGGGATGCGTGTCTCGCGTCGTGATAGGACCCCAACGACTCGTTCCTGCAGGGTAACACCGCCAACTACATTGACGAGATGTACCTCGCCTGGAAAAAAGACCCTGAGAGCGTGCACGTCTCCTGGCGGACGTACTTCAAGAACATGGAGTCGGGCAAGATGCCCATCTCCCAGGCTTTCCAACCGCCGCCCACCCTCATTCCTCCTCCCGCCGGTGGTGTGCCCTCGGTCATGCCCGGTGCTGGACTTGGCGCCGACAACGATCTCACGGAGCACCTGAAGGTCCAGCTGCTGGTTCGCGCCTACCAGGCTCGTGGCCACCACAAGGCCAAGATTGATCCTCTGGGTATCCGCGGCGACTCGGAAGCGTTCGGTTACAACGACCCCAAGGAGCTGCACCTGGACCACTATGGATTCACCGAGGCGGATCTCGACAAGGAGTTCACTCTGGGACCTGGTATTCTGCCTCGCTTCGCCACCGAGTCGCGCAAGAAGATGACCCTGCGCGAGATCATCGACGCGTGCGAGAAGATCTACTGCGGCTCCTACGGTGTCGAGTACATCCACATCCCGGACCGCAAGCCCTGCGACTGGATCCGTGACCGCTTCGAGGTCCCTCAGCCCTACAAGTACTCCGTCGATGAGAAGCGCCGCATCCTCGACCGTCTCATCTGGAGTTCCAGCTTCGAATCTTTCCTGGCTACCAAGTTCCCCAACGACAAGCGTTTCGGTCTGGAGGGATGCGAGAGCTTGGTGCCTGGTATGAAGGCCCTGATCGACCGCAGTGTCGACTACGGTATCAAGGACGTCGTCATTGGTATGCCTCACCGTGGTCGTCTGAACGTTCTGTCCAACGTCGTCCGCAAGCCGAACGAGTCCATCTTCAGCGAGTTCACCGGCTCCGGTGACCCCTCCGACGAGGGTTCGGGTGATGTCAAGTACCACTTGGGTATGAACTTCGAGCGTCCCACTCCCTCTGGCAAGCGCGTGCAGCTGTCTCTGGTCGCCAACCCCTCCCATCTGGAGGCTGAGGACCCCGTTGTCCTCGGAAAGGCCCGTGCCATCCAGCACTACAACAACGACGAGAAGGAGTTCAACACCGCCATGGGTGTCTTGCTGCACGGTGATGCCGCCTTCGCCGCCCAGGGAGTCGTCTATGAGACTCTGGGATTCCACTCTCTGCCCGCCTACTCCACCGGTGGTACCGTTCACATCGTCGTGAACAACCAGATCGGTTTCACCACTGATCCTCGCTTTGCTCGTTCCACCCCCTACTGTTCCGACATTGCCAAGGCCATCGACGCTCCCGTCTTCCACGTCAACGGTGACGATGTCGAGGCTGTCAACTACGTCTGCCAGGTTGCTGCTGACTGGCGTGCCGAGTTCAAGCGTGATGTCGTCGTGGACATTGTCTGCTACCGTAAGCACGGCCACAACGAGACCGACCAGCCTTTCTTCACCCAGCCCCTGATGTACAAGCGCATCAGCTCTCAGAAGAGCCAGCTCGACAAGTACGTCGAGAAGCTGATCGCTGAGGGTACCTTCACCAAGGAGGACATCGAGGAGCACAAGAAGTGGGTCTGGGGCATGCTCAACGACAGCTTCGACCGCAGCAAGGACTACCAGCCCACCAGCCGTGAATGGCTCACCTCCGCCTGGAACGGCTTCAAGACCCCCAAGGAACTGGCTACCGAGATCCTGCCTCACCTTCCTACCGGTGTCGATGCTGACCTGCTGAAGTCCATCGCCGACAAGATCAGTGGTGCTCCCGAAGGCTTCAATCTCCACCGCAACCTCAAGCGTATCTTGAGCAACCGTAAGAAGACCGTTGACGAAGGTGAAAACATCGACTGGTCCACCGCTGAGGCTCTGGCATTCGGTTCCCTCGTCGCTGAGGGTCACCATGTCCGTGTCTCTGGACAGGATGTCGAGCGTGGTACCTTCTCGCAGCGTCACGCTGTCCTGCACGACCAGGAGAGCGAGGCCACCTACACTCCTCTGCAACACATCACTCCTGACCAGGGCTCCTTTGTCATCTCTAACTCCTCTCTGAGCGAGTTCGGCGCGTAAGTACCTTCCTTTTTTTTTCACCCCTATGCTTTTACGGGGCGCGTCGGACTAATCCGTCTTTTCGTTTGCAGTCTCGGTTTCGAGTACGGTTACTCTCTGACCTCCCCCAACGCCCTGGTGATGTGGGAGGCCCAGTTCGGTGACTTCGCCAACAACGCCCAATGTATCATTGACCAGTTCATTGCTTCCGGTGAAGCTAAGTGGCTGCAGCGCTCTGGTCTGGTCGTCTCTCTGCCTCACGGTTATGATGGACAGGGTCCTGAGCACTCTTCCGGTAGAATGGAGCGTTGGCTGCAGCTCTGTAACGAGGAGCCCCGCGTGTTCCCGTCTGAGGAAAAGCTGCAGCGCCAGCACCAGGACTGCAACATGCAGATTGCCTACATGACCTCCCCATCCAACCTGTTCCACATCATGCGCCGCCAGATCAACCGCCAGTTCCGCAAGCGTAAGTCCTTCGTTTTTTCTTCATTTCTTCTTTAGAAAGTCGACTAATACTCCGTATAGCTCTCGTGATCTTCTTCTCGAAGTCTCTCCTGCGTCACCCGATTGCCCGCTCTCCTCTTGAGGAGTTCACCGGCGACTCCCACTTCCAGTGGATCATCCCCGACCCTGCCCACGGCACCGCCATTGACGAGCCCGAGAAGATCGAGCGTGTCATCCTTTGCTCTGGTCAGGTGTACGCCGCGCTGACCAAGCACCGTGAGAGCCAGGGCATCCGCAACACCGCCATCACCCGTATTGAGCAGCTCCACCCCTTCCCGTGGGCGCAGCTCAAGGAGAACCTGGACAGCTACCCCAACGCCAAGAACATTGTCTGGTGCCAGGAAGAGCCGCTGAACGCCGGTGCCTGGAGTTACACCCAGCCGCGTCTTGAGACGCTCCTGAACGCGACTGAGCACCACAACCGCCGCCACGTGTTGTACGCCGGTCGTGCCCCCAGCGCCTCTGTTGCCACCGGTAACAAGGCCAGCCACCTGAAGGAGGAGGCTGAGCTGCTGGAGGATGCCTTCAGCGTCCACCAGGAGCACCTGAAGGGCGAGTAAACGACCTCAGTGGGTCGCTCGCTGCAGTGTAGAAGAGGGGGAGATAATAGTTGCAAAATTATTTGAACGTTCTCGGAAACTTGGCCTTGGACCGTGTATTGTTGGATCATTCCATCTCCCTTTTTGTATCATCTCCCTTTGTTGTCTTGTTGGAAGCATGGTATCCAGCGGTGTTGATGCCGTCATCGTTCGATCTGTCAGTTTCCCAGGGTCTATCGCCTGGAGGGATGCTGGCCGGCCGTCTAGAGTTCTGTAAAATAAAGGATGGTTGATTCATAGTATTTGACACTGGTTCTATCTACCCTATGACTAGACTATGGTACTATCGGACGAGCTGCATAAAACACGTGTAATTAGTCATCGTACATAAAATTCCACAAACGGTTAGTGCATAAAATTCCCAAACAGGCAAGTGCAAGCTCTCCAGCTCTCTTCGCCGCCTTCTCCTCATCCTCTCGGCTTCATCTTTTCCTGCGTCCCTCGCTTTTCCTGGCCTGTTCATGCTATGATCTCTTGAGCCTCATTTTCGAATCATATCGCAGCTCTCTCTTTACCTACGCTACAGAGCAGACTCTCCAGGATCGATCCCGGTCCGGCTGGAGCAACCATGTCTGCCGCCGTAGCGTCGTCGTCGACAGTAAACTCGCAAGCCCAGGGTGTCCGCCAGCCTGTGCGGCAGACGCGAACGAACCCATCACGGACATCTAAGACGCTGAGTCGATCTTCTTTCGCCTATGGTCACTCCTCTGTGACAGATGCACCGCCAACTCCTACCATCCCGCACGGATTCTATCCAGCGCTGTCCCATTTCACCGATGCCGTCGCTGCGCTGCCCCGAGAGTTTCGTCGTCACAACTCCCTGCTGAAGGAGGTGGATGCGAAGGCATGGGCACTGGAGGAGAATCTATTGCAGCTTTTGAAGACTGCCTCTGACTCAGAGCCTGTTCCATACCCGCCTAATCCGGCGCCGATAGTGGACGGCTTCATTCGCGAGGATGCGCAACCGAAGGTGCGTCGCTCCCATAGCGGGCAGAGGGATTTTATATAGTTACTGACGTGAGGATCTCGCCGTAGGATGCTTCGCAAATCCCAGAATCGCATGAGAGCAAGAATCGCAGACTGCTCTTCGACCGTGTTCGGCACACCCTGACGGACCTGATGATGACGGCGGATGAGAAGAACCATGTGCTGACCAATGCCAACGAGGAGCTCGACAGACAGCTCTTCCGTCTCGATACCGTATTCCCGTATATATCAGGTGAGATTAGCGAGGAGTCTCGACTGGGTAGCCTCACCCACTGGGCCTATTCGAATAAATCGGCGGCCAAGGATGCTCGCAGCACAAACGAGCGTCCCCGTCGCGAGGCAGCGAAGCAGGATCTTGCTGCTCTCCACGAAGCTGAAGCGGCCTCTCGTAGCGAAGCACGACGTGAAGCCGTCCTGGCTCGAAAGCAGCGCCGCGCACACCAAGACTCCGACTTTGATGAAGCGCGCGTTGGTCGCAAGGGTGCTGGAGCCAAGGCTCGAGGTGGTGCTGGGGCGGACAACGCTGCTGAACAAACTGGACTGGGAATCGCTGGTACGGCTACTGCCCCGACCAAGCGCCGGAAGGTCGAGCGGCCACAACCGGTGCAGACAGGAGCTGCCATGGAGCGGTCTCTGAGCGGCGTCACTGCCGGCGGACGTGCCCATTCGAAGGATGCTCCCGCTGCGGAAACCAAGAAGAGAGCCCGGGCATCTAATGCTCCTGCTGCTAATGGTCGCAAACGGTACGTTGTATCAGTCGTATGTGTCAATGGAGAAATGGAGACGGTTGCTAACTCCATCGTAGGAATAATACCACCACTGCCGGACCTGGCTCACCCTCTCTGGTCTCCTCCCCTGTTATTGGGACGTTCAATGCCCCGAGAAACGCACCTAGCCCTGGTCCGAATACGACTGCCCGGCCGCAGTCTTCCAGAGCCCAGCCAAACAATAACCAGGCTTCAAATGCTCGCCAGAGACCGCCTTCTTCCGCATCGAACCGTGCGAACAATGGCAGTACGTTCCCCGGACCTGGACCTACCCTGGACACTACCCCTTCTAACACGGGCCCAACCATAGACAAATCCGCAGAAACAAAGCCTCCAGTCAAAGAAGGGACCAAGGAAGCTACTCCACACGCGGGCGCGGAGGCTACTCCTGATGTCATGGATACAGCAGATGATGCTGCCACAGCCCCGGCTTCTGTAGCGACGAAGCAAGAAGGGACAGAGCAGGCAAGTGTAGAGCCCAGTCCAGCAGGGATTGAAAGGGCGGACCCTGCACCGCCTTCAGCTCCAGCTGCAAAAGGTCGAGCCTCGAAGAATTCCACTCCTGTGGCCACCACCTTCTCTGAAGCCACTCAGCAGCGATCCCGGCCGTCTCGGAACACCGATACCGCAGGCGTTAAAAGGGCTAAGAAGGGCCTGGCGCTGGTCCAGCAGGCTGCTGCTGCCACCGAAGACGAAGAATCGTCGCGCGAGGGTGACGATGAGGACGACGATGGAGAGCCACGGTACTGCTACTGCAACGAGATCAGTTTCGGAGAGATGGTGGCGTGCGATAATGATGCTTGCCCTCGAGAGTGGTTCCATCTGTCTTGTGTTGGGCTGACGAAGCCACCGGGGAAGAATGGTAAGTTTGTCTTCCTGTCGTCTGTCATTCGAAGCGCTAACTCGGTATGTACAGTGAAATGGTATTGCAACGAGTGCAAGGAGAACATGAGACGGGGGCGCTCCAGCGGGAAATAAAAGGGCTGGTCGCTACTTTGCTATTCTCGTATGATACCTTAATGATTGTTAATACTGGATTGGCGGGCAGGTAATATCCGGTGACTGGGATTGTGATATGGGAGTTTCTGGAGCATTTGCGGCCTCTTGTGTTTACAGTGTTCTCGTGTTGCTAAATTGGCTGCATCAGCAGCACACATAGATCATGTGAAATCCTCTTGATATCAATTCCACTTGCATCTTTTATATTTCACTCGATGATTCATACACCTGCCCTATATGCGCTAAAAACAGTAGCAGTAAACCTAGTTTATAAATCCATAGCATAATCCATGGCAGCATCACATCAACTATTGAAAAGTCCTCTATCAAACAACAACCTATCGAGAAGGATATTAAGAACCGCCACTTGACGACTTAGGATAATATTTAGGAACTATGCAACTAATCATCATCAGTCGTGGGATTTCTAAGTATATAGTCGAGTTATTATATAGTTCTATAGTCTCGGAGTTTGAAGTAAAAGGAAAAGTAAAAGCAAATCTTATTCGAAAGTTTAATCCTAAAAAAGCATATCCGATAATCACAACGCCTCTTGCATGTCTCTCTCCAAGAAAGCAGCTCATTTGGATGCTGAAGCTGAACTTGGGCGCTTCGTGAAACAAAGCGATGCGGTGTAGATAGTGCCTGGGGCAACAGCACGCAGCCTGTGATTCGCCCGCCCTTATTACTTATGGGCATCAACGAACGTCGAGCTTCAAGGGAGATCTGATGGACAGAACAACTAACGGATGATAACACAACAGCTGATTGTCAGATTTCTCTCGAGCATGAGACGTGCATATTGATAAAAGGCGTGGAATTGATTCCAGGCCAGTTATGTCATTGATTGCTACTATGCAATACGCGCTTACCTCTTCGTTTACTACCAATGCATTCCACCTCAGATCTACCGCAACGGTCCTATTCCCAAGAAGACCTCTCTCTAGGTACATCTCGATAACTTGCCAGGGTATGTCCAGTATCCTTCAATGATGTAGTAGCATTCCTTCCGGAACAGGTTTCTTACGTTTCTAGGCGAGCCTATTCGGCGCGAGCAGCTGTTTGAATATACCAATGGGCGATTCCTTGTCAACGAAGCCCGCGAACGAGCTAGACGCTATGCCAAATTCGACGTCGATGCTCTCTGCTCTTTGGTTTCTTCCTTACCTTCCATTTCGTCTCCCATTTCGAAAATCGATAAAATAGAGGGCGGCTTCAATAAAGCATTGTTGATGACTGCAGAGAACGGAAAGGAGGTCATTGCTAAGATCCCCCTTGCACAAATCGTACCTCCGAAGTATGTCACGGAATCCGAAGCTGCTACTCTGGATTTCGGTAATGTTATCTATCTGACATCTAAGAATCTGTAGTGTATTTTTCTAATCATCACAATTGCCAGTCGATCGTTACACGTCTGTACCAGTATGCAAAGTTCTAGCGTGGAGTTCTGAGATATCGAATCCCGTGGGATCGGAATATATCATAATGGAGAAAGCCCCAGGGAGACAGCTAATCGAATTATGGGGAGATATGGATTTATCCAGTCGGTTCAAATTGATTCACAATCTAGCTCAGATGGAGAGTAGTGTCGCATCTAGAAAGTTTCCTGGTTATGGGAGTTTGTATTTTCGGGATACGTTCGAGCGTGATTCTAGCAGATCATCTATAGCCATGGATGATGATGATACGTATTGTATCGGACCATATTATCACGAGGGATGGTTTCCTCAGTTCGGAAATCATCGAGATGATGCTGGACCGTGTAAGTCCCCTCATACATACAATTTAGCCCCTTCTGTTTTTCCTAACACCAACTTCAACTTCTCCCAGGGACCAATCTTACCGACTTCAGTCTCTCCATGGCTAACAGAGGAATTTGGCACGTATCAAACTCCAACCACCTCACGGCTCGTGGTCCACACTACGGCTCTAAAGATGAACATATCCAGACACTAAAAAACACCCAGAAAATCATACCAATATTGGCAGAACATCCTACTTTACAACGATTTTCCACACCAACACTTTGGCATTCTGATCTTCACCTAGGGAATATATTTGTCTCTAATACCGACCCCACAGTCATCGTCAATATAATAGACTGGCAATACACCTCTATCCTACCTTCTTTCACACAAGTTCAATGGCCGGAATTTCTCAATCCACCAGAAAACTATCAGGTTGGAATGATCAAACCGGATCTACCCGCGACCTTCAACCACATGGACGAAGACGAGAAGGAATACGCTCTATCACAGAGAGACAAAGCGATGCTTAGCAAGCGGTACGAAGCGGCGGTAGCCAAGTATCATTACGAATCATTCCTGGCTTTGATCGGTATCAATCGTAGTGTGCAGCATTTATTCTCCTCGTGCGAGAGGACGTATAAGGATGGTATTGTACCGCATCGTGATTCTCTCTTGAGGATTTCTCAAACTTGGGAACAGATTGGACTTCCGGGGTTATGTCCTTTTGAAGTTAGCATTGAGGGGTTAGAGAAGCATGCATGGGAACTCGAACGGTATACGGACTGGTGTACGTTGTGGGGGTATACGCGGCAGATACTGTGCATAGATAAGGATGGTTGGGTGTCTCCTCGGTTGGACTTTGATAAGGTTAAGGAGAGACATGATGAGCTGTTCGAACTTTACATGCTGAGGGAGAGTGAAGAGATGTCAGAAGATGAGGCGAGGAGTCTTTGATTTTACATTGAGAGGGAGTGAAAGGTGCCAATATCAAGAGCCCGGAGTCCGGAGAGTGTATGTAAGACACCGCAATAACTGTTGCAAGGTATCGAAACCATCCACTTCGCCGCTTGAGAACTGAGTGGTACATATGACTCTGCGTTTGGTAAACCGTCGCGAAATACAGGCGAGCTTATTTAAGCTGACCCTTAAAACAATATGCTGATTACATATAGAACAGATAGAAAGACGCAGTCATCCTTCGCCCTCAAAAATCGTATATAATACATTTTTTTGACTTGTCCTACTTTTCCATGCACGCTCAGTGGTTGGAGAAACTTCATCCTTCTACCAACACCCGTGTCCAGTCGAACTTCCTCCAGCGTTTCCGGAAGCCGTCCACACGTCTGTCACCGCCCCTGGACCACCGTCCTTGCCGCTTTATAACGTCTGGTTCCAAGTCGAGCATGCCTCCGATTGTTTCCCGAGCGAAGAGATCTCCGCGTGGCCAGCGATGCTCGTGCTCGACGATATGGCCGAGTCCGCCGTCCAAATCGAACCAGACGTGGAAGTAGGGCATCTCCTTTGCGATCGAGCGTCGGAAGGCCAGTTTCCCTAGTCCCTCTCTCGCTTTCGCGCGAGTGTCGATCAGCTTGCGGTGTTGCGTCCATTCCGAGTCGGCTTGTAGAATTGCCTCCTTGAAGAAGGCTGGGGATGTTTCTCCAAGACTATATGGGAGCGGGACCGCTTCCATCGCTGCATGTCGCTTACGTTGAGGTTGTGCGGCATTCTCGTAAAAGATAACGTCGCGCCCTTGGTCGTGATACATCCGAGTCAGGCTCTTCATGAAATTTCGGATCTCTTCCCACTCATCGTCGTCGCATTCCAGCAGATTTGTGCGATGCTGAATGGGCACTATGGTGGCACTTCCCTCGCTGAGCTCAGGCTCCGTGGGGAGCGTAAGATAAGTGCGTGTTGCTAGAGATACTACAGGAGCGATAGGAGGTGTGTTGGTGTCTTCATGGTGGCACAGAGCGCAGCTGTCAAGGATGCGGTTCATCTTCTGGAATTCGTTGATGGCCATGTTCTTCAGGTTGATTTCGGACTTCTGCACCCTCCTTGCCAGTTTTGCCGCATTTTCATCCATATATTCCAGGTCATTCTGAGATATCTTGTCAGCACATGCACATACAAAGCAGTAGGAAGAAATCTTACATCAAATTTGGCGTCTTTGGCGATTCGCTCTGCGAGTCGCATGCCCTCACCACCAGCCTGTCCACGCGTTCGTCGCTCCTCCCGCACCATATCGTCAATAGTCATATCTTCATTCTCCACCACTAGGCCCCTCTCACGACCTCTTTTGTTCTCGACAGCTTTGACTTCATTCCTTTGGCCGGCCAGCATTGGGTTCTCAGCAACCCCGAGCACGACGACATCGGCCTCTTTACGGTTGGCCATATCGGCGGCCGCTATGTTATACCGTTTTTCGAGTTCTTCTGCGTCGGATGAGCCCCGTAGCTTGGCTTTCATCATCTGCGCCTTGAGCCTGTTCAGGGCAGTCAGGTCCAGATGCTGCGTAGTCCTCAGAGGCGGCTCGGTCTCCATCTGTTTGCCCTGACCTTGTGCTTCGTGCTCTTTTTCGGGGTCTCTGGTATGCTGATGCTCGTCCCTATGGATACCACGAGCGAGCTTTCTCTCCTGGAAAAGCTCACCAGTGGGCTTCACCTTTCCGACGTAAGACTCGCCGTATCTTTCTCGGCGGTCCAGTTCTATCTCCTCCTCCCGTGCATCATCGAATGAACGCAGATCTCCGAAACGCTCGACGGCGATATCTTCCACAGGCTTCCCAGTTTCTTCCGCTTCTCTGTAGACGGCTTTGAGTTTCGTCATTCTCCATTGGGAGCCAGCATCGCCAAACTCGTAATCGACCTCATGCGGCGCTGGCTCTTGTTCGATATCCTCAGTCGCTTTTCCATTATTGATATCTTGGAGGTGCTCATTGAGCTCTCTGTCGTGGATTTTGAGTTCGAAATCGGCCTGCAACATCTTCGGCTTTGGTGCTTCCTGTAAGCGATCCTTGTCATGTCGTTGTACGTAGTCGATATCCAAAGCCGACGGAGCTTCCATCCAAGCATCTCGTTTCAGCCGCGTCGGCTCCTCTTGCACTACCCGTTTCGGAACAGGTTCCTCGAGCTCTTCTCTGCTGCCTCGATGTCTCCGCTTATGGCTGTGTTCGTGGCTGTCGCCGTTGCTGGAAGAATGCCGTGAACGTTTGTGCCGATGACGTTCCTCATCATCTCGATGTCTGTGTCGGTCATGATCGCGATCGCGCTCCCTTTCTCTCGACCGTGACGAGTGACGGCGGTGATGATGGTGATTATGACGGTGATGCCGTTCCCTCGAGCGGTCTCTTTCGCGGTCCTTGTCCTTGCTGCTCCTGTGTTCCCGCCGCTCTTTACTCTCTGCGAGCGACTTCTCGAAATCTTCGAGCGTCATTGTTTTGGTGCCGACAAGCAGTGCTTGATGGCTCGTTGAGCTGAACGTTGTCTGTTGGGAGCAGAACGCGCTTTCAGAAGGGCAAACTCCGGGATGACGTCTGGCCGGGCTAGACTCCACCTCGTTCTTCTATGGTAAGCCAAACTCCCCGCGAAGAATTTCTGTCGAGAGCTAATAATCGACAACTCCCCCACCCGCTCTTTTATTTGCAGCATATCTCGTCTCTCTTCGCTCTTGTTCATAAAATTCATCACAGAACTTGTCACTCGACGAATCTTGCGAACGCGCCACTGCAACCATGGCGAAGTCGCCGGTGGCGGTCGTCTGCGTCGGCATGGCCGGTGCGTATCCCCTCGTTCTGACCTTACTGACAGAGCGCAGACTGATAATAATGGATGATGTGTTTGATTTAGGCTCCGGAAAGACGACCTTCATGCAGAGAATCAATTCCTACCTACATTCAGAGAAGAAGATACCATACGTGCTGAATTTGGACCCCGCAGTGCACACGGTCCCATTCGAGAGCAACATCGATATCCGTGATTCGATCAACTACAAAGAAGTCATGAAACAGTACAACTTAGGGCCCAACGGTGGCATCCTTACGTCCCTGAACCTTTTCGCTACAAAAGTGGATCAGATCATAGCGCTGCTGGAGAAGCGAACGTCACCCGATTCGACTACACCGGCCGGACGACCGATCGAGCACATCCTCGTCGATACGCCAGGACAGATCGAGGTGTTTGTATGGAGTGCATCGGGAAGCATCTTGCTTGAGACGCTGGCCTCATCCTTCCCGACCGTGATCGCCTACGTGATTGATACCCCGCGGACGAGTTCGACCAGCACTTTCATGAGCAACATGCTCTACGCATGCAGTATTCTTTACAAGACCAAACTTCCGATGATCCTTGTCTTCAACAAGACCGACGTCAAGGATGCCGAGTTTGCCAAGGAGTGGATGACCGACTTTGATGCATTCCAGACAGCGCTGCGACAAGAGGAAGAGGCGGGTGTCTTTGGGGCGGAGGGAGGTACGGGAGGATTTGGCAGCGGCAGCGGATACATGGGATCGCTGCTGAACAGTATGAGCTTGATGCTGGAGGAATTTTACCGCCATCTCAATGTCGTCGGGGTAAGCTCCATGACCGGAGACGGTATCGATGAGTTCTTCGAGGCAGTGGAGGAAAAGCGCCAGGAATTCGAACGTGACTACAAGCCCGAGCTAGAACGCAAAAGAAAAGAGCGCGAAGACGCCAAGGCGGCCCGACGCGAGCAAGAGCTGGGCAAACTTATGAGAGACATGAGCGTCTCCGGGGTTAGTCGTCCATCGCAAACAGCGCGGGATGAGGCGGAAACTGTCAGTGAGGCTGAAGACGATGCCATCGACTCGCGTGACACGATTGGTGCTACGGACTCTGCGGACGAGGATTCCGAGGACGACTATAATACATCCGGAACAGGGGGAGACGAGGGCCTGTCACAGCGCTACCAGCAAGCTCTGGCCGGGTCGTCGTCGCAGGATGAGAAAGACCACAGTTTTACCCGATATCTGCGTGCTAGTAATATCAATCGATGATGCCATAGTATCGATAATCAGAGAGTTCGATGGCTGAAGCTGTTGTGCCGCCGTTTAGCTTAGCGCTATGTTCCGTTGTTTTTTTTTTTTTTTTTTTTTTTCTCTTCTTCTTTTACCCCTGGTCCTTTGTCACTTTTATTCCTTGTATGACCGGCTTCCATACTTACGGCTTGCTCATCCCTGGTCAGACCCCGGAGTCTTCGCGTACTTTGTCGCCACTGCACACCGCTGCTGCAGCCCAATCGATCTCCGGCGCCCTGCATCGGAAGCTGTCCCGGCATCCGCGATCTTTTTGCGACAAGTACCAACTCACCAGTATCGAGACGGGGGAGACGAGGTGCTTAGCGAGAGATCATTTCATTTTAGCTCCGGGATAATCGACGGGAACCGGGAATGTCGTCACAAGCAGGGGAGTCAAAAAAGGTGTTACCATCCAAAGCCACATACAAGCCCATTTCGCGATCTACTTGTACATACTCCGTAAGTCGGCTCCACTACCGAGAAGCACGTCGATCCATGCAACCCCCAGCAGAAGAAAAGAAGGCCAGGAACGCACTGATAGTGATGCTCTCCGCCCGCTCCGTCTTGAGTACTACTGTCTTGCTGTTGTTTGTTTGTTTGTATCTTAATAATACGGTTTCCTTTTGAAGGATTGTCGGGGGATGTTGATCTTCTGCAACATCCTTAAAACGATACCCCCCCCCCTCTCCCCTCCCAGCAGCCCTAGGACCCCTGAGGCCAGTGTGTCACCGTCGGCTGGCGCGATGATAATATTCAGTGACGATCTGATTTGTGGCGGTCTTTTTCTTTTTTTCTGCTGGACTTGTTTCCACAGGTGCCCCATAGGGTCTGGTTCAGCTCTATCGACTTTAGGTCTTTTCTGGGGCTGCCTGAGCCAGTCAGCTCTCGTTGTTTCAATTCACGCGACGTGCTTTTGTTGGCTATGGTCATGCGCGTCCGTAGGGAAGAGGGAAGTAGTACTACACCGCATATAATGTATGAATGTCTCTGAAAAAGCTCGGCAATTGTTTTCTGCTGCCGTGGAGTGGCTGAAACAGTCCAGCTGTCGACCCTACCTTTTTTTGACCCTTAGAGCCCTTTCACATCCACGTTCATTCTTAGCTTCACCTGATTTCAAACCGGGGTAGCTCTGCGCCCTATCACTGTTTATCGTCACTGTCTACTTCACTCTCTTGTCATTTGCATGCTGGCAGACTCAGTGATTGGGCTCAATTCCCCGGGCCCAGTCATCTATGCGGATCGAGAGATGGGGTTATCCTCCCCGTCAAGAGCGACACAACATGACCGAGAGCTTATACTGTCGCTTAAATCCTGTCCCAATCTGACGTTGAATCATAATAATAATACTACCATGACAAGAGGTCTCTCGGACGACGGGACAGACCCCAGGGACAAGTGGACGCAAACATCCTCCGAGATGGACCTCAAAGATCCTAATAATCACAGCCAGCATGCATTGCATTGCCCTCACGCTGCTCGGCTTCAGAAAGCCGGTCCTCTCTGTCGGGAGTATGAGAAGATGATCTCGGGGCAGCCGTATGTCGTCTCTCCATGGGTATCTTGTGTATATGATAAGTTGGCCGCGGTTCGACGCTGATATCGAAGTGTGGTTCGCGAACAGATTTAGACTACTATCATCGCCCAGTCTGCAGGGAAGGAAACTGCGGGCGCGACAGTTCTGTATCAGTTATAATCAAGACGATATCCCCAACGATCCTAAAGTGCCTCCAGAGAAGGTGTTCCAAGGCCTCCGGAACCGACGGGAGAAGATGCTGCGTACGATCATCGGAGAGGTCGGTGAGCAGCCGGTCATCGAACCTCCATTTAACTTTCAGTATGGTAGCAATATCGCTCTAGGAGATAAGTTCTACGCCAACGTCAAGTGAGTCTACTGCTCGTGTGTAGGGGAGAGAGAGAGAAAGAGAGAGGAAGGAAAAAAGTCTCAGGACGAATACTTACGGTCGCTCCCAACCAGTCTTCGCATCCATGACAGCGGCTTCGTTACGATTGGCAACCGCGTTCTCATCGCCCCCAATGTGACCATTCTGACTGAAAGTCATGATAAAGATGTCCAGAGTCGTCGTGACGGCGTCGTGTATGCGCGATCGGTCACTATAGGCGACGATTGCTGGATCGGATCCGGAGCCACCATCCTCCCGGGCGTGACGATAGGGAAAGGCACCACGATCGGTGCCGGATCTCTTGTGACGAAGGATATCCCACCGTTCAGTGTCGCTTGGGGCGTTCCTGCTCGGGTCATCCACGGGGTTGACGATCCGGATGCTGCTGATGGCTCACAGTACAAAGCCCCCCAGCATCTGTGATGTTTTTTTGTTCGGGGGGGGACTGAGACCCAAGAATCACTTTCCTTTCCTTTCTTCATCCTTATTTTATTATTATTATTATTATTCTACATCTCTTACAGGGCGTTCTGAAGTCGGTACCCGGAAGGACAAAAGTTTTCGGTTCGAGATTGCTAGGGAAAGGACATCACATCACAGGAGCGAACAAGCGGTGAAATTCGGATATGCATAACCCTCATTTTATTTCATTTCGTTTTTATTCTTGTCTCTCTTCTTTTCTTATGATTATTATTAGAACAGGTAATTTAGGTATCGTGGATTCAAGATGCTACTTGGATGGTTTATCTGAATTTGTAATCTAGACTCTAGAGTAGTCAAGGAACTGTATACCATAAGCTGTCAACCAATCGAGCGATACCAAACCAGCAAATCAACTCGACAGCCTAACCACTCCGCCAATGACTATCTATTATTATTAGACTAGATCCTTCATACTCAAGAGTCAAGACACTCTCGACTTGATTAATTAATCAATTAATGCAATAGTTAGCATAAATCTAGATGCAAACCCCACAAACACACCGGATCTCCCCAAAGTTCCAGCTGGATATCGCATGATGTCATAACTACACTAACTCTTTGACGCCAATCAAGAATGAAAAAGAATGAATTCGTTCAATTGAATCAAGTTCCGAAGCAAAAGTACCCCATCTCTCTACTAAGTAAGTCATCTTGGTGAACGCATATGCCAGGTTTGTGAGAACGCCTCGTTGCAGAGAGGGCCCCTCCATCCCGGCAATTTAAGAATCGTTGCTCCCCCCCTTCTCCCCTCACAGCTAGCTACTTATCCTTGTTCCCCAGACCGCTCCGTCTTGGTGGTACTTTTGACCTTTCCTCAGCTCATCTTGCATTGACTCGACTCGACTCACGGTACTGTGTTACTGTCTTGATATCGTTGATTTCATTGAAAAGAAGAAAGAAAGCAAAAGCAAGAAATCTTTCTTATTCAGTGAGATATCGAAGCTTCCAAAAACAATACCGGCTTGCTATCTATCTATCTAATATACCCCGGATTTCATCATCTCGAGTGTTCCACATTTTCTGGAAAGAAAAGAGAGAATAATAACCATACCCTTGGGATTCATTCGGCCCCCCATCATGGATGTACGTGCGTTCTGTCCCTCTTGACCTTGACCCCCTGCATGCATCCCAGGGCGCAATCTCTCTGCTCCTGCAATAATGCCTGTCGCCAATTCTAGGTTTTCTCCATATCTATAGTCTACTTATAGGAACTAACGGATTCTGTCACTGGTCACCAGGTCTTTTACACCTACACCTACGGAACAGCCGCATGGCTATCCGTCCAAGGATTCCTATTGCTGGCATCGCCCAAGATGACGGTGACGATGCTGTTAGATGAGACTAGACCTCCGTCATGTAAGTAAATACCTAGCCAGTTCTGGATTGGAGGGGTCGCCATTTTTTTTTTTCTTCTTCTTCCTGCAACTAGTTAAGGGGGACTTGTGTCATCTTCCATTGCCCCGGCATGTTATTCGTGGTCATATACTTAGTGGAGAAGGGGGAGACAGCCTTCTTTTCCCCGGAGCCGGAGAGAAAAGAACAAGCACCAGCACCAGCAAAAAGCAAAAAAAAAAAGTCCCCCAGAAAAGAAAGGACTAACTAATCTATATTCTGCAATCTTAGCGATTGAAATCTACCTTTCCCGATGCTCCGGATTGAGCCTCCTCACACTAGCCATCCTGACGATCCTTCTCACTGGATCCGTCCCCCTAACATCGACAGCCAATCGACCCGTTACCACAAACGATAATGACCCCAAGGCGCCCTATGCCGTGCCTACGATGCTCATCACCACTATCTTCCATGGAATCAGCGGGTTCTACGCCTACACGTGGTTCACGACTAGTGGACAAGCGGCCTTTGCGCTGGGAATGGCTGGATATGCGCTCGTGGGGGCCGTGGGACTTTGGTGTTTGCTTTTCGCAAGCGAGCATGGGAAGATTAGTCGGAAGACGGGAGTCGATAAGAGGACGTCGGGGTTCCCGTTTGAGAATAAGGAGGCTGATAAGCGGTTTGAGTCGAAGAAGGGACTGTGAGGTTGGATTTGGAGTTGAGGTCTTCTGACGTGATGTCGTGGAAATGGCATGTGGAGATGGAATTACGGTTGAAAGGAAGGTCTCGATCCGATCCTACTCTCGATCTATCACTCCGTATGGGGTAGTTAAAGGGTAGGATTATCTAGCTACGATCGAATGTATAACGTATTTGAGTTAAAGGCGCATTGGAGATGTGGGCGGCGGCATGTACAATAACTAACTAATTAGGTAGGGGAAATCTGGAGATCATTTACCTATGCGATGCGATGCGATGCGATGCCATCCTGCAACTAGGAAATAATTACTAGAAGACAGGAAGAACAAAAAAAGGAAAGAAAGATAGATCTCGACTTCGGTTAATGCTTTTATCTTATTCGACGAATAATTCAGCCTGAATAACTAAACCATTTCCCACTTGCATCAGCATAACTTATATCTCGATAAGACTCTTTGATAACTATCGTCTGAACGCGCGGCTTAAGTTAGTTAGCGCGTGCGATGAATAATCCCCTATATCAATATTGACCAATGTGTCTTCTTCATGGCTATTTCCCTCGAAAGTGGACGAAATCAGGGAAAAAAAATCCCCGATCAAGGATGGGACTCAATACCTTTCGTCGTCTCTTTGCGTATGAGCATCTCGGCCTTGTCCCATCTTCCGATGTTGTGCATGTTGTGGTTTTCAACCGCTACTACTGCGAGTATGGTTTGACTTCTGATAGATAAATGTTTTGCTGTTAATAAAATTAAATCTGTTAAAGAATTTGGTCCTCGACCTGATTCATATTCCGCAGATTGAAAACCTTCACCGTTTGGAATGCCAAAATGAGCGTGGTTGAGGTCGCCAGTGGCATTTTATCGGATCATATATAGTTAATATCTCCTCCAGAGACAATCCACCTAGTAGGGACAGATCCGCAACAGATTCTCCATCATTAATCTGAGAGAGCAGTACAAAACCTGCTTCAAGACTCCGATGGTCTTCTTCTTGGGCATCTTTAAGCTTTTGCGAGGAGATCTCTGGTGGAGAAGAAAGAATCCACGCAGAGTTGAGGTCTATGAGATAAACCCGATCCTTAGTGACCATTATGTTTGCTGCCCTGATATCACGATGAGCTATCGAGGCCTGGTGGAGCTCTTTTAACGCATTCCGAATCTGGTCTGCAATGTGCGCAGTGATTCGGATCTGGGACACCATTTTACCATCAACCCAATCGAACAAGAGTGCTCGGACTTTTTCATCGGTAGCATTTGGTGGCCGATCCCATAGGAACGATTGAACATTAAAATGTTTAGCGACATCCCTCTCAGTTTTGGTCGGGACAAGTATCCAACCATGACAGAACGGAGTGATTTTGCCGTTAAGTTCCTGCCTAATAAGAGACGTGTTTGTGCGGCATTCGATAAAGAAATTGTCGTATACGGCTCTTCGTGATATTCCTCGAAGTCTGGAAGGATATAATAGTGGATTATCGAATTTGAACTACCTCTGAAATGAGTTTTTCAATGTAGAGCGATAGGGTCACTTGGTCATGTCATACCTACCATTTTCAACGCATATGTCTTCCCGTCGATGAGGACTTTGAACACGTAGGCTGCATTTCCTCCTCCTGCGTAATCCAGTACATGGATCTTTTGGCTTCTCAGGGGAAATTGTTCCAGTGTAGGGGAGTATTGGGACTCAAGTGAAGCCATCGTCGAGATGCTAAAACCTTTTAAAGGAGATAGCTGATTCTGTCGCGATTTGACAACAATTGGCTACTAGGTACTTAGTCTCATGTGGTTGCGTTTTTTATGGCAAGTCACAGGATATGATGGCCGAACGAGAAATTCAAAGAATTAAGTGCAGCTTTCTCTATCTTTTTATTTGAAATCTGGAGATCGACTTTGAGCTTTCTGCTTTCGAGATGGCCCTTGTACGTAGTCGCCCCGGATCTGATGGTCTAACTAGTCTAGACCAGATAGAGTATGGTAGATAGTCCGCCCGGCTTCTCTTCCCGCGTCCCAAGCTAACTAAACAACTCCACCAAAAACCGAACCGCAAAACCCAGCGCCGCTTCAACCCTTCCCCGTCGCCATACCCGCCCTGTGACAAAAGCAGCGATCTCGAAAAGAGAAGCACAGGAGAGAGATCCAGACCGATCTCTATCTAGCCGCTGCTGCTGATACGACTATACTACTAACTAACCAACTATCTAATATCATTTTTAGATATTGTACGGAGTGTCGCAGTCTGCACGCGCGCGCGCTGGGTTCTCCTGGTGTCTATCCATCCAATCTAATCTTCTGTGGAAGATCTTGGATCTTGGATTTAGTTTCTTTATTTGTTTCTTTTCTTTTATTTTGTTATTTATTTATTTACTTTGCTTCATCATGGACAGTCCCGATCTCCAACACCTCCCCGTCAACCTCCGCAATCTGCAATCAGCAGCATCGCTCCAGAACTTATCCCCAAACACCCTTGCCTCGCAACTCGCTTCGGGGTTCGATACCACGTTCCAGACCTTTCCGTCTACTATCGCAGAGCTCCAGGAGCAACAGCAACAGCACCAGCAGCAGCAACAACATCTTCAGTCCGTGACGTCCAAGTCCTTCGTGCGGCCTCCACGACCGGGAGAGCAGGTGAATGATGTCTCGGTGCTGTCGCAGGAGCAGCAACGGAGCAGTGATAATGATAGTAATGGCGGCGGCGGCGGAGGAGGAGGAGGAGGACAATATGCTGTTGTTCCCCCTCCGCCACGACCCGGTCAGACGCAGTTGATGGCGCGCAATCAGACGTCGATGAATAGTGTGTTTCAGCCGCGGGGTAATAATCAATTTGAGATGCTGCACTCGCTGGAGCAGCAGCCTCTGCAGCATAATGCGATCATGCAGCTGCAGAAGGAAGGGGAGCTGCTGGGTGGTTCTGGTGGGGAGCCTGTTGCGACTGGGAAATCCGACGGGCACTTTGGGGGGATGAAGCTGATTCCGTATCCGCCTGATCTGGAGGCGTGGAGGGAACGGCTCTTCAACGTAGATGAGACGATTACTTTGACTGAGGAACAGTATGCCCGGGAGAACTCTCCATTGTATAGACGCGCAGACCGTTGTGCTTACACATCTGCTGTAGATTCCAGACTTACTTCCCGCATGTGGATAACGTCTATTCGCATCGCTCTACGCAAAGATACAAGCGCAAGCCCTTTGTCTCTCACTACTGGGACTGTCGATTGAAGGGCCGGCCGCCAGGCACTCCCAAGTCCGACGACCCGAACAAGAAGAAGCGTCGACGGACCGCCAGGCAGCGGGACCTCTGCGACGTCAAGATAAAGATCACAGAACACTTTCCGGCGTCTATGACACCGGCAGACGTCGTATCCCATATGGCGCAGCTGCCCCCGGAGTTGCAGACGGTCAATCCCTTCTTCAATCCAGGTGATAACCCACGAGAGAATCAGCCGTTCGGCGTCCTGACACCGAATCCTACCCTACCCGAGGGCCATCCGGCTGCTCATGGAGCGCGCTATTTCACAATCCAACGAGTAAATGGGAACGGGGCCAATGGAAAAGCCGACGGTGTGGGCGGTGGTCACAGACATACACTCGAGGAAAGCGACCGCGTGAAGAAGAACAGCGTGCAACGATGGATGCTCAAGGAAGCAAAGGAGCAAAAGAAAGCTATGGTAAGTCCATCTTTTCCTCTTATTGTTTCTGGGCTGCACCGGTGGTTCTTGTCCCTATCGATCAAAGCGATACTCTGCTTGCAATTGGACGCCTGCAAGGGTTTTCAGCTTCATGAAAGCCAAAAGTCTATATAGCTCGAAAAGCAAAAATATGGCATGAACCAGAAAACAGCTTCGCACGGAGTAAAGAGCTTGTGATGTTCGTGTGGAGTATTATTGCGGAGCACGATGTTGGGCAAGGGACCAAACGCATCCATACGTCATTCCCGGTATCTTTTTTGCTCCGTCTCTCCAAGCACCATCGCCTGCCCGCATCATCACACGTTCCCCGCTTCCAGCAGGCATCATGTCTCTCAAGCCCCTCTTCTCCCTCAGCAGACGATATTTTATCCCTGGTCGACCGGCAACAAGCAATCACCTCCTCTCCTGCTATTCCAAGCGTTTAAACATACAAACAAGAGGCAACAAAACCATGTCTGACCAGAACAAGTCGCAGCAAAAAACATACCACAAGAGAGCCACAGGCTTGGCCGCCTTGACAGTCAAGAAACGTTCAAAAGAGAGCGATCTCAAGTTGTTCGCGTCTTGCTTTTGGTGGGTGCCCCTGTTCCCAATCCATGGATAGGAGCGCAGCAAAAGAGGCTCAATCTCGGCTAACCAAACTCTCCACCCAGTCCTTTTGTTCAGCGTGTTTGGATAGCATTGGAGGTCAAGGGGATCCCGTATCAGTATATTGAAGTAGACCCGTACAAGAAACCAGAGGCCTTGTTGGAGGTCAATCCGCGAGGACTTGTCCCTGCGTTGCGACACGGCAATTGGGGTTGCCATGAGAGTACAGTGCTGCTTGAATATGTACGTGACTGATGTCCCATCATGCTCGATCAAAGGATGTACGTTGACAAAATATCCAGCTGGAAGATCTGGACTTTGGAACGCCCTTACTGCCACCCGGGGACGCGAAGCTTCGTGCGCATTGTCGACTCTGGGCAGATCATGTTCGTTTCCCGCCAACTAATCTCAGAGTGCATTGACTGACAGTCAGCAGATAAACCGGCACATTATACCGGCCTTCTATCGTGTCCTCCAAGAGCAAGACCCGCAGAAGCAGGTCACGTACGCAGAAGAGCTCAAGGACGATATCAGCAAGTTAGTGAATGCATCGCACGTCCACGGCCCGTTCTTCCTTGGACCGAATATCTCGATGGTCGATATCCATATTGCCCCCTGGATACTTCGACTGAGTCGAGTGCTGAAACCATATCGTGGCTGGCCCGATCCTGAGATGGGCAGCCGATGGGCCGCGTGGGTCAATGCTATCGAGTCAAATGAGCATGTCCAAGCAACAACCAGCAGCGATGATCTCTACCTTGACAGCTATGAGCGATATGCGGGTGAGTAGAGCGTGTAGATGCTGATCAAAAAAATTCGAGCTGACATCTTGGCAGAGAATCGGCCAAATACTTCGCAGCTTGCGAATGCAATAAACTCGGGCAGGGGCCTTCCGTAGAGGATCTCAAGCTTTGCTATCTGTAAAATAAAAGCAACGATTCTCCTGCCTCTTTGGTGGAATATCGAATGCCCAAGCGGTCTGGGACCTGTGCTGGCTGAGAGCATTCTGCAACATTTTCTCTTTGATACCCTTAAGGTGCTTTTGCGCCTCTGTTGCTGAATCCAAATCCTCCACGTCCGCTTCCATCCGGGCCCCTGGGGGCACGCGTAGGCTGCTGCGGAGATTGCTGCTGTTCATTGTCGTAACGTTCTGCCGATTGCTGTCTGTCCCTCTTCTGTAAATATGTAGAATTCGGCTTGGCTGTATATCCGGGATCATAAAGCTGTCTTGATCTCCCTGATGCGGAAGAAGTATCGCGTTTCTCCCTGCTATGGCTTCCGCCACCTCGGCCTTTCCCTTTCCCCCTTCCTTCTCCGCTGTGATGTTGCCTCGGTGGTGTTGTACTCCCTGGCGACGACGCTCCAGATGTCGTGGCCGAGGGACTTCCAAACAAGCGCTCGCGCACCTCTTCATACCTGCGCTGTTTCTCCTCGCGATCTCGCAGCGCCTTCGCCTGCCGTTCTTCCGGTGTCATCGTTGGTGCTTTCTTAGACTCATCATCCGAGTCGTCATCTCCCTCTCCATTGAGGCCTAGGCGGCTTATACCGGCGGCAGCAGAATCAACTGACGATGACTGTCGCGAGGCAATCTGGGGTTTTCGGCTCAAGAGGGTCACGGTGGGTTTGAAGTCCTGTTTCAATGGAACTGTCGATGTGCGCGCTTCGAGGAAATGGAACGACTGCGAGGATTCGCTATTTCTGTTGGGACTGGATTAGACGCCAGATGCTTTCCAGTCGCAGAGCGAAAGAGAAAAAGTAAGCAAAGAGCAAGACGTACGCTTCAGCCCATAATTGCCTGTTGAACTCCGCATGCTGCGCTCTCCGCTGGGCCTTTGACACTTTTGAAGAGACTTTCTTCTCTGCGGAAGGATTTTCGGTCGCTGATGTCTGTATGCGGGGCAGAAAACGTCCAAGTCAATCAATGTCTAGTGCTTTGTGAAGGCGATGAAGTCTTTCAACAAGAAGACTAGTATGGTACGGAGGGTACAGATAGCATATACGTACATCAACCTGTCTCTCGAAGTCGTCCTCCCAAGCGTCTGGGATTCTCCCCGAAGGGTTGGCGCTCATGTCAGGCTAGGCAGTTCTTCGGAGGGTGAGAAAAAAGGCAAAAGTCGGATATATACGACAGACTGGTGATGGTAGTCGCAAAGGGAGTGTCGTAGCGGATATATCCTTGCTATTCTAGTTGGGTATCACTTTTTCCCTCTGGGCGTCTGGCACGCGCTGTTCTCCTCCTCTTCCTGACGAGTAAGTCCTGAAGATTTCAGCAATGGTCTGACCTGAAGACGGAGAGAGTTGTTAGTGCGGCGGGAAGGCGGCACGAGCCTAGGGCTGGAGGGGGAAGCTTGCGGGGACTTTGCGCTGACGTCTAGACGATACGGAAACTATTCTACTGTAACTACCCAGGCAGACTAATGTTTCTTCTCTTATCTGTCTAATTTCTGGATCTTTTCTCATCATCTTTTCTGTGATTCGAGTTGGGAATTATCCGGAACGGCTCTTTCTTTGTCTCGCATACGATCTGCTTGCTTATCAACCTAGTCTTTCCAACATGTCTGCAGGTACGTACATGCAGGTTTCCTTTGGATCACATTGAGTTCGACTAGCTTTGTTCTTTTCGATCTGAGATACATTCCTGGAACTGTTGTCTGTCCCTATTCTTCACTCTTACACGCTCAGAATTGACCAAGCTTCTTTCTCTTCCCTCGTTGTCCGTCCACTTATCTGTTCTATTCCCCAAAGAAAATCAAAACTATACTAACCCTACTCTCAACTGCTACAGATCCGGACGGCGACTCCGAAATGGTCTCCTCTCCTGAATCCGAAGACCTGCACCAGCCTAGCTCTCCCCAGCCCACCGGTACCCGCACACCCACCAACGGCGGCACACATTTCAACTCCGAGCTCTCCCCTCCAGGATCGCAGAAAGCTTCAGAGCCCGCAGCACGACCAGGCGGCATGACATTTACAACGGGGTCCGAGGCAGTGGATAGGAAGGGCGATTCGAAGACGACAGAGAAGCCCGGGGCGTCATGGATGAATAAACGTGCGGAAGAGGAGTATCAACGGGCGTTGGAGAATGTGGTGGATAGGGATTTCAGTCTGAGTATGTTAGCCAAGTCATGCTGTTGGTTGTGAAGTCTTGGGATTTGCTAATGCGGTTTTTGTTTACTGTAGGGGAGTTTGGAGATCCTTTCGACGAGAGAGATGTGAACACGAACGGATTCTGATGAGATGAGACGATCTCGCAATAACTATGTTCCTCGGAATTCTATAATGGATAATGGTGAATACACACTAGGGATGGCTTCCCCGATCATGACATATCTTATCTCCTGACATGTCCAACTCCTGACCATGAATCCGCTTTCTCAACAGCTGGGGTCGATCGTCGTTATATGCTCATGGCTTACGCTGGAAGGGCATTGCAACCCATCATTGTAGCTGATGAGATGATGGATGAAGCCAGGACAGAATATGTCATCCACTGCGCAGTGCTCCATATCGAGACTCGCAGCAAAATACACTCAGGACTACAGAGTTCCTATAAATTTATGATGAAGAGATATGCTTCTCCCCTTTGGGGTCAGGAGTCTATTTCTTAGAGGACATTATTAGTATATACAGCAAGCCATATCTAGCTCTTGTGTGTCCAGAAACGACCATAACTAGGGAACGTAGAAGTCCTAGCAGCCCTTGATTTCGATGGTAAGTTTGGACCTTGAACGGCCCAGATAGAGAAATCCATTCGCTCCTGAAAGTCTTAAAATCATGAAATGAAGACAAGCGTGAAAGACTCGGATTGAAACCTCTAGAGTATGCTAGTTGACTCGTCACGTAACGGACTCTCACGGATCAGGATACATATTTTTAATGTAAAGTATGTATAAAAAACATCGATTAGCATAGCAATGTATAACTGAGCAGTTAGTGAGGATCTAATAATTTCTCAGTACGTCTGTATTAAGTAGTTTTTCATATTGAGTTGTTTGTAGAGTGGTAGAATGAGATATCGAGGCCGAGGTTAACTTGACTTGAATATATCCATTTTTTTTTAAGAACCTTTCCTCGAAAACGAAAGATATAGTCACGTTAACAGTAACAGTAACAAGGTAAGGATTAGTACCTAACCTCTCTGTGAAAATTAAATGAATAATTCAGAGATCCGTTACGGAGCTGTGATGGGTATATTTTACTGATGTAGTTTAGTACATGTGTTTTCATACCTCTAGGCAGCCATACTACCTTTTACTTTCATGAGGTATATATACATATGACTAGACCATATCTCTAACTAATTCTTATTATTATCAACTCACTTTTCTGCGCATATTCAAGACTAAATTCCCGTATGCGCCGTAGCGTGGTGTTGGCAGGGCAACGACGAACCCACTCACAGGTGAAACTGCCAACCAGACGACGAACCTGGGCCGACTCCTACAACAAACTTCCGCGACGGACGTTGACAGCTTTAAATTATTGTTTCTTTCTTTCTTTCTTTAAATTACGACATCGGGCTTATCGCTCCCTTTTTTAATGAATGATTCATAGGGAATAATATCCGATACTGGTGTTTCTACTACAAGGGAATAATAATATTTCTTAAAAACGCGTCGCTTTTCAAGTCACTGTCGAGCATTCCGTTGACAATTTGCTGCCTCCTAATGGAGATAAAGGATACAGTCGGGATATGCTCCTCGGGCCCAACATGGTTAGTTACTCCGTCTGACATACACATTCCTGGTGCGATGTGATATGAGGCTTTTGATGTGATTATCTGCGATGCAATCCTACTTTTGTTTAATGTGGTGAGACCACATTGCGGTGGAGTTGTTGGCTGGTCCGTTATTCTTTGGTGTCATCGTCGCTGACAGGTTGTTGAAACGCGCTCTGGCGCGCTTTCATGGTCTTTTTTCACAGCAACACTTCACCTTTTGCAAATCAGTGGCGGTTCACGCCCGTCGCGGTATCGAAGATAAAGGCGCCGCGCCTGTGGGATCGCAAACCCTCGACGCCATTCCTGGCACGTTCCAGGCCGCGCAAATTGTGGAAGCGCTTCCGGAGCTCGTTCGACACCATGAAACAACTCCGACGGCCAGCGGGTGATGAGGAAGATGAGCTGGTGACTGAGATCAACTCATCCGCATCGAAGGGTTTAGCCCGCGGCGTGAAGAGACGTTGTCTCGATACCAACGGTCCCGGAGTCGCTACCGCCGGAGAGATCGAGCGTGGACGGTCCTTTCTCGAAACCAAGTGGGAGTTAGAGACAACCAGAAGACGTGAGGAGCTTTCTGTCGACTGATAGATGAGACATGAGTTAGTTTCTGATCCTGATGCAGGAAAATACGCGACACACACGGAGTGCCATCGCCCAGCTACTCAACCGGAGACCGCAACTGATGGCCAGGACGGACCGGAAAACTACTCGCAAGAAACAAACCCGGCATTTGAGAACAATACGCAAGGAAGTTCGCCCATTCCAAGTGAGGGGCAGGATGCGACATCCGACAGCGGAAGTCCAGACGAAGATACCTTCTTGAACGGCCAACTTGCATTAGACCTGCCTGCGTCTCCAACAAAGGAAGCCCCGAGCTGTGATCAACCCACAAGTCTCTGTGAAGATGAAAAGGCCAGCGAAACTGTGGCCGATGAGGATGCCACCGCTCTCGTCCAAGCTTTCAATTCAGACTGCCACCGGCAGGATACTCAAGACTCACAAGAGACAGGCGAGACGGTTCCCGAGACGGCGGCCAATTTGGACAAAGGCTCTCGCATTGGCCATGGCAACTCCCCAGGCCCGGACGGTCCGTTCCCCGCGATCAGCGTCGTGATCGAGCACAAGAGCCAAAGCGCCGCATCGGAGGGCAAAGCGTTGATTGCTGAGGAGGCGACTCTTATTCGATCGGCACTGAGATCTGCTGCTCTGGACGGCGAGGATGAAGAACTGCTCAACAACTTCCTGTCGCGAGCTAAAGCCAAACGGGCCGCGCACGCTGCAGTGACCCCGAAGGATGGTGATCAGGTTCAGTCCGCTCCAGCAGATTTGGTGCCAGAGTCGCCCACTCCTCGCAGCCGTCGGGCCCTGGAAGAGCTCGATACCAACTCCCCGTCTCTAGCACCTCCATCCCCCGCCAAAATCGATGGCGCCCTGGTCGCTGCTGGCGAAGACTCCAAAGATGCTGGCCCCGGAGAACCCGAGGACCCCCAGCTCGCCAGTCCAACCCGTCGCCGGAGCAGCAGGACGAAGCCGTCGAAAGCGCCCAAGCGCGCACCACCTCCCGCCGTCCCCAACCAGATCCCTGTCCGCCGCCCGAAGGGGACGGAGTTTGTGTTCCTCCAGCGGACCGAGGCCCAGGAGCTGGCGCTGACCACACGCCGGAACACCAAGCGCAACCGGGGCAATGCACGGATGCCGAAGGAGATGCTGCAGACTCTGGCACAGCGGCAGGAGGACGACAGCGACTCCACCAGCGGCTCGTCGCGATCTCGCCGGCGTCGAGGGAAGGGCAAGACGGTGTCGTGGAGCGAGCAGCTGGTTGCTGGAAGTACTTCTAGTTCCTGCACTACTGCATCTCCGTCTCCTGCACCAGCCACACCCCGCGCCCTGTCCCCCGCCAGTATTGCCTCGCTCATCCCAACGGCCGTCACCACCGCGTCCGAGTCCGACCTCAGTCAACGCAAGCGACTGGTCCCCAAGGCCCCTGGAGCGTCCAAGGGTACGATCGCGCGATCACGTCTGCCAGCGCGCACGACCGCCAGCAGCACGAGTAGTAAAGCTCCGGTCAAGAGCAAGAGCACCGGCATACTTCACGCCGCAGCTGGCTCGACGCCGATGCCGAAACGCGTGCGGGCCAGGAGGTAGTAGTGTAGTATAGTAATCTGGCACCGGTGCCTGGTTGAGGAGGAAAGTGGAGGACAATCGTATCCATCCACTTTGGCGGCATGTGGATCATCTATCTTTCTGTGTTCGTGTACATATTATTTGCTGCATCATGGTTGTAAAAGGCGTTGGATGGTGGGTGGTGGATGGATGGATAGATGGATGAATGGATGGTCTGACATTCTTACCCACGATGAAGACAGCCAGGGACATGCCGGCTGAAAGGTTCCAACAACTTCATCGTTCCTTGTACATAGAGAGCAAGAGAGTACCATAATTATTCTATATTAACTACTGCGACAATCAAGCTATGCATGCATCGTGTGCGCCCTTCCTGATAGGCCAGCTAGTCTACCCGGGATTGCCCGAGATGGATCCTCCGGATGCATGGGCGAATTCCCACTTGGGCTTGCTAGTCGAGCCCTACACGCGGCGCCAGTCATAGTGTGGATTGGATTTCTTCATTCTCTGCATTTCATGTGGATAGCAATGATGACGATGACGTAGGTAGGTGAAGATTCTTAACTAGACAAAAATCATTTACTAGTAAAGTAGATAGCTAGTAGTAAACTAACCGCCTCGTTGAGATTGGAGCGGAGACTAAGTAGGTAGGTAGTTAGAGTAGGATCGTATATGAGCTGTATTATCATTACTGGGTAGTTACCAGTATCTTCATAGTCAGTCAAGTAGAAAACAATGATCAACAAAAAAAAAAAGAAAAGCAATTTTGTAGCAGTTTTAGGTCTCCTGCATAAACCGATCGGGTTCTTTGTCCTGCGTTAGATTGGATTGGATTGGATCCTCGGCGGTCTCTGTCCCGGAGTTGTCAGTCACTAGATAACTACTAGACTACTCTATAGTCTATACTTTCTGAATCTGGTAATGATAAGAGGTAGATCATAGTGAAAGTAATATGTTATGCTTTAGCTTTTCTGTAACTAGTGAGTTAGTAAGTAGGTAAGGTAACTAGCAGGGCTAACTAGAGTGTGTGCTATGTAGTGTGTAGAGTGGTGCTGTATGTATGTATGTGTGTATGTACGTACCCCGTATTCTGTATTCCGTAGTCGGTTGGGATTTTCATATTCGCCCTTTTTCGGTGGATGAAGAGGGCAGATGGTGGTTTTTTGTTGTTGATCATGTATTTGCTGCAATATGAACTTCTTGGTATTGTTACTAGAGCAGTAACCGTGCATAATAATATTGGCTTGAGTTCTAACTAAGCTGTTGGATATTCTGTTTAGAGGAGGCGCTGGTAGGGTGGTATTGTAAGTACTGTAACTACTGTTGTCGCTGTGTAGGAGAGCAACTATTATTACCATAGGTTAACTTACTCTATGTCATAGTTTGGGGATGATACTGGTAACTTAACTACTATCTATTATGCATCAGAGCTCAGCGAAGTGTGTGTGTGAAGTTCATTTCTTTTCTGATATGGAGAACCCGAATCTCTTCTCTCATGTGCTTCTTTTTCTTCGTCGGGTGTTCTCCTAGAAACATGAATAAAAGAAAAATGTCGGCGCGGGGAAGATCTTCTGCATATTGTATAGTTATACCTCATAGACTACGACGGAGAAGTTATCAACTCTATGAGTATGCTAGGACGTATCTTATGCAAGTAGCAGATAGATACCAAGTCTTGACTGGAATAAGTACTGTGCAGTGCAGGGATTCTACCCTTGTACCAAAGTATGTACCTAAGGTAGTAGTAACTATATCCCCGGTCTGTCCAGAGTACCATAAAGTACTCCGTAACGTCCGATCAGAGACTCGAGTCGTCGAGACAAGTCGAATAACTGATTCCTAGATGATCCATACATATGGTACATAGACATATTAATATTATCTTCAGGCGCGTCCTAAGTATCGCTCACTCCCTGCTATCAGGAATAACTTCTCCTACGAGCTACTATCGTACTGTACATACATACATACAATAACTAGGTACCCAAATTAACCTACTACATACATAGTCTAGTTAGCAGATGCAGTGATTAGTTATTTACCTAGTTAGTACTCTTAGCCTCTAAGCCTCTAGTATCTACCCATGTATGTATGTATGTACATGTACGTATGTAATCCTCCCCGCCCATCCGCAGTAATATTACGTAGTGGTGCATAAGGAAATGGTTAATAATCAGCGAATGTATCCTACCTAGATAGTGGAGTTAATTATGCCCGAGTTAATTGACTAGTTACATAACTATCTGGTGGAGATGAGGGGGACTGAGAGGGGCGGATCTTTTCACACACGTCATAGTACATATATGCCAAGGAGATGAAGGGCGTTTCGTTTAGAGAGGTGTGTGGTTGCCAATCAGATATTCTGGATTTCGAGCCTGGAAATTATGGTACTCTGTAAGTATTATGTATTTCAGCTGGTGGGAAAGGGAGGAAATGAACAGAGTTGGGATATTATTTAAGATTGTTAACATGTTAAGTACAGGTTGTCGAATCTTTGAGATTCACATGTAATCGTTTCTTCGCTATCTTCCTGCCTACCTACGTAGGCTCTTCTTCACGGCGGAATGTTGGAAAGCATAGATCGCCAATTCGGTATCGATTTCTCCTTTTCCCTTTATCCAGTGCAAATACCAACTCTTCGTCTCTGACAGAGTAAGTTATGAGTTACTACCTACCTAGGTAATAATAATCAACTCATGAAATATAACAATTTAACCTGTCTACGACTCTACGGAACCAGAACCAGAACGGAATTAAAAAACGAACCACTCTATCACATAATAATTAATTCATTTAAAATTAAATAACTATCTTAATCAAATAAATAATAACCCGACTAATAATAATAATAACAAATTAACTAATTAATTCATTAATTCCCGCCTCATCTCGCATAATTAATTAATTAAAACTGGATCCGCGTGTCCCAAACTGCTCCCCTCAAATTATTATTGTCCGCCCACGTCCACCGCTCGCTCGATCGGGAATAGGTTGTTTTTTATGCCGGTAAAACGCCGATTTGCCCAGTCATCTAGGACATGATTGGCTGGCGGATCGCAAGTGTAGGGTTGGTAGCGTCGCGACCGTGCGAGCTCCAGCCGAGTCGGCTCTGCGCGGTTCTTGCCTGTTTGGGCTGCGGAGGAGGGGTGAAGGAGGGGTAGCTTTTGCAGATCTGTTCGTGTTTGTGTGGATTGTTGTAATGTAGTTATTCTATGCGATGGGTGATGATGGATAATAATGCCATTCTGGTAAACTAGGATATATGTTGAATTTCGTAGTCAGACTAGAATTGATTCGCTGTCTATCTACATCTAGGGATTCTCTCCTTCCCAGCTCAGCTCCGACGTGACGTGATGTGGTGGGATGGATGGATGAACCACCCTAGGTTGATATGGCATATGTATTACCTAGACCCCGCTAACCAGCAGCATGGCCTGAGAGCACAGCTTTCTTTTCGAATTTCATTTCCTCACTCCACGAGAGAAACTGCTTAACCGTATTCGTCGCATCGTCATCGTCCCGTAAACATAATTTCTAGCTCTTTTTCATCCTTTACTCGGTGCTGATGGCATTCTTGGCCTCCTCGGGCCACACGTCGTAGCCGAAGGTGTCCTTCATGTTGACGAAGCGGAAGTGACGGTGGTCAGCGACCTTGTTGACAGCCTCGTAGTCCTCGTCGGACAGCTCGATCGACTTGAAGTTGGACTGGATACGGGCCGGGTTCGAGCTCTTGGGCAGCACGACGTAGCCGCGACGCAGACCCCATGCGATGAGGACCTGAGCCAGCGTGTAGCCGTTCTTCTTGGCGATCTCGTTCAGCGTAGGGTTCTCGCTGACCTTCTCGCCCGTCGTGGGCACCTGGTTCTGCGAGCCCAGGGGCGAGTAGGCCTCGGGCAGGATATCATTCTTGAAGCAGAAGTCAATCAGCTCGTTGTTGGGCAGGAAGGGGTGGATCTCGATCTGGTTGACGTGTGGCTTGATCTTGGCGAACTTGAACAGCTTCTCGAGGCCCTTGATGGTCCAGTTGGAGACACCAATGGCGCGCGCCTTCTTTTCCTCGTAGAGCTTCTCCATCGCGCGCCATGTCTCCTCGGGGTTCTCAGTCAGATCTTTGAGGATGATGTACTGTCGAAGCAGTCAGTATATATTTTTTTTCTCTTCGTTTTCTTTTAGCTCACGGCTCAAACGCATTGGCAACAAACCTTTCCATCGGGACCAATCTTGGGCTGCTCCTGGCCATCCTTCTCGGCCGCAATGGGCCAGTGAACCAGGAAGAGATCGACATAGTCGAGCTGGAGCTTCTGCAGGGAGTTGTTGAGAGACCACAGGACGTCGTCGTAGCGGTGCAGGTGGTTCCAGACTTTGGTGCAGATGAAGATGTCCTCCCGCTTGACGGAGGGGTTCTCCTTGAGGAAGTCCTTCAAGGCCTGGCCAACCTCATCCTCGTTCTTGTAGAACCATGCGCAGTCCAGGTGTCTGTAACCCGTCTTCAGCGCAACGGTGACGGCGTCGTACGTCTCGCCCTTGGCACCCTCGTTGCCAAAGGTACCGAAGCCGACTCCGGGGATCTTAACACCGTTGGAGAGGGTGAAGGTGACGCCGGAGGACATCTTGACGATGAAATCTGCAATGAACTATACTATATTCTTCGATGGAGGGGAAAAACGCCGGGGTATGTGGTGGTGAAGTTGGAAGAAAGAGAGATACTGTACTAGTAGATCAGAGACCAGGAGGAGCACGCAGGGTATGTTTTATTCGATGAGCGCAGAACAACGTCGATGGGCGTTTGATTGTTGAGCCCCTCTTATGAACGGACCGCCAAAAAAGAAGCCCCCTCTACGGCATATGGTAGTTAACCGAGTGCGCAAATACGTTAAGTTACCAGACTCTGCTCCCTCGGGCCAGCGCGAAAGCGGTGCTCAGGGCAACTGACCAGCAGCAGCAGAAAAGCAACCGCATCGGCAGCCGTGCGAGGTTAACCGGCGAGCGATGACATCATGGTCGATGGTTCGGTGGGCGCTGGCACTCCCCACTAGTCTATGGTACTGTTCTCTTTTGGGTCGAAACAGCGCGAGCGTTTGACCCGCCCGAGTACGATCGTCGTTCGTTCCCTGCGTTGTTTTGTGCTGTTTTCCCCGGAGCGTTAGATACGGCGATACGGGTATGGTGAGGTATATATGGTATGGTATATCCAGGCATATCCATATGGTAGATTCCCTCATAGAGATCAAATAGTAATAATCATAATAATCATAATCATAATCATAATCATAATAATAATAATACCCACGGTATTATTTCGTCCTAACCAGGACAGAACAGCTATGGTACTATGGTAATTACTACTACTACTGCCCATCCACGGACGACCCTCCTCCGAATTCCACCCAGCGCGATCCACTCCTGCGGTGGTCTCCCGTCCAGTCACGGAGCGCCGTGCGTACACAGTCCCGCTGGGTTGCATTATCCGCTGCACGACGCCCTCTCGTCATCGGGGGGTCTTGGACTGGGGCTTGACTGGGGGGGGCTTCACTTATCGCAGCAGTTATCACGTCAGTAACATCCTGGCCCTCCCAAGGGTTGACCCGCGCCGTCCGAAGTATACATGGTAGTATGGTACAGCAATTAATTAATTTGCAACTGGCGACAAACCCAACTTGCCTGCTCCATGATCCATCCACGGCTCCGCTTTTCCCGCTCCTTCGATCTCCCAACATGGTTGTGTTGCCAATGATGACGATAATTCTTAGGAATGATGATACCCTGGAGTGGATCCCATGGCAGCCTTCCATCTGCGAGCTTGGCGGGTTCCGTTGTCTCCTACTGACCGCCACTGGTTGCGATTGAAACAATATATATCATCCTGCTGTCCCTGGACCGGATTGAATTTTTTGATATTTTTTTTTCTCATTCACCGATTCCCCACGAAAAGAAATTTCTTTGTCGAGGGTTGATTCATTCCACCGCTCTTCCTCCTTCCTCCTTCTTTATCTTACTTTTCTTTTCCCACCACTTCATCATCATCTCTTCTGTCAAGATAAGATAGATAGATAGAGATCTAGCATAACAACAACTACGACAACCACAATACCTCTTGAACATTCCGTCATCATGGCTCGCATCGACGACGCTGACCTGGCTGTTGATCCCTCCGCTCCTGCGCCAGTGGCGGGCTCTCTGTCCCCCAGAGACACTCGTCCCAGTGTCTCCGCTCCGCGCGGTTCCATCGCCATTCCCGGAGACCCCAATGCTCCCGGCAACACGATCGAGGTGCCTGCTACCAGAAGCTCGATCAGTGATGCTGCGCAGTACATGCACAACCTGAGCTTGTCTCCCTCGATGCGAGACCGCCGTGGATCTCGCAACTCCTTTGGCACGTCTCTGCCCATTCCCCGCTCTCCTCGTCCGTCCCGACTGTCTTCCGTGGTCAACCGCGAGGATGGCGCGCGCGCGGGTGCTCCTCCGCTGCTCAAGTCCCGGGAGATCATGGCCTCCCAGATCCAGGACATGCACAAGGACAAGGTCAAGGCCGTCAAGAACATGGCCTTCGCCTTCGACATCGACGGTGTCCTGGTTCACGGAAACAACCTGATCCCCCAGGGTGCTGAGGCGCTCAAGATGCTCAACGGGGACAACATGCTTGGCATCAGAATCCCCTACATCCTCCTGACCAACGGTAGCGGTAAGACCGAGGAGGCACGCACGAAGCAGCTCTCTGAGATCCTGGGTGTTCCCGTCGAGCTCGACCAGTTCATCCAGTCCCACACGCCGATGCAGGCATTGGCTGAGTACTACGAGACCGTTCTCGTCGTCGGTGGTGATGGATACAAGATCCGCGAGGTTGCAGAGAACTACGGCTTCAAGAACGTCTTCCTTCCCAAGGATATCCAGGCCTGGGACCCTACCGTCTCTCCCTGGAGCACTCTCACTCCCGAGGAGAAGAAGGAGGCTCGCATTGTCGACTTCTCGCAGATCAAGTTCGACGCCATCTTGGTCTTCGCTGACCCTCGTGACTACCAGACCGACACCCAGGTCATCATGGACCTCCTGATCGCGGAGGACGGCAGGATTGGCACCAAGGCCGAGGACCCTGTTGCCAGCCGCATTCCCATCTACTTCTCCCAGGGTGACTTGCTCATGCCGACTGAACACAAGGGAACTCCTCGTCTGACCATGGGTGCCTTCCGTATCGGTCTCGAGGCCCAGTACAAGGCTCTCACCGGTGTCGATCTCGAGCGTGTCGTCTACGGTAAGCCTGAACTGGCCACCTACAAGTACGCGGACGAGGTCATGGCCTCGTGGGTGGAGCAGCTCCACGGAGAGAAGAAATTGCCCGAGCACATCTACATGGTTGGTGACAACCCGGCTTCCGACATCATCGGTGGAAACATGTACGGCTGGAACACCTGCTTGGTCCGTACCGGTGTCTTCCAGAGCAAGGAGGGCGAGAACGACCCCAACAACCCTGCCAGCTTCGGAGTCTTCCCCAATGTTCTCGAAGCCGTCAAGGCCGCCGTCCGCAAGGAGCTTGGCGACGACTTCGAGTTCCGGTGGAACCCCAAGATCAACCCCGTCCTCCACGGTGAGGGTGTCTCTGCTGTGGAGTAAACGGTCTCCTCCCAGCCGGACTTACCCTTGCATTTGCCAGGCGTTCTCAAATTTTTTTTGTCTCCTAAAATAAACGGGTGTTATGTGTTGACGACCGTTGCTTGATGCCAAATTGTTTCCCAGGTTCTACTTCAGACCTACCGATACCTTTTGTTTTGCATGTCATTATTAGAATACGCCTAGAGCGGGGATAGCGCGTGGAACTGGATTTCCCATTGCTTTTTTTTCCCCTGCAGCACCGGGTCGATGTGACGGGCCTGTCATACGATTAGATTTCTATCCTTCTTGACGAATTGATTCTACGGGTTCTCATCTCCATAATCCATCCATACAGTAGTAGTATCGAATAGGATCTGAAAACTGACAAGTACAGTCACGAAATTCGTATTGTTACCAACGACGGGCCGATGACATCAAGCTGACTAGTCTGGACTTGCTTCCGAGAACATCGATCTTCCAGAATGCAGCTTTCGTCCCCCGCATTCCACGACCGGCGACGACATCCCACGAACGGTTGGGTTGTTCTTCGATGAATTTCTACGCTCATTATCCAGACATCCATCCACATGCTGGAACCAGCTAGGACCGCCCGTGTGGACATGAATTAGGTGAACACTTGAAGACAGTCGACGTATCCATGACGGGACGTCCGTTTCCGGTGGCAAATTCGATCTCGGTCCAAGCCGAACCCATCGCGACCAAACCCGATGTGTGCATGCAGTTTCTAGGTAAGTAATTGGGAAATGCATTTACGGCACCTGCAATTTAGAAGGGAGGGGGAAAAAAGGGTTTTTTGTTTCTTTGTTGTAGCGTTTACCTGATATTTCTATTTTGATAGGGAGTATAGAACAAGAACTTTCTAATCCCGGTTCCCTGCTCATAGCGATTTATTCTGTTTCAGCTTGATTTTGTTTTATTACAACGTCGCTTCATATTCATCTTCGTATTTATATTTGTATATCTTGTTTTATCGAATAGACCAGTCTCGAAAGTATTCGAATCCGTCGTTGGGAATGACGTCGTTGACTTTTCATCTAGGTCTAGGTAACTACTACCTAGAACGGCGTGTGAATCGGGATAGATGGGTTATTGCTTCTGTTTTATGGTGGACTAGACTAGACTAGGTATACTTTATTAGTTGGTTACCTAGGTAGCTATAGTAGTCCTGTGTTTAGTATTATTGGCTAATAGTTAAGGGTATTGTATGTAGTTCTCTTTCCCGCGTCACGTATTTACTCTATCTAGATTATATTATACGGGACTTGAGAGGATACTCCAGTTAACTAAAGTACCTTGTATATAGGTACTATACTCTTTCTAAAACCACCAAGAAAGAAAAGAAACAAATAAACAATCCCCTTCCCTTCCCTTAGTTATCACTTTCTTGCCTAAGACACACTCGAGTTAATGTAATTGAAGGTAGATATGCGCAAGACATTCTTGAAATCTAGTTATTTACCTAGGTAGTTACACCTATTAACTTAGTTAAAACGAATCGAAGTGTCAGCGCCGCCGGAAGCGGGGGTCTCGGGCGGAGTTTGCTGGCTGCTCTTAAACAAACAAGGGATGTGGCATTTACTTGAGGGTGTGCGTGTGCATTACATCGTAACGAGTTCTGTACCGGAGGAAAGAAATCATGTGATTTTTGTTGCGAATGGGGTTTGTGATGTATGTTTAGGTAGTTTAGATTGGGTTGAATGTTGATTCTTATGGTGTTTCTATATATTACCATATGGTAGTGCATGTGGTGGTTTTGAATATAGGAGTTGGGGGAGAGGGGGGCACGTGATATGTTGTATGAGGTGTGGGATTGTACTGTGAGTACTTATGTATATACTTAGTGTAGAGTAGAGATTGGGTTAGTGAGTTAGTTAGTGGGTGTATTTTAGGCAGCTGAAGATGAAATTAATAATACAGGAGTGGATAAAGTAAACGTATAATAGGTTTTCCTGCAGGTTTTCTTGGATTCTATCTATCATCTCTTATGGAGAGTATCAAAGTTCCTGTGACTATATACAAGCTTTATACAGTACAAGTGATATAGGAACCTAGTCAGCCTTCACACCTATACTACTCGTAGAGTAACTCTCCTAAAATAATAAAGAAGCAATCTCAGTAGTCTATTTCGGGATGATATCTTATACAGTAGATATCCATGTGTTGAAACAGTTCGTTCAGATTCTGTATAATATTAGCAATGCATTTATATAACAAGAGCAGTATGTGGAGGGCTGCAACATTCTGCAAGGAGAAAAGCAATTGTGGTTTATGTCTTGCCCAGTCCGACATGGTCAGCCAGAAGGCCACCGCGCATGAACTTCGAGGTATAAAATTCTCGCAGAGCTGCAACTGCAACTGGCTGCCAGAACCTTAGCGACTTCGTGATCCTCATTCCGGGTATCCTGGGTTAGGGATGTTTAGGTGGCGGCAAGCAGCAGCGTGGTCTTCGCGCTGGAAGACCACACTGTCAAACCACGCCTGGCGCTCCTGAAAGCCTTTAAGCATACTCTCAGTTGGGGTAATAATGTCTGCGTTTGAGGGGGAAACCTTCTTCATCCTCTGGCTCATTGTTTGTGGCATGATACCACATGAGTCCTTCGAACTCGAGCGATGCCAGGGAGTTAGTTCAAAGGACAGTCTAGTATTATCATTATTATAAGTTCCTGACGATCTCTCTCAACGCCTCTATATCAGCCGGAGTCTGATCCTCCTCATCGTAGTATTCGAGTGCTGGCACGCGTACGGTAGAATCAGCAACAGCAACTAACGGCACGAACCTATGTCGATAGCCTCTGTAAGAAGTGACCCATTTCGCGGAAATAATGGCGTAGGTTGCTGTGAGAACTTGATCCTTTCCTGGGACGACTGGTGGGAACATCCATGGATAGTATGATTTCCCATGACTCGCCTTCGTCCGCCATGATGTTCCGTGTACACGGTTGTAAGCTGCAAAGAAGCATGCACACCCGTGGCAAGACAATTTGGATACGCCTATGTACGTGAAAGCCTTGGGTATGTTCCCACGTTCGTTCTGGGCTTTCTCGATTGCTGCCAACAACCTCGTTTCGCAGTGGACGATAACGTCCTTGGAGACGGCTTCCCGAGCCATGTATGTGGCGTCTGCGTCTATGACCTTCAGATCGAGAACTTGCCTTGCCCCGGTAAGATCGGTAGGATCGCTGGACATGTTATAGTATGCCAAAGATTCTTCAAGCACACGTTTCCAGTCGCTGGCGTTTTCAGCGATATGAGGCAGCCTACCCGATAGCTTTGCAAGTGGAGTGACGCTCAGGTTGCACGTGAAAAGGGTCCGAGATCTCGGTGATATGGCGGCTTTCACTAATATATCGATGTTGTTGAATATCGAAGCGATCTTTTGAATGTAAGTGTGGAGTTTCAGGAACCCAAGGGCACGCGTCTTATCTTTCCCCTGAAAACCGCCCGCACGCAAGAATTGACCCGAGGCTTGTGAGAAAGCTCTCAGGCAGCTGTACATCAGTCTCCAGTTGTCTGTGTCATCATGATGAGGCTTTCCGTATATAGCTCCCTCCTTTCTCGTAAAGATACGTTCGAGATATGAAAGAGTCTCTCTGAGAGAGTTGAAGGGGTGATCTGAAGGTAGACCAGCTGTTGGAATGCTCATAAATTGTGTAAATTTCCCATTGACTTTCTGCTGGAGCCTTGCGAATGTGAATTCCAGACAGCGATGATTGAAATCAGCCACAATAGCTCGAAAGGCCGGGTCTTTTGTCTTCTCATTAGGCGATGTATCCTGGAGACCTGGTTGCTTGTTGGCGTACATGAAGTCGGATAGAGCTTTCAATGCCGTCCATATGAATCTCAAATGATTTAGCGTAGATGAAAGTATATCTGAATTGCCAGATACGATAAGTTCCATTGAGTGAGACCTTGAATCCACGCGTAATGCGACCGCAATCACTTCATGCTTCGGCTGAGAAACTGACAGACTGGCGAGGGAATCTAGGATCTCTGCGACTCGTTTTGGAGCCCCTATCGGAGGATAAGATGGACTAGTGAGAGGATTTGCTTCCCTGCGGCTGGACTCGACCTGTATATGGTCGCGTTTCTCGAGTTTAGAAACCGCTGCCAGGAGCTCAGAAATGCCTTCGGATGTCGGGCGAGGTGGTGGCACGCTTGGCTTCATCGTCTCATCAGCAAAATCCGCTTCGAGGTCTCTTACTTCCTCTGTGAGGTCTTGCTGTCGTGGAAATTCAGCCATGTCGACAGTTGGGCTGGATGGCTCTGAATGAGGTCTGATTCTGCTAAGAGTCGACCACGGTTCCCATGTGACATGTTGTTGCCTAATATATAGAATCAAAGTAAAAGATGACGATATAAAAAGCGAACGCAGGAGTCAAGCAGTAGGGGCTTGAGTCCAGTGGAAGGATAAGTCGAAATTGTCAAAGTATTGGATAGAGGCTATTATTTATGAAATTCATTGAGTATAATTGTGTACGTCTGATCTCGTAAGTGCGGCCACGAATGGACAGGTCGTCCCAAGACGGATTTTTCTTGCGGTTTGCAGAAAATATTGCTAGGGCACTTTGACCACCTCAACAGTTTTCAGATTATTGTGCCGTGCCTGCTGCTATATTGCCATTGCTCGAAGATATTCAACGGCACTCGCAGTAAAGAAGCACCCCCCTTATTGGCTGCATGTCTAAACTGCTTTAGCAATCTTTCCAGTGAAGAGAAGAGGAGATTATACAAACCTGAGTATCAGATGGATACGTCTCTGCGCAACGTCCAAACGATATTTTATATCTCCTGCCGCGCCGACGAATGCTTGGTGATCATGCCTGGGACTAACCAGTCAGGCTAAAACGTTCTGGTAGATCACTGAAAGCCAGGCCCTTGAGAACGGCTGGCTATAAACCAATTTTAGCCTTATCTGCATTATACCCAGACATATTGGCACCCGGGTAGTAGTATTCACTCCCGGCCGTAGTACTCCGAGTATATCGAGTGGCTCTTGTATATCGAATATCAGCTAACGACCAGAAGTTGATGCCCCTAAATTTGGACTTGCGCAATTTGAACTTTGATGTAAACTGACTTGGCCAATTGGGGTGCAGAGACCGCTGAATGTGCTGTTGGGGCTGCAATAATGAATCACGGTAATGATATCCACGTTTGCGTTTCAGCATTTCGTATCATAACAGCGACATGGCATATTGTAGTCCATAGACTCCATCTGTAACCTGAGGTAGTACAGCTCTTGACACTCCGATAAGACCGATAAGTATAAGATTCAGAACGAGGCGAGCTCCCCTCGTCCTCTCGCGTACTCATAGACGGCCCTCTGCGGGGAAAGGAGGAACTCACGGAGCCTCTGCCCGGCCAGATCCCTGGGATTATAGTCCTAGATGATCAAGTTCTTGCCGGTCCCAACTTTGGAGCGTATCACTATAATACCCTAAATATGCTAGCACGTTATATCCTAATGCAGATTAGCGATCTAGTTTTTACTGGGAGTGCTGTAAACGGCGAATTAGGCCTGCTTCCCCCCTTTGGGGGCTTTCCAGAAGAATGAGTATATATCGCGGATATTGATATCCGGCAATAAATCGCACTAGTTAGTCTTCATTTTGCTGTTTGGGAAGGAGAGCACATATAGATATATATAAGGGCCATTAGGAATTGTGCTGAAGTCAGACAAAAAGTCAGTAATAATTTCGGCTAAAGATTAAATATTTATAGGGATAAGAGCGCGCAGCATCTCTATCAGCGGGACAGCGGCTGTTTGGGGTGCAGCTTCAGGCTCCATCAGAGGGTCTAAAGCCGGAATAGACAGAGTAGAGGCCATGGAGGCTATAGGAAGAAGGTTTCAGAGGAGGAATACTGCTGGCAAGATATAGCGGCGAATATAAAAATAAGAACCGGGAGAGCACAAGGAGGCTGACACAATGAGGATTTACTCAGCCGTTTCAGAGATACGGTTGACTGAGGTCAAGTAGGACGGAGTAAATCTCCAACTATAGAGTTGCAGAGAGATTTATCGATGAGAGGATATACCAAGGTTATCACCTTTTGATGAGACAGTCTATAAAGAAGTTTGATTAAAAGTTTAAAAACGACTGACAACCAAGCATGTCGCCCGGTCTCACGAGCATCGATAACGCCGTCGATATACACGGCGAACTCCGCTAGCTCTGCTGGGAAGGCCCTTAACTCCGCGATCGTCCAATCCGCAACGTGAATCACGAAGTTCTGAAAGGCACGACGAGACGGGGGAGTCCGGGCGACCGAAGGACCAGCACGATCGACACGAATATCGTTTCGCCCTCTTTCTGTAAACATCAAGGTATCGGTCACTGCATCCTCTTGGTGTACAAGCCGGTTCGCTTTCTTGATCCGGCGCTTAGAAGCTTTGTCGGATGTACTCTGCTATATATATGCATTCAAGACATCACCGACATAGCAGTCATATATATAAATGAGCACGGAGCTGACGATATCAGGAGCAAAGCCAATGAAGAGCGGGTTCGAAAATGCTGGGAGTTGACTGTAGATAGCAAGGAGAAAAGTGAGATTTCTGACTCAAGATATTGATCGAAAGTAGAGGTAATGTGCCGTCTTGCAGCAGCTCGACTATGTTGGAAACTGCAAATAACTATCAGGAAGAGAAGAAGCGAATGGAGATAGAAGCTGTATTTAACTGCCGGTCCAGCGACTTCACCAAACAATGCGGGGTTTGACGGCCCATTCCAGTTGTGAATTGGTCACTACAATGAAAGTTGTAGGTAATAAGAAGACATACAAGGTGGCTGCTATGAAAGTGCCTATGTATCACTGCTATATGCGCAAGGTATCTGTGAATGGAGGTCCATTTCTTCCAGATTTATATAGATGAGGAGCAAAAAAATGCAAAAAGAGAAGGGCCCGAGCCGCGGATCGAACGCGGGACCTCGCGCAATATAGCTAAGCAAAGGGTTGACCCTAAGCGCGAATCATACCACTAGACCACCCGGGCTTCTGATTGGTTAGCGATCCACAGACTTGACTGGAGAAGCAGAATAGAATATGCTCTGTAAGCCTGTGCCTGATTGCGTTCTAGGTGGTGTCATGAAGTCATTATTGGTCTGGAGTCTGGATAGCAGCTCGGAGCACCGTATGTTGTCAGCTTGCCAGGGAGGAAGCTCACACGCAAGGAGCAATGTCAGAGAGGGGAAAAAAAAAAAAAAAAAAATAAAAAAAAATAAAAAAAATCGCATGCCTACTTTATAATTTGTCCAGTCGGGAATATCCGATCTCGTGGCCTTCAGATACGGGAAATATCATACGTCATACTGAGTTATTCTGCTATCGATCGCGGAATTGGTATCCATGGGCCATTGAACGCGACCGCGTAGAGATAGCGCAGTTCGAGTCCAGGATCGCCTCCTCAGCATCTCCATATTTAGAGATATTGCTATTTCACCAAGGGTGAAGTGTTGCCTGGAGCTGATATGGCTTAGCAGCACAACGTGGGCATGGACTGGTCCTGGGGCCGAAATTAGAGTATGGCATGCGGCGGGGAATTGCTCTAAGATTAGAAACGCTCAGGGCCGCGACTGTTAGTTATCTATACGGATTACGGATACGAAACAAGCTTTCCCCTCCAGCCTGATCATTGTTGATGAGACCGTGAGAGCCTGAGAGGCGAGATTGCGATGGACAGCGCGTAGAAGGATCGGCCTCTTAAAGCAGCAGATCAGGGAATAAAGCCGGCTCGAGTCGCCAGACTAGCCGTTGAACGGCTAGCCCTTGACCATCCCACGGACTCGCTAACTTAACTTCACGTATTGTTTACGCAAAGGGTGTCATCTTCCGGGCAGTAATAATAATATCCTGTTTGGAGATGACGAGATGGACTTGAGGCGCAGAGCACAACGAGAGAGACAACAGCCAACAGGCGCCCAATAATCAGGGACAGAGCCAGCTGACTGTGGCACGGCTGCGGCGGTGCGCTGATGACGTCGGTTGGAGAGAAAGCTATTTCCAATTCGCGTGAGTGAAAAAAGGGAACGGCTGAGCTTGCTGATCTCTGTTGCGCCCGTTATTTAAACGTACCGCTCCGCTCCAGCCCTGTTGCTCTCTCTCTCCACCACTCCTCCATCAACCAGCCGTCCGTATTATTGACAATCTCCATCGCCTGTCAGATCTCCAGACTCCAGTCCCTCTCAGACCTCATCACTCACCATCACCATGCCTTTCACTGCTTCGTAAGTACCACCGTGTCTTGTTTCTTCGCAGCTATGACTATCCACTGTTCACCGGGCGACCAGAGGGTGGTCTCGCCTTTTGGGAACAGGAACGACAGAATGGCATTGCGATAATCGTCAGAATGGCCCCGATACTAACATCGGCCTGTTAGTGACATCTGCAAGATCATCCTTGCCATCATCCTGCCTCCTCTGGGTGTCTTCCTGGAGCGCGGATGTGGTGCTGACCTGCTGATCAACATCTGTTTGACCATTCTGGGTTACATTCCTGGTATCATTCACGCTCTGTACGTACATTTGAGGTCCTCAGACTCCCTTCATGACGATAGCTAACCTCGACGTCCAGATACATCATTCTCAAGTACTAGACGCGCGACCAGCTTCGCCCTCAGGAAACAACTTCTTCCTACTGCGCTGTTTCACAGCTCCGGCCGGAATTGGAGGTTGCGGGTGCTGTTTGTTGCGCCCGGTCGGTCATGGTCAGCAACAATGCTTCCGACGCTTTCCGGTCTCGACTAGCGGACGCCTCCGTCGCTTGGCGACGCTACCGCCGGTCGCCTCCCTTACGTCGACTCCGTATTTAATGGTCCTGAATTCTTGCTTCTTCCGCGTTTGATGATACCAGTCGGTTTGTGATGTTCGCAGGGTTTTCGTCGGTCCGCTTGTCGCCAGTTTCTACGAGCGATGCACGAGCCGACGTCGGTTTTAAAACTCCCATGTATTTAGACATGAAGATTAATGCTATACATTAATTGATGTGAAATCAGCCTTGGCTCCCAACTGCCAAATCAGGCGGTAATTACGATGTTCTACGTTCAGTAGTATCTAGTACCACTCTAGCAATGTAACTCACGCAGATCTGAGTCGGGGCCGGATTGGGGTATGTATGTCCAAGCCCCTGGACGATCACTGGACGGTTGGGGGCCGCTGAGCCTTAGCGACCGGTAAGTTGTACAGTGCAACTGTGCAGATACGAAGCGCATGCGTGTCAGTGAAGGCGCAGCGCTGAAAGTGCTCTATGAGGTTGCCTGTACTCCGTACATCCTTCATTACAAATAGCGCCACCAGCGCTATCCAAAAGGCCGTTGCAGAGCGCTTGGAGAGCGAATGTACACCAATGTCCCAGAGCTCGAGACCAGTCACCTGACCAGGCGTCATCCGTGAGCTCTGGCCAACCAGCGTCGAGGATTCCATCACAGCGTAAACGCCCACCCGGCGCGTATCCTGAACTCTCGCGCTCATCCTCAACCAACGGATTGCTACAGACCATCAACACGGCCCCTATCTGTCTTTCCTGTCCTTTGGAGACTGAGGTCTTCCTGTTTCATGATGCCACCAGGGCGCGTACAGGATATCCAGCGTCCTGTCGTCTTTGCAGGCTTCCTGCCCTGTATGCAAGGTGCCAATGGCTCCTTGTACCATAGAAACTCCTTCCTATGGCGCCGGTTTCAAGATGTCGAGATTCTCTCGACTTGGCTTTTCTTTGTTGTTTCCTGATGTTCCTTAATATTTTGTTTCTTTCCACACTTGATAGACTCTCCAGCCAAATCAATCTATCCCTTTGTCTCTACGATATTATGATATGTCCTAGATTTCCGGGGCCTCAGGGAGCAGCGTGAATCGGTTTCTCCGTTTAGGAGGGCAGGATTCTTTCCTTCGAGGGCTGCGAGACGTTGTATGTCTAGAATCAGCGGCCAGCTGGAAGGCATCTCTCAGGAGCAGCTATACTCCCGACTATTTTTCCTGGTTGGTTCAAGAGATTACAATGTAATTTGAGCTAGCCTAACATGAGATTCATAGGAATCGCACAGTATGCCTTCTCTTTTCAGTGTATCGCTCCTGATCCTTTCCACATCGTTGATCTCATCATGTCTGGCTCAACGGCCTTTGACGTCGCGGGGTATGGTACCTCTGAGCGACGAGATCCCCAGCTGCGCTCAGTGCTGCGTACACGATTTTATACACTCACAGTATCCGCGTATGGCATGCTCTAATCTGACGGATGGCGATTGTCTCTGCAGAACAAACTCGACAAGCGGATTCACTCTCGGGGAAGCGGCACTACGCTGCACAATTGCATCCTGTCCCCAAGACGTCATCTCGGGAACCAAGGCCCTCTATATCTGCGATTCAGTACCTGGGGCTCTTCATGAAACTCACAGTGTGATCACGGCGACCATCATTGCAACGAAGACGTCTTTGGGTACGCCGACTCCAAGCTCGCGGCGGTGTCCGCTGCCTACTGCTTCTGCGCCGTCTTCAACCATGAGCACAACGGGTTTAGCTACAAGCTTTCGTGCGACCTCAACCATGTTTACGACCACCACTACCACGCCCACTGTCAATTCTCGGAGTTCAGTCACATTGGCAGCCTCCGCTTCGTCAAACTCGGCTTCTGCAAGCCCCAGCCACCTCAGTAAACCTGCCGTTATTGGAATCTCTGTCGCCGCGGGCGTCTCTGGCCTGGCCCTTGTCAGTATTGCTATATTTTTCTGTATCAGGAAGATAAAGCAGCGACGAAGAGATTCTGACGGGTTCGAAATTGGCGGTGCGATGGCTGAGCCTCCGGAATTTTTGTATGCATCAATGAGGAACTCTGGTCTGGGCCAAGGTCGATACCCCAAGCCTGATGGAGGCACCGTAGGACCACAACCACAACCACAGCTAGGATCGCCATTTCAACCAGCGTCCCGTGGCCCTTTGGTGGTCGTGACCACACCCACCGTGTGTTCGATGGCGCCAGGGGGGCCGCAGAACGTTGGCATGGCAATATCTCCAGCCACTGACAATGGCGACTCCCCAATGAGCCAGGTGTCCCGGCGTACGCTGTCGCAACTACTACCCGACAAACCTGATTACACTCTTGATCCAGGACAGCCGAATACACACCAAAATGGAGTCAGGCCTGAGAGCAATGCAACGGTGTTTGAAGAGGATGTAGAGCGATCAAAACGCTCGAGTGGTTGGCCCATGCCAGCAGGTAGCACTGCGCGTAACAGATTCTCCGGCACAATGCCTTTCCACCCAGACTCCATTCGAGGACATGCGTTGAGACTTCAAGCTGATCCACGTGCTCTGATGTACGCTAAGGAGAGACAGCAGAATGGCTTGCCAGCCGTGAGGAGGGTCATTCAGCGGAACCCTGTTGTGTACCGGACATCAAGTCAACTGTTGAAGCCAACTGGCGATGGTATGTCGCAGAGTCAGCCAGGACCGATCGTGCAACGGCATGTTTCAAAAACCGGCAGTATCCATTCTGACGGACAATGGCGCGGCTCACGACGATGGTCTCGTCCTCCATCATGCACAGCCTCCAGCAGACGCTGTTCGGAATGTTCCGAGACGAGTTTCGAGGATGAGGAGGTGCCTTCGAGTTCCAGTCTCACGGTCCCAAAACAGCAGCTTACTCCTGTTGAGGAAGTGGCTTCTTCATTCAGCACTCCCGAGAAGCAAAACCAAAGGTCGCCCGTAGCCACGGGTTCGCCAGAGAGATATTTTCCGGCCAGACGAGATGTGCCCCCACCTGCAGAGCCGATTGCTCAGCAGCTAGACGGCGTGCCTGTGTATGGAAATCAGTCATCAGGTCAAGAATGGTCTGGTCCTGAATCAACATCTCACATGGACCATCCACATTCTAGATTCCTACTCCAGCCTGGTAACCACCCTCGAACAGAGAGGGTTAGAACAAACCACGAGCGCCGGAATGCAAATATCGAAAACAAATCAAGAGGCACCAGTTCTACAATCAACATGGAATCAAAACCCGGAGAGCAGGACCTCTCCCGGGGATACAGGGCTCCACGCGCACCCTCCAACGTACAGGGTATCAGAGGACCGCAAATGATACGGAACCTCACGCCATCAAGACACGGTTCTCATCTGATACTCAGTGTCGATTGAGGTGCCGCCCGACACTTACCATCACGAGACTTGCCATCTACTTGTAAAATTACCTTGGAATATCCTCGTTGATACCCCCGCAATGTTTTCATATATTCAAATCATCTCCTGACAAAATAGACCATGTGTCAGTCACCGCATCTAACTATTCTACTCCAGCACGCACGACTGGAACCATTACATTCATATATACCATTGTTTTATTACCATCTTTATTTTTTATTTTTTTTTCGCACACTATCTCGGCTGGTTATATCTACCATTCATTCACTTCACTTCATCGAACCACTTGGGTGGTATTAGCTTAGCATGATATGCTCGACTTTTCATTCATTTTTGTATGTATGTACCAGATCTTTACTTGACGCAGGCATGAGATTCGACTGGACTAAATACGCAACGAGTGTATGTATATATGTATATATATTATCAGAACAGACAATTGGTCGTGTCTTTTATACTTTTCATGGGCTGGAATTGATACAGATATAGCCTATTTAACTGTTCTACATCCTCTTATGGGACAACACCCTGATCGTGATGTTATATCAATATACAAGGAGAACCTGTTTACAAGGAACAATTCAACATAAGTGCCTATTCCTGCATTGACACATAGCTAAGCCATGCTTCCTATAGCTTATACAAATATTGTGCAGGCTGGGCCGTCATAGAAGCGGGATCTCTAGGACATGCTGAAAACTCGATACATCATACATTCTGCTGAGCCTTGACACACTCTCCACGAGTACAGATATATCGCAGCAGTAAACATCAGTTGCTCTGCGTCTATAACGCACGATCCCTCCACTCATCCTTCCCATCTACTCCTTTACCTCCTTTTTGATCTCTACCACTTCTCTATCCACTTTTCCACCCTCCTGCTTGACCTCAACGGCATCATCCTTGCATTTTCCACGTCTATTACGCCTCTTCTTCTTCCTATCACGACGCTGTTCCCCTCTACCGTAGTAAGAGCCAACCGTACCAGAAACATTCACCACCCCACCAGTAGTACCTCCTGGACAATACACCCGTGAATGCCCACTGACTCGACAACGAGAACAATACGCTCTACAACTCCCACGATGCATCTTTCCACATCCAGCACAGAGAGGTCGAGAGTAGTCTATATTCCCCCGTGAGAAGCGACTCATAACCTGCTGAGAGTCTGAAAAAGAGTCAGAGTTAGAAAGTAGTAGTTAAGTACTTCCTGGTGGGAAAGATTACTAACATCGAATATCCCTCTGCGCTTGCGCTAAATCTATCTGTGCCTGCCTGAGATGTCTAGGCACTGCATTTCTTTGGAGATCATCACATGCATCAGTGAGATCTCTCTGCGCGGATTCGAGATCTGTATATATAGTCGCGAGTTCGCTCGGGATGGAGTCCTGGATATGATGATGATGATGGGATGAATCGATGATGATGGTGGTGTTGAAGAAGTGGTTGTGGATGAATGTTTTGTGTCTGGGGGGGGGGGGGGAATGGAATGGTTAGTTTTGAGGGATGGTAGATGTGGTTTTTGGATGGGGGTTTGGATTTTTCGTGTGGGTGGGTAGGAAAAGGAATTGCGTACGTGACTATTTGTTGTTCGGTCATGTTGGGAGTTGGAGGAGGAGTGCGAAATGATGAAGAGGAAGAGTTAGAAGTTGGAGGTGGCTTGTAGAAGGATTGAGATGGAAAAGTTAGAGGTCAAGTTGGGGGGGAAAGTTGTATAGTGTAGTATTGAGGGTGGTTGGCGCTGGGGATTGCATCTGTCTTATCGTGGTGTGAGGTTCTCAGGAATGATCCTGCTGTGCTGTGTTGTGTTGTGTTCCTTCCTGGATTGGCAGGTGGCAGTGGATTGATAATTCTTGGTGATGACTCCTGGTTTCAATTTCAGCTTTGCATGTCACTATAAACGGGAAATAATATATACACATTTCAAGTTCCCTGGGGATCTTCTTCTTCTTCTTCTTCTTCTTCTTTATACAGTCTTATTCCAATTCAATACATAACTTATGTAATATGTAAAAATACTCTCTGGCCATTTATATCCCATAGAGCCTATTACCCTATTTCTAAATATACCATCTATGCAGACAGTCCTTTGGAGAGAGAGAGACGGTCACAAATCCGCTTGCTCAGGAACAGGACTCTTTAGTTTTCCCGTCTCGAGAGCCGAACGGATGTTTTCAATAGCCCATTCTTCCATGGCGGTTTGTGTCTGAGATGGGATGTTAGTTATTTATTCATAGATAGGTATCATGTATGATATCACTTCTCCACAAAGGAGAAGAGAAGAGAAGAAATGCTCCCGGATTTAAAGGATTATGAAACTCACCTCCACAGTCCACGTGCCCATGTGCGGTACGAGGAGCACATTCGGATTCCGCACCAGACCCGGATGAATCTTAGGTTCTTCCTCGAAGACGTCGAGACCGGCTGAAAATACCTTTCCGCTATCAAGAGCGTCGACCAGAGCGGCTTCGTCCATGACGGCGCCACGAGCAGTGTTCACCACCACGACGCCATTCTTCATTTTTGCAAATTCCTCTTTTCCGATGATGTGGCGGGTGTTTTTCTATATGTATGTATCTATATATTAGTTATCTGCATAATATAACACTGGAGGGATAGTTATATTGCACGAAATACTTACGTTCAACGGCAAATTCAAACTAATCACATCGCTCGTAGCCAGCAACTCATCAAACGAGACGTACTTCGCACCATCGGCCAACTCTTCGCTCAGTTCTCGACGATTATGATAAATCACCTTCATACCGAACGCCTCTGCTTTCCTCTTCAAGTTGCGTCCGATTCCGCCCATGCCTAGAATACCCAGCACTTTGCCCTCGGGATCGTGGCCCAGTGCGGGGGCGGGAACGCCGCGCCATTTTCCCTCCCGGAGGGCCTGCATGCCGGTGTTGAAGTTGCGTAGAGCACCGATGATCAAGAACATGTTTACGTCGGCCGTGGCATCGTCGACGGCCGTGGGGACGTTGGATACTCTGATCGGGGGGTTTCGCGCGCTGCACGCATGTACGTCGACTTGGTCATAGCCGGCTCCTGGGGTGAGGGTGTTAGCCATGTAGTGATTGATTTCATTCATATCGAAGCTAGAATGTGCAGACATACCACAATGAGCAAGATACGTCAATGACCTCGGTAGCACAGCGACCAATTCCTCATCAACAAGACCGGTAATATCAACAGAGGGAAAGGTACGATACGCCGCAACGACACCGTCGAATTTTCCATCCTTGCATTCCTGGATGAATTCGGTGCGATTGGTCGCGGCCGGTTTGATCAGGTCAGCGATCTTGCCGAGTGAAGACCATGATTCGTGCGCGCTGGCGCGGTTTGTCAGTTTCAATATACTGGTTGGATAATAGGAATAAAAGATCAATGGAAGGAGAGACATACTGGTCGATATCTCCTAGGAGGAGAACCTTGCCTCTGGTGGTCATGATATAGTCTAGTAGGTGTCGTGTCAATGGCGTGGGTTGAGATTCAAGCTGTGTAGAGAAATCCAATAGATCGGAATATAAATCATCAAAATAAAATAGTTCTCTATACAGTATGGACTCGATACCAATACAATATTTGGGGTTCATCAAACTCTCAAAGAACCGTACCGTACTCACTCACCTGCGATACTCTCCCCACAAACGAAACGAAAGACAAAAGAACCTCCCTTAGATCTCGAGGAAAATCAAGCTTGATAAAACAAAAGCAGCGCAGCTATGTATTTATCAATGTAGAGAATGGCAAGAATGCGAGTGAAGAGAAGAAGAGATTAAACATGGTTTCCCGCGGGGAAAAAGAGCCACCCCCACCATTGCTGGATAAATGAGGGGCTTCGGACTATTCTCCGCTCCCTCCAGAACTAGATCTACATGCTTAGTACATGCGATCTCCAGCCATACTGTTGATTGAATATTTACCTGCAATAGACAATATTCCATATTCCACATCTTCTATTCAGAATATGCATGGTATTTACCTGTGCTTGATATGAGTAGAACCGGAGAGATGGTAAATAAGTGATATATTCCTTTTTATCCAAACAATACCAATACCATATCCACCAATTGGCAATCCAACACCACAAGCCCAATCCAATCCAAAACGAAATACAAACAAAAAACTAGTTAAAACGCCCTCCTGAACCTCTCCAACAACCCCCCCTGCGCTGGTCCAGCGCCATTATTCCTCCCCCTCTCCCCAGCATCAACACCACTACTCGTCGACGCCGCCGCCGCCGCAGCAGCCCGACTCTCGTCCTCCAACCTCCTTCTCAGATCCTCATACCTCTCCGCATCAGAACTACCATTGTTTCCTGACGACTGCGTCCTACGCACCTCCTTCTCGCCAACCATCCACGCGGGCACTCTCCATCCTTTGCTCCCGAAAGGCAGAATCTCCACGCGCCACGCGACCCCAACGCACCACCCGACTAGGGCGGGGAGGATGGAGAAGGGGAATTGCGATAGGGCCAGTTGCGCCGCGAGGAGGTAGGTGGTTGATTTATCGGAGAAGAGGATCGTTAGGGACTTTTTGGCTGGAGTAGCTGCTGTTGCTGGGGCTGCAGGGGAGGATGATGCGGAAGAGGTAGAAGAGGATTGAGTAGAGGTAGTGGATGTGGAAATGCGGTATTTGAAAGTATGCGGGATGATGGCGTGGAATTGGGCCAGGAGGGCGAATATGGTCGCTGTCAGGCCGGAGGGGAGGTAATTGATCGTTCCTAGCGAAAGGGGTCGGATGACAAGTGCCAGAAGTAGCGGCGTGAGGATGGTCGTGTATGGAAGAGTTGTAAGTATAAATGTCTGCAGCGGGTTGAAAACGTCAGTCATCTTTAACAAAGACAAGAACACATCCTCAACAGACACGGAAGAAAAAAACATACAGCAACCTTCCTCCTCCCCCAAACCCTCTCAATCACACGTAAATGATAAACCAACATCGCCGCAAACAGCGTCTCCGTCGAGTTCGCATACCCAGCCACCTGCCAGACAAACACGCGCCAGAGCTGGCCATATCCCCAGAGATGCGGCACGACCTGGATATGAGCGAGGTGTTTGGAATCGAAGAGCGCGAGCGCGATCGACGACACCACCACGTAGATCAGGAGAGATTTCGATACGGACGCGTTGGTGAAGCCGGAGGAGAGCATGGTTGCGTTTCAATCTCTGGGGATGAGGTAGTTGGTTGATTGATTGGATGGGCAGTGACCTCCGGCGCGGAGAGGGAGGGATAGAAGAGACGAATATCTTCTCGTAAGAGCTAGATGTATATTATATGAGATCTAATAAGCAGAATTGCCTTGGTAGAAGACATAAAGATATCGCAATGCTGCAGTCTAACGTGTTGTAGTCTAGGAACCCCCGAGCTTGAGCTTGAGCTTCCTGCTGAGGGGAACGTCAGAGGCCGAGTTGGAGTTCAACACGTTGCGCTAGTGACGCGGGCCGAGGTCCGTGGCTGGGATGGTTCAGATTCGGCATGCCGAGATGGTCCCTGCTGTGGTTTAGAACAGAGTTACTTATTACTTGCTTGGACTGTGACGTAGATAGTGGCATAGATTAATCAATTATAGTAAGCTAGTAAGCTCGTTTTCTTCCATAGGGTTCATGTTCATGATAGATCTATAATACAATGTATGAGTCGAAAAAAAACAACAGGACCAAAATCCCTAAAACTCCTCTTGATGCAGATTTTTGTGACAGGATCATTACAAGAAAAAGAAAAAGAAAGCATCATCCTTGGCTGGGTCCCGGCGTGCTGGACTGGGCTTCTCTCATCTCCTCCGCCAGCGCGTCCTTGTATTTCGTCATTGCAAGCTCCAGTGATTTGATAGTCGGGCCAAGCAGCTGGTTAACTACCTTCTCGCCGCCAGGCACTCCCGCCAGGTTGACGCGGATCTTCTTCCCCGTCGTAGCCAGCACGTCGCGAGCGTGCTGCTTCAGTCGTTCTACTTCAACCTGCCGCTCGGCCTCAGCATCAGCCGCCACAGACTTGATGCGCTCCATGGCTCGATTGAGCGACTCGACCAGCGACGCAAGCTCTCCTGCGCGGTCAGGATTGCCGGACAAGAAGGCCTGCCAGAATTGATGCAGGAACTCCGTAGTCGTCGCATGCGTCAGTGTTAACCGGTCGAACAGATTACTCGGTAGGCCACATGTATCGGAAGATGAAGTCACCTCCGTCTGCGCTCGCCGCTCGCGGATATTCGACAGAATATGCGCCGAGGCACGCTGCAGGTTGGCCTTCGATCCGACTTGCTGACTCTGCGGGCCCTCTTCATTATCACTATCCTCCTCCGGCTGGACCAGCTTGCCCAAGGGGATAGATCCGTCCGACGGAAGATCACGTCGAACTTCACTGCGGAGCGTGACCAGAATCTGCTCTGGGTCCTGCTGCGCGAACAGTTTGCTCTGTTCATCTTCCAGATCCTTAGCCTGAGAGAAAAACCGACTCTGATCACGAATATTCAGCATCAGACGATTCTGCTCCTCGTCGCCCCGCAGATCTCGCAACTGCAGCTCGTTGTACGTCTCCTCATCCATACCAACAGGCGCCGACGGATCCCGATCAGCAGGCGCAACATTGGCCATGATCTTCTCACTCAGACTATTCAACGACCGGATAATTGGCACCTTGTCCAACGTCGTCGGTCTCATATCAATATCAGGCCGATTGCCCTGCTTCTGACTATGGTTGACCTCGTTCGCCGCCAAGTCAATAATATGAGGCACATGTGCTTCGAGTTTGCGATCCGCATTCTCATCCACTTTCAGATATTTATCCAAAATGACATCTGTCGGATCCGTCTCCGAGATCCGCTCTCCACGCAGCTTCTTGAACAACCGACTCTGAAAGAACCGCGACCAGAACTGCTGCTCACTCAACTTGGGCACATTTTCATCATACACCCGCTTGACGAGCGGATGCTGGTTGAAAATGAGCTGGATCTGCTCCTTGCTAATATTCAACTTGGTCACGTTATCCTCCACGCGCGGTTTCAGCGTCGAGAGAACATTATAGGATCCCCTTGTCTGGGCCCTCTCGATCGCATGCGCCCGCAGGAGATGCAACCTCGTCGACCAGAACTGCGACATGAACTGCGCGCCCGTCATCGTATCCGGCTTGGTGCGCAACGACTCCATGAACATGCGCTGCAGGTTCGCATCCGCCTTGAGCAACGACTGCTGCAGCTCCGCGTCCGTCCTGAGCTTGTTATCGTCGTCCCACGCATTCTTCCCAGTTCCAGACGACGATAGGGCACTCGCAATCGCCATCGCAGGCGACACGCCGTCCGTCCCTGCGCCGGGCGTCGGCACTGCCTTGGAAGCCTGAATCGCGGCACTGAGGGCATCTTTGATAGCATCCGCCTCGGGACGAGCGTTGGCTCCGTTCGTAAAAGAAAAAACATACTGCTCGGGCGCCGTGGCGGTCGGTAACTGGGCGAAAACTCTCAGCATCACTTTCGGATTACTCGCTGGAGTTTGCTGCAAATCTGTCATCAACCTTTCAGTCAGCTCTCGTTCTGTATATAGCCAGATGTATAAATCTCAACTTGCAAACACCATCTCATAAAAACCATAAATGTAGCAAGAAAAGAAAAGGGAAAACGCACTGGTAATATGTCCAACCGCAATCGTCACCATCCCAGCTGCATCGCCCGATGCCGGCGTCCAAGTGATCGTCTTGCCATCCTTCGCCATGGCTAGGACGCCATCCTTCTTCTTGTACGCCGCCAACCCGCGCGGCGCAGACGCCATCGTGATCGAAATCGACAGCTCTCACTGTCCCAGACTTGGTCGACAACTCCGCCCATCTGGAGATGGAGTTCCCTCGCGAGGCAGACGTCGGGAAGTGTCGAGCGATCGATGGATGGATATGCGGCCAAAGTGAAGCTCCGAGCTCTTCTTCCGCTCGAAAGCTTGACAGTACTTGGTCACGTGATTGGGGGTGTACTACATGATCCCAGAGCATATGGATTAATACGACGACAGATCAGGTTACAATACTACAGGCGATAACGATACAATGCACATACTCATGGTGGATTATGTAGAAAACCATAGCATTCTGAGTCATGGCCGTCATAACCGTCTCGACTTCCCAACGCCTAACTAGAACAAGACCGCCTTCCCATAAACCGAACATAAAGAGTAGCAATATACATGGAATATACAGGTGATAACCAACGGTAAGGCGCACGCTTGCTATGCAACTCCACGTCCATTGACCCGAACCCTGAGTTGACCATAAATTGCCCGCTCCAGTAAAACACGTAAAGCAGTGCAGATGCATTTCGTCCGTAACATAAAATGGTATCAAGACAAGAGTGGCCCCTCTGGAAATGCATAGACCAATATAAATAATTCGCTGAGCGGAGTGTGATGCAGAAGATGAATCATTAGTCGTGTGTGTGTCAAGACTCACTTTTTAAACATGTAGTGTCCGTATATGCCGCCTACATCGCCAACAGCGACGGGGATCTTACGCATACCCCACCATCTGGCACCCATCTTCCACCAGCGAGACCCGTCATCTGCGGCACGATGTATCCCAGATGGCTCCCGCACAAACCATCCCCGACGGCCCAGCTCGCGCACAGCCCATCCAATCTTGGCTTTGGTGCTGGTACGCTCCCGCAGCAGCGTGATGATCTTGTCGCCAAACTCCAGCACCTCCAGCGGCTGGGTCTGGGGAGCGATGAGGACGCACGCGTTGGTGTTGAAGATAACTGCCAGGGTCATTGAGGGGACCTTGGTCAGGTCGAGATAGTGTAAAGTTGGCGGGACCCAGGGCGTCTGAAACGCTGGGGTAGGGGCAGAGTCTGCGGCTTTCTCTGGGGATGGGGCTGGTGGTGGTTTGGGAGCAACAAAGAAGGAATTGATATCAGCAACGGACAGGTCTGCGGCGCCCAGGCCAAGCTCCTCCAGATGCTTGGTCAGTGGGATGAGGGCCGGGACATGTTCCGAGGAGATCCTCGCGCCCCCCAAGTTGAGTGAACGGAGTGTGGACGGGAGTTTGGGAAGCAATGCCGTGACATCGTCGCCGTCCAAGAGTCTGTAGCGGGAGATATCCACCTGCAGGTTCAAATAGACGAGCGACTCACGGACGGCTGGATGGGTGGTAAGGAATTCCACGACCTTCGGGCCGGTGAGACGGGAGCAACGCGAGAGGTTCAGGTGGGTGATGCGGGCGGTATCCGGAATCGAAAACAACGCCGCCTCCGTGATCTGGGTATGGGCCAGGTCCAGATGAGTGACATTGACCAGGCGTGGCAGCAAGATTTCGAAGGCCACCGCAGGCAGGCTGCTACATTCGTGCAGCGAAACCCGCTTCAACATCGGGAGAGCTGGCGGCAGACCTTCCATCAGCGCCTCGACGAAGCTGGCCGAGAAGGCCTGGGTGGAGCAACCGCAGAAATCCACGGCCTGCAGGTTGGGCAGACCCGTAAACAACTTCCGCAGCACCGGCACATCGATATCCGTCTCGACGTGCTCCTGCAGGAGACATTCCTTCAGGTACGGCAGCAGATCCAGACACTTCAACAGGGTCTTTGCGGTGAGATTCTGGATCTCCACGTTCATCTGCTTGGTGCGTCCCAGGCCGACCGAGGTGAAGTGAGAGAAGTCCAGACGCCGGACCAGGGTGCCCAGGGCGGGATACTGCGAGATATGGTTGAGGGCTTTGGAGAAGATGATGGAGTGGGGGATGGTGATGTTGCGGTAGAGGACACTGAGCGTCGCTGCATGCAGCGTCTTGGAGGTCAGCAAGCACGAGATGAGATCGACATTGCGAGGTGTATAGCCATTGGGCGGGACGTCGAGGGCCAGATGCGAGATAACCTGATCTAGAGGATAGTTAGACTCATATCATCATCATGGGCCAGACATGCCACAGAAAGCCATACCCAATACTTCTGCCGGGAGCTTCTCCAACGACGAACGGCCTGCTTTCGTAACTTCTTGCTCCTCCGTCTTCTGGGGCGCGCGTGGTTTGGTGACCTCCCAGGCCCAGCCCTTGGACTGGGCATTTCCGAGGAAGCGCAGGTCACTGTAGCTCCGACTCAAGCTCCTCCCCCCGAGCCGGATCTGCTTCCAACCCAGGAATCCCCCGCATGGACAGCAGAAATCCGGGGCCTGCATCTCCAGCTCCGAGGCGGTGGGTGAAGCGGGTGAAGCGTTCCCCTCCGACGGCTGGGGCGGCTCCGTATCCACGAACGACTGTGCAATGCCTACAGCAAATGCCGTTAGCCTTTGATCTAGCTCCCCGAGATAATCTTCTGTCCCTCTCCGCTCATGTTTGTCTGGGCCGTACCTGTGACGTCTTCCTTGATGGAACCAAACGATGGGCGGCGACTGCTGGTTCGTGACTGGGAGGCCGGGGAATGCGACGAATGCGGCGACGAGTCCCTCGAGTGATCCTGGCGACAACAGTCGACGACAGGCGTCGTAGTGAATCGCGACAGGGTTTGCTTCGGGCGTGAAGCGGCGGAGGGCGCGGCCAGGTCCATGATGGCGACGGAAGGCGAAAGTCCGCCTTTAAAGACCGTCTGCAACCACGCAATCCACAGCCAACACGAGATGAGCCCCAAAAGCGAGTTCCCCGGCGGTCAGATGCAGGTTCAGCGTGTTACCAGAATGGCGCAAGGTGAGGTGTGAGGTGAGGTGAGGTGAGGGGGCAGGAGGAGGCGGTTCGAGAGGGGTGGAATAGCTGTTAGTCACAGAAACGGCGGATGGTCGACTTTTTTCTTTCTTTCTTTCTTGCCTGCAGCCGCGCGACTGACGCAGACGATGTTCAGTCCGGGCGAGCACACGGGGGAGGCCAGGGGAATCTATTCGAGGGTTTTATTTTTGTTTTGGAGCAGAAAACGAAAGAAGGAAAAATGCAGGGCGAAAGAAGTCTCTACTCGAGGCGAGCATGAATTTTTGCGACGGGCGAAATGGACCCAGCGCGGCGGAAGCTGGAGCCAAGCGCCATGGGTGGCCACAGGGACCGAAGACTGGGACGGCGACGGAAGGGACCGTGGAAGGTTGTGTATTGTTAAATTAATTATAATTTAGACTGTTATCTAGTGTCTGGGTGGAGATGGCGGTTGTTGTTGTTGCTGATGAGGGATAGACGAGGAATAATAATACATAGTTAATTAATTACAATACTAGCTAGTTAGTCTAGATGATCGACTATCAGGATGAATGCGGCGATGACGATGTGACGTTGCGCACGGGACCGGGATTATTGATGTATGGTACTCGACTTTTCCCATGTACCACACAGGACAATAAGATAGGTTCATTTTGAAAAAGTCGATCGGGATCTGCTAGTCTTGCGCTGGTGGTCAGTTAAATTAATTAAATTATACTGGAGACCTTGTGTAATTGGTGTCGTCTCTGTCGATATAATCTACTCTGTATTAATACTGGATAATACTCCCACTAGTGACCGATATTGTGTCATGTCATAACTTATCTAATGAACAAGCGGGGTGGCCGTTGGACTATAATAATGACTGATTCTCCGTTATTTGTTTGTGTCTCCCACACAGAGTAAAATAAAATCAAATAAAATCCTGATAATATTGAAAAGGATCGAATAATTAAATGCTCGAAAATAGCACCAATGCTGCTGGAGTCGTACTGACTAGCTAACTATTATAATTGACTGGGGCTGGCGAGCATTCTGTGACCTAATCGAAAAGCCGCTGTGCCGCCAGCTGTCGCGTGGCCCGACTTTGGCGTTTGTATGGTACTTTTTTCCTTCCCGTCGGTTGCTGTCGTTCTCTTTCTCTGTCTCTTTCTCTCTCTATCTTTCTCTCTTTTCTAGTCTTTTATAGCTCCCAATAATATCTATCTACTAAATACCTATCCCAATCAGATTATTATAAAATAAATCGAGTCCCTTCCGGGTCTACCTAGTCCTAGAGTAATTCGCACTAAAGCGATCATCTAATTTAGCGTGCCGGAGCTACCCCGGACGCTAGCACGATGCTGACTGGCCACACCGCCCACACACCCCGCCCGTGCATTCAGCTTACCTAACAGCTACTACTCTGCTTCTCTTCTGCTCGTTTCTTTGTCCAGCTTCATTTCATCGAAGTTCAACCACGAGCAAGTATACGCTGGATTGTGGGGAAGAGGTGGCCGTATGTCGAGGTAATGCATCCATCTCGCGCTGTAGAGTAGTCTAGAGTAGATGACCGATTTCTCCAGTTTGGATCGTCCTGAATCCAGAAGAGCCAAGATACGCTAGTTCTGATCCGGTCACCTGAGCAGCTCCTCCAGAGTCCAGTGTAAACTAGCCAGGAACGTGCATAACTCCTAGGAACAGCTAGACAGTAATATTATTATTGACAACATGTTCATTCATCATCAATGATAGTTACTGTCCCAACCATTCGATCCTTCCAGTCACCGCCGTCCCTGACAATCACCAAGTCCCGCGAATAGCCGGTGGGGTCACCTGATCCCCTCCACGTTTCAAGACACTCGCGAAGAGAAGGGGGTCTGGCAAAGCAGACCTGACCTAGTAAAGCAGGTATAGTTAATAGACCGAGTAGAGCAGATAGAGCTAACCGAGATATAGTAGCAAATCTAGCAGATTTAAAAAAAAAGTTAGCAAATTTGTTAAAATAAATAAAAGCTAAAGGGGTATATAGACTAGGTAATAAATCTAATTAGGTCAGTAAAGCTAGCAAATTGGTTAGTTAAGCAAATGTTATAGGTAAAGCTAGTAGATTAGTAGAGGTACAACGCGAGGAGCGTAGAAAATATTGTTTCTTTTAATTATTATAGTGGAAAATATTACTTAATATACTATAAAGAACGAAGGTAATAACTAAATAAAGTTATATAACATCAGCTTTTATAAGATAAGAAGAAACAGACTAATTAGAAAGCGTCTCAGTTTATTAACGCAAAAGCAAGTGGACTAATTTATCGCCTCGCTACCGCTCAGCCATTGAGGGTTTGTTAGTAGTAATTCCTCGGATTGTTTCCCTTAACACCACATTGTAAAAATTATTGTAAAACCTTGCTCGTGAGTTGCAGGTGCTCTTTTCCCCATAGAAATGGATTCATTCATCCGCCGATTTACAGAACCAGCCACGGATCTTCGAGGAGCTCCTTAGCGGTCTTTCTGTGTTCTGGTAACCATTGAAGCATTTTCCTTACGAAATTAAGGAAGAGCTGCTTATCATCCCCTTCAAGAGAATAGACCGATCCCTCTAAGCTAACGTCCGTCGGAATTAGATCCTTATGCATGAACTCGCCTGGAAAGGGAACGGTTAGCGCCTTGCTCTATTTGCAGATAGAGCATGTTAGCTTTTGACAACTTTCTAGGCAGCTTACCTTCAGAGTTGAAGAAAGGCCCTCCAAAATACTCGCGAGCAGTGTGACAAAGCTTGCTATCTGAGTTTAGAACAGCATTGTCCCATTTAATGTCGCCCCATAATTTTTCTCGATCAAGAAGTTCTTTCGGTGGAGGGCCTAGTAACGCAATCATTTCCGCAATATGTGCTCGAGCATCGTAATCTCCTTTGCTAGAACGAATATGTTTGAATAAATCCTTGCCCTCCATCATGTTCCAAATCTGTGTATAACGTCGCGTAAGTCAGACTGCAGATAGGTGACAGAAGAAGCGGAAGCATACCAATACACCGAGGTTCCAGATGTCTGCGCTGTATGTCCAGCCCGTACCCAATAGGACTTCTGGAGCATGGAAGAGAGGTGGCTGAATAGGGAATCTCAAAGGCTCCGAACTATCTCCTGGTTGTGCTGAACCGAAGTCCGCTATCTTCGGTATCACACGGAATGATTTCATTGGCCCAAAATCATTAGGTGATAGATAGATCGATCTGCCATCTTTTATCTTTCGAGACATGGGATTTTTAGCTTATTTTTCAACATATTCTTCGAGCACAGATGGGTGCTCGAATCCCACTAAGATGTTGTCCATTTTGAGGTCTATGATAGAGTGAGCCTTAGCTTACGAAGTCAAACGTCCCCTTGGAACTCACCTGTGTGGATGACGTGACATTCAGAATGAAGATAATCGAGGGCTTGCAAGAAGAATCCCAAGTACACCTTCAAAAGCGGCGGTGGGATTTTGCCGTCCGGCAAGCGCTGTTGAAATAGCCAAAGGGGCTCTCTCATCGGCTCATAGACCAAGCATAAGTGCTTACCCTCCGGCCCTATAGCTTCGAAACTGTCGAGCATAATCCTCACAAAGTTGAAGCCTTTGTGCGATGGATTCGTCTCAAGGGATCGACTTATATTTCGCTCATGTTTTGCTGTATCTTCATCGGTGAAGCCGGAGACGGCTATCTTTAGGGTCACATAGCGGTTGGAGTTCCACCACCACCTATGAAGAACTTAGGAGGAATACGCATCTAGCTGGGGTAATACATACTGTGGAGGATCTTGAGCTAGCCATACGGTAGAAGTAGTGCCCCATCCAAGCTTGGCCACGATTCTATATCTGTTGTTGAGGATATCCCCTGGATTTACTGGGTAGAAATTCTTCGGGTTGTAGCCAGGAATCCTCTCCTCCTCTATTAGGATATTAGGCGAGAGGATTGTGGGTGATGGACTTGCGGACATGATGACACCTCTTGGAATAGGCGGCCGTGGGAATCGGAGAGAACGGGTAACCAAAGATTTGCACAACAACATGACCATTCCTTGAATAGAATAGAGGCTTTAAATAGGACGTAGATTTACTGGGATTCACATCAATTCTGATCAAAAACAAGGCCAAGTTATCATAGGATGTAGCATTTCAGGGCGAATGATGAAAGAGATACCTATGCAGATACAAACAGAGAAGCCAGCCAAATGTGGCCAGACACACTTAAAATATTTTTGGAGTTGCATGTTGATAATCACCTGCACTCCTGTTTTATGCTTATACACACGATAGCTTCAAGGTGCTCCAACACAATTTTTTGCCTCCCCACATTGCTGGACAGTATACTGGAATATAGGGTTGCAGATATAGCAACCTCTCGCGACAGCGTCGGAGAGAGATAAAACGTCTGCGTGGTAAGGGCCCCAATCTAAACTTTGGAATATCACCTGGCATTAGTTGCAGAGTATGTTGGGATAATATCTCAGGGGTATTCAATATCAACTTTAATAGGAAAAAAAATATTATAACAATGTAAAGTAGTGTGCGTTAAAAGCCTTAGGAATAAGTATATAGGAGAGTTTTATCTGGAATCAAGCAACTATTTAAAATTCTTTGTGTCGAATTCGTCTAATCTAAATGTCAGATAAGTGTTGGATATTATTAGATACATGCAGCTTGATACTGCCACTAAGAAATCAACTGCTAAGACTAAGAAATCAACTGCTAAGTAAGGCTAGGAGAGAAGTCAATAATTTCTGCTTCATTAATGGCAGAGACCTTCCATCGAAGGGAGCTGAGAAACGCGAGCTGACAATCACGAATGATCTCGGCGAGAAAATTGAGAATTGACACTGACTCTTCAGTGCGTGGTTCGCCCTTACCGTAAAGATACCAAGGAAATCCGATATAGAAACACCCCGAGAGCAATCAGATCTTCGAAGGAACGAAAATCAAACCTAAAGCGAAGGAAGCATTGAAGATACTCCCGCATCCCTGAACATTCTGTTTAGCCATGCAAGGTCCAGTGAGCTGTCCCGATCCAGAAGCAGCGGAAGACTGCCCCCCTACTGCCTTACCTTCGCCGACACTTCTATGCGGCAAGTTTCAGAAGGATAAAGGACGAGTACTGTCTCACTGCAGGTCTCAACGGCTCCGATGAAAACGAGGTAGATAGATCCACTCAAGCAGTGTCCGGTGGGGAAGGCAACGGCTTCGTTCGAGAAGGCAGCCAAAGAACTCTCATATGCTCTGTAATCTCATCTCCTTGATATTCATCTTCAAGCCAGAACTGCCAGTCCCACGTGATCCAATTTTTGTATACGCAAGGATACGAGCACCACGAATCTGACATGGTCCACCGAAGAAGGGGGCCAATATATGTTCCGGGAAGATATTGCTCTTCTTCCTCGGGGTCTGTTGGGTCATAAGATCGGCCAATAACCGCTCTTCCAAAATCAATGAGGGTGATCACTGGGCAATCAGACGTGTCCTTTAGCCGCTGCACAAGCACATTTCGCGGATGAATGTCGCCATGTCGAACATTCCGCTGATATAGCTGAGACTCCGCATCGACAACCCCCTTCATGATACTCTTCCTTAATTCGGCGGTCAACATCTGAGGATCCATCATATCCATCGAGGGACCGTTAATCTTTTCAATTAGGATGAGTTGCACAAGACGTGACTGATTTTCGTTGACAGACACCTCCCATGAATATGAACCGTAATACCGGGGTACGACGTTCAAGGACTCGGACAAGTGAATGTAGGCAGCAGTTTCATGCGTATAGTCTCTATCGACACATAGGAAAGGGTCGACATCATCAGAGCTATGGTCGCAGTAGAGGGGATCATAGAATTTCGCTACTACCTCTAGGTCGACGAACTTCGGACCAGAAAGGATCCGTACAGAGACCACCTGGGAGGACTTCCCATCGCCAACTCTAATTGTCTCCAAAACCTCCAAGTTGAACCTTTCTTCGGGAATCAGTTTCCCTTCAAGGGGTGGATGAATCTGGCAACGGGTGACAATGTCCACATGTTGTCGTTCCCGCGCTGTCTTAGACGTAAGAGACACTCGGCCGTTTGTTGGAGGAGGGGGACGGTGTGAGACGATAGAGAACTGGTCACCCAGTAAATAAGGCAGTTTGGGCTTTTTAATACCATGGGCCGAATTGTAATCAAGGCTCAATGGGTAAGTCATGGCGATGACATGTAACATGCATCAGATAAACAACGATTCATGCAAGTTGGCTAGATCGTTAAGTATACGCGGCGACGTGGGCTCTGCATTTAGATCATGTGATAATTAATCTCTACGTATTCAGCAATCGTACTAGTTACCTACAAGAATTTTAACAAGCGTATGCATTGACTACGGGAGGAACAAGATTATTGACATTTAGAAAGGCAGTTGGGATTCGATCCAAATTTACTGAAGCGAAGGTTGCATTGACGATAGCAACTAAGACTTGTAATTAAGCCAAGGGTCGTCACAAAGCTCTTTTGCTGTTGAACGCTGTTCTGGCTCCCAACATAACATCTTTCGCACAAATTGGAGAAATAGTCGTTTATCTTCTCCCTCGAGGAACGGTGTAAGGGTTGGAAGATTAAACTCCTCTGAAGGGATCAAGTCTGGGAATTTGAACTCTCCTGATCGAACACTTAGCACCCGGGATATAATTAATCAACAAAACCATACCTTGGCTGGTGAATAGCTGAGAGCAAATCTCCTCATCTGCCCTTTTCAATAAGCGAAGAGGAGGCGGACCCAGGAGCCGTATCATCTGAGCCATGTGTGTCGCTCGAGAATAAGTGGCGCTTTTAGCGTCCAGTCCATTGAAAAGAACATGATCCGCAAGGAGCTCCCAGAGCTTTACGGAAGTGTAAGTTTAGTATTTTGCGTAAATGTCATCTTTGGGGTCCTCTCACCACTGTTCCTAGGTTCCATATATCTGCACTATACGACCATGTCGCCCTCAAGAGTACCTCTGGAGCACAAAACGGTTGCGGTTGAATATCATGATTATGGGGCACAGAGACATTGCCGAAAACTGCCGCACTGAAGTCGCTAATCTGAACCAGTCCTACCCCTTTTCTCTGAACCAGTCCTACCCCTTTTCTCAGTTGCCCGAAATCAGGACGAGATTGGAATACAGGGCGATTATCGCAGTCTTTAAAGGGAGCAGGGTCTTCCTCCTGGTGGCGGACGTAACTCTCAACGACACCAAAGTCTTCGAATCCTAGGAGGAAGTTATCTGACTTCAGATCTTTGTTTCCCATTAGGGAGCCACTCTGGTTGTTGGGAAGACACCTAGGAAGCAACGGTGTACCTCCAGCGGTCCTGAAGCCCTTCTTAAAACTACTGCTTCAAGGCCTTGACTTTCTTCATTCCGAGTGTCACGTAATACATACAGGTGGGCTTCTTGTCCGTTCCCTTCTTTCAATACTCCTTTCTCTCAATGGTTCAAATACCAGACATAAATGTTCTCCGAATGGGCCCTGGATGCTAAAGTTTTCCTTTACTAGCCGAATATATGCTCTACCTTGATGGCTAGATCGCAGACTGGATATGTGTCTTGAGATCTCTATCTCATCAGAAGCAGATCTCCGTTCTTCCTTGCCACAATTTGTAATCTTTAGGGTCATATATCGGGTTGACTGCCACGCCCACCTTCACGTTGTTATTAAGTGACCAATAACTAGATGATGATGAACTAACCGACTGGTGTCTCTTGCCAACCAAGCTGTAGAATTGGCACCCCAACCGAGCTTTGAGATAAGACAATATTTCCCGATAGTCTCTCTAACACGAGCAGGGTAATATTTCTTCGGATCATAGTAGGGACTTCCATCCTCTTCTCGGATTTGAGGGGCAGATCTGGTCGGTGAGGCAGACCTTATACCGGAAATCGATGAAAAATGTCTGGCAAATTTAGCTGGAGGTGGTCTTCGAACAGATATCTGCGCAAATGAGTAGTTCATGAGAGAATGGTCTATTCAAGTAGCCAGTTTGATCATATGATGAGCTCCCTTGCCAATGGTCGGTTGGAATGGTATATCGCGGAGCACGAGCGAAGCGATAAATGAGCTCGGCTTCCAAATCACTAGCGGGAGCCTGAGCTCCTCTTATTGGTTTTTGAAAGTTGTGGGCAACATGTGATTCACCGCTTCCTTGTTGCCAGAGGAGCAGAAAGCCAGGATAGGAGGAATCTCAGGATCCGAACTGGCTATATAGTTGGTGTTAGGCTTGCCACGATAGTTCAGGCCCAGCTTGCGGCAGGTCTTTATTCATCGGCCATCCATTAGCTCTAGCTCCAGTAAGGAACTTATAGCGTAAGCATGGGGAACGGGTTGTTTGAGAGCTGCATGTGCCGCTTCGTTTCTGATGCTTGTTGTAATGTCTAGCAGAACGCTTTTATATTCTTGGCTCTAGACATAGGAGGAACATCAACCACATAGTTATCACCTCAATGCAAATGCATATGAAAACACCTTAAGTCCTTGCATAGAGTTGTATAAACAAATACCACATCACACACCAAAATTATGCCAATAATAGAGATATATAGAACCGAAAAGAAAGGCAATCATAAAAAGCTAGGCGCTTCTCTATGAGAATGCAGGTTTATCAATTAGTACTACCGCCAGATCTCCATCAACTGGCCTGCTGGCCCAATGGCAAGGCGCTTGACTACGAATCAAGAGATTGCAGGTTCGATCCCTGCGTAGGTCATTTGAAATTACTTTTTTGCCTTTTCGACTTTTTTTGCCTCTATGACAAAAAATATATGTTGCGTTGTGGGTCGATACTTGTATGTGTGGAGCTTCCGGGAAACGTTCGGCGCCGGAACAAGAAATTGGCAGCTTCGGCATACCGATAACGACTGTAGTTGTTCCTTACGAAGTGCTAGGAGAATAATAATAATAATAATAAGTCTTGCATTTATTAATAGTTATGGTAATAATATATTGAGTATCTCCTACTCCTAGCTATATCTAGGACCTATATCATCCTGCTAACCAGCCAGCCGTTTGTGGCAGTGGATATGGGCGTACCTCCTCGAAGGCCGGTATCCATGTTGAAGTCAGACAATTCGTTGAAATCCTACTCATTTTGACAGTCTTCAGCGATCTCCCTGCTGGCTTAAGACATACCGTAGAAATAAGGGAAATGTACTCTACATCTTCGTCGGGTGGATTGTACGGCGTCTGGAACCGGATAATTTCTCGATTCTTGCAACAGAACATTGTACTTTTGATTTATCTAAGTTGCGTTTAGGTCTGCTCTGTATCCCCTTTCCAATTTTAAATTAGTATAGACATTATTATCAGTTACCCAGGCATTGCTGGCGAACACTATGTAATAAGTTGGATATCTTGGCGGGCTGCCTGCTTGTGTGGCCCGAGCTCTCATCTCGGAACTCTGCTCTGCCCACTCAAAGCGCAGCTAATTGATGAAGCTGCGAACACTGACATCAATGTCTCCATGTCATTGATATACGGGCACAGTTCGGGGCTCGCGGCCGCGAGACCAGCTATTATCCGAAGATGCCTCAAACTGGCTTCGGCCAATGTCCGACAAGGTGTCGCAATTGACTGTTCATCGACTTTTCCGCGGGCATTTAGCTCCATCTCGAGAAGAGCAGAGCAATCAAGCGCCCCAACACACTCTGCTCCCATCGCCATTTCTTGGCTCACGAAGACGCCACACGAGGTGGTGAGTGATGTGCGACCGGATATATTTGACTAGCTAACAATGCGAAATGGTCCAAGACACAAGATGAAGTCCTCCGTCACCTTCCCCCGGTACCTTCCCCCGACAAAACAGACAGAGTCCCTATCCTCCTGGTCACACCAGCATTTGCTCCGTGGATTGAACGAGGAAATACGTTCCTCGATGAACTCATGAACAAGCTGTTCACAGACAAGTCAGATAATCTACGACGGAGTCCTCGTCACGCAGTTGCAGCAATTGTAGATAAACTACCTGACCCGCGCGACGAAGTCGCCGACCTGCTAGGGTCAGAAGGTCTATCACTATTGCTAGCCCAGACTGAAGACGTAGCAGGGAAGGCCGCCAGAGCCTCCCGACTGAAGAGCACGGACAAGGATGAACCTTCTTTCATATATTCTGTGAAGCCCACACGCTCAGCCACTGCATCATATGAAGTTGGTTTGCGCTTAGCAAACACTATATTCCTCAATGGGAAGGATAGGACTATGTTCGGGATGCGCTGGGAATACAAGTCCGATCACGGGAGGTTCTGTCTAAGTCAGAGTAGTGATCTCTCTAACTGCACAGTCACATCTGCGGGGGAGCGCATCCAGACCTCCTTGGGCGTTTCGCTTTCCCCGGTGGGCCAACGTCGAAAGGTCATGTCTAGTCTGGGGAATATCCTCCGTCAAGTGTCGAAGTCAACGGATGGAAAGTCGAATGACGCAATGCCAGCGTCGTCTGAATTGGAGAAAGAGCTTCCAAGGTATGTAGAGGAACATGCACTCGACCAGAGGGTTTCTGTATGGGCGTTGGTCGAAAATCCAGACCGTGTTCTATCGACTAACGTGTTCGATTCGAACCATGTCCTGAATGCCATCTCCAATGGCAGCAAGCTTCATCGGGTGATGAGCGGCGGTGGAGGATGGGGGAAGAAGCAAGGTTTACTCTCTTTGGACCCTGAAACCACGTTTGCCGATACTACACCGTACGGCGGCTTATTTCCTATCGATGAGCTGCTTGGTTATGGAGACGCAGACTCACTGTCGGAAAAGTTGCAAGGCTTTCCAAAGTCGTTCGAAAAGCTTGCCTACGGAGATGACCTGTCCGCTCTTTCCCAGGTCGCAAGTGAGGGCGATTTTATCCAGTTTTACGCTTCAATGGCCCCGAAAGCTCGAAAGGACAGCGCCTCTGGAGATTTTAGTAACTCCGGGGAAGGGACTTGCTGTCGCTTTGGCGTTATCCCACCTGCGGAGACAGCAGAGGCAATTGCTGACACCAGCGATGGACACTCGAAAGACATTGTCATGCTGCCCAACTATTTTGGCGCACTGACTGAGAAAGCCATCACCTATTCCCAACCTATTGGCGGTGAGAAGCCGCTGAACAACTCTGGTCAGAATCGCACCAAGTTGGATATTCCAGGCTGCCGAGTGCAACTTCTAATTGTATAGACTACGGGGGAATGAAGAAATGTGGAGTTTGGGGTATCAATGTACAGTACATATTGTTTACGAGAGTGGAAAAAGGCTGTCTCTTAGCTGATTAGCATAGACAGTATGGGTGCCTTGCCTCGGTAGATCTCTGCCGCCATATAAGGAAAAAAAAGAATCATAAAATATGACCAGTGAACATCACTAGAGGACAACCAAATGATAAATGCTTGAAATAAGAAACTGTATCGTTGTCATGAGAGATGAATTGCTGTTGGAGCGGTAGATATGGCATCGATGTTGACGTGCCGGGAAGCTGACGCCGCTGATCGGTCGCGCCAAGCCCACGTGACCGAGACGGCAGCTGGTCAAGCCAGCCTTGGATCTCCCCGACGCAACAACGAGCGTCTTCGTCCTCGACCTCATCTCCGTCTCCAACCACCAGCCACATCTTCATCGGTACTGTCGCGATCGCACCAGCGGCTTTGTTCCTTGCATCTCGCTTATCATCATTCCCTCAGAGCTGTTGATCGGTGATATCGACCCGTATCGGTCCTCTATCCCTTAAAATGTCCTCGGATCTCTGGTAAGCTGTCACTCTCCCCAGGTGCACGACCGTCGTTAGTGCCGATACCCTAGTGGAACATGAAGCTGCTGTTGGAAGTTTCCTAATTAATGATCGTATACTAACATTCTCTTTCAATTAGTCCCGTTTATGCGGTAGGTCATCCTTAAACCGTGCACGCATTGCTCTTGACGCGAGCTCTCCGATGGCAACCGGCTCTACGGCTCAGCCAGAGCACACTCGCCCATCACCCCCTCTACGTTATATGCGAACAGATGACTGATGACTGAGAAAATAGCCCTTCTTCGGCGCCCTGGGCTGCACCTCTGCTATCGTCTTCACTTGCTTCGGTGCTGCCTATGGAACCGCTAAGGCTGGTGTCGGTGTCTGCGGCATGGCCGTCCTGAGACCCGACCTGATCGTTAAGAGTATGTCGGATACGTTGTTCTATCTCAGCCATATGATAGAAACCAGATGGATGGCAAGCTCTGGAGAGTGGATTGGCTGACCATCACAGACATTGTCCCCATTGTCATGGCTGGTATCATTGGTATCTATGGTCTGGTCGTTTCCGTGTTGATTGCGAACGACTTGACGCAAAAGGTTTCGCTGTACGCTGGTTTCATCCAGCTGGGAGCTGGTCTCGCAGTCGGTCTTGCTGGTATGGCGGCTGGGTATGTCAATGATCGAAACTCCGCAAAGTTCCAGTGCTATTTAAGCTAACAATCTGGCCTTAACCAGTTTCGCTATTGGTATTGTTGGTGATGCTGGTGTCCGTGGAACTGCGCAGCAACCTAGACTCTATGTCGGAATGATCCTGATTCTCATTTTCGCTGAAGTCTTGGGTACGTTTACTATCTATCTGACCTAGCTAATCCATTATCCATGGTAATTCTAACTTCGACAGGTCTTTACGGTCTTATTGTCGCACTTCTGATGAACTCCCGTACCAAGGAAGCCGTGTGCTAAACGGGAAATATCCTGTTACGGGAAAGGGCATAGTGAGGAACGGAATCGCCTTGCCATGTCCATGTCCCTTTTAGTTTTTCGTACCCGGTATCTCAATCAGCCAAGTATATGGCCGGGAACAAGGTAGCTCTCCTATGCGGAAGCTATCGTATGGAGGAGTGGGGTGAAGGGGGTTGGAATCAGTTGTGATGAATGAGCTGATCTACGAGAGTACATGTCTGACGTGACACTCCCGATAGATAGATATACTGCATGGCCACGGTTCGCGTTTGGTTTTTTTCTCCTGGCCGGCGATTCTGGACTACGTCATACACGTCTCACGCGCGAGGCCTTTTCTAGCCTCATTTTCTCTTGCTGTCCATTTTATCGCACGTCATTTATCCAAAATCGTCTCTTCTGCTATGCTATATGTAACTTTAGCCCTGGGCTTGCGGGCCGTGGTTTCCCTAGTTGTATCCCATGTATAGCTGTAATGGTATGCTCTATTGCCTGTCGGGTATAACTCTCGCCGCCATAGTGACGCTTGCAAGATTGTAAGAAGCTTTCTACGAGCCGTTAAAAGAATACCGCATCTACGAGTATTAAACGAACGTGTATAGACGGACAACTTCACAGTATACAGAGATCTACCGGCTTGGTGATTGAGATAGCTATGAATGCCATTCAATGATTGAGATAATTAAACAAAACAGCAAGGAAACAACTGAAACGAAAGTCCGATACTCTACATGAGGTTATGGAAAGCGGATCATTGGAAATGTAATCTTACTGTGTATATATAAGTATGAAAATACGATTTATATTCGACGACTAGAAGATCGGATAGGAAGAGAGGGGGAAGATGAGAGAAATATGATGACTGAGACAAAGCGAGCATGAGCGGATGAGGGCTATGCGAGACGTGGACTAAGATAAAGATAGGTAGGGTCTGATGCATGGCCCCGAAGTCGTTGAATAACGCTGGGGGGATGAGAAATGCAGGAATCCCATAGACAAATCACAAGACAGGAAAAAGAGAAAAGAAGCGCAGAGACCGATGAGAGAAAGCGTAGACGGGAAAGGAATTCTAAGCCTTGTCCAGCTTGCGTCTCAGCGTTCTCGTCTTGCGCATCAGCTTCTTGTACTTGTGCTTCTTCATCTTCAGCTTGCGCTGTCTCTTGACGCTGATGGCGTGCATGGTCCGGGGGTTACGTATGCGCTCCATGTAGGTGCTGCGAGAGCCGTTGGGCTCTTCAATGGCAGCCTCGCCATCAAACACACCGGGAGCTTCCATCTCGGTCTGAACAAAAGGCGTCGTGTGAGCCTCGTACGTCCTCTGTCCATCGGCGTCTGTGGACTCACGGATCGTCAGGACCGTCGAGTAGGTCTGAGACCTGGAGGGCTCCTCAGCCTGGTTCAGATCGGCCGTGTTCATCTCGTCCAATGGAACCGGGGGAGGAGGAGGGTGGAATGGGCGTAGCCGTCTGGTCATCTCTTCGACGGAAATCCTCAGCTCGTGCATAGGAATACCATCGAGATGGATGACCTCGGATTCCGCATTGTTGGCGGAAGCTTGGCCGAGAGCATGTCGGAGCTCATCCTGCTCTGACGCACCGAACTGCTGGCCATGCATGACGTTCTCCATCGAATTCACGGCGGATGAAATGGTGTGGATAACATCATCGGGACCGGCTCTTGACGCCTTCTTGGAGAATATGGCATCGAAAGCTTCGGCATTCGAGGTTGGAGGAACGGTCGTGGTGACGGAAATAGGCCGGTGGATGGAGAAGAATGAGGCTATGTGAACGTCTAAGGTTTCACGGAAAGTCAGCTTACAGCTATTCTCCAATAAATGCAATGACCAAGAAGCAATATCAGAGTAACAAAACTAACCATGAGGCTGGCGATGCTGCGTCGAGGGAACGCTGGGGAGGTTCAGGAAAGCAGTGTTTTCGCTGGACTTGGCAGAGCCATGTCGGCTGTTATCTCTGCCCTTCCGCCTGGAAGATTTGCCTTCACGCTTCTGTCCAGATGGACTCACTCCCTTAGCCGGAGTCTGAGAGGTATCAATCCGGCTCGAACCATCACTGGGGGGCACCGGAGGCTTCGAGGACGAGTATCGGCGCTGCGCTTGACGCCGGGTCGCGGTAGCAAGCAGTCCGTTCGATGTCGATGTGATAGCGGGTGTGACAGCAGGAAAAGGCACGGCTGGCGACCGTGCCACACGGAAGACTGAGGATGCGAGCATCCTGAGGCTTTGGTTGTTTCACAGGCGAGGAGAGATGCCCGTGAGTCTGTTCGGATGAAGTTGGTTTGAAGTCGTCAAACCCGAAGGCGAACTTGAGCCGGAGAGTCAGCGGGCGCAATTATTATGTAAGCGCCATGGTCTCGTGCGTTAACGTTATTCCGCCTTGAACTTGAAGAACGTCGATCATCAGACAGTTCTCCGATGTGAGCCTTTGTCGAATATTGCTCATTTTCAAAAGAGGAAAAAAAAAACATCATGTCCACTACTTTGGATACTGCGTATTTGGAACCAGATATTGTTTCAGTTCAGTTCGTGCGATCACGTGAACGGAGGACCTCCTACAGACAGGTATGTATGTATGTACGTACGCCGAATCTAGGTAACGAGTGAGAAATTATTGGTATCTTGATGAGATTTTTGCTTTCACTTGCGTCTAATGCATAGTAAACCATAACTCATGCAATAAATTCCATGAGCTCTCCTGATCTATCTGGAAGACAGATAGTCGGGTAACTGAAGGCCTGAACAAGCGGACAAAGGGAATTTCTAGCCTGAAGCAAAAAAAAAAAAGGAAAGGACTATAAAACGGAGATATACTCCAAAAAGACCCGGAACAGTGCAGATGACCTCCCCATAAGGCCGTGACATTGATCAAAAATGAGGCGGAGAAGAAGGAACTGGGGCAAAATGTTTGAAAAACATAAAACAGTAAATATCAATACCATGGCCAGACAACCTGGGAGAGGGTATCAGAGGGTCGCGAAGAGATAATATAATTAAAGCAACAGAGTCCGTCCGATAGAGGACGGAATCATGTATCTTCCACTAGGGACGAAAGTTCGTTGCTGACCGCCAGCCGGGGAGAAATTGCTTCGGAGGATGGAGAAAGATCCTGTGTAAATGAAGAGAAAAAAAAAAAAAAAAAAACGAAGGAAGGTCGTGAGAAGTCAATATACACATGGAGGAATGAGATGGGTGGTATAACATGATGGGCGCAGGAAAAATGTTAGCCCTAAACGTAGGAAACAGTGTCACGGCGCTGAAAGAGAAGAAAAGACGAGGCACCTATATCAACTGGTACACTCCGTCAGACACCTTGAAAACAATTCCGAGAAAAGATATGGTCGGACAGTAAGCTGCTCACATCCCGTAGGTGGAACGACAGACAGCTCAGCGGGGCAGATTATTCTGGGAGTGATTACGACATCCACATTTGCGGCGCCGTGTTTATAGGATGAGTGTGTGCAGGTTTTTCTGAATGATCATATCCTGGACAGAGTCCATGGTGGCGCTCAGCAATGTCGTGTCGGTGGCGTTTGTATAATGGATGTAGATTTCACGCTCCGGCATCCGGTTGATCCCACGGAATCGGTCCGCAAAATATTTCGCGGCCGCATCAAAATCCGTATTTGATCCACTATAATCAGGGAAGTGCTTCGATACCGGCGAGAGAGCGAGCTTGGACTTGAACAGATCGATCTTGTTCAGGAAGAGGATAATCGGCTTTCGCTTGAACCATTCTCCATTCACCAAGGATTCGAACAGCATCATCGCCTCGTGCATTTGATTCTATCCAGGGATCAGAAACTTCTATACGACGTAGGGTTTCCATATAATATGTGTTTACTTACCGCCGATTGATCCTCCACGAGGCACTGGTCATAACCGGACAGCGCAACCATAAAGAGGAGACACTGAACACCTTCAAAGCAATGAATCCACTTCTTGCGCTCTGACCGCTGTCCTCCAACATCCATCATCCGGAAGTTCATCTGACCCAGCTCGAAAAGGGTCTCCGTTATTCCGGTTGTCCGTAGACGAGAGTGCAGCATGTCCTGGTTATCGGGAAGCCAGCCAGGTTCGAAAATACGATCCAGAGAATTGTAGAAGCTGAGTCGTCAGTCATCGAAGGACATCGAGCGAGGTGGCCCTGTAACTTACTAATGAAGATTGTCGTGTAAAGCGAATTCGTGTCCTCGTGCAACGGCCTTTTGAACGCCCTCATCTGCCCACATTCCTTCCATGGCATCCTTCACGTTGCGATCAGAGAACGCTTCCTCCGAGCTTACATCGGGTTCCGTCTTATCGATCAGTGCCGCGAATTCCTTGAGAAAGCAGTGGTTAGTCAGGACCATCCCACGGCTAACTGGATATGACATCCTCCTACCTTGGCTTTGTCACTTGTAAACTCGATTCCCTCTGTTTGCATGATTTCCAGCAGGACCTTAAAAGCGACGATCAAATTCGAGTAAATCACAGCACGGTTCTGGCGACGTTCATCGGTAGGGAATCCGCCTGAGTGGATGATTCGCATTTGCTTTATAATTGTCGACTTTCCCGATTCACCGGCACCTATGACACATTGTCAGCGTCTTATACGGTTGACTCTACGCGCGACATGCGCCGGTTATGCGCGAGTCCTTACCAAGAAGTAAAATCTTGATTGTGCGATCCAGCGTCTTCTTGTCATTTCGGATTATCTTCTCAATCTTGGCGTTCTGTTGCACGGCCTCCTTGTCATCAGGATCCATTGGCTTGGAGTTCATACACCCCATTTTGGCGAAGTCGGAGAACGAGGACGACTATTCTGGGTGCAAGTGGTCAGTCAAAAGGAAGATGCGAATTCTCCAATACCGAACCATCCAATGTAAAACCCAACCGTATGGACAACGGTCTCCGGTAGGCGCAAGAGAGCGAGACACGATCCTAACACCTTCCCAAGTTGACAGATGGCAATTGAGGTTTGGCGCAAGACTAGCAAAACTTCAGGTCCATCGCGGAGTATTCCAGTCCATCCGGTGTGCAGCGTAGAAGGAGAGAGCCGGAGTCGCTTACCAACGAGAACGAGAGATGGCAGAAGGGAGTCTGTGTGACAATACACCTGCTGACAAGCACATTAACACCAGTCCGGAATCATGCGCAGGAGCAAACCTGGAGACTTACTGTACGTAGGGATAGGGAATGACCACTCAGCAGCCAACCAGACCGGCTTCGATTTGGATGTAGGTATTCAACACACGGTCTTGTCCACTGTTGGCCGCGCGGCGGCTGTACCTTTCTTGAATTAAAAATTGCAAGAAAAGAGAATAATACTCTGACGAATTGGTGATCCGGCCACCGTCGTAGGTCCCAACCTGGTCTCCGGGAGGTTGGCGGTTGTCAATGGCGCGCAGAACAAAGGGATGCTGTTGTTTCCAAAATCCGAGTCGACGCGGGTTTCTTGAAGGCAAGTACTAGGGGATCGATCTAGACAACCCAAGTGGCTTGAGATTAACTAGATCCAGGAACGAAGTCTCGCAACGTCTTCCGTGCCGATCCTTGATCTGTGCGAGTCGCGAGGAAACGAATTCCGATCGAGATTATTCGGAGAGGAAGCTGGTTCACAGCCCGGACTCTCCAACATTCACGACGACCCAGCCCACGCAAACCAGGACGAATGGGGACCAGAAGCGAAAGGAGAACGGAGAAGATAGACGAGAAGAGAAGAACAAGATCAGCTTTTCCCCCTTCGTCTGATGATGCCGAGAGGAACAAGCGGGGACTGACTGCCCGCAACGACGGAGTTCAGATCGATTTGAGGCATCAGGGCAGTTTAGTCAGACGGCGCACCGACACTTCGTAACCACTGTTAACGAGTCATTTACTCTACTAACTCTAGTGATCTCTTTAGTTCTCTACCGTGCTGGACCCGAAGTTCCAGTTCTACTCTACTTTTGCCTCTCCACCTGCCACTGTCCGCCAGAACAGCCCCCTGGACGCGGGACATTGGACTGTCTAACGGCCCCCATCCCGGGATGTTTCCCTTGTCGCGGGCATACCGAGGCTTCTAGAGCCTGTACCACCGCCTCTAGAGCGTCCTAGGAAGGCGTCTAAAAGCACCTAAATGTCGCCTCCAGGCCCCGGAAGCCATGATTCAAGTCTGCTGCGGAGCCGCCGAGAAATGCTAGCATTAGTCTAGCGGCCCACGCGCAGAAGCCGTTTCTTTCAAAGACAGCACCCGGAGCCACGAGGCATGAAGGACCAAAGTCGGCTCAGTCGATCCACTGGATGTTTGCTTCCCCTGGCGGGTGATCAGCGAGATTGCCAAGGGGTTTCGTTCTCTGGCCACCGCAAAGAGGAACGAAAGATTTCCAACTCTTGTCCTGGTCTGTATTACGGTGCACCGTTCAAGCGGTATACATGGACAGGCAGAAAATACAGTATCTCCATGCGCAGGCTCTAACTTTAAAATTGTTTACGAGATGCACAGACGGCCGATGATGGAGATTCTTCCAACCGGGATCCCTGAACCAAGGGTTTTGGTGCAGGATGGGGAAAGGCGAAAGGTGCACTGATCATCGGTGGGATGTGGCGTGTCATGACTCGAGAGCTGCTGGACTCCGTACTCTTCCTGCGGAACCTCGCGGAGAAATCGCATCCTAATAATAAGGATCCAAGAGTGAGAGATCAGGGTTGTGCTGCACTCCTATTCCCCGAGAAAACACTACTAGTAGTGCTCAGGGGGTTGGTGAATCTTCATATTTGTACCGGATTAGAGTACTACGAGTACGGATAAACTCGTCTGCCATCCGGCCGAGGTATACTCCAGCTCTTCCATGATTAAATAATTTCAGCTCTCAAGATCTGCTACTTGAGCTGTCATTCTCGTTTCAGACTATCGTTCTGTCTCTGCAAGGTTGCGTTTCGGATGCAGCTCGAGTTTATCCGTGGAACAACCGTGGAAGATTCAGAAGAAAAGTCCCAATGGGTTTGGGGGCCACGGCTCGGGACTTCTATTATCCTGTTTCAGGTCTGCGACGATCGCAGGGTTCTCTTCTTTTCGGCTGTCAAGGGTCAGGGGTATCTACAGTGTCAACCACGACAAAGAGCGAACCAGCCCCAGCTGGCGCTTCTTATTATTTTAGGAAACCAACCATCTGGCGAGACGCAGTCATGGCTATGAACGGGAAGTAACTGCCGACTCCGTCCCACAATGTGCCGTCTGAATCTTGGTAGAGAAATTCGTTCTGGACCAGAGATCAACTCGTTCAGAATATCAAACCGATGCTGCCCTTTTGCTGCGATTTCGATAACAACGAACTGATTTTGGATGCAACTCTGTGCATTCTTGCGCACTATCCACGGCAATACTGGACCATGAGGATCGCTTTCGAGCTCCTGTCTATCCTTTCATGATCACCGACTTGCATACCGAATAGAGAGGACTAGACTACGCAGTAGCGCCCGCTGAACATGGACCAGCTCGGTAATTAAATGTGGTCCATGGGTCGAGTGCCAACGGGCCGGGCCAGGACCACTGTCGTGCAAATTTGGCCAGTCGAATCCTTCAAGGGAATGTGCTTTTTACGCAGAGCACGACGTACCGTATTTTGGTATCTGGTTAATATTACCGAATATTTTGTGCGATGGCGGTTATCGTTCTTCGTCACAATTTCGCAACTGCCTTCCGGCATCCTGGCCCTTGCTCAGGATATGATAATCGTCATTAGAAATATTGCTCGAGCGCGTGTCAGCTTACTACTCCGTACATGCAGTGTTAGATATGTACCAACAAATCCGCAGGACGCTCAACAGCTTTCTAATTTTGATTCGATTCGAGTTCCCTTTCGCTGCAGGACGCACGGCCATGTGAGAATTCTGCGGGGAAGTACCGGCTCGAGTTAACATCGCTTCAGCCGTCGCGCATGTCTGATTATGCCTGATCCCCCCCCGTGTCATGCTGAATGGAGGAGGCTTTGCATTATCTCATCTATAGATCTACACGCGTTACCATGTAGACTGCAGCGGTGAAGTCACGGAGCAGATTTCGCTCTCTGCTAGACGTTTAACCTCCGCGCCGTCTCGATTGATTCCCTCCTACGATGCACACCATCATGATGCTTTAAAGTACATGGATGGATTGTCTTATTCGAAGGTCGCAATTCAAATAACTAGATCAGGGTTGCAGCATTATTACGCAATCTACAACACGAATGCTGTCAAGCGTCGACGATCATGGCCACGATTGTGTCTGTTGGATCCAATCCATCGCTTCCAGAAACGCGGGAGAATTCTGCGTGCTCTCGCGGTCCCGCTTTTTGGCAGCCAGGAACTTCCCTGCGAATGCTACGGAGTAGTCCTCATCATAATCTCACGTCTTCTTCAAACGCCGACTCTGTTATGCCTATTGCACGCCGGGTAAAGCTCGTGCTGAAGCTTGTCTTAATCGATGGATCGCGGAGCGATAACCTTCGGGAAATGTCCGGCTACAATAATAATAATAACGTCGGTGACTAGCCTTACAATTATTGGAAACTTCTGCGGACTAGATACTGCCCACGTGGCCAGCCTCGAAAGATTGCGTACTAGTTAGAGGAAAAGCTAGCCTATCGGCATTGCTGTGGCGTTCACCATTGCCCAGTTGTGAGGTTATTCGGTATGCGAATAATAAATCAAGCTTGACCTGGAAGCTTTTTCTCGCGCTGAATATTATTATTGTTTATTAGATACCATATTCTACAGATACAGACAAGTGTGCAAAAAGCCATCGTATGGGCACCTGAAACAGCCGAACGGCGATCCCTATTGTCGGAGCAAGGCTAAAACAAGCTCGCTATCTGGGGCCCTGTTGGGGTGGCTTTCTTGGTAGCGTCCGGCGCTCTTGACCGGTTTACCACACCGAATTAGATAGGGTAAACAACACCAAAGGAACTAGTTATGCTAACCAGGTGGCTCAGTTATACTACAGGAGGAAGATGACCGGTCTCAAACCGCCGGCACGCAACTACATAGAACAGAGATATCAAATCAGGTATGTGCTGTGCTGCTCGCCTTATCACGACGCGCAGGTTATCTACAGCCGAAATAACCGTGAGTTTCAGGGGAACAAAGTCCGCCTCGTTGACTGAAGTACTCCGTAGAAGGTCCATTCTAGCCTAGATAACCTGTTGAGTCTTCATGGCCGGGGCATTGGAAATGAGAGCCGGAGATCCTCAATCCCACAGCAACCGGAGAATCTGCTAGCAGTAACGGCTTTCTACTACTGTCCTCTCCACGAACCGCTTCTCAGGAGAACAGTTAGCTTGCATCTAACTCTGGATAATAATAATAATAATAATGCTGCCGAGGTTAACTTGCACAGCTCAACGGCATAGCACAATAAAGGGGCAAAAACAGTGTGGCGCCCACTGCCAAGTCTGCTGGTGATAATCAGGAAACGAAAACTGAAGCAGAGGAAGGCCTAAAATAAAGAGAGCCAATGGAACACGATTCTTCTGGAGTAGAAAATCCAACTCGGTTCCGAACCGAGGGTCTTGGCTATCCATCATAACTCTTTCTCACTTCATCATATGTTGCACGAAGAAACCGAGGTCCTTGCTTATTTTTGGTTTAGACTTCGACCGTCGTGTTGTCCGGTGAGTCTATGGCACATAAGCTGAGCGCCACGAAGTTGGCATCGATGTCTAATCGAGTAATAGAGTTCAACCTCCTGCTAGCAAGCTGTTGATCGGGTCAGGGTCCTCGACAGGTGATATTCGCTTTCATTATTCCTGCATAACATGATTTCTTCTACGGAGTATTCCCTTCCCGATTATTCTCTCCCACCGTGCAGCTATTATTACTCTAATGCCAGAGGCATGTGAGGCCTAGCAGGTGTCGATCATTTCGCAGGCGAGAAACTCTAATAATGAGCTATGATCGATCATCTCTGCAAGGCAAATCTGCAGAGTCCAATAAATTAGTTACCTTACCTGGATCGGGCGTTAAATTGGAGCAGGTCGATGTCCTATTGGGACGATTATCCATAGATACCAAAGGCGCATCGCGTGTATCCGAAAACAGAGAACTCATCTCACCCAAGTAGTCCTCACGAGAGAAATCAGAAATAACTAATGATATGCAGCATATGTTTACCACTGCTATCTAAAACCGGATCCTGGAACCGACGGGATTGATCTCCGCAAATAGGTTGTCGTTACTATCGTTTTTTATGTTTTGTGATTTACTACTAGTGTATGCAACTACGTGCATGTCTTATATAGTCTTCTAAAAACCTTGCATATTCTTTTCTTTGATCGGATATTCTATAAAGGTGCATTGTTTTCTTGTACTGTACTAGGATCTGCAGCCAGAAGCCTACATGCTGTACCTACTACTACCTAACCTACGCTTTAGACCGAGTGCGGTCGAAACTCAACCTGCGAGGGGCCAAAAAAAAAGCTTGAGTGCTTCCTGGTAAAGTAAGCAACTTGCAGTGTGCAACTCTAAACTGACCCCTTGTTGTTATTACGCCTAGCCATGGGATGCCCCAAAGAGATCGAAAAATGCGCAGTACATATGTACTACTATGACCATATGTATGTAGCTTGGTATCAACGCAGATCACAGCTAGGATTTGCAGATCCCTGCATCTTTCAGCTGGCCCCATTGTTGCATTGCATTGCATTACATTCCATATGCAATGACACGTCTAGAAGAATACATAGGCAATCAAAGAGTGACTGGATCGCGTCATATCTTCCACTACTAAAGTGGTTTAAAGGATCTTCATAACAGCAAGGTTATACGCAGATCATGACTCGATCTCGAAAACTGTAATACCGACCCAAGTACTTAGCTGGGGACTGTACAGTGTAGGGTAGCCACGTGGGGGCCATATGGTATCTTACTCTAGGGATCTGACCCCGCAGATACAGCTGAACCTTAAAGTCTTAAAAGTTGACTGTTGTGTAGTATATATTTAAATGCTTACTCGCATATGTCCTGGATGAGTTGTTCGAGAAACTTTGTTCGTGGCGTGGATGTTGAAAGAGAGCTGAAATCAGCTTGTGCGCCACGGTCGTATCTAGGACCCTAGTTGAGGCTACTGTCCCGGATTAGGAATGTATATTGAACCAGTAGCTCTTTGAAGGAACAAAAGGGGAACAGAATATGGAAAATAAAAGACAAAATCTGATCCCTGCTGACTCTAGCTACCTGATATCAGAATTGTCGTTGAGGACCCCTGATATAGTTGTCACACCTACCATTTCATTCAAGCCTTTGATCCGGGTTTGATAAAGCATGCATAGGCCGAATAAAGAAACAGCTGCTGACAGATATCGCTGTTGGGGCCCTTGAATTATGAGTATGCTATCCGATATACCTACACGTGGCTCTCCACATGCTCCCCATGAACCACAGTACACTATCCGTGACTTGTCACCCACGGGTTGCGGGTGAGCCCCCTAATCACGGATACTGGTGCGAATACAAGATAGGCCGGCGTTCCGGAGTCCAGCGCATTGGTCTCATACCCAGGCTCCTCTCGGAAGATCTATGCGACGGAGCCGAGCTATTCTGTCTCATATCAGCACAGGGCTGAGTTTTCGCTACTCTGCCATGACCATTTAGAGGAAAAAGAGACAACGAATAGACAACTAAATAAAGTGGTTCGGCAGGAACTAGGATAGACGCCTTGTTGGCAGATGTAAAAGTAACAATGTGAGCGATCGGCACTTTCTTTATGGCTGTACAATGACCCTACTAGGGCCAACAGCAAAAAGTCCCATGCAGCTAGCACATGGTTCTATGAGATCCGAATATAATGCAGTAAGTCATGATTCACTTATGCTAGTGGATAAGAGCGAAGGACTATGACGATCATCTAGAGCGCTAGTACCTAAACTGCCGATGCTTGAGGAGCCCTGGGAGAGCTCGTCGGGTCATTGAGACAAGAGCTGAAATGTCACACACTGTGTAACATGTTCGTTTGCACTGCATACTGGATTGTGTGGAGGGGGAGTATGAGAACTTGAGCACCTGGGTCTGCAGATAGTATGCTGTTGTATATTTGAGATATTTTAATCTTAAGTCATAAGGATCATGTTGTCTATTACCTTGCTATTCTCCACTATAACCATTGACTGCAGAGACAAATCGGCAGGTACGAGTAATATATTTTGTATTGTCGCAATTAAGCTCGTTTCCGGGGACATGACAACATGAATCTTGTGCCAGAAGGTAACACTCGGGAATGAAGAAGCGTCGCCGCTAGACACTCGCACTGAAATGAAAGTTGTCTCTATGTTGGTTGGCCTGTACCTCCTCATCGCTGACGAAATTTGCCATGATCTCAATATCATCATGGTGGAAGAAGTTCATCATACTCTCAGGAAGCTTAGAAAAAGGCATGGTTAGTTGAATCTCCTACACAGTATATCCCCTTTACATATCGGAATTGGACACACCTTCAATCGCTGTGTATAATTTGGATACCACCGCGCCTGATAACCCAAGGCAATCATGATCCGATGCTCATCACTAGGGTTCGGCATTCCTGCATGCCATAACCGCAAGTCTCTCAGCGTAATACTGCCTTTCTTAGCGTGGACCTGTACTGGCGGGCGCACCTTGCGGCGCTCTTCGAGCTTCTCTATCTTCACGTTGCATGTCATTGCACCTTCCGGAGTCGTTTGCTGGTCAGCAGTGGTAGTGATTTTGTGAGTCCCCAACCAGAACTCGGTGGACCCGTTTTCTGGTGAGAAGTCGGTCAAGGGCACATTTGCAATCGCATAGAAAGGAGCAGTCGGGTGCCCGCTCCAGCGGATATCCTTGTGGACAGGCTGTCGCAGACCTTTTGTATTCCCGAGGGCGTTGTTTCCCGTAATGAAGTTCCAACGAGGCCGCGCGCCGAGGTATGCGTTCATCACTTGAATAACAAATGGATTCATATACACATCCTCGAAGATATACTCGGGTTTCAGTGGAGCGCAGTGCAAGATGTTAGATCGCACACCGTGGTTGAAATAAGCCTTTGAACCATAGACCTCTCGTAGTACATTGTCTGTATCGTCCTGCATGTATTTGTTGATCTTCTCGACGTGAGCCACATCGACGACGTCCTCAAGCACTATAAACCCGTCATCGTTGAAGCGCTCTAGGATTTGTCGGAGAGTCGCTACTGAGTATTTTCCCTTTGCCTTTTCCGCTTCAGATAGAGGGATAGAGGCGGGCGCATCTGTCGGTGCTGATTCTAGACCCATTTTCCACGAGACGTGAAGAGAGACAGGATTACCAGAAAGATGAACGCTCGAGCTTCTTCATGGAATCCTGTTATGGGGAAGTATGTAGGTAGATTTAATAACCACGGGCATAATCCATAACCGCTTTAGTTAGTGGCGCGAGATGCCGACATGGAACTACTCGTTATCGCTGGACACGTAAGGCTGTCTGATATTGGCGTTTTCGCTAACTAATTTCATTCGCCGAGAATGCATAACTACGATAGTGTAAGAGAGACTCCAAAGATAAGCATGTTCGATTGGTAAAGAACCACCTACTGCATTAAGCAACGTCTAATCGGAGATGTGAGCCGTATCAAAAAGCTCCAGATAAGAAAATTGCGTCGGTGATACATTAACAACTCGCATACAGCCGCGATGCAGCCAAGTGATGGGATCCAGAGACACTAGAGTGCTATCTCATGCTACCGAGATGCGTTCGAAACTATCAACTCTCAAAGATGGTGTCCAGGAAAAGGCACGAGCCTTCAAATATACCGTGTCAAGCAAAGAGGCTTTCGTCGCATGGCTCCAAAATAGCGATTCAGGCCATGATTCTAACGAGCGGGCATGGACGAACAAAGATCTAGAGCCAACACCTCCAGAGAAGCGCAACTGGAACTGGTTCAATTATGTGACGTTCTTCTTTGGACTTGGATTCGGGAACTGGACGCTGGGAAGTAGCATGGTAGGTATCGGTCTCAACTGGTGGCAATCCATTGTTGTGATCTTTGTTGCGACAACCATATCGGCCACAGCGACGTGGTTCAATTCCAAGGCTGCAACAACTTACCACATTGGGTACCCGGTGATAGCTCGTTTTGCTTTTGGGATGTGAGTCCTGTGCTATATAGAAAACGACTGTCGCAATCATGAAACTGATAGTTATGATACACAGGTGGGGTAGCTATTATGTCGTCGGTGCACGAGCTATCCTAGCTATCATATGGTATGGAGTACAATGTAAGCTAGCCCTTCTCTCTGTTTTTCTTTGAAGGCATAAACTCACCCATCAATCATGAATAGTGTATACTGGATCTAGCTACCTCGTCAATATCCTCCATGCGATCTTCGGGCATCACTTCACGGATATCCCTAATGGCATCGCATCGAGTATGGGCTTTACTACCCAGCAAATGCTAGCATTTTTCCTGTTCTGGCTGATTCATATCCCATTCATATTCCTGCGCCCTCATCAGCTACGGGGTTTCTTTGCCTTCAAAGCCGCCATTGCAGTACCAGCAATGTTCGGATTATTCATATATTGTATGGCTGCAACGAAGGGAAACCTGGGACCACTGTATGGTGGAACGGCACCCTCCGGAAGCAAACTTGGATGGTTCTTCATGTGGTGCATCAACAGTGGAATGGGCAATACGGCGACCTTGATCACCAATCAGCCTGATATTGCGCGGTGGGCGAAGACATCGCGGTCGCCCTTTGTTGGTGTCATTGTAAGTGCAATAACCCATACTAGTAACTAGTCATGTCGCTGACTTTCGATCATAGTTTGCCAATATCGTAGCGGTAACCCTCTCCGCAACCATGGGTATCCTGGCAACGGCGGCAATCAACAATAAATGGGGAACCGATCTATGGAACCCATGGGACCTGATGACAGAAATCATGAACAGGCATTGGCGGTCCGACGTCCGGTTTGCGATCTTTCTCTGCGCCTTTTCCTGGGTGGTATCCATGCTTGCCACGAACGTTGCAGCGAATATGATTCCATTTGGCTCCGACGCCAGTATGCTCTGGCCAAAGTATCTGACGATAGTTCGAGGCCAAGTTGTTGTTCATGTTCTGGCCTACGCCATATGTCCATGGAAGATTATGTTCTCTGCAAACACATTCCTTACCTTCCTTTCTGGCTATGGAATCTTCATGGCGCCTGTCTGTGCGATCATGGTGTGCGAGTATTTCATGATTTCGAGAGGGAATATTTTTGTTCCGTCTCTATATAACGGAACGAAAAGTAATGAGAATTACTGGTACACAGGAGGATGGAATTTACGGGCTTACATTGCATATGTGGTTGCAATCGCGCTACCATTTCCGGGTAAGTAACTCATTGTTCTTCAAGTGTCCGGATAATATCGCTAACATCGGTAAAGGATTCGTCGGGACACTCGGCGCGAATGTGTCAGAATCTGCTTCTAATCTGGGCCATCTGGGGTGGTGTCTTTCTTTTACTCTCGGGTTTACAGTATACTGGGCCATTAATCAAGTTTGGCCGCACGAAAATGTGAAGAATACTAGGCATCTGGCAAGAGAGCAGCTTGCTAAGGAATCATTTATCGAGGGAATCGAACAGGAAGAGGAAACGAAAGAAGCAAGGATTTCTCTGTCTGCTAAAGTATAATGTATCTAAACGATATCGCTTTTAACAGGAATGGGTACATGACGTTGAATTATAGATGACTGTGAAGATATAATAACTTATCCTAAAATTGTTAGGTCCCAATATTGGAGGCGATGCGATCTAGATAAAGTTGTCCAGCGGTTGAGCGGATCGTCTCAAAATCACTACGTATGTTATAGCCCAGCCTCTAAGTATTACTGAGTATTTCTACGGGAAAGATTTCCATTTCGAAGCCACAAACTTCAATGTAGTCTTCTTATACAAACCAAAGCAAACTTCTCTGCTGGGCTCCGTGCTTTTAAATACGAGACAATAAAAAGAAGTGATATGTAGAGATGTACATAGATACATACTAGCGCTCAGTAACCATAAATCCTATAATCCTCAACTGCATAGAACGGCATGAGAGGGCGATGCAAAAACGACTCCATCCTCAAGTTGAGTGGGCTTCAGTCTACCTACTTAAGCCTTCTTCCCCGCCAAAGCATCCGTCAGTTCTTGCGCGACAGCTCTTCCAACCTTCTCTCCCAGCGCCCTTCCAATAAGAGTCGTGTTCGTGGAAGCAGGAGCAGAAGAAGACTCTGTTCCATCTGTGCCCAGTCCATTTGCAACCGCGCCGCCTGTCGCAGCGATCGTGTTCGCGGCGGCCCCGCCCGACGCGGCGATTACGTTGGCGATACCGTCGAACACGGCGGTTATGAAGGCCGGCAGGTCAACTTCGGATGATGGGATATCGCGGATTCTGAGTGTTGGAGCTATGGATCGGGGGTTGGTGTTCAGTATATTGTCGATGTCTGTTTATAGGGGTCGATGTGGTTCGGTGTCAACTTACTGTCAACTGTCCGGGGCTGGAGTGTCGGAAGAGCGGTAAGAAGGTGAGGGGCCATGAAGATGACGGCGATGTAGGTGAGCAATTTCATTTTGAGATTGTTTAATCTATTTGGTGATTCTGGCGGAAGAAAACTTTGCCAGTGTAGAAATTCTGCGTCAGAAAAGGAATGTTGGATAAAGAACGATATCGTGCCTAAACAGCGAACAAGCGAGACAATTACACTGTAGAGAATCGCTTTTAATGCAGCGAAAGGAATCCAGTAAGAAAAGAACCAGGGAGACTTTTTTCGGCAAAGAATTCATCAATATAATAATAAGAAAATAAGCCAGCCACATGATTCCCCTCTTTCAACGCCGCAACGGTCAACTATTGTAAGACATTCATCTAGAACCCTGCAATAACTCGTATTTGGATTAAACGTGGGAGATGAGGAACCTTTAGTTTTACCTTACCGGCTCCATAAGCATGCATGGCCGACTATATGTGGAAGTCTAGATCAGGATGAGTATACAGGCTAACAATGTGGCGTCCCAGCTTTCATCGGCCTTATTTCCCATTGGATCGGGGAACAGGGCGTCTGGACAAAAGAAATGATTACTGGGCAGCCATAACTAGAGCGTGGCTGGAATTGGGATAATTTGGATCTCCAGAGTATTGTCTACCTCTTGCAAGATGGACACTATTGAATCTAAAGAGCTTGAAGTACGACAGCCGTCATCATAAGTACTTTCTCCTCTTCGAGGCGACGTCCGACTAATTGCAAATTGACGGGCATGCCATCGACTGCCTCCGCATTATCTAGGACGAGTGAGTTGATAGCTTTTGGATGTTTTCCAAGGTGGAGTATAGATGGGATGAAGACTTACATATATTTTGCACGGTCGCGTCGATGTCGCTCAATGCTTGGTGTGCAGCGTAAGGAGTATCAAGCGCCTTATCGACTTTGACACCACTGGGGAAAGATACGGCGGGATAGTCGAGTATGTTAAAGACACCGGTGTAGCCCACATAGGCGAATTTCCCGTGTTCTACAGAACTATACGGAGTCGTTGGGCCTAATTTGACCTCAGTGTCAGCTTGAAGATCAAAGAGGCGAAAGGAGAAGAATAATCTCACCAAGAATTGCATCCAAACCTTCACAAGCGTTCCATCTCTCTAGATAATCTTTCTGCAGCGTGTTGCGTTCTATATGAATCTGCCATAACTCATTCACTCCGATCTCCGAGGACGCCTCATAATCTTTCATCTCGGGTCGGAACGGTTCCTTAGTGGGCTCGATTAATTTACGAATGGATTTCGCGCCGTCTGCGAGGAACTTGCGTGATAGTAATTTGACTGCGGCCTGGTGGTCTGTGGGCCCCCAGTCTACTATCTCATGGCCAGCACTTTTGAGCTTCTCCACGGTTTCCTTAAGTGCCCGAGCGACAGGAGGAGTTGGGGTAACGTTTCCATCATTCCACAAGACAGCGATTTTCAACGTCTTTTTCGGTTCGACTGAGCGCCATGGGATCGGTAGGCATTTTGGATCGTGTATCCAAGGCTCCTGTCCTACTACTGTTTTCGCAAAAAGCTCGATCTCCGGGAGAGTCTTTGCCATTGGGCCGTTGACGCTGTTCACAGATTCCTGGCCTGCCAATCCTGAGCGTGTCTGAGAGTTAGGGAAGCGCCCAAAAGACGGACGCAAAGTAAAGATGCCTGTACAGGCGGCCGGAATCCGGAGAGAACCACCTTCACAGCAAATCGCCGTTAGCTCTTGCATTCTAGCTTTCCTGCTCCAGCATAAGATTGGGACGCACCGATATCCGTCCCGACACCTATCCTACTCGCTCCAAACGCAATCAATGCTGCTTCTCCTCCAGACGAACCGCCAGGTGTGAGCTTTCTGTTCCTCGGGTTAACTGTGCGACCAAAGACATTGTTCACCGTTTCAGCGATCATCATTGCGGTGGGCACATTCGTCTTGATATAGAGAACAGCACCTGCCTCTAAAAGGAGATCCGTGAGAGTACTGTTGTAAGTGGCTGGGTCGTCGACAAGTGATACAAATCCGATGGTAGAGTCTTTCCCAATGATATTGAAATTGTCCTTCAGAGAAATTGGGAAGCCATGGAAAGGCCCTACAGGCTTGCCCGTCTGTTTGAGATGGTCATCCAGCTGTTTTGCTCTAGAGATAGCTTCATCGAACAGAATCTCCGATAGACAATTGGTCTATTTTGCGCTCATTAGCGAATGTCCGTGTACGGATATCTGAGGATGATTTACTAGTTGATGAGCGGCCGCTGCGGCTTTGCAAAACGCCTTGGTCACCTCCTCTGAAGTACATGACCCGCTGGAAAGCTCAGCGAGGAGCTCCGGTGCAGGAGTCGATGTGATTTCCACCTCTCGGTCAGTGAACCAACCCGATTCACGCAAAAAAGTGGTCACATCTGTCTCTTCTTCGGGAGGAAGAATCTCTGCGGGGATCACCCATTCTGCAGGGATTGCATCACGAAGGGCCTGCCGCTTAGCCGCAGCAATTCTCTCCCATGGCTTTGGTTTTGAGTCCGTGGACAGTCCGAGATACTCAAGCATCTTGATGTCTTTGTAGGAAAGCGACGCAAATGTGGTATCAGATAGGAACCAGACCTGTAGGTGCAAAAGCAGTGATGTCGTCCTTTCTATATGTTATCCAGGAAAAACCGGGATATGCCGATGTACAGTACTCCGTTCAATAAGCAAGATTCGTAGACCCCCCTCGTGGAGCAGGGTCCATTGCGTTCTCAACTGGCTAGGCCTGATTCCGGCTCCATTCAACTGGAAAGACCTATCAACGCCGTATCATCATATCGAATCAGCGATAAGATCCGTCGAAGTATCACAGATAATACCGTCGCATGAAGGCCGATTCCACGTGCGGGGTAGTGACAATAATACCATTCTTTGAAGATACTAGGTACTTATCTCAATTGCCTCGGCCAAGTCATACGACAACCACAGTGACCTCCTAGCATGGCATGGTTACACCCAGACAAGACTGCCACACGCGAGTCACAGTGGCCACTAGCATTGACCTTGTTCATGTCGTCTTGGACCTGTGACTTCATACGAAGATCGGCAAACTCTGATTGTGACCGATCAGTGGAGCTGGTGCTGACGAGCCAGACACAACGGATGGTGATCGCTCGATCTAGTTATTGCGAAACACCAAGTATCGCATCCTCATGCTTACTGGTACCTGCGGGGTGGAGAAGGAAGAATGGACGACAGTGGATGATGCCCGGCGAGGATAGATCCTATGATAAGTACAGTACTTAGCTGGCATCAAACCGCAAAGAAGGCCACGATCGACGCCAGAGATCTTAATCCTTTCCCTCGATCCGATGGCAGAGCCGCTTCGATTTTGCGGCGGATAATGTGTCGATCGGATCACCGCAGTCTGTGCCTCTATTGATTGTTGCCTCCGTCGAGAGAAAAAGAGTGGGAGATGCCTTCTCCTTTTTGACCGATCTTGGCGGCAAGAAAAACCAACCGACCGTCACCACACAGAGAGCTCCAACTGCTCTGCTGGAGGCCCTCATGATAATTCCATACCATGTTTTCCAGATTCAAGGAATATGTGTGCGGTAGTGCAGCTTCCCCTGCGGAGAAGAAGCTTCTACGGAAGCTTGATTTCTTCATCCTCACGTTCTGCTGTTTGGTCTATTTTTTCAACTACCTTGACCGGTCGAATTTGACCAATGCATACGTGTCGGGGATGAAGGAAGAGCTGAATTTCAAGGGAAACCAGTTAACTGTCATCAATACCATCTTCACAGTTGGATACATCGTGGGCCAGGTCCCGTCAAACCTCGCGTTGACCTATGTCCGCCCGCGCATCTTCTTGCCGGCAATGACCATTCTGTGGGCAGGGCTTACCATGATCACCGCAGCTGTACATAATCCGCAAGGGATTATGGCCATCCGTTTCTTTTTGGGAGTGGCAGAATCAAGCACCTTTGTGGGAACTCACTATATCCTTGGTGCATGGTACACGGAAAGGGAATTGGGGAAACGGAGTGGCATTTTCACTGCATCAGGATTAGCAGGAACAATGTTTGGCGGTTTCATTCAGACCGGTATACATTCTTCGCTGGACGGTGCGCGGGGGATGTCGGGATGGCGATGGCTTTTTATTGTAAGTTTTGCTTCCAAATATGCATTTCTTGGGTGACGGTGCCATGCTAAACGAGCCCTTCGTAGATTGATGGCATAATCACTATCCCAGTTGCCCTATACGGTCTCTTTCTGTTCCCAGATACCCCAGCGACTACCAATGCCCCTTATTTGACTGCATCGGAGCGTGCCCTGGCTATATCACGCGTACCAGAAACCGGTGCTGTTCGAACACCACTGAATCTCGCGTTTGCCAAGCGTCTTTTTGGCACCTGGTTCTGGTATGGTTTCGTCATGCTCTGGGTTATCGCGGGAGAAACTGAGTCCTTTTCCTCCAATTCCCTTCTGGCGCTATACATGCAAGCACACCCTACTATCAAATATACGGTCGCTCAAATGAACGATTATCCTACTGGCGTGCCAGCAGTGGGCATCGTATCAACCTTGTTCTGGGCCACGCTGACTGATTTTTTGGGAGGGAAACGCTACCTTGTGGGATACTTCATCGCTGTCACGGGAATCGTGACATCCGTCCTAATTCTGACACGGTTCTCAGATACAGCGACTGTCTTTGGCGCGTATTACTGGGCGGGTGCCGTATATGCCTGTCAGGCCACTTTTTTCGCCTGGTGTAATGATGCTATGCGCGATCACGATGGACGGCTACGCTCGGTCGTACTTGCAAGTATGAATATGGGGAACAATGCAGTCAATGCCTGGTGGAGTATTCTGTTCTATTCTGCCGATTTTGCCCCTAAGTTTACCAAGGGCATGTGGGCTATGATAGGCTGTTCGATTGCTCTGGCAATATGGACTTCAGTGGTTCTGTACATGTCCGTGAGGGAAGAGAAGAAGCAGCGCTCGAGCGTGATAGTGCAATCTGACGATACAAGGCATGTAGTCTCTCAGAAGAACTAGAGGAATAAAATATAGGTATGTACAGCACATTCGGCTGTTGGGATCGAAGAAAGCATGAAATTGACTTTTGTTGAAATAGATAATGAGATATGTCATCAAATTAAAGGTTTAATTTACTGCCCATTGACTGTTTATAGCTGAATATCCTGATATTTCCAACTTCGAGTTCGTAGCCCCGATGCATATATATACTCCGAAGTAGTTCAGGTGAGCTGAGAAATACCCGAAGAGCTCATACCAGAGTAATTTCACCACTCCGAAAAGGAGAAAGACGAGAACAACCCGAGAGGCCTCGTTAACTCTTGAGAATGCAATATAACTATACCATGTAGAGTACTTTAGTCTACTCCGTATTCAAAGCAGAATTTCCCCGCCACCGAGGTCGGCCATTGTGTACCGAGGCGCACGGGCGGAACAGCCGCGCCGGTCTTTTGGTGGACCGTTTTAAACAATATGGTCACCAATAAAGATTAATAAACAATGGAACATCTCCGCAGAAGATGCGTGTGTAGATAAGATAACGTTAAAACACGTCGTGGAGGGAAGTAAAGAACTGAACTGAACTGTTACTTTGCTTTTCTTTTATACTTAGCGACAAGCGGGTGGAGTGACTGACCGGCTAGATTTGAAGGAAGGAGATCCGTCGGTTTAGGTCTAAGTATCAGCGATTGGATTTGCATCTCTCTGATTTCAATTGATAGACCGATAAGTGACACCCTTCGTCTCGGGAAATGGGCGTGAAGAGGACACGCTCATCCAAAGAGTCGCTGGATGAGCCGCGACCAACCAAGCGACGCGCCAGCGACGATGTCTCTGCGCAAGACGAGAACAATGGCGTCGAGAAAGATAATCCGTCTCCAAAGACGATCGTTAATGGAGAACCCCAGACGCCATCGCGCGTTGCCGCTTCGCCCGCCGACTCCGTCTCCGGTCGTCGCGAGTCGCACGCTGTCCCAACAGTCACCCGCAACCTTCTTGGTGGAGACTTGGTTCTCTCCAAATCCAACATTTGGACACTGGTTCATGATCCAGTAATTAATTCCTGCTATTTCCCTCCAATTTCTCTGTCGATGATACTAACTATTTGGTTAGGCAACTCAGAGGATTCTAACCAGAGTGCCGGATTCGACTCTTAGCGAGATCCAGACTTCCGTTCGGATCGCGCAAGATGCGCAGAAGACATGGCGGACGACGTCTTTCTCAGAACGGAGATCCTTGCTCTACTCTCTCGTCCATATAATTCGAGCCAATTCTCAGAAAATTGTGAGTTTAGTCCGGCAGGCCGGTGTCTTGCATATCGACCACAAGCTTACCCCGGTTTCTTTCCAGGCATACTGTATATCTCTGGAAGAGGGGAAGACCATAGATGATGCCATGACGGAGGTAGTGCGGGCAACTGATATGATTGAATCAGCGTGTGGTATCCCGAACACTTCCGGGCAGTATGTATCTCTCAAATCGACCGAGAGTCATACAATACATGAGCCTCTTGTGAGTTCTGATTTGTATCTTTCCGAGTTTGAAAGAGACTGATGTCGAATGTAGGGAGTGTGCGTTGTCTGTACTCCATTCAACTTCCCATTTCTTATACCCCTTTGGTTCATCCCATACGCTCTTATTACGGGCAATGCGGTCATTCTCAAGCCATCGGAAAGATGTCCATCGCCGGCAATGATGCTAGGAGAATTTATATTGGAAGCGGGATTTCCCACAGGAATTGTCAACATTGTACAGGGAAGTTCTGTAGCTGTCGAAAAGCTACTGGCCCAGCCTGCTGTCAGCGCGGTTTCTTTCGTCGGTTCTGAAGACGCTGCTGACCACGTCTACAAGATCGCAACGGCAACGCGGAAGCGGATACAAGCAGAATGCAGTGGTAAGAATCACGGAGTCATTTTGGAAGATGCGAATAAAGTCCAGACGCTCTACGCAGTGGCTGGCGGAGCTTTCGGGGCGGCCGGACAACGATGCATGGCCCTGAGTGCCATTGTCTTTGTTGGCTCGACTGCGGAATGGTTGCCAGAGCTGGTTGAAATCGCCAAATCACTCAAATTAGGGTGCGGTCTGGATAAAGGAACAGACATTGGCCCACTCATCAGCAAAGCCGCCAAGGAACGCGTTGAGGAGATCATTCAAAGTGCCGTCGATGAGGGCGCAGAGGTGATACTTGACGGCCGAAACCCGGAGGTCCCAGAATATCCTAACGGCAATTTTGTCGGACCAACGATTATTACCGGCGTCCAACGCTACATGCAATGTTACCAGCAGGAGATATTCGGGCCTGTGCTTGTTTGCCTTGAGGCGCAAGATCTCGACGAGGCAATCGAGATCGTGAATGAGAATCGCTGTAAGCTGAGACTGATTCCCGCCTCGATGTCTGTAATGCTGAACAGGGGTTCCTCTAGTTGGAAACGGATGTTCGATATTCACGACCAATCCAGTCAATGCGCAGCACTTCCAGCGCCACGTCAACGTTGGTCAAATAGGAATAAATGTGCCCGTATTTGGTAAGTGGTAAGCTCCCTTGGGATCTTGACCAGAGCTCATGCAACATGTAGCCTCCAACGGACAATTGCCCCGGACGACAAACAAAGACTCATTCATGGGAGGTATGTTGTAGTTTGGGTGCCTCCATTTGTTATTTTCATACTGAATTGTCTGACGTCGGCAGATCTCATCTCTCACTGTGATGCACCTTGGCAATTCTTCACAATGACCAAGACCGTGTCTTCATTGTGGCGCTGAAAATATACTAGAAAGAAATTTAGTTACGATACAGGCCTGAGTATGAACAGGACAAAAAAACACTTTCATAGATGCTACACATGGAAGCATAAAAAGGAAACACAATACCATTCAATTTAAAAGAATATATAGATAAGTGCAAACTTGGAAACGAGACGATGACGAAGGAATTGCGGACATGGGAAGTGATAGGTTTCTTCTTCCAGGCCTATTCCCCTCCCCGTTTAATCAAGAAATATGATGATAGTACCAGGAGAACAAACAGGATAGGGTGCTTTGGATTGACTTTGATTCTGCTCAGACTTTTTCAGAGGGGCCCCTTTTACCAAGACAAGACACATGGTTCAAGGAAGAAGTTGAGATGATGGATGTTTTTGTTCAAGCTCTAGTAGGTCTCAATAGGTACTTACTTATAGTTCCAACTGACTTTTTGCAGACTGAAGATCATAAGGAGGGCAAGGTCAATCGCACACGGTCTTACCACTACAGGTTTGTGTAGAGGACACATTGCGATAGTGTTATCATTGGATATTGACAAGAAGACAATCTGACTTACTGAATTCTATAGACATTGGAGACACATGCTATATATTTGTCTATTTAGTGTGCGTATCTAGATCAGGTAACGGAGACCCGGAATGTAACAATAATGGTGGCCCCTACAATCGAAAGACGAACTGGTCATTTTCTCACATCCTCATTTATTCTCATGGGAAATACGCCCAATCTTGTCCTTTCCTCCACTAGGTCCTCCTGCACTATTGTTTCCACGACAGCTCTCTCTATTTGGCCTTAGATCATGATGTCCGATAGTTCCCTACGATCACCACATCTCAGCTCTTCTGTACATTGCCTCTGATATCATCATCTCTACCAGGTACTCGGACAGTTTCGTGAAAGTAATATTGGGCCACATTAACTACACCTCGATCGCCTCGCGAAGGAGATCCCCTTCCTCATCACGTTCTATATTTAGATATGTGGATTTAGTCTATCCAATCAGCGGAAAGGGCGTCCAGTCCTGAACCCACAACTGAGCGATCGGAGTCCGAGGCGAGCCTCATCACGAAAGGGCCGTAATCATACTCCAACTATCAAAGCTTGACTGTTCGGCCTGGATAAATAGACCTGGGCTGTATCTATTTATGTTCATCTTGTTCAGCAAATAAATTGTCATTAACTAACAACATCCGGATTCGGATTTACTGATACACCGCCAGCCACCTTGCTAGGATCGGAATCCAAAACTGGTCACGTGTTGGGAGGCAGCTTCATCTGGTCACAACACCCCTTGAGACCAACAAGAACAACAAGAAACAACAATGCCGCCTCTTTCCCAAGCAGATCATGAAAACTCGATATCTTCAGCGAGCGAAAATTCCCGAATCGACAATCTGCATACTGAAGGTAGTCATGACACCCCGTCCAACGACCCAATTACTCCCAGCAAGCCACACAAGGCTCTTCTCCGCGGCTTTATTACTCTGTCTGAGGCCGAAGATGAAGAGGATGATATGAGAGCAAGACTGCAATATGTGGAAAAGCGAGGGGAGTTTTATACCGAAATGAAGAATAAGGAGGAGGACATCAGAAGTATTGTAGCTTCTCACTGCGGGTTGGCGAGCGCTGACTTGGTTCATGTACCTGACATGTTCGACGAGAAAAGAATTCTGTGGATACATGGGAGCTTCAATGTCTGTATTCCAGTTTCTATCAAACAGCCAGGGCGATCCCTTCCAGCCAGGATGGCATTCCGGGTTCCCTTGCCGTATAAAGTCGGTGAAGAGTTCTATCCCGGAAATTGCGAGGAAAAGTTACGATCTGAGGCTGCAACATATATCTGGATCGGTGAGAATTGCCCGGATGTACCAATTCCAACTCTACGAGGGTTCGGGGTTCCTGGTGGACTCAGCGTAAGTGCCGAGATTCTTCAACCCTTAGTGTTGTTTCTAATGAGGATATCAGTTCTTCCAGTCTAAATTCGTCACACCTTGGCAAAGGATAAAGGCCTATGTCTGGCGTCTTTTCCATCGTCTATATGGGAGAACAATACCCTGTGATTACATCCCCCAGATGAGGACGACTTTCTTGGACTATGGCTATACCCTAGTTGATTGGATCGAGAGCGAGGATGAGCAGATGCTCTCTAACATATTCAATCAGCCTCATACCGAGGCACAAACGCAGAATCTCTATCGAGACATGGCGAGGATCATCGTCTCACTTGCCAAGGTTCCACAGCCTCGAATCGGTTCGTGGACTATTAGCAATGACGGCCAATTAAGCTTGTCCAATCGTCCCTTGTTCTGCCATCTGCAACGACTAGAGAATTGGAACATTCCAAGTGGAATAGCGCGGGATACAACTTATACAAGCGCTGACACTCTCCACCTGGATTTGCTCGCTGGCCATGACAATCGCCTCCGGTATCAAGGGAATGCCGTCTTCAGTGAAGACGATGCACGTCGTCAAGCTGTAGACTTGGTACTTATGCGGGCGAGTCTCTCCCAGTTCACTGATCGATCTCTTCGCGACGGGCCATTCGTGATGCATCTGACAGATATGCATTCTAGTAACATCTTCGTCGATCAAGACTGGAATATCAAGCATATCATCGATCTAGAATGGGCATGCTCTCTACCCCTCGAGCATCTGTTGGTTCCATATTGGCTAACAGGCAAGGGGGTCGATCAACTTACTGGTCCAGAGTATGAGCGATTCGAGAATTGCTACAGGCAATTCACTAATGCCATTAGGCAAGAAGAGATCAATGCGCCGCTTTACTATGAGGGCACGATCTACTCTCTGGCTGCAACTATGGATCGCGCTTTGGAGCAGCGTCACTACTGGTACTTGAGTGCCTTGAAATCTCCCAAGGGATTATTCAATCTTTTTAGGGACCAACTGCAGTCCTTATATGAAGAACCGCCGCCTAAGGTGTCCCTGTGTGCAGCTGTGTCTCCTTTCTGGACGCCGGGAATGAGTTCGTTTGTAAGTTCAAAGCTGAAAGATTTCGCCCAGTATATCCAGGAAGTACGAGATATTTTCAATAGTGATAAGAGCGGGAAGGTATATATACGATAGGGATCGATCTGGGATCAGAATTCTGCAAACACCACTTGCTATCTTCTAGTTCAGGCTGCTAGCAGCATTACCCCCTCGCCTTCGTCTCTGCGCTTCACCACCACTGCTACTCAGTTGCTGAGCCGCATTAGGATCCTCAGCAACTCGTGAAACCAGTGCTTGAGCAGGTCTTTCGGAATCTGACGTACGTCCACCATGTTCCAAGGCAAATATTGTCTGTCTCCGTGCCGCTTCGACACTATCAGCGCTGTTTGTCGAATTGCGAGACATGTTGCTCGTAATAGATCCCCGGTTGGCAGCAGTGCTATCATTTCCTGATCTAGTAGACTGCTGCGTGCGGCTTCCAGCGGTACTTCCCACCGCGCTCGACGTGCTGGAACTCCAACGACTGGTTTCGGGGCCCTGCTGGCCGGTAGTCCTTTGACTGAAGCTTGTCGTAGATCGCGTGGCAGACTGTGTGTTGCCTGAAGCGGGGTCTGTGTCGGCTCTGATGTTAGACATAACTGCTATGCCACGCTGATGATCTTAGCCAGGAATTCCATTGATGAGCATGCGATGTATACCTTCAATGCCGGACACGTAATATGCTGTTTCTGTAGTAAGCAGGAGAAGAAAGTCAGCTGTCGTGGGTTCGTTGAGTCTCTATATCCAGTTTCTGGACTAAGGCTGCTGCCTACCAGCCTTGTTGGGCGCCAACAAGGATGATTGATAAAGAGGGGTCTTGACCTATAGAGAGCCCCGCCTGCATATCCAGGCCTCTCGTGATGTACCTAGGTAGCTAGCCCAAGTCCAAGATTGGCTAACTATCCGTTTACACGGTACAAGCAGTTATGAATCAATCTTTATCCCTCATCACCCATCAAGCCTATTACACTCCTCATTCGCAGACATCTAGACTCATGAGACAATCGACAAGTCCTCGAAGAGGGAATATCATCATTTCAGAAGCTTTCCAGGTCATTATCCCGTCATCCTGAACTCGGACTCGTCTGATAGTACCACAAATGTATTCGTTAAATACTTTCGCGATTCCTTCTATTGACACATTTTCGATCACTTCTTTTATAGTGGTGATATTTGGATTGCTCGGGGAACTTTCGCGTCCCGGCTGGTTCTGCATCTCCGTAGGTACGTTCATCAAGGTCATTCTGTGCCGCGTTGACCAGTGTCTGTCCCCATATTTATGAATTGCACTTGACTGCATTACTCTGATCACTCATATTGGCATAGCTCTCAAAAATCACGTTCCCACGTAGCTTGAATTGTCGACGAAGTCGGTCGTTGTTGCCCACCTCATTTAGGATCGATCGTACAAATCTATCCACCGTATCATGTTCAAAGAATCGAAGGTCAATCTCGAACCTGATCGTTTGAATATCATGTCGGATTGAGTTACAACTGGTGTTTTGACGGAGAAAGGCGCTGAGATAAGAAGTCGGACTCTTTGTGAAACGCCCTCCACACTGCTCCTTGGAAATCATTCCATGGCACTAAACGTCTAGTAGGATCCCGTTGTGTTATAAGAGTCGCATTTTTCTCGATACGGATGGCAAGGAAAAGTCCGTGGTATCCTTCAAGAAGACTGAGGAGATTGCTTCCTTCAAGTTGTCCCTCAGCCTATTCACGGAGACGTCGTCCCTCATTAACTCGCTGTTCTGCCTGTCAGAGTCTCTATCAGGTTATCTAAATCTTGCGCGAAGATGAGTTAACTAGAAAGAAATTTAGTTACGATATTGGTCTGAGTATGAACAGGAAAAAAGCACTTTCATGGATGCTATGCTAATCTGCATAATTATTGTTAGTTAATTAGTTAATTAGCATTCAGTGTCGTTATATAGATTGTAAGAACTCGCCAGGTTCACCGAAGGCCAATGCCAACTTCTGGCCAATCAGGTGTGTTTATTATGTTGGCTAATAGGGGGCCAGACCAACAGCCCTGTATATGCGGGATGCCATGTGGAAAGTCATTGACTGATTCCGATGACAGATGCTTCACGATCGATGCTAGATAACTACTTCTTCTAGAGCGGAGATGGCGACAAGTGGCTTGTGTTGCCGGATCCGCTACGGCCAATGCGTCGAATTACGGGCATTGACGCCTCGCCGTTGACCTTCGATCTCTTATCGCGCCGATCGGACAGAACAAGCCAAGCCTCAAAGTGAAGGTTGCATCGCGCCGAGTTTCTCGAACAGGGGAAGCTCAAGTGCGGTGGCGCCCGGGGTTTATCTTTATCTATAAACTCGTTGATATTCTGACGGGGTATGAGTAAACGGCGTTATCAGCAAATGCGAGGTGTTCCGAACAGCACAGCGGGCACGAAGCAAGGGCTGGTAATTTAAACCTGATCGCCGTCGCCAACATGGTCGCCATGATCACCAATTCTTTCTGTTGTACGATCACGTAGGCTGTTGCTCTCGTTCCTCATTCGCGATGGGGACTCACAAAGAAGATGCCTCTCTGGGACACGCGACCGGTGCCCAGGTCTTCTCTAGAACGACAGCAGAAGATGTTCGCCTCGAGCAGCTTGGTTACCAGCAAGGTAGGAGGAAACAACACTTCACGTCTGGGGAGAAGATGTGTTGATAATGATCTTAGAGCTCAAGCGGTCCTTTGGTCTCCTGGGCATGATTGGCTTCAGTTTCAGTATTGTTACTTCGTGCGTCTGACAATAGATCATCTACTCAAACCGACTCCGCTGACATTTATATAGTTGGACTGCGCTGGGTGGTGTCTTCACTGTCGGTGTCAATGCTGGAGGGCCGCCTGTGATGGTTTATGGTTGGATCGCCGTCTGTTTGGCAACTCTGGCCGTTGCTTTCCCCATGGCGGAGATGTGTTCGATGTGGCCGGTCGCAGGGGGTCAATATTCCTGGGTAGCAATCTTGGCTCCTCCAAGAGTTGCACGAGGGTTCTCGTACGTTGCTGGCTGGTTTATGTTGACTGGTATGTATATTGTTACCTCTATCGATTTCCAACAGATCGGGTGCTGATGATTCTTCAGGTGTTCTCGCAATGGGAGCAACGAATAACTTCGTGGCGGCCAACTTTGTTCTTGGTCAAGCAAACCTAGTGTTCCCTCAATTTACCATCGAACGCTGGCACACAGTCCTCGTGGCATATTTGATCGCTTTCATGGCTGCGGCTGTCAATATCTGGGGCCCGCATCTTCTCAACCGCATCTCCCGATTTATCCTAATCTGGAACGTCGGTTCCTTTGTAATCGTGATGATAACGATTCTGGCTACCAACGACCACAAACAGCCTGCTTCCTTTGTGTTCCAGGAGTTCCAGAACTTCACAGGCTGGGGCTCTGGCATGGCGGCCATGGTAGGTATTCTTCAATCCTGCTTCGGCATGTGCTGCTACGATGCCCCTGCACACATGACAGAGGAGATGAAGAACGCATCCAAAGAAGCGCCCAAGGCCATTATCCTGTCCGTGCTTCTAGGAGCTGTCACTGGGTTTGGTTTCCTCCTCACTCTGTGTTTCTGCATCGGGAACATCAACGAAACCGCGGATACGAGTACTGGTGTGCCTGTTATTCAGATATTGTTTGACTCCACTCAAAGCAAGGTCGGGGCCTGCTTTCTTGCCAGCATGATAAACGTCATCGTCATTTTCGCCTCGAATAGTCTCCTGGCTGAAGGCTCTCGCTCAGTCTTCGCCTTCGCTCGTGACCATGGTCTTCCTTTCTCGCGGTTCTTTGCCAAAGTAAACGACAAGCGGGGTGCACCAATCAATGCTATCCTTCTCAGCTTGGGAGTTCAGATGGCTCTGAATGCCATCTACTTTGGGACTCTGACGGGTTTTGAGACCGTCATCTCGATTGCCACCGAAGGATTCTGTATGCCTATACCTAATACATCCTTATCTAGACTAGACACCTGGCTAACCGACTATCAACAACAGATCTTTCCTATGCGATGCCTCTATTCTCCCGCATCTTGGCCTATTTCACCGGCCATGTTACCGCTATGCAGGGCCCCTGGGCATTGTCACCTTCCATCTCCCTGGGTGTTAGTACCATCGGCCTTATCTTCCTCCTCTTCGCTGCTACAATCTGCAACTTTCCCTCAAGCTCTCCTGTCGACAAGGAGAACATGAACTACACATCTGCTGCTATCGGAGTCATTGGACTGATTAGTACCGTGACCTGGTTGACGACGGGCAGGAAGCATTTTACCGGTCCTGGAGATGTCAAAGACCTCAAAGGCTACGAGAAGCATGAAGCTGTCATTCCGCCGGAGAGCAAAGAACTCAAAGCTGATCCAAAGGTTGATGTGAAGAGTTGATCATGTAATAAATCCTGGATAGTTATAAAAAAATGACGAGGAGACGGTTTAGTTGTCCTCTGTATATTCTCTACGCGTTGGGGTCGTGGTGCTAGAAATGAACTTTTTTTTTCTTCTTTTAGTGAATGAAGGGCGATCACGGCATGCTGCAGATTCCGTCACTGAAATAGATATGGTACAGTCCCCAATAGTACGATCTCGGTGATGGACGGGAAATACTAGTAGTATCAAGCCCTGGTCCAATCAAAGTAGTTCAAAATACTACACCCCAAAGGAGAAGTGATACCGCAACCACGATCGCGACAGCGGACTCGATTAGATTTCATCCTCAGGAGGAGGCGGCTTGCAGCTAGAGATAGCATAGGTCAGTGACTGTCCCAAAGCCATGAGGCACATATGAATCCCTGGACTAATCACACTTACTCGATCAAGATAGTCTTCGGCTCTAGGTACTCCATGAGTCCATTCTTTCCAGACTCACGTCCGAACCCGCTCTGCTTGAAGCCCCCGAATGGAGTGCTCATGGTGGGCATTGTGCCGCTATTAATGCTCACAGTGCCGGCTTTGAGCTCAGAGCTGATACGCATGGCACGCACGATGTCTTTGGTGAAGACGCTCGCTGGAGGTTAGGAGACTAATTGTTAGTGTGTTGTTTCTTTGAGAAAACATAGCAGTATATTGATGCAGTCAGATCATTCTTACCTGAAAGTCCATACATGGTATCATTCGCCATCTCGATGACCTCTTCTTCATCCTTGAAAGTGCGAACCACAAGAACCGGACCGAAGATCTCATCACGATACACGCAGCTATCCGTAGGCGGATTGAGAAGGATAGCCGGCTCGACGAACCAGCCTTTGTCGCCTTTCCTGACTCCTCCACACAGCAGCTGCGCGCCCTCCTTCTGCCCCTCTGCAATGTAGTACATCACTTTATCATAGTGTCTCTTATCGACGAGCGGTCCAAGCAAAGTGTTCGGTTCCATAGGATCACCCATGATGGTAGTGAAAGCCTTGAAACAGTCTACGAGACCCCTGATGAATCCATCTGCGATCTCTTCATGGACGAAAAGTCTCGATCCAGAGACGCAGGCCTGGCCAGTGTTGAGAAGGAATCCATAAGAGTTATGATGCAAGGCGTTGCCGAAATCCGCATCTTCGAAGACGATAGATGGATTCTTCCCTCCCAGTTCGAGAGTCACGCGCTTCATATTGCTGTGCGTGGCAGCCACATGGATCCTTTTACCATTGCCGTGGCTTCCGGTGAAGCTGACCTTGGTGATACACTTGTGTTGTGCAAGGAGGAAGCCGGTCCATTCTCCGCCGCTGACGATGTTGATGACACCAGGTGGGAAACCTGCTTGTTTGATGAGATCGCCCATCGCAAGCGCCCCAAGGGGAGAGCGCTCTGAAGCCTTGAATATGATGGTATTTCCTGCAGCCACAGCAGGCGCAATCTTCCACGCAGCATAGAGGAAGGTTGCGTTCCACGATGCCACAGCAGCGCAGACGCCCATCGGTTCATACGTGACGAGCTTGTAGAAACCTTCACCGTCATCATCGGGATAGTATTCTCCTCCCAATTTGGTGCACCAGCCCGCATAGTACCGGAACCATTCGGCCACTTTGGTACGAATGAGCTCACGGGCAGCAATAAACGGCATGCCCATAGCCATGGTTTCAAGCTTAGCTAGACGCTCGCAGTTCGCTTCTAGGAGGTCGGCCAGCTTCAAGAGACATTTGGCGCGTCGGGCACCGGTCCAAGTCTTCCAGATCTCGAAGGCATCGCTGGCCGCGTCCACAGCGTCGTTGACGTCTTCTGGGCCGCAGATCTGAACGTCTCCGGTAACGAGGGTTTCGTCCGTTGGGTTGTAGATCTTGAGCTTGTCGTGGTACTTGGTGGTGACATACTGATAATGCTTGTTAGTTTGGCAGTGTTTGAAGATGGATGCATATAACTATGGGCTTCGAACCTTGTTGTTTATGAACGGCTGGGTGCGCATGTTCGAGACGGTGTCTCCGTTCATTTTGGCGTCTTGCAGGTGGACTACCTGTTGAGAGCCAAGAAAACTGATCGTCAGCTTTGAACAAGAAGTTAGATACTGAGCGTGTTCTTCTTTAGTTACCGCAAGCTGACGCACCTTTCCTTGATGCCAGTGGGCGTTTCTCTCGGATGCGAAATCTTGGGTGGTTACCAAATTCTAGGGTGCAGCAGCAAGTGAGTCGAGAAAAGAACAGGCGTCTTTAAAGGTGAAGAAACAATGACTGACTCTGGGTTATTGTTTGTTTATTTCCAGGCAGGCTTCAATGAACAGGAAATAGTGAATGGACGACCATCAATTCTTCCTTTCACTTTGGAGCTAGCCATCATCTTTGTTAGATTTGTTGTGTTCCTCCGACCAAGTCACTTCCTCTGGATCGTAAAGGGAAGTGATCCCGTTCAAAAGTCATTTTGCATTGTTGGTTACTGATGAACTCTCAGAAAAGAATGCTTTGATATATTGTTCTAAGACAGGGATGACAATTTCATTATCCGTACTAGAAGTCATTATGAAGTGAATAATGATATATCAACCTTTTCCAGTCATTGAGGCCTTTTTGTCTTATTCGATGTAAGGATGTGGTACCAGCACCATGTGTTCCAGCATTGGCTTCTTCCATCTCCATGGTTGCAAGAAAGATGGAGCCAATATATCGCCACAAATCTCACAGGCCAGATAGCCTTTCAGTCACTTCCAATCTACTTCTGAGACACATAGTTCACAGTAAGTTCCCCCTCAGCAACATTGTTATCCTGGAATGGGTTGCTGCCGCACTTCTGGCAACCGTGATTGATAAGTCCCTGAAGGAGCGTCTTGGCTTGAGCGGCAGAGATCTGCTTGTCCGTGTTCTGCGTAAACGCACAGAGTCCAGAAACGACGCCCGGATCACCGCAGCAGGCGATGTGCTGGCCTGGATTGTATAAGTTTCCGTCCGGCAGCTGCTCGACTGCAGAATAGATCGTGCTCAGAGAACACAGGGTGCCGCCGCAGTTGCTGCTGCCTCTGCAGTTGATGCCTAGAGCTTCTGAGGCAGAGGAGATGCCGAGGGTAATGAGGGTGAGGTTGAGGATGTAATGCATGATGGACAATTGGTTTGGTTTTGTAATATGTGGTTTGTCTCTTGTATGCTGGAGGAATGTTTGAGAGGATTAGGATGGGAAGTTATATTTTCAATGGGAATATGGGCCATATTTATATCTTTTCGGCTCAGCTCTGTCTCGCATGAGGTTATATTGCTGTTCCCTAATTGGGAAAGTCCTGAAGTCCTGTTTTACATGAAAGGAAAGCCAGAGTCCCAATACTACTCTGACAGAGACGACTGCATCTAGCGCCCCGTAAGCTGACAGCGCCAATCCATCCTGGCGGGATTTCAATGTCTTTACCACATTGTTTTAGTCCAAAGAGATCAGTCACCGGCAGATCCCTAAAAGTTGTACGGACTTGGAGCCAGTCATATCGACACGCGCTAGCCCAGTCTCTTTTGTCAATCGTCGATGTTACACAAACAGCCAGCCCCAAACAGCCAGGCCTGCATTCTTGCCACTTTGTCTGCCTAGTTTGGCTAGGGCGAGATCCCCAGAGTCAGCTATAACCTTAAATTCTTGTAAGAACTGCTGCAGGCGCAGAAAGGATTACTAAACGTGAGTGAGACGATGGATTATTTGGTTTGTCACATGAGCCTTGTGAACCTATGAGTAGATGAAGGATATTCCACATCGGGACACTGGTCTAGTTTAAAACTTCCTAATAGTACCTGTTTCCAGTAAGATGCCCTTTTCTGCATCATCTAAATCGAATAATATGGTATCCCTTGGTCCAATTAGGATCCTCCTATACCTCATCTCCTGTATCTCCCTCAATCCACACACCAACAACAGAGTTCAGCTGCGATAGCCCAACTATAAGCTCATTTGGCGATTCATGTCCTCTCACCACGATGTGCAGATCGAAAATTCGACTGTAATACCCCTGACTCTCCATTGGCGGTGGCAACGGCGAGACTCCAGGCATGTTAGCCGTCGACTGTCTTGTTGCTGGTCTCTCCAATCTCTCCATCGTGCCCACGACTGGACTGTGTATAGATGACATTACCACCTCTTCGATCCTCCTAACCTGGACCGACTCCGCGCCGGCTTTCAACACTCCCTCCAGAATCGGCTCCAAGCCCATCTCTGATCGACGATACCGCACCGTAATACATGACTCGACCAATGCATTCCGCTTCCTCACCCTCTCGATCGAGTACCATACCAACGGATAAGCTAACACCGTCACAAAATACAACCCAGTCGTGATGGCTGCCAGTATAGGCAGTCCTGCACCACACGCCGATCCGATCGCGGCACTCAACCACACCGCCGCCGCCGTCGTGAGGCCCCTCACATCCGAAGCTTGCTTGAATATGATCCCTCCACCGATAAATCCGACCCCAGAGACGATCTGAGCTGCTATTCGCGACGGGTCAAGCACAATCATGTATCGGGCCAAAATGTCCGTGAAGCCGTATTTGGACATGAGCATGAAGAGAGCGGACCCCATTCCGACGAGCGTGTTGGTGCGTAGTCCAGCAGCCTTTTGACGCAGTTGGCGCTCGATTCCGATCAGCGATGTCAGTCCGACGGCCAGAAGGAGTTGGCAGATTTGAGGCCATTGTTGGCCTTCGTGTTCGCTGAATAGGGCCATTGGAGACTATTCGTCTTTGGTCTGGAGTTGGCATCCGGTTATTGGATATCGGAAAGCGTGTTCGTCAGTGCACCAGTAATCACCCAGTGTAGGTTATGGTTGGCAATTAACGAGTGGACTTTTACTTTTTCATCAAAGTTTAGAGTAGAATGCTTGATCTGAATCTGTTCTTTTTGGCACAAAACACAAAATCATCAAAGTGGAAGAGATGCTAATCAATATTCTCGGGTATATGGATCCTATCGGTTCAGTTCCGACGTTATGACGCAAGATATTGTGGAGCCCTGATAATGGAATACTGCTTTAGGACTTCTCTACGGAGTGCTAGTTAGTAGTTTGATTCAAATTGACAGTGGACCACATAAGTACCGCTGGAATGGCGGTGTGGTTATCTTTGAATTGATTCTATGTCTGCCTGATCTAGTAAGATTCGGATTCAAAATAGCATTTAACCATGGAGCCTGGCGGATACCTACCTAGGTACCTATGTACCGTACCTTTGGTTGGAACCTTGGAATCACCTGTCTCCTTCCTGTTTGGGCATAGCCCACCGCACAGCTAGATGCTCCTCTCTTAAAGAATCAAGCATCTTCATCATGTTCAGTCCAGTAGCCTGAGATAATACAGTGCAACTACACGCTGTACGGGCTATGCTTAGCTCGCAAGTCCCGCAAGTTTACTTAAAAACAGCCAACAGTGAAGTTTAGGAATAGCGTAGAATTGTCTTATCAAGCTTCAATGTATAGTTACCATATGGCATTGAATCCTAGCGGGTCTCTGTCTAGTTCTACCTATTCGATACCCACAGCTGATCTTAGTTTAAACCTGTTCAATGCTTCGATCTTCTCGCAAGCTGAAACGATTTACATAGTTCATATGTGGACCTCGCCAAGGCGAAGGCGTCGGAGAGCCCCATCGAAGGTTCCTCTAGAGTCTACCGAGCTGAACCTCGGAAAGCTGAGAATAAGCTCTATAAGCATTCGTAATAACTAGCATAATGCTCTATTTTTAGGTGCTTAATTCCCAAGTTGATCATTTGTTATCAAGAAGGTTTGAAGATAAATACCGGAGGATTGTAGTTAGTTGATCATAACTACACACTCACATCGCTTCTAGGTGGCATCGAATCAAAAAAGGATAGACAAGACATCTATCAGTGTTAATAAAGACGCAAACAGGATAGAAGGTATCCATACGTTTATCATTGCGCCCGATGGCCGTCTTTAGAATGTCAGAATCTGTAGATCCCTTGGTAGTATATCATTTATCAACTAAGTATCGTGTCTTTTAGAGGTTACCAGCACGATAGAAAACGGGACTTGCCAGCAATAATAATTAATATACAGTGGTCACAGGGCGTCCCAAATCTTTCTGGATTTATGCATAATCGGTATTGCGGGGTAAGAACTTAAAGTATGGATAAGCCTTTTATCAAATTAACTTGGGTGAAAGCTTAGTTAAAGTTATAAGCAAATACACGCATAATATCCGATATTTCAGACAATATATGGCAGTCAATCTTCCATAGACTAATTGTCACAAGTAGACCACCGAGTGGAATCAGAAATACTTCTATAGTTTCAGAGGAGTTTGTAAGTCATGATAACACTGTGATTAAAATAGACGAATATCTTATCTCATTGCTCATACAATAGACTAATCCTTTTATAATAGAATACCTTCGCAAGTTGAACCTGCCATATGCTTGGATTCTTTGGCGATCGCAAGCTGTTTATCCCCATGGGTAGATCTGACGGTGATGAGAATTCCCCTTGTGGATTGTTTTGCTGGCCTATATCTCAAAGAACATGCTGCAAACAGCTGGTATGACAAATCACCTGGGCGTAACTACGCTTTGTGAGCTGGCATATTCCTGAGATCTGCAAGAGTGTGGGGGCAAAACTTATACACGACCCCCTCTGATAAGAGGCTGATGATCGTGGGGGCTGAAAATGTGGAGGATAGGATCCAATGAAAGAAATAAACACAACTCCTTTATTTAATGCCTAATTTTAAGAAAGCTAATCGGATTCGTTATTTCGTCCGATGATTGAAGATCTCTGGTAAATCTGCTCAGTTAGTCTTAGTTTTACCTGTAAACGCCAGCAATTGCGGCTCTCCCACTGCGCACGAACTACTCCGTAGTACACAAGGCTGTGGACAGTGTGGAGCGAGGCTGCAGACTGAGGCTCTGGAATGAGGCTCATTTATTCTCCCTATCCCAATAATCGGGTTGTTGACATTTCGATTTCCGTTCTTTTAGCAAATTTGCATATTGTTGCACACCAAAAATGGCGTTATATTCGAGTCTAGAGCCTGATACATACAGTCTGAGAAGCCTGCCTCGCCAACCAAGCTTAGAATCTCAAGGTGACCTTTCCCCACCGCCAATGGTCAGGCGCTGGATGAAATTGTTACGTGCAGCCAGAAGCCCGTCAGACGAGGATGAAAATGAGATACGACTCAAACATGCAATAGAAAGGCACGCCAGCTCGAATGACCATTCTTTCCGGCCCATTCTACGCCAATTACTACGGGAATACATACGGTTCAAAAAGAGACCAACGGTGGGACTCGTCGACATTTTCCGATGCTGGACATTTACGCCATCGCCCATTCATTCATGGACTGAGCAAAGTACATATTCCACGGATGCAGAGTGTGAGTTAGAAACAGATCCTCCTTTACGACATGACTAAGATTTCTGCATAGGGAATGAAGAAATACTAGTCACCGACCCAAGTAATTCTTTCTCGGAAATGCTTTCTAACTTGGCATATTCAATTAAACACTGTCCACCAGGTGGTGTCACGTTGGTGTGAGTAATTTGTCTTCCATCATAAGAGCAGTTTCTCAGCAAGGTCGATGAGTTTAGTGCGGTTGCCGCTACGCCAGACACGGGGGCACTCGACGGGTTCTTCACTTTCAGGCACGAAGTGAGCGCAACAATTAGGAGAAATATAGATGGGATGCGTTTTGCCCCAAGCCAAATGATTTGTTTTCTAGTGTCCGACTTGTGGGACTTGCCGATGCCCCTGGTTGGACAGGATTTCGACGTAATTGAGCGCAGTCGACGAAGGCTAGTCAGCCTTCCCTCCCAGAGTGAGTCCGTAGTCATATATTTTTGGTTATTGCAGTTGATTCTTGTTTGCTGATCTTTTATCGTCTGGGTACCAGAGAAGCCAGTGGGAAATTTGGATCCAGCACAAGGTTTTCATGATCGCATAATGCTCACCTGGCACTCAACAGCCCCAAGCTTCGTCTCGGACATGCACGTTGAGATTTGGCAACAGTATAAAAAGCTGCCAGAGAGGGAGTTTGCCCATATCAGATTGTTCCCTGCAACAGAACCTGAACATGACAATCGAACGGCGTCCGCGACTTCCGCATCTAGCAGTAACACAGTCGCTGGCGGAGATAATGGCGCAAGGCTTTTTATCCTCTTCCGCTCCATGAATGCATTGCATCATTTCTCCTACATGCGTAGTGAGTCACAGGTCTATGCTCGGTCGGAGGGCACAACCCTTGTCAACTGTCGCGCATGCCAAAGCGAGATTGTCTTCTCGATATTGGCGGTATTCCAGGTCATGAAATTCGAATCGAGGACCTTCTTAGAAGGCTGCACAGATGAGCTCCGCAAGATGGTAAGCATGAGGACATATTTCAGTTATAATTACGCTGGCCAACTAACGACGACTTCAGGAACTTCTGGGCCGCCAGCATCCCAGCGTTAACAAGATGAGATATCTAGTCCATCTCGAAGACTGCCGCTTCGGTGCCGAAGAGTCAGTTACGCATGCCTTAAGCGTCCTCAAGACACTTGAGAACTGGATCCGTGAGCAAGAAACAGAGCAAAAGCTCTGGGACGGAGGCCAATCTTTCGAGCAGCGGCTAGAGATACTCAGGACAGATCTTGAGTATCTCCAGGATGAGCTCGTTCATACTTCCAAAGCTATCGAAGAGATGCAGCAGAAGATTCGTGAACAGCTCTCTCTGTCTCGAGGCCGTCGAGATTTTATTCTTGCGTTACTCGCTGCCATTTACCTGCCTCTGTCTTTCACGACAAGTTTCTTTGGCATGAATATGAATACAAATACCTCGCCAGGCCCACAGGCATTCTCTACCTGGACAAATTCATCGCTAGATGGTCTCCCTGCTGACACCCGTAACTCCACAGAAGCGATAATTTCTGCTATGAATACATCAGGGTCCTTGAACTGGACCTGGGAACAATTTGGAATCATGCTAGGTTGTCTGATTCTAACACTTCCATTGGCACTCGCCGCTGGCGGCATCTTCAGATGGTCCGTGCAGTCTGCTGCACGCTATGTGAGATATTGGCGTGTCCTCTATATCATTGCATACATAGGGTTCATTTTTTTCAGCATTGCAGGCTCTATGTCTGGGGGGGAACTTGAAACAACAGGGACAGTGTGCAATTGCATTCTTTTGTTCTCTCTTGCCTTCAACGCTTGGAATTTATACCCAGCTAGGAGGAGCCTTTCATATATAGGCTTGTTTCTTTTCACGGCTCCCTTTGTATTCGTCTCCATCAAAAAACCCTTCCCCATGATGATATTCCCATGGGTCTTGTTTGGTTGTATATGGTTAATCCGACGGTGGCAGAAATGGAAGCAGGCATAAATCTCCCTTTTCCATATATTACTCTAACGTTTTGTACATAATTAGCTAATCTACCCTTGTTGAACGATTAAAGTTAATGTGAAATTCGTAGAAACATCCACCAAGGTGTTGGCGTAGAGTATATAAAGATGTATCAACTTGATAATATCTCCGATAAGTCATTAAACAGCCAACCTTTACCAAGGTATACATCAGAAACGCCATATACAACCGCCTTTTCTGTCGCGTGTTAGGCTGGTTCGAGGAGAAACGGCTCTTCATCGCCAAGACGAAGAAAGAGCTTTAAGGAAAGTCGATTCGCGCCTATATACTAGCCTGTTTCGTGTATGGTAGAAAACCTCTTTAGTCGATCTGTCTTGGTTAAAGTCACAACGAAACTTCCTTAAAGTGGACCATCTAAGGCATCTACATTACATAGATTGTCTAGATTCCCAATGGCATGGGTGGGATTTATGCTGGACCATGCTCGGATCTGTTTTCGAGAATTGTATATCCCCAATCCTGTAAAAGCGAAATTTCCGTCCGAGGTCAAAAATATCTTTCCAGAATTGCCTACATGAGCCACCGATATAGAATCGTTGGACACTAACAGCTGTTTGCTCTCTTCTTATATTTTCATCCAACTGGTCCGGTGGCTTTTTGTATTGCAATTGTGCAAGAATCTCTGATGGCATACGACTATGCTGTATGGAGAGCGATAATGTGTCTTTATATCTGCAATAGTTCGTATTTACTTGATCCGCAGCACTCCAGAATTGGACCAGAAGTTCAAGCTGTCTCCTCCAATCGCTTTACTGGCTCCGTTAAGGGATAACAGGTTCCTCAATCATCAACGTTAGCAAGGAACGCGCCACTTCGGCAGCAGCAAGAGTAGTCGTCTCGCCTGCATTGTCATAAATGGGAGCGACCTCGACAACATCGGCACCTATAACGGGAAGCCCACTCAAACCGTCCAGAATGCTCAGCAGTTCACGAGTGGTGAATCCACCGGGCTCTGCTGTGCCAGTAGCTGTAGAGACGTCAGGTTAGATTTGTGCACTATATGAGCAAGAAAAGTCTCATATACGACGACATCTGTGGCGGCTGGGTTTATTAAGACGTACCAGGAGCATACGACGGGTCCAGAACGTCGATGTCGACGGAAATATAGACTCTATTATGTCCAACGCGATTTCTGATCTTCTCAACCATCCCGTCTATGCCGAACCGGTCGATGTCACGAGCAGTGACGATTTGGAACCCGCAACGTATATCATTGCGGACATCACCCTTGCGACGAATCATTGGCGCACGAATTCCGACGTGAAGGGATGAGTTGCTGATCAGACCCTATGCCACACTTAGTATTAGATCGGAAAAGCGGACGAGCAGGATATTGGTTCATAGGTTTGTTTCCGCGTACCTCTTCATGTGCAATGTGAAGAAAGGTACCATGGTTGACACCACTGTGTATGGTATGAGTTTCTTCTTCATATGACAAGTCACACCAACACGAAGCCTATGCTAATATATGGTACTCACGCGTAATGGGATATGCCGCCTCCTGATATGGGGAAAAGATGTCAGTTGCAGGTTTGTAATGTCCAGCAAATGGAATCCGATCTTACCTAACACATCAGGGTCCCAAGTATCTATAGATCCGTCGTTAGAGTGGTCATGCATTTGCAACTGAAAAGAGTAAGTCACGTACCTATGTGGCTATCGAAATGAACAACAGACACAGGGCCCCATTTTTCATAGGTCGATCTGAGTGCTGATAGGGTCGTTGTATGATCTCCCCCGAGGGTGATGATCCGAGGAACAGGCGATGTATTGCTTGCTGTTGCTGGTCGAGAAGAGATCACCTGACAGGGACTTCAAGTCAGAAACTGGAGATCCTATCCGCATGTTTCAGCAGTTACAATTGCTTGTCGTCCCTACCTTATGAGCCAGATCGAGCTGCTTGAGAGCCACCGTGTTGTCCAGAAAAGTCAGGGGTGCATCTCCGCAGTCGACCACCTTTGCCCAATCGTCAAAAGGATTTACGCCGGTAAAGATGCTCCAACCGCCCATCCGTCTGGACCCTAATCTGATGCCTCCTGGGCCATATCGTGCTCCAGGGCGGGCAGTTACACCCTGGGACTGTCAGCTGCAGGGCTCAACATTCACACACTTGATGTTGATACAGTTTGTATTGTGGGATTCTGAACGATAATCATCCTGATAGTGCGTGCTCACCGTGTCAAATGGAGCACCCAAAAATGCAATGTCATAGCTATTGTTCTCCGCCTCGGTGTCTACGAAGCAATTGACATATGGTAGGTGCGCAAATGTCGTCAGACCTGAGAACTGACTCCCAGTGACAATGTCAACAGTTTCTGTCAATTCAACGGGAACCTGGTGAGAGTTGCCTGAAATTCCAGCAACTGATGGGAAGACTATTTCCCTGGCGCTACAGGTAAGAGCGAAGATGGATGATAAGTACGCCACACGATGCATCCTTAAAAGCAGCGATCGACGAGAGAGAGAGCTTGCATACCAAACTATGGAAAGGAGGAGAAGACAATATTATATTCTATCTGCCTGTGTACGAAGTGTTTCCATGCCCTTTCATGCTATCTCTGCGTTGCGGGGAAGATCTTATCGAGCACGTATGTATGTGCAGCACTGCAGCGTGTGCTTATCGGATAATACCAAAGAAGCAACTCTATGCGAAAATGAGACGTTGCCGGACCTTGCAGGTTATTCGAGGGTGGTGATTGGGGCCATCGTCTACATCTCTTGAGGCTTGCATGACTTCAATACCGACTGCCTCCACGTTGTTGACTCTTCAATGTCCCAGACATCGCAAAGAATCCAACGTAACTGACTGGCGAATCCCCTGCCAAGCCCACGGGGGCAAAGCGATGATCGGAAACAAGCAGAACATCATACGCCACAGAGAGAGAAGCACTGACCGACAGAAGGCTCCGCAGCTCTCCGTGCGCTGTCTGATCGGAGCTGAGGCCAGATGGAGATAAAGGTAAATTTTAAAGTCAATTCTGCGGTTTATCTTCCCCGGATTCAACTGACGAGTTCATTAACTCTTAGTGCCGGTCAATAATCGCATTCCTCCTCTCTTTTTCTCACAAATATGATCAGCCTCAGCTGGCGACCGCGCCTCACCGCGTTTCGCCTCATCGTTTGGCGCCATCGGGAGATGAGTTGGGATCGCCCCGGTTCTTTTGGCGGGGCCGCCAAAAGTCTTCTCCTTTTCTCAGCAAGCAATCATAACAAAAAGAAAAAAGGGACATATTAAGAGGTCGGTCCGAGAATCGCAACCGGAGATTAAAGATACCACCAAGTGACATCTGCAGTCTGTACGAAAACAAACCAGAAGAGAAGGGTATCTTTTCAGCGGTGATCTAATAAGAAACAGTCTCGGTCAACCGTCATGGTGCGCTCTTGCTCCTCCCCGATCCCTCAGGATATCTATGCATAGTCACACCGCCATGCATCTGACATGTCTCTTGTTACTAGCCTCACGCAGATGCCTCGCAGTTCCCCTTGGGGCTGTCCAAGGACGAGCTGTACAAGGAGCTTCTCATTCAGACTAAAGCTCTATTGGATGGACAACGGAATTGGGTATGTTTTTTTCCTATTTCTATTTCTTTTTTCTCGGGCGATGGCTGTCGACGTCTTAAAACTTCAACGCGATTGATAACTAATAGTTTTTTTTTTGCTGAAATAGATTAGGTGAGAACGCTTCGATAGTTACCAGCATAGTATATTCCACCCTCCAATCTCGCTGACACTGGAAATCACGCAGTAACCTAGCCAATGTCGCTTCTCTCCTGTGGCATGCCTATTCCTCTCTCCCAGAGCCATCGAATAAGGTGAACTGGACAGGATTCTACGTGCGCGACGACAAATTCCCGTCCCTTGCGACTCCCGTCTCCTCTGCCCGAAGCGCGACGGTTACAACCACCATCTCGACGACGTACGCGACATCGCATCGACAACTGCTCCTGCTCGGTCCCTTCCACGGCAAGCCTGCGTGTCAGCAAATCCTTTTCGGAAAGGGTGTCTGCGGTGTAGCTGCAGAGAAGAAGGAAACACAGGTCGTGCCGGATGTGGAGGCTTTCCCAGGCCATATTGCCTGCGACTCAGCTAGCAAGAGCGAGATCGTAGTCCCTATTCTGGTTGGTGGAGATGTACGTCCACGTCCCCTTCATTTCATTTCATTTAATCTCGTCCCGTTCTTTTTTTTTTTTTTCTCCCAGCGGGAATTTTCATATCTGACAAATTTATGATTATCTCCGCAGACCGTCGCTCTTATCGATATCGACTGCACCGAACCTGCGGGATTCGATGAAACCGACAAAAAGTACCTCGAAGAACTTGCCGACTTCCTAGCGACAGCTTGCGATTGGTAAAATAATCGCGAAAGTGAAGAGACAGCTATGCTCGTGCATTGGCTTCAGTGGGCTTTTTTTATGTTTTTATTTTCCCCCCGCATACTTTTGGAGATATATAGCCTTGTCAGATCAGATTGCATGGCGCATTATCCGGTTCGATTGTCTAGCAGGTGTTATTTGATTCTCCATACGCATCATTATATCTATGATAGCCAGCTACTTGGGTTTTTGCTTTTGTCCTTCCCCGTATCCGACAGTAAATATGTGTTTACGAAGAAAATTCGGACAATAGCCGAGGGAAATCCGATATACGTGAAACTATTTCGATCTCCTTGGGACGTGCGCGGCTAATATTATGACGGATAACTTATGAGAATGATCTAACTATAGGGGTCATATCTTCATCATTGTCTGCTAACCGTTTAGGTGTCTTCCCTTGCACAGGTGAAAAATCAAAGAGATATAATATAGGAATATATTTATGAAGATAAAAAACCAGTATCATGGAGAAAGAAAATGAATAAATGTATAAAATATATCCTCTAACAGTCAACCTTTGAAACTCGGTATATATAAGGGTTTATCATCCATAACCGCGAGAAAGCATACACATAGCAGACCAGTCAGGTAAAAAGTAGTGCCGGGAACGGTACCTTCATCAGAGAACGCCGAACCAATACCCAAAAGTGTATAGAAATGGAAGAAAAGTATACTCCAGAACTAGACCAACGGCCAGTCAGGCCGTCGACAATAAGCTCATCTGGCGTCTCATCGGACTCGCAGAGTCGGCTTCACCATCCTCGCTAGCACCGACACCACTGTCGGTGCTTATGGGGGCGGGATCTGTATCAATATCCCATTCTTCGTCCTCCTCGTTTCCGTCAGCAAGTGCGCCTTCAGCACCACCGCTCCATGATTTCTGCACGGCTCCGCGGGTGTTCCAGCGGAGGGCACGACGAACGCTTTCGAACCATTCGTTGTTACTGGAGACAACGGTGGGGAAGGGATATTGACTAGCCTCCACGGTCACATAGTCTCCCTGGCGCAGCTCGACTCTGCCTTTGCCATCAAAAGAGCAGTAGGCAGTTGAACGAGATCCGATAGGGACAGCAATGCGGAGAAGCATCGTGTCGGACAGCACCATAGGACGGAATGACAGAGTGTGCGGGCAGATTGGAGTAAGGAGGATACCAGGGATAGAGGGGTGGATTAGAGAGCCACCTGCGGACAGAGAATAGGCGGTGGAACCTGTAGGTGTCGAGAAAATACAACCGTCGGCTTGGACGACCGTCAGGAGCTCGTCATCTCCATAAAGCTCCAAGTTAGAGACATACGGCGATGGGCCGCGATCAATGACGAGCTCGTTCAAGACCTCAAACTGTTCGCCCTCCTCGACAGCACCTGCTGCGGCTCCTTTACTCCGGTCCGCACGGTAGACAGTACAGGTGAACCGCATACGCAGGTTGACGCGCATACCAGCATCACCCATCACCGCGTTCAGGTGCTCCTTGTATTTCTCGAACTCGAAATTGGTCAAGAAACCCAAGCTACCCAACGAGAAGGACAGGATCGGAGGGACGATGCGCTGGAACAGCCAGGACGTGAACAGGACGGTTCCGTCTCCGCCCAGGGTGAGGACGAGATCGAACTTCTCAGGCGAGGTCCAACATAGATCAGGAGTCCAGTACTTCAGCATATGCTGATAACGCTGGTCCTTTGCCAATAATCCCGCAACATCAAACCGCTTGGAATTCCGCAGCTTGGAGTCAACATACACATTGACACCAGCGTCGCTTCCATAGCGCGGAGTAGACATCAGCCACTCGGCCAATTCGCGCGTCAAATAAACCAGACTGTTATCTCGAGCTTTCGTTACAATCATGACATTTCGAATCGCACGTTTGATAGGTCGCCGCTGAAGCTGTTTTGAGACTTCTCTGACACCGGTAGCAGTCTGCACAAGACGCGAATGGGAGAGCCACTCATCATCGGCGATCTCCTCAAGGACCTTCTGGATATTGACGGTATCGTCGAACTGCTGATGGAAGAAGCACGGCGACTGCAACGCAAATCGCGCGGAGGTGGACGATTTCTCTGGATATGCCCCAAGCTGTAGGTTTGAGAGCGCGGTAGACAGCATTTGCGATGAGGAGTTACTGTATTCTGTTTCTTCATCGCCCGGTGCACTGGTGTTATTCACAAGCTCGTTCAGAGATGCCGCCAGCGGCATGTTCGCATTAGTCGACGATGGCGGTCGCGACGCGAGCGCCTTCATTATTGTTTGTCGAGGAACAGTATCAATCGAGCGTACGTTCTGGCGGTGGTTCAGGAACGATTTCGGCTGGCGGAAATTGAGGCGGGGTGGTGGCGGCGACTGTGTCACTTCCTCCTCCTGAGACGGACGAGGCGGAATAGAAGGAGTCTCTCCAAAAGACAGAGGCTCCTCTACCAGACAAGTCGCATGAAGCTCATGATTTGTCCGTAACGGATCTATATGTTGCGCATAATCCCGCAGCAGTTCAGCTCCGACGGTGGACGCGGTATTTGGTGGGTCTTGCGGGAGGATCGGCGACGAGGGGCTAGGTAAAATCTCCTCTCGGGTTGAATTATCCAGAATGCCCGTCGAGAGACATTTTCTTATCCGAGGAATACTGTCGAGCTCTGCGGTTGAAGAGAGGACAGGATGAGGGGACGTGGAGGAAGTCATGGCGGGCGTCCGGCCTTAATAATACTACTGTACCAGCGGAGCAGGATCGTCCGTATTCGGATTTCAAGGGATCCCGCGGAGGGATTATTGCTGCTCCACGTCGGAGTTAGCGATGATGCCGAGACGGGGTAATGACAGACCGCCCAGTCAAAGCGACCCTTGCCCTTAGAAATCAAAAGAATGGGCTAAGCGCACTTGGTGATATTATTATTATAGATAATCCCTGCGACGTTGTCAGGGCTCTGTCTGTCGGGGTTTGGACTGCTGACACAGCCTGGAAGGTTCGATATATCCGGGAGTCAGGGTGGGGCAATTCAATCGAGATAGTCGTTGACAGGACAGTTGATTGCGGTCCGGAATCGAATAAAAATATCAGCTTCACGATCTGGACTGCGGAGAATTGGTAGAATCAGCAACGGTCCATATAGAGTGGGGCTAGCCTTGAGATTTTGTTCGTCTATTTTCAGACCACAGTAGCCGTCCCAAAGGTTCAAACAATATCAAAAGCATCATGAGCATTCGGATGGCAAAAGGTAATGAATGGGGTTGAATGCAGTAGACAAGACAGGGAGTAAGTTAGATATCAGTTTCAAAGATGAACTTACAATTGCGCTGAAGCTTCCACGCCGCCGTAGACGTCTATGATGCTGTCTCACAACGCTAAAGGAGATTCTAAAAGGGCACAAAGCATTTGTAAGCACATGTCAGGTTGATCATTCTCGTCATTATTGTAATTAATAACAAGATATTATATGGCAGTTCTAAGGTTAACTAACATACCGGTGTCTGGTTGGCCGAGAACTGGTTCCGACAGCTGGAGCGGAGATGGTGTCTGTTTCTCAAGTACACTTCACACACTGCTTGATGGACGAACAAAAACCCAAAGAGATGCCAAAAACGAAGATGGCTATTAGAAGAAAAGAATGGAAATTGGTGACCTGCACCGTAAAAACGAAAGGTTGGTGGAGCGGGGAGAGAGAGAGTAGTTGGAACTGAGATGGACGTTTCCCAGCAGCTGGTGGTGTGCTCTGGAAAGCAGTTCTTTAAGTTGTAGCTACGGTACGCCAAGACGTCAACGAACAACCACAGATCCCCAAATCGATGCTTCAACTGCCGGCTAGCATTGCTGGTCCTGGTGTATCTGATCGGCTTTAAGGGATGAAGCACGCTGCTCTACATAGCGTGTCCGCTAATGGGGTCCATCAGCTTCAGCATGAAATCTGTGGGGTGGAAGGGGTCCCTCCGGGTCGAGAACGAAGCCTCGCGAGGATGTGGACTTGCAATCAAGCTTCGAGTATCAGGGATGTCTCTATCTTCTGGTTAATTTGCCTGCATCGACTACATCGTTTTCCAGCACTAGTCTCGCCCTAGATGCTTTTCGTGCCATAGACGTGGATGAAACGTGGTGCCGAATCTGAAGCTGCACAATGCTTGGCTCAGAACGACGGATGTGACAGACGACGTGTCACCATGCTACGGAGTAACTACACAGCATCTACACAGTTCTCTACGGGGCAGGTCGATGGATCCCAGTTTCATTAAATGCAATTGATATAGCCCCTCGTGCCCACGGAAAGCGCCTCAAGTGGTCAGGTTTCCTGTCTAGGAAACAAAACGATTTCCCGGTACGACCGTCCCAGGATGGTCGCTTTAGACACGCTGCCAAACTGAGGCAAGCCGGCATATAGAAGACTATCTAAGATTATCGGAGGAAATTCGCTTCATGCAATGCGCTATGGCGGCTTCACTGAAGACCAGTTGTCGCATCTCTGCCACGACACCAAGAGCCATTTTCTTGCGTGAGCTCTTGCGCGCCCGGGCTGGGTCTGTGCCACTCTTCGTACGGTGGACACAGGTTCTTGCGCCTTGTTGTTGCATCCCATCAGGCCTGTGGAGGTAATGTGTTGCCCATCTCAGCCTGATGCTTCTGCAGTCTTCCAAGGTCGTTGGCAGTAAACAGGCTGGCATACAAGGCTAGGTCAGCGCTGGCTCTGAATCGATGAGAGTGCCACAGGTCGACGACAATAATGAAGATAAGGCCTCCACTCTTCATCGCAGACCCAGAGGCGACACCAGCTTTCGTAGCATATGGTCAGCGTCACGGATAATTGAATCACGAAGACACGATTCACTCTCAAGCAACATCAATTTTCCACGAATAGTCATGGTAGAGCTTGTCCTCGACGGTCTCCCTCACAAATCCCTCTAGACCGCTAGATTCAGCATTATCGCCCATATCGACATCACCATCAGCGCTCCTGATACGAGATCCGCGACAGATGGTATGTGCGCGCTCATGCACTTTCTCCCACGTATCAAAATCAAAGCTACCCTCGCTCTCGTTCAGGAGCAGGTGACCCTTTGACGAAAACGCCAGCACATGTAGAGACGTTGCGTCCTGCGCGACTTTTGCTGAAGGCCCGTCGACTATCTCACCCGATGCCGTCACTGCCAGAAAAGTTGCAGTGTAGGTCATAGATAAAGGGATCGCAGCCGACAGGAGGGCAAAAAGAGCCGTATGGAGTAGCGCTGGCAACAGAGGCAAATACTGTAGAGAAGATAAAATATCAGTAAATATCGCAAGAGAATACCTCAGAGGATACGCATCTGAAAAGGGCCAGTTCACGCGTCCAGGAACAATAGTCAGAACAGGGCAAACTAACAGAATCTCCCCTTGCGACCTTCCCACCAGTTTCTCCGCTAGCGATAAGCAGCGTCACCACAATACCCCGCCTTGCAAACCCTTTCTCTCTTCCTAGGATCAACCTGCCCAGCAGATTCTTCAAAATCCCCTCCGCGTATCTCTCCCCGACTCCGCCGGCAGCCGTGCCTGGTTTGACCGTGACCTCCACCGTTGCCTCCTCAGGTTTCTGAGCATCGCGACGACCCGGAAGTTCGATAGGTCCATTGACTGAGCCAAGGATCTGGCTACCTGTGAACGGACATTGGTAAGATGCAGAACCGTCCGCACGGCGCAGCGGCGTGATCGTAGCTGCAGGTCCTGCCATTTGCGACTCGATCAAGGACTGAACGTGGATGGAACTAAGATCGTAAAAAGCCAGAGAAATAAGTCTGGCTGAATCTGAATTCAATGTCCAATGCGCTTTATTGAAACAATCCTGCCCTGTGGTGGTGGCTTCGCAGAGATCTGTCGCGGCGGTTAGTTTTCTGCCTTTTTTTGAGCTGTCCGCCAGGAAGCTTGCGTGGCCGCTGATTGGTTGCGCCAAGGTCCGGGTTCACGATCGTTGAGAATACTGCGTGAGTCTCACTACTCTCTCTCTCTCTAGGTAATCCAGAGAAGGAAGGGTTTTTATATATGGGTCTAGTCGCTTTTCTGTGTCAAGTTTGTTCCCTAATAAGTCTTAGAACAGCCTATCTGGTAGTCTCCATTCTGTTCCCACGTCTAAAAGATATATATTTCTCGCCTCCTTCGATAGAGCTCGCAAAAGACCTGAACCATCCTCTGTGCAACATCCTGAACAATACCTCTATAACGTCTAAAATGGTTGTTACTATGAATATGCAGCTTTCCAGGAATCAATCACGACCTCCTCAAACTCTAGATTATCTGGTCCACGCTGTCGCCAAGACTACAGTACGACGGCTAGGACGGCATTCGCAGTAAGAAAACTAGAAGGCAAAGTCTATATGATGACTAGTGATAATCCGAAATTTGTTGTATGGCCTTTGCTATGAAACGGTGTAGTTAATTAGGAGATATTTATTAGACTTCATACTCAAATGGGCATTTTCCCATGCCCTCGCAGTCGCCCCGCACCAGAAGTCGTCGGGACAAGCATTTTGAGAATACAAGCATACTTAAGTGGCGACTAGGTAAATTAAGAAATGACAAGACCATTGGCATATGCTTGGCGATAGATAGTAGTTTGGATATAGTCTATGAACTATTCCTCATCTTTTATTCAACTTATTTTGTAGAAGGAATTGGAACCTGTTGATTCTATTTTACCCCAAAGTCAAGTTTAATATGCCCACCAACTACTATAGTAAGGTGTAGTAACTATAGCTTCAAATTTCGCATTGTCGTGCTTGCGGTGGGAAATATTACTCTGCGTGTTGGCTGACACAGCGGAATGCTAAACCTGCTTCAGACTGTTTGCGTCTTCACACAGAATAAATATCTTTGAGCATCGATCTAGAACGGAGCTAGCTCTTCGAGATCCCTGTTTGAACACCGGAGATCTCGTCGTGATTTTCCTTGCCTGTGACGTACATCCTTAGATCGCATCAGTGTCTAGCTCAGATACTGTACTTAGATAGCGTCAGGAGACGACAGCCGCGACGTCGCGACACATTACTTGTTCAGCCGAGAGTATCGCCAGCAGCATTCCACATTGCCGTCGATCGGGTCCATTTTATTCGAGCCTCTGGCATCATATCGTTGAGTTGTGCTCGGTTCCGTGGTTTCTGCCCTGCTTTGTGGTCTGACGTCACGCCAATCGGATGGACTATTTCTCAGCATCGGTCATGCACTCTAGAGTACATTTGACATGCCATATCCAGTATCTGAATACACGAATACACGAAACGTTCAGGCATTTATAACATATCACTTTCTCCCTTCCCTCATCTCTGGCAGGGAATCTTTCTTCTCCTGGGCGCACATCACTGATTTCCCTCGATCTTGCCACGATATAGAGTTCGCCACCACTGCTATGATACAGATATACAGGGGAAATAGCGAATTCACGAAGCCACCACAATATATCGGAAGAAGAAATATAAGGCGCTAGACAACTTGAAAGAAATGGCCGTCATCTGGGGGCTGGACCTGCATGAAATGCAGTGGTCCAAATTCAAATCCTCTTACATGTTCAACAAGATATACCACCTACGGCGGACAAAGATGGTCGTTTATCAGTTAGCCATGATTCTATGCGTCTGCTCCGAATCAGTTGGAACGGCAGCACTAGCAGGTACGGTGGCATATGAAATCGACGGAAATGTATGAAACTAATCGAAAACAAGACTACACCGATCAACAGTCTTTCGTGGAAAACCTGAACAACCTCGCAGCCGTGTATAATGATGATTTTGTGGGAATTGCATCGTACAATATCTTCGTTGGCGTCGCGGTTGCAACGATATTTGGCGCCGCATTCTTCTTCGATCTATTTTGGCCCGAGCGACACGAGAGCGCTGCCGTCCGTCTCGCATGGAAGATATCAGCTGTTGTCATCTCAATTATGTGTTTGGCAGATGCGATTGCAATGACTGTACGTATTCAGCCAAGTATGTAGTCTCAGGGAGCTTGCTAATGGCACCCAGGTCATCGTTGCAACAAGACGGTCGTATGTCACTGGCGTCGACGCAAATGAGGCACGGCGTCTGCTAGATCAGGCACAGAAGCATCCAAATCTCAGTAAGTCACCTCTATTCTGCACTTTCATCACATTTTCCTGGATGGATGCTAACGGGAATCCTGTAACCAGTTTATAGACACAACCCGTATTGTATCGCATGTGTTGTCCTACTGTGGTGCGGCCTGGTTGCGACTATCGCTAGCGCCTTTATCCTCTTTGCCTCGCACCACCATGACGATAAACATGGTGTCTTCTCCAAAGAGGGAAAAGCTGAACGGGATGCTGCAATTGAAGAACCCAAGGCGGACATTACAGCGGTATAGGCTGACTCGGCGATGCGATCATGAGAAACTCTTTCGACTAATTTTCTTGAAAGAACCAGTGGTGATGCTTACAATACACCTGCTCACTTCTAGTCAAGATCACATGCTTTGCCAGCTCGTGATTCATGTAGGGAGATGCGACTGATGGCTGTTAATAAATTCCAACCCAGAAGGAGGAAACATCCTGACCTAATTCAAAGGCCTGGACATATGCTCTCGATGATACCCTCGAATATTCTCCATGATGCCCGCGCGCATCTTTCTTCTTGTATTCATTGAACCTTAGCTGATTTCCTTTGCCGCGACTGAAGCTTGGGTATGATGACCAATTATGTTATGACGATTTCACGATAGACCTTTTCTTGTTTATACTCTGTACTGCTATTACTTTGCTATTACTTTTCTTCTGTTCATTAAGACTAGCTTACATTTGAATTTAATTACCATCAAAGCTTTCTCGTGAGATATATTTCGTGACATCCGGGAATTCTCCAGATGTGGTGGCCTTTGGTATGGCCTTCCGTAGTTCTCCGGAGGAGACCATACACTCGCACCCTGTGTCAAGTTTAAAACATCCGTGGTCGATTATGCGAGATGAATGCCCAGATACCATCGTAGCGAGTTTCGTCCGTATTCCTTGGCTTCGATAACACCCCGAAACATCAAACACCGACGTTTCATCTGTGATTCATCCGCTCCAAGTCTGGACATGAGACTCTCGGTACGGATAAGCTGTGCATTAATACAGGTTGATAATGAATCTAATCGAGATCAGTTCTTTATGCAAGCTTGTGGCTGTTTTGACTTCACAGCTATGATATGTATTAGGTGCCATGCGATGCCACATCCAATATGTTGTGTTCCTCGAAAGTCAGTTGCCAAGACAGGAGTTATTAGGGGCTGGCTCGTCGTGCCTGAAGCCAAGAAAAACAGTTAAGGACCCTTTACTTAGCGGCTGGGCAGCAGGAGTTTCCTCAAGATAGATCAAATCCCACTCTCTGCGAGACTATTTGGACATTAGTCTCGACCGATTCCAAACGACCGCCGTATCCGTGGTGGAAGCCCTTGCTCTCACCAGGCAATATAGTCCCGGAAACTCTAGCAGCTAATATCTCACGAGCATCTATTTGGATAACTCGTCTCTTATTACAGTAGGCACAATATGTTCGTGTCGCTTGGCGCCCCCAAATCAGTCTCATCCATCAAGATATAGAAGAGACCATATACTAGTTCTTGGTTCAGACCGTAATCTTGGCACGTTAGGGATTGTCTCGCATGCTTCAAGCATGTAAAGGTTATCAGAGTATAAGAGTACGGAGTTACTCGTTGGATTGAGCTCTTTTCTATTCCTTGCTCAGCCATCTGCTCATTTTATTTGATCAATCTATCATTCCTGCGAGCTGGTCTCGTTTCTATTCTGTTCTCTGTATTTGAGAATTACTCTGTGGGTAGCATACCAGTTAATACCTCACGCATAAAAGATACCAACCACTGTTCGATTTTTAATATTACGAACCATACAAAATGCATTTCATGAAGATCACCGCGTTCCTCTTCCTCACGAGCGCAGCAGGCGTCCTGGCTGCACCTACCAATGCCATTATCAGACGTGGCGCTGCAAGGACATTCGCTGAGCTATCAATCAGGTACTTCTCTCCATTCATCACCATTACGGTCTCCAGCCCCATCATCATAAACAAGTCCCGCTAACACCGTATACCCTACAGTTCTGGCACGGCTGGAAACGCCGAAGCTGAGGCCAAGGCTGTATTCCCCACCCCTAGCGATCTCGCTTCAGTGTCTTCCGATGACCTGGATACACTGAAGACGGAGCGCGAAACCGCTGAGGATGCAGAAACCGATGGGTTCAACCCTGCAATCGACGATGCCACCGATGATGCTACCAAGACTGCTCTGCAGAATGGGAAGATCAAGAATAAGGTCCTCAAATTGACTGGCGAAGTGCTGGCGTTGAAGATCGCGCAGGCTCAGGGAGATGAGAATGCTGATAAGATTGCGGAGGAGCAGGAGAAGTTGGATACGAATATTCAGTTGGATAAGGAGGCCGCTGGGCAGGAGAGTCAGACGGTTGATTTTGATGGGAATTAGAGGGGAGTTGTATGGTGGAGTAGTTATGGGGAGATAGTAGAGGCTGTGTTTGTGAATGTGAATCAATTCTTTGTTGGTATTGATAATTCGAATTCTGACGTAGGAGGGTATATTGCTAATATGATCTGGACTGAGCTTTCTGGGCTTCATGAAAAATGAATAATGTATAGCAGTCTAACGTAAACCACTGCCTTTTCACATCGAGTTTCGTTCCTATCAACTGTGGGAGCCTGCCTACATACAGGTCTCCCTCGTGACGGGTTTCTCCTACGCCTTTCTAGCTCCAGCCACGGAGATAAATAGGCTGAGCTAGTTGCTAGAGAATTGAGAGTTTGAATACGTTGAAATAGTGGAATTCGAGATCGAGTTGTTTAGAGACCGACTATATCAGTAGAAGTCTGTTTTTGATGAGGACTGTTTAAGTATTACCTCGTTACTGCTCGTAAATCACCTCCCGATTCTATTCGAAGAAGTAAGTAAGCACTTTATCATGATATCTTCGCCTTCTAGGAAACGCAAATAGTTAGATTCCGCTTACGCTCCAAGTCCGTAGAGTAATATATCCACCGTTTTTGTCATCATAGTTAGTGCTGAGGCTGGCTTGCAGTTTTGATCTATTTACTGCTATGATTCTTGGCTGCTTAAGTATGCGAAAATAAATCCAGTCTCGTGGGTGATACTGTCCTATGGGGATAGTGTAATGGATAAACCCCCGCACATTTCTCCGGACATCAATCCTGTGGTTCCAAGATCACTCAAGAAACTGGATACTGACAATGCCATGAGTTTCATGGGCCGGATGGTTCTATTCGGGAGCGGTAGATACCATGGGCACGATACGCTTATCACTATTGAACCAGCGAGGACTTCTACATGACGGAATCGGCCCGAAGATCCTCGAGTTAATTATATTCCGTGCAGATCTATCATTCACGATTATTTCATGCCCAGGAAGTCTCAACGCTAACTAACAGCTGGCTTCTTTTCGAAAATCCACGTATCGCTGCTCCCATGATTTTTCCGTGCACCCGAAATCATACTTCCCTGTAAGTAGGTAGAATGCAGGGACGTGGGGTTTTGTAGTTTCTCTCCTCGGCTATGTTCGGTACTGTACCTCTCGGTGTTTCTCCCTACTTTGAGCAGATATCGGGACGATGGCCGAGAAAAACATAAGTCCGGAAAACAAAATACTACGACTAGGTATGATAATCCCCCGCTCGATTTAAACAAAATATTCAAATCAGGAAATAAATTTTCCAGCATTCGACATAGCCAGTTCATACCAGATACTTACTACGACACAAAGATGGCTTTGACATTCCCTAAAATGTTCTCCCTCGATGGGAGGACAGCCCTTGTAACAGGTGGAACGAGAGGTATCGGAGTCCAAATGGCCATTGCACTGGCCGAAGCGGGTGCGGATATAGTTCTCATTCAGGAATGTTTGCCCCATAAGCACTTGCAATTGTGGCTTCAGGACTGACTATCTATATAGAGAGACGCTGGAAACACAAATACCAAGACGGCCATAGAGGCTCTGGGTCGCAAGGCATATATAATAACTGCCGACTTGTCCAATCAAGAAGAAGTATCTGGTCTAACAAAGAAGGTCCTCGATGAAGGACACGATATATCCATCCTTGTCACATGCGCTGGTATTCAGCGACGGCATCCGGCTCATCTGTTTCCCCAATCGGATTGGAACGAGGTAAGTATCATACTGACACCCCCTCATATTTCATATATAGTCACAGGGGACATTTTCTAACATAAAGTCCAGGTTATACAAGTGAACCTCACCACCGTGTGGACATTATGTCGTGATGTCGGCGCTTACATGCTCACACGGACACCAGAGGCGGGTACAAACCATCGCGGTAGTATTATCAACGTCGCCTCAATCATGTCTTTCCAAGGAGGAGTGAACGTACCTGCGTATGCGTCGGCGAAAGGAGCAGTGGGCCAGCTGACCAAGGCGCTGTCCAACGAATGGGCCTCCAAGGGAGTCAATGTGAACGCTATCGCGCCCGGATATATTGTCACGGACCTGACTGAAGTGCTACATACCAATAAGGAACAAGCTGCTAGCATTTTGGGCCGTATCCCTGCTAGTAGGTGGGGAAATCCAGAGGACATGAAAGGCGCAGTGGTGTTTTTAGCTAGTCGAGCTGCCTTGTACGTGAGTGGAGAGATCCTGACTGTTGATGGAGGCTGGATGGGGAGGTGACGGCTCCGTTCAATTCGATGATATGTACATACAGACAGACATTTACATGGACACGTGACCCAGGGCCTCCCTGACGCAGGTGCCTGCCCTCTCCGGGCCAACTCTCCCCTTCTGCACCATCCGCCTCTCCAGCTCCTCCAGGAAACACTCCCTCTCCTGCCTGTCCACCACAGCTGAAACCTCGCCCGTCCTCTTTCTTCTTCCATCTGGATCTCCCTCCAGATCAAGAACAGCTGTAAATCCCATCTCGATTCCTTCATCCAACTGTTTCCTCCACCGCAACAGCGGCCAGGAACTGCACCTCCTCCTCACTCTCGAGCTCTGCCTCCCACCCTCTCCACCAAGCCTGTCCTCCAATCCCTCCATCCGGCATCACACACCATATCACCCGCTCCTCGCCGTCTCCATCAGTGACCTCTTCCCCTGATACCTGTGCGAGGTACTCTGCTTCCAACTCGTGCATATCATACATTCCCTGCGCGACCAATATCCCAAAGCTGTTGGGCCGTTGTGTCGCGCTCGACGCTCCTCTCGCGTCTTGACCGCTTCCATCATCAAAAGGCGGTGAGAATAGCTACCGGCAGTATCTGCTGCTCATGGGAAACAAATCCTCGCGTCGTCAGCCAGTGCATGAACAGTGAATAAGTACGTTTGTGTTGCTGTTCCTGTCATACTCACACTTCGCGGCGCGTTTTCTCCCCTCTCACTATCTCCTCCAACTTCGACATCTGGTTCTTCACCCTTACCTCACTTTGTCGTCAAGTCTGTCGTGAATCTCCGCCAACTTTGACCTCTGATTCTTTACCCTCGCCTCACTTCGTCGTCAAGTCCATTGCCAATCCCCTCCAACTTCGAGCTCTGATTCTTCACCCTCGCCTCACTTCCTCGTCAAGTCTGTCGTGAATCTCCGCCAACTTCGAGCTCTAATTCTTCACCCTCGCCTCACTTCCTCGTCAAGTCTGTCGCCAAGTCAGCATGGCATCGACAGAACGCCCATCTCCATCGGAGATGTCACCGTTGACTCAAATCTCATCCGTTGAACTGCAGATGCTCTCCGTCGACCAAATTCTCGACAAATACGAGCCAGTCAACGGCAAGGACGATACGATCAAGATCCTTCGAGCATTTTTGGATGATCTCCCCCTGGACGGCAAGAAAAACCTCATGGATGATATAGAAGCTTGCTCGCTGAATTTGAAGGCGCTAGCTGATTCCCTGAGGGATGAGGTCCTCGGACCACTGAGAGCAATGGGTGGTCAGACTGCAGAACCGACACCAAATCCACGGCCTGGACGGGAAGAGTCAGTGGAGATAATGGCGAGCAACATTGTCGAGTCGGCCAGTCGCAATGACCAGAAATGGCTGAAGGAATGCTGTCTCAAGCGCGATGGCCAGAGATGTATCATTTCGGGGATATTTGATTACAATTACGTCCAGAAGAACGCGCTTGATGAGGAAGGGGAAGAGACGGAGTGCACGCACATTATCCCATTTGCGATGGGGCACTTCGAAACCGACGCCAAGGCCCGAGAACTGCAGGGCACATGGGTGGCAATGCGGCGATACTTTCCGATACTCACCGACCCCACTCATCATTTCTCCCAGGAGAATATCAACGAGTGTAGGAACGCCATGACGCTCCATCACGGTCTCCACCGCAACTTTGGCAAGTTTCGAATTGCTCTAGATCCTACAGAGAAAGAGAATGAGTACAATATTCTCCAGTTTCGTGCGACAGCCACTGCAAAACGCTTCCTACCAGCCAATAACAAGATCCTCTTCACTCAGCACGACTCCCGCTATGCCATGCCCAGTCCGGAGCTTCTTCGTATCCACGCTATCATCGCCAAGGTGCTTCGTGCTTCTGGACAGGCGGAATATATCGACAAGATCCTCCAGGATCGGGACAACACGGGCGTGCTTGCAACTGATGGCTCCTCCAACGTTGGGGCATTTCTATCGATGTCTCAACTTTCCCTCATCGCTGCCCCAGCAAGATCCATGTCGGAGAATGTTCGTCCAGGGGGAGAAAAACAGGCGGAAAGGCGCTCCGAAGCTAGGTTCGGGGAGAGGCAGGAGAATTTCGGTCAATAAACTCGATTCCTCATAGATCGTGAAGTTGAGGCCATGATGGATCGGCTTTGGAGTTGCTGTGATCTGATTCAAAGTCCTTGGTGTTCATGGCTCGAACCATGATGGACTCCCCAGGCCAACCGCGGCTACGTCAGTATCAATGACATCTTCACGTTTCAGGCGCCGCGCCATCAATGTATCAGGGAATTGATACCAACGAACTCCTACGTTTTGATAGCAGACGCGGTAGGCCAAGAGCTCGCCTGAGTGAGGTAGTGGGAAATTTGGATCGACTCTTTGTGTCACGTTATGAACGGATGTGCGTTGAGCGCTTGCGCGTGAGTCATCAGCAATTCCTTGTGCATCCTCTCAATAGGCGCTGGAAACTGAAGGTGCCAGATCTCGCCGGTATCATTTACCTCCACCGAGATTGTCGTAAACAGCATTTGGACAGCATTTATGCGGCATTGTTGTCCGCAGTCAATATGAGTACGACCGCTGTACCGGGGCGGGAACTCCTACAAATCATGGCTGATGCTCAATGCTGACCGCGACTATCTCCGGCTTTCTTCCTGGATCAGCTTAGCCGCAGCCGGTGGCACTTGATCTCGGATCTGTGGAAGCAAACCGTAGTTAGCTATGGGGTGGCGTTTACGGAGCTTCAGCGAGCGGAGAGAATGGTAGACTCTGAATTACGCGAACAGCCTCGTCAAGGAGCTTCAAGACCGCGGTCACACATATTGGAATCCTTATGACTATCCGGACTCTCTATTATTAGAAGTCGAGAGCGGTCTTATGATTCGTGAGGTGCAGGAAGACATCACTCGCGAGGTGACAAGGATGTCAGAAAATGCTGTTTTGCAGTTAGATACGGGGGAGGGCAAATCAGCCATCATTGTGCCCCATACAGCCATCACCCTCGCGGATGGAACTCGGCTGGTCCGCGTTATGGTCCCGAAACCCCAAGCGAAACAAATGTTTCAAATGCTCGTCTCGAAGTTAGGAGGGTAGGTAGCAAGACGTATCTACCACTTTCCATTATCCCGTGCATTGCACGTTAACTATGAGCGAGCTGAGGAGATTGCTCGCACGTGCTGGAAGTCTATGGAGCAGGGTGGTATCCTTCTCGTGCAGCCGGAGCAAATTTTGTCGGCGAAGCTTATGGAATCGGAGTGTCTTGCGACTAGTAGGACTGCTGTTGGGCGGCCGCTTCTAAAGCCCAAGCATCTTTTGACCAATATTCGCGTCATATTGTTGACAAAAATGATGAGAGCTTTGGCACTAAGTTCGAGCTTGTCTACACAATGGGAGACCAGCGGCCAGTCGACGTAAATCCACAGCGATGGACACTTATTCAAGAGCTTTTTTCCCTGGTCAAGAAGCGTTCATCCGAAGTGAAAAAGAATTTCCCTCTCCTAGAAATCGGAGACACTAGGGGTGGTAACTTTACCCGGATTCGAGTCTTCGACGTCGACGTGCACCGAGAGCTATGCGCTTTGGTCGCAAATGATATTTGCGAGACTGGCCTCAAGGGCTTCCCTGTTGGGTAAGTGCTTCGAACAGAGTGATACTCGGAGCCGACATTCGACAGCATGCATGAGAATGAGAGAGCTAGGCCGCGGCCAGTCAGTCGTCTTTTGTGTCCCTCCCGAGATTCAATATAATATTCGTGCCATGGGCACAAAGTCCAATAGTTCGCATATCACCGTGTCGGATATTCTCACCTGGGCTGTTTCAGAGACCTGGATTGACACCACGAAGAGATACCGCTATGGTTTACACAAGGTCAACGATGCGCGAAGCAGACAACTTTGTGGAATGAAAGTCGTACCAACGACGGGATCTGTATGTCCGTTGAACAAGCGACAGACTTCCTAGAAGAGGAAGCACAGTCCTTGGGGCAAAGATATAAACCCTTCGAGGGCCATAAAATTCTTCCAAAATCCATGGAAATTTGTAACGGCTTGGACCCCGATATTCCAACCTGCATCATAGAGCGTTATCGAGGGATCGGCGATGTGCTCTCCAGCAGTATAAGGATGGATGAGGAACAGGAACGGGAACCATCACCGGAGATTCAACCACAGAGACAAGTGCAGAGGCCTCTAAAAGCTCAGCCGGTGGAGCACTCTATTCATCCTGGTATAAGGAAGTTCATATCCACTGGATCGTCCTGAGGGATCTATTGAGTTTCATCCTGCTTGCAGCTCTCTGGCGAAGTCAAGTGCTGCCGAATTTCTTGATGTCACGCAATTCCCGAAGGACATTCCTGTTACTACCGATTTTTCAAATACAATCATACCTCACGACAGATCATCATTCATCGCTGACGCATACCAGCGACCCGTGCAATGAATCTTGATCAGCCGGTGTCGCTGCAGCGGCCTTACTGGTGTACCTGCTACCCAGATGATAATCATCAGTCCGTACGAGGTGCAAGAATTATATCCATCTATGAAGGCCTCAAAATACGTCGCGCTGCATCTCTGCTCTCCCAGGTCCAGTCTGGGGCTGCAGTCTTTCGACCATCTGGATCTATACAGCATCCCCCATCACGCTCCAGATAATACAGCCGCACAGATACCGTCAAATCTCATCAGAGAGCTTAACCTGTTTTCAGGACAATTGTATCTCCGATCTTTTGCCGAATATGTTGAGCTTTATGGCTTCCTAGGTATCACTTCGAAACCTAACGTCAGTGATGACATCGAGGTGGCCGCGGATGGATTCATTCTGCGAAGAAAAGGGCGCGGTAAGCCCACTTCGAAATTCAGTTGCAGTCCCGTAAAGTTCCTACAATTTCTTCTATCACGGATTGGTAGAATCGGTGAGGAAATCGACAAGACAGATATGGGCAAGATACTTGATGGCATGATTCTTCATCCATCAGACTTTGACGTTCTAGATGAAGGCCACACTTCACGTTGATGTTCCGCGATAGGTAGAGGGTGACCACTATAACGGACAGTTTCTCTCAGTTTGGGTTGTCGGCATTGAATGATAAACATGTACTTTTCCTTCGACAGCTGTCTTGTTCAATGAATCTATTACTCTCATCCCTAATTAAAAACGTAAGGAAATCCAGGCCTGTTTTGCCTTCTTATCATGTACAGATAGAGCTTTTTGATGGATAGCGGCATCGAAATTTCCTTTCAAATCCAGTGTCGATCAGAAGGTTAGGACACTTCTCGGTGATTTCAATATCAGGGGCTGGACATAGATTATTGGTTATCCAAGCGGTCTGATGTCCTCGCACCCAAGGTTTCGGAGCCGTTCCGATCCGGGGTCTATATATGTTACCTGTGGAAGCTTTCCTTGGACCTGGGATCGAAGAGTATATTCTTAGTTTACGTTCTCTAATCAAACCGACGAACATGTAATAAGTATCTTTTCGCCTCGTACAAAAGGCCCGATTTCTTTGATCCAGTATGCAAGAATAATAACAGCCATCTTCATCTCGGATGTTTCGTTGGGTCTCTAACAACATCCGCAGCGACAAGGAGGTATCAAGATAGCCTATAACCTACTATGGTACTGTCACTATGTAAATCAGTGCTATGTTGTAATGTTCCAGTTATAGTATTGCTCAGGTATATTTCCTCCCTTTTCTTTGCACTCTTTTAAAAAGATAGAATATAAGTGACTAATAGCTAACAACTAATTATACGCATCTCCAATACCTACGATCCCGAGATCCTCCCGCTCGAATATCGATCTAAAGGAAGAGATTTCCTAACTGCAATACTCTGGCTCTTCTGCTTTATAAATAGTCCTAACCGACATTATTAATATCCAATAGGAGCTGTTCCTTATCTTCAGGATCTTCAATATTATCTATCCTCCGCTGGTGTATCTTATAACTGGTTTTACGCTGAAAATAATAGATTTATATTCTATAAGCTAGGATATATCGCCGTTATAAAGATGAGGGAGACGCAGCGTGAGATAAAGCCAGGGGAGAATATTAATCTGAGTTTTTAAAGTTAGAGAGAAGGAAAATGCTGTATATATAAAGATTATAGGTGAAATAACTTATCAGTTAAGAAGTGTATTATCAGCTCTCTAAAAGGTTTAAAATATTAGGCACGGTCTATAATACAAGATCTCTGAAATCTGTAGATTTAGGTAATTAGTTAATAATAAGTCTATATATATTTCTCAGTAGCTATTTACTATCTATATCTATATTCCTTGGTCTATTTAAGTGCAGGTTGGCTATTAAATCTGCATTAACACTATTATCTCAGATATTATTCCTCTATTTGTTATTTGTAGATATATATTCTAGCACCGCTCAACAGGTCCGTATTGTACATTTATAATTATCTCGCGATGTTTCTATATTCTATCTAGAGTGCTCTTTCCGTACTATAAAGCTAATAAAAGGCCCGTCGACCTGAGTTCGGATCAACGCCTGCTTAGTAGGGCTAAACCCTTTACATATATCGGAGTAAACCGGGATCTAAACGCTCAACAGTTAGTGAAATCAGTAATTATCAGGATGATAGTAAAGTTAGAATAAGAGTCATTTCATTCTAGCTACGGAGTAGAAAATGGTAACAAAGTGGCCGCCTAGTAAGTAAACTTCGACTTTGAGGAGTTTCTAGTGCAAGGCTAAAACAATAGCGGAATGTATTTCCCGACATTACTCGGTACTATGTGCGTAAGAACGAGCCGACGGGAGAGATCCCGAATGAGAACGGAGGGTCCTAGCTTTTACTGATAAAACATGTGCTTAGTCTACGGAGTAGATTATAATAATAATGGGTCTTTGACATAGCTTGACGCAGGAGAACCCTGCGGTAATGACTACTGGTGCTCGTGGCAGATGTAGAGGAGGTAAGAATCCAAGCCCTCTATATAGTGTCAGCTCCCGCGGCTTCTATTGGGGCGAGCTGTAAACCTGCTGTAATCCGCTCCTCCTATCTTATATGAACCGGGTAGCTACCGCAATAGGAAATAACTAGACCTACTTGTATAGGATCAAAGAATACGGAAGTGGAATTGCAGAATAGTTTAATTTAGGGTTCAGTCCAGCTCTAGGCAGCTGCAATATTAAGATAGAGTTGAGAAATACATATAGCTGGTGGGCTTCAGTGTCCTTTAATTCTTCAAGCAATCAAAAATTATTTCCGTTCTATATGAAGAACACGCCGTGAAGGGCAAGTATTACCAGGATTAAACGTACTTATTCACTGTTCAGTAATATATCTATGTGCACTGGTCAATAATGCTACGATTTACTTTCGCACGAGCAGGCAAGAATTATCGATCTGTTTAGAGGTTCAAGCTATACGATCCTTCGAGGTGTAACTAATGTTTTATCAGGGTCTAATTATCAAGAGTCAGAACCACGGGGAGTATAAAATCCCTCGTACGATAATAATAATAGTAGGCGCGGCTTAAGTCTATTACACAACTATGATGCAGTAACTGTTTAAAACTCTTGGAACATAAGTATTAGCGAACCTGCTTGTATCTTCCAATACTGGGGGTTTACTTATTTCTTGGCTTATATATATATTGCGAGGTAAAATTGCCTCTTCGTAAGATTTAAGATAATTCCATTATACCTTCCATAAACTCTTAACAAAATCGCAAAGCTTTTTTTAAACAAAAATCGAACTACAAAGGTGACTATCTGTTGTCAATGTCTCCTCAGTCCTGTTTTCGGTTAATATTTGGCTCCCACGCCTCCTCGAAACGGCAGCAGAAAGAGGACGCTCCACGGAAATCTGATACCACGCCTCACCATGACAACAACGAGGGATCCCCATTTCAGCGTCTGAGCGAAGTTGCAGCACCAGAACCTGTTCAGAATCGGGACGAGAACAGAATCGAACGTCATGATCTCCTAGAGCGTCGTTTCTCAAGTGCTTCACGTCAATAGAAGCGCAATATCTACCGTCCGTTCCGCTCGTTCCGCCTTTTCCGGAACGTGAGCAGCAAAGCTTCGTTTCTTTGGTACACTTAACGTTTTGGGCGATTTGTACACAGTAATAGCCTGTCGGCTATTACGGACCAACACCGCTTATTTAGAAATCTTTTGTTATTAATATCTGTACAAGTATTAATAATAACTTCGCAAGAGGTAAATACTGCGTAGGAGAACCTTTCGAATACAAGATCCTTTAATCTGTGATAACTCTTCTATTTACCTCGCAGATATCATCATGATTCGGAAGACTCCTAAATAGTATAGTTATATACGTCGACCATTGAATTCTGCTGAAATTGGAAGACAATGTGAAGTGTCCGATTTCTATAAGAAACTATTTATCATCATCCGTAATCTCTTCGACGCTCCATTTAGCCCTTTCAGCTTTCCGTGCCAACCATTCCTTATGGATCATCACCATAAGGATTCCGCAGCCGATAATGAAGACGATCACAAATACAAGAATAACACCCGGCTGATTCTGCGCCCAATCGCTTCGTTTCATGATTTTGCGAATGTTGTCACTCGTTGGCCGGGGTTGTGAGACTAGAATGGTAGCCATCAGTGTTTGTTAATGTTATGTCTAGTCACACACAGGTCAGTCTACTAACTTTCGTATTTCCTCTTCTGTGAAGACCGAAGGCAGGGTTGGGGTTTGGGTAGTCATACTTTACTTTGGGAGAGGAATCTAGGCCCGAAATATATGTATATAGATTACTCCAAAGTCTTGTGTCATGGAATTGGGACACTTCAGAAGTTCTGAGATATAAGAGGGAAAGACGTCGCTGTACACTCGGTAGGTATATAACGATAGGTTCAATAGCAATTGTAAGACTTCAACTAACATATCGGATCTTGCAGTTATTAGAGTCGAAAACTAGGTACTAGGTGAAATCAAGATAATAAAGATATCGAAGCATACTATAACGAAGACGGTCCGGACGGGTTGATTGCTCTTTGTCAACATGTCACTGTCCAGTCGTAATGGTGACGCCAGACAAGTGAACGACGTAGATAGCAGTGGGTTATTCAGACAAGAGAATCAGTGTTCGTTGATACTAGCTGTGGTCCTCAGTAGGTACCTAGACTCCAGCTAAGATAGAGTATATAGTCGAAACCTGAAACTGTCCCGGATATGGCGGAGGGTACCATGTAGCTTTTTGAACCCGAACGAGTATACATCTGCAGGGATCCACTCAAACTTCTGTTTGATTGTCCTTGGCTTTTGTTGAATACAATGTCATACTTCAGGATTTTGATCCAGGCCATGGTTGGGAAGTATCCGGCCGATAACATCATAATCGGCTCAAACAAAGGGTTGTCGTCCGTCATTGTACTTCTAACTTGGCCATATAACCGTTGAGCTTGCAGATCCTAGAATGCATTATTTAAGCATCTTGGTTTGCTTCTTAATCACCGTGTGATCAAGTTGGGGAATAACATACCGAAATCGCGTTAGAAGTGTTAATTGCCTGGCTTCCTATTAAGTACGCACTAGCCGCAGAATGTCCCGAGACGGTGTTGATGGCGACAATAGTCGCGACGTTGAACACGACGCAGCAGACAGACGTCCATCACGCGTCTCCAGCAAGGACGGGGAGAAACTAGACGAGTTTACTAGGCTTGTCAAGTATGCGTCAACTTATCGAGACAAGGACGTTCATGGTCCAGAAGAGGGAGAGGTGCGAACCCGCCGCATCTGGTACGCTCCTTGGCGACAGAAGAGATTTCGTTGGAGATACATTGGAAGCACACCTAGCTTTCCAGAAGAATGGCTTCTCACCGATATTCGTCAAGGCCTCTCTGAATCCGACGTGTCTACGAGACGGAGTCTCGTTGGTTACAATGAACTAGCTGCGGAGAAGGAGAATCCGTTTGCTAAATTCCTCTCTTATTTTCAAGGGCCCATCTTATATGGTAGGATCCATCTTATAACCGACTCCTCTCTATCATACAGGGTAATTCTAATCTGCTATAGTGATGGAGCTCGCGGTTTTGCTCGCTGCAGGACTAGAGGACTGGATAGACTTCGGTGTTATCATTGGCATTCTGTGCCTGAACGCTGTGGTGGGCTGGTATCAGGAGAAGCGAGCTGCTGATGTTGTTTCCGCACTCAAAGCCGATATTGCTATGCGAGCTATAGTAGTTCGTGACGGAGAGGAAGTTGATACTTACGCGCGTGAGCTTGTTCCTGGAGACGTGGTAAGTCAAAATTTGATTTTCACTCCTCTCATGGGTTGAACGAGGATACCATACTAAGTCAATAACAAGATCATAATCGACGAGGGCCAGACAATTCCCGCAGATGCTAAAATAATTTGCGCCTACGATGACCCCGAAAATGGATGGAACGAATATAAAAGGCTTATGGAGGAGGGGAAACTGTCAGCCGGAGCGGCTGATCACTCGGAGGATAAAGACGGCAGCGAGCATGACGAAACAGATCAGCGAGGACCCTCAGTCATAGCTTGTGACCATTCAGCTATAACTGGTGAGTCTCTTGCCGTTGATCGCTATGTGGGCGATACGGCTTTCTACACCACTGGATGCAAGCGTGGTAAAGCCTATGCGGTGGTCCAGTCGACTGGGCCGAGGACCTTCGTTGGTCGAACCGCTGCCATGGTTCAGAATACGAAGGACACCGGTCATTTTAAAATGGTCATGGATAGTATTGGCACAGTTCTACTAGTTCTCGTGATGGCATGGATCCTAGCTATGTGGATTGGCGGGTTCTATCGGAATATCCCTATTGCCTCGCCAAAAGAACAGACCCTTCTCTTTTACACCCTAGAATTGTTGATCATCGGAGTCCCGGTCGGCCTTCCAGTCGTTACAACCACGACATTAGCTGTTGGAGCAGCGTATCTCGCAAAGAAGAAAGCTATTGTACAGAAGCTCACCGCCATTGAGTCACTTTCGGTAAGTATTGATATATCCTTTGTTCTCCTTCATCTATTTCGGAAACTCTGTTCTAACAGAAACTTAGGGTGTTGATGTCCTATGTTCCGATAAGACTGGAACTCTAACAGCAAATCGACTCAGCATCCGAGAACCGTTTGTGGCAGAAGGGGTCGATGTGAACTGGCTGTTTGCCGTGGCAGCACTAGCATCATCCCATAATGTTAACACCCTTGATCCCATTGATAGGATCACTATTTTATCACTCAGACAGTACCCCAAGGCAAAAGAGATCCTTCAGCAAGGTTGGAAAATGGAAGAATTTCATCCGTTTGACCCGGTTTCGAAGCGGATTGTATCAGTTGCAACTTGCAACGGGACGAGATATACATGCACCAAAGGTGCGCCGCAGGCTGTTTTGCAGCTCACTAACTCCTCGGAGAGCACTGCAAAGACGTATAAAGAAAAAGCAACAGAATTTGGCAGCCGCGGCTTCCGTTCCTTAGGTGTTGCTGTTCAAAAGGAAGGTGAAGATTGGACTCTCCTTGGCATGCTTCCGATGTTTGATCCTCCCCGCGAGGATACCGCCCAAACAATTGCTGAAGCCCAAAAGCTTGGGATTCAAGTTAAGATGCTTACAGGTGATGCTATTGCTATTGCAAAAGAGACCTGTAAAATGCTGGGCCTAGGTACTAGGGTGTTCAAATCTGAGAAGCTTATCAGTGGCGGTCTAAGTGGTGCGATGGCCGCTGAATTAGTTGAGAAAGCTGATGGATTTGCTGAGGTTTTTCCTGAACACAAATACCAAGTCGTTGAGATACTTCAAGATCGTGGCCATCTCACTGCCATGACTGGAGATGGGGTAAACGATGCGCCTTCCCTAAAAAAGGCTGATTGTGGTATTGCAGTTGAGGGGGCATCTGAGGCTGCTCAATCTGCTGCAGATATTGTTTTTTTAGAGCCGGGACTTTCAACAATCATTGACTCCATCAAAGTTGCTCGGCAGATATTTCATCGAATGAAGGCATATATCCAATATAGGATAGCACTCTGTCTTCATTTGGAAATCTATCTTGTCACGAGTATGATTATTTTGAATGAAAGTATCCGGGCTGATTTAATTGTTTTTCTTGCGCTTTTTGCTGATCTGGCTACTGTTGCTATCGCATATGACCATGCATCTTATGAGCTCAGACCGGTAGAATGGCAGCTGCCAAAGATCTGGATTATCTCTATTATACTTGGCATCTTACTTGCAGCAGCAACATGGGTTATTCGTGGGACTATGTTTCTCCCGGATGGCGGCATTATTCAGAACTGGGGCTCTATCGAAGAGGTCATTTTCCTCGAGGTTGCACTAACAGAAAATTGGCTGATATTTATCACCAGAGGAGCTGATACCTGGCCGTCACTACAGTTGGTCGGCGCAATATTTGGTGTCGATGCCTTGGCCACAATATTTTGCTTGTTTGGCTGGCTCTCGAATAGAGACATGGTCACGGACCCCTATGACCAGTTACTTAATACTCCGAAGGAAACACAAAATGGGTGGACGGATATTGTGACGGTTGTCCGGATCTGGGGCTATGCCATTGGAGTCACCGTTGTCCTCGCGCTGATATACTATGCTCTGAACAAGATTCGGTGGCTGGACGAACTCGGTCGAACTAAGCGGAGTAAAGGAGACATCCAGATTGGGACGATTCTGAGCCATCTCGCTCAAATATCTGTTCAGTACGAGAAGGAAGGCGAAAGCGGAGGAGGTCGTTTCTTTCTCGCTAGCAAGGAAGAAGGTGATATGGAATGAACGTGGGTGTGCGTTTATTTGCGGAGGAACCCCAATTCGCGAAAAACCATTAAGTACCAGTTTCCGCGTTAAAGTGTCAATCGAGTGGTCTCTTTCGTCGAAGCCGAGCGCCATTTGAGGTTCAATGTTGATTGAACTGTCAGCAGCAGCAGCGTACCTATGCGAGGTAGCGAATGCCGTTAGTGAGCTTGACTAAGGGAAGCAAATTACTGGATGCTACTCATCTAATCATTTTGTCTAAGCAGCGGCTGAACATGGGCCAAATCTCTCTTAGATTCCGAGTCTTAAGCAAGCAAATTCGATAGTTGAATGCCATTTCTGCGCCTCTGCGAATGACAGGAATGAACGTCCTGGTAACCTTATTTTGTCTAGATTGGCAAATGCTCAGAAGGCTCACAGCCGCAATGGTACAGAGCATTCCACTAAAATTGAGAATAAGAATACTGCTACAAAAACTAACCCCTGCATGTCAAATAAGTTTTACGGGCTCTTAGTTGTGGTCTTAGACTGTCAGGGTAATAATGTCTGTTGGATTTCAATTTATGGTTTGTTTGTTCCTTTTCAACTGATCCGATAAATTTTATTTATCCTTCTCCATATATGGTAAATATTCTCTATAGACTGTATCTCTGATAATGAAAACTATCGACAGCACCAGAACACCAGCGCGTGAAAAGGAAACCATCACACGTTCGGTAGTTATGATATACTCGAAAATCGCTTGCCAAACCGTGAGGAAGCTACGCCCATTCACACAAAACAGGCGGCAGTTGTAAAGCCTCTAGTCCACCGGAGACTGCCAATCTCCACTACCAACATTGCCAGTGCGACGGCGACCGTAGCTCCACCATATACATAGGCATGTCGTCGTCTGGAGTTGGACAACTCCAGTACCCAGGTGCTGACAGTTGTGACACATCCGCAGAATCCATCCATAATGCCTTGCAGCACCTGGCAGCCTGTAAATCCTCCTCCGCCGAGGGTAGAGCCGATCCGCGCGTGCTGCAGCGAGTACGCCATTCCCAAGATCATCGTTCCGCCAACATTCACCACGAATGTCCCCAAGGGAAACGAAGGTATGCGACTGTTAAGCTTCAGCGATACGTAGAAGCGAACGAGACAGCCAGCTGGAGCAAAGACGAGAGAAAACAGCGCAGGGCCTCGCCATATCTCTGCGTTCCATAAGCTGTTGTCGCTGTGATAATGGGGCAAGAGGACAACAAGACATATCACGAGGATCCAGGTTAGAGGAGCGATTAACATGATAAGTGGATCCAGAAACTGCCGCATGAACTTTGTTGAGACAGGGGGCAAGCATTGTGCTGTCAATAGAGCGAAATGAGCTCCAACCATTAACCCTGCCATAGATAGACCGATCTCCGTAATCAGAACAGCTACAACTGCCATGAAACTGTAGCCACCATTGGGAGCTTTGAGATCTGGGGGAGGCAACTGGTATATTGACACTCTTGAATATGGTCCGTGAGGCGCGGGGATATCATTGGAGATGGCAACGAAGGCGTCGCGAATGAAGGTCGAGAAGGAAGTCAAGGTACCGCAGAAACCGGTCGCCAGACCGATATAGAGCGGAATAGTTTTCTTGTGGGCATGATGTGCCTTTACAAAATCCTCATCCTCTGCTTCTGAGACAGCCGGGCTGTCCTTTGGACCGCCAATGCTAAATAGCCGGCGGTCCTCGCTGAGAAAGCCCATGACGAAGCTACCCCCGACATTGGCCCAAAGGACGCTGGTAATAACGGGGGCACCGGGGTAGAACGTTAGAGCCTCGATGGCCAGCCTGAGTATGGTTCCCACGAAGGAGAAGAAAATCAAATAAGATATCGTGTACAATTCCGTCCAAAGGCGTGATGACGGGCGTCCCTCTCCAGTCTTTTCTCTCACTCCTGAACTGGGTGCTTCGACATCGAGCGGTTCAGATGCTGAAGCCTCGACACCAGCCCCATGCGAATGCCTCTTCCCAGGTCGTGGATGGTCACCAGATGTTCTTCTTCGTCTTGAGTTATCCGATCTCACATCCTCCAGATATTTATGTCTGCGTATATAGTCTTCGCTAGGGTCGTATGTGGGTGATGGTGCTGCCACTTCATCGAGATTGGATTCTGCTTCCGGGAAAGAATATTGTTCAGAGGGACTCGGCGAGCGGTATGTCTGCTCATACGGGGAGTCAAATTGTCGATTCTGCTCCGATCTTCGATGCTCCCGACAGGACGTAGAATCGTAAAGTCGAGGCTGGCCTTCATTCTCGTTTCTGTAACCATGATGCTGCGGGCCTTTCTCTTCCATTGTCGCTCCTAGGTCGGTATGAGATCGATATCTCTAGCATGAAGAGTAAGTAATTGAATACTCAATGTCTCTGTGGTTGCTGTTTACTGCCCGCGCGGAAATGTCTGATATTGCCCTAACTAGTCCCTAGGCGTGTCCATTCTCCCGGCTCGGGCGGCCCGTGTAGTTCTCACATTTTCGATCCACGCCCCCCTTTCTCGAGTCGACAGCAACTATCCCCTTGCCCCTCCGGTTGAGGACGTTCCTAAGAGGGACCTAGTTCAGTGGGCCTGAGACTCGTAACGGATAATCTTATGAGACTACTAGAACTCGGTAAAAGCATAATCTACAGGACCTTTAAGTAGATATCGCCTATATCTAAGGTTTCAATATTCGCTGCTTGTTTAACTAACTTACAGGTGCTTTTAGAGGGCGCTTTTCGGTATACTTGGCATGCCTTTAAGCGGTTAAATCCCCGACGTAGGTGCCGAGGGTGCGGTGTGGTACCCTATAAAACAAGGGGGAATATTAGCGTGAAACTTTAGGGAGGTGTTTCGCTATGTAGATAGTGGTAGCTGAACTAGTTTAGGGATAGCCTTTAACTATTTTATAGGGGCTCTTTAACTAAATTGCTAGGCTTCGTTACCGAATCCTAGCAGTCACGTGAACCGAGCCGCAGAGGGGATAAATTGGCCTTAAGACGAGTAAGTAACATACGGAGTAGATAGTTAAGTTCGTTAAATCTTGTAATGACTGAGACTAGACGCCCATGTTATCTAAATTGCATCCAGACAGATAGGTTTCTACCGTAATATTTCCAGCGACATCACCGACAGAACTATTCCTGGGGAGAAAGCTGTGATAAATCCATAATTATTACTGGTAGCGCTCACCCATAAATCAAAAGAGCAAAGAGCCGGCTTTCTGTTTCATAAGAGGCCATTCGAGGAGGAGTTCGAGCCTGGCAAGAAAGCGGTCATTACTTATACCTCTCGTTCATGAACTGTTTCCGCTAGGTTGATCTCGCAAATTAATAACTACAGCTCTGCAATAATACAGCCATTGCAGCATCGACAGAAGATCAGACATAGTCAACTGATCGCATATTGCAAAAACGTCGCATGATGTCAGTTGCTGCTGGCCACGGAAAAAATAGATCATGTGACAAAACTGGGAATGTTTCTCTGTGCCGCATCGCAAACCGGCAGTGTGACGAACATCACTATTTCCATGTGTAACATCGTGCAATACCTGTGGAACTGCAGCCCTGGATTCCAATCATGAAGCGACAGAGAGTCGAATTGGCCTGTGAGAAATGTCGTCTGCTGAAAGCGAAGGTCTTGTTATCTTTTGGTATTTCGCCTATCACGTCAGTCTGAGAAGCTAACATCTACCTCAGTGCGATGGTCAGCAACCTATCTGCGGTCGTTGCTCCGGGTATGGCTTCACATGTAGGTGGGCAGACAGAAAGCGTACAGCCACCAAGGATACTCGAAAATATGCCCAAGACAGCGATATTCCGCACTCTGAGTCTAGCATATCAGATAACAGAGCTACCCCAACAACGCAGAACCATGTTGCAGCCTATCTGCAGGCCATCAAGAACTATGAAGTCCTTATACAGAGTATGCGACCAAGGCTGGATGGTGCACTACGTGCCGCGCTCGATATGACTCTCACTAATATCCGTCGCCATATTCCCGATGAGATTGTCTCTGGGGATGCAAGCCAGAGTCCAGATACCCAAGGTGCTAGTGGCAAAAAGGATGTTGAATCACCTAGTTATGTTGGCAGAGCGAGCGACATACATTTCTTTAACACTGTAAGAGACTGTATGCGCGAACATGAATCAGCCACGACAGGCGAGGAACGCGACAATCAAAGCTATGAGCAGGTTGACATGTCCGACGATACGGCAGCATTTGGGCGACCTCTACAGCTTCCTTCTCAGGAGGAAGCAGATCGTTATATCGATATCTATTTCTCTACCATCCACGTTGCCTATCCATTTCTTTACAAGGCAGCCGTATTGCGCCAATACCGTCGACTGTGGAACGGTGAATTAGACGGGAAACGCGACCGCTCGTGGCTCGCGCTAATAAGTAAGAACGTTCATTCGTGACATACTCAGATGTATACTGACTACAAGAGATTTCATATTCGCAATTGGCTCTTACTATATGTCTTTTCCTCGCGAGGAGACCAGAGATCTCCAGATGCACTTTCAGTACTTCAACCAGGGCACATACTTTTCCGGCCAGTTCGGAGCTATGTGCAATCTTACGAACGTCTGGGCTCTTCTTGTCCAATGCTTTTTCCTCCTCGCAGTTTCTCAGACTGATAGGTGAGCAGTGTGTCTCTTGTCCAGAGCGCTTCGGCTGACAGAGCATAGATGTTGGAACATACTTGGATTCGCTATTCGCATGGGGCAGAGCATCGGCCTGCATGTAGAACCTTCTTCCACTTTACGACAGTCGAAATTCCCGCCCGTAGTAGAAAGAGAACTGCGGCGACGAGCATGGTACTCAATGTATGTGCTGGACCGTCTTCTGGCTTTGCAGCTAGGACGTCCCATGGCTATCCATGAATCAGACTTTCACGTCATATTACCATCCCGCTCAGAAAAACTTGCTTTCGAGCCGGATGAAGAGAAGAGCCTCTCCGGGGACAACAGTGAGATATTGAAGGTCTCCACGATGGACTATTTTCTTCAGGTGATTCGCTTTTCCCACATTGTCGGATTAGTCATTCGAGAGCTCTATCAGCCATCACAGATAGACCCATCACCAGATAATATGCTTCTTAGTGCTTCAGCACTCGATACGTCGATCACTGAATGGAAGTCAAATTTGCCGCGGCACCTGCGGTTCGATCTTGGGCATACATTTCAAAAGTCGGTTACGTTGAAACGGCAGGTACGCGGTCATCCCGCTGCAGCGACTGATTGTCAGAAAATGGCTTCCACGATTCTGACCTTAACAGCGAAATATGCTTGCAGTGAAGTTTCATCACCTGCGGGCACTCATACACCGAACGTTTTTATGCCTTCCCCTGCTACAACGGAACAACAAGCCATTTATGGATCTACTTCAGCAAGACAGTGCTCGGATAAAGCGAGCAGAGAAGATCTGTATATCCGAGGCTCAACAAACCGCACGCCTGCTGCACAATGTCAGCGACGAGGGGAGCCTCGTACATGATTTTCCATGGTGGCAGATGATTCCCTGTCTTATCTGTGCAAGCTCGATATTGTTTATCGCAGAATCTTTCTCAGAAAACGACTGCGCAGACTGTGACGCCCACGGGACGTTGCGCGAGGATGCTGAGATATGCCTTACAGTCTTTGAAGCATTGAGCTCTAACTCCGATGCTGCAAAGAAAGCAATGAAAATGCTACAGGGCCTCACGCGGCTGGGTTCGTTATTGGGAAGTATGAACATTCCAGCACATAGCATAATGGCAGTGACTCCTCTAACGCTATCACCAGATATTCCCAATACCAAACTGCAACTTTTAGCACCAGAAGATGTTCAACAACCTGTTCCCTTTTGCTCGACGAGCTTAGTCGACAACATTCCACTCGTACCAGGCGACAGTCTGACAGCAACCTCGAATAATTGGCAATGGCCAAGCGAAATCTCGAACACTATGGAATGGTCAGCTCAATTCTTTGACCCTGCCGCATATGGCCTGGCACAATGCGATGGCGGAGATTTTCAAGTACACGATATGACACTTGCAGATTCGGGAGCCGCCACCCAGTCGGGATAGGACGTCAGGTCTCTGATTAGAACATCACAGTATGTATTATTCTTTCTACGCGAACAAGTTTTTTCTACCCCGAAAGACAGGGTGACGGGCTAAAAACGGAAACCACGGACTGTGTCCCTCCGTTGTTGTCTAATCAGCCACAGTAATCAGTTCCGAGAATTCCGCCGCTGCCGTGTTTTCCGGTTTAACTAGTGTTGCTGTGGGTTATAAATACAATAATAGTTATCTTAATACTATTATACTATTATAACCAGTAAATATTTAATATAATTTATAGTGTTTGCAATTATATTAACTACTATTTAATAAATAAGGTAATTATACATAGCTATTATAATACATTAATTAGAATATACTCATAGGGAGGAGAAGAAGAAAACGCGCCGCGAAGGGTCAGTATAACCAGGAATACCGACACAAATGTACATGTACTTATTCAGTAACATATCCATATGCACTGGCTAATAATGCTAGGATTTATCTCCGTATAAGCAGCAAGAATTATCGCTGTGTAATGGAGGTTCAATCTAGTTCTATGCGGGAACCTGCTATAAGCGGATAATTGCACATTACCTACCTAGCGTTTGCTTTATATACTGATATAAAGTATATATATCAATTCTGAAATTAATAGAACTATATTTATTAAAGCCCTTATTAATACTAAATATCCTTAAGGATCTTATTATATATACAGTATAGTATATATCTAGCTATGCTAATATACTCGCAGGGCGCTTCCCTATTACAAGCTATAGATATAGCTATAGATATATTCTACTGTATAAAGATACCAACCTACACACCAACACAGATATAGTAATCCGCCCACAACCCCGTACAATCCCCATTCAGCGCCGGATTCCAGGTATACAGTTCGTCCAGGGTAATTCCGTACGTTGTCGCGATGGCCTGGCAGCCGTCCCCGCTCTTAACATAGTAGAACTTTTTGCAGTTACTTACCATCCCGGCTTGGGTGGGGGTTGGGGTTGCGACTGCTCCTGATGTAGTAGTAGTAGGAGAAGTAGTAGTGGTAGTAGGTGCAGTGGTAGGAGTAGGTGTAGTAGTAGGTGTAGTAGTGCTGGTCGTCGTCGTATTGGTAGTCTGGGTACTGGTCGTCTTGGATCCTGTCGTCGTGGAGTTCGTCCCCGTCGCCAGGACGATCTCAGTCGTATATGTCGACTTCGAGGTCTCGTTGAGGGTCGTCGTGAACGTCTCCGTGTTACCGGGGCCCCAAGACTCAGGCGTGTACAGGGGCGCCGTCGTCGCCGGGCGCGTGCTGTTGCTCGACGCGGTCGACAAGCCGCTGGGGAAACTGGGCGTCTCGCTGACGAGGTCGCGCCTGTGCAGCGTCGACCATGACGGCGCCGGCGGCGGGGGGTCAATGGCCGCGGATCGCTTCTTCTTGAGGAGGAAGTCGTAGTCTTGGAACTCACAGGACAGCTTGGGCCCGCCAGCTGAGACGATGGCCCGCTCGACGCAGCCAGACTTCATTATGAAGGGCAGGTTGAAGTAGGCGCGCGAATATTGGGTGTCAGTATGCTCGTGCCACTCCCAGCCTGTCAGGGCGCCGCAGCCTTTTTCTTCGTGGTTCAGGCTTGAGCCGCCGTCGGTGCTCCAGCCGGCGATGTTGTAGACTTCGAAGATGTAGAAGAAATCAGTGATCCTGTGCTTGTCAGCCACTATACATAGACATACATAGCATAGTGATAGATATAGATATAGATGCAGAGAGAGAGAGAGAGCAAGAAATAGAAAAGAATCGCTACCAGTATGCACAGTCCGCCTGCGCCGTCGGCGGCACCACGACCGTCACCGTTGTAGTCGGATGGATGGTCACCGTCGACGTCTTCACAACCGTGAGAGTGTCTGTCAACCCGAACTGCGTCAAGGTAAACGTCGATCCATTGTAGCCCGCCGGGTTTGTCGGCTCGAAGGCAAGCGGGATCTGCTGCCCATTAATTATCGTCTCTTCGGCCGCCTGCTCAACCGACAGCGCACTTTGGACATCCGGGTCGATCGTGCACTCGGGGCTGCCGGGCGTCGTGGTAACCGCCGTATCCTGTCCGTTGCAAGCCGTCTTCGTCACGCAGTCTGTCTGTCCTGGGTTAGCCTTTCCATGTCTCTCTCTTTCTCTCTCCAACCCCCGAATGAGGGAGCCAGAGAAGGATTGGAGGGACTTACTTCCGTGGTGGTCGTCGACGAAGCCAGATACCACGCGCTATAACTCGTCACCAGATATGTGCACGCCGAAACCGTGGCCGAAACCTCGCACTCGTCGCTGCTATCGCCGCCATCGGGACCCTGCGTATTTCCACAACCGCCGGGAACAGTACAGCCCAAGCCACCGCATGATCCCAGCGGGCAGGTCGACGTGCAGCCTGTGATACCGCATCCACCACCGCAGCCAAAGATGCCACAGCCACCGCCGCAGCCGAACAGACCGCATCCGCCGCCGCTGCTACCACCGCCGCTGCTGGTGCTGCCGCCGCAGCCAAAGATGCTGCAGTCGCGCTTGCCACAGCCGGACCCCGTGCATGAGGTCGAGGGGCTAGTCCCTGAGGATGTGGTACTGGTCTTCGTGGAACTGGGCTCTGTGGTACTGGCCTTGACGGTAAGGGGGCCCCCGGTGACGGGCGGTTTGGGGTACTCGACCGAGTACGTGGGCTGGGGTTGGATGGTGACGGGGACCGGGGTTGAGAAGAAGCTGGCGGAGGGCACGCTGGTCAGGGGCACGGTGGTGTCCCTGGATGTCATAGGGGTGGGCGTCGTGACAGGGAATGTGGCGTAGTCCGGAGGAAGCGTCCAGATGAACGAGGAGGGCGTGATGCTCTGCACTGGGTTGATTGTGTACGTGTCCGTGTCGGTCGAATACAGCGTCACCGGCTGCAGACTGGCCTCACTGATGGAGAAGGCCGGCACGGGGATTGTCGTCGTCTTCACGTAGACACCGCCGCCCGCTGTGTCGGAGGACAGCAGCGTGGTGGTCAGGGGCGGCCAACTGGTCACCGTGTGTGTGACGGTCAGGGGGTATGGCGGCAGGACGATGATGCAGGGAGGCGTACAGCCGATCTGGGGATCGGGTGAGTCCCAGATGCTCTGCGGGGGATACACGAGGTTGCCGCCGGGCCCAGGTGAGACGTCGTCGCCGCCGTAGCCGTCGAGGTCGATGGCCCAGTCGATCACGCCGGCCATGTGCAGGCTCTCGTAGAGCTTGCTGCGGTCCTGCTTGACGGAGTCGTCCATGTAGCCGACCCATTGCGTGGAGTCATACACGGCGATGTTCGACTGGCTGTCTGTATCCAAGTACGATGAGAACGAGTTGATGTGGTGCACAGCTCCCGTGGAGTCCTCCCAGCTGCCAGTGCCGTTCAGGATGGCGTTGATCTCGGCATTGGCGATGTAGCCCGCGGTTTGTGTGCATGGCCCGGGATAGGCGCCAGATCCTCCGCCGGTGTAGGTGCACATGGGCCCGGTGCAGCCGGGCGTCGTCATCTGGAACGAGCGGCCGTAGCTGGAGACCCCGACAGCGATCTTGTTGGATGGCACGCCGGCCTTGGTGATCATGGCCAGCGTCTGGAGGGTCTCGGTGAGGTTGACCTGCGAGCGCAGGCAGTTGCCCGCCGGGCAGCCGTCGATGGCGTACGGGTGAGCGTAGTCCCACTGGCCGTGAAGATCGTAGGTCATGTAGACGACGTAGTCAGCCACGGCGGCCATTTTGCTGATAGAGTAGCCTCGTAGATACCAGTAGGATGCCGGCGCGCAGAACGAGACGGACTTGCCGGACGGCATCGCGGACCGCAGTTTGGTGATGAAGGTGAGGTAGTTCTCAGTATCGTCGGCGCTACCTGCTGGGATGCCGGGGATATCGGGGGCAGCAGGATCTACGGTCTCAGGTTAATAACAGCGCATACAAGAGATAAGACCATGTGCCATGCTAACTTACACTCCCAGTCGATATCAATGCCGTCCAGGTCATTATCAGTCACGAACGACACGATGTTCGCGACAAAGGTATCCTGGTTGCCGGGCTGGACTCCCTCGCGGAAGATGGAATATGTTGCTGGGTCGGTCGAGAAGCTCCAGCCCCCAAGCGACAAGATCTTCTTGAAGCCCGACAGCTGCTGGAACAGCTCCCACTGGTCCTGGATGGAGCTGATGTCGACCTCATAGCTCGTTGAGACCTCGCCAAAGGACAAGTGAATATGCGTGTAGGGCGTCAGGTCCATGGCGGTGATCTCCATGTTCAGGCAGGGCCGCTCGACGTTGTAGCCCTCGAAGTAGCCAATGTTGATGTACTCGGCCGGGGCATCGCCGACGACGACGTCGGTGCCGCAGTTGGAGATGCAGCCATTCTGGCCGGGGGCTGAAGTGCCTGGGGCGCCGGTGGCCGACTTGGATTCGGTGCAGAAGTCTGGGGTGATGCCGCATTGGCCGTATTTGTTCTAGAGACGGGATGAGCCAACTATAGTATTCAGGAAAGGGGGGAGCATACACAGCAGGCATTGAGCGGACATGGATTCAGGCTGGCCAGCGACACGCCCGATGCTGGCTGTTGCGTGCCCGGCTTCTGAGGCCCGCAGACGGCGTTCGCAACGGGCGCCGGCATAGGGGGGTCGCCCTTGCTGAGGCAGATGTACTGGTAGGCCTGCAGGTTGTCGCAGCCCTCCCAGGCCCAGGTATCGGTGTTGAAGCTCTCGATCTCGGCATTAGTGAGGTCGTTCGCCGCGGCGAGGCTCGCGCAGCTCTCGCCGGGCTCCACGTAGTGCGAGGCGCAGGTGCCGTTGGCATTTGGCTGCGGGCGGTAGTCAGGCAAGGTACCGGCAGAGCAGCAGACGTGCTGGCCGACCACCAGCGTCGAGCAGAGGGTGCTGCTGGGGTTGTACTTGTCGAAGTCAGAGGCGGAAATGCCGCACTTCGCTGCTAGAGATGCGCCTGAAGAGAGCATCAGCGGGTGTCCATTTTTGCTACTGGGAGTAGTATGTACTTACAGCTATCACCTGAGACGACCTGGATGGTCGAACACTCTGCTCGTTCGTTGAGTGCTCGTTTATTGAGTGTGGCTCGGACAGTGCTGTTAGTAGTAGTAGTAGTGGTGGTGCTGTTGCCGACAAGACTCGGCACCGACAGTGTGATGTCGAGCCAGTCTTCCGCGTCGTCGAAGGTAGTGATGCATTCGGCCGACGCCCACGCGGCTACGGCGTCCTGGACCAAGTATACATCGCGCTCTCCACTGGCGACAATGCCGAAGGTGTACTCGGAGCTGCGGCCGTCCTGGGCACACAGCTGCACCACGGCGCTGCTGGAGAAGCCGGAGGTCTTGATTTTCGCCAGCAACTGCTGCAGCACAGCGGCCGGGACATCACCGACTCCAGAGCCAGCGAAGAGGCCGAGGGCGACGGAGTTGGAGTAAGCAAAGGCGGTTGTGTCGGTGCAGTCGGAGCTGTTTCGCTGGGACAAAGCGGCGGCAAGTTGCTGCGCCGCGGCGTCAAAGTCCGCGACTGTGGCTGGGGTGCGGCTCTGGTTGAAAGCCAGCTGCAGCGACTGCTGAACCTGAGTCGTCACGCGGCCTTTGGGCAGACAAGAGGCGGCATTGAGGGTGTTGGTATTGCGGGTGATGGCTGCATCGAACCGCTCGGTGGAATTGGTCGTACAGGCGCGAACAGACCCGTCCTTGCGCAGAGACGTGAAGAGGGAGAAGTCAAGCAGCATTGTCTGGTTGCACATGGCCAGCCGGTCCAATTGGGGGTACACAGTCCAGTTGCGGGGACTCAGGCCAGCTTCCACACATCCTGATGGGCATTGACTGAGCACCGCGTTGATGAGTTCCGGGGTAAGTGTGTTAGCATTAGCATCAGCGTCAGCGAATGTAGAGACGGCCGCCGCCGCTTTGGTTGCCACAGGATGTGCGGCAAGGTATGCGCTCAGGTTGTCGGAGCCGCCATCTACATGTAATGATAATACTGTCGCCGGAGACAACAGCAGGAGGCAGGTGGCCACCGCTCCGGACGGTGAGAACCACATCGTCAGTCGGGGACAGTCTATAAGGTAAAGACGGTACAGGAGCAAGCAGAGGAGGAGGGGCAAGTGATTATAATATATCAAGTGATACTCTATCAAGTGTTATGACGGAAGTCGACTAGACGACTAGACCAAAAAGGAGAACTCCTTGGAGGTCTGGTCCTAGCTAGATCTTACATGTTACTATCAAGTGTTACTGTGGCTGCCACACATCGGGAGTATGGCCGAATTGGGACTGCAATGGACACCTGCAATGCAATCCGTTTACTAAGGGATGGTAGTCAACGGTCTTGGTCAATGGTCACGAACTTGGATTTTCGGCCCCCGTGTTACTGTATAGGAGAAGGATATATTACTAGCGTCCATGGATTCTGGGCACTGTCTGTATTGTGTGAGACGGGCGATAGGACACTGGAGGTACAGAAGAATCTTGAGAAGCTGAAGAAGTAATCAGGAAGGATAATATAGAAGAAGAGAGTGTCTCTTGCGACGGGGGATTTTGTTGGTTGGAGGATATTGTCTAAGGCCATTTTATAGATGATGATCTGGATCAAGAAACTGTAGGATTCCTAGCTAGGGAAGATCTTCTAGTTAGACTATATATTAAAAGTTATTTATCCAAAGAAAAGATCCTATAATGTTAGATCCATATCCTGTAATTTCTTTTTGTTTTCTTGTCCCAGATACAAACTGGATATTGCAAATCTCTATAGATGTCAATTTAATAATCTGCAATAAACGAAATGGCCTACTGCACCTATATCTCTTATAGTGTCAATTCATAAACAAGGGATTGCTGTAATGCCTGGGCAACGTCTCTATAGTCCTTTCATCCAAAGATAGAGCTTCTCTATATTGAATGTTGAGGGAATTCATCTCGAAGGATAATTGAATCTTAAAATGCAACTATCCGGGGTTAACTGAGAAGCTATAGAAGCCCTTGGGCCGCTATATTATTCTAATCTAGCTGTGTAGGCACTGGTCCTAAATCTCCTATATTAGGTGCCCTCGCCTCGCCATCTAAATCGAACAAGGAGAGCCACTGTTTACTCATGGCCAAACTGCCTGTATAAGAGATATGGGAGGCTCGATCTTAGCATCAGGAAGCTAGCAACTGCTTGCTGATTCAGGAGTAAATCTAACTGTTATATGTAGGAACTCCTTAGGCAAGTGTGTTAGATAGCAGAGCTTGTACGAAAGATACGAAAAATACCAAAAATACGGCCCCCACGGATCTCGCGTCCCGATGTCGGGTGATCCCCACAGTAAGCGGGTAATCATGCGACGGGTGTGGCTTGTGCGTGACACGTTATTGGCCAATTGCACTTTTAACTCGTGCCAAGCCCCTGCCAAGCCATAATCTAATCTGATGTAACCTCTCGGCAGGGTCTGGCTCGGTGGGGGCCGGTTCGGGTAGTTCCGAGAGAGCGTTCTACTATGGTATGCAGATAGTAGATAGTCCCTCTTTTGTCCTCCCACCCCATTCCCCCTTCCCCCTTCCCATCTTTCACCAGAAATCGCATCATGAAGTTCTGGGCGCTCCTGGCGCTCGCTGCCTCCGTTGCAGCCATTCCCCTGGAAGGCCCCGGGGTTCAATTGCACAAACGCGACGGGGCAAGAAAACACATTGGATACCGCATCGTCTCAAAGGTCTGTCCCCCGCATTTCATCTTATAGCCTCTATTCCATCTCATATTCTCTATTCCATCCCATATTTTCTACTCCATCTCTCATATCCTCTATTCCATCCCATGTTTTCTATTCCATCCCATATGCTCCGTAACCCAGCCAACCAAATCAAACCACATCCCAGGCTGAAGCCGACGCCATCTACGAAAACAAAGGCAAAGCCGTGCAGTCCCTAGGCAAAGGGGCCCGCCAGCTCGGCCAGGGCACCTACATCTCGCCCCGGTTCCAGGACTTTCCCGAATGGAACCCCGAAGATGGCGCCCCTTGGGACTGCGTGGCGACGATCGACGCCGACGTATGGGACGGCTGGAAAAAGGCCTGGATCCCGAAGTCGTTCGAGTTCCCGGAGGACAAAGAGAAGAATCCGGATAAGTGCAAGCCGCTGATGCTGTGGACGCCACGATGGAGTACGTGTATTCTTTTTTTTTTTTTTTTTTTTTACCTGGCTTCTTCCATTTTGGATGTACTGTTAATGCTGACGCATTGGACCGCAGAGGCGAACCGCGCACGCTTCCTCACATACCTGGACGCGTCCATGACGGCCAACAACACTGTGCTCTTCTCCAAGGTGCTTAGCCATGAGGAAAAGGATCAGGCGTTGATCCCGCCCGCCCTTGTTGATACCGGTGAGCTGTATTTCGCGCAGTGTGCCGAGCGGGGCACCGATGCCAACGACCAGATTGGCAAGATGGGCGATGTAGATTGGGGTCTGCCATCCCTGCCGGGCTGGGGGCTGGGGACGGATTCGTAGGGGAAGCGCGAGTTGGAAGGAATCAGTAGTCAGAGACTAACCGGTGAGGATACTGAAAGAGGAAGGCCGTAGGATACAACTGAGGTGGCCAACTGAAAGGTAGACTCACCACGGTAGGCGAGTTGTCTGTATAAAGTGCTTTGCCGTACGAAACCTGACTCTTACCGCTATTGATTGAAGGCCTGCCGAGAGATTTCATGGTAAAGACTTGATCTATGACGAGTCGAATTGTCTTTGTCATATGGATCGAGTTCAGATAGATCAGTGTCCTCAGTAGATCCTGATGGCGACTCCGGAAACCATGGCCCGTCAGTCGCCGCGTCCGATTCGAATGATGACCCCATTGATGTCTTCGTTGGTATATCCACATATCTTCCCACCTTACGCTGACGGCCCCGTTCACAGTTCATGTCTGTACTTCCGGTCTCCTCGTCTTCTGGCTTTCGTTTCTTGGGGCTGGAGCTCCCTGACTTATTATGAAGCGGCAAAAGGCGGCATTCCTCTCCGCTAAGCGTCTTAATCAAAGGTTCCGTCCTCGGAACAGAGCTCGTCAAGCTCGTAGCAGGTTCGTACAGAGCGATCCGACGTGGTACACCAGCTTGGACGAAAATTGGGATAAACTGAAAGATGGTCCACGCAAAACGGGCGAACAGGTACTCCGGAGCCACGCCCGTGAGAAGTTGTAGGGTGACATTGTGGTAGAGTGATGTCAGTTCGTGAGGATCGGGAGAACAAAAGATATGAATAGCATATGCTCTGGCTTCATTTCCCCCATCTCTAAGATCAGTTGAAGCGGTACACCGGGGCTTGGGAACGAATGTGAATCGTCTGTAGTCGAATGATGTGTGTATATCTGACCGTAGAAGAATCACATTGCGAGGATTGTCGATGGGTTCTGAGCCTGGCCTAGGGGTTTTCCCATATCGGGCCATCATGTTTCTCTGAAACCAACTACTTTGATTTCGAGGGATCAAATGAGCACACTCCGTTCCTTCGATGTGATTTGTCACACGACATCGGATGTCTCGTGAGAGGATTGCGTCTATCAATGTGCTCTGCCTTGGAGTCGGATGATCTGCAGTCCTGGGGATATCAAGATTCCATGCCCGTGGAAGATTGCCGTGAGGAAATGCCCAGTCTTCGAAGCTTGGAACAATAGGATACACATCTGAGAGTCACTCAGCTTAGGTACGGGAAGAAGGAGATTTGATTCCTACCTTGGTAATTATCGGAGACCTGAAAGTAATAGTTCTTCTTCTGGAGAATGCCATCGAGCGGGATCTTGACACGAACGGTCCCCTCTCTATCCTCGGTGAACCATCCGTCATATCGATTATTTGCGAGCACCGCACACGCGTCTAGCGCCGTTTGGTGGTGTATTCCGCCATCAGGATGGTCAAGACCTGGAATAATGATCAAGATGTCATGAGAGTCTGGAAAGGCGGGATGACGAAAATATATTTCGTATTCCGGATCGAACCTCAACGGCTCAAGTGTATGGGTTACCGGATTGCCATAACACGCCCGCCGAAGTGGTAACTCCATGATGAACCACGATAGAAATGGAGTGGCACGGGAAAATAGAGAATATTTCGCTAGCTGACAATCACAGAAGATAAACGCAGCTTCGTTGAGGCAGGCTTTCCATTCCTGAAACATGGAACTTTCACGGTTGCGGAGACAGTTGTTGCCGTAGTTACTTACTCGTCATGTGTGCCCGTTGTTTGCCCAAAGGAGCTTCCTCTATCTTTTCCAGTATCGCACGAGTAAGTTTAACAATGGCTTCAAAACAAGCCACGGTTATCTGTAACCTGCCTGCCTCCAGGATCTATTATTATCTTCTGCGGCGTTCTGAGAATCTATCGATCAAGTCACGTGATCGGATGCTCACCACGCGCATATGAAAAACATCCAACTTGGTATCCCAACAACTAACTAACTGCGTCTCGAACCCAGTCCATCCTGATTCGGGATCGGATATCTAGATTCTCTTCCCCAATTTCAACTGCCATGAGCGCTACGATGAGCGCTGAAGAATTCCTGGCCAACGTTGAAGGCGGCATCGTGCCAGTGGCCTGCCATGAGGATGTCTTGCGCATCGCATTCATCTATCTGGACGAGGGGCTGTGGACGGGCAACGGGGTGTTTGATGTTGTCGAGAAGCTGCACGCGCATGGCTGGTCCTTTGGTGAGGGCGAGTTGCGCTTTAACCGGTAAGCTAAAAACTATCCTATGGTACTACTATTTATGGTAATCCCTAATAGCACTGTATAAAATAAATAAATAATAATCATAAATAAACAGTACCCTGGATATATTCTACCTCGCACAGCTGGCAGCAGCCATCTACCGCTATTCCTCTCAACTAGAAGATGACTTCCCCTCCTTCTCTGATTTCCCTGCCTTCTATACAGCTCACTACGACCTCCTGCACTCCTCCGCCTGGCGCTCCTACTACTCTATCCCCTACCTCAGCCAGCGCACCACCGCATGCTTCTACCGCCCGCCCGACCTCCAGGACCTCCCGGACTCCTCCTCGCCGCTATGCCAGCCGCGCCGTCGTCCGGTATCTGGACACGTCCTGAAACTCCCCCGCTGGGCCTACACGGTGGGGTGCACGCGTTACAGGCAGCCCTTTCTGCCAGGGGAGACTCTGACTGCAGTCGCCCTCCGCACGCTGGAGGCAACCATGACACGTCTGCACACGGCCTGCCCCAGCGCACCACCACCTGCTTCGGAATCCCATGCGCGCTTCTGGCTGGACTATTTTACTCCTCCTGATCCATCTCCATCTCGTCTGGCGAAGGTACCGTCCCGGGAAGCATGGGGGCTCAATAGCTTTGGGATATTGGTCGCGCAGGGAAAGTATGATATACACGGGTTGGAAGCAGAGTACCTCGCACAGGTATCGGAGAAGGAGGAGGTGGAGGAAGATGGCGAGTCGGAGCCGGTGGTGTGGTGTGGGTTGCCGGATGGAGGGATTGGAGAGCAGGCTTGGTGGAGGGGGTGGGAGGAAGAGCTTGGGAGTGAGGAGGAGGTGGAGTTCCTCGCCGCTGTTGCGGTGGAGGAGACAGTTGAACTAGGACTAGGACCCGAAGGAATCGAGCTGGATGAGTTGGACTTGTCAATCCGGTCACATATCCTACTGGCCGTCATGCAGGCTGCGGTGAAGAACGGGCAGGAGAGGGAGTCTTTCCTGGAGGAGCTGGAGAGGCGGATGGTGCAGAAGGGGAGAATTGGCCCGGAGAGGGCAGGCACCTGGGTCAAAGAGGCCTTGGGGATCATGAAGCCGTATGTACGTGGATGGCAGGGCGTGTGGCCTGGTGCAGAGGAGAGGGGGGAGATGCTACGACAGATCTTGGTGGAAAATGGGCAGCTCTTTGCACGCTGGAGGGTGTCACCTCATTTGAAGCAGTTCACTTTCGAGCTGGGGCCGAGGGAGTAAGGGATTAGACTGCCATTACGACCATTCTACAACCATTACAGATCGGGTCGGAATCGATGCTTATTATCATTACTACTGCTGCTACTGCAACTGCAACTGCAACTGCAGGCTGTATGATGATTCACTCGAGGTAAGTTACGACCGTACAGGATGATCGTGGGGGGATGCGAATGATATTCTTCCATCAATCATAGATAGTATTAGCATGTGCACCTTTGTATTCCTGGACTGCCGCTGTCCGCTTATTAACTTAACTACAATCCGGTCCTTGCGATGTGGCCAAAGAACCGGGGTAACTAATGCAGGCTTGATTCCCCGCACAAAGCTTTGGAGCTACTACTGTAGTTAAAGTCATTTTGGCTTATCACGACAGGGATTCCTTTGCAACCCAACAGCCATTAGTAACTACTAGCTATATTACATGTTCTTCCAAAATTTATTATTATCGTTTACAATATTACTGACATCGACATGTACATTCATTCTGGCTCGCCTTAGCTAATGCAAGTGCCTTGAGGATAGTATCTGTGCCTTGACAAATGCCGCCGTCGACGAATATTTGTATCTGACCTCTAATGAGCTATGGTGTGCACGTACTTTCGAATCTCCAGCAAGCGTCAGCATAGGAGCCTGCGCGCTGTTTGCGATGATATTAACAAGTACGACTTTGCATTTATGTATGTACAGATTCAAAATCCGGTGTTGAATTACGTCCGGCTGCTTGTAGAAGAACCTTTGTATATACCTCCCGGGTTTCCGTTCGAAAGGTTTGTCACATCGTAGACTTTGTCATACATGACAAGCTAGATGCACTATTGAACTCCTTGTGCGATAGAGCTTCACATGCTACCTACCAGTACTGCTTAGGAAATAAGCCCTTGTACATACATACTTGGACCAATAGACAAGACGGTAGATTTTGGTGTGGGAAAATTACCTCGCAACGGTATATTCATACGTACTCATATCATTAATGCTATGCTTATGGAATGATCTCGCTCCGTGGCTTAAGTAGCGGACCTCAGATTTCGGTATTTCTCCGAGCTGCCCTACGTAGGTACTTGGTTAAATCCGGAGAAATGTGCGGGGGTTTGTCCATTACAGTACTTATCCCCATGGGACGTGTATTACTCACGACGCTGCAATTTATTTTCACACAAACAGCCAAGAATAATCGCAGTAGATAGATCAAAACTATAAGCCCAACCTCACCATTATGACGACCAAAACGGTGGATGTATTACTCTACGGACTTGGGGCGTAAGTAAGCGGGGTCTAACTATTTGCGTTTCCTAGAAGACGAAAATACCATGATCAAGTGCTTACCTACTTACTTCTTAAAATAGAATCGGCTCCTTCTACGCATTCATCTTGAGCCGGTCGCAAAATGTCCGGCTGACGGTCGTCGCTAGGTCGAATTATGATGCTGTTAAGATGAATGTATGGAGTTTAACCTCAAGCTACCTAGTGTATTCGGTGACGCTTTGAGTGTATATAACTAATTGATTTATCAGGGGATAGTTATCAAGAGTCAGAATCATGGGGAGCATGTGGTTCGTCCCTGTAAAGGTTTGGGATCCTATATATCATATGGAAATCTTGATCTGCTGATTCATTTTCTCAGTTGTGAAAAACGCGGCAGAGGCAGGACAGTCTTTCGACTATATCGTCTGCTGCCACAAAGCTATTCAGCAGGATCATGTACCGAAACAGTTGGTTTCGGCTGTGGACACGTCAAAGACAACAATTGTCATTATTCAAAATGGGGTTAGTGTTTAAGAGAGAGAGCTATTAGGGATATTTCTAACGTCATTAAAGGTTGGAAATGAAGACGCATTCCGAGAAGCATTTCCAAAATGCACAATCCTATCCTGCGTTGTAAGTTTTTACTCCATGTCTCTGTTCGTGATAATTCTAATTAATACTATACAATGCAGACCTGGGTTGGAGCGACACAAACCTCACCTGGAATTGTGGCGCACACAAAGTCCGAGGACATGCAGATGGGACTCTTCCCGAATAAAAACCTTGATCCAGACCTCGAGAAACGACGGTTGGACGAATTTGCTAGCTTGCTAACGCACGGAAAGACGGTGTTCCAAGTTGTCCCCAACATCCAAGTCCAGCGGTGGGAAAAGGTAGTATGGAATGCAGCCTGGAATACTCTCACTACTCTGACCCTTCTCGACACCAAGTCATGGCTGGGTTCATCGCCTGATGCATTACCTCTGACGCGACGTCTGATGACAGAGGTCATTGACGTAGCGCGAAGATTAGGCGTTCCGATCGAGCATTCTCTTGTAGATACGCTCATCGATAAGATCATGGCTATGCCGGGAATCGGAAGTAGCATGCAGACGGACTATAAGAATGGGAGGCCGATGGAAGTGGATGTTATTTTGGGAACGCCTGTGAAGAAAGCTCGAGAACTTGGCATGGATATACCAACGGTGGAAACGCTCTATGTGATTCTGACAGCGGTCAATGGCAGACTGACTAGTGCGCAGTAATCTGTAGATACAGAAGGAGTTGATTATCTAGAAATTATAGTAGAAGGCCGTATCTAGGTTGACAGGCAAAAGCCTTCTGGTCGGCATAACGGTCAGCAGTGGCACAGCATTCATTTTATTCAGTATCACGACTTAACCAAGCAAAATATGAATATACGAACCTAATCTTTTCTGACAGGACATGACGATGGCGTTATGGGATCGATCCTAACAGCACCCAGCTTTGTAAACACATTCGACCTCGATCAGTATGCAAAAAAACAATAACAGCCGTCTTTATCCTGGGATGTTTCATGGGTCTCTAACCACATCCGCAGCGACAAGGACGTATCAAGATGACCCATGGCTCACTACTTTACCGTTCCCATGTGCATCGGTCCATCTTCCAATGTTCCAGTTAGTGTTGCTCAGTTACTCGTAGGTCGCATCGTGGCTGGGATAAGATGGGTCTGATCACCAGCAATACTATCATCTAGCAGTCTGAAACGCCGCCCCTATAGTCCGCGGGATGTTGGTGCGTGTTCATTGAGCTTTCTTCGTTCTGGGTCAGATTATTGCGTCTTGACTCGAATATGGACAAGTACCTACACGTCTTCTTCATTCTCCTGGAAGCTCTCGATGCCCTTTCAAGCTTTTCTTGCTCTCGTGTCGAGCACGATGCTTTTCTTCATTCTGGAATGCTTGTCTATCCCATACGAAGAAACGAAAGGGGAAAAGTAGTCCTGGAACTTGCTAATTATTTGCGTTAGCACCAAGGTGGTTACTGATGAAGGAACGCGACGAAGAGGCTTCTGATATTCTTCAGAAACTAAGTAGACTTTCATGTAGAGCTATCTGTGATTTCTGCTGATGCCGCTCCGGTTCAGCAGGCGAGTGAATTGGAGAAAACAGCGCAAAAGGGATGGCGAGATCTGTTCAAGAAAGACCATATCAAGTGCGACGAAGAGTAGCCACGGCGTGTGTGGTCAGTCTCAGACAGGATCTCAGCGGCAGTACATCGATTAGTCTAAATAGTTACTACACGACTTAGTTACTACACGTAAAGTCCAGTCCCGTGACACGCCACCACGAATATCGTACGATAAGTGTGAACTAAAGAATCCAAAGAGTCGAAACCTCGATCGCAATATCCAGACATCTGGCACTGTTGATGTCTGGCTTCCTTCAAGTCTTGTTTCTTTCCGGTCGCGTCTTTCAGGATCCTGGTTCTTAATTGAGCTCGGGGGTCAACGATGCCGTTCAAGCTCTCTGCAACGGGCATGGCCATCATGTTCATCCTGGCTGCTATTTATGCCTGCTGTTGATACATATGCGTCCCGCATCGTTGCTGGGATTATGATATTCGCGTATCAGGCCTCTTACATGGGCGGAGTCTGGGTACGTTTCCATCCCCCTTTCTTTTCACTCTTGCGAAAAATGAGATACAAGTGACTATAGTGCTAACAACTACATATATTTACAATACCTACAACCCCGAGATCCTCCCGCTCGAATACCGATCTAAGGAACAGGCCTCGAAACCGCAACGCTCTGGCTCTTCTGCTTCGTCATTACTGAAGTCGTCCTAACCGACATTATTAATATCCCCTGGAAGCTGTTCCTTATCTTCGGCGTCTTTAATCTTAGCTGTGTTCAGCTGGTGTATTCTACAGCTGGTTTCACGCTGGAGATGGTGGATTTGTGTTTCATAAGCGAGGATATGTCGCTGTTACGAAGACGAGGGAGCCGCAGCGTGCGATGAAGAGAGGGGAGAATATCAATCTGAGTTTTTAAAGTTGGAGCGAAGGAGAAAGAAGAGAATGCTGTGCATATTGAGGTTGTAGGTTAAACAACTTTTATAAGTTGGGAAGAGGACTATGGGTTCTTGAGAAGGTATGAAGAAGAGCTCTGAAATCGGTTGATTTTATTAACTAGTTGATGCTGAATCTACACATGTTTCTTGGTAGCTGTTTATCATCTATATATATATGTGTCCCAATACGTGTTGGCTATCAAAATACAAATACACATTGACACCATGATCTCAGCTGTCATTCCTCATATTTGTTGTTCGTTAATATATATTCCAGTACCGCTTAATAGGTATGTACTGTATATTCTAATTGTCTCGTGAATGTTTTTACATTTTATTTACAGTGCGATGACAATGCATGGCTTTCCATAAAGCTAATATGAAAGACCCGTCGACTGATGTCTCTGAGTCCGGATCAAACCCTGCGTACTTAGTAGGGCTAAACCCTTCGCATGTGTCGGAGTAAACCGGGATCCAAACACTCAATAGTTAGTGAAATCAGTAATCGTCAGCATGATGGTAAAGTTAGAAGAGGAAGAGTCAATTCATTCTAGCTATAAAAATGGTAACGAAGTGGCCTAGTAAACTTTGACTTTGAAGGCTCAATAGCGGGACAAATTTCCCGACATCATTCGGTATCATGTGCGTACAGACGAGCCGACGGGAGAGATCCCGAATGAGAACGGAGGGTCCGGGCTTTTACCGAAGAAACATGTGCCTATGTAGTAGTCTAGATCATAATGGCATTTAGTTATTAGTATCGACGGTATTTACGGAGTGACAGCGGATGTATCTGCAGGACCCGCAATTCAGTTAGAGACTCCATAGTGTGTCGCACACAGCTGCCAAGAGACAATCTCAGGACCATATTGGAATATTTTTTGCAGTTATTGTATCATCCTGTATGGAGATAATAATAATAATGCTTGAGCAATAATATTTGCATTCCAGTGGCCGTCAGCGTCTCGGAACCAGTTGCCAAATTAGGCAGCAGACATGACAGGTGAATAATATCTGTTCTATGATCTATCAGGTATAGGCCAGAGTCTCTTATGACCTTTTGACCGTCATGGAGTGGTCTGCACTCCAGATAATGTGGAACAGTCATGCCCCGCGGCGGGAAGTATAGTCGGCAATGATGATGACTGTCTCTCCGTACTGGTAATGGCAATACTACTACTTGGGCAGCGACTTCGAGGAAAAGAAACACCCATATGGAGCAAGGGAGGGCAACGGTGGATCGATTTATGCTCGTGGCCGGTCCACAACAAGCGTGGCAGTGAACATGGATTGAATATCTATCCTGGGGCAGGATCTGTCGAGGTTAGGAGAACCACTGGGGTCCTTGCAGACAATGGGTGTCAATGTCAAATATCTGCCAGATCGAGCGTTAGTGAACAGTCTCGCCCGAGACGGACTGCATGACGGAGCCGCCCGACGACATGGATGTGGATGTGACAGGAGCAGGCATCTTATGATCGCGGGGAGTCGTGTTCAATACATCCGAGAGTCCACCCTCGACGGTGACAAGAGCCGCTATGGTTAGAGATGCTTCTTGCGACAATTAAAGAGATCGTAGGAAAGAACTATCATGGTGGTCTCCTCGATGGTCTCTAGACGTACTTAGACTGTCGAGGTAGACTGTTGGGCTAGATTATATGGCTGCTTAAAAGGCACGATACCTGCGTTGACAAGAATATCAAAGGGACAAAGCCGGGATTATATTTTCGAGAAGAATGCAGTCAGAAAGCGGTCTATCAAGGCCCAGAACGACCGTTGGCCCTCTAAAAACGGTGGTGCCGCTGGTGGCTGATCGGCAAACACTCGGATGGACTTGTGAGAGGGACAGTTTGATGCTGGATACCAAGCATGCGCTTACCTCCATCTCGACTCCTTGCTCACCTGCAGCTCTTCAGATAGCGTCGACAGCCAGTGAGCGATGTGATGAACGTCAGCAAGGAGGTTTGCTCTGGCTGACGAGTGTTTCGGGCTGGACGAGCTTGTGCAAATCGAACTGGCGAGTCGTTGGCCGCCGAAACATCACGGGGTCTCGAGCCATCCAGGTCGATTCGACTTGCCTGGGACACATCGACATGGTAACATGGTAAAGGCCGGTACGGTAATAAAACGGGTCTGCATGGCCGTTGGCAGGATCGCCCGCACATCAACCTTCACTTTGCGGGGGATAACCGTGGGAGAGGGACGGTAATACAGATACCGATTTGGATACAGGCTCGCTAAGGGCCAGCCGGAGCACCAACACCCGCGATCATACGATAAAAAAGAAGAACGTCAAAGAAGGGAAAGAAAAGACAATGACAGGTTAATTTGTTAGTTCGCAGTTCTCTCCCTGGACAGCGGAGGACGCCGTGGCTTTCCTTTCCTTCTCTGCATTATTATGGTCGTCTCTGTATCCACAACACCTTTTGAGACGTCTTCTAGACATCCTGCTCTCAACGCGTAGACACGGGATCCAATCTACCTGTGCCTGATCGGGAAGCATCCGGCACCAACAGATCATTCATTGCCGCTGCCATCCCTCCTGGAGACTGCTTTTATATCATTCCAGTTGTGCTCAGCAGCCACCAACAACAGCCTCCTTCTTCATTGACCACGCCATTCTTTCTGGCCACCGCCCGTTGTCAGCAACAGTCGAACGGTCAAAAGAACACCTGGACGCGATCAACCCCCCAATCCCAATCAAGTTAGTGACCTGCTGTCTCGGCGGGTCGCCTTCCGATCGTCGTACTTCAGCGTGGACGTCCCCGACCGGAGTCGTTAGATCAATCAACTTCCCCTGGTCACGTCAGGCATTGCATCCAGGCAGCCGGATCTCTCAAGTTCAAGGGCTATCTTCGTCTTCGACAAGTCACTGAAGCCATTGTTGACGTGGCAAACAAGCAAATTGCGGCGCCCATATGTCAGTCGACTGAACTGTGCAGGTCAACGAACTAATCGAACTCCACGGATGTGTCGCTGAGTCGTGGTCGACCAAAAACATCACCGCCTCAGGCAGCCACGTCCGATGATGCCCATGCCAGGTATGGATGGGGTGCGCAACCCATCCGCACGACAGACCATGAAACGAGAATCGCAGTCGGCAGACATGGCCTTTCTCGACTCGATCAGAGAGGATTTCGACCAGGACTGGAGTCAATGGATGAGGTGGGATGACCAGACCTTCAACCACCTACCGGATCACGTGAATGAGTCCTCGAACCCCAATCCAACCTTTGATCTGTCTTCCATGTCGTCAGCTTCACGGGTCAACTCTCAGGGCAGTACGGCGGCGGCTGATTTCTCGCCGGGGACGGCTTTCAGTTCTCTGGATCGCCCGTTCGAACCCGTCTTGGGTGCGCCCCGGGGTCGGATGCCCTCCATTACCTCCAACTATGGCCAGCCTCTAGGATTCGAGAAGCAGTCGTCGATGAGTATGTCGCCACCTGATAGCGTTCCCGCAAACCGGAAGCGCAAGTCGACGAGCGATGAAGACGGCTCCACGGTGGATGACCACGCCCAGGAGAGCAAGAAGATGCCCTCCAAGAAGCGATCCCACAATGTGATCGAGAAGCGATATCGTGCCAATCTCAACGAGAAGATTGCTGAATTAAGAGACAGCGTTCCCAGTCTACGGGTGCTGTCGAAACAGTCTCACGGCAACTCCCCCGACGATGACGACGCGGAGGGAGTGACGCCGGCAAACAAGCTGAACAAAGCTTCCATCCTTTCGAAGGCCACGGAGTATATCCATCATCTAGAGCTGCGGAACAAGCGCCTGGACGAAGAAAACATGGCCCTGAAGACCCGTCTGCGGCAGCTCGACAAAGCTTTGGACCAGAGCGTCACCTCGGTAGCGTCTGCGTCCTCACCCAGCAATTGCACCGTGTCAACGGAATCAGGCTCGGGATCATCCCCCAGCGTGTTCTCACACACAGAGGAAATCTCGCATGAGACGCCCTCCAGTTCACTCAACCCTCCGGAGGGACTCATCAAGGTCCCGGACTACATCAAGAAGATGAGAGCCTCGTCGGCACAACAGGGTCACTACGCCGAGTCTTACATACAATACCGCAATCAAGGAAACGAATACGGCGGGGATGGGCGCAGGCGCTCCGTGTTTCCCAACAAGTACATGGTCGGTGCTCTAGCTGGTCTTATGGTCTTGGAGACGATGAGCCCCGAGAAAAAGACCGAGTCGACTGAGAAAGGTCTGCTGGCAGTACCGATGGGTCTTTGGAACCAACTGGATTTTTCCTCAGTTCGATACATTCACGCACTGCTGAGCTCGTCTTTGAATTCGTGGCATGTCAGGGCCATCCTTCACTTTCTTCTGACGGCAACGTTTGTCGTTGGCTGTGCCTTTTTCGTCTTCCTCTATCTGTTCAATTCTCGCCCAAGGCGACCACGCAATCTTTTCAAGACTGCCTCAGCCACTAACTCAGATGCCTCATCTCCGTTCAACTTCCGGCAGCAGGCATGGCTAACAAGCATCCAGCAAGTGGGAGTGCCCCGCCACCGATTCTTCCTGGAATGGTTCGCAGTTACCTCGCGATGTTTTGAATATTGCCTACGATGCCTTCTCGGCTGGAAGTTGTACTCCCACATCACTGGCATCACTGAAGAGGACGAGAAGGGCCGTGTGAAGACATGGGATATCGCCATCGACGCTCAACTAGCTGGTGGAGATCCAGAAATCAGCAAGAGCCGCCTGGTCCTCACAATCTTTGCCGCCGGTACCTTGCCACGGAGCCCTCTCAGGATGATGCTCAAGGCACTGCACTGCCGCATCCTGCTCTGGAGGGTTGGAGACCCGGGTACGTACACGTTCAAAGTGACCAACGATGTTGCTCGATACCTGGCGAATTACCAATGGCAGATGGCCCGGATAATGAACAAGCGGCTGCCCAAGGATCACCCGGATGCGCTGCCAAGTCATTTAGCCGCATTGCTACAGGTTGACTGCGAAGACGTGATGATCGACCCAATCGTGCAGCGCGCCGCCAACCTCACCTGGAACCGGCCTACCCAAGAAGCGGCCGACGATGATGAAGCTTTGCTCGACGTTGTGGTCGAAGACCCGGCAATTCAATCTGCCCTGGACTCTCTGGCGGCTTGGTGGTCTAGCCACATCCTACAGCGTGCCCTGCTGAGATCTTTCGAAGCTAGCTCAGCTGGTCCTTCAGCTAAGAAGAGCCGTGATCTTCTTTACAAGAAGATCAGCATGGCCGTCAACATTGCTCCCCGACCCTCCGCAGCCTACACACGAGCCTTGGTTATGAAAGCTGTCTTCTTCGAAGAAGACAGGATCCAGAATATTGGTGCGGTCCTCGCAGCTCTCCCATCGCCCAGAGATAGACAACGTCAGGCCTCGAATTTCCTGGACTCTTCTATACCCGTTTCCGTAAGGGAAGAGATTTCGATTGCCGTTCGTTGTGCTATGATTGCCGCTATCTTTAAGGCCAGGGCTACCGATGATACTGCGCTGCCAACTTCCCTGACACTGCACAAAGCGGTGACATGGTTTAACCAGCTTCCTATAGACCCTGTTGAGCTGACCATTTTGGGTTTCGCCGCCATCTATCATATACTCCATGTCGTCGCTACTGATCAAGATCTCCTCTCGCCTTCTTCTTCTGACTCCGGATCGTCCTCAGCACCATCTTCGTCGTCTTCTAGGGCTCCATCGAATGCCTCATCCGCTGATGATGAGGCGGATGATGAGCCACCAAGTTCACGCAGACGATCGAGTTCTGGGAAGACTGCCCCGCAATTTGGCCGCGTCGCATCCGATCTCGTGTACTGGGCTCGACATGCCTACAATCCTGCTTTCTACGGGTTCACTTCTGGCATCATTGAGATCGTGGAGGCAGAGTGTGCTGCCGTCTGCGAGAGTGTGGGCGTTGACATACATGGCCAGCTAACGAGTCAAAGCGAGAAGCTCCGCAATGTCCGCAGAGAAGAGCGAAAGAAGCGGAGAGCTGCCAAGCATCGCAGAATGTCCCGCCAGGAGTGTGAAGATTACGCTCTGGGGCGGCAAGAGGCAAAACGCAGTCGCAGCCAAAGCTTAAGCAGCAATGACACTGGCTATGGAAGCATCAGTCAGGAAGAAGAGGGCTGTGTCCCCGACGAGAGCCAGGAGGTCCAGCAGACCTCGTGATCTCGAGACTAAAGTCTCTGCAGTCTTTCCGATTTATCTTACACTTTCAGATTAGACACGCGGATATGAAGACGGTGTCCTTTTATTGTGGTGGTTACGATTGGCGTTCTGCGTTGATGACGACCATCATGTGAACTTCCCCGCTTGCTTACAGTTTCTCTTTACAATTTCTCTCGTCCTATGGACATGAGGATCCGATTATGGCTCTGGGCTACCGCTACCCAGGACTAAGCTCTCCTACTCCGGTGTTTTTGCTACGAAGATAAAAGCATTTCCGCTTTTTTGTGTTTTGAGTGTCGGTAAATTGTTTACGGGGCGCAATTCGGATGAACTCTTGGGCGGGAACTTTTAATATCACGGGTCAATATTTCCTGTTCTCGGCTAGAGAGTTACTTAATAGTATTTACGAAGAGGTGAATTGATGCCAGATATATTTCATTGTCCTTGGAGCAGGAAACTGTCCTAGTAGATGCGCCTCCCAGGCCAGTCCCTAAGATGCCCGCTTTTGGACGTCTGAAATGATAGTCGTAGCAATAACAGGGCAACGTGTCTGGCGCCCCGGCCGGCGGCTTCACCCGGCTGCCGTTCCCGCTGCGTGTTTCCATCATGTCCAAGTCTTGGCTCGAAAGGTCTGCCGCATGCAGGTATTTACCCCTGATCTCCACGAGGTTCTCGCAGCTCTATGAGAGGAGGGCTGAAAAACGCTGATAACGCCATACATCGAACAAGAGGCCCAGTGGGTCTCCCGACTGCAGACAGTAGTCTGGGAGATGGACGAGACGTTAGACAAGCTTCGAACGTTGTAACCGTTGAGTAAGACGAACTGCATTCATCACTTGACGCCACAAAAATAGTATGAATGTCGCTGATCATCCTCAGATATTCCAGAGTTGAGTACGCAAAGCCGTGAAGTTGCCATGATTCGTCCTACCTTTACACCATCTGCTCGTCAACCTTTGTTATGAATAGTACTCGTGATCATGAGAAACAGGTCAGTCGTCATTCGGACCGATGCTATTGAGAACTTCTTATGCTGTTTGAGAATAATACCAATGACATCCTAGATCTACAAGCACGAACTCTCAACCACTAAAGCAGATACTTCGACTCTGAACGTGACTTTCCTGTTCAACTCGCATCATCTATCTCGTCCTCACGTATTATATTATAGTACTCAGCGGGAATCCCGGAGATTCCTTGGCGATAGGCTCCAAGGGAGGCCATGACTGGTTTCGGTACTCCCCGTCCGCCCCGTGCCGCCTTTACACAATCGTGTACCCCTGGATCAGGACCGGCAGAGTCTTAATACCTGGGCAATGACAGAGATAAACTCTTACCATTGGGACTCAAGCTTTTTCTCTTGCTGTTAGAGATAACTTGAGCGCAAATGAGCTGCTGATCATTAGTGATCGACAGGGAGGACTCCATCTACATTCCAAACCACTACCAGGCACACTCCGCATTCTCATCGTTTTCGGATTACATTCTTCACAACGCACAATGAAATCACCACTGAACATTGGTTTATGGCTAATTGCCTTGGTCCTGATGATGATAGAGATGATCTTTTTCCAAAAGATACGCCTGCACTCCCGTGGGATCAAAAAACGGTTTAGCAAAGTCAACCTTGATGTCTTCTCTTCGTCACCCCACGAGGACATAGTTGAGGAGTAGAGCTGAACAGGCAAGATCGTCTTCTTTTAGTAACTCGTGAGGTCATGGATGCTCGTATGGATCTATATGTCTCTTCAAAGCATAAATGTCCCTGTGACTCCATAGCCATGGCTTCCCTGGGCCATCACGGCTCTTGGAAGGATGGCACAGCAGCAGAGACATCACCAGAATGATGCTGGGGAGGACTACCCCGAGCTCACGCCTATACTTGCCATCCCAGTCGCCGTCTTAGCGGTACTGGTCGTTTTTCTTTCCCTTGGTGGTGCTTCTACACAGCTACTACGACGGCGTCGATTGCGCGCCTCGCTCCATGATAATGTCCAGGAAATATATGCAAGGCCTAACATAGTTGCGGCAAAGTTGAAACGACATCTGTTCTATGCGCCACTGTTCAGGATCCGCCACAACAGAGAATTTCGGATTTTTCGAAAGATCCACATGGGAACTCTGCCATCCCGAATGATGATTATTTGGCTGTCTTCCTACATTGGCCTGAACAGCGTTCTTCTTTTCGTGACGGTAGACTGGTCTGCTAGTTTGTACTTTACGATGGACAGATGGAGGTATGCAGCTGGACACATGGCAATTTTCAATACCTTGCCTTTGGTATTGACCGCCGGACGGAACAATCCTCTCATATCACTTTCTGGGATATCGTTCGATACTTTCAACACCGTCCACCGCTGGCTTGGGCGTATTGTGTGCGTCGAGGCTGTTGTACATATGACCGGTATTCTGGTAGCTGTTGCAGCTCGTGGTAAGTGGAGTTTTCTTCCAGAATTCCTGCGCAAAAGCTAACTAGGATGCAGAGGGCTCTGGGGCGATCCTGGACATTTTTCGACATGAACCCTTGTTTCTCTATGGACTTATAGTAGGTCTATCAAATTTTAATTCTTGATCCAATTGACAAGATGACCGATCCGCTAATGCGTTTTGCAGGCCGTTGTTGCTTTCGTTGTGATATTCTTCCAAGCCGTATCACCATTACGGCATTCATTTTACGAATTTTTCCTGCATTTTCATATAATTCTGGTTATAGTCGCATTTGTAGCTTTGTGGTATCACCTACGGGGTCTGATGGCTCAGAATGTTCTTCTTGCCGCCGTGGGTCTCTGGGGTTTCGAAGTAGGTATACTCATAGGACGCTACATGTCGTACAATGTACTAACGGTGACTTCCAGAGATTGGCCCGAGTTGTTCTACTGCTTTGGCGAAATTGCGGGAGAAGATGCACAAGCGCTAGTATCGAGTTACTGTCCGGCTGTGTGGCTCGAGTCGATCTACAGATGGCACGCCCGTGGAACTTCAGAGCTGGGCAACACATCTATATGTATATCCCTGCTTTGGGGTTGTGGACATCGCATCCTTTCTCGGCTGCGTGGATCTCCACGGATCGAGCGTATTACCCGGAAAAGAACGAATCCAGTGACTCCTTAAAAATGTTGCTGGGTGCTCGGCAGGAGACAACGATCTCCTTTTTGATTCAGAGACGCGATGGATTTACGAACGCGATGTTCAAGGCTTCGGAGGCCTCGCCTGAAGGTAGAATTCGGGTCAGAGCACTGGCTGAGGGTCCCTATGGTATGGAACAATTCATCGGATGCAATTGAGCTTCGTGAGAGCATTCTTCTAACTCTTGACATCATCTAGGTGCCGTTCATTCCTTTGCCTCTTATGGGACTGTCTTGCTCGTCGCGGGCGGTATCGGAATCACTCACCCTCTGTCTCACCTGCGTGAACTTGTCCACGGCTTCTCGAATCGCACCGTGACGACTAGGAAAATCATCCTCATCTGGGTCGTCAAGAAAGTCGGTAAGTAATCCAGTAATCACCAACGTCAAGCTCTACATAGACATTGGAACTGACCTTTCAACAGAGAACCTCTTCTGGATCCAGCCCTGGATGAGCTCCATCCTAACACACCCTTCCGTCAAGGGCTCCACTCTGCATAACCCCCATCTCTATTTCCAGTCCCCTACACTCTCGCTTTCCGTCCACCTCTTCATCACCGGCCATGATCACAACACAGACGACTTCTTCCCCACCATAGACAATCCATGGACTAGCATGGCACCGCCCACTGTACCCCTGACCGTCAACCTGGGCAAGCCGCATTTCGGCCAGACTATTGAAAGAGAGACGATGCAGCAAGTGGGCGCTATGGCGGTGAATGTATGCGGGCCAGGAAGTATGGGTGATGATGTGAGGAAAGCCGTCCGCGATATTCAGGGGAAGAAGGCGGTTGACTTGTTTGAAGAGGCGTTTTCGTGGTAGTATTGATTTGACGAGGTGAATTTTCTTCCGGTTATACTTGTTGGGGGTTTGTTTGATACTAGTGCGCTTATGTTTATATGGGAAGTATATGGCCGCGCTTGGGGGTGTAATTGATAGTAGTAATCTGAATATATAATAACTCTATTTATTCCTTCCGGAGTTTATTGCGGATGAATTTTTGATGTTTCCGAAGCATAACTCTTCGGTCGAAAATCCAATCGGGACACGATCCCGTACATCAAAATAGACTCATTTATGTTAGGCCTGCGAGGAATCCTAAATAGCATACGGCGTACCGATTCAGAGATTAACCTCCTATCGACAGAGGCATTTGGACTGCTGATTAATCTTGACCGATCTTAGTAGAGCATGAAGAATCACCGCATTCCCACCCGGATACCACGTGGGGAATTGAGTATGGTACTACATCGTTGCATCCGCAAACAGATAACCGCCGATCAAGGCATGTCCGTCCATGCATGCTAAATTATGCATAACTAGGTATGCTTGTGTAACGTGCCTGAATATATCTGTCGGAGATCTAGCCGCATTGTCTTCGTTCTAAACACTTTTTCTTATTCTTCAAGCTACCCCCCACCCAGTCAGTGCTTATCGCTCAGATGCGCTATACAACGAACCGCTCATTGCGTGCAGGTTGCGGCTGAGAAGGACCGATCCGAGAATCGCCCCCAATCGCAAGATCGGCCGCTAAGAATACTTACTTACTTAGGCGTCCGACGGAAATCTTTTTTTTTTATGTTTCTTCACGAAGCGATCTTGACCTGAACCGTTGAACTTTAACTGTGATATATATGTCCAGTAAGACGAAGCAGGTCTCATGTTACCTTCGACTTAGATCGTGAATTTATCTGGACATTATTTTTTGTGTCGAGATACAACTCTTCTTGCCTACGGCGACATCGGACTCGTTTCTGGACGAACCCCTCTTTTTTCTTGGTATCTACAAAAGAAGCGGGACAAGATAGTAATAGTACATGCTTATATTTGGATCAACTGTCCCCCACCACCCCCACCTTGACCGTCTTCGAAAGTTACATTTGTTTTATTATCTGATCCGAAGATGACGCGGAAGATCCTCTGTCTTCATGGAAAGGGAACAAGTGGTGCGATATTTAAATCGCAGACATGTAAGTTGTCGCTGTTTTTTATTTCTCTGGTCGAAAATCATATCATGAGCCAGTCCTTGGGGAGGTAGATAGGAACTTGGAAACTAGAGCCATCGATGAGTCTTAACTGCATGCTAATTTATTCCATAATTGAAAGCTTCAATCCGTGCCCACCTCAAAGATCTCGATGTCGACTTCCATTTTATTGATGCACCGTATCGCTCAACCCCCGCCGCCGGCATCGATCTATTCTATCCGGGACCTTACTACTCGTTCTGGGAAAGCGAAGACGCCTCGCACATCGCTCACACACGCGCCTGGCTCAACCAACTCATCGCCGAATCAGGCCCTTACGATGCCGTGATGGCATTCTCACAGGGCTGCTCCGTGAGCGCCGACATGTTACTCCATCATCAGGCAGAGTCTCCGAACTCTCCACCTCCGTTCAAATCGGCCATCTTCATCTGTGGCGGACCCTTGCTCACAGAACTCGAGCGACTGGGCTACACCATCTCCCTAGATGCATGGGAGCGGGATCACGCATCGCGCAAAGCGCTCGCTGAGCAGGCTGATGTCAGCGCTATTCTCAGCAAGGGGTCCGCGCGCTGGGGTGCTGGTTTGGATAGCGCTGCATTACCGAGTTTTGATGAGTTGACGAGCGAAATTACAGGGCCGTATCAGATCCAGGTCCCTACGGCTCATGTGTATGGTGCGAAGGATCCGAGGTATTTCTCTGGCGTGCAGTTGGCGGGATTGGGTGAGCCTAGTAAGAGGAAGGTGTTTGATCATGGAGGCGGGCATGAGATTCCTAGGACTGATGTCGTCAGTAGGACGATTGCGGATATGGTGAGGTGGGCGGTAGATCAGGGAAGGAGGTGTTAATGTGGGTATAACTAGATTTTTTGAATCTGTTGGATCATGATAAGCATCGGAGATGTTCAAGTGTGTGTTGATCAGATGAGATTTCATGATTAGTATACAGAAATATCGCACATTAGAAAAAATAGAATTCGGTACATGAATAGAATAAGCTAGCATCATAATAATCACATATCAGGTCATAATCACATATTAGTTCTCTTCGTCATCGCTTCTTTATAGTTCACCTTCGGCCCTTTTCGCCCTGCATCTATCGTCACTGAGTCAACACGATCACTAGTAATTTCTCTCCCCTCCAAAACCTCCACAGCGGCTTCAATGCCATCTCCTCGTTTCAGAAGATCCAAATCCGGCATATCGGAATGCTTAACCCCATCGATAACCTCATCGATCTCTTCCAGCGTCTTACCTTTAGTTTCGATCCAGAAGAGTATCACGAACAGAAGTTCCAGTATATCCCACGCGCCGTTGATCATGTAGATCTTCCAGCCGATTCGGTCCAGGGCGATTGGAAAGGCGAATGTTACGAGCAGGCTGCGGTTGTATTTGTTAGTTAGATAGGGTATCTCTCTTGTAGAATCACGTCTCTTGTTAAGGAAGGATGGAATGAATGAGTGAGTGAAGAAATGGAACACTCACCCTATACCCGACGAGAAAAACGTATAGACCCCCATTCCATTCGCGCGGATAGAGTAATTCAGCACTTCTGGCGGATACATCACGGTCAAAGGCGTCCAGCCGAAACTATACGAGCCCTGAAAGAGAAAGATCGACGCTACGGTACCGTAGATTCCTGACGTGTCTGTTGACGAGCCATATACTTTTGTCAGGACGCCAATGATGAAGATGAATATCGTCACGGCAGTGGTGCTGCTGATGGCGAGGAAGCGACGGCCTAGTCTCTCGGCGAATAGAGAGCCGATTATGCTGGTCACGAGGCAGAAACAGTTTAGGATGATGTTGATTTCGAGTTGAGTTGTGGAGTTGGTTACGCCTGCGTGGTCGAGCATGTCGCCGAGGTAGAATGATATGATGTTATTTCCTATTTTTTACTTCGTCAGTTTGTTTCCGGCCGTGCTGGCTAATAGAAGCGCAGATAGACGTACCTGAAAGCATAGAAAATACCGCAACGGAAGTCGAAAGGAGGAGTCTCTTCCTACTAGACTTCGACTTTACAATCTGTACCATACTGAGCTTTTCACCATGATTCTTCTCCCATTCAATCGTGTCTGTGATTTCTTTCAATTCAATTAAGACAGCGGGATCGGAGTCGTTTCCATTCGAATGTGTCGCAGCGAGTGCTTCCCGCGCTTCTTGATGACGACCCTGATAGACCAGCCATCGTGGGGACTCGGGAATGAATGGGAGGATGGCGATACATATAATGCTAAAGAGCGCTTGGAGGATAGAAGGGATCCGCCAAGCCCATGTCGATTCGATATTTGCTGTACCATATGTGATTCCAGCTGCGAGGAGAGCGCCTATCAATCAATCAATTATCATGATTAGAAATCATACCACGGTATTCTGACACGATGGAATGAATATCCATACATACCAACATACCAAAAGTCAAAAAACAACCCAAGCGTAAAAGCGCGCCATGTATACGGCACCGTTTCGGCAAGATACGTCGGCGCCGCAGCTGCTGAGACACCGGTTCCGAATCCAATCACACATCTGGCGACGATGAACATGGCAATATTTACCGCGGCAGACTGCAGCACGATGCCGATAATCGCGATGATAGCAGCAACGAGTAGTGTTGAGCGTCTTCCGATGCGGTCGCAGAGAAATCCATTAATTGTTCCGGCGAGGGCGTTTCCAACCATGACGATTGACGTGTTTAGTGCCGTTGTCACGCTGCTGAGGTGGAAGTAGTCGGTATAAGATGGGAGGATGTTTAGACCGTTCCTGTGCTGGTTAGATGTGGGTTCTATGTGTTGGGTTCATGTATTGTATGTATGTATGTATGTGTGTATGTACATACATCATCGAGCCATCGTAGCCATAAGTCTGTATAGCTGTTAGATTCTGTGTATTTGCTTTGTGATAGAGGGACGTCTTATACTGTTGATTGCACCATACAGGCACCTATGAGGAGCGCAACTAGTAGACGTGAAGAACGAGGCACGAGTGCTGATATGTGTCTTGTGCTTGTATTGGCCATTTTCAATGAAGAGAAGGGTCCTGTAGTATCAAATAATGCTTGTATAAGCTGTCATCTTTCAACGAGATAGTTGTCGACTATAAATATAGCCCCTTGCTCTTCGAGTGATATGTGATGCATGCAGTATAGACAGAAAGTAATAAACGTGATCAACGTGATCAATTCCATATCTTGAACGAACATGGTTACTGTAAACGAGGAGCTCCAGACAGAGTGATAAGGGCATGGCTTCTGATAACAATACAGAGGAATATAAGGTCGGCGGGCCCGCATCGATCAGATTAGATTATGTGATATAAGTTAGACTGTGCGATCATAATAAATTAAGCCAGTTGTCGGACACTCCGCTGAATGATAAGGTGTTAATCCCTGTCTGCTGGTCTTTGAGATCGGTAGCGGATGCAGCCGAAGATAAGTCGTGTTTAATGTGATTTGTGGGAGTGGAACACATCAAAAATGGGATTAAAGATCGGTTACTCGTTATAGACAAGGGAGGCATATAATAGAGACCTCTCCGGTCCTCCTGCTTTCTCATGTGCGTGCCGCCAAAAGAACCGTAACGTCGGAAGATAAAGAGTACAAGCCAACATGCCCACACTCACTGCATGGCCGGAATGGCCTGAGTTTGCCTCATCAGACGTTCGACCTGAAGACGAAGAGGAATTCAAGGAGTATAAAAGACAGATAGTAGATGAATATGGGGAAGAAAACATTCGCAAGGCGTGGCTCAAGACCTGCGATGACCTCAAAGCAATCACTGCTATATTATCAGAGAAGGGCTCTTCAGTCATTCCGGTATTAGACTTCGATGATCTGCAGGACTTGAGCGAGGAGAAGGTGAAAGAACTGAAGAAAGTCGGCTGCTTCGTGATCAGGAACGTTATACCCGCCGCAGAGGCTACAGCCCAGTTTGAGAATCTGAAGCAATATGTTTCCGAGAACAGGGATTCATTGAAAGGTGTGTGAAGCGATCTATTCACAGTCAATTCAGCGCGACTGATACAGAATAGCATGGCCTGCGAATAACCCATCAGTATACCGACTCTTCTGGTCTCCGACGCAACAAGCTCTGCGAGCACATCCAAACCAGTTACTCGTTCAACGCATCCTCAATGGTTTCTGGCATGATGCATCGCAGACAACGTCTCCGGATCCGCTAACGTACGCGGATGCTGTGCGAATCCGCCCCCCAGGGAAGCCTTTCTATGGACTCGGTCCGCATATCGACGCGGGAAGTCTCTGTCGCTGGGCAGACGCCGGATATCGAAAGGTCTACGACTCGATATTCTCTGGCTTCCCGGAAAGATTCGACGCTTATGACCTTTCAACCAGAAAAGACGCGGACCAAGCAGCCTTCGAAGGCTCTGCTCACTCCTCAGTCTTCAGAGCCTTTCAGGGATGGACTGCATTGACAGGGACCAGACCCAGAGAAGGCAGCCTCCTGCTATATCCATATGTAGGCACCGTCATAGCATATCTGCTACTTCGTCCATTCTTCACACCTCCACAAGAAGACGTGATGGATGCGTCCAAATGGTCCTTCAACCCGGACAATGCTTGGTTTCCTGGCACCCGCAAGGAGAGCAGCCAATATCTCAGCCGAACATCACACCCTCATCTCCGCCTTGAAGACTGCCTCGTTCACATCCCAGAAATGCGTCCTGGAGACACTGTTTGGTGGCATTGTGATGTGAGTTCAAACTTCACGGCCGTCAGTCAAATATATTGAGCTAACGGAAACATATACAAGATGTGCCATGCAGTTGAAGTTGAACATGCTGGCAAGCACGATGCGAGCGTGGCGTATATTGCAGCAACTCCGACGACACCTGTCAATGTTCGGTATATAAAGTCCCAGGCTGAAAACTTCCTTGCAGGCTTGCCTCCGGGGGACTTCCCAGGTGGAATCAATGAGACGAAGTTGAAAGGGTACTTGGGAGAAAGCGGGATTCCGAATCGCGAAACTGGTCGGCGTGCGATGGGCTTTGGTCTGCTAGAGTTAGCTGACGCTCCTGCTGTTGCCTGATATGATGGAGTATACACGATAGCGTAGGTTATGCACTGATCTAGGGCATACATTCTTCCAAACTGAAGGAATGTCGTCCATAATAAGTGCCTACACTGATGTGCCACAATCATGTTATACAAGCGTTTTATTTGCCAATGACGTGTCTTCTAGTTCATATGAATATTTCTATATAGTGCACTAGATCCTAATTAGGTAGGCAGGTGAAAAAGGCTCCCTGTCCCTAGCATATAAAATTCAAAAAGAAATGTCCAGGAAGGAGACACTGGGCCTATTTCAATATGTTTGTATACGAATCAAATAAGTACTGGTAAATTGGACCTAGAATGGAGTAGCTAGAACCTTCGACGTGGCACGGGAGTATGTATTTAACGGAGTGGGAATTAGATGAACAAACAAACAAACAAACAAACAAGTCAAAACAAACTCTTTGAATTTGAATATATAAACAAGATTAGATTGTTTGGCATTTACGAAATAATACTTAGCTAAAGGGGCATTGTTTGCCCCAAGTAAAGATCTGAAAACACAATGATAACGTGAACGGATGATTCAACCTTTCGCTTGGGAGCACTATATGAAAGGCATGCCGATCAATTATATCCATGCTCTGAATGGATATGATTGACGAACTGGTCTAGCGATTGTTACTTGGGCAGTGTCGCTGCCTGAAACATCATGCATGAGGCAGCTGGGATAATCAGCCGCTAGATAGGCTCAGCCTTGTCCCAGCAACCAAGGGTGAGCTAGGTGCAGTGCAGGAGGTGAGGCTCTACATGTAAGCCTAGCGAAGCCAGTCAAGCCCAGAACCGTAGAGGGAAGCCCGAAGAGAGATCTGGTTGGGTGGTCGATCTTGTTGTTCAGCTCGAGGACCGTGCATGGCCGTCCTGTTGCTGCGATTGGCATCGTTGAGCGCAGCAAGTTGCGCCAGCGAGGCCGAAGCATTCACGATCAATTTTCGCCCAACAGAGACCAATAGTATCAGATAACGCCATACGGTTTCTGCGCAAGTACCCAGTACCGGACGTCACGTCCCGCACGAGAGCCTCGTTCAACCGCAGGACTTTTCGGTCAGCCGGACAACCTCAGCCCAGCCAGTCCTGCAAGGTGTCTATAAGTACTGCGCCGCAACCAAGACGAATTTTTGGTGTAGAGATTGTCACACTGCATATTTTCATTTGTTTCGAGGACGTTGGCATCAATATAGTGAAATGTGGTTCGATGGAAAGGAGCCCGCGTTTGCAGGGTCACTTCACGTCTTTCCATGGATCTTTCCATGGGGCTTCATCATATACTATATACTAGCCTCGTTGTTTTCAGCCAGTCTTTGGTTTCTCCTTGCCTTTACCGGGAACATAGCTTCCTCCATGGCTACCACGTTCGAAGGGCCAGGTCTTGGTTTTCTCTGAGATGGTGAAATTGCGAGACGACTCGTTCAAATGAACGTTGTTGTCAACGGTGTTGGACCGATGTTGAGGCTGGTATTTCGCGCTTTGTGGGATGTATCCACCTCCGTGTCGCTTGGACCAAGATTCCTTGCGAGTTTAGTTAGGACTTCGAGTATATTGGGAGTGGATATACCTGGGGGGATCCCATGACAATAAACAGGGAAGACTCTCGGCTAGACGTAGACAGCAGTTCTCAAGACTTAGTAGGATATGAATCATAAAGGAGTAAGAAAAAGTAAGGAGCAAGGAGATTGCAGGAGACAGCGTTTTGCTAGTGGAGACATTTGGCAGCTAAGTCAGACACAATTAATAATTCTGACTCGTTGGCTTATGACCGGTGCAGCCAAAGCTGTATTGATCCTAAAAGTCCCAGCGGCAAGTTTCGATTTAGCCTGGCGAAAGACACGCGGGATAATGTACACTGTACCTATGTAAAGAATGAGGCTGAGCATCATTATTGTCCCATGTTTGTCCGGGTGATAATTACGCCCCCTCCCATTTCTTCTTTCTCGTTCCTCTTCCTCGAGCTCTGTTTAGCCCAGGGCAAGATCTTCTGTATCAAAGTGGAGTTCCAGTGGGATTATCTCTGCTTTTCACCTTGGCTTACCGGAATCTTTATTCGCTACAGAGCTTCAAGAAGCTGTGCAGAATAAAGTGCATTATCCTTCACCTAGGTTATACATTGTTTCTTGCACGCTATGTTTTCTCAAAGTCTTCAGCCGAGACTCTCATCGGAGCAGTCCTCCTTTTTGGTCATTTTTACTCCTCAGGTGGCAATTGATATTGCATTGCTCGCATTGCTTATCAGCTCATGTCTTATTAGAAGGCCGAGACATGATCCTAAAGCGATTCCTTTCAAAACCCTCTTTGTCTCGCTTCTCGGTAACATTATGTAAGTGTCACCGTGGCCTGTGACTTTTGTATACCAGGCAAGAACGTTCTTTATTGATATACCATGACAGATCAACCAGTCTCGACGCAGTCTCTATATGGCGTGATGGTCTACACTCGTACGCCGCAGTGGTGGTCGGGGATATTTGCAGTTATCTTCCAACATTCCTTATTGCGAATGTATTATATCGACTTACGTATGCCTACAATGCGCAACGTCACAATAGGCGCATTAAGCCACATCTTCTGTCAAACGTGCATGGGAGTATTTTGCTAATCCTCTTCGTGCTTTCTTTCGTATCGACCATAACGTCCATCATCGTCACATTTACGCGAAACGACCTCTCTGAGTCCTCTATTGAGATCGCCAATGATAAGATCGCGTTCGCATGGGAAATTCTCTTCTTAATTTCTTCCGTAGAGGTTATGCTTGAGATATTTATTATTACCTGGAGACCAAAGGACCTGGGACTGTCTTCCAAGGTAAGCCGTCCCCAAGGTTTATGAATTGCACCGGTCAACAGCTGACTGACAAAGGGAATAATTTCCTTGATACTTGGGAGCTTTTTCTTTTTCTTCTGGAACTTATTTAACCTTGTTCCGGGTATTCAAGCTCAAAACCTCCACTGCAGATACGATTACTACCCTTGGGGGTTGTCTGCTTTCTGCCAGTTTCTCCCTATAGCAAACGCCATCGGTTTGACTGGGTCGTACACAGGGATTATCTACTGTTGTATGCAGTGGCATAAACCAGGGACCCGTGGCCCAAGAAAACCAGTTACGGAAGATGAGACGACGCACGTACTTACTGCCTCCGAAGAGAGTCTGCGTTAGATCATGGACTGCTCAATCTTAATATGAATATCTTGAAGGTCCTCTGGTTGGTTTTATGGATGAAGCCATGGGAGGAGGACGAAGGAGAGGACGGATATCATTGGTTTAGTGCCCGGGATCTGATTTCTATGTCCACTCCATCTTATTCGGGCGTTTATTGTATTTAAACTGATTAGTTGTTATTATGCGTTTCTGAAAATTTTCTGGCCAATTGTATCCCTCAAGGTGTCCACCTCCAACCCTCGATTGCGTCGCAAACCATTGCAAACCCTCGACAGCGGTATACCCTTGATGGACACACGCCAAAAGACAAGGACCAGTAAAGTCAAAGGGATTGATATCAGCCAAAATATCCAGAAACTCTGCGACATGTGCACCATGGAAGGGTCGAAGTTGAAGAATTGACTTCCAAACACAGTCTAAATGGTCAGCCATAGGCTTCCACATTGGCTGCAAAGGGGGAACTCACGGATACGGTTGATAGTGGCAGAAATACGAGAGTCACAAATGCAATGGTTTCCATGGAACTGCTATCTGCTTGCATGATTCGATTGCCGTCTTGCGTGACGAGGTGGAAGGACTTTGGTCAGGATAATGTCTATTAGCCTGTCTCCTTGGTCTAATCGAAATAAATGAATATTGAAGACATACCAATGCAATAATATTCTGTATCCGTTTTTCAAGACTCTTCAGGCGCAAACTAATTGATTGGAACTGCGTTTCAGCGTGTGTCAGCATACCCTGTGCCCTTTCAGCTACAAGGCGATCTGAGTCGGGGACCATCTCGAGGAAACGTTCATGGTGCCGGGACAGACTCTTCAAAGTCAACAGCATAGCTTCAGCGCCCTCTTGGAGAAACAATGTATGCTTGGAAACATTATGCAGGCCGGTGAATGATTCCCTGTTCCTTGCCATAGCCAGGGTATTCTGGGAACGTCAGCCCAATGCCGGCAAATTAAGTTGGGGGGTTGAAAATACAAATTCAATCTGTCGAAAAACATCCATGACATCCCAAACCGTGTTTTCCATCTGCAGAGACAGCTCTTCCAAGATGATTGCAAAGAGACTGTACGGGTCAGGGGTGACGCTGCTTGATATTGATGAGGGCGGAATCTGTTGAAGACGTTCTTTGAGGGAGACCGGTGCCTCAAAACAGATAAGCGTTACTTCTGGATCGTGGTTTGAGTCTACTGCCCATCGCAGAAAATATCCAGAGCGTATCCATGTCGAGTCTCCGTGCTGTAGTTGCGGTGCTCCTGGTCTGGGATCGGATATCCACGCCCTATCGTGGGAATCACGCGTTATGGTAATGTTCTTACACAGATAGTGGAACCAGGCACCTTGGGGGAGATATACCGTTAATCTTAATATCCATCTCAAAAACATCTCAACCGCTTACGTACAATTATAGTTATTTATGTTGTTCAAAGCTCCAAATGAGTGTGTTACCGACCGCAGTCTTCCTGCAAGGAATGCAGACGGTACATTGTAGTGATCAAAGAGCCTGAGAAAGCCTCCTGCAGAAACACTGTTTGGGAGGTCCAATGGTGAATAACTATTGTTATATTAGCCGAAATCAATATCTATGAAGCAGAGGAACCAACATGATCCGTAGTAAAGGTACAGGCAAGTTAGCTAGTTCGGACACGGCAACCTTTCGCCAGATGGGTTGACAGTCACCTACATGACTGGTGAGCTGTAATCAATAGCAGTGCATGTTCAAATGATCCTTGATTTACCATCGGACGTCCGGACCCAATCAAGGACCTCTATCGTCAAAACATGGGAAGAAAACGAAGAGTAGCTAGAAGCTCCACGTTTGAAAGCGTCCAAAAGCGACTGGTCTTGGAAAATAGACATGGTAAGTGCTCGATTCTGTTGCATTTACTCCGTACTGCAACTTGAGAAATAAATGACCAGGGGGGCGCAGCCTCGCAGCCTCGCAACCCTGGCCGTCTCAGTTGCCTCAGTTGCCTTCTTACCAAGGAGGCCAGCCTCACGGCGCTAAGTAAAGGACGGTTGGCATACTTATAACGTGCTGTTGACAGGTCACTTTCAAAAGCGCTTTGGCCATTTTTTGGTCTCTTGGCTGTTACAATAAATTCTTTGCACCTGAGGACTTTGAAAGAGCAAACTAATCCACTCTCCTGGCGCGTCACGATCAAGCCATGCAGACCGATCTTGAACTCGGACGACTCCATCGACGTCGGTATGTCCACGAACCAGATACGAACGGCACATTTTCCTCAGTAAGGCTCTCTCTAGCAATTTGTATGGCTTTACGGAATTTGATCATTGAAGTATTCAACATGCAGGGCCGGGATATTGCTACCGATCAACAAATAACCGATGACCTCGCAAAGGTGGGTTTACTCCTACCATTTCTGGCGTCATACTGACTTTGGAAAGTGCCCAACTTACTTTGAAATATATCTGAAACCAAGTTCATACTCGGTGAATGGCTATGGTATATGCCCACCAGGAAGAAAGTACCAGTCTGCGGAAATATTTCGCCATAAAGATAGCTTAGGGCGTGTGTGGACTGGTCCTGAAGATGACCGATACCTGAGCGCCACGGACGGGCGACTCGCAAGTCTGGTAGTCCAAGCGTCCGAGGAAATACGGGATGGCCCCGCTAATTCAACCTGGCCTCGGAAGGCAATGGAACCGTGTACCCCAACCATTCTTCAGATTGTCTACGGGCTTCTGGGGCCTCAGCTCCAGAATGATCCAGATGCGTCATGGTTTGCCGTGTGCTTGTGGTGGTTGCCATCCTGTTTAACCATTGCTGCTCTGGTAAGGTGGCCTCCAGGCCATGTGCATGATATGTCTGACATTATCTAGCTCTTTATTCCAGCTGATCTCGGTGGTGAGAGGAGAAATAATGGTCGTTACGAGCAGTTCAAGTATCACTACTGGGGTTATCCAAAGGTTCCAGCCAATCTCCATGAGATCCCAACATCGAGGGACAGTATTTTATCGTTCCGTCATCAAAAGGAGAATGGCTTCTCAGAACGACTTCTGCGCCCGAGAAGACTGTGCTTGCTTCAAGATGAGGAAGGGATTCAGATTATTGACAATGTCAGCGAATGGGAGGCAGTACATGGAAGCATTGAGTATTTGTTCGTCTGCTATACCACTGAGCAGTTCAGTCATGACGAGAGTGAAGAAGACATGGATGAACTGCATCGCATTGCCGAGGCTGCAGCCCGAATGGCTGGAGTTGCTGCTTACTGGATTGCATGTAGCTGTATGCCAGGAGATCAGGACCACTCCGAAGATGTCTACCGGATCAGTGATGTCGTCCGGGGCGCCCATTCAATGGCGGTAATTATCGGACCTCCTCGCGGTTCCAACCCAAGCCCAAGGGAAATGCTCCGTCAATTGGGAAGCAGGATGTGGACCTTCCCAGAGGTCCTTCTGAGTCCATCGAGCCGGCCTATTTCGATATACATGCGTGGTTGTGACCCAGGGTCCTACCGCACTCTGTCCAAGCGGGACTTCGCCATTGAGGCCTGGGGAGACGCTGGTGTCTCAAACCAGCTTATCGATCACTATGAAGGCTCAATCATACTCAGCCCTCTGGAGCTAGTTTCCATCGCATTGCAATGCTTTCCGAACCGTCATACCGCGGACCACTACCAAGGAGACCTTTCATACGCCTTGATGGGTTTGTTGCGACGCCGCCCACAGGTCACCAAAGATGATTCGGCTTTTGAAGCTTTTTGTCGACTATCCTTAGCCAATGACAGCGACCAGCTGATTGAGCGGCTGATATGCATACTCCCTCGAAACATCAAAACACCCTGGCATGAAATCGACGACTTTTGGGACAGTAACCTTTGGGACATCGAGCCTCATTGCCAAGTTGTGGGTCTCGGGGGCGGCGATACTGTGATCCTCAGTGGTGCCTTTGGTGCTCCTATCCGTTGGAAATCGTTCGTTCCAGTCAACCTTTTGATGCGGGACACAATAACACGTGCGGTGACCAGAGTTGTTTTGCGCAGTAGTCCTGTTTGGCTCTTGCCAGGCGTCATTTTGCTAGCAATCAGTCAGTCCAAAGGAGGCGCTTTGACTCCGGTCACAGCGATGGGGTGGATATTCGTAGGTCTGTACATTTTAGTTATATTGGCTTCCCCATATTTCATCTACTCTCTTTATGTTGGTAAGACATGGGCTGCGCAACCATGGCTGTTCGGGTTCGAAGGTTATATGGACATCGGTGAAATTGAGACACTGATCTTCGGCATCAATCTTGGCCGATTGAAGTGGAGTCCATTCTCCAGTGATCTCTCATTGCATGAAGACCAGGACGGTGAATGCGTCGGACAAGATCCCACTCAAAGTGAACGCATTGCAGAGTTCGTGTCCCAGGCCCGAGATTCCCAGTATGGGGATCTCAAAGTCTTCACCTTAGTCGACACCAATACTTTAACCGTCACCCTATTCCGGGCTGTCCGTCCACCGGTGGCCATGCTGCTTTGTGGCAGCGAGGGTGGCATGCAGCGGGCGCTGCTTTGTTCCTACGATTGGAAATCTCAAACCCTCTATCGCGAAAGTGTCCTGCGGGTGGACACGCTCGTCTTGGAACATATGTCCCGCGTGGGTCGATTCCGGCTTGGGTTAGAAAGGCCTGTAGCGGAGACGGTGAGGGCAAGTGGTTAGCAGTACTATACACTCGAGTCAATTATGATCCTGAAATATAGCTTCCGGCAAACATCTAATTATCCTTTACTTGCACGGACCCAATGTGTTTTAAGAAAATGCCATTGCTATTGACTTAAAAGATAAATCAAAGCTGAAAAACAAAAGAAAAGAAATGGTGAGAGGTCCTGCTAGAGTAACATTATCCCGAGATCTTTGTTTCCCTGACCAGCTTCCATAGAAAGTTTATGCTTGGGCACTTGTCTGTTCCGGCACATAAGGAGTCTCATAAGGCCGTTCGGCCTGTGGTGTGATACGAGCCAAGTGACGGCGCTCACCAGTCTTCCAGTCAAGAATGGCCGAGTGTGCAGTGATGCGGTTCTGAATGAACTGTTAGCCTTTGACAAGAACGTTGAGAAAATATTTGCAGCAGTAACTTGGACTTACATCCCAAACGACAACTGTTTTAGGGGCCCATCGGACACGAACTTGGTAATCAATGCCACGTCCAACATGGTTCAAGAGGAAGCCTAGCAGTGAGTCACTTTCCTCTTTCTTCAGGCCGACAATGCTTCGGGTGACTACGCATTTATTAGCAACCATAATCATACTATGAAGATCCTCATAGCCGGGTATTCTTACAGCCACCGTTTACAAAGAGAGCTTTCTCCCCGGTGACGGGATGCGTTCGAACCAACGGGTGCTCGTTCTTCACAGGTTCTCGCCGGACAACGCCGCCGCGCTTCTTGCTAAATTCTGCCTGTTCAAACCCCGAGTGAACTGCCTTGAGGCCGTGTAGCCTTTCCTTAATCGCTGGCGATAGGCGGTTGTATGCCTCAACCTGATCGACGAAGGCGGTATCACCACCCACTTCCGGAGTATCAAGGATATACAAGAAGGTCGTGCCAGGGGGTTGCTGCTCATACGTGACATCGGAATGCCATCCAACACTGCTGTTTCGGTCCGCGAAGAAGGCATCGATTTCGCTCTTGTCGCCGTAACGGTGTACCAGGTGAATCTCAGGGTACCCTTCTGGGGCACCGCTAGTCGGGTGGATGTGATGACGGCCAAAGTAACCTCCAAAGTCCAGTGCCTCTTGGATTGGCAGGTCGGCCAGATCCTGGTCACGGAAGACAACAACCTTTCGTTGAGCAACGAGTAGGGCGAGTTGGTCCTTGCCAGCCTTAGAGAGCTTGCTCAGCTGAACACCTGTGACTTCGGAGCCGATAGTCGGGGCTAGCTTCTGAATCTTGGACCCTTCAGGCAAGAGGTCTTTGAAGGAAGGATCGGCGTCTTTGCCATGATCAACATGGACAAACGGTTCCAAAGGAGGGTATTTCTCGCCGTGGTCCCAAACAGGGAGGTAGTTAGGGTACTGAGAGGATTAGCTGGATGTATTTCGGAGACTGAGTGTTTCAATGGATTTTTCAATGGACTCTTACACTTGCTGTTGTCTGGCCCCCTTCTTCCTCAATGACTCTCCTGACCTTGGGCTTCTTGTCAGTAGTTTCCGGTGCGGTCTTTACTGGCACCGTAAGTGGTGCCGTCTCCGTATTTTCAGGAAGGTCCGCAACAGAAGGTGCCATTCTTGTTTTGTGAAGATGGGAATTTAGATGTCAATTTTGGTTTGGAGATGAGAAGTGCCACTGGAAGTCTCCAGAGAGATACACCACCCTCTATATAGCACTGCTCTACCATACACCTGATTGAGCATCTCACCTAATTATGCCACAGTATGGCGTCTAGAATGCCAAGTATATATTGTGCCGTTATAACCGGCGGAGAATAAAAGATGAGCATGCAGTCGTATATCGCGATCATACAAGCAACCCCGCAATCTAGGTTACGTGCGTACGTCGCCCCATCGGCAAACTAGATAAAAATTAACTGGAGGCCAGTGAATATAGAGATACAGACTATAATCACTATCAGTTTCTACAGGCGATGCGGACATTCAAATGGTTATGGAATTATGTTGGGTCTTTTGTCTACACTGTCCGTGTCTACGTACGAGGCGAAACCCCTCCTGCTCGAAGCGCGATTACCGTTACGAATGACACCTTTCCAAGTTTTTAATACAATTGGCCGATATGTAGACTGAACATGTGTGGTGAATATCCAATATCACTGAGACTTTCGCAGTCTATTTCATGACGTGCTCGGATCCAGGATAGCGTCATGCCACTACTTGTCACCAGCTGGATTCGACTGATATACGGTGTCCTTATCAATAAAAGTATTGATTATTTGCTGATTGTAGAATCGGAAGCATAATTGAAGGTGGCAATATTTGCTAATGCAACTGAATGCCATAATTATAGGTGGGAATAAGAGTCACGTACATGCTTGACCTCTAAGCTCTGATGTATGCTATCTTCAACTTACAGTATTAACTATGTACATGTTCGAAATGGCATCCGATTTGTCGAACAGGATAGGTAGCATATTCTATCTCATGCAGCCTGATATTGATTACGCCGCTGTATAAGTAGATATCCTCGAAATTATTAATATAGAATAATAATTGTAATATAGGACCTTAGAACGAACCGAAAATAAATCTATAGCTCCCAGCTCAACTGTTATATGATGGTCCGAGCACGGTTAATGAAGATTTGCACCCTACTACTGAGGAGTATCTGACAGGTCTTATACTGCCGTAGGTTGCCGCAGGGTCTTAGATTTAGTTTTTACTCTAGATTTAAAGGTAGGATCGTGATATTCTTTTCATTGAGCATTGTCCTTGCATTTAGAATCTGCTTTCAGGTTCCCGTAGGACCTTGCGGGTGGGAAAATGTCTAAAAATGTAATAAAGTGTAGTAAAGCGGACTGTGCTTACCGCTTATAAGGGCTCTGTTACTATAAGTCTCGCGATACTTAAGTATGCTTTATCTATCTGTTAGTGCCGGTAGCTTAAATAACTCTGGTAGTACTAATGATATAAGAATTGGCTTATACTTAGAGTAAAAGCTGCGTTATCTTTTTTTTTTTTTGACATTTATTTCTCAAGATAATTAATAGTATAATTGAGCGTCTAGCAGAGCATATCGCGTCGCCGCGACTAAGTCTCTTGCTGCTAAGCCGAGGAGACGAGCTAAAGTCATAGAGTAATTATTGGAAATAGGTTAGACTTTAGGCGGGGGGGGGGGTTAAGTTTTATACTTTCGTAGTGTAACTATACTATTTTTACATATAGACTTTGATGTCGACCAAAAAGAAGCACTCCTAGGTGGTCTACCTGGATCTTTCACGGACTTCTCAGCAAACGGGGCAATCTATATGTCCTTCCTACTCTATATTTGAATTACTTATCTTCAAGTAGTGCGTGAAACGATCCCTCGTATTAGAATTATTTGGCTACGCATGAAAGGAGGACCCGTTTTGCAATCGTAGCTTATTACTTATTCAGAGCCAAATAGCTCTTTTCTTCTCCGATATTCATACCCTCATAAGCCTCATCCTTCGTTATATCCTCCAACCCAAAAACAACCCCCAACTACAAACTCTTCTCAATCGTCCCCAATTCCGCCATGACCTCCCTAACAACCTTCTTCGCCGCCTCTGGTGCCTCCTCATACGGCGTTCTCGGCTTCAACTTCTCCGCTGCATCCTCAATCCCAGCCTCCTTCGCCGAAAACACCGCCACCGCATACTTCGTCGACGCAATCCCACTCTTACACGGGCTTTCTGCCAGTGCCGCTTTACGATGAAGGTCTAGCGCCTCTGCCGTCTTGCCCTGTTTATATAAGGAGTAGATATGCGAGATGGTTTTGGGAAACACGTTCGCGAATGCGGCGATGCAGCCTGCTGAGCCGATAGATAGTCCTCCAAGGAGGAAATCGGACTGGCCGCCAAAAATGGAGAATTGTTCGGGAGGGAATGTTGCTGAGAGACGGGTGATTTTGCCCACGGAGGCGCAGGTGAGCTTTACGCCGACGACGTTGGAGATTCCTGAGGGGTTGGTGGATGCGGAATCGCGGACGATGGCGGTGATTGTGTCGGAATCGATATCTACTCCGTTCGTCACGCCGGGGAAGTTGTAGATTACTACAGGGAGCTCAGCTTTGGCGGCGATGTCGGCGAAGAAGCGCTTGATGACCGGAACGGTGGTGGCTTTGCCGAAGTATGCGGGTGGGAGGACAAGGAGGTAATCGGCGCCGGCTTCCTTTGCGTCTGCTGCCAGTTCGAGAGTCTGCTTGGTCGAGTGCGCGCCTACGCCGGCCATGATGGGGTAGTTAGGGCCGACGGCCTCGCGCGCTGTCGCGATCAGCTGGCGACGCTCTTCGCGGGTCAAGAGGAAGGCTTCAGCATTGGTGCCCAGAATGACCAGGCCGGTCAGGCCGGAACGAGAGAGGTATGCATAGTATTGTTTTTGAGATACCAGGTCGAGAGAATCGGTGCTGTGGTCGAAGAAAGTCACTGCGGGGCACCAGACGCCCGCGGGCGGAACGTGGGGTTGCGGGGATCGCGAGATGGAGCCCATGGTGGTGAGCGATAGTAAGCGACAATGAGAACTGGAAGAGATAGGTATCAATCAAAGGACATCTGCAAGGAGGGAATTAATATTATACAAGCTGCATGACTACCAAAAGATCCCCGCAGTGAATGCGTTAGGGAATGCAATCCGAGATGGCGTTATGCTGTCGGAGATGCACCGAACAAACCGATCTTATCAGTTGTATCGGGAATTCAGATGGATATCCGAGTTCTTGTCTAGCCTGAATAGCCTGATGGTTTATCCGAGTATGATCACGATCACTGTTCGTGAGCTTTATTATCATTCCTGTTTAGATTGACGCATTTAATTGTCTGAGCTAAGGGTATATCATTATGCAAGAACTTTTATTATCCATCACCATCTGCAGATTTGTCAGTCACTCGAACAATCGTCAGTCACTTTAGGGGACTCACGAGAAATTCTCAGTGTGCAGCCAGACCCGGCTGGCTGTATTTGGTCGGTCAGCAATGATGGCGACCTGTGCCTGTGCCGCCGCGTTTCTAACATCGAGCAACATGGATGCTGGGCCGCAGGCTGGAAAATAGTTAGACTCAATGTATTTGTACGGCGTGCGTGGCATAGATGCTTACCGGCAATAGCGAGCGGACGCGTATCCTCTGTAGTAGCGGCCCGGATCAGTGCAGGAAGATCTGGCCGCTTGCCGGTCAACTGCACCGAGAGAAGATCGTCTGTCTGTGGCAAGCTTTCATCGCTGACGTTTATTGACTTTGTTGACTCCGCAGCGTCTCCTTGGGCTTGCGGGTTTAGGGCAGTCTGAGTGACATGGACGGAGATACGCAAGGAACCGGGAAAGGGCTCGGACAGAATAGTTGAGACTGCTTCCCGGAACCAGCCAATGGATTCTGGATGTGTGGTCAACAGCTGATCGTAAACTGACATAACACTTACTTACCCTGCGATTTCACGGCCCATAAAATCTGCACGTCGAGTGATTTCAGTGACTCCGCTGATCCTGCCTCTTTGGTCAAGAGCTGCTGGCGAGCAGCTTTGCGTACCAGACTCCCCAGGAGCGGTAGGATAGTGCTTCCACCAGATCCGCCAGCAATGAAGTAAAAACGCTCAAATGTGTCAAAGGCCGTTGAATCGATCCCTCCATACGGACCGTCCAGAAGCACGGGAATGGTCTGTCCCCCTCTCTCTTTCGCAAATGCTTGCATCCGTCGGGTGATGCCTCCGTGGGGCTTCACATAGAAGACAAGTTGGTTGATTCCGGTGCCAATCTTACCCTCGTACGGAAGAGAGCTGATCGAGAAAGGATGGGTGGCGAGAGAATGCTGAAACCCCAAAGAATTACCGACGAAGCGCACGAACATATGCTGGCCCGGTCGCCAGGAGATGTGAGTCAAGATACTCATCTTGACTGTCCCATCGGCCTGAATCTCGAGTGCAGCTCGATGTTGGAACCCATTCAGCACGTACGCCTTGATCGCTCCTCCACAGAGTGATAGGCCGTATACGATAACCAATGCGATAAAGTAGTCCCTACGAGATGTCAGTCCAGCCTTTGTCATACGAGTGAGAAGTGCATACCAGGAGGTCAGGCGGAAGTCGCAATGGATAAACAGGAAAACAATAAACAGAGCTGCGGCCACATAGTGGAACGCCTTGAAGGTCTCATAGAACCGGTTCCTATACTTGGTCAGGCCAGAAGTCCTGGGTTAAATTGTGAAGCCTGACATACCTGATAGGCCCAATCGACATGCAAGTCAGCCAGGCTTGGGGGATAATCGCCGCCACGCCAGTCCAGTAGAAGACCTGTGTCTTCCATTGGTGAACCATGTCACTGTCAAGGTCAGATCATTGACACCCTGACACCCCATTATGTGTAGTAGCAGCACTCACCCCTTGTGTATATGGTACACAATGAATGGAAAAGTATGTATCAGAGAGAGGGTAAACATCAGCCAGGCAGTCCACCGATGGAAGACCTGCAATCGTTCGTGGGAGATGCCCGTCACAATGGTGATGAAGTTCCACTTTGCAGCCAGGAATCTATCGCCAAGTTAGCTGCACGCTGCGTCGACAGAGTCGGGATGAGGCATACACAGTAAACGGCAACAATGCCAGCGCCATGAAGCCGGAGCGAGTTGCGATCGGAGGCGAGCTGCCATAGTTTACTGTCGCGGTATTCGGCCAGTAGTATGGCTTTGGGCCCAGTGTGAGGACTGTCAATCGTCAGTATTCGAGGCTTCCACTGAATCGCAATATAACGCACTTCCAAAATAGACCCACGCCGCACAGCCGATCAATATGACGCCTAAGGTTGGCGAGTACCATCCCAGCGACTTGATCGCGAACGAACGATACGAGAAAAACCGAAAGATGGCCAGAGGCCTGCTCAGAAACCTGCTGGAAACGATACTCTTCCCCGACTTTATCCCGCGCGATTGATGAGCCAAGCGAGCGAGATGTGCGGCTGCAAAGAGCGCTATCAGGACGACGATGAAGTATACAGTGCCATGTCCGAAATAGTAATCATCTTTATACCTGTTGCCATCGTTAAGACCTCTCGTACATAGTATGGAGAGATGCTTCCAATGCAAATCTGATTGCCCACATACCAATACACCCATTTTCTTCCCCTATACGCGCACTGTTCAGGCGTGAGCTTACACATGTCCATCCGGGACGAGTGCAGCATGACCGGCTGGTCCAGGCCGGGCAACCCCATGGTGGCGGTTGAATGTCACGATATCTGATATCTTGATAACTGCTGTTGTCTTCCGATGGTCTCCTTGACTACGTCTTCCACAGATCGCAGGTTTTCGGCAACAGCAAAGAGGCGCAAAAGATCAGGAGCACACCATCAGGAAAAGCGCGACCTAGAGGTATAACAACTCATGAGAGAACACAGTCCTGACCAAAAATCCGAGCATAAGAACTCATTCTGCCTCTCGAGATCTATTTTAGTGTCTCAGTCTAGTCTCCCATGTGGGAAGATGGCCGCACGCGGCCTCCCCACGCCATGCTCACGACCATAGCCAGGCTGCCCATTGCGAATCCCGCGAGTCCTGCTAATTGGCACCACGAGACTTCATTCCTGTCTGAAGGTGCTCGCTCGGCGAATTAAAGGCCATATAATGCCCGATGAGACAGATCGCTGGATGGAGCCTTCATCGGCTGCCGCGCGCGGTCGTCTTAATCTGCGCTGGTTTGCGCGCATTATGAGCGGGTTTTCTCGATCCCAGAGATGCCATTGGCCCGGAGATCCGTCGACGAACTCATCAGTAAGATTTGCTTCTTGTTGATGATAATCCGTTGTTATAGGCTAATTTGACCGTGGAATTATTGCGAGATCTCTAGTCAGAGCGTCGCTTCGGCACTGTCATCATTGCAACATGCCTCGTTGGAGAGGTTATCGAGATGAAAACGTGGATCTGCATGCCAGACAGACGGGATCGTCCCGCCTAGGAGAATTCAGAGCCAGTCGCTTGGCAGAGCTGGACAGGAACGAGAATGTGCCTGTCAATCCAGCATTATAGTTGATGTAGGGTCCTCTGCATCGATGGCCGCTCGCGGATGGAATAGTGGTCTGTACAACAATGGAGAACCTAACAATGGATAGGTTCCTCGTGGGGAAGACGTTGAGGTTGCACGTCATCCGCAAACGGCAGCTTCAAGCTTTCGGCTGGTCTAAGTACCAGGTTAGCAAAGAAGTAAACGTAGAAAATACGATGGATTCCTTGGATTAGACCTTTGTGGAACGAGTGTCACCGTAATTGCACTGAAATGAGTGGAATATATAGAGGCTAGATAACTGTGGATGTAAAATCTGCCAGTATGCATGTGAGCAGATGGAAATAAGACGACGGAGCAAGGGAATATTAGGGATTATTGAAAAGGCCTATTGATAAATCTATCCTGTGAGACAACTACCAATCAGATGGGGCGGTGGCGTAGTTGGGAGCGCGTCAGACTGAAGTTCACTTCAGCCAGTCAATCTGAAGGTCACCGGTTCGATCCCGGTTCACCCCATTCCGATTTCTTTTTTGTCCTGGATCCGTCCAGGGCAATTATTTTTTTCTTTGTTCTTTTCTCTTTTTTTCTATTTGCTGGTCTCCAATATCGCAGTAGCCCGTTCAATCTACATTATCTCTGCTTGGATTCGACATTATTGCTGGATTGGCTAGTTTTTGTCAGAAGATTCTCAGTCGTTTCTTCCATGTTACAGAGGACACGTGCATTATATATAACCAACATCAGACGACCCTCTCTATTCCGATGGAATGACCACAAAGAACAGTAGACCTAGCGGTTCTACCTTCGATAGCATCGAGGATCGGTTCGAATACTCAATCTTTCGACACTCGGAACAATGGGTCGTGATGAGTACAAGCAGACCCTGGAATGGATTGACTTTTCGGAAAGAAATGCAGCAAAATCGCGTGTTCGCGCACATGTGGTCAGCGAACGACGTCGTCGTTTATCCTGGGAAGAGGGAAGGATGATGAGGGCCTTGAGAGAGAGGTCAAGAACCGGAAAGCCACCTGTTCATGGTGACTTGCCTCATTCGAAACCTGCAGCCTTACAGCCCCTTCCTGCTCAGTTATCCATGTCGCACCAGGAATGGCTTTCGTCTGGGTTTCTAGGTGTCTTGATCAAGTACGATGTGACTGGACAAGGTCTCGAGGCATATGCCACCTACCTACCAGATATTGTCCGTCTAGTAGGCACCAACAGTGCTCTCGATGATGCCGTGGCAGTCTTCAGCACGTGTTACGCAGGAAGACCAGATTCAATAGAAACGATACGTGCTTATGGAAGAGCTTTACGTAGCCTTCGGGAATGCCTTTCAATACCTCAGCAGGCTTCGTCAACAGACACACTGTGCGCGGCGATGCTGCTCGGTTTATACGGATCTCTCTTTCCTCGCAGCAGATTAGGAGTTTTGAGCCACCACGAAGGAGTATCGAAAATCATCGAGTACAGAGGACCAGGGCGACATAGGACTGGGTTTGAGCAGCAACTGGTAATTTCCCACTGGGCGGCGAATGTGAGTCTGACCTCGCAGAACAAACAGAATCCTGTTTTAACAGAATTCCGCAGATTATGTCTTCCTTATTCCGAGGTCAAGGGTGCTATCTGGAAAGTGAAAAATGGAGGGAGATATTTTGTCCTACCTCTATCCGACACATCAATCAATTCGACCTGTTCTTATGCCAGATTTTCGAAGGCATGACAACTCTACCGGGAACATTGCGTGATTTTCGTGCTCTGAAGAGAGCGAATGGTCATTCTAAATTGCCAGGTCATCTAAAATCACGACTTGACAGCTACCATGTCATTTTGAACCGGATTGGATGCGTAGTCGAGGACCTACTTTCTCAAGGGATCACTGCGACCACCGTCCCATCCGTCAGATTCCCTAGCATAGTCGATGAGAGTTTCAGCTTTCGAGATCGATCCACTGCTATGCTTTACGTCTTACACTGGACTTTTTCGCTTGTGGTACAGGGTTTGATATACACATGCAGCCCATATCCAACGACACCGCAAACGAGTGCTCAGATATATGTTCGACGGATATACATGTCCTATGACTACGCGCGTTCTTTTCCTCCATACTTTTCGTCGTACATGTTGCTTCCGCTTGTCGCAGCTGTCGCCTTTGATGAGAATGACTCGAAGGCATGGGTGATGACGGCTATTAATGATCTCTACAGTGAGAACTTTCAAGCATCTTCCGATGACTTTCCACTCAATGCACATCTGCTGGACAGTTTAATTAGCTGCTTGAGAGTGTGAATGAGTCCAGTGACTCGAATAAGCTCGATAGATTCAAATCGAGCTATGCGCATATTCTATTGCAGTGCTCTGGATTTCCAGCTGCATGGTGCGCTGTGATGATGACTGCAACGTGAAAGTATTGCCGTAGCAGCAATGTCCCCCACTGAGAGCTTCGAGCCGTTGGGTACAAAGCCACTATCCACTGTCTAACCAACAAACCATTACTCAACAAATTGACACGAGAAAACAGACCGCGATATAATCCCTGATCATACCATCAAGAATTATAAACGCTCACATCTTTAACTTTTCTCCACTCGAGGAGACGCATAACCAGCCACCAAATACAGCGCCACTATAACCCACTCTTCCAACGCTTCCATAAATACACGAGCCCAAATATCACCTGCCATCGGACTGAAAATACTGTCCTGATCATCATAATTAAACTCCACAAAAACCGAATACAGAACCCTCACAACCAGAAACGGCAAACTCCCAACAACAGCAGACATGAGTTTCCTATCTTCGCACCTAATGCGTGATTTCCTAGCTAAAAATGCCGCCGAGACGAAACATAGGAACACTGCCGTCACGAGAAATAGCACAGCGCCCGCCTTGAGAAGCGCGAGCCCGGTCTTTCGAGTACTAGCTTGGAGGGAGCTGATCTTCGACCCTCTCGCGGAGAGTAACACGATAGCCAGCGCGGGGAAGATGTACATTATGCGAAATACTCGAAGCGAAACGAATTCCGGGGTCATGCGCATATTTCTAGAACCATAAATCCGTCAGAAATAACATACTAGCAAAGAGCAGACTTCTTCGTACTAGTAACAACAGCGAGAGGTACACATACATCCGACGAAGAATACCCATCGTAGCCAGCGTCAATGGCGACAAACCCACCCCTGCTATCGTAGCCGCCGTAATAGTCAGCTCCAGGTTCGGTGTCGATTGGCTTTCAGCCACAATCTGCAGGATGTTTCCAACTATTCGCAGCACAGAGAGCACGATCAGATAATGCCATCCTGCAGCGTAGCTGAAGCCTTGTTTTCTCGTAACGAGAATACTTGCAATCAAGGCGGGACTATAGTAGATAAGTTGCACAATGGCTAGCTTCCCATTATTGTCGAGATGCATTTTAGACGGGTGAAGGATAGAGATAATTTCAGATGTAAAGTCCGTTCTAGCAAGGAAGATTCTGATATTTTGGGATTCTGAAGATAACGACAATAAAAACCACTCGGAGTCTACTTTTTCTATTCATGTCTCGCTGAAATTAAAACCTCCTATTTTAACATAAATAGCGCAAACCAGTCCTGGAATATCCCCTGAAGCCCACCAGGCGTATAAGATTATGGTAATCCATTCTATACTCCCCTGAGAGGAAGTACATACAGTAAGTAGTCAATACGCTAAAGATAGCTTAAACATGACACTAGTCCTGAATAGTAAAATGCAATGACATCATACCAGCGGAGGACATTTTTATTTGCCGATCAAATCGAATACTGTTAAGTGACGGGTTTCGTTTTCGGGAGATTATGGGCAGAGGGCTGTTCACTGGAGGCTTCAGGTCTTCGCGCCAATCCTACCAAGAAGTTAGCACTAGAAGTCAACAAATGTTAAATGATACCAGGGACAGACCTTAATTACATACTATCTTAAGTAAGCCCCGCAGGTTTTAACTAGGTCGTTAATTGCGCTGTATAAAGCTTCCATCCATTCAGTTTCTCCTGATAGTCTCTTGATAAGTTCTATAGATTTTCTTTATAGCTTTTCAGATACCTGGCGGAGATTATCGTCATCATTGTTTAGCGCGCAGAAGATCCTGCTATCTGTGTAATGTTTGATATCCTTGGGTACCTCCGCCCTGCACGTACCATACGTATCAAATTTCAATCTAGCTCAAATATCAATAATATAACGCTTGAAAAGAAGACTAGCGAATGTAAGGAAAGAGTGAACAACTCATACGGGTTCATAACCCATGCACCTTACCGCTTCAGTAGCCCAAGCGCGCAAATTATCCACGCGCAAGTGCCATATATCACTGGCCTTCGTTCCTGGCAGAAGGTGAGCTGGACCAGAGAGTTGAGCGCGGGTTATAGGGATTGTTTGTATGTCTGGATTTTCTGGAATTGGGAAGATCAGCTATTGTTTTTTTATCAGTCTGATTCTTGAATATTCACTAGATAGCTAGATTAATCACTTACCCCATTTTGCTTTAGGTGAGGGACATTTTCTGAGTCTCTCTCCTAGACCTCGAATATTCCTTTGATACGTTGGATTGTGGTGTCGGAAATCTTTCCAATTCAATATAATCACAATCTGGACTTCTGGCTGTCCCCCGACAAGCCAAAGACGCATATCGGAACGAAGACGTGGTAAGGATTCAGACCAGCCGCTCTCGATTACAAAACTCGGAAGCGGGTCTGAATCATATCGCAGCATTAGGTCTGGTTCCTTGCGCGAACCAGCGTATCTCCCCTGAAAAGCACTAAGGGCTATACATCCAACGTTAGTTATACCATGGAGAAGAGAAGCGTATAAGATTAAAGGCTTACTTGTCCCCACTCGTGTCTTGAGGATTTTCCCCTCGGCGTAGCTCAGGAACCCCGTAGCCATCATATCAATGCGCTCATCCTCAATCCAGTCCTGGTGAGTGTCGTGTACTTCTGTTGGCATGATAAGGATGTGCAGGACTTGAGTATAAGAATTATAGCTGAATCTAATGAGTATTGTCAGTTAGACAGATCACAAATTTCTTGCGCTTCTGGGGGTATTATTACCTTGGTCTATGTCTTTCAATGTCTGGGTCTTGTGAGAGCGAGTCTACCAGTAGACTTCCATCTTCTACTGGGATATTGTCAAACCTCAGTTCCATACATTCGGTTGCTGATTGTATATCTCTTTTAATTCTATAAAAGAAACCCTGGCTGAGGTCGCCTGACTCTGGGAGGGACTCTCTGTCAACAGCCATATTGAGAGGATATTCTGGATAAATATATTTGTTAGACCCGGGGAGTCTAACAAGGAGATTTCCTTTTTGGTCGACTGGTATGGGGTTCCTACAATCTTCAGCTGCAGCAAGGTTTTGGACCGAGTATTTATGCTAGTGGGGTAGGTAAAGTTAATGGATTATTCCGTAGACTTCTATAGCAGGCAGCCGCAGTGATGTATGGCGGAAGCCCCGTGAATGATATACCAGGTCAGTGGTAGAGTGATTATCTATGTACCCATTTAGGCGGTTTCGAATACCCAAACTGGAGAAGAAAAAAAGAATCAAAGTCGATGTGCTGAGATGTACTCGACAATTCTGCTGTACTGACCGCCTTCTTAAGTTTACCAGGTATACATCATTACCATAAAGATTAGGTAGTTTAAACAACACGTTAGTCCCCAATAAGGGCACTGCAATTGAAATTTAATCGAGGACTACCTATATATACCTACCCAGGTAGGTACTTAGGTACTCTAAAACAACGGTGAAGAAAGCCATGTATTTCTCCACATGACCAAATACAGACCTATGCAGTCAGCACAACATGAGCATCGCCATCCCTCAATTTATCCTTTCCGACAGGCGGAATCGAAATCCCAACACCGATATAAATACCAACTACCACATATTCCATCAGTAATCCCATGCACACAAAAGCAGCAATGGATCCCGTCAGGTTATTCCATTTTTGGCTTGTTGAAAATACAGACAGCAAAGCATACGCGACTCGCACAATCAGGAACGGCATCGCGGATGCGCTTCCTTTAACGATCTATCAATCATGTTAGTAAGAGGTTCGGTTGTGACTGATTTGGAGGGCGACTTACTGTCATGCTAGCTCTCGAAATGCCTCTTCTCTGTCTCCAGATATAAGCCTGAAGCATGATCAGAGCAGCCAGGATGGCGACCAGGAGGATATTTCCGGCCTTGACTAGTCCATCTCCGTGGCGAACGGAGCTTGGAGACTTGTAGTTTCCGACCAGGACGCTCCCAGCGATGAGAAGGGCAATGGCGACACCAAAAATGATTCGTACGAAGATGGCGAGACGGTGGACTAGGTGTTTTTGCTCAAAGTCCAAACTGAATCTGTGGCGGAATCAGACAATTTCATCTTAGGAATGAATAATAGATGGCTCCGATGCTCTTGGATACTTACGCGACTCTCAACAGGCCAAGGGTAGCAAGGATAAGCGGCACAACGCCCACTGAAAGTAGGATGATGGTCGCAATGGTGAGGCCAACGGTTGGATTATTCTCAAAAACGATCATGACTATTCCGCTAGCAAATCGAACTAAGAACTGTATCAGTTTGATTCTCCCAGTTTCGAATCATCTCATACCTGACGAGAAGGCAGTCAAGAGATACCACCCCAGTCGCGGCCTGCCATGGCGACGAAAGAGAAGGTAGGCTGCTAATATTACAGCTGGGATGTAGAATATGATTAAAGCAATTCCGACTTTAGAGCGATCCTGCAACATGGTGGCCAGATGGGAAGCGAGAATATTGAACTCGGAAAATGGCTACTTCTAGAGACTCGCAAAGATGCTGGACATCATCTATATACCTAACTTATACGTGAAACGACATGCACGCCATCGTGGGTCTCGGGGCAAGTCAAATCTCAGCCTCGTTCAATTCTCGAGAATTGCTTCTCTTTACAGTAAGCCTTAGAAAATCCCTCTAGATCCTCCGACCTGTTCTGAAAAACTTCGATGGGATCTATAACTATCTCAGACTGCTGAGATAGCGCATACCATTTAAGGTTGTGGTTCCCAAAGATGATTGGATCACTAAAAGAGACGATGTGGCTGGCGCGCCCCGCATATTCGCAAGTTGCATCCTAATAGGGGAATTAGTGGGGGATATTCACATCGAAGCCAATAAAAGCTCACGATCTCATCAGGGGAAAATACGAGGCCAATTTCGCCTTGCGCTGCTCGATCATGGTCTGGATGCCAAACCGCGGAGGAGACATGGGGTAGTGCATGATAGAGCCTCAGGGGAGTTTTCAGTTCTTTATCTAACAGTGGCTTGTCGCAAGATGGATCTCTTTCGGGCGTACTCTGAGAAATGAATCACATTTGCCCTGGTTGATCACCACTGAACGTGCAGCAAGTACGTTGACTAAGTAGTCGAGGGTCACATATCTAGACGATGGTTGGCGTTGCGGGAAAGTCGAAAGCCTGCAATACATGCAGGAAAAGGAAGGTGGCGGTATGTATCCTCCAATTTTGATGAAAGAAGTGCCTTTTCTTGCAGTTTGGCTAATGCTTCCCAGTGCGACTTGCAACGGCCTCAATGTTCGCAATGCATCAAGTCAAACCGCGTCTGTACGGGGTATCAGCGCAAACGCATTTTCATCTTCCATCAAGGAACTCAAGAGACACACTATGAGACCTCAATAAATGGTCCTGGGGCATCAACTACTCCCGTTTCTCGCTCGACAACGAGCCCATATCAAGAATCAAACATCACCTTCTTCTCGACTCATACCCGTGGGAGAAGATCCTCTCCGCGAACAAGAAACCAAATATCTACTCTCGAATCAAACCGAAGCTTACTCCACGTCACCTACCGCAAGCAACTCTTCAACGCTTATCTACGCAGCCACATACCGCCCTCACAACTCCAATCACTCGGAACGCCATGGCTAGCACTCATCCCCGAGCTGGCTTCTCCCACCGAGGCACTGGAAACATCAACCTTGGCTCTGGCAACATCCAAACTAGGTAGATTGAACAACGATCCTATCCTCACCAGAGAAAGTCTACGACTCTACACCTCCGCGCTGCGCCAGCTGCAGAAAGCCCTCTGGGACCCAGGACTGATGTATCGAGACGAAACCCTAGCTGCGTGTATGGCACTGGCGATGTATGAGATGATGGAATGTCCCTCGGGGGATAAAAGCGGGTATATGAGCCATTGTAACGGCTTAGGAACACTAGTGAGGTTAAGAGGACCAGAGGCGCACATTGGGGGGTTAGGACATCATGTTTTTCTAGCCTTTAGAGTCCATGCTGTGAGTTCACTTCACTTTCCTATTTCGCCAAAGCATCTTCCCTCCAGGTATCATATAGAATTCTTCTATCCTGCTGACACCAACCACAGACCCTACAAGACATGCACCACCACTCGCCCTCATACATCTCTTCCTCCACATGGACCAGCATCCCATGGATAAACATCCCCAAGACTGAATTCGACCAATTCTTCGACCTCTTCGTTCGTGGCCCTGCGACATTCCAAGCCGTCGACCGTCTGGACGGCGCAGAACCACTAGAAAAACTCCGCATTGCACTCAGCATCGTCCACTCATGCTGGGAGTTGGATGCGGATCTAGCTACGTTTTATGAACAGTTTGAGAAATCGTCGTTGGGTCCGTTGTATTGGCCGGAATTCGCAAAACCCCGTATCTACAGGAAGGGTCAACGTGATACTGATAATGATTATGCCGATGACGACGACGATGATGATGATGCTTGGAATAATATATCACTATTCCCAATATCCCTCCACTTCCCGAATCTCGGAACCGCTCGAACAATCATTTTATACTGGGCTACGCTCACCATGCTCTGGTCTGGTCTGTATCAGCTATACGGACTCATTTACGCCCTTAAAGAAACCATCATCGATCCCAATTCCAACAACGAACACGAACGTGAAGACCACAACACTAATACTCCTCCTACATCTGCTGCTAACTCTAACACCAACGATACTGACACTAACAATCTAACATTCCTAATAACCCACCTCCCACCCCTCGATCACAGAAGAGACTTCGCATCCATGGCCCGCAACGTATGTCAATCCGTCGAATACTGCATGCAAGAAGAGATGCTGGGTCTAGGACCGATAATCCTTCCTGCGCCGCTGGGGATTGTGATTGATACGATGAAGGGGTATGAGAGTTTTGCGAGGGAGGTGAGATGGGCGAGGAAGGTGATGAGGAGGATTTCAGAGGGGGGGTTGAGGATTTTGGAATAATTTTTCTCTTTTGGGGGGTTTTCGTTTACGAATGTTTAGAATTGATTGGAGCTGGCTCCATGTATGTTGGAGGGTGGTTTTATTTCCTGTTTTTCTTCTTCTAGATCCTGTGAAACCATAAATGGACCCCCGGCATGATACATCACTACTGGAACAATCAAAACTACACGTATCCGATCCGGATAAGATACGACAAAAGAAAGGAAAGTCTAATACCAACACATTTCACTCATGAAGTGGAAAGATGAAGCGAATATGACCCAGATGGGCAAAAGGAATAGCGCACAGCGCGCATAAAGCTTGAAGTATATAAACAAAATTGGAACGCCTCCGTGGTGCTTATAAGAAAACAGAAAATATTTCTAGAGTTTTACTTCGCTTCACTCGTTATAATGATATACCTGGTTCGGTGTCAGTTAGTTACCTAGTTCAGAAATCGAAAAGGGCCAGGGAGACATACGAAGTAGTTGGGCAACCCGAAACACTCGTAGCCGAGTCTTCGAGCCATCTTGGCAAAACCCTCCGTCTCAACCATATGATAAAAAGGGAACGGAGGGAACATGGCGCCATCTCGGTGCACTTCCGCCTTTACCAACAGCGCTGTTCCACCCACACCGTCCAGCGGAATGACCTTGTTCTGCTTGCGTTCGTCACTCGTGTCCGCTAAGTAGGCCATCAATGTTCGATAAGTCGGCATCTCCGCATAGCCCTCCAGCAGGATTTCATCGGGCCCCATCTTTTCCGCGAGTTGCTGGGCAGTATCGCTATCGCGCCACGAGTTGTAGTCGTAGGGGCGAACATCCATTTTCTTCTTCTCGTCGTTGTAATATCGCTGGAAGCAGTTGGGAACAATCACCGCCTTGTTGTGTGAGGCCATATCCTGGATCAGAGTCGGGGGCGTCTCGACGATATCCGCATCAAGCCAGAGCACCCAGGACGTACTCGGTCCCAGCGTCGTGAAAAGAAGACTGTTGCGCGCACGACTCATCGACTCGCGACGGATCTTCTGGTTCTCCATCTTGTGTCGTTCCTTCTCATCCTGCGAGGCGATGGGAGGGTCAAAGTCCTGTCGGAGGATCGACACGCTGGCGAAACGGTCATCAATCGGGCCGGACTGTGTGGCCGCAATGGCAGCCTGCAATGCGCTGGTAGCGGCATTGCCCTCCTTCGTCTTGGGGATGATGAACCCCAACGAGATCAGTTCATGCGGATACGACAGGCGCACGAGATTATCCCAGTATTCCTGATAAAACCGGGCCAGAGGCGTCAAGATGAGCACACGCTCCCCGTTCGCTAGGGGATCCGCCGTCGACGTCAGATTGTTCATATGGTAGTGTACGACTGGCGGGGGCGCCCGCTGTCCATTGCTTCGATATTCCTGATTCTTCAGGAACGGCTTTGTGGGTGGTGAGAGAGGGTGGTCGGCCGCATCGTCTTGTCGCGATTTTGTCGACGTCGCAGTCGAGGAGGATGATGACGGCGACAGGAGGAAGAACAGGAACCCGAACGAGAGCACGGCGGCCAGGACGAGGGTGACGGGACTTGTCCGCCGTATGGAGCGTGTGACGGCCATGGTGGCCGGTCAGGATCCCTTCGAGGGAAGCGTAGATGTCAAGGAGTGAGAGGTTCGCAGAAAGATGTTTTTCAATCACAGCTTCTCTGGCCCGTTCCGCGGCGGGCGAGATGACGATTACCTGGCACGTTCAGACGTCGACTCTGGCCCGAACATAGCGTGATCAAAACACCGGAAAAGGAAGAAAATAGAGTCGCAGACGGGGATGCTCCAAGACCAGCAATGGGAGAAAGAAAGGAATGGAATATTTACTCTTCTCGATCACAGACAAGCCCGTTCTCAGACCCACGCGCCGGAGGTGAAGTTCCAGGCTGTCCGAATGCGGATGGGAGATCGCCCGCCGCCACAGACGCCACAGTCGATGAGATCGGATAGTTTGACTGCTAATTATACAGTCGGGTCTTTTATGGCAGCTGCTGTTTGATATGTGTATTATATGCTCCTGTCTTTCCTGCACGGCGTTCCTGCAGAAACTGTTGACTTGTCTCTGCAATAAATAATCACTGTACATTCCCATAGAAACAGATGTTATCCATGGAGAATGTTTCTGAAACATAAGCGCGGGTCCAGTTTCTTGGTTACGAGACATGCGACAGGAGAACAGAACACGGAGGACTATAGACCATATCTTGACTTCTATAAGCACAAGGCTTCAGTTTCATTTCTATTCTGCAGGACCTGAAAGAAGGTCGAGATATCCACATCATATCGCTAATATACAGTCTACATCTATTAACATGAATAAAATAAAATAACAACGACTATGCTATCACGGCAGCCATCGCATCACACCCTCAAAAGCCACAAGGGCCATCGCGTTCGCCGGGAACGCTCTGAGGAAACACGGCACGAATCCTCGCCAGTATCCTCTCCATCCCCTCTCCTGTGCCACTGCCACTGCGGCGTCTTTCCAATGACGGAATCGCCTCTGTCCGTCGTTCAACGCGCCGCCTAGCGGATCCGTCATGATACGCTGCTTGACCACGTCGGACGGGTAGGCCACGACCCAGAAGATCTGCGCCGATATACCGCCAGCCCAGAAGTTGATGACGGGAGCGGATAGGTTTGTCTTCTCATTCATGAGCCGGGTGAGGATGTCGTAGGAACCCCACCAGAAGAAGAAGAAAGAGCGGAAGAACATCGTTGCGCAGAGACCGCGATAGAGACCGCTAATACCGTGTGTGCGGAGCTGCAAAATAGGTCAGTCGACAGTCGACGCATCTCTCACTCGGATGAGCTGTTTCGGGGGACATACGATCTTCCGACAGCAATCAATTGGCCCACTGTAGAGTCTTTTGCTCTTATCTGCTGCATATTGGATCTGTAACCGAGCCTTTACGTGTTCCACAGGCGCAGCGACAAAGCTGACAGTAGCCCCGGACATTATACCCGCTATGCCCTGTCCGAAAGTAGGCAATGTAGTCAGATCCTGCTGGCTTTTACTGAATGGTGTCATCGCGCGTATTTTTGGATTCGAGAAGACGTTCTCGAGGAGCAATCGTCGGTAGAGCGTGAGAGAACCGAGCATACTAAGTTATAGCAGTCAGCCTCAGCTGGACAGATCAAGCTTCCCACAAAGATCGCGCGTCTCAGACACGAGCTCACTCACACAGAGTCCATGACCATCCATCCGACCAGCGGTGGTGTCGCGCCCTTATATAACCCAGCTACACCCTCTTTCCGTAGCGTCTGCATGAGACAGTCCACCGGTCCTCTGAAGTGCGCATCTTTCGTCGTCTGTAACCGGACTTTGATCGTATCGAACCTGTCAACGCGATTAGAAGTTGCTTGCCTCGCTTTCGTCCAAGAACAAGAAGCATATCCAGGAGGGAGAACATACGGATGGCCCACTAGTAATATCCAAGAAACGTTAGCGATACAGTTCCAAAGCGACAAAGCAATTGAAACCATGAGAAAGAAACGAAAGAACACTCACCACTCAACTTGGTAATTCCCGAAAACACACCCGCCACGAACCCTTTATAATCGCGCTTGGAGCTCTGCGTCTCTGGCGCAGCATTTCCACTACCACTCTCATGAATCAATGGCTGCTCCGTCGCGCCCGTCGAAGGACTGACGGTCGCCTTGGTGGAACTCATGGGAACCGTACAGCAGACGATATATCTGCGATCGCACCCAGTCTGTCTAACCTTTGGCCTGAGCAGGTATCTTTTCGACGTCTATTCGAATTGATCTCGATCCCTGCGCAACCGAGACCACCGCCAACTCCCCACAGGACTCCTGCGCTGGTTCGAGGGCGAAAAGTGATCCGATATCGCGACAACTGACGCTTTGACGATCTGATGTCCGGGGTCGGAGCTATCGTGAAATAATAGAGTTCCGGCACCGTTCAGCGACGGATATCGTGAAAGACTGCCTTGAATCGTGGTAGAAAAGAGAGAGGACGAACGAAGAGAAATAATTGAGACGACAGTTATTATTAATTATCCATCCGAGCCCTAGACGCATTCTTCTATCGACCAGGGCTCCGGTGGGGGGTCGATGACTCGAGCTGCGTCGCTCTTCGTTTTCGCTCCGCCCCGCAAAGTTCGGGGAGCGAGGGCTGCCCTCCGGAAGTGGAGTCCAGATGGAAAGGCAAGAAGCTTCTTCTGCACCACGCAGAATAATTGTGCACAAGTCGCATAACTATGTACCTAGTTACGGGGATCTATAATAATAATACTCACTACAAGTCTACGGCATAATTGCAGAGGAAGCAGACTGCACGGTAATACAATCCGATTGACGCTCAGAGCCACTCTGTAGGCATGTATGGCTGGCAATGAGCCAAAAGATATCGTACAAACATATACACGACGGCAAATAGACACGTCGCAGAAACACTGGGGTATAGATATATTGCAAGCAGAGAAGAACGATCAGTCTGATCGATGCCGGTGGTATACAACACGGCCCATTGAGACGCCGAAAATGCAAGATGAAAGAAGCGTGATGAAGCTGCGAGGTTAAGAATAAAAGAAGACACTGCGGCTGGGTTCACAGCGCTCTATTTTGGGGTCGGAGACGAGCGGTCAAGAAGATGATGCGACGCTCCGTGCAGTGGAATACGAAGGTGCTGATGCCTTCTCAATATCCGATACTGCGGGTATATTTTAATACTTTGCAGATAGCCGTCCAATCCGGACGACACTAGGAGATAATTTTTCAGATCGCAATCAGCTCACCGGCCCTTGAGCTCCTGTCGCTGCTTCTGGAGCCGGATTCGCTCGTTTTCTCTCTGAATCAGCTTCTCGACCAATTCGGGAGACGGAGCGAGCGTCTTCATCGAGCCGGACTGCTCTGAGCCATTAGCCGCGCCCGCGCTGAGGTAGCTGTCTCCTTCCTCGAGTACCAGCGGCGTCACTGGTCCCGGGCTACCGAGCGGATCGAGACGGGGAGCCGCCGGCTTGGTGGTGATGACTCCTTGAGCATTCCGGGAGAGGACGCCATTGGTGATCAGTTCCCGGTATTGACGGAGGGTGTCTCGAGAACCAGACGACATCCGGTATGCCTGCGGTCTCTGTTGGTGGGGAGATGACGGTCGCGAAGCCGTGCTATGAGCTCCTGTCGAGGACTGATAGACAGCCGGATGGAACCGAGGGAGACTCAGCGGGACGCCGGAGGCACCTTTGGAGGAGTTCTGGGAAGACATCGGGCGACCGGACTGCGCCATGGTAGCGGGTGCGTACAGTTGGGTCGAACCGCCACTGTGCATCTTGTGGTCGGACTTCACTCGCGAGGAGACTCGAGGTCTCCGGGTGCGCTTCTTGGTGGATAGTTTCTGGTCTTTGCGGCGTGGACACTGCTGCGCGTAGAGGAAATGTACTTCGTCGAAGCGGCCGGTCAACGGAGTGACAGGGACGTCGTCCAGCTCGCGGGTGGAAGCCGCCTTGGGGATGGGAATCGGACGAGTGCCTGCGGAATCAATACCGAGAGTATCGTCGTCCGCGTCAACGGTGGTCGTAGCCGGACAAAGTTCGGGAGATGGCAGATAGGATGGACGTCCAGGAGGCGAAGTTGAAGTCAAGCTCCGTAAAGACGAGGACGAGCAGACGATGGTGGGATGGCCGTGCTTCTTTATCAAGCCCTCAAGCTGTTCGCGGGCCTGGCGTTTCAGTCGATCCGATGAATGCTGTCGACGTGGGGGAGACACGAGATGTGCTAGCAGTGGAGAAAGTGGTTAGCAAAGGAATGCCCGCAGCAGGACAAGAGCATTCCCCATCGTCCAGCGGATTTCCATTATTGCAGAGATATGCATGATGGGAAGGGTCGACAGGAGATAGGATGACTTGGCTCCTGCAGTGCAGAGAAAGAGGGGTTGGGAGACAATAATAATCATACGCAAGTAAACAACAACAGAGGGATCGTCTAAGTACTTACTGGCACTACTGAGTCGCGGAGGCGAAACCGAGCTGATCGAAGAAGGATACGCCGAGGAGAGGGAGGAATAGGAGGAGGGAGCGGTGGTGCTGGACGCTTTGATTGTTTTATCCATCCTCGGATCCTCCCCACCACCGCCGTTTTTTCCCAGCGAAGACGGTGGATCTCCGCCGTGGAGAGAGGATTTCGATCCTATGCTCGATTCAGTAAGTTGGCATTCGGGATAATCGTCTGGCTGTTTGGCTTCTGGATTGAGCCAGAATAATTAATTATTATTATTGGCACCAGTTCTGCCTCATGTCGTCATGGAGCCGCCTTAGTTGCCTTAGTTGCCTTAGTCCCGTGCCGGCGCATACCGTATGGTTACACGTATCTTGGTATTATTCACCTCGAATACGGCAAACTGCCAGCCAGAGAGTGAATACCCCGGAAACACTCGATACGGTGGCTGCGCTGCCAACCATGCGGTGGAGATGGGCGGAAACTCTTTCCACGGGAACGCAAGGGAACAGGGAACAGCATGGAAGAGAAAATGGAAGAAATGACAGCAGAAGAAACTCACTCAAGCCAGTGCGATGCCAGTGGAAAGCAGATGGAGATGAAAACCACTCCGCCTGAATTCTCGATTTCTCGAGTCACGATGCTGTGAGTCTGTGTGACAGGTGGCCTTATCGGGCGGTGTTCGCAGGCGATATCGACACTGACACTCAGCCAGTAGATAGTCAGCATATGGTACAACGGATGGAGGCGCCACTATCTAGTCAGGGCAAATGGCGTAGCAGAAGGGGAGAAAGAGGAGAAAACTGATGCGGAAAGCTCAAAGTGGCGTCCAACGGTCCAAGGCATCCGACAGAGTCAATGACAGCAGGTCGTATTGTTATTATTATCATCAGCACCATACGCACACTAGATCGCAGTCAACTAGGCTATGAGATGATCCCGTCCTCGTGCATAGGCACAGTATCAAAAATGGCTCAAAGACGGCACAATATCTCCGCCTGACCAGCAAGATGATGTCCATTGCTATCCCCAGCAACGAGGTCAGACAGCTCCCCTGCCTGTGGTTGGTCCGCCAACATACATCCGATCGCAAGACGGAGACCGGATGATCGGATAGGATGGATCAAGTCACCACATTGGCACATATTCATAATAATAATAATACATACCAGCCAAGGATATCCTCTCTATGACATGCATGCAGCTGGCTACAAACGGGCCGACCATCCGAGGACGAAGGAAGCTGACAAACCCGCAGAACCAGAGGCAGTGAAATGGAACCATGCACCATGGGAATTGGGAACACAATAATAATAATATCCTGGCGGATCGGACGGTCCTGAGAGGCGACCAAAGGAATAGATAATTCAAAAAGCAGCCAGTGGCTTGTGGTTTCAAAATTCAGGGTGAACTGGTGGGACTTGGCCTGCCCGTCACCCCGGATTTACAACAAGTCCCATGATCGGCCAATTCTGGTCCACGTCGATGCTGATCGAGCGGCACAAAAAAACACAAAATCAAAATAAAAATAATAGAGGAAAATCTAAATAGATACGTACCGCAGATCCACAGGATGCCAGAAAACAATTGCGGAGGAATATTGGGAATCGCGGTCATCCAAGTGTGGGAGACTGCAGATGATAACAATCGATAGATATTCTCGTCGACCACGAGAGATGTGAAGCTCAGGGCACCCGGTAGAGGCAGGGACTGACAAGAACCTGGTTTCAACCTCTATCTACCCTGCGGCCCTTTTAATATCGAGCTTGCCTTCCAGGCTGTACACCACACTCTTCGAGTGCTGTCTCCGGTGGCCCGGCGGCCGGTCTGTTCTCTATCTACGGACGTACACTATTCTGAAACGGATGCCACCACAATCCTGGCCGGCAAGGGTCCTGCTCGTCCCGTGAGGGACTGCTCGAGATCCGCTTCATCGAGATTATACCTGCGATCCGACGGCCCGCAACGCCACCCATGCAGGAAAGACCTGAGACATGGTGAGCGTGCTCTGCGTGCGTGACTGATTCCAGCCCACTTCTCGCGTGGCCTTTCTTTATCACATCGCTCTAGGAGGCATGATTCTACTGTATCCGTTCTAGCCCAGGCAGATCGATCGCATTCGACTGATAAAATGTCTTCTACTTCTCTACATGAGGTATATTGCTACAAAGCGGACTATTCTAGGTCTGTCGTAATATCCTTACCAAGCAACGATTGCGTCAGCCACTGTTCGTCTACACCGTACGCGCGTCTGCCATCATAATTCAGCAGCCATCATTGTGTACTTTTTTTATTCCTCTAGAGCGCAAAAGCGGACGCATCTAGCTCTGTCTAAAGGTGGTCTCGAATCTCTAGTTTTGAAAGGCATATGATGAATTCTCCCTGCAGGAGATGGTGCATACTTACAAGGTGAAACAAATGCATCTTCGTCATATCCCGCACTACCTGTGGACCTGCATTAGAAACAGGCGATTGTTCGGGGACCCTCTTACCAACACATTCGGGTGGCTGACAAAGTTCAGTTCTCATAACGAATCCGGGTCATCTGCAACGACATCGAACTCAAAGGGGGTAAGAGCTGTTGAGCTCTTGTCACTAAAGTGAACACAACGGCTTTAACAGATATCAATAACCATACCCATGTCGAAATCGTGTCTTCCTCTAGAACGTCCGGCCAACTGCTGAGGAAAAAGGCAGTACTTGTGTCACTGGGATCTGGCTCTTTCACGCCCGGTTCACACCAGCGGTGGCCCTCGAAACTGGGATCCACGTCGACGAAGCGAGTGACATTTCTGCCAACCAGGTTGTTCGCATCAAGGACCGCAGCTTGGATGACACTATTGAGGGACATCACCAAGCCATTCATCCCAGTCCTCAGCGGTTGTCAACCAGACGTCAGAACGGTCCACCTTATCCCATCCCCAATAAACGGAACGAAGCTGTATTGCACTCTGTTGTATGGGAATTGAACATTCTTGGATACCCAGCGGTACTAGGTTTTCTTCTTATCATCTCCTGGTTTATTTTGATGTTTATTTTATTCTATCTGGAGTGGATAGCTAATTCCGCAACGCTAAAATTGGTTTAGATCCTGTCCTACTAACCTCATCAGTGCAGCCTGGGGTACACATGGATTAAGGATTCTTTCCATTTTCTCAAGCCAATCATCTGACCAGTCAAAATAAGTGAAACATCGCGAGTATTCCCAATGGCTGGGATACCAGCCTGCAAATTCCCAATCTAGAACAGCAGCGACTTCGAACGATCTCTTCGAATCGCTGCCATCGATGCTGCTGGACGAATCGTACCGCTCTCGAACAAGGATGTTTTTCCGCTGAAAATCTGCGTGCGTGAATACGCTATTATGACCGCTCAACATATCCTGCCGGTGGCGATCGAAGAGCTCTGCCACGTAAGCCCGTCGCGCACACATATCCCAATTCTTCTTAGATTTAAAGACAAGAGCGCGATAGACATCATCCTCTGTGTTGAAGGGTCCGGTAATATAGGGGTCTTTCTCGTAGGAGAAAAAGTAGCGGTGCGGAAGTGGCCCCCCCAGAACACCGCCGAAAGTCCCAGGCGACGGGAGAGCCCGTAACTTGTCGAATATCTCGCGCAGGTGGTTCGCGATGGTTAATTTTCCAGTTTCCGACAACGATGGCCATATGTCACTAAGACGGTGACCGGGTATGTACTCCATGATGATATACAGCTTCTCATCTTGTCGATACATGGCATAGAGACGAGGAGCAGGGATGCTCTGTGTCTTCTCTATAGCTAGCAATGCGTGACCTTCATTCTCAAAGACTGCAGGTCCATATTTGACAACGAAAACTTCGTCGATACGGATAACCCGTCGAGAACTTGAATCGAATATGCAGGGAAATTCTGTGGAAGCTGCTTCGATCTCCTCTATCGTTGGAAGCCGGCGCGGCAGTTCATGCTCATCGCGAAACCAAGGGAGAGCTGGAATAGACCCTAGTGACATTCTGTCGACGATAGTCTGAGCCCATTACAAGACAAATAGGAGCTCCTGCTTAAGGTGGAAGTAAGTTTGAAAGTTCATCAGCTTCACCGTGTTGATAGGCGACATTAACGTACAGTACTTACAGTAGCGGGCCGGAACAAGTATTAACCGATGCATATACTTCGACCTTCACGTCTTCTTCTTAGATAGATTGATTGGTAAAGAATAATCGACAAAGCTTCCATGCTGCACATCGATTACAATCACCTTTTCCTTTACTGCTGTGATCGTCCCTATAGTGCTTATTTCTCTGGTGGGCAGAGAAGTATTAAAGAGCTGAGATGTGCCATCCATACCTAGTTGGCAGAATCTACTCATCTTCTTCATCAGCATTTCTTCTCGCGTTCAGCTCCCGCTCACTGGTAGTCTTTATTTGGTTTCCCTACACTAGAATTGCGAAATTTCTCCAACTTCAATATGTCATACAAAGTTTACAAAGTGAAGTCCAATCTCGCCATGCAGGATCCCGATATGCCACCTCGCCGGTATCACACTGTCATTTTCGTCGAGACAAACGCTCAAGGGCCTGGCAGCGGCATCAAGCACCACGTCACTGGCGACATCGTCAGCGGCATGCACTATGAGTCAAAGCCATACCCCAATCCTGACAGATCGGAGAGTCTCTACTCCAAAGAGCTTATCGGTTACACCGCGGCATCGACGTATCCTCACGCCTGGGACGAGATTCTCAAAAATGTCCCTCCTCCTCCAAAGCAGAAGGCGTTCAACTCTAAGACCATGAGAACAGAGCCAGTCAAGTCTTGGAATCCTCTGACATTCTACGAGCCTGGGGAACCTCGGAAGCCGTTGATGAAATGCACTGAATGGACGGAACATAAGGCAATTCCCGCTCTAAAGAACCATGATCTTATTTCAAGCGGGATACCCACTTCATAGGGCATTGGTACTGTCTTTCATGATTTCTGTAATATGCCGTTTTCAAGTCAGTATGGATTGATGGATTGGGAATATATTTCTCTGAAGCAATATCTCATCTGATTCTGAGCATCTACCTCGCGGACCGGGAATATTGTCGAATATTGCACAGCATGGAAGGATAGTCTTGCCTGAACAGTTTGAATTGTTTCTACGTCTGAGGGGGCTTCCATCTATATTTATCTTTAGCATACAGAGAATCTGCTGCAAACAGATGATTGACAGATCACACCTGGCGTTTGCTTTGTGCACCGACAAACAGCCCTGTATTTTCTCAGTTGTTACCTATCCATTACATGTCTCAAATATTCGTTACCAGCTGCTTTATTTCCGTCCACTGGTTTTTGCCCATTACTCCAAAGTGATAGTTATTAGGAAGCAGCAATATATAAAACAATATAATGGTATACAGTCGCCAGATCCTTTTTGCGGAGAAAATAGACCTTCGATAGTGATGATGTTCCTCCGCAGGTAATTATGGGGAACCCCAGTTCTCCAAGTATCTACCTAGCCAGCTCGTTCTAGACTTATACCAACTTGGACTAATCCTGTTGTGGACACAGGGGGTCCATATGATAAGCTTCGGTGGGGTATACTATTGGCTGTTATCTTTGCGGTAGATTAGACGTGCGGATGCAAGGAGAAAGACAGGCGCTTTTAGGGTGATATATATATTGTATATCACATCACCTTGATTTTCGTCTCAACTGTCATTACCCCCTCACTAACGCCCTAGCTCTAGCTCTCTCCTCCCTGGTCAACACCCACAAAATACCATCCTCGCCGCCGTCCTCATTGTTCACCTCATCCCACTCCTCCTCCTCCATATTCACCACCATAAGAATCTGCGAGACCTTTGCAAACACCTCTCTAACAGAGAAATCCTCCCTCGTCACCACATTAGCGATATTGAAGAAATCCCTCTCCATACGGACAGCGCCAAATGCGCTCATCCGTTTAGCGTGGCTCCAGACCCTCTTCTCCAGGACGTTATTGGCAAGATATCGTGCTGTGATGTCGAGCAGGAGGGTAAATGTCTTACTAGTCATGATCCGAGCAATTGGCCGCATAAGTTGATCCCATCCATTCTCGAATATGCGGGCCACGTGGTCTGAGGATCCTTTGCCTTCATCATCGTCTGCGGCAAGGTCGCCGAATTCTTCCTCGGTGAGAGAGTAATCTGCATCCCGAAATGTGTCGGAAATGAGTCGACGGAGTCTGAGTTTGACGACGTTGTTGAAGAGAGCTTGTAAGCCCTCGTTCAATAGCTCTGTAGTCTTGGCAGTGAATGATTTAAGGAGGTTAGACAGTGAGTCGGCGATAAACGACGCGTCTTTGATCACGGGAAAGGCATCGTGAATGGGAGATGATTTAGTAAGGGAGTTTTCGAGGTCGAGGTTGACGCCCAGGTTTGTAGAGACAATACGGGTAAGGTATTCGTTTGCCATGTCCAGGCTGTTGATCAATACGATGAACGAGATGATCTTGTCTTCAGGTGGGAAACCGCCCTGAATAAGGGGCTTGGGATATGTTTCGTCGCGCATCTTGCGCCGGATTATGCCGACAAAATCGGAGCCCAGAAAGCGGCCTATTGTCGTTATAACATGGGCGAAAATCTCCTTCTGTGAGGTAGCTAGGGACTTTCGGATTATGGTATTGACGATGAAGAAGACGTCGTCGACGGCTAGGATTATGAATGGGGAATTGGCATTGATGGGTTTGTTCAGGTCAAGGGAGAGACCCGAAGGGTACTCATCTATCTGGAAAGCTCTTTCCATGGAGCGGCAGAAAAAGAACGTCGTCATGGTATTGTATGGGGTTATGAGTTTCGCGGATATTTTGCGGATGAGGTTGGATTTTGCGAGGACGTCAGGTATAGCGGCTGCATTGCTGTTGAAGTCAAGGAGATCCTATTTGATAATGAGTGCTTTAGACAGGCTAGGTTGTTATATTCGTGGGACTTACTCTGCATTTCCGGGTTATAAACCGCACATAAAATGACCATGTGCCAAGCATAGCTGCAATTTCATTAAGAAGGCGTTCCACCTCCTTCGAATTCACGCCTTCATCTTTGCTATTTCTCATATTATTTGCTCCTCGCCCCGTAGTCGGAGAATTCGTCCTGGGCGTACCACTTCTCGGTAGCGGGAGGGAATTCTGAACAAGAAGGGAAGAGGGATAACACTTTATGTCCCTCACCCATCTCTCCACGTCCCTGGCATTGTTCCACGAATCGAGTATAATGCCTCCCTGAACATCAGCCTCCATTTGCAAGCGCTCAATGACATTGACCATCTTTCCCGCCCCGTAATACTGCTCAACCAGTTTTCCATGGCCCTCTACAATCTGTGCGATATGCTCGAATAATTTTATAAGAGCATTCACATAAAACAACCCTGTTTCCTCCTTTTGAGCCGCGGTCGTCGGCGCATTCCTCAACCTCTCGCGAGCCGCGTCAGCGGCGCCCTGGCAGACATAACGTCCGTAGACATCGAGGCCGGTGTCATCCCTCCCAATAGGCGGGAACAGCTTGAAATACCTCGTCACCTTAACAGTATCCCCTTCTTTGACTGCTTCCTCGAATTCTCGTACGAACAAGTTGCAAAGGCTTTCCTTCGCAATCTCGAGCGTCACCCAAGGTGGATCCGGTATCTCAACGCTCGGCACGATATCCGACGCAAATCCTCCTTTTATAACCTCCTCGGGCACTTTATTCGCCCGCGAAATATACCCCGCCGCAGCCTCCCAATCCTGGGGAGCTCCCATGGAGCCCACGACACCATGAACACAAGCCTTGAGCTCAGCAACCTGCTCCACAACCCCAAGGGTGTCTTCAACCCTCATCTTCTCCAGATCCAGCGCCTTCACACGATAACTTAAACGTCTGGCTGTATCCGCCGCGCCAGCGAGCATCTTGTTCCCAATGGTGCACGTAGGAGCGGATCCCAATCCCGCTCCCAACAAATCCAGCCTCCTCAGCTCGCGGCTTAGGTTCGATTGCGTCTCCAGCAAGGCATCCAGCCGAGCTGTAACTTTAGATTCGCGCTCATGCAGCGCCGCCAGGACAGCCCGGACATCGGATAGTGTGGCGGGATTGTTCGTTGGACAGTCGTCAGTGGATGCTAGAGGGGCACCGTTCAGGAGGGAGGACATTAAGGGCGCCGGGTGGGATGTATCGCTGCTGCGGACAGTATTTATAAGCAAGACCAGTACTTAAAGCTGATAATAAGAGATTGTTAGGAAAGAAGCGTTGCGTTTAGCTTTATCTATACCGAGTGTCATAATATCTTCTTGGTGGTAGTTAACAGGACCAGGTACCTTAGGTATATTGACTCCTAGGCTATTGGAAGCACTTACCCTATCAGGTTAGTCTATCTTATTTGTTTGGACAAATTAGGTATGATTTAAAGCCACATTTATACCTGATCGAATACACTAGTATTCATTTCACTGTAGCTCCGGCTCTTTGTCCGAGATAAGTACTTGTTGATTTACTTTTTTTTTTAGCCCATGCTCCATCTTTCTTCATTATACGCCCACCTCTCTTACCTTTCATTTCATTATTTTCATGTTTATTGACCTTATTACTTCCGAGTCCTCATAGTAACCGCACAAGATGCTGCTAGTCATTATCAGTTTGTGGGTACTCCTCTCGGGAGCTAGAATAATGCATTTTCCAGGAAAAGCTAACGGACAACTAGTATTGTCCTTGCTTTGGTCTTCACCTCCTTCGTCCCTCATATATGTCACGCGTGGCTAGACAAGGGTACTAGAGATATTTCATTGTGCTACCTACTTTTCAATGCTATTTGTTCCACGGAGCATCTACTTTTTGTTTTCTTTTATACTATCAATCTCCCTATTGAGACAGGCTACTGGACTCACCATCCACGTAATGCATTTGACTGGGTCAATTTTGTCCAGGTGTTGGGCGTATGGGCATTGTGGAACATCCTGTGAGCTTAAAACATTCCTTCTTGGTAATCAAAAACTGACTAGAGACTGACTAAAATATCCAGATTGGGGCTCAACCTCTCCTATAAACCCACTAGTCGCCTTCGCAAAGCTCTGATAATATTTATTTATTCCGGCTTTCTTATTCTATCTATAGTCCCTGTGATAGCAGACGCAGTGATAGATATCTTCTGTCCTCCATACTATCCGAATTGCCCTGAGTATAAGCGAGACCCAATTATTCTCTTCTAGGGCCTATATGCTGTTATTCTCCTGTTATTTCTTACGACTATACCTTTTATTATAGGAATAATAAAATAAGCCCGTATGCCCTCATAAACTTAAATTTTAACGGGACTTAAGCTTCAGATAGCGGCTTTTATAATCTCAGCTATTTCCTAGGTTCCCAGAGTTGTTGCGCTATAGGATCTATACCTAGATGGTGGACACTTAATTATTCTGATTATCAATATATAGTACTATATGGTCAGGTTTATCGCTGTTAACGATGCAGTCTTTGCTCTGGGGTAAGGAATTTTGTTGTGGTTGTCTTTGTAATAGATAAGATATGCGGAGGAAGAAGAAAGACAGCCGCTTTTAGGGTGATATATATATCAACTTGATTTGAGCTTATATAGACTCTGTCAGTGATTCTTTTTTGACTGTTAGGATATAGATCATAAATTATTCTAACTCATGTTTTGCCATTTTCCATCAGTAAATGTGATCCGCTGTTTGACATGTGCTAGCCAACATTTAGAATAAAAGATCACTGAGAAAGGGTTCTACCATACACCACCCCACATAAGTAAATACTAGTTCAACGGGTAACGAGTCTCTCTCTCCCCCCCTCTATCTTCCCCCATCTCTTTCTTTTCCTAATTCTTCTTACCTTCCCTACTTTCCCCTTACCTTTCGTTTAACCTGCCATGAATCCTGAGCTTGAATCAAATATCAGATTCTTTGAACATGATAGACCGTGAGATTCTCCCTGCCTGCCCATTGTTCCAAACTAACAAATCTCCTAGTCCAAATACGCCCAGACTATCTATGGAGGTTGAGCCTACTAGTTCAGTCATATCACTAGATAAACCGAGAGGGTTTATTATCACTATCCGTCGAGCAGAAGATGACTGTGACAAGCCTTGTATCTTCCGCTGGAATGTCGTGCGTGATGGATGGGGTCCTTCTGGCTTCATGCTCTTTCAACACACGCCAGACGGTCTGAAAATGGTTGAGGGAACGCCCAAATCGCCACCTCCCCAGACCTTCAAGCTTACAGGATACGAAGTTGAGACGGAAGAACTCCTGCCTGGCCAAACTCTCCGAAGAAACATAGGCCACCCGTGTCCCTTCTGGGACCACGTGGTCGCTGGTGAGAGGTATGAGCTATTCTGGCCGGGAGCTGAATATGCCTTGTGGGCTTGGGGCACCTTACGTGAGCATTGGGATCAAGAAATTGGGGTTAACTCGGGACTACCCCCTGTTGTCATCCCGGGGGGAGCCTGCTGTTCTTTTACCTGCGTAGAGGTGGAAGAACGTTCGGACTTTGAACCCGACGATCCTCGGGTGGAGAAATCGGAACGAATGTGAGAAACCCTCCAAGGTAATTTTCGTCTTTCCCGTGACTGATACTCTTTTACAGCCCTGGAACCCCTTGTATAAGTGTATCTCTGGAAGGCCCATCGAAGATTTCTAAAACGGAAAAGATCCGTATTACAGTGAAGACCACATATGATGGTCTGACAAACGAGGATCACGATGCTACTATCTGTGCTGATACAAAGCCGATCATCATACACAACTACCCTTTCTTAAGTGATAACTTTCGACTGCTGCGCCGCTGCCACGATTATAATCCGTTGAAGAATTCAGACGAGGATCCTACACAGTGGAAGACTTATTTCGACGACGAACGGAATCCGGGTTGGATGATTGTAGATGAACCTGACGTTGAGGTTAACGTTACGGATTCTACGCTTTTCCTCAGCCTCAAACCAGGAGAAACTTTCGTCAAACACCGTTCCCTGGGCTATTTCGACTTGCATCCCGATACAGTGATTGGCGACACATATCGATACCAGTACTGGGGTGGCTGCGTTGACTGGTGGGTTTGGGGTGATCGTGAAGAGCATGCGAAGACAGTGGTGAAACTACCATGTTGGCTAAATGATCATGTCGTTGACCCTCCTGATAATGATGGAAGGCCGGTTATAATGGTCCCGTCATCCAATTTTGTCGAGTTCACTGTTGTTGATTGATCTGAAATGGATTCGGTTTGGCTTTAACCTTAAGGCACCCCAGTCGCGCCAAAGAACAGCAGGTCGAAGACCCAATAAATTAGGTCAAGGAGTCTTCCAGTCTTCCTACCTCAAACAAAGATGGGGCGCTTCCAACCTTGCGGGTCTAGGGTCTAAACCCCAGCTGACAATTTGTCCACATGTGTACCGCTACTGGGCAATTACCGGGGAGATCTGCATACCGAGCCCCTACATAATGATTAGAAAAGCAATGGTCAATCATGCTTAATATAATAACTAACCTCAGCCCAAAGCACAGAACCTCTAGGAACGTCATCAAGTCCAGGTTCTTTATCTAACACCTTTCCATCACAAAGCCAAATAGTCGTATCGTAAGAGGGAGGTTTTAGTTCTCCACTTTCGTATAGTTCAATGAGTTTTAAGATGTTTGCTTTCTGGTATTGCCAGCAGTCCTCCGTAAGCGCGTCTTTGAGTTCCTTGATTCTTGTCTGCGGATCGATGACGAGGGGTATCGGACAGGCAGGAGAGAAACCCGGCGGCGCCATATTGAATACCTAGTACTTTGGCTCAGAACGGAGGTATGTGCGATTAATAAACGCGAAACCGTTCACACTGATAAAATCCTGGAACCGAAGCTATGCTCATGCGAAAGCAAGTTGTCACTGAGGTGAAAGCAAGTTGGGATTCAAGAGGCAAGAGCCGAGAAGCTTGCTTGTTCGATTACTAACTAGGAGCCGGCCAATGATAGAAAGTTCCACTATGCCATGATCGAGATGGATAGTGACAAGTTTCACATAGATGCAACTCTATACTTACTACTGCTTTAAAAAGATAAACACATCTAAATGTGGAAAGACAAGGCTAGATACCTAGTTAACACAACACCCGACGCTAGACATTATCCACAGAAGAACCACCCGATGCTCTCTTTCCCAGCGCTTTCTCTCTCACCTTCGTCGTTTCAACCAGTCCGTCTTCACGATTAAGGATAAGATTCTGATCAAATGGATACAGAGTCGGTTTCCTAATCGGCGGTTTCTCATGTGCGAATCGCCATATATCCGCCGTCATGTTCTTGCCTAGCGTCTCCACGACGGGGGTTAGAAGTGGAAGAGACAGAAGTATGACAGAGTAGCAGCACACGGCTACGATCAGAATATTGGCCCAGTAAGGGAGTCCGAGTGCAGAGAGTTGTACGCAAATAGTCGCGCCAAGACTCCAGTACACGAAGCCGTGGATGAGGTAGATGGTGAAGATGTGCGGGAAGATGAGCACGAATAACTTGAACGAGAGCATCTTTTGGACCAAGGGGCTCAGTTCAACGAGTGCTTGGAAACCGAGCGAGAAGACTAATCCGTGTAGTTTGGGCACGTAGTATTGTGGGTATCCTGCACCGGAGGTTTGTGCAATCGGTCGGCCAGTGGCTGGGTCTGGATGGATGTCGTATTCATAGGTGGCATAGTTGACCTCTGTCCATTGTGTGGCCAAATCGAGTGATAGGCCGCCGAAGCCAAGTGCGGCACAGAAGAGGATTAAGGGATAGTAGACGAAAGGGCGTGCGTACAGCCATTTTCTCCATTTATACGTGATGTCCAGATCGGCCATCATTAGGCCGAGCCAGAAGTAGGACCCCCAGGATAGAGCGTACCAGTTGTTGACGATGCAGAAGGCATAGTATCCGAACCGCTTCCATGGGGTTTTAATCTCACGGATAACAATGACCCCGAGCATTACTTGCCATGAGCCTTGGAGCTGCACGGGAATCGTCCACAACACACCCGTACAATAGTTGAATGTGATCTGAGGGGCTGCATTCGGAATCAGGAACATCAGTTCGATCACCTCGCTAATGAAGGTGCCGAAGTTCGTATAGCCAACAGCGAAGGGCCAGGTGGACCATGTAATGGAGGGAAGGTACATTAGCCATTTTGTTGCGCCTGCATCCATGAAGAAATACTCGATGAGGGCAATAGCGGTTATAGGGATGATCAGGCGCGGAGTCCGTCCAACTGTTTTCTCTGCCAATGACCTCAGGTTACCGTTTTTGAGATAGTTGGCTGCCAGGAACCGACTGGAGGTCATGAGGAACGGTCCGATCCAGATGAGATTCAGCAGGTACGGGGTAACAGTCTTTCTAGCCCAGATCTCACTCTCGTAATGCAGATATGCTCCAGGGTTTATTGCAGCAGGGATGAAGGTAAGTCCGAAATGAATCTGTGTGACTAGGAGAGAACTTATTGCTACCAGCCCGGCGAGATAGTCGACGCGCTTCTTCGCAGCAGGTGCAGCAGCGGCGGTACCATCTGCATTAGGAGCCGGATCACGCTGGGCTGTAACATCTTTCAGTTCAGTTATTGTCGTGTTCTCTTCCTTCGAGGCCTTCATGGAGGTCTCCGCTACCGACCCTATTTCCAACTCGTTAAAGCCTTTGCTTGGAGTGGAAGAAAATCTCAGAGTTGATGTGTCGTCTGTAACTGGCTGAATTTCCCATCCCGTAGAGCTTTTGCTAGGAGTGAACGAGGTTCTCAAAGGAGAAATACCGACTACCGGTTGAATTTCTAGTTCACTGAAAGCTTTGCTAGGAGCCAATGACATCCTCAGAGTTGATATATCGTCATTCACCCAGTCTGAAGGCATCGCAGGAGGCTGCCCTAAAGGCGTAGCAACACCAGACACATTTCCTGATGGCGTCGCCAGTCCAGAAATGCCCTCTATTGGAGGTGGAGTGGGCAGAGTGATCATTTCTGTGGAGGACGTCGTGCCCGCAGGAAACAAGCTTCTTATGAACGGAGCTCCGTAGCGTTTCTCGGGTCTCAGCAACGCCCATGGCTGTCTTCTTAAGAATGCATTCAGTAATAGAAAGAAGCTGAGGGCTCCGGACAAGACAGAGATGACAATTGCCGGGATGCGTTGGCCGGCGGAAGGGGGATTCTGCTTCCATTTCGTCGTTGCGTTTTGGGCGTAAGATGTATAACCGCGAAGTTTCATGTCGTCGACTCTGCACGCGGCATCAACCCGACATGTGGTGTCGAACGCCTTGCGTGCATAGTCACTCATCGAGGTCGTATTGAAGAATAGTCGAACCCAGCCTACATTTGCAGTCGTCTCTGCCCATGGGGGCCCCTGCATCGAGAAGAAGTCTCCGGTTGACCAATGCTTGATATGTAATGGCCCGGGAACACTAGGCAATCCTTTGATTTCCCTCCTCGATGCAGAGCGCCAGACCTTATCGCCAAGAGTATAGTTGAGCCAGTCCTTCGTCCAATCCACTCGATACTCCATGAACTCCCACGGGGAGGTGGATTTGTTTGTCAGAGTGGTGTAGTTGACACCGTAGATATTATCTGGGAACTCGCGGTTCATCAACATCGTGATTCGAGCAGTTGACGGTTCTTCGGTGCTCAACAGGTTCAGACTGAAGGTTTCGGTCTCATTATAGAGAAGCTCCATCGAAATTGCACTTCCGCCTGTCCACTGACGAGGGGACTTGAGGAACGTCCTGAACGTTCCGTAGTGAATGTCATGTCTCAACGTCTGTATGGAGCCACCCATAACGAGATGGTCGGCGGTCGGTTTGGAGATGTTGATTGCTAGCGATTGCGGAAATTCTGGCGAGGAGGAGTCATTGACTATCTGCAAATGGGAGAGGTCGGCCCCTTGACGATATTGATCGTTCCATCCTTTCTCGTAAGGGTTCTTGTATGTCTGTCCAGCGAAGCCGGTCAAGTCCAATGAAGAAGTTTCATTGAAATATACAATGATCGAGTCTGTAAAGAGGTTTTTTGTCGATTCATCGTAGTAACCACAGGAACAGTCTGTGTTGTTTGTCCCTGAGATCAAAACATCACTGTCTTTACCAATGACCGCAGAAGGTAAAAGATATAAGGACAGAAGTAGTGGGATGGGGAATCTAAACTTCATCATGGAGCAACGTGGAGAGAAAGGGGCCCTCAGTATCCCGAAACAAGTCATCAGATAGGACCTATGAAGGACCTATATCTCTAATATAAGCTAGAGATAATGCTCAGAGATTCCTGTATAGAGTCCCATCCAGAGGCAAAGATGGGGAGAGCAGAAAAGCTCAAATTAGCCGACACCAGTGGAGAGAAGGCATACAAGTTGAGATACAATAGCCAGCCCTGGCCGTATAGTTCTAGACCATGACTAGCTGCGACACTTAACGCCTAATACTCAGTTCAGCTTTCTCTTGGGTTCGAACGTCTCTATCTCCACATCCTGGACTGTATCCACCTGGTAGCATGATCTATTTGAGCGCTATGTCCTCGGGCACTCCGTTCAACCCGGCCATCTCGACAGGTATAGTCACGGCAATTCTTTTTCACAGACATGTTCCAAGGCATTGATAGGGTTTGTTTCATCAATAGCTCTCTTGCTCGTTTCCTAGGGCTGATTATGCAGGTTGTAGTCCGGGTGGCTGCTTCTTACACCGCTAGGCTGGGTAATATGGATTGTCACCAATGACCGGAACGGCGTTCGCCGGGCGTGATGCGAACCTGCATGTAGCGTTTTCTAACTCCAAAGGAAAATGGCTTGTTCCTCAAGTATGGGCCCACTGTTAGTATGGCAATGCGAAATTGGTTCGTACCAAAAGCCATAACGTGGGAGGTTCTTGGATCTCCATTTCAGATCATCGAGAAATGAACGCTACCCATGTGCCGAGACCAATTTACTGGGCGATTATGACATGGATAGATAACCCAAATAGACTTTGTGAACGACTTGAAAGGAAATGTCGAATACTTCAAGCTCTATACTCAAGGTGCTCTATCATACTCTAGCCTAAGCCGATCCATGATCAAGGTGACTTCATTTCATGACCGCACTATTTCCTCGTTCAGGAATCGCTACAGATGCACCTTTCAGACAGAGGTCTTGGAATCTCGCTTGGAAGGAAGTAGATACGATCCTTAGTGCGCCATGTCTAGCGCGAACTGATCAACCCGAGCTGACTAGAGGTTTGTCCGATGCAAACAATAAGGTAGACACTCCATGCGCAGCGATCATGCCTCCAACACGACAACACATGGTAAAGACACTATGAATAGCTTATGTTTTAGTATGCAGTGCTTAGAAGACTAAAGTCCAGACTCTATTTGCGTGCTAATTTACGGACCGGCGCTCGTTGGGCGCTCTGTTTACGGGGTGGCGTCCCAGCCCAGTGGCTTGTCAGAAAAAGCCCAGGATCGGAGACGCCAAAGAAAAAGCTAAGTGAAGATACGATATCCTCGCTACACATCTGTACAGTGTAAGTCCAGCCTGGCACTAAAATTGGCGTGGCTCAACACTTCTGAACACCAGATTCGCTCTCGTGTTGGTGACTTGGGAGATTGATGCGGACCCATCCCAACTGTGTCCAATGGCGGCGGTGCACATCTACAAGGCGCTGTACAGACTGTGTATCTCTCCCCTGAGACTTTCTGAACCCTGGCCCTAATGTAGCTGTCAGCAACTGTCTTACGGGACTATACAGCCGAGCCATAATACTATCCTCCCCGGTGAAGTCCAACCAATGGATGGTTAGTCGCAAAGCGATGTGTGATGCCATCATCATGAAAGACTATATTTTTTGCATCTGAAGGTCTGGGCCCCGTTCAGCATGTTGACTGCCTTCTAATCTCGGAAAACTAGACTGGTATCATCATCACCAGGACATAATCAGGACGATTCCTTCATCTACTTGTCAATTGTGCAATTTCTTTCTCACACATCCAATTGACTGTCTTTCTTGCCATGGCTCCTGAAAAGTCCACTCTTACTGTTACGGCCAGGCCGATGGCCTGTTCTGAGATTGACCTGAGGGGCACTCGACCGCGATTCTCTTCTCTACAAGCCGCATTAAAGAAGGTAGCAGACTTCATTCAAGATTGGACGCCATTTCTTCTAGTTGCATCTTATTTCTTCTTCTCGACCTGCATATACATGGTCTGCAGCACAAAACTCATCGAGATCTTCTGGTTTATATGTCTCACAACCAACTTCTACATCGCGGGCAACTCTTTCGTTGAGGCCTTCATGTGTATGGGCCCTGCGAGAGATGCGAGAAAAGCCCGAATGAAAGTTGAAGCCAACGGATGGGTGTTTCCCACTCCAGACGACCAACTGCTGAAATTGGACTTGATAATCGTGGCATATCTCCCAAACGAGAAGGATATCATTCTTGACCGCGTGCACTATGCATTGGAAAAGATCATCTACCCAAAAGACAAGATCACGATCAATGTGGTGTACAACACCCCTACCCCCATAGAGCCTTTGGAAACGGAGCTACGAGAGCTTTCAAGAGAGCATTCAAACCTTCGTATCGTGCAGGTGCCGAACTCCACGTCTAAGGCGCACAATCTCAACTATTTCCTCACCCTGGACACCGGGTCCGATGTCATTGCCATATTCGACTGTGATCATTACACCCATCCTTACGGACCACGGTGGGCGATTGAACGCTTCATGTCGAATCCGAAGATTGATATCGTTCAGGGACGATGCGTGGTTTTCAATGCTGCTGTGTCTTTCATGACAGGAATGATATCAGTGGAATTTGACAAGATCTATGCGGTTTCTCACCCTGGTCGCTCTGCTCTGTGGGGGTTTGCTCTCTTTACCGGTTCAAACGGATATTGGAGGTCGCCGTTCCTTCGAGAAGTGAGGATGGACGACAAGATGTTGACTGAAGACATCGATTCTAGCCTACGCTCGCTCGCTCGTGGTGCACATATCGAGCACGACTTGAACGTGGTTTCCTATGAGCTTGCTCCTGTTACCTGGCTGGCGCTCTGGAATCAGCGCCTTCGCTGGGCCCAGGGATGGGCCGCGGCCAGTATGCGACATGTCATCTTGACGTTCAACAAGCCCACTCAGGGCAGCCGGAACAAGAAGATGCGCTTTGGGCTTTTATCACTCCTGCTTATTCGAGAGATGAGCTACTACCTTGTGACGCAGTACTGCTGCCTTGTTCTCAGCGTCATCATCCTTCATTTCCCGAAGAACCCGATAGCATTTGCACGCTTGATATATTTCCAGTACCCGATATCCCAGTGGCTGTTTATTGTCAGGTATGGAAGATTTCCGTTATTGACTGTTGTAATCCGCGGATGCTGACGTGCTCTCCTTTTCAGTGCTATCTGTCTTGTGGCAACCCTGTGGATCACAGATCGAGCAAAATCCGAGTTCATCTCCTTGCCGATGATCATCATGTTCTCGATCCTTTACCCCATCTACCTGGTCGTAACCGCAGTCGTTGGTCTTTACGGCCACGCCCGACAGGTTAGCAAATATACTTCCTGGAACACGACTGCTCGTGGGTGAAGGCCTGCGCAGACACTTTAGCCGAAGAGACGGTATCATTACATTCCATACAGTTGATAGAACTATATTCCATACAAATGATAGAACTTTATGACACGACCCCTCGTACGATATTGAACTGTTCAATTTAGAGACTACTTTGCAAGACATTAGCGTCATGTTCATGTAACCGATCAAGACGCTATCCATTGCCACGAAGAGCGTTTTGGTTGGGCTAGAACCTGCCGTTGAGAACTGCTAAAAAGCCTATTCTGCAAGTTGCAGTGTGCGTTAGCGTACCTATCTAGATAGACTACTTGATCATCATCTCCGTTGTTGCTTCCCTCGAAGCGGGGTTAATCTTCGGACATCCCCGTAGAAATCGACTCTAGTACACTACTCTACGCCATGGACCTAGTCAAGAAAGCTGAAGGCCAAGTTACTACGCCATCATCTCGGCTAAAAGGCAGGAATTAAGAAGCACAGACTATGATATTGACGATCAGCCGCGATCAACCTCGAGCTGACCAGGAACTATAATTCCTCATGAACCGTGGGCCATGTGGCCCGGATAGGCCCGAGAGTGACGACCCAAGCTTTACGATTGTCATTTCCCATCTGCTTGGAACCTTCCAGGGGGACGACGTTAGCGTATTTTCTTATACGAGGCTTTTATCACATCTGACATTCAGGACCGGACACGGAGTCATCCAGAAAACATTGAGGCCAAGTCCTTCTTGTACAGATCCGGTAGCAAGAAGCGAAATGAGGCTCTTCTGCTGACACCTGGCAGCGGTGAAGAGAGCGAGCTCGTTCACACCGATCCACCGATCCCAAGTCTCATGTTGCTTTTTCGTTCTCGACTCCGTTCCGGCAGAGTCTGACAGCATGGACCTTCTTCCGTACTGTCGGGTAACGGGCTCTCCGCCTCGCTTAAGGACATACTTATGGTCTCGGCCTAGGGACCTAATGCCTAGGTATATGAAGGCTAGATTCCACGTTGGGAGGATGGCGGAGCGCTATATTAGTGAGAATAAGCAGACAATCATCACGTTCTAATATGGACAGCAAGGGCCCAACCACAGAGACCAGATGTCTCGACCACATGGCATCCCGCGGACCTAATTCGAAACGAACTCTCGATTAGAAAACTAGGCTGAATCAATCAACACAATCTACTCCGTACCTAGCGCGGCGTGTCCGCGCAGTAGTTTGTTGTCTTCCGGCGCTACCTGAGGCATCCGCCGCCCTGCATGCAAGCCACGGCAATTCTGTCCGAATCAGCCATCCTAGCCTTATCGGCAAATCGCACTATGATGCGCCAACTGAGCTGGCATAGTAGTGAAATGAGCATCGTTGTGCAGTCGGTCCGAGACTCGGCGTTCGTGACCGGCGGGGACCCTACAGGTTGGCGTGTTCCAGCCTCTTCAGCTTTCCGAGGAGGCATGAATATGTCAGCTCTTCTGGACTCTAAACGGACAATAGGCTATCTATCTTGACTGGGGATGGTAACTGCCATAGTGCCAACTCATCCCAGTTGAGCCATTCAGCCCGATTGGGAGGCCCCTAGACTTTAGTCTCGGACACATTCTGGATGGAATCCCATCAGTGAAACCCGAAAGATAAGTATGCATATTGTTAAAAGCGCCGGAGAGCTTTCTAGATAATCAGACTGGCTCAATGTCCCTATTTTGAGCAAGAGCAGGTTAGTCTTCTCGCGGTCCTGCTCTGGGCTCGTGAAAATGTTGTCAAACACTGGTAATGGGTATAGAGAACAAAGTCCAACGACGGCCCGATGTTGATTTAGCGAGCGACAGCCGGATTCTCGTCTCGATCCCGACAAAGTGCTACAATTAGATCAGTATTAGCATTGTCAGGACGAGTTAGCAATTGCATCTGCCACATCGGCCATCTTTAGTGGCGTGCTGAATACGAGGGACGCCATCTGGACATGGATATGCTGGCCAAGGGCCTCAACGGCCAGAAGGTACTACCGGTGAGTGAGAGGGGGTGCAGCTTCGTTCCATTCCTACGGCATTTATGTGGCTTGTATATGGGTTTCCTACTGTCAGTCCGTGTCGTATAGTTTGAGCAGTGCATGTTCAGCCTATCGATTGGACATGTCTTAGTTCAAATGTCCGGTAATCCAGCCCTGCGAGCAGCAGAAGGCGGGTGGTCAGCTCCGTGAATCCGGGATTGAGGGACAGTGGAGTAAACAATTGCCGAAGAAACAGCTGATAGTCTAGACCTTGCTGGGGCTCAGTAGAAGTGCTATACCTCATTGAAGTGTAATGGATGGGAAAGTATATGCGACATGGACAAACTGTTGTGATAAAGAAAGCTCCCCTCTGAGGTACTTTCGACGACCTAACAGCGAACTGTCAGGGCAATCGGCAAGATGAAGGTACTACTGCATGAAATTGTCCGCCCTCGATACCCAGCTGTCCCCGACAAGGAGAGTTCTTACCTCTATGGACTCAGAGGAGTATTTGTTATAGAATCTTTTCTTTGGGTCTTTCTGCAGACACTCGTCCCAGGGGCTGTCAAAGGAACCGCCAACATCTATGGGCCAGCTTATCAGATCTACTTGAAAAAGACCCTTTCCGTTCTCTTTTGGAATGACAACCTCATCTATTCTTTCTTCATCCTTGTATCTGCTAGGACAATATGTCTACCCTTTCTCAAGAACCCAGACAAGTCCGGAATCGCAGGCTCTGTCTTCCGACGTGGGCTTCGTCTCTGGTTTCCTGTGGCCGTCTCCCTGGCCGTCGTGAAGCTCATGTTCTGGAAAATGGGAACGGCATACATTGACAATTACAAGTCCCTCACCGGAAATGTATCCTTCGACACGCCCTATTACATGCCAAATACACTCGTGTATTTCAATTCTGTCTTCAACATGTTCTGGATTACGCAGAACTTTGCAACATCTGCTGGCAGTTATGCCTTCCCTTCGCAACTACTCTGGGTTGTGAATGTGATCTACATGCAGAGTTACACGGTTTATATGGCGATGCTCATCATTCCTTACACGAGGAACTCATGGCGTGTTAAGGGCTCCGTCCTGTTCATTATCACCGCTTGGTGGGTTCAGTCATGGGCATGGTTTACCGTGACCGGCCTGATTCTCGCCGACATGGTGTTCAACATGAACTTTAAGGAAAAGGCACGAAGGGGAATACCCATCTGGAGATCCAGAAACATCTATTTTCCGTCGTGGATCCTATACTCGGCACTCATGGCGGCTGGCTTGATAATGCAATTCATCTGGACTGGATGGAAACCACAGGATGTAGATTCAGAGATCATTGCACATGCAGGTCTCTACTACACTGGCGGTTTGAATAACAAATATGATCCGGCCCAGCCTCAGGCCAGAGATGACATTTACCTAATCCTGGTAGCCATCTTCTTCGCCGTGGAGACCTATGACTTCCTCCAGCGGCTATTGAGGAATTCAGTTCTCGTCTACCTTGGAAGCAGGTCGCTTAGTGAGTTACTCCATAACATATTCACTCTTTTATTTCAGCCTAGGCTAACCTCAATCTACGACAGGCTGGCTCCTAGTCCAAAGCATCATTATATACACTGCGGGAATCAAACTTTTCGTCCACCTGAACCAGGAGAAACACTGGCCCTCGGAAGGTTCTGTGTTCACAGTCTTCATAGTCTGTCTAGCAGCTGTCGTTCCCATCGCAGAGCTGTTCTATAGATTGGTTGAATATCCCTCTCGTGCTCTAGCATATCGACTATTCGATTGGATTAGGGAGTAAGATTGTTGTGAGATCGGTTGCATTTTCTTGTGCCATCATTGTTTACTAAATGCATGTGTGCATGGTCTTATATGTCTCTTTTACGAGGTTGTACTGTTCTTTGCCTGTTCATTATTTTGGCATTCGAAAAACGTTTCTTATTACTCGCAACATATGGAAACAATGATATAACATGCATTGTTGTTTCAAATAGCAAGTTAGCAATGTCGTTCGTGAAAACAGCCTCAGGCTCATACATAGATATATATAAGTTCAACTGTGTATTCATTTTCCAAATTACTTTATATTGACAGTTTCATGATGTATATGATCCTGAAAAGGATAAAGCTAAATCTTTCGAAATGAGACTAAATGGCGTATTCTACTGTACTACGTCCCACGGTGTTGTGCCGCGGTATGTTCGACGGTACTGTTCTGAGCTACTTGCTCGTCTGGTTACGAGGATACCTTGCCTGTTATTAGGCAACCTACGTCGTTATCGCGGTTCATTTACTGCTTATTACATACATGCTGCATAGTGGTAGACGTAAGAATATTCCAAGTCCTAATTCCCGCGGGTTACATTATCCTACTGTCACGTTATAGGTAGCCATGATATCGTAGAATCTGGTTATACATTAGGTTTATTGTCTTTCATATGCCGTGCCACTCCAATCGCCATGTTACGATAAGCATGATGTGATTATAAATCAAGCTGACTTGACCCTTGTAGATTGCATCGTGCCACGTCTGTTTCTCGATTGGCCTTGTGCTACTTCTAGATTGATGACCTTGTCTATGTTTATAAACAGGGGTTATAGTACACGAAGTTATATTCTTGCGGATGATGCAGGGACTATCCTTCGATGGGTTGCATTAGTTGGATGTAACATGGTCGAGCGATTGAGCGCTGCATGTCAGATAGATGACTTGTTCTTAGATTAATCCCAAGAAATTCTGTGATTGTTGTCAGCAAAGTTGCAATTGAACTCACGGCTTAAACAAGGTCCCTGTCGAATAAACTTACCCTAGCATGATTCCAGCGCCGACCGCCATGGCCAAAAATTGAGTAGCTGTCTTGCGAAGCTCGGCGCCTTTGTCCTTGCCGGTTTCGAGGAGCTCCGGGATAACAGCCACAGTGCCCACATAAAGGAACGTTCCGGCAGTAAACGGTAGAAGCATATCACCCCATGTCAGACTGGTTCCGAGAAGACCGGTAGCAGATGTCGCCGCAGACGCGTCCGATGAGTTCCCTCCGCCGAACTCCTGCACGGCAATACCGATACATGTTCCGAGGAACGCCCCTACAGCGGTGACGAACTGCGCTCCCATAGCCTTACGCTTCGAGAAGCCGGATTGGATGAGCAAGGCGAAATCTCCCACTTCATGAGGAATCTCATGGAAGAAAACAGCGACGGTGGTTGTGGCACCTATGGTCGGGGATGCATAGAAAGAAGATGATAGTGCCAAGCCATCAGTGATGTTGTGGGTGAAGTCAGCAATCAGATTCAGGTAGCCACCAAGCTTGACGCTCTGGCTGATCTCTTTCTCCTCATGCTCTTCGTGTTTAGGCGCGCCGGCTTCTGTCTTGGACTTCCGCTGCTTCAGCTCGCTGCCACTGTTGTCCTTGTTGGACTTCGAGCTAGTTGTCACAGCACTATCTTCCACCGTGGATTGATGCGCATGGGCGTGGCCATGGTCGTGACCACCGTCCCCTCCAGTAGCAATGCGCAGTGACTTGTCCATAGCGACAAACGTCAAGAAGCCCACCATTATGGCCAAGCCAAGAAGCAGGTTCTTGTTAGGCTCGACCATCACGAACCGCACGTGATCTGGGGAATCTTCTCCCAGGAAGATCTCCGGAAGCAGGTGGAAAAGAGTGTCACCCAAGAGTCCACCGACTGCGAATGCTACCATAACGGAGAGGGATGAGGGGTCGATATTAGGCGGACATAGTGCAAGAAGGAAATCTGACAACAGTCAACGCAACGGTCAGGCAGATAGCATTTAGCCGGCCATATTGTACGCACTAGGTGGTCCAGAAATATAGAGAGTCGCCAGGATCGAATTAACCGCAGGGCTACCAGGGAAGAGAACAGCAAAGATGCGCGATGTCAGACTTGCGGTTTCTGGGTTTGTTGCACGCTTGTGCTCATTGAGTGCCTGAACAAAGGAACATTCCTAATGGGGCACCAGTTACTATTATATCAAGGATATACAATGTCTAGAGACCAGAGTGCCTACCTGCAATTGCCCCTCGATCTGTCCCACGGAGAGCTCTCCGACAGCAACATCAGCACGGGCGGGGGTTACACCAGCAGCGGCCAGGACAGAAAAGAGGACCACTCCAAGCACCAGGCCAAACAATGCCTTGCGCATTGTGGAAAATGTCTTGACAGCCATTGCATCCACCGGTCGCGTCAACTGGGGATGTTGGAGCAGGGACGATTCCGTTGTATCTGATCTGATACAGGCGGATCGGACTAACATCGGCGCACGGCTAAGTAGAACTAGCGATGCAAACATGCCAAGTCCTTCTGCAAACATCCAAAAAAGTTGAACCGCTCAATCGATAAGACATTATTTTCAGTGCTGCAGATATCTGACTTATTGCATCCAGTCGAGGGCACATTTTTTCTCTTTATTCCTGGAGCCAAGATGGGTCGCGAACTACAAAAGAAAAAGAATAGATCGGCAGTGCCGAAGGTCAGGCGCAAGCGCAAGACTTTGCCTCACGGCAATAAAAAGATCGATGTGCTGGGCAATGCCCTCATCGCGGAGAACTGGTAAGGCAGCATATTGTCGTATCCGATCTTGATATTGCGCCACAATTCTAATATCTGCATCTAGGGATAAGAAATTGACACTCATACAAAATTACCGCCGACTAGGTCTGTCATCGCGCCTGAATGCCCCCACCGGTGGTGTCGAGAAGCGAACAGGAGGAAATCCTATCGAAACGACCTCTGATTCTCTTCACATTAATGGAAGCGCCAAAGCCGCTGCTACAAATCTTTCCCTGGGCGAAGCCCGTGTCGAGAGGGACCCAGAGACCGGCAAGATCCTGCGCGTCATCAACGATAATGAGATCGAGGTTGCGGGGCGCAAAGTCCGAAGAGACAACCCACTCAACGATCCATTGAACGACCTATCAGACCTGGAAGAGGAAGTGCGGACAAGACGCCAGGTCTCAGAAAACCCTATCGTGAGGCAATTGGAGCTGCAGGCAGCTCAGGAAGAGGAGCTAGTGAAGAAAAAGAAGCCTCGTCAGCAAAGTACCCGGGAACAAGAGTGGATTGAGCGGTTGATCAACAAGCACGGTGATAATATTCAGGCCATGGTCAGGGACAGGAAGTTGAACCCTATGCAGCAAACCGCAGGTGATATCGGGCGGAGGATTAAGAAGTGGAAGCAAAGTCATAGTCAGCAATAATGTTTCTTCTGCTGCTGCATATCTGAATTAAATTGGGCGACACGGGCGTTAGGGTCATGGTCAAAAGTCTAGTACATAAATGGGTCCTTATAGAATCCTTATCATCTGCTTCTGGAGTGCTTTGCCCTTTTTCTAGTCTTACCAGAGATGGTGCCCATATCCGCGGGTACCCATGGTAGACTCCATCTGTCTAAATGTTCTGCGCTGTATGGTGCATCCTTGAAGGCGCTTGCGTAGGTCATTGCTAATGATATCAGCCACTATATACCTCAATATCACTGCATCACTCTCACCACCAAGGAATACGAACCGTATAAGCCAACCCTCCAACAGTCAAGGCATATAACATCTATGCACATTCTTTTCATATCCATTATGGAAAACTGTAGCTTTGTTAATAACGACTTTACTCCTGAAGCTGAGCGGTACAGTCAATAGGTCACCGCTTTTGATATAACCCGTGACCTATGCAGCTCAGAGTCTGCCAGCTCGTCCCATCTTTTCCAATAAGAGATGCATCAAAATAACATAAATCGCGCTATCTTTTGCTTTCACCTTGTCTTCTTTTGTTTCTCTTCCCAACGCGTCACTCATTCTCAAACACCCACACTCCTTTGGCATACGTTGGTTCATCTGCATACTGCCTCCTGGTGCAATTTCACGCGTTTCTTGATACCAAAATACCTTCTGATTAAGCAATCTTGCCAAAATGGACTTCATCGCGTTTATATTGGCGTGGATCATCACCTTTGGTGCCCCTGTCCAGGGACAGATTGGCGGGTAAGTACCGACTTTCCTTGTCATGTGGTAGATTGTTGGATATAAGCTTACCTTACAGTGGTCTGGATCCTTCTACCGGCACTTTTATCTGTTCCAAAGTTGGGGGAACTTACTGTGATGGCAAATCCATGGAAACTGCGACCCTCATCTCTTGCCTTTCGTTGTCTGTTGCTGAGTTCCACTGGTGTAACGCGCAGTATGTTGCCTCATCCCGATATTAATGTATAAAAAGTAGAACACTGACTCATGTGACATACAGACTCGTTAATGCCCTGCCCGATGACTTTAAGCAGTCGGCTCTCTGTAAGTAGCCCCTGGGTTGTGTAGGACGAAGTGTATCTTCCAGAAAGCAGTGTGATGAGAAAACAGTTACGCATCGACTAACGGGACCTAGGCTATCAATCTTCTGAGAGCGCTGGAGATGCCGTCTGCGCCTTCAATGGCACCGGGTATTACCTAGATGGCTCCAGCATCTCTCTCCCAGAGACGCTGCTCTCCAATCTGGAGCCTCTGGATAACCCTGCTGAACCGGAATTGTCTTCTCTTGGTACAGCTACTCAGGGTACTGCCGTTCCGGACTTGACTTCGGGAACTTTTCGCATGTCTACTGTGGTCACGCCTACTCCGAGGAATACAATCACCAAGTCAACCACCCCAGATCCCACAACCGTCAATGACCCTGGCTGCCCTGCTTTCATACCCACTAAGACTATTCGGCCCTCCACCATTGTCCGGCACGGCAGTTCGACTTCAAAGACTACAGTCGTCCTTGCGTCTTATCGATCAACCGTTTACACTACCAAGACAATCCAGATGATGCTCGCCACGACCAAGAGCTCCACTCCCAACACCTTGTACCCCGTCTCCGTTGTCACCATGGCCGTCGGGGATTCTTCCAACGCTGCTGTCTCCCCGAGCCTGGTTCATACCACTGTATTTGGCACTTTGCCTCATACTGGATTGTCTCGCACCGCGAATGCTGCACCGCCCTACTCTGGACAGGGGGCATTTGTGGCCCTGCTTGCGTTCGCAGCGGCGGTCTTCTAACTGTGTACAATATACTACAGCTTAAAGAGCTAGTAAGTATCCTTTTCAGGCGGCATGTGGAATTTGGCGTGTGGGGTGAGCACATGCTCATATTTTCTATGTCCTTTCATGTATTATGATCATATGTCTTGATCGAGAGATGACCTAGATTATTGTATAGTCGGTCAATCAGTGAAATGAAACAAAGCAATATTTGAGATGTTTTTTCTGTAGATGACATGGTAGGTTGTCTGGGTTATTATCATCTGGTAGGCATGGCTTCTATGGACCTTGAAGTATGGACGCCCGCCCGGATACTCGACAGACTCCCTGATAACATTGCTGTGTCCGAGCCTGCCCCTGTGTAGAAGTAATGGCTAGGTTCTACCTTTTGTACGGGTTTTTTGCCTGTCACTGCTGAACTCTGCTCTAAAATGAAAAGTAAAGTAGCTTCTGAAGAAACAATGTTAAGCTATACATTTTCTGTTCTATCACATCCCCGCCCTAAATATATATCACAAAGGCACAAGTGTAGTTCCCCGTTTCCGGCCCTAAACAGCTCAAGTGAGATCACCAGACCATAGTTATTTGAAATCCGTATTGGCATGATGAAGCTGAATGACCTAGATGAATTGATAGTGTCAGTACGGACTAGCTACTCGATGCAATAATATACTCCCCCAATACTTAAGGAGAAACGCGGCCTGCTAAAATACGAGGCATGATAAAATATTTAGCAGTTGAAGAAATTTCTCGCTCGCGGTCTAATGTTGGATAGATAACTCTCAGTCTTGTACTGTAATTATATTTCGAAATATTAAAAAGATCCTACTAATGAGACAAGGGGTATGGTTAAAACTAAGGTTAAAGCTAATAAGTAATTGCATTGATATAAAGTTTTCTAGCAGTGGACTACCTTCTTCTACTCCTACTCTAACATCCTTTTTGTGTATTTGCAGTTCAGACGCTGTCTATCTTTGATGTCCGAGAACCTAGAACTTAGCGATAATTTGTGTACCAAGATCATCAGACCGCTGCAGGTTTCCACCAGGTTATAGAATCGAACAGATAGATAAGAATTGCAGACACTGTAAGATACTTGAAGCTTCAATACGGACCCATCGTCCATCTTGAGAAGCTTAAACAATACTGGAGGTAACGTTATGGGATTTTGGATGCCTTAGGTTTCGGGCTGATTTTAACTTACTCTCCTGTCACTCTTACATTCACACACATCTGCACACATCTGTCACCGCATACTAATTGACACCTTGTATATCAAAAACCGGTATCAGCATCATCCATACACAACGATGCTTATTACGACAAGCGAGATTCTGAACCCCTCGATAGCTAATCTGCCCAGTAAGGCTACCGTTATCAAGCTCTGCAAGAAAAAAGGCTTCCGCCATAATCACATAACCTACTCCACCGATGACAAAGATATTTTCATCAAATACAACAACGCGAGTATGGACGAAGCACACACTCAGCTATTTTTCTATGAGCAGATAATGAAGAAACGTGATTCAGTTATTCGAATCCCAGAGATATATCACGCTTTTGAGACTGAACTGGGATTGACTTACATCCTCATGGAGCATATCGATATCAAAGACAAAGCTTCTGATGAACAGATAGCGCAGGCCGTTTCAGAATTAATCAGCATTCCTCCACCTGCTGGCGTCTTTGGAAGCATATCCGGAGGCCGTATTAGACACTTCTTTTTCAGGGACCGCGAGGCCCCCTTTCACTTTTCTTCTGCTTTTGAACTGGGAGATTTTATCAACGGGGTTAGTAGCTTCATTCGACTTCTATCTAAAAGATACATAATGCTAAACTGACATAAAGACTCTGAGCTGCGTCAGAAAAGTCCAACGTGAACCGGACAACGACAAGGTGGATTTCAGCAACGAACCCCTGATGTGCTATTACTCGGATCTCCATCGCGATAATTTTCCAGTGGATAGCAATGGTCAGCTTTGGGTAGTTGACTTTCAACAGGCTGGTGTCTTGCCTTCCAGTTTCATGACGTTTGCACTTCACTCGAGTCGCCAACGTCGCCTCCCTCTTCCAATCAGAAAAACAATTCCGGTTCCAGAGACGAGCAATCTGAAACTGATCAGCTATGTCTCGTATATTCTTCAGATCAGCTGGAATATGTGTGAGTCAGGAGAAAACCATTTGTGTTTAATAAATGCAGCTTTCAGGTCGCTCATCTCTTTGGTTACAGATACGCCTGGAGAAAGCATATCTTGAGTTCGATTTACCAAGATCATTTGAAGGGTTTCTTCAGCACTTGTGCCCTACGTGTCGAACTAACAATGACATCAACAACAATAACCAGGTATGGACACTGAGATCCATTCTAATTTTCGTTCATTAATTATTATTAACCCCTTCCTCTGGTGCAGGTTTCCTCTTATCCTCGTGAACGTATTTTAAGATAATATGCGAAGAATGAGGGATACTCTCTATTATTACTCGACTATGTTAAGGTTATTTCTTTTCTATTATTATTGCATACATATTAGAATACTAGTTTCTTACCGACTGTGGCTAGTGTTTAGCACCCCCTAGGATATAGGCCGGTTCTGCCGGCAGCTAGTAATCGAAGCAAGCTTCTCACCGCTAAGTAACTAACTAGATAAAGGCAGATTCCGCTGTCAACATTATGGATGGATTGTTCGCTAGTTTTCCTTGGAACTGATAAGCTATAACGTCCCACATGGCGGCTGGATCTGCTTGGGTCCAGTGTTTCAAACAACGGACGGTTCGGCCTCACTGTGTTGCTCAAATAGCCCGCGGATGAATCCAGGTCCACATGCAAGTTGAGGGAATTTTATCCCATATCTTATTACTGGCGATATTATCGGTAGGGATGGTAGCTGTTTTGGGACAAACTGAACGATAGTATATGAATTCACTCTTTATGTGTGCAGTAACTATATACTGTTCTCTTCGACGGGAAGATGTGCCAGACGGTCATAGGGGCTGCAAGGTTCGATAAGAGACCTTTGGGCCGCAGAAAGATCGCGGTTACCCCATACTTAGTTGCTTTCGAATTAGCTAGGGTAAAATCCCTGCATGCTGAGTGTCATACTTCTACTATCTATAGACTAGATGCAAGAGATGGCTCTTGGAAGGTTATTCAGAGAGTGGTTCGATGTTATGGATCGTAATTCATAGAGGTAGAAGCCGTCTTTATGCAGTCTGCGCACCATACTGTAGGGAAGATGGCCGAGGCACTACGGAGAAATTAATCTCTATCCGTCTCAGTGTCCCGGTCTTTTTCGACAGGTGGAATACCAACTCTCTGGACGATTCGCACCCATCTTCTGCGCCTCCATTCTCCGACACCATGAGAAACGACTTCTTCCCAGTCGCGGCTAGCAGCTTTTCCCTTGTCTTTGGATTCCTGCTTCACTTTCCGACCAGACTTGGATGTAGTATCCGGCTCTTGGCAGGCACCGTAAATAGTTGAGTTGAGATCAGTTTCCGTGTCCGGCACGTCAGATACAGGAGCCAGGTCCCAGACCCAGCCACCCACTTCTTCTCCATTACCGCCGCTACCAAAGTTCTCATCGGGCGCTTCGAATCCAACGCCAGTGACCATGCGTTCGACCACCCATTCACGGCAATCCAGATCTAACTCCCACTTTTTATTCTTCCAGGCCCAGCCTGTCGGTGGTCGAACGTCCTCAAAGAAACGACACCCCCGGGGACGGTCACCAGCAATGCGGGACGGGGACAGTGGATCATACGGTGTCGGGCTGAAAAGAACATGCTCCCATTCCGGGGAGGCAGAATACAAGGAGAATGGTCGATACTGAAGCTCAAAGATCTCGACTTCACGCTCTTCTGGGGAGGAATCCAATGAGATATCGACCATGTTGTTTAGGGAGGATATTAGTGCCGACGGGGACGAAGGCACTCTAGAGATGACGGACTTCTCTGATCGCTTGTAGTCGTGACCCTCGTCGGACTGACCTTCCTTTATACTTGCCATACATTGCCTGATAAATTCCTGCACGCCAGGGTGGTTGGCGATGATGCCAGCATTGCCACCGATAAGCAAGATGAAGCGCCACGGTAGATGATGCGCCGTCAAGAATAACACGGCCATTACGACATAAAGCACCAAAAACAGAGTGGAAGAGAATTTCTCGTCCGAGAAGTTGGTGGCCGGAGCCACTAAGGAGACCACGTTATCATGTCCATTGGCAAAGTCGGCCATGCAATTCTGCAGATCGCGCATGTTGCGGAGGAAGTCCTTTGATGTCTCGCTTGCTGGCTTGATAGTCTTTGCTGGAGCAAGAGCGGGCCCTTCGTATGAATAGTAGGGCGTCGTACTTGATGTCGAATTGGAGGGAGGAGGCGGATGACGAGCCAAGAAGGCCGGCACCATGATGAAGAGCAGTGCAACGGCTATGGGTAGGATGGCTAATAGATAGGGGTCTAAACACACAAATGAATAGAGACAGAGAAAAGAGAGCGTATGTGTCGGTTTGCGCCAACTAACTAGACGTTCGAGCCTGTTCTGGAAGACGAAGACTATGCCGATTCTACGATCTTTCTTAGCCATCAATCATCTGGACCACGGGAGTATGGAAATTATCATACCTCGCATTGAAACGGCGAAAGTTGTTCGCCATTAGAGGCAGACTGAAATCCGGCCGTCTGGCCTTCCCGTGTGGGTTCGCATCCTCTGCGGTAACACTGTCATCTTCGGTGTCTGCTGGAATGACTTGCTGCAGGATCCTGAGCTACCAGTCAGTCATCTATGCAAGATGCGCATGTAGAATATAGATAACCCTGTAGAGCCTAAATGGGAGCTTACATGGAGAGGAGACGGTCCTGAATAGACGTTGGCCCATGGGATCCCAGCGTCTCCTGATGCTCTTTCTGGCGGTCGAAAGAGAGCCTCCCAATCCAACTGTCTCTCTTGCGTCGCGATGCACTGCCGTCATTGGGTTCTCCAAGCACCGGGATGGGTTCATCCCGGTTGACCACAGCGTCAGCTGAATGTTCTTCCATCGCGACACCTGAGAGATGATGGCGCAGTATCACGGAAAAGAGGGGACCATTGCTACAAAAAATACAGATGCCCGCATCAGAAGAAGAGGCAAAAGAAGACCTCGGGAGCGATAGACAACGATGCGGAGGTGATAACTAAGTGATTGCCGTTTGCGTTGTTTGCAGCCTGCTTTGCCGCTAGGTGCAAAAGAAGTCCGACGATCCAGGGGCACGCACCAGCACGACGAGATAGACAGGCCAACAAGTCGTGCCTGGTTGTTTACCACCAGATCCTGTCCAGACTGGCCTTGCACACTGGCAATTGTCATCTCTGTGCCATCGCATCTTGCCCTCCTCGTGGACTGCTAGCCTGCCGTGTCGTCGTTGCCCTACTTCACCAATTACTCCGTCTGATATGCTTGGGTTTCCCTAACGACAACCCCAAGCGACAGCAGCAAGCTCTCCACGGGCTTGTTTTCACCACTCAACCACCTCCTGTGTCGCCCCCAGTTCTACGTGACGAGCTCTCGAGTCAACGCATAGTCCATTCGGTCGAGTAGCTCTTGCGTCTTCCCTTCCAGAACCGCCACCGGTTCACCGTTCGAGCTTATTGCCTGCGTTTCTCCCCGCGATGGACCGGTGACAGCTGCAGGTCGCGACTTTGTTGACCAGCCTCTCTAACATCCTGAGACCATCTCAACAGCCGTCCAGTGGATGCTGCTGCGACTGTATCTTGTGTGGGGTTTGGTTTTTTGCGTTGGATCCCCCGCACTTGGTGGAATTAACAATTTCGATCTATCGGTCTGCTAACCGTCTTCGAAAACATCAAAATCATGTCAGCCAAGGTGGCTTCGCAGCAAATTCCCAGTTCTGCACAATCGCGCACCACTGACTCGAGGACATCCAATCTGTCTCGCAACGATGATTCTGTATCTGGAGGTATGCAAACTGTGATGTCGAGCCAAGCGTCCACCGCAAGTGAGAAGACGACGGACAGCACAGCGGAGGGACCCGGACGAAGAAGACTGCAGAGGCCTCCATCCAAAGGGTCTGATTTGAATGCGACATCCTTCCCTTCGAATGCCGCGGGCGGCAGACGCGGCAGCGTGGTTCGGAGACAACCCTCAACTCGAGAGCAGAAAGCACCCTTAGGCCCGCGCCCTCAAGGAAGTCCTGTCAAACGGTATATTCCCCCCCGTTTCCATTCTTTGTCAGAACATGACTGACCATCCGTTATTTTAATCCTTCCAGACACACCTCCACCAGTTTCTTGCATTCTGTCAACTCATCTCTCGATTCGACTAACGACTCTAGTGAAAGCCACTCCATCAGCAGTAATCCACGGCTCAGCCTTGGGACATGGCAAAGGGTGGAGAATCAACAGACTCCACCGGACAGCTCTGAATTCCTGGCTCCTATCAACTTTGACGATTTCCATAATAGCATTATGGGGGAACCAACTTTGAATCATTTCCCCATGCCTGGACACGCAGGTGGTGGGGGAGGTTATGACAACAAGACTACCACGTTCAAATCCAACAACCCTTGGGCTAAAGTCGGCCCTGGCCCCGGAGCTCAATCGGCAGGAAGTGGTTCTAGAAACCGACCAGCTGATACCGGAGGTCAGGCTGGGCAGATGCCCCCTCCGCCTGCTCCTGCAACCTTTCGACGACGTCGACAGAGTCTAGCGCCGGCACCCTCTTCCAACCCTATTCCTACGAAGGCGCCCCGAAAGTCGGTTGGACCTGGAACGATTCCGCTTGACAATACTGCTGGAGGAGTTGCACGGAGACGGCCCAGTCTGGTAAGCCGGAAATCCAGCAACGACACGAATAATCCAGACCAAGGGAATCCTACGTTTCGTACTCGACCATCAAATATTGACGGCAATGGTGACGACTCCAAGCTTCCAGCGCCGCGCAACCTGAAAGCGAAATCGCTGCTACCGCCTTCGAGAGAGCCCCGAGACAACCTTTTGACTCCGTCAGGTTCTGAACATTCAAGATCCTCCTGGACGACGCCTTCAAAGACTGGAGCAAGCCAGCCAACAACCCCTTCTTCCGCCAAGAGGGTATCCGTTATGCCACCTCATGCTACGGGTCTTGGTGCACGTACGATAAGCCCCACGGATGCTAGGCGGATGCAGAGAATGTCTATGATGCCTCAGGCTCCTCCAGTGCCTCATACTCCCCCAACTCAACCGGAGAGGGTGCCTTCACGTCCTCGTTCGTCTGCTCAATCACCATCAATGCTACCAAGGAAAAGCGTGACGCCGTCTTCCACTAGAACGACGCCCGACCCCAACCGCAAATCCTACAGCTCTGGCATGTCTCTGTCGTCTGCCACGAGCTACAATTCAATACGAAATTCGAATGGCTCCTTGCAGCCTCGACTCTCGCAGAATCTCTCAACCTCGCGGCTGCCAACACCGAAACCCCGTGTGGAAAGCATGGCTGCTCCTGAGGCGGAGGAAGTTCCCCCGGTGCCTGCTATTCCCAAAGCGTTTGAGTCACCAAAGGGCGAGAACGACCCAGTATTCCCTAATTTCCATAACTCGACTACGATACCATCCGAGCTTGCTGTGCAAAATGTGGGTTCCAAGCGCAACTCTGACTCTAGCGGTAACACGGCTGGTCCTAGCCAGGACAATCCTGCCGTTCCTTCAAGCCGACGGGCACCGAAGACTCCTGAGGCCAAGGTGAGATCAGCTGCCCCTATGGGGAAGAAGAATCTTCAGCCCCTCAAGCTTCCGCCTTTGAATCTACTACCTCTGAGTACACCAGTGGCTGCTAAGATCGAGGCCCTGAAAGATCGCGACGCCTCGTCGCAAGCAGACCTGGGTACCTATACTACCCCTCCAAATCTCAATACATCGAAGACTCCAAGCACACCTTTAACTGCATCAAAGGCAGGATTTTTCGACATATATGGTGAACCAGACCCTATGCCCAAAACGTTGGTCAGGAGCAGCACATCACACTTTGTCCTTAGTTCGACTACGAGTGGCTTCAGACCAGCCAGCAGCTCCAGTGCACTCGGACAACGTGAGCTCTCGAACGAGGACAGGACCTCGTCTCCGTACATCACGTCGTTGCCAAAGACCAACGGCGACATAGTACACAAAAGCACCGCAGACACTGCGCAAAGCTCACTCCCGGCGAAGCCAATTGGACCGCGTCCCCAGACACAGAGTTCAGCATTCTCTTCCAATACTGAAACGCTTAGTCAATTATCCAGTCCTACGGACCCGGAAACCAGTAGTGTTTCCGGTTCGTCCTTGAGGACCAGGCTCAATCTGACCAGGAAAAGCAGCACCTCAAAGGCACAAGCTACCGCGGGGACTGAGGGAGACCCAGTCAAGTACGATAACATGCCACCACCTCGACTTCCGGCATCTGCTACTTGGAACAACTTGTCTACTGCTTCCAACACGAGTCCAACTCTGAAGTCTGCTGCCAAAGCTAGACGGAAGTCTTCAATGTCGGGCATTTCAAACACTGTGACGGCAAAGAGCCACAACGTTGGTAGTGATAAGTGTCGGGGTCTTGACCCTAGTCCGTCGACGACGGATAGCGGTGGAACGGAGGTTTCACATAACCGCTCCGCATCGTCGATCCTGTCCCCTGTCCACAAAATCCTCAGCTCGGCGAAATCAAGTTCTGCTCTTAGACAGCGTCCTTTAGACCCGAACGTGGACCCTGATGATCTTGCTGCGGAAGAGGAAATGAGGCGGCTGGGAAGCAAACGGAAAGATTTCGAGACAGCTGCCAAGCAGCTTGACGAACTGCATCGCCGAGCAAGCCCTAAAGAGCGAGTCAGTCCAGGCCAGGCCCTAAAGATGGCGAGCCTCAACATATTTGAACGAGGAGAGATCATCGACTTCAAGGATATCTATTTCTGCGGGACGCAGAAAGCTAAGAAGCACGTTGGAGACCTCAAATCGCAATCGGCAAACTTTGGCTATGATGACGACCGAGGCGACTATAATATCGTCATAGGCGATCACTTGGCTTACCGTTACGAAGTCGTTGATGTCCTGGGCAAGGGAAGTTTTGGCCAGGTCGTGAGATGTGTGGATCACAAGACGGGAGGCCTCGTTGCAGTTAAGATCATCCGTAACAAGAAGAGGTTTCACCAGCAGGCGCTCGTTGAAGTCAACATTCTTCAGAAGCTAAAAGAATGGGTAAGCCAGTTATCGCTCCTCTGCCTTTACTGCCTGAGTTGCTAACCCGATGGTACAGGATCCTCATCGTCGCCATAGCGTAGTGAACTTCACCCAGAGTTTCTATTTCAGAGGTCATCTGTGTATCTCGACTGAGCTACTTGGCATGAACCTTTACGAATTCATAAAAGCCCACGATTTCAGAGGATTCTCTCTGAAACTGATCCGTACCTTTACCAAGCAGCTTCTCAGCACGCTCATCCTCCTACAAAGCAAAAAGGTTATCCATTGTGACCTGAAGCCGGAGAATATTCTTCTCGTTCATCCCATGCGGCCTGAAATCAGGGTAATCGACTTCGGTTCGAGTTGTTTTGAGCATGAAAAGGTGTATACCTACATCCAGAGTCGATTCTACCGTTCCCCCGAGGTTATCCTTGGCATGTCGTATGGCCTGCCGATTGATATGTGGAGTTTGGGATGTATCCTCGCTGAGCTATACACCGGATACCCCATATTCCCTGGAGAAAATGAGCAGGAACAGCTGGCCTGTATCATGGAAGTATTCGGACCGCCGGAGAAACATTTGATAGAAAAGAGCACCCGCAAGAAGCTGTTCTTCGACTCGTTGGGCAAACCGCGGTTGACTGTGTCCTCGAAAGGACGCCGACGCAGACCAAGCTCAAAGGATCTCAAGCAGGCTCTCAAGTGTGACAATGAGCCCTTCCTTGATTTCGTTGCGGGTTGCCTCCGATGGGATCCCTCCCGCCGGCTCAGTCCGACTGACGCCCTGAACCATGAATTTATCACTGGCATCAAAGCCCCGAGTCGATCGCGGCTCTATCTTAGCTCCAACACAAGCTCTCCTGTGAAGCGTGTGCACACAATGTCTACACCATCGTCGCGCCCTCTTCCGGAGCCCCCGGGCACCAGTCTCAGGAACGGCACGGCGGTGAAGAACGACTTGTCCAACAACTCTCCCATGAAACAGACGCCTGTGAAGAGAGCACCAAATGGTGCGCAGGCACCGTCATCGGTGAGAAAAGCATCCAACGGTGGTTCTCTATCTGGATCTGCCCTGCCGAGAGTCGCTGCGAGGAACGTCAGTTCGAAATCTGATCTCGCGGCGGCAGCGGCAGCAACAAGTCTGGTAAGTTTGTGACCATTGGTACAATTCTCCGGCGCCAGAAACTCCAAGCTAACTGTGGCACAGAGATCGAGATAGCCGCTGGCTGCGTTGAGTCGCTTTTTTCTTTCTTATACATTTTTAATAAACGTTTTGATTTTGCAGTTCTCTTCTCTACTGTCATTATGCAGCATAGACGGGTTAGGGATGTCAGTGCTTTGCCTTCCGAGTAATGATTAAACTGAATTGGATTCGACAAGAGAGCGATCGATCGCCGGGAGAATCCGTCCTATACCCCTGTTTGAACACCTGCATCTGTTGTGAAAGGCGAAATGTGTTTTCTTTTTCTCTTTCGGTCCGCGCAATTACTCCGTGATCCTCTTATGACTTTGAAGTTCTTGAACCCTGGTTCCCCCTTTCCACGCTGCGCCGTTGTTCCTCATCTTCCATATCCATCATCTGTCTTGCTGTTAATCACACAGTCCTGGGAAGTAAGTTGACAATCATCGCTTACTTGATCATCATTGTACAAGCATTTTCGCCTTCGTTCACATATTTTTTTGGGAAAGGGTATGAGTTACATTTTTGCCGCTCATCACGTATGTGAGGGGCATAGACCTGTTGCGCCAGGGGAGCGTGAATGCATGACTGTTGACCGTTTACAGCGAGCTTAGAGACTGCCCGCTATCATTGGAAATACTTAACATACAACCTGCGATATGTAGAAATATTTGTGATATCGGCCACTGCCTCAAAGGCTGACGAGCTTTACTCTTAGCATGTAGTGTTCGTACTCGAAGAAACCGAGCATAGATAGAAGAGTAATCATAGAGTGGTAAGCAAGACGCGACAGTGGTTGGCAATGGAAGACATTTGTGCATGTCACTGTCAGATATCTCGGTCGATAAACACAAACTGAAAGACAGGAAAGCTCGCAAGCAGTTTTATGTCTCCTTGCAATACGGAGGGGTTTCTATGCGGGCTTCTAGTACTTCGCGGCAGGTTCCGCAGCGCGTTCCGGAATACTTGGCCTCTCCGCGCTTATTATTATTGATATCTCGTCTAATACAGTCCCTAGGAACGTCGCCTTTCAGACGCTTATGCTACACAGGTCCTGACCTTCGCATTCCCTCCTCGGTCTCTCTCCTTAATTTTATTTGCGTCTTTTCATCCCAGCCGGTTTCTTCATGTTTCCATCCACTGTATGCTGAGCACTGGTCCGTCGCGATGAACGGGTTCGCCGCGCACGGCCTCGATGAAGATCTCTTCGGGGAGAAAGCTGGAATTGGGTCTGGATTGAAGACATTCGATGCTTTCCGTAAGTACTGTATATATCATTGACTCAGTATCTTGGAATTCAGTGGCGTGAGGCCTGGTTTCGGGGGTGCTTTGAGTTCCAACTGCTATCGACGCCCGCCCGATAATAGAGCTTCCGCTGACCAGAGCATGTACATACATCTAGCAAAGACAAAACCTGACTACACATCTCCGTCTCGACGCGGCGGACAATGGACGGTCGTCATCCTCGTAATATGTACTATTCTCAGCTTCTCCGAGTTCCGCGCCTGGTTCCGCGGCCACGAGAACCATCACTTCAGCGTCGAGAAGGGTGTCTCACATGAATTACAACTCAATTTGGATATGGTCGTCGCAATGCCCTGCAATAATGTCAGGATCAATATCCAAGACGCTGCGGGCGACCGTATCCTTGCCGGTGACATGTTAACTAGGGAGGACACGAGTTGGAAGCTGTGGATGGACAAGCGCAACAAGGAGATGTACCATGGTATCCATGAGTACCAGACGCTCAATAATGAAGATACGGCGCGATTGTCGGCGCAGGAGGAAGATGTCCATGTCCGTCATGTGTTGGGTGAAGTGAGGAAGAACCCGTGGAGGAAGTTCCCCAAAGGACCGCGTCTGAGGAGAGGGGATGTTGTTGATTCTTGTCGTATCTATGGCAGTCTGGAGGGGAATAAGGTCCAGGGTGATTTCCATATCACCGCCAGAGGACATGGGTACCAGGATTTCGGGGCTCATCTCGATCACAAGAGTACGTTCTACTTGCTCCTTGGTTTGCTATTCAATTTAATCGAGATAAATACTGATGATCTGTTGACATGAATAGCTTTCAACTTCTCACACATGATCACTGAGCTTTCCTTCGGACCTCATTATCCCTCGATCCTCAACCCTCTCGACAAGACCATGTCAACCACCGACCAACACTACTATAGATACCAATACTATGTCAGCATTGTCCCGACCGTCTTCTCCAAAGGCAGCATCTCACCAGATGCCCTCCCTTCTCCATCCTCCCGCCGCAACAGGAATCTCGTCTATACGAACCAGTACGCCGCGACGAGCCAGTCACACGCTATTCCAGAAAATCCATATAATATTCCCGGCGTGTTTTTCAAATACAACATCGAACCTATCCTGCTACTCATCAATGAAGAGCGCGGCAGCTTTCTCGGCCTCATTGTTCGCTTAGTAAACGTTGTCTCTGGAGTCATGGTCACGGGTGGTTGGTTGTACCAGCTCAGTGGATGGCTCGTTGAAGTCGTGGGACGAAGAAGAGCAACGGGGAAGTCTGAAGGAGTGCTGAATGGTAGACATTCGAATGAAGATGACGAATAAAACCGCTTCGCCTTCAGATAAAATCAGCGCCTCCTTCCCTTTTTGGGGGAGATGCTCTTGTTTTGGAAGTATTATATGCGCATTGATGCATGGAGTAAATGGTGTGGAGTTCTATGTTTTCATGTTCTGTTGTTTTTTCAAGCGTCGTTTGAGATATCTCTGTATTGCTATAACTATCTATCTACCTACCTAAGAAACTGGCATAGGCGAGCAAGACCTTTTATCTTTTTGGGCCTTATCGAGAGAAAAGTATCAGTCCATAGATATCTGTGTTGTGGAAAAAAAAAATCCAAGAAAATCCGCGGGATATCATTCGTTTAAAAACCCATGTCGTAACTACTTAATCTGTCCTCCTCATGAACAGCAAGCATATATAATAATACAGACCACCCGAGACCACTACACGAAAGAAAATATAGGTCATTAGACACTAGATACTAGAGTCCTTCAAATCTCGAATATCTCTCCCATGCCGACGCCTGCGCCCTCAGCACCGGCTCTGCTGTCTACTAGGTCGAGGCGCCACCCCTTCCAGTTGTTGAGCTTCGACTTGACCTCGCGGACCCATTCGACACGCTTACGGGACTCTTCTTCTGCCTGTGCACGCGCGAAAGCCTCTTCGTCGAAATCGTCATCGTTCTCGGAGAGAAGTTCCAAGCTTCCTCGGGTAGCTGGGGGGTGTTGACGAGATGGAGGACGATTCCATCCGTTATTTCCTCCGGTGAAAGCTGCAAGACCGCTTGAGAGAGCGGCCGTTATAGAGGAATGCTGAGATCGGCCTGCGGTGCTGCGGCGGCGAGAATGGTCAGGAACACCACCGATGAGATCTACATCGTCGAAGGTATTGGCAGCGGTGGCAGCCGGGGATGTTATCGCATGTTCTTCTTCCCCTTGTAATTCTATTCGGCGCTCTTTCCAAACTCCACGGCGGAGGTCGAAGACTTCTCCCTCGAGCTCACGGACTCTTCGCTCAAGGCGCGCCCGTTCTTCGTCTTCCAGCTCATCAAGCCCTTCGTTGTCCTCGCCAACGGCTTCTCGCTTGCGTGCTCGCTCACGTTCCTCTTTGAGTCGTAGATTTTCGTTCTCGATCGTCACCAGTTTCTTCCGCAGATGGGCAACATCCTTTTCTGCCTTTTCGGCTTCGCGCAGCCGTACCTGGTTTCGAGACTCGGACTCCTTGTGTAGGTTGCCCAGTGCCTGGAGCTTCTTTTCAAGGGTCTCAATCTTCTTGTCTGCTGCAGCCTTCGCCTCCTTGAGCTCGTTGATCTCGCGCTCCTGGCTCTTAATTAATGTCTCCGTAGAGGTCTTGTTGACGCCCTCGTTAACTGCTTTCTCAGCTGCTCGTGTGAGGGCATTCTTGGCATCTGTGAGTTCAGCTTGCGTCTTCTGCAAAGCAGCTTCACTGCGGGAGAGCTTCTCCTCCAAAGCAGAAATCTGCTCTTCATGTGAGCTGCTCGTGGTCGACTGAGAGTTCAATTGGGCTCGTAAATTAGATATCTCCAATTCCATTGCCTCAATGGTAGAAGACTTGGATTCCAGCTGCTGCACGAGATCCGATGGAGATTGCGATGTACCGGCTATGCTGGCTGTGGATTTGTGTGTCTTGTGGAGATGCGAATTCTGGCGTTGTAACGAGGAAATCTCAACTTTCTGTATCAGATACCTAGTTAGCTGAGTCCTGGGTAATTGAAGGCGTGTAGTCTTTCTGTGTCTACTCACCAACTTATCAACCTCCGATGCTCTCTCCTCGGCCTTGCTCAGCTTGTCCTTCAGTTCTGCAACGTCCACGCTCGCCTCCCGGAGATCTTCCAGTTGCTCTTCTGTCTTTTTCCATCTCCCGTTTGCCTCTTCAAGATCCTTCTCAAGTTTCTTATTCTCCTTCTCGAGTTCTTCGATTCTGCTGGCTTGTTTTCGATAAACCTCCTGTACGCTGTCACCATCAGGAGTCAAAGGAGGAAGAGGCGGCGACTTGATGCTGGCTAGAGGGTTCGGGGAGGAGCTTCCAAAGGAGATCGATGAATTGCGGAATGAAGATGATCGCATTTTAGACTGCACAGAGATGGAGGGCTGTCTCCGACGTGCATCACTTACGGTGTCTGCTTTCACGTTTCCTGGTTCTGCCTCAGGGCCGGGAGATGTAGGAGCTTCTGGCATAGGCTCCGTAGCCGATTCTTCCACCTTTTCCTCTGGCTCGTCTGCCTTCTCTTTCTCTGCGTTCTCCGTGGTTTCTGCCGCATGGTCTTTATCCTCTTTAGGGGGTTCCTCGGCTGGTGTCGTGTCCCCAGCTGTCTCTGCAGCTGCGCTCTTCTTGCTTGATTTTTTCTTTTGCTTCTGCAGCTGCGCGACCTAGAAAAGAGCGTCTATATTAGTACACAGGTTCGAAAATCCGACTACTGTGAACGGGCCAGCTCACCCTCTTCTTAGCAGCCGCGAGCTTCTCCGCCTTTGCCTTTGCCTCGTCGTCGGCCATTCTGTATTATGCGGTACAACAGGCCTCAAATGAAATAAATATAGGAGCTGGCCCCTTGTCTGATTAGCCGCTGGATGTTGTGGTGATGTCTAGGGAAGCTGACACCTTGCGCGCGGCGGAGGTATGGAGTGGGCAGCTTTCCGCGGAGTCGGGGTGCACAGACCATCCTCCCGCTATCACAGTAAACAGAACAATGTTATCGGATGATACCACGCTATTATCTATGCTTGCATCAAGGCCAAAGATGAGTTTTACCTCAACAGCTATGGGGGAAAATTATCTCTGTTACAGTATACATCCCAGTGAGCAGATTATGGGTTGGTTTCCCAGATAAAAGCTTAAGTAATAGTGCGGACGCAGCCTTGTTACTTATCGGCACGTGATACAAGTATATATTTGAACTTCCAGTAACTTTTTCCCCTCAACCATCTCCGAATCCCTCAAGAATCCCTTCTTCTTCTTCTTCTTCTTCTTCGATGGCGTATTATGGCCTGACAAATCCCTCAGAAATAATTGATTTTATTGCGTCCCCTTCAGCCCAGCTTTACGCGGAGAGTCTTACCAGCAAAGCAATAATACCCCGTATCTCTTAGAAGACTATCTATGTAGATCGTACCTAGCCCACTAAGAGAATATGCAAATGCCGTTGTTTACCCCCGCTATTTCTCCATACGAGCAACCCTTTCTCTTAACTCGCCAATTTCACGCTCATGCTTCTCGATATTAACCCGCTGCAATTCATCTTGCTTATCAATAACAGCCATAATACGTCCCAGCTCGCGGTCCTGGCTTCGTTCGAACGCAGAAAGGTAAAAGTAACCGCTTACGCCACACGCTGCGCCTCCCGCTAGAAGAAGCATCGCGAGCGGGGAGACCTCTCGTAGACCAATGTCTCCTGCATATCTGGTCCTTCCGTCCTCTTTTTGTTCTGGAACTATGCGTTAAAACGGGTTTGTTTCAAATGAGACATCGCGGATAGTTATTAGATTAGGTATCCTACCTGGGGGTTTTGAACTAGGAATAATTTCCTCCGTTTTCTCTTCGGGGCTGATGGGACGTTCATCTGGCTTTCTTTGGTCTGGAGTTACGGTCAGTTTCCAAAACTTGGAATTAATGTAGAAATCAGAAAAATACAGGCGAAATCTTTCGGGGGGACTATCTCAGCTGTCTGTTCCGCAGAGCTGACGGGCGCGTTATAATTTCTGTCAGCAGCGCTGATGGGAACACTGTATGATCGGGACTGGATAAGGTGATAGCGAGAGAAAGGGAAACGATATGGAAAGAGATATTTCGGCATCAAGTTGCGCATGGCCTTTTCGTAGATGTTGTTTGTAGTTTAAGGTTTTTTATATTGAGATAGTGTTCCTGCTGTATGGAGTGCTAAGATGGTATAATATATGGCTTTATCATCATCGCAATTACCAGTTTGCTAGAGATTATGGGAGTACTAATCAATTTGGAACAAGAGGATTCGCCATAATGAGTATTACTTACGTCAGGAGGAGGAGGCAAAGCTTTCTTTAGGGTTTGGGGATTGCGGCACGAGTCAACAAGGTTAGAGCGTTCGCATTGAAATTCCTACAATATCAACATATAAAGGCAGATCTACCCTTGCGAATGTGAGTATATCCTAAAACGTTCATTGATCGTTAGATAAGACCATACCTGCTTGAACACTGGCTACAATCATGTCGACGGAGTTGGGAGATCATCCAAGATCTCATTTTTCTCGCTTTCCATGCGTTCTTCCGTAACCTCGAACATCGGAGGAAGTCCCGTCTCCTCGAATGACTTCCCATCACAAAGCATCTGCACCAGTCCTTTCGCCGCAAGGAAGATCACAGGCATCCCGTGCCCAGAGAAACCAGCCAATATGGCCTGTCCTTCCTTGCCAGGCACATGACCGACATAGGGCATCAGATCGGAACTTTCTCCCATAACTGTAACCACGGTCAGCAAGAGAACCTCGTAGTTATATCAATCCGTACGACATACTGCCTGACCACACTTTATCCGTATATGCATCGCTGTCTTCCCAGCCGACAAATGTCCTTTGCATAAGGCCGTTGAAGTAATCTTTCCCGGATTCGATAAGTTTGCTGTCATCCGCCACGTTGTACCATTGTGGTATATCGCGCCAGAAGCTAAATCGACCGCCACCGACTACGATGCTTCCATCTGGCCGTGGAATCAAGTAGTCATAGAGCGAGGGTGTGTACCGAATGCAGTAGGTGAATGGGAGGTAAGGAATAGATTTCCCTTCTGGAACCACTATCCGGCTGCAGTTACCTCTCACTGGGATGATCTTATTGCTGAACTCCGGCGCCAGTCGCGACGTATATGCGTTAGTCGCAAATATCACTTTCCTTGCTTTTACATTTCCTCTCTCTGTCTTTACGAGCCATCGGCCGCCAGGGAGCGGACGATCAGATACTTCAATCACAGGAGTCATGGTCTGTAAGTTGGCTCCCCTCTTGATGACGGAGTTCAGTAAATGCATTACCAGTTTATACGGCCAGAGGTGGCCTGCTGTGAAGGTAAAACAAGCCACAGCTCCCTTTACCCCTGAGATCTAGAAAAAAAAAAGACCTATCAGCAAATGCCGCACTGGAGGATATAATCCTTTTCTCACCCTCTCAGCATACTTCCCCGATATAAACTGAACATCGTCCAAGTCGGCTGTACCCTCTTGTATTAAGTCGTGGAACGCCTTTTCTGCATCCTTAGCCACGCTTGGATCTATGATAGCATCGCATGTTCTGGTCAGGACGAAATCGCAATCTATCTGTTCTTTTTGTACCAGATTCTTGATCGCGGTCAACTGGGATGCTTCGAACCGAGCTAGCTGGGATGCTGCTTTTGGTCCGTATCTCTTGGAGTTTTTCGGAATACTGTAGAATATGTCTGGTTTTATATGTCCTCCTATGAACCTAGTGAGCCATCTATTTGTGAACTCACGACTATGATTTCGAAAGGAAGAGAGGTCATTTTGAGCGTACCATTCCGACCTGTTGCTCCAGAACATGCTTCACGTGCCTCCAGAATCAGCACAGATGGCGGAGATGGGTTGCCATCGTAGATGTGATAAGCCAAGGAAGCTCCTGAGAACCCGGCTCCAACGATGAGGATGTCGCACTCTGTGGGAAGATCTGGCGTGGAGCGGTGTTTGTCTAGTCCATGGGGTGACGTCCGCCAGAAGGGCAGGGTTGAGTCCGACACAGGGATCGGTCCCTGATGAGTGGACATTGTTGTCTACCTAGTCTAGACAGGTAGTAAGATCGCATAGGAAAATCCTACTGACATTAAAGTGAGTAGTGGCTATTTGCTCAGGGCTCTTATCGCTAGACTGCATCTATCGCGGGGTAGCTTCGACCGCCCACTTGGCTATAGATTGTGACTCAGGATATAGCCCCATCACACATCGTCCATCGCACATGGAAACTGGGATTTGGGTTTTATTGTACCTGACTGTACCTGATCGACAGCTGATCTACGCGAATTTACCGTGGCAAACGAGCCGCATTAGTTACGCCACAGGAGCATGAACTCTTTGGTTAACTATTGCCCGACTGTATCACTCTCGAATGAGGCTCACTGATGAAGATGGCCCATCCTGTGTAGGAAGCTAGATCAGCGAGTCTGAGTAGAGATGATAGAATTGTCTACAATCTTTGATTTTCCATCTATGATAGACGCCTATTCGTGGAGGTGGTTTGGAAGAGACGTATATGCTTAGATGGGATTGTGTGTTTTGCATTGGCCATTCAGTACACGCTCTGCGCGAACCAACAGCAACTGGCATGGAGTTCTACCATGAGATCGATACTGCTTCATTATGCGTGTATGGTGATGTTAGTTTACAGTCTGTCTGTAAGTTTATTTTGAGCATGAGATGAAGCTACTGTCGTGGAGTCATTTCATTGTGAAGATTAAGGGTTTAGGAGGAGAAGAGGTGAGAAATCCAGAAGTTGACCGTGAGAGAAAGAATCCGACGAATTGCTAATTATGACGATGATATCATGACATGGGCGGAGCAGTCGGCAAGAGCAAGACGCGTCAGCCTCTTATCAGATAGATCGGAAGAATACCCGATTCGAAGTGCGATTTCACGCTTCTTTACTCCGCACGCTCCGTTAGTCCGTAACAATGTTATGATGGAATATGCTCTCTTTCAATGAGTTAAGAATTTGTACATTCAAGAATCATATCGAGTTGTAGACTTAGGAAAGGCAAGCTAGAGTTCGATTTCCATCGGCCCCCAACGAAACGACGATAGGAAAGATGGGAAAAAGACACATATACACGTACAACGTTGCATTAACAAGCACCAACGCCGCTCCAGCCAGCCTCCAAATGCCCATTGACCCCACCATTATAATGGACTCCCATTACTTCGCGGCGTGTGCCACTAATGCATAAATCATGGTATCACAAGAACTAGAAAGAAAAGAAAGAGTAGTTGTAGTCAATGGTTCAGACGGCCGCTCCCACCAACCGCCGAACGCCCGTGTTTCCAGCACGCATTTCAAAAGGCAAGAAACGGACCGCAACCGTGTATCAAGTAGCTCCTGCAGCGTACACCGCTTGGGGTCCGTTTCAGGTTCATATGAATGGCAGACGTAAATAAGGATACTTAAACTTCCATCGAATCGGCTATCTCCTCGCTCATGGCACGTACTGCGCCATTACTTCCAGATCTTGACCTGAAGTCTTCATCGCTCAGGACGTAATTGTCATATTCGTCAACGGACTCACGGCGATCTGGGGTTTGAGTAACTGCTTCATGATCGTATGGGTCCTTGTTCCTGAAACCGGGACGCTCACCGAGCCAGTACCTAGCGCGTTTCCGCGCTCCAAGGTCAGGGGTCAAGTAACCATCGTCAACTGTCCTTTTGCCAACCGGTGTTTCAGTCCCATCTGGAGGAGAATGGCTGAGAATACTGATCCCCCGGAGATAGATGTAACAGACGCGCTTTCGGTTCTTGTTGAAAAAGAAGTAGTTCAGACTCCAAATAGCACCGTCATCTGCATCTGATGGATCTTCTTCCGGAGAGTACGAATATACGGCACATTCCTTCAAGGACATTTGCTCGTCGATTATCCGCCACATCCTCGGCCCCCATGTGGGAGTAGCATCTGGAGCATATGGGGCTGTGGTGGTCGTGGGAGACGGAGGAGTCCGGTCGCTTGTAAGACGAGGCTTGAGGTTGAAAAGCGTAGTATCAATGGTATTCATGACCCTCTTGAGGCTCCTTTCGCGGCGGAAGTCGGTCGGGCGCAGGATGTGAGAGAAATCGTAGTCAGGATGACTCGCATTGAGTGTTGCGATAAGATACGCAAAGGTGCGTCGACTGGAGTGCTCGCTCAAGGGCCCAAAGGGACTCGATCTCGAAAGGTTGAGGGAGATTGCCGCGTCGGACGCGTTCGGCGGAGACAGTGATGCCGAGAGGCGCAACAAGCTCTCGTACTGGGATTCCAATGACTGTTCGATGTTCTTGTATAGTTTCCGGTCTCCCCCAGCTGCCTTTGTAGTGTAGAGATCGCATCCTCCAACGACGTGGCAGTCCACCGTGTCGAAATTGAGAGCACCCGTGACGTCCTCAAACTCGCGAAGAGGTAGGAACTGGACGTGCCATATGTCAGTTAAAAAGCTCCAAGACCAGTGCAATCATCGTTGATTCTCTGTGAGACTATTGTTACCAACCTTCATGTTGGTGAGTCTGCAACTGTTATCCTGCAATGACTGGTGACGTGGCTTATCGGACAAGCGGTGAAGCAATCAAGGCGGGATCACACCAGAATATGTGAAGTCGGGAGATCAAGTCGCAACTGATAGATGATCTGATAGATGCGACAAGAATATCGTCAGCGAAACAGCTGGCTGCTGCGCGCCTGGTTGTGAATCCCGGGAAGTTGTAGTGTCGTTGATAGCCGGTTGTAGCGCGACGATCGGCGATAAGGCTTTCCAGGCTGGCTGCAAGGACAACGCTTACGCGATCGACTGGCAAATCACAAGTGTATCTAACAAACAGAAAATCTGATGGACAGGGCCATGGAGAAGATAGGAGATGGAAGACACAGCAGGGACAGGGGATAAGATATGGGAGGTGATACGATCACGGGGTGGAGATGCGCGGTTGCGACAGCCGAGGGGAGATCCATCACGTGGTTGCGGCCTGGACCACTGATATGGCGCGATTACTTCACACTCCACGACCGGAAGCGACACTGGAGGAGAGCAGACAATGGGCCAGCACGGATGCGATCGCTCAACGTCATGGAATGCCTTTGGCTCCTCCCAGGCCTGGCCGGTCTTACCGGATACCCAATTCTTTCATGTTCGCAAGGATCTCCTCTGTGTCCTGAAAGCAGTAGAACGTCTCTCAATTAGTGACAGTCAAGTAGGTAATGAAACGCCTATGTATGTCCAACGCCCGTAATCCACCGCGTAGCATAAAGAAGAAACGCAAGACACATCCGCCGGCGGATAATCACATAATCTTGGTCACAACATCTTCCTCGACCTGAGGTGCGCAACGGAGATTAGCTCGGTGTCGAAATTGTGCTAATGAGCTATTCCATTGACAGGACTCGACTCCACCAAGAAAGGGAGCCTGTGGAAGACGACACGGGTGGAAGCAGATAGAAACAGCAAGACCAGTGATCAGGGAACCAAGCAGGACACAACCGGAAGAAATGTATGCCAAAAAGGACATGAGGCATCTGGAACCGAGCTGTACAGTAACCAGGATGAAGATGTAGCAAGGCCAGCATCCCTCCGACTGATCACAACAGAGTCCGCGATGCATCTCTCGGCGCCAAAAGAGAAATCACATCTCACTCACCTCCATATCTTCCAGGCTGTCCTGCTGGCTGATGCACCTTAGCACGTTCTTCTTGCTGCTCTCCTGCATCTCCCCGGCCAACAGTAGTTCATCTAGGATGAAATATGCCTTCTGAAAGTTGAAGATGATGTCTAGCTCGCACACATTGCCATAGTACTTGTCCATCTGCTCCACGTAACGATGCACGATCTCGAGTGTAATCAGTTCATTATCGGTCGAGGCGCAACCGGCGATAAAGAATAAGGAGGCATAACGTCGGTACACTATCTTTGAGTCTGGTGAACGAATAAGTCGAGTCCAGTCAATAACAATTCCAGCATGCCTACCTTTGTATTCGAGGAAGTTGCACATGCGCGTCCGTCGTGACAGAACGAGCTGAGTGACATCTTTGATAATCTTGGCCTTCTCCTTAGGAGAAAGAGTGGTGAACCATTTGGCAAGGCGCTGGAAAGAATTTGTTTGGTGAGCTGGAGTCAACGGGGCAAGTAGTGCGGTGGGCCACGAGACGTACCACTTTGCCTTGTCTTGACAGAAGGATGAGATAGCTGCAGAACACGTTAGTAACGATCAGTCGGTAGTGGCAGCAGGATAGAGTATTTACGTGATCGCCATAATGTATGCCGAAGAGATGCGACAGGGAGTGGTGTGCCTTTTTGCGTTGGTGACGAGGTTCGAGACTACAGCCAGGGGAAATTGTACGGGCGGCGCTTCTGCGACTCCGCGAGGGGTTTGAACTACGTCCCCACAGCTTAGTCTATCAAGCGACGCAACACCTGAACAAGATGGTAAGCTTATGACTGACTCAATACAACTGCGGCATAGAAAGGCATTATTGTCAATGGTTATCATTTTTAGATCGCGTGTTGCTGGATCTCACTGTTCTCAATCACAAAATAGCATGCGCCTAACTATATTATTGGTCTGTTTATACACGTGGCATTTCTGTATCCGAGACCTCATCAAATCACTATGTAGTATGAGTACGGAGATCCAGTATTCAACTTCTTGCTACCTTTGTCACACATTGCGAAGGTGTACCTACCCTATCCATCTCACCATTGTCCTCCTGGATCTGCAACCTGGCAACATCAGGCCGACGTGACAAGGCCTTTCATCAATCCCTTCACCTTTTAGTTTACTACTTTTGTTCAATGGAATCCAGCTATGGAGATAAATCTCCTCAAGGCATCTTATTCCTTATAACTCCCTTCTATACATCCCCGAACTTCGACTTTGTCTCCTTACGCCTCCGTGGACCGGGTTTGTCCCCGCGGCACAGGCTCCTGGAAAATCCGTCTACCCCGCTGACTGATTTTCATTATTGGAGATCCCTGAAATAGTCAGTGAACAACTTCCGCATGCTGACAAAAGAAGTATCTGAAAGTCCCGCCTCCCTGACCTGGAGGTTCTCATCGAGCTATCAGTAAGCTATAATGCCAGCAATAAAAATGCATATACTCATAATCCTGGAACTACCATCACTCTCATTTGAACGTATATGCAGGGCGATCTTCCCTTTGGATCAGGTCCGCCCAATCAAAAGGTCAATTGATATACTTTGGTGACAAAGGGAAATAATCATGATGAGTGAGTTTCTCGATAGGGAATAGATTGTCCATCTGGGATGGTCTTCGACGGCGTAGGACCCTGAAAATGGAAACGAAGTGATGACAGTGATCCAACTATTTGTGCGACGGAGGCACTGTAGAAGTGGTCATCATTGTCTGTTGTTACTCATCAAACGTACGTATGTAGTAACTAAATCTTTCTTTTTCCCTAGCGGGCATTGGGTTGTCCATGGCTAGGTATTTTAACATTGAGCCCCTCGAAGAGAGAAGTTGGGTTATCAATAACGTGGTGTTTCTTTTCCTCCTCCATCACGCAGACTTGAAAAATTCCATCCATTCCATTTTCATGGTATCATACCAAACAAAATGGTGGCATGCCAACTATTCCAAGCCATAGTGGCTAGTCTCATGATTGGGGTTTCTTTCAGCGCACCTCTTTTCAAGCGCGAAGCTGCCACAGTCCTCTCCGATCTGGATACTATCAGCAAGAACCTCGCACTTCTAGACTCAAATATACTGAACTTCGATGGTAGTCGCTCCGATACCATTCCTCTCTCAGACAGCACATGGACTGTCATGAGAGACCTGAACAAGACCATACTCGACACAAACAAGTCTGCTACGTTCGACCCGACTGATAGCGTCACTGTCACAGAAGCATCTGTTGCACTCGAACCTATGATTCTTAGATCCTTGAACGATATAAGCGCAAAGGTAGGTATTCTGCATCCTATCTTATTATTATCTGCTAGGACATAAGTGCTAATGTATATAGCATTCCAAACTCGTATCTGCCAATCAAGGTGGCGTGGCATTCGCCCGGTTGGAGTCACTGCGTACCCTCACGGATCAACTTGCTCGCGCGTTGGAACAGAAAGTGACTGCGACAAATGCTAGCAACATCGCTTCTGTTACTTCAGATGTTGACTCTGCCTACTCGAGCGCCATTGCACTTTATATGACTTGACGGTAGAGGGGTCTATGTATAAATGAAGACGCTCGACACGACTCAAGATATAGCTACGGCATACTGTTTGAATCCGCCGCAGGATGAACCATGCAGCATACCAGCAAAGAATTAGTGAGGTCAGCTTAAACAAAATATGTCTCATGATTTGTGCTATCGGCGTATATTAGAGATTACAGGCACTGAACCACCTCAGCCCCTTAAAATAGTCTATGTACTCACATAAAGCATGTACGTACGGTCATAAACCAGTCGTGAATCACGTAAAAGCTCCCAACCTCCATCACAGCTTCCCATAATTTTCTATTAGTTTGTCCACCAGCTTCGTGTGATTGAGTGATTTGAGCGAATCAGCGCTACCGTCACCCAAGCTATCCGTCAAGTTTAATGATGACAGGAGATGGGATCCATTCCTCTGGTTTATCCCGTGGATTGTGTTGATAATTAATCCCGCGATAGGCACCTGTGCCTTAAGAGTGAGATTTTTCAGCACCTTCTCGTAATAGGGAACGGTAACGCCCTCGTAAGTGACGCCTGTCCCGATAGAAGTGAGTTCGATATAGCCATTCTGAATCGCACTCCGCTGAGTCTGTAGGATACTAGATAGATTCTGTATAATCTTGTGCAGATCTAAAAAGCCACGAACAGGTGCACTGTTATTGCCGGGCCGGATAACAAGGTCGTTTATCGTAGCGTTTCCGATCACCAGATCTCCGCTCAGCAAGTTTAAGGTTGTATTTCCCTGGGCATTGTAAGCCTTACAGTCGCTCCATGGATAGCGAGAACACGAGTACTTACAATCTCCAGCGTCATTACTGACGGGTTGGGCAATGAAGCATTGGCGAGAAGGTTCGTACCGTCGGCCTCGGGTGGCAGAAGCAATCTGGAGTCTTCGATTGCAAATCCTTTGAACTGATTGAGAGCTAGGTGCGATAGTCAGAATGGTGCTCGCGGGAACCTTGTGGCAATATCTGTTCCTACCATTTGATGGGACCTCTTTGTACATATTCAAGTTAGCATGTAGCTTCCCCATGTGCACTGTTGATTTGCCTTCCATCCCCACCACGCCTACATCAAGGTTCACAGCATTATCCACGAACGCCTGCCAGCCTGTATGGTTTATGATCGGCGTGAATTGATTAGAAACGCCAAGTGTGGTATTCCCATGCACCTTCGTGGCCGGTAGGTAAAGGTTGACGAATGGGCTAGGGCCAACTTGTGGAACAAAGAGACCGAGAGTCATGGCATCCATGTAGACTGAGAACCCAGCAAGGTTCAGAGCAGACAACATGGTCAGTACCACAGAGTCTGGTCGAGGTTGCATGATATGCGCTTCTGTGATCACGAGCTTCGATTTATCAAGTACATCTTGTGCAATGGCGGGGACAATAAAAACAAATCTTATTCCAATGTCAGGATTGCAAAAGAATGGTCATGGACAGGGGCGACACTCACAGGATAGGCAGAAGTATTGCAGCCAGTATTATTGCAAGCAGGACATAGCAAAACCAGAAGCGGCGGAAATGGCGCTTGATCTTTTTCCCTTTGGCATGAGTAGACGTGCCATCAGCACCTTCTACGTATGCGGCCCCCGCAACCTCGCTTTCTGTGACGGCGTCAGTGCGATGGGGAGCAGAATAAGATCTTTTCTGTGGCCCTTCATACCTTTATCCCCGAGAGTAGCTGCTAACGGGCCCCGGTTTGCGCCAATGACATATTTGGACTCTTTGTCTTTCATATATGCCTTGCTGTCGTCCTTTTCGTGGGAGCTCATGATGACAAACGTCCAAGGACCTGGTGTTCAGGAGACAAAGGCGCTACAGAATCATGACCAGCATGGACTTTGGCGCGATCGTTGTCAGGATGACCCTGGGGACAGACTTTTCTGGGGTAGTTAAGTATAGTAAACATGCACAAGATCTGGGGACGAGCGCCCGCTCTTTTAAAATCGTTACGCCCCCATCAGTATCTGCAGTAAACTCTGAGACTAATCTCGCGGGGCGCCTTCCGCCTTCACAAAATCTGCCAGTGATCGTCTTACTTTGGGCAGGTTGGGATAAGTAAGGTTGTACTCTGTAATTTTGCAGACATTGTCACACAAGAAGCGGAAACGAAGATCAGCACACACTTGGCCGCCCTAACGGCGCCGGTACTCGACCGGAGCTTGGACTAGGCAATAGCAGCAATCGAACTCCTGCTTGATTAGAAAAGGAATCCTATTTGTTTGTTCCCAACGTCGCTGAAGTTCTCCACCTCTATGGAGTACGGAGTAGATCTTCGGGTCATCCAGCCGCGCTGGAGAACAGGTTATCCATGTTGGATTGCAAGGGAAAGGACAAAGCTATGGGCCAGGAACCAATGCTGTATCTGCGAAGAAGGCGGAGGGATCGTCCTTTCCTGGACAATGTTCACACGGTCGGGCTATTTTCTTTCATACTAACACTCGATTGCTTGTTATGAGCGTTCAGTTAAGATCGGCCTAAATACTTCAGCTTGGCATCAAATCGCATTTGCGAGCGACTGAGCACCATTAGCTCGTTGCTGACCTGATTCTCCTGCTTCTTGTTCTGCATTTACTTCTGTCCCATCTGCAACTTCGATCACTGAGCACCACACGAGAACTCGAATCCAGCTTCTTACAGCGGAAAGGCAGTGACAAGATGGCGAGTAAAATGGAAGAAACGACGACAAAAGAGAAGATGGAAAAGCCTGATGTGGATATCAACAGCAATCCTTCTGTGTCTTCTCATTCGGATTTGCTGGAGGCTCTCAGCAAGATGAAGGAGCTCCCGGACATACTGCAAGAAGGTATTCTTTTCATGGGTGGAGGGGTCGCGATCCTGCTACAAGCAGCCATACCAGGCGTCATCAAGGAGCCACAAGCGAGCGAGGATTTGGCAGTCCATCTCCTGGAAAATATTCAGACGACGACAAGCTACATCTTCTGCTTGACATTTGGCAGCAAGGCACAGAGAAAGTCCCTCTTAGACATGCTTAATCGCGGCGGACATCTTCTGAATGGCAGCGATCCTATATTCCGTCTCTGGGTTACCGCTACCCTCTATGCAACTGCTACGGATATATACCAGAGGATATACGGAAGAGTCGACTACCGCACCGCGGAGCGAGTCTATGAAGAATATACTCTGCTAGTCAGCGCACTCAACATTCCTCCAGAGCTGTGGCCAAAGGATCGTCAGAAGTTCTGGACGTACTGGGATGATACTATTGTGAACATACGTGATTGCCCCTTCAGAGGACTAGAGAAGGATCTAGTCCTCAACTTCAAAAGGTTACCCGGTTGGATACGATTTATGAAACCATTTCTGCGGGTTCTAACGAGCGAAATGCTTCCACCAAATGTCCGGAAAGGATATGGACTTAAATCATCGAAGGCTCGCAGAGCCTTGTACAGAGTAACTCTGGGCTTCGCTGTTGCCGTCTATCCTACGTTCCCAAAGTCCATTCGCTCTTATCCCCAGAGGTTCTACTTGAAAAAGTTAGAGATCACATTAGGAGGCGCCGCCTCCGCTTGAGAGGGACAATCATCTCCACAGGTTTTTAGTACTATGTATTCCATAGCAATTACTGCCGACGCACATCCTCCACAGTCCATCCACGCTTTGACTACAAGCTTGGAAATCGGAGGACCATGTAAGCTGAAACATACCACGGACAAAGTACATCTCTGCAAAGAAAGAGGGCGGCCACTTGTGAGTACCAGTGGCGTGCTGCTATGTTGGGACCGTACCTCCTTCTCATTCCCCTGGATTGAATCATTTCTCGGGCATGTATCCATAAACAGATAGCCGGTCTGAGCAGTTGACCACTCAAAATTTCATGGCGGAAAGTGTCCAAGATCCGTGTCAAAAATACCGTTCCTGGAAATAGTAGTCATGAACTAGTCTCATAAATTACCACCGCAGCACGCTTAAGTATCCTTAGTTGACCCGTGCCCCAGACCCGAGGCGCAAATTCCCCGCGTGGAGGCGGATTCAGGCGCGGTTCCGGCTTGCCGCGATGCAGTGGAATTCAATGTCGATTCGCTGAGTGTAGCTGTGGAGAGATTACGGTTGCCTATCTCGGGCAGAGAAATGATGATCTATGATTCTATAGAGTCCTTGACTCCTTGGCGAGATTGCTCAATGATAGCGGCTATCTCTGTCCCGCTTCCCCAACGCTGGCTAAATCAGGTAAGAGGCAATTACTGCAGTATACTCAAGGTACAGGAGCTGAATGAGGCCGTTCTTGCTACCAAATCAAATATTCTTCTGCCTATTCTTTAAAATCTCCATTATACTCTGCAGCGTATCCTGAATCTCTTCCACCCGACGCTGCATCGTATTTTGATACTCTGCAAGCTGACCCTTCATCGTATTTTGAAACTCTGCAAGCTGACCCTCTAGCCGACCCTCTAGGCGATCAAAACGCGCGGAAAATAGCTGTTCCAACCGTCTTCCTAGAACCTCGTTTTGATTCTTAAACTCCTGTTTGAGCTCCTGGATATCCTGGCTCCGAGCCTCCTGCATGTGCCGAACCATTGGTTCCATACTTTTCACGAAGCTGGATGAAAATGATGACAGGATAAGAGGGAGATTCTGCGCCGTGATTGCAGTCTGAGCTTGTCTAAAAGATCTCGAGGAGCTCCTACTACTAGGCGGTTCAGGTGACGGTGAGGATTCTGGTGTAGGAGACTGCGAGTCCAATTCTTCAGTTCGTCGCCTCTTCCTCCCCCTCCTGCCTCCCCGTGGACCCCGATGGATATTATTTTGTCTAGCAGCAAACCGCTCCTCTCTCTCCTTGCGTTCGGTTTGCTTTAGTTTGTCGATAAATTCGATCCAACTATCCACCGCTTGCTTCCAATGTGTGTCTGACGCAGCAACACCTGAAGCTTGGATTGCAGCATCGATCTCACGTCTTCTCCTCTTCTCTATTTGCCCAATTGACCGATCGACACGAGCATAAGCTCTTCCGAACTGTTGCTGCATCCAGTTGCCACATCTTTCCCAAAATTCTGCGCGCGGAACTCTTTTCTCGGCATACTCGTGGCGTCGACTCAGTAACCAACGAATGATTTGCACCTCTTCTTCCTCCGAGAAATAAACACGTTGCCTTCGATTTGAAGGTCCTAGTTGCAGCAGGCCAGAGCTATCGCGAAACGTAGGTAAAGGACTGCTAGACGGAATATGTTAGTTCGTGATACCGACGGTTGGCGTAGGAATTTGGTGTGTCAGACTTCAATATGGTTATTGGCCGGCTCATTTCTACCCTCCTGCGATCTTTCTGATGACGAGCAGCAATTCTATAATAATAATCGGTCGCGATCTCCTACCGAAGAATGTACAGTACGTGATCACATTCTCCTGCACCGCGTAACGCGTCAGCGACGTGAAGGCTTTGGCGTTAGTGGAGTTCGGCGAACTATCTGCAAGAGGTTGGCGTATCTTCATGCCAAGGCGCAAACCTTACCCGTATAGGGGATATGCCGATGCCAAAACTGCGTTGCAAAACTCCCTCTATCTGTATTCAAAGCGCTACTCATGCGATCGAATGCCCTACAGACCTTGTCTTCAGTACAGTACGATGTGAAAGGGCCTGAGATGGGGCAGCTTGCGGAAGCGGGCTGCAGCTCACGTTTGTCTCTGAGCTCCAATCAAACTAATATTTCTCTATCAAGGCTATAGATGTATAGCATCTTTTTCCGACACCAGCTGTGTGGCAGCGAAGATTTTTCTGGGAGCCGTTTCCTTAGCACCGTCTTCTTCCCACGATATGTCTGACGCCTGACTTGATGCTGCTCCTGCATCTGGGGAGGACACGATTCCTTTCAGCATCTGTTCCCCCAAGCTATCATCTGTCTCACTATCACTGCAAATGTAGCTGCCACGAGCAACTCTTTCCAAAGCCTCCTTTGGTAGGTTCGGATGTGACTGAATGTAGTAACTGAGATCCTTATCTTTGTCACCAGAGGTCTCTATACTTGCAAGTCCTAGACCCCAGTACTCAAATCGATTCTTCGTGTACTGCCAATTCCAATCTTCCCAGCGGTCGCTCTGAAGGAACTCTCGATAATGCAGACCACTCCCTGGCCAGACAGCAGTTATTTTTCCCTCTGCGGTCTTGTACCATGACCGACAAGACCCCGTCCACACCATGTGGCGCATGAAATCTTGCGTATGGGCATTGAAATCAGACTGGACATCAGCGCGGATATCGAAGGACGCCACATGTTGAGTGATCGTTTTGCGAAGCACGCGGATAAAATAGTCTGCTGTTGCTTCCAATGAGCCCATAAGACTCCCATTAGCGATTGGCGTGTTGGGACCCAAGAAGATGAGGTAGTTTGGAAATCCGCTGACAGCCAGTCCGCAGTATGAAGTTGGGTCATCCTTCCACAACTCGCGTAAGTCAATACCATTTCGGCCGATAATTGGGAAGCGTGGGCGAAAAGATGTGTCGAATCCAGTTGCAGCAACAATGATGTCGACAGCCCTCTCAACTCCATTGCAGTCGCGTATACCGCTTGGTGTAATTTCTTGGATGGGTGTAAATACGGGCTCAACGTTATCTTTCTGCAGCGCTGCAAGGTAGCGCTCGCCAGGACTTGTGCGTCGACAGCCAGCTTCAAAAGAAGGGATAAGATTCTGCTGCAAGTGCTCAGAATGGATCAACTCGCGCATGTGTGTCTCGAGCTTTGTTCTCCATTGTCTCTGTTCGTTGCTGCCTTTGAAGAAATTACGATGCATGCCGGTGAAGGATGCCTCCATATCCTTCCGGACGCGCAGGTAGTACTCCAGATCATCTCGGAATCGTTCTTTTTCTGCCTCGGTGTAAGTATGATTCTGTTCACCCTGGAGCTTACTACCAAATGGTCCTGTAATCCAAGATGGCGTGCGAATGTATATGTCAACGTGCGAAGCAATTGACTGTATTTCCGGAAGCGTTTGTATAGCGCTTGCGCCAGCGCCCACAATAGCCACTATTTTGTCCTTGGCATCAATAGCATCATCCCATGCGGCTGTATGAGCTAATTTACCCTTGAAGCTATTCAGGTTGTTGAGACTGGGAAATTTGGGGTTATTGAGAATGCCTCCTGCGTTCACGAGGACATCGCATTCGAATACCCCTTTCCCCTCAACGGAGACTGACCACTGAGAACGATGCTCCTCCCATACCGCACGTTCCACTTTGCTGTTGAATTGGATATAAGCATCAATGCCGTAATGTGAAACAACAGCTTTCAGGTATGTTTGTATCTCTGACGAAGAGACATAACTGATCTTGTCAGTGAATCTGTAGCCATATCTGGACAGCGACTTACACTTTTGACCAATATGGGTTTGGACAGAAGGTATATTGGTAAATATGGCTGGGGACGTCACATGCACACCCTTCAAGACATCAGTCAAAGGGCAGAAAAGATCACTAGGTCTCAGTCTGACCTGGATACCGGTTTTCTAGCCATGTGCCCCCTACGTCGTCGTTCTTTTCGAAAATATGTATGTCAACTCGGTCACTGAAAGCTTCTCGGAGCTTGTAGGCTAGAGTTGATATCAGTATCCATTTTGTGACTAAAAACAGAGTCTATTATACCCATCAAAATTCCTGATACTCTGAAGTATATGTTATGTGATGTTAGTTCATCATCGCTACAGTCGGGGGTTGATATTCTACTGACCCTGCTCCTATAATGATACATCTCAACGGTTTTTGGGATTGACCACAGCGTTCAGATGTATACTCCCCTGCCATATTTGGAAGATATCGCCGAATAATCCTCGTTCTCTCTTTGGTGAGACGAATGTGTAGTATCTGTGAGAAAGCGAGGGAGTAATCAAAGAGGGAGGGGAAATACGTGATTACACTGGGTTATCGTTGTCAATCCCAAAAGCGGCACCACAGATTATCTCTCCCAGACATGACTATCAACTTCATACACTAATCTATCCACCTGCATGGCCGAGTTGTACAGGCACCGGCGCTCCTCCGCTCACATGACCGGAGATAGATCCAGATACGCCCGTTGACCCATGACGCGGAAACAACGCAAGACACACACAGGCATATCAATGTATTCTTATTCGTGAAGTCTATATTGACTATCTTGTTTGACAGCTTGTGATGAGACCTTGGATATGCGGTCCGTCTCCTCCGTGGCAGGTACTACATACTTAACTAGTAGCTTCATGTGTTCCGGGAACGGGGTTGTCCGAGTTGCGTCCGGGTGGGGCCGGTGAGATGATACGGCATCTATATCAGCAGTAATGGATGGGACAATGCATTGTAATGATGTGGTAGCTACGGCTATAGTCACCCGGGTATTTCAATCTCATCGTTTTTATCTATAGTGGCCTTAGTCCTCTCTTCCTGAACAAATTCTCTCTCCAGCTAACCTCTAATCACGTTTATTCTCATCTTTATATCATGGTCTCCACGGTAAAATCATTCTTTGGCTATGGAGGCCTCAATATAGGAGAGGAAAGCTCTCCTATAACCCCAGAATCAAGTGACGCACAACTGAGAGCTCTGCCAGCCTCTTGGTACCGCTCTCCGCAGATGTATGAGCTGGAGAGACGCGCCATATTTTCCAAGAAATGGTTGTTCATCACGCATAAATTGAGATTCACCAAGCCGGGAGATTTCCTTCGATTTGAAGAAGCAGGCTTTTCTTTTGTCCTCTGTCTTGATCGCGATGGCAACCTGAATGGTTTCCACAACGTCTGTCGCCATCGGGCGTATCCAGTCGTGACTGAAGACCAAGGGAACGCTAGAATCTTTGCTTGCAAGTACCACGGCTGGTCATATGGGATAAATGGAAAGCTTGCGAAAGCTCCTCGATTTGAAGACGTCCCAGGCTTCCAAAGGGAGAACCACGGACTTTTGCCAATCCATGTTCATGTCGATGCTTGCGGTTTCGTCTGGGTGAACCTAGACGCATCATCAACACCGACTGTTGCATGGAATGATGATTTTATTGGGGTGGATAGACAAGAGAGGTTCCGGAATTTCGATTTCAGCCAGTACAGATTCGATCACACGTGGGAGATGAAAGGCGACTATAACTGGAAAACCCTCGCCGACAATTACAATGAGTGCTACCATTGCACAGTTGCACATCCAGATGTTGCGAATATAGCGGATCTCTCGTACTATTATGTCGAACCCAAAGGCGGGCATATCCAGCACTTCTCCAGACCGAAAGCTGGTATTAAAGAGTCCGAGGACGTCAAGGTCGCCAGCACCTATTATTTCCCAAATTCCTGCATGACTGTTTCGTAAGTGGATGAGGTAGATAATGTTTGTGTTATGTGCATTGACAATTCTACAGACCGCATTTCTTCTATCTCATGCGATGTGTTCCCACGTCAGTGACAACTGTTTCGATGGAGTATGAAGTGTATCGTCATAAGGACGCTACTGATGAAGAATTCGAGCACGTCGATTCATTCTTCAAGCGCGTGCTGAATGAAGATAAGATCTTGTGCAACAACACACAGAGAAATTTAAAGGCAGGGGTTTTCGTTAACGGGCAGCTTCATCCTGAATTAGAAAAGGGTCCTCTATATTTTCAGAGCGTCGTTCGAAAAGTTGTGAAAGAGCATCGGGAAAAGGAGGCAGCAGAGAACCGGGAAATCTGGCCGGCTAGTCAACCCTTGGCAGGACTGCAAGCTACTGATGAAGATATCGCGTTTTGCTCCGGCCTTGCTTGTGAGCCAGAGAAAGCTGCGCAGCTGGCCTGGTAGCCACGAAGTCGAATAATAAAATCTGTTGTGCTTGGTAACATATCGACCGTCAAGGACTTTTAATCACATTTATAACTGGTTTCTCATAGCCTGGAGATGTAGGTATAATAGCGAAGAGTACAAAATTCCATCGATCAAGCAGCATGCAGAATACCTAGGTAGGTGTAGATGCAGCTGTAGTGTTGACTACTGGTAAGTAATTCTCCGGTAAATACCGTGTCTGAGCCGACGATGCCGTATCGTAAGTGAGCGGCCCAGCAAGTCCACCGTTCCAAGGTCGCCAACCTCATGCACTTCCTCTGTCAGATTGCCTCCTCTAAAAACGTCCTGTACAAGCAGTACAGCTTCGAGCTTGATTTTCTCAATAATTCGTTGATTCAACTCGCTATGGCTCGCCTCAAGTTGATTACGTGAACCGCATTGACAGGCGATCCTAAGGTAGTAGGTACCAACCCCGCCCGCCAACCTACAACGCGATAAAGGTAGTGTTGATTAGAGAAGGATCATGATCGGCCATCATGTCATCATCAAATAGATCCCGCGTAGCCAAACGCATGCACCAGGCCTGTGAGAATTGCAGGTGAGAAGATTAAATATATCTGCAGCCATGGATGTCCACTAATCCATACAGGAGGAAGAAGACGCGGTGTCCAGGGGAACGACCATCTTGCTCAACCTGCACAAGACTGTATCAAGTTTGCAATTATGCAGGCACCAGCGCTCAATCTGACCAGCGGCAACCGTTGGGTGGCCAGCTAGACATGGTATGTCTGCTAATGTCATCTAAAGAACGAACTGACTCGGACAAGGAAGGGCGGCTGGCACAGCTGGAGGAAAAGATGCAGCTCATGTTAGAGAGAGCAATGTATGTGAACTATAACTCTATCTATATTGAACATATAGGTAACCATAATACAGCCCACAGCCTTCGGTTCGAGGTAGAACACCTCAATCAAACACAAGGAGATCGTTCAGTCATCAGACAACACCGGAATCACCGGCGCACCAAATGCCTGGAACTGCGGCATCATCAAAGTAAGATATCTCTCAACAAGATATTGATCGAAGACTAATGACTGTAGTTCCGATTCGTTACCCCCTAGAGACGTTGTCTTTGACGTGGTGCAACAATACTTTACATACTGTCATCGACAACCGCTATGGCTCTTCGACGATAATGATATCCCATCTCTTGTCAACTGCACCGAAGAGCTTATATTTTCGTTACTGGCACTTGCGGCTCGATACTCAAGTCATGCATACTTTGATGGACAGTCTCAGGTATTCGCTCATAAATACGGCGAGATCGCGAGAGGCCTTATCATGTTCAGGATTGCCCAGGGTACAGTCAAACTTACAACCATCCAGAGCCTCTGTCTGCTTGCTCTAGCTAATTTTGTTGGTGAGTTATTTTGGCGAAACTCGGCACGGAAAGTGCTGACAGTTTACAGCGTTGGACACGCATCTGGCGTGGCTTCATATCGACCTCGTTAACTCTCTGATTCGAAACTCGAATATGGACATCGAGACAAATCAAGAAGATGCTCAATCCATACTCGAATCTAAGAGACGAGTGTACTACAGCATCCACCTGTTGAACCAACTCTACTCACGAAGGTCTATGGCCTTGAATATGTTGGAGGACATAAACAAACCGAAGTACGTTGGATCGAAACAAGATCCGTTCTACGAATCCAGTAAACCTCCGCCCTTGACACCCAGAGAGACATTAGGTGAACACGAATCTCAACGGGGAGGGATATGGACATATATGGTTCAGCAGTCATCATTATGGAAGGAGGTACGGGATTACGTCGCACGCTGTGCTGATGGCAACTTGAAGCCCCCTTGGTCGCCAGATTCAGGCTATGCCGTTATTGGAGCTCATCTAATGGACCTTGAGACGAATTTTCCGACACATTATCGATACGACGCGGCTCGCTTCTCTGAGCGTTCTCGAGATGAACTCCATCGCAACCGGGAATTCTGGAGTCCGTGGCTGTACTTGCAATTCGCATATCATGCCATTCATAGCGTCCTAAACCATCCCTTCTTATATTCGGCACGCCCGCATCAATCTATCCAGCTTGCAGTACCCAATACCTTCTGGAAGACGTCTTCAGAGCTGGCCCTGCTTCATTCGACGTGGATTGTCCGATTGATTGAAATGGTAACTGAAAAGGAATACCCAGTGTCCGATCCATTCATTGCACATACTGCTGCGGTTTCGGCAACTATACACCTTTATTACTGTCGTGCAGCCGATAGCCGTGTCCGGACCTCGGCACAGACAAAGTTATCAAAGTGCATGACATTTATAAGCGACTTGGGCATTGTCTGGCCACTCTGCCATTCGATGGTTCGTATACCACACAACCCTCTAGACCTGACAAAACTGATACAAGATATAGTATGAACGCTTAGACACCCTTATTCAATCAGCGTTAGGTTCCGGCGGGCAGTCTGCAGCACACGATGCTAGCTGTAGGACTGTGTCGATCAAGACAGCATTGATGTGGGATATTCTTGATTATACATGCCCTCATAGAGGCTCTCACAGACCTGGCAGGGGCCTTTTCGATCCATCACTTGTACAAGACCAGAATAACGAATCTGACGATGAACAAACAGTCGAGACACAGATATTCCATCGACCTACAGCCGAGGCTGACACTTCCAATGGAGGACAAGAGCTGCCCCCTTATTCTGATCGCGCCATGTCCCGAAACCGTGCTCGGGCAAATCACACAAGCAGTAACCCAGAAAACACGGAAGAGAGACTATCTAGACAGCCGTCAGTAGCCCAACATCCGTCACAGCTTCATCAGTCGGATATTGCAAGCTGGCAAGGACCAGCATTCTTGGGGAATGTCTCGATCATGGATATCACACATGACCCTTTCTTTCCACTACAGGATCACTCTAGTTCGTATCTAGGATTTTGGGACTCAGGAAATTTATAGTCCCAGGCAGATAGAATATATGCACCAATAACCATCCATATTACGAATTTTCATGAAGACTTCCACAAGGTCACCAGTGCACCATCCTTCCCTAACACAGGATCATGGTTCGGTATGGGGACCGAAGATATTTCATTTCGAAGACCCTCTACATCGAGTGGATCCTTTCCAAGCTCATTGCGCCAACGCGGGCACTCCTGCGATGGTCAATCAGTCGCGATGTACAGTACATGAAAAGTAAGCAGTGCGCTCGAGCCATAGTTGTTACGAACCTTGGGGTAAACGCCGATGTACCGATAATCCTTGGTGCTCTGAAGACAACAATGCGCAGTTCCCGCCGGCAGGACGATTACATCTCCAGCATAGACGTCGACCTCAAGACCTCCATCTTCATCGCTCTGTCCGCAGCCTAAAAGAAGTCTGGATTCACCCTGAAATACACCTATCGTGTCCCATCATAAGCAAACATTCGACACCATTGTACATACATACATACAAAGACAGACAGACAGACAGACATACCATAACACTCATGTGTATTCGGATGGAAATGTCTCACAGGGATATGGCCCCATACCCCGCGTTTCTCCCACTCATTCGCCTCTAGAAACTGCGTCGTTTTCTCCTCCGATAAGGGCAACGGTAACGCATCGCGGTAAATAAGGACCGGGAATGAACTATTCAATGCATACTTATTTGGCGGGATGACGTGTTGTTCTGGAATCAACCCCATGATGGAGTGGTTGTTTATACGTTGTTTTTTACGACCCTAAATTCTGCAATCGCAATGCATGGATCACGATAATAATAAATAGCTAGATGCGATACAATCTGGTCTGTTGATGCGGGGGTCGACGCTGATCCACCGGGTACGAATCCCAGATTAGGAAAGCGTATCCTAATGAGTTAGAGACCGGTCCAGGAGGATTCGAGACTCAACTGATGCTCCACAAGATATATGTATATGACGTGTCTTTAGGGTAACTGCTCGTGTGACTCAAAGGAAGGTCTCGATACTCGAGATCGTGGAGTATTTTGAGTGTCGAGTGTTTCTTATCAAGCATCTTGCAGCGGGGATTGTCCCGGAGGCCGGTCACATGAGCGCAGGTCTCCGGCGGGCTGGCAGATACAACGGAGCGTGAATAGATATCCAATCATCGTATTAGGAACTAAGACCGTCGATAGTCATGTTGATTGGTTCAATGTTCGACCTTATTGTTCGGGGTGAAGTTAACTTATTGTTCTATCTCAAGGGCTTAAACTGAAGATGTTAAGATGTTAAGAAGCTCGTATTCCTAACAAGGAGGGGAAGCTTAAATTAGATAAAGCTTTGTCTAACTAGCTACTAAAATTCCTCTAGAAAGCTCACTATTCGGAATTAGATATCTGCGTGCTGTTCCATAACCTTAGTGTAATGAAGTTTTGATCATCTGGACCTAAGATACACAAGATATATCAAGCCACTATACCTGCTGCTGCCTGCGTATGGCGAGGATATTGTCCCCATTCATGGTCCTTGAGACTTTTCAAGAACCTAATAACTGGTTCATGGTTTGCGTAAATAGCAATACTTAATGCAGTCTTACGGTACGGATCCTGTATCCAAGGATTGGCTCCTTTCTCCACTAGGAATCTTACGCATTCCAAAGAGCCTTGTAAAGCGGCGAAATGGAGCGGTGTCCCAAGTCCAGCCCTGTAGTTATGTGCGAAATCTCGAGGCGAATTTTCATCGAGAAGCTTGTTGATAATGGCCGCATTGAAATTCGGGTTCTTGTCATATATATATTTCAGGACTTCAAGGTTGTCTGGATGGGATCTCAACGAAGCATAATGCAGCAGCTGTCCATGCTCAATTGATCCGCCGTGTTGGAAGAGGAGTTGAATTGCTTCAAACGACGCGTGTTGAACAGCACAAGACAGCGGAGTGTAATCTCGGATGAGGCATCTTTTGTTTGGACTGGCGCCATGATCCAAAAACCATCTCAGCAGCTTGATGTCGTCGAATGTATACCTGTATTTTATTAGATCCGCCAAGCTGCAAATCGAGCGAGTTGCTGCTTACACAAGGCACGAGGGCGTTAGACTATCGACGTGTGTATCGATATCCCAACCTCGCTGAATGAAATCGTCAACGATCTTGTAACGTTTCATTCGGGTAGCAAGGGCAAAGTGGTTAATGGTCATGGGGACATCGCGATCAAGCAATTCGATGGCGTCATCATCCCTGCCATCGGTGATTGCGTTATAAAGATCCTCCATTTGCACTGAAAATAGTGGAATTTTGCTGTATCTGGATAGAGGTAGAGAGCTTGGGAAGCGCTGGCGGTTGTACGCTCTTCTATGTTCACCGGCCTTGGCATTCATCAGGTGACGGCTTGCCGATCCCTGCCTTACCATTCCTCGGGTTGCAATTATTTCCGAAGCATACTAATAGCCAGATATAAATTTTCGATGTTGTTTAGTTATTCTGGAGCGAAGCTCGCCGAGCTTGTATTCTCTAGCAACTATCTCAGCCTGTTTATCTCTGTGGGTGGAGCTAGAAATGCGTGGGAGAAACCCATCACCGACAGTTATTTCTAGTATTTTATATCATTAAGGGAATTATAAATCTTTGGAAGAAATTTCCTAGAAAGATATAGATATTATATAATAAAGATTACCTACCTAGTTCTTCTCATTCAAGTTGTGGCTAAAATATTGCGCTGTTAATGTAGGTAATTTATATGCAATGTAGCACTAATTCAGTTAGGAGTTTAATCTACTCGAGAGTAAATCACGTTATTCGCAAACTATGAAATACTAATGCAAGAGTCGAAGGTGCGGCTTTTAAGCGCCGTGGGATAGTGGTTGGGTTAGGCAGCAAATGGGGCACGTTAACTAGGTAGGTACAGAGCGTGCTTTCAGACCATTGGACCAAAATTACTTGCCTGTATTAGGCACCTTGGATACGCAGCTGCTTTTCCGTGCGAATGCGGTTGCCGAATATGCGAGCTATCACCCGTAGATTGTAATCCCGAGATAATTAATCCTAGTCCCAACCCGACGAGGTAGCCCCTGGAATTGCCACCTTGTGTTTAACGGACAAGATCAGTGGGATACATCGAAGAGAGCCTTCTAATATCCTAGATCTCTGCGTACATATAATAATCTAACTAGGAAGGGATGACGGAGAGGTCGTTGGAGTGGGGGGACAAAGACAGCCCTGGGGGCAATTCGTCGCAACCTCTCTGGGCTTGACATCGACCTGACAAAGCGTCTGGTGATTGATTCATGCTTTTGAACCCTTGCTCTGAGGATGAGCTTGCATTAGCGTATAGTCATAGGCAATGCCTAACGCGTGATTGACCCTTGATCAAGCCAACTAATTATATTCCCTGCAGACTAATGGGAGGAGAACGATTCAAAAATAAACGGCTCATTACCGCGGCTATGGGCCGCTATGAAATGCTACTATTTCGACTCGCTGCGTTCGCCTCCGCCGTTCTCGATCGTCGAAAATATTCTGCCTTGTCTGTTTACCCTACACCATAAAGGATCACTGTCTGAAAGTTGTATTCTCAAGATGTCTCAATTTTCGCTTTTCGAGCAAGCCTTGGGCAGAGGACAAGCGTATGAAGTACACATGAATAAAGTCGGTTCCGTTTCTTTCGACCAAGCACCAAAGGCTATTGGAACGAAGAATTTGAACAGCTGCTCGGCTGTTATGATGGTGTCTGTCAAAGGTGCTATCCTGGGCCATATATCACCGTTGCCTACTATTACAAATGATCCCAGCGCCGGCGAAAACCACGTACGTGAAATGATGACCGAATTTTTAGAAGTCTATCGCAGAGAAAAAGACTTTCGCTTGGGACCTGAAATTAAAAAATCAGGCATTGTATTTGGAATCTATTTGGGCAATATCGCATTGCCAGATCAAAAAGAACTCATCGAGAGTATTCTTCTGGAAAATGTGGAAGATAACCCGCTGCCAAAGCTCATTCCATATGAAATTAGTGCTGGGGGCCACGGCGTTCCTCAAAGAGGGACGGTTTTCATTGATGGGAGAAGTACTCCTCCGAAAGTATACGTCGAAGATAAAGATCAGGAATGGTTTTGAAACCGTTTTTGATATATATCCGGTGAGTCTGTTCCTCATAAGTGTCTCCTATTTTTCTAACAAACAAGTCGACAGAACTCTATCAGGTACTTAAATGGGATGATACCTCGAGCTCCTATTCTTGTGAGCATGGGCCAAAACAAAACGCCACTGATTCGCGTGATCAATAAGCCCATCAATTCCGATTATTATGGATGAGGACATGAAACCATTTGGGCCCATCGCAGTCTCTACCCAGTACCCACATAAGTCTCCTGTAGTGCCAGTGTTTTGTTCCTGATTGCATCCTCTACGTTTAGTTGCAGGTCCCTAGAACGACTGTAGCTTCAACGATTCTCTCTGACTAAGCCAATGTTCGTAGTTCGGACAAGCCATTGGACACAATAAGATGATAGGGCTTGTGGGAGCGAGAACTGGACACTCTACATTGCGGAACCACGAAAGTCACATAGGCGCGGCGCGCTTCAGTCCATATCCAGTTGTTGAGGACCTCTCGCGGGTGACGACGAGTAGAAACTGAAACATGGCAATCCTGCGCCCCAGGCGGTGACCAGAAATCCTGCAGTCACTTTCCCATAGTTGAATCCACAGTATGACCTTGCACCGTTCTTAGTCCACAGACAGGTCAGAAACAGGGACCTAAAATTTCACTATAGGTTAGAATCGGACAACTGTGGCTGCTACTAACTGACATTGTACTATAATAGAAGACTACTCAAAAGCGATTGAAGGATCTAGTCAGAAACTCACAATTGAAGAAGAAATAATAAAAGATGCCTATGTTGAAATGAGAAGGTTTAGTTGTTGCACTGATCCCCGCGCTTAGGCGTCTTAGAAAGTATATATTCTCTCCTATATGCACACTAGACGTGCATTCTCTACAACTTCGCTTGCTCTTGTGCAGTCAACAGCCTGCGTGCAGGACCGCGTCGACTTCCATCATTGCATACCATTGGTCCTGTAGTCTGACTGCTCTTTTCCAATCTCCATTTCTGTCTCACCTCTGTGGACGCTTTATCCTCGAAGCAGTCGGCAATATACTTTCCAAGAATAGGAAGGAACTTGAATCCACTGGACGAACGTTAGATCTTGACTGTGATGATGGGAATCTATGTACTTACTGGCCAGCACCTCCAATTGCAATAAATAGACCCTTTATTGTCGGGTGGTTGTCGACCACAAAGTCGCCTTGGGGAGTGTCTGTGTACCAACACAACCTCCGGCGCACCCACGGCTTATCAGCTAGCTTGGGAAGAATTTGGCGGAGTCCTTCACGCAGAGCTTCGTCTGCATCGTCGGGTAGATAGGACGACGCAGCATTGTTGACATCCCGTTTCGGAGAAGAAATAGTCCGCCCATCCACTTGGATAGATGTATCAAATCCGTGACTGTGGCGGGCTACTTTCAGAATGTTCGTGTGTGGAGTTGGAGGAAACACGAAGAATCCAGAGGTCATGTTGATAACCACTGGCATTCGAGAAATCTCTGCTGCTTCTTCCGATGTCAATTGGATAAACCCAACCGGTTGGGCTGATGACGAGACTGCATGAGTTAGGTCCAGGTATTGATTAGACCAAGCTCCCGTCGCGAGAATCACATTCGAGCTCGAAATTGGTGGGCCCTTTGCAACATGAACACCGGTTACTCTGGAATCATCGATCCTGAGCGATGTCATTGTCCCCCGAGGGCCTGTGACGAACGATACTCCAAGTTCACTGCATCGTGCAGCCAGCGCAGTGATGGCACCCGCTGCATCCGCCCAGCCAGCGTTTGGATTTATATATCCGGTGAATTCTTGCTTCACATCTTTTAGATGCGGGAATTCGTCGATAAGTTGCTGCGTAGTTTGGAAGTCCTTGAAAGTTTGCCCCTGGCTGCGCAGCAAACCTTTAAGCTTCTCCAAAAATGCATCGCTTTTCTCCTCTGAGGTCAAAACAAATCCAGTGTTATAATAGTAAGGATGAAATGGACCCGATCCCCAGCTTTGCACAGCTTCTCGCGCCAGCTTCATGTAAAACGGATCGGAATAGTCATAGCGCACGATGCGAGAGATATCGACGCTACTACCATCTGGAACTGGTGGTAACATCCGATCGAGTACGGTCACATTCTTGTATCCCCGCTGACATAGCTCCAGGGCTGTAGAGAGGCCGAAAACCCCTGCTCCAACTATAACAATGGGATCTTCCTTGGAAGTTGTTGCACTCATAGTGAATATTATGACTGATCATTGTTTTCAGTAAAAAAAAAAAAAAAGGGCCAAGAAGTATTTATCTCATCTCTCGTGTGTTTGTTGACTGCTTTAACGCTCTGCCACACCGCGTCGTCCAAGGCCGATCATGTGAGCGGGATTCGGGGGAGATCAAAAGTACTCGTGGCTGCATTGATTGTTACCTGCACAACTTGGCTTATCTTAGGTAGGCTAAGGATATCGCATAGTACATACTTACAGTGGCTCATACAGAGACTTTGCAGTTTCCAGACTAGCAACAGCATGAGGTTGTTTACGAATGGTAATTGCGGAGAATCCCAATATACCAATCAACTCGTATGTCTTGCTCACCCACTCACTCGATTCTAGAGATACAAAGGGCTACTTACGTTTGTCGCAACTACTGCATGAACCGGTCAACTATACCAATAAGTGCGTCTGAACTTCCACTCAGCTGGTACTCGCAGTCGGTTAGCATCCCTGGCTTAACTGGCGCCATATTTTTTTTTTGGGGGACAAGCGCTCATGACGTCTTGTCCTGTCAGGTTCCTGATATTGAACTCTCCACAATGTTCAGTAGCCACGTTCATCAAAGAAGAAACCGTCATTAAAAAGTGAGAGAAACAAAAACAGAAAACATACAACAGCAGGGATTTTCTGGCGGTCTTGAACCTTTTATTAAACTACTATCATTTTCGAGGAACCAGGAAATTGCTATTTCCATTTCAGGGCTATCTATAGACTGTTGGACGACCCTAGTGATTGCCAGACGACCATTCTGTATCACGAAATAGATCGAAGGGTTCACTGACCTCTATCGAGCCCAACCTTAGGGCTGTAGACGGTGTCTCCTCGAGCCGGGGGTCCTCCATTGGTCGCTTCCTTTCTGATGCAGACTGTCTCGTAGCAACCGGCGAGAGCATTGCAGCATGGTCCATTATCTTGTGCAGATGCGAAATCACCGTGATAGCCCCTTCAGGAGTGTCCCATGTGGTCTCCAGCTTCGACCACTAGATATAAAAAGCATGGTTAATCCAACGCTTTAGCATGTCACTAGGCAAAGGAATGTCTTACTTTTGAATTGTTATCTAAACGCATGAAGATGAACCGATGGCTGTCTGTGGCAACTCCATATATTGTGGTATCAGATCTACCCGCTTTCTTCCTGGCTGAGTGGATTATAGCTAACTAATAATTAGCGAACCTGGTCAAGGACGTGATAATGGGATAACAACTCACCCATGTAGGTCAATGTCTGCCATTCTCCAGTGCGGTCACCCTCGTGAGCTTTGGCCTCCACCACGACCATATTACTCTCGGGCTCGTCAACTGTTTCGTACCACAGCGAATAATCAGCCCTACCATTGAGGATGATCTCTCTATTCTTGTGCATGACCGGGCATTTGAGAGGTGTCTCAAATTGTAGATGGAGGGATTTGTACGAGGCAACGCTCTCCATAGATGCTCCCCAGGTCTGGCCCCATTCCCCCTTCTTTTTCGCCGCAAGAGTGGTCATCAAGATAGCGTCGAGACGGGTACGGACAAGGGCTTCATTCTCCCGTGATCCTGCCATGCAGAGGTTATAGTCTTCTAGTATGGATTCTACAAATGTTTAGCACATAAACAAAACTGCATAAGGTGAGGGTCTCACTCAGATAGTCCGGCACAGTCTTCCGCTCGTGTGGTTCGAGCGACCAGTCGAAAGATAAGTCGTCCGTCAGACGGAAAAACTCACACACTTCCTTGCACGTCATGTCAGCGACTGGTTTGGTTTTTGCGCTGAATGGTAACAAGAAATCTCTCAGAGATGAACGAATGCGCTGTGGGACCCTGCGCAGGACATCCTCCATCCATTCCTCCATTTTAAAAGCAGTGGAAGATCACCAGGACAGTCACATCAGTCTGGAGAGGACAGGCAGGGAGGAAACGTTGAACCAGAAGACCCGTTGAAATAGGCATGCCCTCAGAAACGATTTACTGAGATGACACAGAGTGACTGCCTTCAATCTCGCTTCGATCAGGTGTATCAATTTTGATCGAGCGAATGAGGTAACAGAATCGCCTCGATATCAGATGAACGACGCGTCGTCAGGGTAGGACTTAGTCTCCCCACTATGCCTGTGTAATAGGAAGAACTACCAACCTGATCCTGAATTACATACTTCACATCGGATATGTTCTAGAACGGCAAGATATTGCTCTGTCATATAGGTTTCTAAGGTGGAGCTATCTGGCCAGAAATTCCCTGCGAGGGAAAACGATCGACGCTACAATATAGGTGTTTTGGACAGCTGATGTCGTAGAGTCGAACACGTCGTTAAGACAGAATAGAGTCTCTGACGACGAACGTCCTCGGACAAGATATCTGAACCGATCGTGGGCTTCAGACCTTACGATCGGGCGACGTTGGCTGGTCAAAGTCTAGCTTTGGCATGCAAGAATCCGCAACGGATCTATCCGTTATGCAGATCCTCGCGTGGCATAAGATCGACCGTACGACGGAGGCTGGCTAGACAACCTGCGGCGCTAGGTCGCTCGATCAGTGGTAACAGCGACAGGTTCAGTAGATCTACGACGTATATACACGCGCAAGGTAAACACCAGTCAGGGACAACCAGCTTCCTCTGGTTGGAGAGAATGTATATTCTTCGGGATATCCCTTCCCTTACTACTATGAATCCGTGATAGAGCTGTGCTGTATCGTGGTTGGACGTTGGGAAGCTTTGGACTGATCAACTTCGGAGTTAAATTATCATGGAAAGAGGAAACAGTTCAAGATAGCCAATGAACGAACGCTACCCAAGTGCAGAAAAGGCATCCTTGAGTCCTTTAGACCGATATTTATCTCTGGTGGAATCCCCTGAAGAGTAATGGTAGGAGAAACCTGTACATAAATCTCCAGTTGTGTGATTTTTCGAAACGAACAGATCTCTCGTATTTTGGGATTTAATTCGTCACTCGTACCATGCACTCTTGCCAAAGTTACATGGACCATTCCCAGACCATATATATATACCTATAGGCAACGGAGAAGCGTGTAGGCCATCCATGTATACAACTGTGCATAGTGACAATCTTTAAATTACAGTAAGTTCCACAGTGCGGCTGGATATCTCGTGATGCAAAAAAGTGGACAAATGTTCAATTGGGTTTATGTTTACCTGTTTGCATCCCAGGGTGGCCAAAGTTGTGCTCATGAGGTGGAGAAGCGTAAAAGTCAGCCTGCGAGATTCAAAGCTGGTCGCATACATGAAGTTTGGACTTTTTCTTGTGCTTTTTAATTTGATGTTCCGGCTCAGAACGGAGTATACAGCAATTAGACCTAGTATATACATGTATTGAGGCTAGGGTATTGCCGTAATTTGAAAGGAATGTTATTCAGTTATTGTGATACTTAACCATCAAGGTACAGCAGCTGGTACATGGCAAGAAGTATATACGCACTATTTCCCTTCGAGCCATGGTAACCTTGGTTATATTGGGTCACCAAGACGTTTCCGTGTCGACTACGGCTTTCTTCTCTGCCTGAAAACAAAACTTCAGAGACACTCCAAAATGGATTATAAGTCTCTCACTAGAAAGCTGTAACTTGAAAGACTACAGAGAACACCACCATGGAAATCCTCATGATGTTTCTGACTGGACAACGCTTAAATGTGCCAAACTTCTCCTATTCTCTCTTACCTGTTAACACCGAAGGTTTAATTGTCGCATGTAATGACTTATCACCCCAGTCGGCATCATCGATAAAACAGCAAGCAATTTCACTTGCAGTTTTGTCTTCCTCCCAGTGGGATCCATAATTAGTCTGCATAATATGAATGGCGCCCTCCACGATGCGAGTTATATATGTGTATATCTCCCGCTTTGATGTTGTCCAGTTCAATACTCGGACCGTATACTGTTGTTAGTATTAGCCATACTTAAACTAGAGACCGGGAATGATTCTCGAGTGCACTTACGCGACCATATTTATCCAAGTACACAAAAGCCCAGTCAGATTTATCAGAATAAATTCCATAGAGGGCAGAATTCCTCCCTGCTCTCTTGCGAGCACCGTGGATTGCACCTACACGTAGTCAGTAATCTCTAGGGGCATCAAATAGGCTACGACAGATCCGTTTGTATTCCTTACCCATATAAGAAAACAATATTGGAAGATCAATATCTCCCTGAGTTGGCGCGTGGAAAATTATCAAATTCATTTCAAGCTCTTCCCTGTCTCCGTACCAGAGCACATAGTCCATTATGCCACTCATTCTGTACTTTTTATCTCTGCAGCGAAAGCACGTGCGGACTATCTGGCCACGTTTAATTTGTATCTGGGTCAAGGGATCGTTATAGGGCCGGTAGTCTTCGTCTTCTGGAAGAGGTGCGGCGACTCTGCGGGCCTCGCGCTTCTTCGCGTGGTTGATTGCAAGAGTGATGATCATGCTGACCTGCGACGGAATCAACATATTCTTGAAGTTAAACGAAGTATCAAAATCATCTAGCATTGGTTCTGGGCATATATTAGTATTATTATTATTAGGTTCTTTTTTTTTTCGTATTCTGGAGGAGTCAAACAAAGATAATCATTACCAAGAAAGGTAGGTATTTCGTATATTTCATCCTCAGCGAGAGCCCACTGCGTATGGTCTTCGTATCTGCCGGGACGAATACCGAAGAAATCTATGACATTGAAAAATTGTTGTTTGTCCTTGCAGAGCTTCTCAATCTGGGCATATTGACTTTCCTCCACCGATGGGCGGGAGGAGGTGGCACGGGAAATCAATCTGGCGTGACGCTCTAGCCAGTAATATGAATTGTGGATAATGGCTCTGGCATTCATAATGGTATTCATGATGGGCAGTGACAATTTAGTATTAGTATAAGGCAGTAGATGGTGTAAAGGAACGGGAAGAATTCCTAACACAGCGAAATAGCTGGTATTAAATCAAGGAAGGCCATTCCGGACCACATTGGATGTTTCCATGGTATAAGACTCGGACATGCGGCTACCGAAAAGGATAAATTGGTGCAGGCATCATCGCCCTGTCATTTTCTTCTCAACGTAGCTGAATGTTGAAACCATCGCGCTTCTCCAAGTTCACTGACTCTCATCATTATGGGTCCACTGACCATCACTAATAAGTCCCATTTCGACGAAGACGATGCTATTGTAGTAACCGGAGAGAATGCCAACGCTATATTCGGCCTCCATATAGCTGAAGGCCAGTGGTCTTATTGGGATTTGGCAGAAGAAGAAATTATATCTATTCCGCGTCATCTTCGTTAGTATATCATATCCTTGATTTAGGCGATCAGTGTTTGACCAAGTCGGCGAAGAATTAATCTTGCAGGAAACTGAAATTGAGCAATGGTACTCAGATTCCGTTCTTCGAACACGCCTGGAGGCGATCTTTGCGACTACTTTGGCGTCAAGGAAACGCGATGTTCTCTCGGAGTCCACGAGTTCGGCGAAGTCTACTCTATACCAAACCGCACGTTGGGTTTCTGGAGTGCCCTTCTCGGCTAAAGGCGGTTATAGGGGTCGGCGCATGAAAATAAATACTCTGATCGACTATGCATTATGCCATGGACAACTGGAGAAAATACAAGATATCAAACTACTTGTCAACGTGGTGGATTCGCGAGATAACAAATGTGCTAGAACAAGTCTGGGTGAGTTCTCAAGCTATGTGTTACGGCTTTAACTGTTGCAATCGACTGAATTCACTGATAATTTTATGCCAGCCTTGATCAATTGGGTTCGTGAGGAAACTGGAAAAGACAGAATTCCTTTATTTGCAATCTCTGTGGATGGCGATAGCTTTATGTTTACACGGCTAAATATCGACTATTCAGTAAGATACGCCATACTCGCGACTTCTGACGCCTATCTCCCTTTACCATAGTACGTTGATAACTAACAAGGAGCTCTCGTGTTTAGTATACCGTACACTACACCTCATTGAGCACGGGCGCAAGACGTAACCGGGTCATATCCCTTATTTCCCGCTTCATCGATCACGCTATATGCTCGATATGAGATGTATGGTTCTCGTTGGATAGCAGACCAGCAGATGTAGCTCTGTGTGATACATGGGTGCAGAAACTAGTTCTAATTCTTCTTGTTCGGGAGACTTTGGTTCTGTAACAAGCATAGGGAAGCCTGAATAGAAGTAGGCGGTATTACCAAATTCGGCCGGGGCGCTGAATGCCTTTACGTTATATAGACTACGTCTCTAGATATTAGAATATCATTGTCTGTGTATAAAGCAAACGCCAGGTGATCTGCAATCATCTCTTATACAAAGTTCCCATATGGAATTGGATCGAACCTACTAGATTACTAGATTACTAGGATCTAGATTCTTTGGGTGCTAGAGATAAATATGGGATCAAATCCTCCCTAGACCTAGAGTCAAGCAAGCAGTTCAGATTCTCCTTCCGTGCTATTAAAGATTCGACAATGATAAGGCTAATAGATATGGCCAAGCTCAAGAGAAAAGTTAAAGGAAGTGGTAAAAAGCTTGCTCGTATTGAGTAGGTATCTATGACATCCCCCTTTATTGATACATAAATGGCAGCCCACGAGGGACCCACTAAAGAATGATCATCTAGTGAATTGAAAAGATAACCGTTTTTCGCGATATTAAGCCGCTTCTCTCGCTCCAAGAGCACAAGTAATAATGTCGAGTGTGATAACTCCGTTGCATGACTCTTGAACCCTAGTTACAAAAAGATCGATGTCAATCCTTTACTACACAATTTCGAGATTGATATATTGCTTTGATTATGTCGCGGTATGCTTATATTGGACTCCTGCCTGCCTTGCACGATCATAGCTATTTCTGGGATGTATACAAGCTGACACTATGTTAGAATGGTTCTTATTGCAGCACGATTCTGAATCACTGGAGCATGAAGGAGCCTTTTCCAGTTAAGGTTACACTGCGGAGTTCTGCACACGGGGAATTGATTTTAAGGGAGGAATCTCTGAACGGATTAAAATAGGCTCGATGGGATTGTATCCCCAGCATCTATACAATGAAAGATAACGAATATGTATATACATACTTATTCAGTTAGTCACATTCAATATTCTCAGGAGTATCCGATGCCATAGGGGGTTTGAATGTTCTTTCCCTCTCTTCTAGATGTCGCTAATATTGACACGGGCAGGCCTCGCATACTATTAAGCCCTGTAAGATTATACCTGTTGGAAAGCACGACGAAAATGTTACCAGTAAATGTAGTCAGACTGAAGAAAGGTAGGTAGAAATGCTCAATACTTACCAGACGAGTAGATTTTGGAACCCTCCTTTCCGTAATTCAGTATTGCTGGAGACTAGGTTTCCAGTCCCCAAAAAGCTTGGAAATTTCCATTTCCTATCCCAACTTGACTATATCATCTCTTTGAAGTGTTTAACCATCACATACGACCATAGGGTGTGGAAAACAGGGCTTCCCGTCCGCTCAGCCGTACTTAAGCCACACGCCGGCAGGTTAGTAGTTGGGTGGGTGACCACCAGCGAATCCCTGCTGTTGTATGTTTTCGTCTTTTTTTTGCTATAAATAGCTAGTAACTCTATAGGTAATACTCGACTGCATTCAACTGCCACAAAGAAGATCCCGCGAGAATGTAGTGCACACTCTTGTCAATAATTGCTCGACTCAGTCTCTCCGCGTCCCTGTTATATCGGAGATCTCCTTTTCGAATTACTGATGCTTTTTGACAACCTGGGAGAATGTGTGTGATGATTGTCGAATCCTTTAGCACGGAAGCAAGATCTGACCTGATCGACTTGAATTGCTTGCTTGACTCTAGGTCTAGGGAGGATTTGATCCAATATTTATCTATAATACAAAGAATCTAGATCCTAATAATCTAGTAATCTAGGAGGTTCGATCCAATTCCATATGGGAACTTTGTATAAGAGATGATAGTATATTATATAGCGTTTGTTTTATATACCAATAATAAGACTTTGATATTTAGAGATGTAGTCTATATAATATAAAGCCATTGAGCGCCCTGGCCGAAATTGGTAACACCGCCTACTTCTATTCAGGCTTCCCTATGCTCTCCACATCGGCTATCTACAGTCTATGCTTGGTAAATTTCATTGATGGCCGCGATAAGTATGAGAAATTTGTTTGTTATACAAATAGTAAGTGACTGAAACGCAATTCTCCGATTTTACCTCTGCTAATCCAAATTCATTACAATCTGATTGTATCCATAGGAACAATGTTTATTGTGCTTTTGCTAGGCGAAATATCTTCTATTTATCCTGCAGCTGGTGGCATGAACATCCTTTCCCCTCCTCCTCATCGATCCTAGTATACGAGGACTAACCCATTTGAAGCTATCATTTTAACCCCCTCAGGTTAGTTTCACCGGGCTTTCCAACCCGTGAAGTATGGCATTGTTGTCCCCTCTCCGCAGATATAGTTAGCAGGCCGGTCATGTGACCGGAGTTGATTGCCTGTCGAGCGATGGCTTTTTTATCCCAGTCATTTCTCAATAATATTAATATCTAGTCTGTTTTCGTCTTAAACTCCGTCGTATTCATCAGCCTTATCATCAAATTTGGCCAATTGCATGCTGCACTGAATTGGTTTGTGACCATTATTCCGCCGGTCTTTCGTCGTCCCTGCTTCACGCCCACCAATTGGTGGCTCTAAACTGGGATATCGCACGCGACCAATTTCCCCATGTCTAATATCTGCCAGCCGGAACGGTGAGAGGTCTTAACACTTCAACGAGGTATTGATAGGCTATACATCTTCCCATCTTGATGCTCATCCCCGCGAGAGGAGAGGATTTGTATCGAGGTGGCTAGCATCGGCGATGGCTTCGAACTATTCCTTATCGGGAAAACATACAACCCACGTGCGACAATGTCCTTCTTGTCTGGAGCGATAAGAGGGGTTTGAGCGAACATGTATTTAGAGATCTGGTCAGAACTGTCCCTGCTATATTCCTGGTGAGTCTGCCTCTTTCCTTGTGCTCTTGGTCATTTCCATTGCATTTTTCCAACGTCAGCATGGACACAGATATCGCAAAAGGGCCTCAGGTCAAGCCTGACCATGTCGCCGCGGAGCTTCCGACGCGGGATCATGAGTCTATGGACAATGGCGATGCGACAGAAGTCGTTGCTTTGGGTAGTGTAGATCACGCGTTGGCTGCGAAAATGCGCCTTGTGAACGAGGTGCGCATGAAATGAACACGGTACCTTGAATATGTTTATTCTGACTCTTCTTAGGCTATTGAACAACTTGGTCTCACTGGATACCATGTCAAGCTCTTTTTCCTGAATGGCTTTGGGTAAGTTTACGTGGTGTCTCTGAATACCCCGCCGAAAAGGATTCAAGCTTACAAGATAGATACGCCGTGGACTCGCTGCTGCTCTTTCTCATGAGTATCGCTGCCAGCCAAGTGGTCTTGGAATATAATCCACCATTCACCCACGGGGCTCAGCTGGCCTTCTACATTGCTCTATTTATCGGAGCTCTTTTCTGGGGGTCTACAGCGGATATTGTTGGACGCAAGTTTGCCTTCAATTTCTCGTTGCTCATTAGCGCAGTATTCGCCATTGCTGCCGGTGGTGCGTCCAGCTATATCGGCTGGGCAAGTCTGGTTGCCGTGTCTGCCTTTGGATCCGGAGGCAATTTGGTCCTTGACACCACTGTTTTCTTGGAGTATCTGCCCGGGAGTAAGCAATGGCTTCTGACCTTATTGGCGGCATGGTGGGGGGTCGGTCAGTTCGTGGCTGGAGTCATCGCGTGGGGATTCATGTGTGCGTACTTTCTAGCCTCAGAGACCCCTTGAGCAGACCCTTCACGTGCATTAATAGAGCTAACTCCGAAATAGCCAACTACAGCTGTCCTAGTGATGGATCAGTCCCATGCACCAAGGAGAATAACATGGGATGGCGGTATCTGTTTTACACCTCAGGTTCACTGGTATTCGTCATGAGCATCGCGCGTGTCTTGATCATCCGCTTCCATGAGACGCCAAAGTATCTCCTTTGTCAAGGACAGGATGAACTGGTCGTTAAACAATTGCGGTCCTTGGCGGAGAAATACCACCGTCCATGTGATCTTACCCTCGAGCGTCTCGAAGAATGCGGGCAAATAACTACGACTCACGCGAATAAGCCAACTTCTCCTGTCGAGATCTGGGTACATGTGCGTGGCCTATTTTCTACGAAACGACTCGCTATTTCCACAGCGCTAGTCTGGTTCTCCTGGGCTCTAATAGGTCTGGGATACTCACTATACTACGTATTCCTGCCTGATTACCTAGCCTCTCGCGCTGAGAAGTCTGGCGATTCATCGGCATATATCACCTGGAGGAACTATGCCATTACGAACCTCATGTCTATCCCAGGCCCTATAATAGCTGCTTTCATGTCCGAGACAAGGCTTCTGGGTCGGAAATACACAATGGCCATCGGCGCCATTATGACCAGTAAGATCCAGCCGCTATCCGCTATACTACTAAAGGGACCCCCAACTGATTGGATCAATAGTGGTCTTCTTCTTCGCTTACACCGCAGTGCGTACTGATGCACAGAACCTTGGCTTCAGTTGCGCTATCTCCGTCACTATCAACATCTACTACGGCACATTGTACGCCTATACGGTGGAGGTCATGCCTTCCGCACACCGTGGAACGGGGAATGGCATTGCGGTGTCTTTCAACCGCCTCATGGGAACCATGTCAGCAGTTGTGGGCACATTTGCATCGACTTCGAGTTCCGTCCCGATCTACGTTTGCGCAGCCATGCTGGGTGTAGCGGGTATCACGGCCGTTCTCTTTCCGTTTGAAACGCGGGGAAAGAGGAGCGTCTAAAATATGCAAATGATGCATGTTCTATTCATATGATCGTTTCCTCGTTGATGTTATCTATCAACATGATGTATATATCCACCATTATTATGAATGTCCCGTTTTTACTATATGTTGCACTAAGGATTGCGGATTTGACATGATACCAGCAAGGTTGTCCACACTCAAGTACTTGAAATTAAGTTACCCAAGACTACACGATCCATAACTATCCTCATGTAAAACTATCCACAACAGCAGGATAGTAATCTTCCCCATACGTCCTATTCAAAACCACATGTCCGGAAACCGTCCCGTCCTCCAACCTGACCCACGTCTCAGTGTGAGAATCTAACGTCCGTTCGTCAAGTAAGATCTGTCTCGCACCGCGCGTCCAGCTCCCATAGCCTCCATATCCGCTATGGCGGCCAAAACAAAGAAACAGCCCGTTCCCCGTGAGGTTCATTCCCGGCAACGTGCTGTTCCAGCGATAGCACCTGTACATGTACAAAATTCGCGAATTCAGCTCGAGTCATCGCTGCGGAATCCTATCCGGGAGAAATACGCACCAGTCATCACCATGATCGTGTCCACTAAATGTAGCTATGAGTCCTTCTGTTGAAAGCAGCGCTTTCATAAATGGAATATCCTGTCCGTCGTAGGTGGTTCCTGTCTGCGGCGCTAGGGGGTTATCGTCGTTGATTCCTGGTTCGTGGTGCGGGTCGACTCCTGCTTCTTGTTGGAATGCTAACATTGCTTGTATGGGGATGTGGAAGAAGGCGAGGGATGGGATGGTGCGGTTGTATTGTTTGGTGAGTTGGGCGGCGGTTTGGATGAACCATTTGGCTACCTTAGGATATCGTTAGCAACTAGTATATAATACAATATAATATAATACATCTTTTAATTTGATGGGAGTCACTTAATGTGTACCCACTGACTTACCGATTCATCAACCCATTCACCCAGCGCAACCTTCTCCCCATCCCCATCTAATTCCTGAAAACAATTCCCTCCCCTACTATCGAAAAACCACAAAATCACCACCGGCCCCTCCTCTTCATCCTTTCCCTCACCAGCCCCAAAAACAAGTAAATAATAATTCGACACTCCCACTTTCCCCACTTCCCCCGGAACCATCCGCCCCGTCAAACTATTCGGATATCGCTTCTCGCGAGCGAAAATCTCCGCTCGGGAGAGGTTATAGTCGCTATCGTGGTTGCCGTACGTGGATGCCGAGAGGAGATCACGGTTTATGAGCGGTTGGACGATGGTGTCTATGTAGGAGGAGGAATTGGAGAGGTAGGTGTCTTCGCCGGTGATGAGGTCGCCGTTGAGGATGGTGAGGTGGGGTTGTTCGATGGATAGGATGGTGTTGAGGACGTGGGTTGTGTTGGTGTCTTGTTGAGGGCCCCAGGGGAGGTTCTCGGCTGGAGTGGATGGTTAATATCATGCTTAGGGCATGGATGGGTTGAATGGTAAGAAACTGCTAATTCTACCTTCGCCATAGTGCAGGTCGGAGAAGATGGACAATTTGAATGTTCCGTCTTTTGTGAACCGTAGAGGTGGTGGTTGTTGTTGTAGGGAAAATGCCACGGCTGCAGTGGCTATTATTGCTAGGAGGAATAGCATCGCAATTGTTTAGCTATCTCAGCGCGAATGCATAATCCCCAAGATTGAAGAATACACTTGACAAGTATATATACCCAATTTATAGAGAGATTATATATTTGCGGGGTTCTTTTAAATGTTCGCTTTAGCAATAACTTGACTGCATTATTGATGCATGGTAAGTCGCATTGGTGCCGGCACGTTGCATCACTGACTCGTCTGAGAGGTCGGATGTATGCATGCATGCATGACAACGCTAAGCAGGTGCCTTATCCTTACCTACCCGGCAATTTCATCTATAGCCTGCGTGAACAGTAAGATATATGAACATGTTTATATATGGCTCTACGAGACCATGGCTTCTTGAATGTTTCAATATGCTTCACTGCATACAGTATGTAGTTGATCGAGTCTCAAGCACATACCCTAGCCTAACCTTCATTTTGAATATCACAGTATGATAGTAGCAATTAAAAGCGTCATTTCGATAATTGGTATCGTGTAGACTGAACTAAACTAGTTTAATAAAAACACATAGGGGAATCATGAAACCATCAAGATCGCAACATGCCATCGCCCAACTCAAAAAGCGTCGAGTCGTCGAAGGTCAATCAATACCTTATGAACCCATCCGTTGTTCAGTTTAGTTACCTCCCTTCTCCTCAATCTCCGCCTCCGCACCACGCTGTCTAGCCTTGCCCTCATCGTGAATCTGGCGATACTCCTCCTCCTTGGCCCGATCACCAGTGATAGCAGCGCCGATGCTGCCCAGAGCGCCCTGCGCGCGGTCCGTGTAGCCCTGGCCCAGATCCTTCAGCTGGCCCTTGGCTTCCTGCGCCTTGCCGCTCTGGTTCTGCTCAGCACCGGTCTGGCGCAGGTTCTCGTTTCCAATCACGTTGCCGGCGAATTCTTTGGCGGAGCCAATGGTCTGGTCCCATTTGCCGCTGGTGCGGTTCTCGTCGTCCTTCACGGCGGCTCCCGTGTTGGGGTCTGCGGAGATGGGACCGAGCTTTGCGGTGGTGTGGGAGGCTTCGTGCTCGGCTTGGGCTTGTTGCTTGGTGGTTTCGCCTTGGGCCTGGAGGATGTTGTTAGTGATTTCTTGTTTCTTTTAAAAGTATCGAGCAAGTATAGGGGAATGACGAGCTTAACATACCTTGTCAGCGTTGCTACCAGTGAGAGAGCCCAACGCGCTCTGGACGGCGCCAGTCGCGGAGTCAACGTAGGACTTAAGAGTAGAAGAGGAAGCTCCGTCGTTCGAAGACATTTTGGTATAAGATAATGTTAAGTAGGAACTTGGTTGTTCTGTTATGTGGTTTGACGAAGATAGCTCAGGAGTAGATGTAGATCCGTGGTTCAGTTGTGATTCTGGAACTTTTTCTGACAACTCATCCAACAGACGATGAGCACCACCTTTATATACCCCTCTCATTCATCCATGTCTGATATTCTCGAAATTCACTCGCATTCCTGGTCTGATATCAATGACATCACCTAGAATATATTTCTTGGCTGGATCCGGATGTGTGACGTCACCTGTCACGTGATGACATCGGCCTATTGAGATAACGAAATCCAACAATGTTCTGCGAGGAAACAAAACAATCTTCCACGTGGAGCATGACACGCAAGCGGCAAAAGACAAACAGGACCGTTGAGCCGCCATGGCGTGACGGCTGTGCTTGATCGGCGTGCTGCTCGTCATCCATGATGTCGCTCGGAGTGGTGTTCTAGAATTAATTCGTGAGACAGGATTACCGAGTAGTAGTAGCATGTTGGACGAGAGGAAAATCAATCTGAATATTAAGAAACTGTCTTGATAGGACATTATGCTCCTTCGGTAACCGAGACCCATATGTACATCTCTCGGAATGTAGACGGTTCAACCGTAGCACCAGCAGGTCAAGGTGAGTTGAGTGGCTATGCACGCTCAAGGAAATCTCTGTACGACAAAACGAAAGCCAATGCCTGGAACCCAAAATGCCAAATAGCTTTCCATCCAAAACGCCAGCCAGAATTTTATATAAGAAAAGGTCGTACACATCATCATCCACATCGTACACGGGCAGTTGTAACCCGACAAACACACTACCAATGGCAGATGCCGCCTTCACTGTCATCCATGGCCCACGTGCCTGCCATGCCGACGATCTCGATGTGACCGTCAGCATGCTCGTCAACCTTGCCTAGAGAGGCAAAGCTAGAGCCTGCCGGACCATTGCTCAGCAGACGCCTAGCCCAAGCATCGATGGCTGGTTCGCCTGTCTCATCGCGCGCCTGTTTCAGGAACGGAATCAATGCTGTCCCTCCCGTGCCGCGAAGCTTCTTGCCTCCCGGCTTGTTCGAGTCTCCCTGTCTGGTATTGGCAATATTCATGGCGATCGGCCGCTTAGGGCTGATTGACCGTGACTGGGTTCGCGACTGTCTGGATTTGATGATAATGTAGCGCGACACCATCTGGATGTGCTTGTCACGCAACTCCCGCAACATCGCGAGACATGCATCGTAGGCAGTGCTGAGGGCCTTGTCTGACCGACGCGCTTCAACATACTCGCGAATGTTGGCGACGCTGGTGACATGTTCGAGGAACCGTCGATGTGGACCGGGCATGTACTCTCGCATCTCATGAATAAAGTTGTGCCGTGCTTTGGGCGCTGCACCGTCTGAGGAATTCTCATCCTTGTCACTACGGGTGACGCCAGTTGGACGATGCTCTATGCCCAACACGATATCGAAGAATTGGATTATCGAGCTCTGCGCGTTGCTTCCACCGCCGTACTGGCGGTAGTCCTTCTTTCCGCTACCGTCGTCGTAAAACAGGCCATTGGGTAGGCCTGCATCCTGCATGTTCCTGCTGCCTGCGAGGAAGGGCCGGATACGGTGGTAGAAAACGTGAGGGTCACAGTTCTCATACATTCGTTGGAGGATAGTACTAACATCATCCACGATCTCCGCGAAATCCTGGAGACACTCGATGACGACACTAGTATTTCCTAATCGGGCAGCAGAAATGGCCTGCAGCATCAGGGGGATACTGGGTGCCGCGCGAGCCTCAATGGCTACGGAAACGAGGTAGAACCATTGTTCGTCCATCGAGCCCGTGAAGGTGTTGATGCAAGCGATGTTGCTGAGATCATCCGCCGGCTCATCAGGGAAGATGGGCCGGTAATTCCACAGGCAGAGACCAGCATATGTGGCAACCGGAGGCATCTCCAGACGCTTGCAGACCTCGAATAGAGGAATCGTCAATTGAGGTGGAATCCGCTAGGAAGATAATCAGAACGGTCTCACGGAACCCTCTCTCACCAAACTTAGCTTACCTCTGCCGGCTTGTCGCCACCCCAAACATAACCATGCAGCATAAATGTCAGGACGGTATACGCTCTTCTCCATTCGGCGTCGGTATGGAGGTACTCAGTGGAGAGAACGGTCAATCGGTCAATTGTCTGGCGGAGTCTCTTGCTCAGCAAGAGCCTCTGCAGGCTGGCGACAATCGACTCCCATGGCGCGTAGTACGGGTCTGGTAGAACATCTAGTGGCAGCTCCGGTGGGAGAAAGCCATGATCTGGTGAGATGCCGTAGTCGGCGAGGACAGGGACCGGTGGAATCATCGTGCCGTCGACAATCCGTCGAGAAGGACAATGATTCCCCGAATGAAGGATATTTTGTCTTGGGTGTGAAGTGAAGTGAAGGAGAATAGATACAACGACCTCACGTGGCGAGACCGGTGACAGGCTTCCAGAAGCCTTCGTTGATGTTCCGGACTTCGGAGGCGACTGTTACGTCTTAGGGCTAGCCACTCCTGCCGGATCCGGTAATCCCCAGGAACTGGGTGGCCAACACACAGTAGGGTGGATGGAACGGTAGACAGCAAAGGGTAAAAAGAGGAGTAGGAAATGTAGAGGGCACAAAACAGTGTACCTTCAATAATAAAGGAGTATGAGAAAACTCAAAAAAAGTAAACTTATGGCGTGATTTTCCCCGGTAAGAGTGAACTGCAAGGTACAAGCGCCGCGTGCCAAGTCCGAGGAATGTACGCACTCCTACCAGATAAGATAGAGAGCGCTGGGGAGGAGGGTCCAGTATTTAGGAACCCAGCGGGCCAAGGAAAGGTCGTGAGGGACAACGGAAGCAGCGGAGAGTTGCGTATGAGGGGAACGGGGAGGGTTTAAAAAAGAACAGAAAAGAAGAGACTCAAAAAACGCCCGCTCACGCGACACGGAACCTTGAGGGTCACGGCGAGGGGAATACTGGGAATAGTCAATCATTTAGAGTAATCAGTCACCTTCTGGACCGTCCCGGGTCTCCCCCCTAAAGCTAAAAAAATATTGACGAATTTCTTGGGCTTCGGGAATATCCAGGGAACCGCATGAGACGGACAGGGTGCCAGACCAAGAGCAGAAGTTTCCACGGCCAGTAATTAGTAGTTGTCGGCGACATTCATTGCTGACATCAAGTAATGACCATTATTATTAATCTCTTGTTATTAATCTCTTGTCGAAATGGGAAAACCGCGAAATGTAGGAGACAGAAAAGAGGCGTGGAACAGCCTAACAGGTAAGCTCCACGGCCTCCCCAACTGACCGTGGGACAAGAACGGATCCGACATAGGAGTTGGAGAAGGTTGTTAGACCGTTAGACGATTGCGTCGTCAGTCAATCCCGCGCTGGAGTGGGCCATGAAGCCCCTCATCACGACGACGATGGCCGTGTGGAGAGAAGAGGAGAGGAGAGGATAGGATGGCAGTGGAAGAGAAACTGCCGTGGTCGAGGTCGAGCAGAGGGTCAGCGCATCACCTAGATAGCTTGGTAGTCAAATTGTCAGTTATAGTTATCAAATTTAATATGATCCGGTGCTGCGGCAGCCCTGTTTGGGGTTGGATGGAGAGAACGAACTAGGAACTAAGTGATGCCACTTCTTTCGCAGTGGCGTTGCTGGTCGGGTGGAAGCGAGAGGGGAGGTGAATTAGGGCGAGTGCTAGAGAATGAACCGGAGGCGGCACCAGCACAAGGACGAGCGCAGCAGGCGTGGACGATGCCGTTCGGTTGTTTTAGTGCGCGCAACCGGCAGCTCTCGGTTACACCCACGCCACCCCATTTTGGGTCTGCGGTGACTCGTGAGATCCAACGGTTGATCCTGTTTGGAATCTGGGATGATTAATTGTTATTGTTGTGATATAACTAACTACGGTCAGAGAATATAATAATACCCCAACTTAGGATCGGTCCTCATGTCAGCAACGGCAGCAATGTCCTCACAGGACTAGATCTAGCATGTCACAGAGTACTTAACTCTACTAGTTACTTCGTCACGGCGTACAAATTTGTTCGTGGATATCCTATCCATCTACGAGGCTAGCTTAGCCAGATCGGGCCAATGTCTATGGTACGCTAGGTAGCAATATCATAATCGAATCCGGGTCAAGAGAGGAGTGTTCAAGGTCATTAAATATTCTTCTGTACAGATGCCGCTCAGATCAGACCTAGAGTACATCAAATTCATCCATCCATAGGTTACGGAAGGTATTACACATCATGCCAACGCCAAGCCCCGAGGAAAATAATAGCTGCCAGACGAAGAACCCACGGCAAAAGAGCGTCTGCGCTGGATAAACAATACAAAAGACGGACAAGAAGAAGAGCCTCGGGATTGACCAACAAGGCCGTCCATAACATACAGCCCTCGTATCGAGACTTAGTGCGCACTCCACTGGATGGTGTTCAGGTCGATACCCTCCTGGACCAGCTCCCACAGTGGGCTCAGCTCACGAAGGAAGTGCACTCGGTCCCGAACGGCCTGCAGCACGTAGTCAATCTCTGACTCCGTCGTGAATCGGCCAATGCCAAAGCGGATACTGCTGTGAGCACTCTCGTCACTGCTGCCCAGCGCCCGCAGCACGTAACTGGGCTCCAGGGAGGCCGATGTGCAGGCACTGCCCGACGACAGCGCAATATCCTTCAACGCCATCAGCAGGGACTCGCCCTCGATGTAGGCGAAGGAGACGTTGACGCAACCCGGGTAGTGTCTGTCGGGATCACCGTTCAACGAAGTGTGTTCCATGGAGAGAAGACCGTCCAGCAGACGCTTCGACAAGCGTTGGACGTGCTTGGTGTCATACTGTGTGTCTCTGGTCAGCAACGAGTCAATCACTCAATATGGGAGTGACCATGATGTCAAATCAGCAAAGCGACAACCAAGTTCATTACCCCTGCTACGCACGTCATAGAGCTTGGCAACACGCGGTCAAGCGTGCAGCTACCGCCAAGACATCTTGGAAAGCCATGCATATTTCGAGCGAATAATCATGTTGGTTGAAGAGTGTGTATGGAGAGACAGGAAAAGCGAAAAGTTGGGACTTACCTCCATATCCTCCTTGGCGATGCGACAGGCTTCGCCAAAACCAACCACCTCATGAGGCGCGAGAGTACCGCTGCGCAGACCTCTCTCCTGACCACCACCGGTGATGATGGGGTCAAGACGGACTCTGGGCCTACGGCGAACATAGCAGGCTCCGATACCCTTGGGACCGTAGATCTTGTGGCCGGAGATGGACATCAGGTCCACGTTCCACTTGTTGACATCAATCGGGATCTTTCCAACCGCTTGAGCGCCATCCGTGTGGAAGAAGATCTTCTTGGAACGACAGAGTTTACCGATTTCCTCGACCGGCTGGATGACACCAATCTCGTTGTTGACCGTCATGATGCTGACCAACGCCGTATCCGGACGAATGGCGGCCTCGAGGTCTTCCATCTTAATCAGTCCATTGCTCTGCACGGGAAGGTATGTGACATCGAATCCCTCGTCCTGAAGATGTCGGCAGCTATCGAGAACACACTTGTGCTCTGTCTGGGAAGTGATGATGTGCTTCTTCTTGCCGGAGCGACCGAAGAATCGAGCAACACCCTTGATGCTCATGTTGTTACTCTCGGTGGCTCCACTTGTGAAGATGATCTCCTTGGGATCGGCCCCAATGAGACTGGCGACGTGCGATCGCGCCTCCTCAACGGCCTTTTCCGTCTCCCAACCGTAGGCATGTGTGCGGGAGTGAGGGTTGCCGTAAAGGCCCGTAAGGAAGGGAAGCATCGCATCGAGGACGCGAGGGTCCAGAGGCGTGGTTGCCTGCATGTCGAGGTAGATGGGACGAGTGCCCTCATCCATGATAGTGGCGTGCTTCAGGATACCAGCTGATGGGCTCATCGAGGCATCACCCGCTACGGCAGAGCCCGGCAGCGGAACATCCTTCGGCTGCACGCCCGTCTGGTTCACGAAAGCCTTCTGCTCGGCTTTGATGGCAGCGTCGACGTTAACCTGAGCGCTACCAGGCTTCGTTTCAGAGACATAGCAGCGCTTGGAGGCAGTCGACCGACCGGGTCCAGCCAGAACCCGCAAGGGCGGCGAATGCCTCAGGAGGCTGTTGGACGACGACAGGCGTCGTGCGTAAACCCGAGACGCCTGTCTCAAGGCAGAGGGTGCCACGTTAGACATGTTGTGATAGAACTCTGCGACGGTACCGAAGCAGGAGGTACGGTGTCGATGCCAGAGTTGGTATGGTGCCGAAGAGTTGAGGTGTGTTTTATCTTTTCGAGGTGGGAAAAGTTGGGATCTGATTATATCACCAAGTCTTGGCGTTGCTCGGGCCTCATCCACTAACGCCGCTCGGGATTATCTGATCGGAGCTCGGGGTTACCTCACCCTTTCGGACATCGGAAACGACCCCAGGCATCTCTTTTATGGTATGGATGTTGTCTCCAGGCAGCGAGAAAACCATAGCACACGCAAAAGGATGCTGAAACACTGGTGCCTCAATATCAGTGAGTGATATGATATTCAAGGCCTTGATTCAGGCTGAAGTATTGCTGGAACAGTTATCATTCAAGCCCAGGCCAAGGCGGCAAGGGCGGCAGCTCAGCGTATCCCCAAACCTCCAGCCATAAAAGATCAGAAAGTTGCAATTGTTAGATCCATTGCCAAAGGCATCGAGTTGTTCTCTGTAAGCTGCATAGAATAATAGCCGGAACCTGTCGGTTGTAAATAACTCCGCATTTTGCCGGATATATATCAGTTCCCCATTGTTGAACCAATAGACGTGAACAGCACTTGTTCTCCTCAATGCAGAGACAGATGAGACAAATAAGGACACTATATAAGCGCTAGATGACAATGTCCAAGAGGCCTCAGAGGAAAAGGGACAAGAGATTGAGAGATCTGTAGTGAATGAATTGAAGACAGCAAGGTGATCTTTATGAACACCTTGTGCGCCGCTTCGGCTCGTCTGCTCCGAGCGAGCGCCACATCCAGAACAGGGAAGCCAGCTCACGTGATATCTCGGCTCCGGCAGTCCAGTTATCCATTTCTAGGTTGAGTTGCTGCCCCTCTCTCCTGTTCGACTTCATTCTATGCCAGGTAGCCATCAGGAACCCGAGGCTTTTATACGAGAGTACTCTACTCTACTCGTCTCACGTCTTGTGTGATTCAGTAACCAAACCACCAGCCTCATCGAACACCTGTGGATCTCCCCTGGTGAGCCTTACCAGAGTTAGTGAACTATCGTGAGTCCCTTATGTCATAGCTCAGCCACAAGGTCAAGGATCACTCTCCGCTTCCAGAAAGCGCAAGACGGCGTAGCGGACAGTTTCCGACCGATACAAGAGGGCCACTCCACCCCACCGTCCGGCAGTCAGCTCGAACATCCAGAGATTGCTTGCTCCCTTAACTTTTGTTTCAAGGGCTGCTTCATCACTCACTACCCCTCATCATCATTCTGGCAACGATCTAACGGAGGGGTACAGCGAAGATGAGTCTGAGGGGCTTACAGAAGAGCATCGTCCGGGCACCACAGACGTTCAAGGCAAAGTTCAATATAGGAGAGCACACCAAGGATGCAGTCTATATTGATGCAGACCGGCGCTTCCAGGAGTTGGAGAAGGAGACCAAGAAACTGCATGACGAGTCCAAGAAGTACTTCGATGCCATTAATGGTAGGGAACCCCGCGTCTCCCTGGACAGAAGCGTCCGATATTGACTACCCACGGTAGGCATGCTCAACCATCAAATCGAGTTTTCCAAGGCCATGACGGAGCTGTATAAGCCCATCTCCGGTCGCGCATCTGATCCCAGCACGTACACAATCGAGGGCAATCCAGAAGGCATCAAAGCGTGCGAGGAATATGAAGCAGTCGTCCGCGAGCTCCAAGAGAGTCTGCAGCCGGAACTAGAAATGATCGATAGTCGTATCATCAGCCCTGCCGACCAGCTGCTCGAAATCGTTAAGGTCATCCGCAAGGTGGGCGTCAAGCGTGACCACAAGCAACTGGATTATGATCGACACCGCGCCACGTACAAGAAGCTGCAGGAAAAGAAGGATAAATCCTTGAAGGACGAAAAGGCACTCTACAAGGCGGAAAACGATGTGGAACAAGCTACCCAGGAATTCAACTACTACAATGACTTGCTCAAAGAGGAACTACCGAAGCTGTTCCAGCTTGAGGCGGAGTTCATCAAGCCGCTGTTTCAATCCTTCTACTACATGCAACTAAACGTGTTCTACACGATGCACGAGAAGATGCAGTCAATGAACATCAGCTACTTCGACTTGACTCTCGATGTCGAAGAGGCGTTCGAGAAGAAGCGTGGCGACGTCAAGGAACGAGCGGAGGCGCTGACTATCGTTCACTTCAAGACTACGGGTGGACGCAAGCCAGGCAGCAAATTGACACTACCCGGCAAGGATAAACTGGCCCGTGAGGAGAAGGGTAGTCTGTCTGGACGCCGCCAGACTCTAGATTCAACCGACAACCCACCTCCCCCGTACTCTGCTTCTCCCGGAAGCACGTCAACTTTCGTCGGTCGTGCAAACAGTACCGGCGGTAGTGTCCTCTCTGCGGCTGCCAAGTCGAAGGGACCTGCCCCTCCACCACCGAGCAAGCCATCCCGACTCAGCTATCAACCTGAGACTGTTACCGCTCTCTACGACTACGAGGCACAGGCAGCTGGGGATCTCAGCTTCTCGACGGGAGATGTCATTGAGATTGTACACCGCACCGATAACACAAATGAATGGTGGACTGGCAGGATTGATGGCAGGGAAGGACAGTTCCCAGGTAATTTCCTGCATCCTCGGCTTATTTTTCAGCGAGACGCTAACTTGTGGTTGCAGCCAATTACGTGCAATTGAACTAACAAGCATTGACTATTCCATCCCCAATCGTCGTTCCTGTTTTCTTTTGGAGAGCTTTCCGTAGCTCTTCCGATATCTCTTGATTTTACAGGATGTTTTACTGCCATAGATAGAACTACTTTGCATGCATTCTTGTCTCCTGTACATAGTACCCCAGCTTGTTTGTTGAAGCGAAGCGCGGAAGGAGTCCCTTATCGGCGTTGTGGGTTCATCCTATAGTGTTCACTTAGTTTCCATTAGTTGCATGGGCGAGGATGCTTGAATCTCTCCAGTTTACTGCTGACCTAGAACCACGTAATGGTTGTACTAGTGTTGACAGTATAACAGGTCTTAATCAAGACATTTTGACCTTACCATTGCATTTTTCGTGTCTGGCTAGCACCACATTAATTCAACTAAAGCAGCGGCCAACTACAGATTCCATGTCCCCAGCATTTGTACGACAAAAGTACTCTCAGTCCATCACATTAAACCGCCATAAGTCCCTCCTTCCTCGTCCAATTGCTTATCCTTGTGGATATAGTCTTTGAATCCCCTTTCACCCTTCTTGAGATCATCCACGAGCCTTTGTATCTCACTTTCTTTCTTGGGTGACTCTTTGTTCCGGACATGGCTCTCTTGCGCATGGACCTCATTGGCACCATCGTTGTGATGTCTGTGGTTGAAAATCTCCTCCGAAAACCAGCCACGGTGGTGAGGTTGTTGAGAGTCTAGATGAGGCGTAAGCTTATAATCGCAGTTATATCATTCCAGATGCCTGGCTTACTGGACGACATGGTCTGAGGTGGAAGATCTTGAATTAACTGTATGGTGTACGCTTTCTTGGTAGATGAATTGATTCCAGGAGATACTAGCAACGGGGGTTCGAGTTCCCTCATTCCATTCAAGACCAAACTCAGCACGCTTTATATACCTTGTGCAGAACTATATTCTCCGTTATTCATGGTAGACATCATTTCCGCAACCAGGACGGAGGGGCGATGGCGGGGGGGATCCGGGGAAAACGCAATAAACTTTTCTAGATACATGTTCTCACATATACGAGATATATGAGAGGGGTATAGTCCCAAATACGAGCCAGAAATTCAATTATAAGATCGAAGAGATCGCAGATAGGGCTCTATTCTGTGCCCATACTGGCAGAGACTGGTGAGCCTTTTCTCTACATACTACCGTAGACCTTGTTCGGATTGTTCTGGACTCGATGCGATGATTGACATCTGCAGTTTGGGCATAGCGATCGATCTCCATGTTTCTTCTTCCATATGACATGGATGATATTGCTTTAGCTCAGCTTCCAAGGTTGTATGCGTCATTAAGTTATCCAGGATCACATGCGGGTCGAAGAGTGGCCGAATCCGGAAACACAAATTAGCGAATCAGATGCCGAGGATTTTTCCGGTATATACCATAGCGATCTGTTTGCTTCACGACGCGCAAGAGAAACATGAAAATAATCCTTTGAAGAGTGGTATATTTGAAGTACTGGAATTGGGAATCTGATGTACTGTATTTGGTTGGTGGGAAGTTAGACTTGTGGATTTTAGTACATGGGGATTGCTTTTGCAAAAGGTAATCTAGCCTATCGGGGAGTGTCACATCATTTTTATTTTCTCGTTCTAATAACATCATAATCAAGCAAGATTTCGTTCCTATTGGATGTTTTCCTGGGTGCGTATTGGAGCAGCGTATGTGCAATTAAATCCTATCGATTATGTCGAGTACAGCTACCTTGTAATATACCTTGATGTTTGCAAGCATTGGTATAGCCATCCTCAAAGACCTCAAATTACAATTTATTCCGGTAGTTGAGGTATATTCTGGTCCAACAGTAATAGCTTACGCCTCAACAGAAATCTCGCCCAGAGGCAACCGCACCCACGTCGTCTCAGGAACCACCAGACCTGACACTACTGCATAGAAAGCAGCAGCTACACAGATCACTGTTAATGCCCCTCCAGCTTTATTAAACTGGACACTCCGAGCCGGGTCCAATGTGGTCATGAAGTTTGCGATAGCAGAGTCAGAATGCAAATATCAGGGTGAAGAATAACAGGATAATAGTGATGTTTGTCTTGAGCGCTGCTAATAAGAATGCCGCAGTTGAAAAGCACCAGATGATGAGGAATATCCCTAGCGTGTATGTGTATTCGTGTCGGTTGCCCTTGTACCCTCCTTCATAGTAGTGCTGGAATCGGAAACATGGAGTAGCTCATCCAGAAGACCGCATATGTGCTGCGGACTCTGATTCCAAACGTGTTTCCAACTCGAAACTCCACGAGTCCGACAACGAACTGGGCGAGTCACTCCTATGAAAACAGCGAGTCCGAATACTCTTTGATTAGAGCTTTTACCCCAAAACTATAAAGACCAAGAACAAAGGTAGTGACTGCGAATCCAAAAAGCCCCAAAGGACCGGAATTTTCAAGTTTTATGTACGGAGGAGCCAAAACTCGGGAGACAGTGTAATTGCAGTTTCTCTCCTGAGAACCAGGCTGGTTCCTCCCGGTCATTTCCTGGCATGTCGAATCTCGTCTCCTTCTGTTTCTCCGACATGCGATCTGCATGCGAAGACATGGGAGTGTCTTTGGAAGAACTGATACATAACTGTAGATGTGTATCATTCGGTCAATCTCCTCTGGACTTCAATTTCACGTTAATATAAATTTCCTAAACACTAACCGGTCCTCAAAACCTAAAAGTTAAATAACCTTATTTAGTCTACATTCTCCAGATTAGTGCGGAGAGAATCTGCATCCACTGTCTACAAAAGCTGCAGGATGATTCATAATCGTCTCCGCACTCCGATCACACTAGTGGTGGTCGACGATATTAAAATAGGGAAGTCAATCGGTGGAGAACCACATATCGTATACAGAGAAAAGAAACCTACTTCCGTTGGTCTTGTGGCCATTGCTAGATGTAGTGCTGAGTTTGATACCGATCTAATCTGTGGGCGCATAAATTCAGAAAGATAAGAGGTCTGTATTCGTCATCATCACAGCAGCGTCCCTTGTTCGTTCTATTATCTCTTGAAGTGTTGCGAACTGTAAATCCACAGTTGTGAGAACGCGTTAATAAATGATGTTCAATAGTTTTGTCTAGCAATTATCTCAACAGCAGATGCACCTCAATGTTTACATCATAAGTACCTATATAATTGCTGTGCAAGTAGGGGGGAAGAGTGATATCAAGAAGTCTAGGTTCCTCTAATGCTAAAGATGTCGCTACATATATAAGGTTATATGACCTATATTATATGCCTCTACACCAGATCTGGCGTAGTAGGGTCCCTTCTTAAAGAAGACCTATCCTAAGGCTTAGCAATAATATAAAAAATCTTAATATAAGAAAATACTAATATAAATATTAGAATACTAATATAAGAACTATTCCTTTTTAATAAGCGCTTAATAAATCTCTTTTAAGACCTGTATAATCCTATTATTTAGAGCTGCATTTATTACATCTATTAAATTAAATATTTCTAGAAAAATTAATATTAGTATATAGTGGGCTATATTATCTGCTATTATTAATAATTAATATACCTAATCTCTTAAATTATTAATATATTGCTAGTAACAGATCTTTATATTCTATATTATATCTAGTATAAAGAAGTTATTATCTCTTATATTAATACTTTAATTAAATAATATAAAATAATATTATACTTAACTACCTCTTAATAATATAGTCTTCTTAATAATTGCTGCGGGTTTTATAAAAAGCTTTTTTAAAGTTCTTATACTTGCTATACCTTATTTTATTCTTATATTTATAAATATTTATTATTATATTATTATATTTGCAATTATTATATTATCTTTAAGTATATAATTATTAATTATAGTAGTTATATTATTGCTATCCTTATTATTATTTATCCCTATATTATTATTCTATACTTAATGCTATAATAATAATATAATATACTCTCTAGCTAGTATTTTATAGTTAGCTAATATATTTTAATTAATTCTAAGTCTAATACTATAGCAATTATATTATTTATTATCTTATTTTATCTAATACTATATAGGATTACCTAGCTAATATATATATTTATTACTTATCTCTAAGATAGACAGTAGTTTATATATTAAAGCTAATATCTCTTATTATACTTTATAGGGGACCTTATACTTACTAAATTAGAAGATTAATATTTCTTAGATTATATAAGTACCCTTATTTATTATCTATAGGCTATAATAATATAAAGAAGAGCTATAGAATATATAATAGTAATTATACTTAGGGTAATATATCTTATTATTATATTAAAGCTATACTATAGAATCTATTAATATATAAGAATAATAAATATACCCTTAAGTATTAAAGTCTATTAGCTATTTTATTGCCCTTTTTATTATAGAGACTATTTTAATAATTATATAGATTCAGGTATTATATAGCTTTATATATTATAGTAAATAATTATATATATCTAGGTCCTAAACTATATTAACCAGGCTTTATATATTAAATATTGCTATATCTATATATCTTAGCTTTAGATATAATTTCTCTCTAGATCTATTTTTATTTTATTATATATTAAGAATAATAATACCTTTTATTATACTTAGTATATTAGATTATTAAATAAATATATTATAATAACTAATACTAGCAATATTAATAATTAACTATAAAATATAATATATTAAAAAGATAGAGCATAAGTTAAGGTATAAGTTAAAAAAATAAAATTATAATATATAAAGAAGTATAATTATAATATAATATATAAATTAAAAAAGTAAAACACAGGTTAAAGATATTAGTATTTAAGATAGAATAATTAATATTAATTATATAAGATTAGTAGTACTTAAAGCTATATTTTAAAAGATAAAGTTATTATAGAAATTAGTGAGGTATAAGTATAATAACTATCTTATTTAAGTAATAACCTAAATAAGCGGATCTATTAATTTCTAAAGCAGTTTTATCTTACTTCTAGATATAATTTATCTAGTATTTATTTTATACTACCTATTAAAATCTCTATAATAATTCTAGGATATCTTTCTTAAGATTAATAACAGGTTCCTATATCTTATTGCTGTCTTTTTATTTTATTAAATATTAATCCCCTGTTTAATAAAGAATATAATAAATTTTATATTTTTTATAACCCTATACTATAATTAGAGCCGGTAATTATATTATCCTTTAGTAGGTATTAATATAGGCTTACTCTAAGTAAATAATTAATATTATAGGATAAATATCCTAGTCTTTTAAAAGGTCTAACTTATAAGCTAATTATTTAATATAGTATTTAATCTTAAATAGACCCTTTATTACTAGCAATAACTTTAATAATTATAATATTATATACCCTACCTTTCTAAGATATCTAGTTAAGTAAATATAAATATTATTATATAATAATAATAGCTTATAGGTAGTATTAAATATTAAGGCTATTCTTACTTACATAAGATCTATAGTATTTAATATAGTAGTATAAATCTATTCTTATATAGTAATAAAATTATTATTAATATTAGTTAGACCTAGTAGAATATAAAGATAAATACTATATAGAATCTTAAATAGCAATATTTTAATAGACTTATTAGGCAGTATATTATTAGCCTATTTAATATTAAATAGTATTATAGCTTAAGCCGCCTTATATTACCCGATTAAAAGATAGTATAATATTATCTCTATTATAATATTAGTTCTTTCTAACTAATTATTAATATTAAGATAATATACTGCAGTTATTTTAAGCTTTATATAATATATCTTAAATATCTCCTGCTAAAAGGCGCTTATAAACTATATATCTTAGTTAGAAATAATAGCTTTAGGCAAATTTTAATCCTTAATAACTATAATAAATAATACCTATACTTATTTTATTATACCCTATAACTTATAACCTAAAATAAATTATATATATTATAAGAATTTATCTATTATAGTTAGAATAATATTATATTCTTAACTTTTAAATAGTCCTATAATAAAATCTATAGCCTAGATTTTAAATAATACTAATAGCATAAGAATAGGTTAGCATAAACTATATTCCTTATATATACAGCGCTTTACTATCTAATATACTAAATATAATAAGATATAATCCGCTAGCTCTATATATTCTTTAGGAAGGAAAAAATTATTCTTTAGCAGAAAATAACTCTATTTAAGGCCTAGATAGCCTAAGCTATTATATACAATTTTAAATATTTCTTTATATAATATATAGAGAATATATAGGCAATATAGTTCCTTCTGCATATTATATAATATGCTGTCCTTTATAAAAAATAAATAATATAAGGCATTATCTAATACTGCTAATTATTTATTAATCTTCTATATAATAATATAAAATATAATGTTTTTAATAATATTTTCCTTAATATATTCTATAAGGCTATTATCTAGCCCTAGTAATACTATAATAGATATAACTATCCCTATAAATATATTTACTATATCTATAAGAACCTAGTATAATATCTATTATTTATCTTGCATAAAATCCTTATAGCTAGAAATATAAGATAGCCTATTAATATTAAAGTAAACATACTCTTTATAGTATTTAATAATTATACAGGGAAGAAATCTAGCTAAATAAAATATTTAATTATTAAGTCTATAATTCTATTATATTAGGTTCTATCTTTAAAGAGCATTTATTAATACAATATAATCTGTTACTACTATAAATAGTCCTAAATTAAAATATTAGAATAGCTTAAATAATGCCTAAACTAATATACTGCATTTTAACTCTATAAACTAATAATTTTATTTAGCTTTAGTAAGCTCTTTTAATAAAAATAAGATTAGATATTTAATACTATTATCTTCTATCTAGTATACTATAATATTATAGCCTTATTTTTTACTTCTATTAATATAAAGCAGAAATAGTTTAATAAAATCTAGGTATATTAATATAGGAGTTAATATAATATAATCTTTTAAAAGCTATTATATTGTCACAGTGCTAGTATAGAGAATTATATAAGGAGTTATATAATCTCGCGAAGATATCTTTAGCGCACAGCTTAATCTAAATTTAAGTTCCTTAAGCTATATTTTATTTACTAAGCCTGCCTATAACAGCCTATTTTAATCTAAATTAGCTAAATAAAGATCCTATAGCTAGTCCTAGTATTAACTATCTTATTCTATTTATTCTAACTTATTCCCTAAGCCCGCACTTTAATATTATATAGCTCCTATCTAAGAGTTAATATTATTAATAATATTTACCCTAATTCCCCTATTCCTGCCAATAACTTTAAAAGAGTTTATTAAATATATTATTGCTAGCTATAGGCTAGAATAATATAATTATTATTACTTAATATATAAATATATTAATAAAGCTAAGACTGCTATAAATAAAATAAATTATTAAGCTAAAGTATACTTCTAAGAGCTTTAGTAAGAATTTATTGCTGTTTAATAAAGACTTAAATAAGAAATTACTAAATTTAAGGCTATCTAATAATATTAAAAGATCTAGCTCTAAAAAAAAGAATAGCAATATATTTAGGCTATTTTTAAAAGGGATTAAGCCTGTTATATAATTATATCTATTATAAATATACCTCTATTTATATCTAAACCTAAGCCTAATATTAAGAGATTTATAACTGCTCTAATAGAAGCATCTAAAATACCTATTATTATATTTTTTTTCGCCCTTAAATTTTTAGAGAGACTTTTTAATCTAAATAAGTTTAAAGGTAATTAAAAGGACTTTTAGCACTTTATAGCCTAGATTTAAGGGAAGATAATAATTAACTAAGACTAA